TTTGCCTTTAAAAATCACACACGGAGGGAGCGCCCACACTGAAGCATTCGTACACTCGATTACAGTCACCCACTCGCGATTTCCGGGCTGTAAAAGCAATCGCCGACCGTAGTATTCAGCCCTCGAGATAACCTTCGCGGTCGCTGTTAATCCCATCGCGAAACCAGTCTCATCGAAGTTATAAATATCGTCGGGATCGATGCCGTATTGAAGAATGGTTTTTTGAACAAGATCAAACCACTCCCTAATGATTTTTGGATCTTCGCACTTCGCACGTTCGTAATTATAACGTCTTGAGAATCGGGATGATAGGCTTGGGTATCTTTTCACGAAGTTATAAACCCATTTTTCTCCGACGGTTTGAACTGGTGTAGTTCCACGGGCCGCGAGAAGAATATTCGCAGTTTCGCGTACAGTAGACGGCCGGGGCGCTGCTCCGCGATCATCTAAAGAGAGTATCCATTTTTGAAGTGATTCCTCTTCAGTTTCTGTTAATGTATGCGAATTTGCGCGAGAAATCGCGCGATTTGTGGTGCCTTGATGACGATCGCGAAGTGTAGTTTCAGGCACATTATAAATGCACGCAGCTTTGCGAACGGAGGAAATTTCTTGATTTTAATAGCCTGGATGGCCAATAATATCCTACCCTCTTGCTCTGTTGAATTTGTAGAGCCTCTGGCGCGAATTGGTGGCATAGTGGGTGGTTGAATGAATTAAGTGCTAATTCATGGACGCATTTTGGGCTGGGTGCGCGACTGGCTTTCATGCGCGGCTCGCTTACCGATTACGTTACAAAGCTCGTTATGACGTCGAGAACTGGATGCGTTGCTTATTAAATAGGACACGTGCCATTGGATGTTTACAAGTACTTCTTTGAAGACTGGTCTTTTGGGAATCGTGGAGGAAAATATAGGAGCGAAATTCCTTTCGTGAAAAGACATCAGGACCTCGCATGACAAGAAATCAACAAATTGGCCTTATTCATCGCTTGTCACAAGCTTTCGAGAAAAGTGAGGACAAGTACACTTGACGGGGTGTGAAGTATTCAAAATTGAGGTGGACAAAAAAGAAAGCTGACCAGACTGGGGTTCGATCCCAGGACCTTGTCGGTGTTAACGACACGTGATCACCAACTACACCATCCGGCCGACGCTGGGGCTGTAACGTAAATATCATGCGATATCAATTAAGCCTGTTTTAGTTGTGGACCGGGTCGCAAATCGATTAGCTATTCTCCGTAGGCACAGGGAAACTTCTCAGTTCGGAATCAAAGCTTAATGTTCAATTTCTGTCCTTGGCAAATAAGACAAAAAAAAAACACGCAAGTCTCACAGAGTTATAGTGATATGCCTTTGAGGGCCAATTTTGGCATTGATAAAGATTAGAATAGAAGCCTGGATTTACTAGTAAAATTACTAAACGCCTATTGCGTATGTTTCCAAATCTCAGGAAGATTAACCTTAAAATAAGCATTGAAGTAGTATATAGGATCACAGGTTAAGCGCTATTTGCACTGTTTAACAGAGCTTGGGGGCCATATGGGCTCGAAACCATGGTCGGGCCGGGTCGGGCTTGGGCTTTCATGGGCCCTGAAGATGTCTAGTTAGAGCCCTTATAACTTGCCAAGTGGCGTGAATCTTTTGACCGTACAAAGAAATCATAACATGCGCTAAGTCTAATCTACTCTAGTCGTATTCTACTGACCCTACATTCCTCAACAACTCTTGACCTCGCGGTGACATTCTCCCGAAGGTGATCTTCTTCGGGAAACCGGAGCATGGCAGTCTGGGGTAGCCAGGGTAATGCTATAGTTGGTTTGATCGGCGACAGGGTGAACGATTCGGCATAGGTATTATCTGGGATCTCTCGGTGGAGCCGTTTATTCACCAAGGGAAGAGTTTGTGAGGGCCGCAGCGCACTAGTTTTATACAGCCCAGTCATCGATAGCGTTTATATATGCGTCTGTCCTCTGGTCCTGCAGAAGCTATTGCCATATCAGGTGATATGATGCTCACGTGCTCCACGTGATCGACGCACATAGTTAGTTCCCACAGAGAGCTTAATTTACAAAAATCGTAGAGCCTTGTGTCCTGATAACACTTCACATAGGGCTGACTAGCCAGAAACCAGCCGCGTTGATCTCAAGAAAGTACTAAGCCTCTTTTGGTCAAGCCACGGCCCGTAATAGTTAAGGGTGAAGACCTCCGCACCCGGATTGGACTAAAGCGAACGAAATGGTACTCCTGATAGTGGAACCTCAAAGGATCAAAATAGGAATCGATGAACTTGTAATTGTGTGGCAATAATGCTAAGTTACTCGAGATACCAGGCCTGTAACAACCCCTCATCTGATCACCTGACCTGGTCGTCACCTTCCCGTCAAATACATGAAAACAATAGAATCTCGTCTCAGCCCATTACAAGGGGAGGATAAGACCCACCTGCGGCTTGGCGGAGTTCTCGGTCGAGCGAATGAGGTCACGAGGGCCTAGCAGTACTAGACAGTCTATCCCTCAACACACCTTCCACAGTGGTCATCCCACCGCTCTCTACATCTTTCCTCAACTTTTCGCGCTGTTCTGGGCATTTCCTTCCTATTCTTAATACCTCCTGGACTCGACTGTCAGAAGAGAAGAATCACTTTCCGTCCAACTCCTTGAATCTCAAGCGCTAGATAGACCACAATATGGAGACGAAACGCCCTAGACTCGAGGCCCCGGTTCGCTACAACCGCCTGTCCGCCCCGGATACCGATTTTGACACTTGCTTCCGTTGGCAAAGGTTCTCAATCAGGCTTGTCGACAGTAAGTTGTCTTCCGCTGTTTCACCTGCTATTTCCGAACTTGAGTCACTGATTAGAGCAATAGGAACGGATTCTCGGGAGTGGGGACTTCCTGAGTCGGCGAAAATTCGCGCTGCCCATACTCTTGGGACAACGCCAGAGAATGAGCAGTTGCTCCGGACTCATCATCCGGCATTGGGATTGCATGATGAAGTCTATGTATCCCATCCACAGTATGGCCCTGAGGTGTGGCTTGTGCGTGGTCTGTGTACGGACATTAAAGCGGGAGGGCGAGCAGTGCACCCGTTTCCTGAGGATAGAAAGGACCTCTACCCATGGGGACGAGTGTTAACTCCACGGTCGCCTTTAAAGGAGGAATACCTCTTTAAAGAATGTATCAATCCCCGAAAGCTCCTATCGTCTGAGCAGCTCGAAGGCCTTCGCGAGCTTTTCCCAGCCGCTATAGGGGCTCGAGTACTTGTGGCGGGCTTTCTGGTTATACTATTCAGATCGCCTTCGGACATTCAAGATATCTACGAAACAGACTGGATCATGGAAGTTGGCGGTTTACGGACTATCTATGATGTACCGAGGGTGAAGGTGAGTGCCAACACTATTATATCTGGTATGGAAGTCTCCGAAACCCCCGAGAGTCTCAATGGCTCTGGCTGCTTAGGTCTGAGACTCCGGATGCCCGACGGCAAAGAGGCTATAACGACTGTGACCCATGGCTTTGTAAGGAACCCTCGGCCGTCTCGTGTGGTCTCGATGTTCTCCGACTGGATCTTGTGGACTAAAAGCGCCCTTCGACGATTCCTCCGTCAACCGCCTCCATCCGATACTTGTGCACTTGGAGTGGTACGGAATTCCCAGACTAACTCTCCGATTGGCAAAGAAGTTTGGTTAGCAACAGAGAAGAAGCGGGTAAGCCCCTTATCTTTTTTCTTTCCTCACTGCGAAGGACAATAACTTATTAATTCAGATCGGCACAATCTCCTACACATTTGATAATCCCAGTCCCGCCCTTCCCTACCCCGCTGGCTATAGGCATAACCTTAGCCTGATCACAGATGATAACCTGCCTGCACTTGTTAGCCCACCTGGCTATCCAGTCGTGTCGGAATGGGCGTCCTACTCTGCTGCACTCGCCGGCTCTGACGTCTATGCAGTCCGGATGAACACCATCGTCGGAAGGTGGCTTCTTCTTCAGGGCAGTAAAGATCCAAACGCTATTCGAAATGCAACAGTCATAGGTACAGAATACCTATGGGATCGGACGGCTCGATCTCAAACTGCGTCCCTATTATGGACAACCGAACCATTTACCTCTGCGATTGGATGGTCCGGGTCCGTGCTTTGCCTTGGAAGGCCAACGGACCAGTCGAGCAAGGCCATTGTTTTTCAGAACTTCGAAGTGCAGTGCTATTCTTTTATCGATCCCATGGCCGGCAGGTCGGAAGACATGATTGTTAAAGCTGGCTTTTTGCTCCCGGAATCAGTACGGTCATCCATAATTGTTAGCAGCAAGGATCAACACCGCCAAAGGGACTCCAACACCTACCCTCGTCACAGCGGAGAACGCGGGGAGTCAGATCGTCGAGTATTTTCAGCCGTATAGGGAGGCTGTGATTCCATCGGGCTTTGGCTTACATCATTATTTCCCCGACTTCTCCTTTTTTTCTCTCTTGTGCTCTCGCTCTCTCGTCGCTTATTCTTTGGTTGGTCTAAGTCAAAATGAATTTTATATCTTTAGATTGAGCAGAAATTAGGATCCCGAAATCAAAACCTCCTTGATTGTCGTGATCGCAAGTCCACTTGCTTCAATGACGGATAGTCCCTTGGTGACATTGATACTATCGATCAGTGTTATATCACTTCTACACCAGTAGCCAGTATACGCATTTCTATAATTTCTCCGTGGCCTCGAGTGATATCACCTTGCTCTTGGTTCAACGTCATCAAATTTATCCAGATCTCGCTGATCGTCCACCCCACTCCGTGGTGGAAAGCTCTCTGCGATCCACACTCATCATTCATTGTTGCATGCCCCGATACATTCTTTCGTCTACTGCATATTAGCTATAGAACGACATTCAATTACAGATAACATTCGTCACTTAAGGCAGGAAAAAGTTGCAAAGACCCTGGCACGCGATTATATGGAGCTCTCTCATCCCGAACATTTATCAATATTATTGAACGTAGCCTCGATAACTACCTAGGCCTCAACATCATTTCCAAAAAACATGTCTGATATAAACACTCCAATCAGCGCTGCCTACAGGAATCGTTCCGTTAGCTGGAGCCCAAAGCAACATGATGATCACCATGGATACTGTTCACACTTACGATTGACGCATCCAATCCCTCTGCCAATCGAATATCTAGGGCACGTCTGGGCGGAACGTAATCATATGGGCTGGACATCCAGTGGCCCAGAGAGCGATTTATCTCCGGGTTCTCCTGAATATGGGCGACCTTTTGATCGCCAGCCAAGACATCAAACGTGTAAAGAGCCGATTTTCGAAAAACCCTCAAGGTGACCTTCTTCTCCCCCTCCACTCTCTTAGCTTCGTCAGCTGTAGAGTCTTGATTTTGCGTAATGTCTAGGATGATTTTCTTTGAAGGACCCTGCATATATATCGATGCCAGATCTTTGCTATCGTCGCCAGGTAATCGGACTTTCCAGGGCCTTATAAAGAATCCAGCCCGACGAAGTTCAAACAGCGGGAGGCCGCTCGAGTCACGGAACTCGCGCCCTGGACTGGATCCATACTTTCGTCCTGTCACTGAAAACACCGTTGAGCCTGTGAACACGTCTTTAATAGTGTATTCGGCTGGTGACTTTCTGCTAGACTTAGGGTATAGACGAAGGTCAGTCTCTTCCAAGGCAATAAGTTCCGACCGGATAGCAACAGAATCAGACAGCGGTTGAAGGGGTTGATCGCGACTGCGCGATGTCGAAGCTATGGAAGACATTCGATATAGCTATAGGTAGTGGGCTTCTGTGACACGTTTTTATGGAAGCGATGGCTTCACCCCGGTGGACGATACGTGTTTGAAAGGGCGTGAATGTGGGGGCTGTTGCTGCAGTGGGGGCCGGGCCCGTAGGAAACGGGGGAAATTTATTCTACCGACCCGAGTCTATCTTGTGCTATAACAAGCTGTTACTTCTTCCTCCAGATACATATTCATTCAGATCTTGTCTATTACCGTCAGAATGCCTCCAAATTGGCATAACCCTCGGGGGGCCTTCACCTTGCTTCTATGGTCCCTTCTCTTGGTCACTTTTCCATTTATGATCTGGAAGGCATTGTGCGTCTTCACTGGCTCCTCACACCCTATAATGGTGGTCGTTTCGGAGTCTATGGCACCAGCTTTCACGCGAGGTGACCTCATTCTCTTATGGAATCGACAATCGTGGATACGACCGGGCGAGATCCCTGTCTGCTGGTTTCCGGGAAGACCACTCCCAATGGTTCATCGGGCAATCAAATCTGTGTGGCTCGACGGTATCGAGTACGCCTCCTATGAAACAATCTAGTATGGAAATGAAGCTTATTTGTGGTCTTGACGCAGACAATTCACCTTGACAAAAGGGGACAACAATGATGGTGATGATGTGTCACTTTACCCCCCGGGCCAGTTGATGGTAGGCCGTGAGGAAGTTATTGGCCTGGTTAAAGGTTATTTGCCATATGTGGGATGGCTTTCGATAGGGTTACAGGAGAATCCTCTAGTTACAGGAACAGTAATCAGTGTTTTGTTATTGCTTGCGGCCTACTAGAATGTATAGTTGGGACAGAAATAGGATATCCAGAGACCTACGCGTGCTACTCCATGTGAAATTAGAAGAAATCTACGAAGATCGATGACATCATAAATCAAACGGAATGCGTAAAGAAAAGAATCACAGGATCGATGCGAGACCAAGAGATGTCCTGCATTAGTTTCGTTTCGTTTTATCAGTTCTGCTCGGCCCAAGAGGAGTGAAATTAGGCTGAATCAAACTTGCCACTCGCCCCTGGTGGACCCTGATTCCGGGTCATAGGGGTACCTGAGGTATGGCGTGACCCGAAGACCGAAACTTCGAAGTCTACTCGGAGTATTCCCAGCACCCGGCTCCACTGGGGCTGATACTAAAATTATTGTCGGCCCCAATAGATCAGCCCCCACGTTGCAGGGAACTTTAGAGTGGATTGTGGAGCACTAGTGCTACAGTCAGACCTTAATTTGAACCTCTTTGCTACCAAACCTCTCTAGTTTGAGGATCTTTCGGGTTTTCTATAATTTTTCTTATATAACACATAGTTAATTTGAAAAAACCTCCGAACTACATCATCCAGATTTGCTATTCGGTTATATGTCACCTAGTCTATGGGGGCCAGCGCTAGACCACTCTACTCTTAGACAGGCCACAGTAAATTTTACCGTACTCCCACTTAGGAACGCTCCAAAATAGAAAAGTGAAAACCCACACATAGCCCGCGAGTCGAAACCACAGAACTCGACGTGCCCTATTTTCTTCTGTGCTGAAGCACCGTGATAGCGGTTTTACCACTATTGTCTCGCCTGCAACGACAAAACCATTGAGTAAAAACCACTGGATATCGCCCCAGTACCCGCAGCCAGTTGCGTGCCAAGTAACTAGTGCATGTATGGCGCCCGACAGTAAAAACACAAGCATTACCACCGAAGCCTTCTCGGCACGAGACCCATATGGAATCCGAAGCACTTTGCGAGAAAACCACAGCCCCCACTTCGTGTATGGTCTGTAGACGAGGCGGTGCCAGAAAATCCCCCAGAAGCGCCGCATGTTCCACGCCTCGAGCGGGCTACCAAAGAACGGTCGCCACTCCCACGGTTCGTCCCAATGAAGGATGACTGAGAACAGAATGGCGAGTGCCGTTTGAGCATAGCATAGACCGATATAATTATCCCAGATCCAGCGAACGGAGAAGGCGGCCCTAAGCATGGTTTCAAATTTTGTCACTGAGGGTCCGAGAAGGAGCCGGCGAAAGTAGACCATCTTCGTCGGTGAAAAGTCCTCGGCCGAGATCGGTGCAAAGCTCAATATGTAGGCAGGAGTAATGACAAACTCATTGAGTACTTGAAGGACAAGTAGTTGACCGAGCCGTTTTCGAAGGAATGCGAAGCGTGACGGGCTTGTGCTCACTGGACGAGCATGAGGGACTTCCTGGTGGGTGCCAAGAAGTTGTGGATTGACGCAGATTTTGTATGCGGCGTGTATATCCCAGCCTTGGCGTTCATGACTGGGTTGTAGAGTCCACTTATCAATGTATAACACAGCCGTGTTGTGGATGACATGGGACACAATGGCATGGCCCCAGAGTTGACCGAGTCCCGGGAGAATGTCGTCAAGCTCCTTACTGGCGAGAAACCCGATAGCACCACAGAGAACAATCGGTAAGCAAAAGTACAGTCGATTCGGCTGGGATGTGTTCAGGGCAACGCAGGCGACAAAGACTGAGAAAGAGCCTGAAGTGGCGGACACGAGAGCGAGAAACATGGCCTAGTGATGGTATCGAGGAAATGTGACATGTAGGTGAGCTATACGGAGTAGTCTCTCCTGGCTAGTATGTATATGCTACCAGCGGTCTGGTTTATACCCACTTTGCCAAACATAATAACACCTGGCTAAACACATGTGACGACAAGGCGCATACAAGTTGCGCGATGTGGATCTCATAGGTGGATCAACAAAGAATTAGGGTAGCCCCCACCCGAGGGAAGACTGAAGTCGAGAGGAGTGGACTCCTGTATAAAGACGGCTCCACTGCTGGTTTTCTGCCCCCTCCCCCTCCCTTCATTACTGAGAAAAGCCTTGCCCTCAAAATCCCGGTATAACCTCCCTGAACGAGTGCAACTTGGCGCGGTAGGACGCTGACAATTTGACAGCTGAATTACTACACTGTTGACCGAAGCCACTATGTCGAAGAATCCAGTGGAAACTCCATTCGATCACTCGTCCATAGAGATGCAGTCGCCCCCAAGTTATCAGAAGCAGAACATCTTCGCGCGCATCTACTCCCGTCCTTGTAGGGAACTTTCCGCGTGGGAAATTGTGTTGCGGCTCGCCATTGCTCTTTTGGCCGGGGCGGTAATCGGGGGAATCATTGGTGTCATCATGCGTTTTGCCTAACTGCATGGGGCTTTTGTGAACAGCGTACGAAAAGTCGAGATGCTTTTTCTGAAAGGTTGCTATAGGTAGCTCATATTATCATGTGCCTGTGGCCCAGCTAGGTCACCCAACGTCATCTACATTACTATGCCTATCTACTATTATTCACCAGGTGGGAGTACCTTGAGAATGACCTGCCTCATAATCTTCTTACACAGATATAGAGAGCCTTGGATGAACACCACCATGGTCTTTGGTATCATCGAGAAAGATCACCCACTGGTATGTATAGGACTATACGTAGAGAGTACGTAGAAGATAGATGCAAGTGTGTAAGTAAGTGATATTGGGGTATGTAAAAGAGGTAGTCTATATAGGTGAGGGAAGGAGGAGGTCAGGTGATGACCTATGAACAAGGACAGCATTCATTTCTGTGTCAGTACCTATGACCTGATCGTTTGACTCTATGGATCTAAATTACCGAAGGTGAAAGAGAAAGAAGTAGATCAATAGGTACTGGCTTGCATTGGCTAACTGCAAAAAGAGGAACAAACAGAGAAAGAGAGAAACCTGTCGATCGGAGAGACTGATATTACAATCAGGAGCAGGGTGATTCAGCAGATACCCAATCTCCTACCTGTTTTGTATGGTAATCGGGTATCCTCGGAAAAGCAGCGCTGTGACACACTAAAAACCCATGAATAAATGGCATCCTGAACGGGAGCCGAGAGATAGTTCAATTGGCCCCTCACGTGTACTAGTCGATACCGATATCCGAAAGTCCGACAAAACCTTTCAAAGTCCAAGAGGTAAGACTATCTACACTCAGTAGGCCTGTTTGCCTGGATAGCTGTCACCCATAACAAATGTGGTCAACAACTCTAGTTACCCTGCCTCTGATCCAAGGCGCCTTGCAGCTGCTTCAACTGGTCCGCGGAGAGATTGTGGTATTCCAAGCTAGCGCTCCCTGTGATATCGATATCAGCGATTTTGAGCTCTATCAAATTGGATCAGGTCGAAATTATCATACCCATGGGAATTGGAGCGGTTTCGCCCGAAGTGTCATCCAAGAAAACATTTGCAAGTGTCATGCAGGCCGAGGGAACATCGTCAACACGGATGCCATTGTTATCTAAAGGGGAGAAGGTGACAGTGACTCCCTGGAGCTGGGACTTGCACTGGTCTGCGGCTGGCTGGGGAAGACCAGCCAATGGGTCGTCATCACGACGGTAGATGGGCTTCACATCGCGGTTGCCAATTTCATTGAAGGCCTTGCCAACGAAGCCTGAACCAATGCCTCCCAAAACAGCAGGGATGACGACGTTGACAGGTGCAGGACTCTGCTGGACGCAGGTCAAGAGGGCGGCGAGGGAGGCAAGAGCTGCTAGTGAGGTCTTCATTGTTGCGTGTGTGAATTGATAATGGGAATAGTTCTGATGCAAAAGAATAGGCTGAGTGGGAATTCCGTGCCAGATATATATATAGATATTTGGCTTCCATATGTAGACCCTGGGTGGGTATGAACTTAAAGGAACGGACCCTGCAGCACTCACGAGGCACAGTCTACACGTGGAGATATCGAGACCACCTTTCATTACCAATGGATTCAAAACTTGTACCACGGGCTGAAAATCCAGCAATGAGAGCAATTCGGTGATCTCATTATCCTGAGGCCTTTGGCTGCGCGATTTTTTGCATTGCTTTTTGCCCCCATCTGTATCAAACAACCCCCCACGACAATGGATTCGCCAAGGCTACTCCACAGTATCATTCGTTTTCGGGAATATCACTGAAGGATGACCATCCAGATGCTTTACTAGTAGTGTGAGGGAATTGGGGGCTAGATTCAGGGCGTGAAATCACTCGCGCGACTCAACTGGATCTTGATCCGAACAGCCCCCGAGGACAATGTGTGAGAACTACTCCACAGCAAGCCACTACCTCGCCATATCACCAAATGACGATGGTCTGAATCCTTCGAGATGGGGGCTTTCTGGGCTGGAAATTGAGCTAGACGTCACTTGCGATGAAATCAGATTCTGGCCACCACATACCCGTAGAGGGGACCAGAGACCAGCATGGTAATGTCTAGAGGTCAATGCTAGCTGACAAGATATATAAACCCTCTCCATCTGCCGTCAAAACCAATTCATCATTCAGCCTTTGACAACCATCTCTATCACATTCTACATTCCAATCTTTCGATCCGTCGAACTTCATCTCTCATCAATCATCAAGATGCACTTCTCCGCTATTGCTGCCGCCTCTATCCTCGCTGTCTTCTCCCAGGTTCAGTACGCTCCTGCTCCCTTCGCGGCGGGTCTCGGACTTGCTCTGGGTATGGAGAGTGCTGCCATTGCTACGGCTGATGGAGCCCTCGCCACTCTTGGCGGCGGTGCCATTGCCGGCGGAGTTGGCCAAATTGGCCGCCGTATGAGCAGATTTCCATTCGTTTCCAAGCGTGTGGACCTTCCCCCTGGTGTCTCTCAGGAGTCTTACCAGCAGTGCCAGGATCAGCTCAACGGCGACGGTGTTCGCGTCGAGATTTCCGGATCCACTCCCGACAGTAAGCCCTGCCAACGAGAGCTCAGTCCCATTGTGAAAAGAATACACTGACAAATAACCAGCTGTTCACGTCAAGGGTCTTCCCCCCGCATGCATGAACCTTGCCACCGTTATCACCGGTGACCCTACCCAGGAAGGAGGTCCCGTCCCAACTCCCATGGGCTCGGACAGCCTCGACTACAGCGGCGTGTCTGAGGACAACCTCCGCGAGCTTGGAAAGACCCTTCAGCAGAAGGGCGTTGCTCTCCCTAAGGCCAACTAAGCAAGGTCGACTGTTGACCGGCCTAGTGCTAGGAGGATGAGGGTTTAGAGCACTAGGGTTCTCAACTTCCCTGTCTATGGCTTGAGCTTGGCTACTTTTGTGGGGGTGATAGCTGGCCTGTCATATAATGTATGATCTCAGATGGTCAGGATATTTGCAGTCCTCTCTTTGTGTTTTTTCTTTCTGTCAATTTTGTCCACAATAAATTGTTTGCCTACCAATTAGCCATTGTACAGATGTAGGCTCCATATCAATCAATAAATTGAGTAAAATAGAGTATCATAATATTATTATTGATTGGCCCATTGGCCCGTACATCAATGTTCTCGAGAAAGAGGCTTTTGAATAGGAAAGAACGCAGCTTTGAACGCGATCCTGGAATCTCGGCAGGGTCCGCGGCCCGGGGTTGTCTTAATATGGCTTAAGTACGGCTGATCGGACGGGAAGCCCTGTCCTCCACACCCTGTGGTCGTACTAGTATGTGCTTGTTCTTGTAGTGGAAAGGAATATATCGACATTATTTAGTGATTTTATACTGAATGGTGGGTGCCGGAAGCTCAGGGTTGCGCAAGTGGAGGCGAGAAGGGTGTGCAATCGATAGAGAAGCTGGAAAACTACTTAGATTGAAATCCGCCAATCCGCCCATGATGACCATAATGCCCTTTGCCTGGTGATAAATGCTAACCAAACTGGTAGGCTGCTGGGCAATGAACTTTTCAAGCAATGCTGACCTCGACATGGGCGATATGAATTGGAATCAAGTTCTGACCCTCTACCCGAGCGTCGAAGCTTCCAACGGTGAAATCGCAGATCTTATCTACGGTTCCAACGAGGCTTTTGAGCGAGCATGGACTCTACACGCTTTAGTCAGTCCTGGATATCTAACATCTGATCTCGAACCGCAGTTAGTGGGCAAATCCGCAGAAGAACGCTCGATGACACGGGATTGAAATCAATCCGGTGCTATTGACTTTTGACGATAGTGCAGTTTTCGTCGAATTGGAGCATCTCGCTGTTTTGCGTTGTCGTTCGATCTCCAGCCTCAGTCTCGCGCACTTGCGGCGGCTTCTGATTTCGACCCGCGCAGAAGCCATGCAGAAGATCTTGAGGACGAAGAACTCGAAGTTATCTATGAAGCCGATCGTTTGACTGAGATAAAGGAACTGAAAATGGAAGGACTTCGTGACGTGTTGCCAGTGCATCATGCAAGTCTCACTCTGACGGACGAAGAACTCAGAGCCTTTTTCGTCATTCATGCTGATGATACGATGGGCTGGGATTGAGTAGTGAACTCTGAAGCCGCGCTTCTGCATCTAACAGCTTGCGAGCTCAAGCCTCTAAGTACACGATGGCTACTCGATGGTTACTTGAGAATGTCCACCACGCCAACTCCTGGAAGGCTGCTCGTGACCTTGACGGGTACACCCCGCTCGAAGCATTGCAGGAGAAATTAGAGAAAATGCGAACACGAAAGGAATATGGTCTTTTCAGGATCTCAATCATATCAGATCGCTTTGAAGGAAACCCCGACGCCGCAGTGTCCTGTCTTTCACTACTGTTCGGACGGGATGCTTTGGGGCTTAGTAAGGCATGCCTTCGATACGGGTGTACATGCAGAAACTGTGCGGGAGGATATCTATCCACCCGAATGAGGAGGTTTGATCTTTCAGGGCGAGCTTATGTACGACCTTATGCAGTGGAGAATTGATGATGGCAGCTTTTGGGTAGAAGACAACGACTACATCATCGTGCACGTCGATTCCGATGTGCGAAAGAACCTCAAAACCAACAAGTCACTACGAAGAGGCTTTGTAAATATTCTCCGAATTGCCGTGGGGTGTCTTAAGGCGAAAAGAGTCCCAAGCGCAGGAACCTCGAGTGGTGTTGTAATAACCGGAACGAGTGGCCACCAGATTCCAAGAACTATCTGTGACGCGCTGGGACGCAGATGGGAGAGCATGTTTCGCTACCTCGGCATCATAGAAAGGTTAAATATTGATATGGCTCATATTTTCCTTGAATGCTTCCTTTAACGAAGTTGGGAGCCTGTGCAGTGCTTTGTATATTGCTTCTTCGCGTGGCATGATAATTCCAAACAAGGAGGAGAGGTGTTGGAGCTGCATTTTTGCCAATAGAAACCTGATATCACGAAAAAGTTTAAGCTGTTTATAAGATCAGGCAGAAGCATACTACTTTGAACTTACATTCCATCTGCTGCTTTCATAATTCCAATTATCTTCAGACCAATATCGGGTCTTCCACGGACAGCATGAAGCTATAGGACTTGCTCGCATGTCATTCCACTCAAGAAAATTAGACTTACCATTTCCGCTACCAGGAATGGATGGGACTGTTCCCCTTGAAGACCCATTAATCTCACCTGCTGTGCCGAAAAATCCAAGAAGAAAATTGAAGAGCGGTGGATCGGTCTTGTGATTGAAAGGGAAGACTATGTACTAGTACATGACAAGTCAGCATAGTGATAGAGCGCATCGCGCGCACATGTAGGTAGATCCTTGGCGTAGCAATGGCCGTTGTAACGGCCCTCTGGACCGGTGCAAGAGGGTGAGTGGGCACATTTGAGGCTCAATACGTACACTGACTTCTGGAGAATTCGGCAAGCGGGGAAAGCTGCAGTGTGCCTTTCGAAGGGAGCGATGACCGAGCCGTAAATGCCTACCCATTGTGCCTCGTCTTCTTGTTCAAACTCGATATCGACGTCCGGGTGGTAGGCGGGTCACTAGCAGAATGGGTGAGAGGTAAGGTCCGTACGCCGACATAACATTTCAACACCAGAATCGGTTTTCCATGGACAGGGAAACCTAAGTTCACCATTAGATGTTATGGAAATAATACAGAAAATTAAATGAGCCTGGCGAAGCGTGAGAAGGAGAAGTAAAAAAAATAAATAAATAAAAAAAATAACAGGTCCTGCCCGGAATCGAACCGGGATCTAGGGAATCAGAATCCCTCGTGATAACCATTACACTACAAGACCTTGTAATATATTACTAATTTTCAAATTTTGACATGATAAGCTTGCAAGGATTTTTTGTAACACTACGGTATTGTACACTAACGCTAAGAACATGGTCTATGGGTATCAGAACTCAGCTCACGCATCCCCTAAGGCGAGTTAAGGCCTTGTCCCGGAGCGACTATCATACTTAGGAGTGACAGTCATAGGTATAAAACATATCTAGAATAGAGCTACTACGTGTATACTATCAAGGGAATAGGTAGAGTCAATGGCGGGAGTATCATAGGCCTTAACTTGTAAAATATATCACGTCACAGTCATCGGCAATTCCCACCTTCAACTTAATCTGAAGGAAAACCAAAAAATCGATTACATTCATAAAGAAAGTCATAAGAGCTTCTCATCAATATCAATCCCCCCAAGCAGACTCAATTAAGCGTGAGGACGACTACTTCCCCTTCGTATATCCGTCCCAAAGCTTCGAGAAGACACCCCCCTTGGCAGCCTGTTCATTCCAACTCGCCCGGCGACCGGCCATATCCGCACCACCTTGCTCGCGCTTCTGAGTTTGCAAGTTCGAGAAGAGGCCTGAGCCGGAACCAGCGCTGGAGCGACGGCGTTCACTGACGCTGGGCGTGGAAGGCGAATTGGAATTGGCGTTGCCGTTACCGCTCGTATTGGAGGAAGTGGAATCCTGGATTTTGTGAGCCTGCGTCTATTGAGGAAAGGTGCGGACAGGCTTACACGTCGGGCATTCATCTTGTTCATCATCTCTGGTGTCAAGGCCCAAGGGGCGCGTGCAGCGGGCCCTTTGGCGCCGCCGGCTACCCAGGCGTTGTGGTGTTCGTAGCGGTCGCCGGGGCTTCCGTGCCAGTGGCGGCGGGCGTCGTCGGTCATGTTCGATATTTCGAAGAGGAAACAGTCCGTGACGGGATAAGTGTTCGGGGTCGAACTTTCGTGGTCGTTGGTGGTTAGTGGTGGATAGGCGGATATATGGATGGAGGAGACGTGGGAGTGTAAGGTAAAAGAATATCAAATTATTTGGAAATGTAGAGTCAAGTGCAGACAGAAATGGAAATGTAGGCAGCTTGATGCTTGGGAGAGAAGTGGTTGGAGAGTCAATGACGTCATTAGAGAAGTGAGGTATGCGGGCGCGGGATCCGGGGATGACGAGGAATCGAGGGATGAAATTTGCATAGCCCATTGAAAGATGCATACGCAGCGAGAGCAAACCAGAAATAAATCAACTTACCTTCAATAGGATTTACTTTGATGACAATAGATCGTAGGAGTTCCGATGGGATACGAGAGGACAAAAAAGAGGGGAAACGGTGCTTTTAAGTGGCTTCAACCCCGGTCTCCCAGGTCGCGTGTTACGCCCCGGACTTTAGTTCTTCAATCCCTAGACCGTCCCGGCTCACTTGCAGACCATCAGCTATTGGTAGAGCAGCCAGCTCTGATTACCTGATTTACCGGGATCTACTGATTGCGTATACTCGATCCAATCTCGCTCTTTTATCCATCTAATACATTCGCCATCATTGACCGTTTGAGATGGAACCACAGTATCCAATGCAGAAAGCGTTACAGACTATGAAAGACATGAAAGATAAGTACATATCGTCTCTACTGTTGTGTGGTTGAGGTCAGAAGTACACCCCGGTTCGGGAGACGCGGCTTGACGTAACAGGGAATGCGGGGAAAGCTCGAGGGCAAGTTGGGTTATGTACTGGTACTTCTACCACCACATATTTAACATGGCGGATAAAGTATCGTTACTTTCTAAATGAATGTACGGTCGATCGCATCCCTCAAATAACACGCTTAGCATTATTGATTGATCATATCATGCCAAGAAACCTGACGATGCTACAGTAGTCTAATCTAAACAAAGCAGCAAGCAATCTACAACTTTGACCTCGTCTTCCCCGAATCCGCCGCTCGAAGAGCCTTCCAAACCTTGACACCCTCCTTCCAGCGTGCGTCTTTCGAAATCGCAACACTTCCATCAGGCTTCATGGTCCGCACTCCAAACCCACTAGTCCCCCAACCGAAATTCTTCCTCGGATACTGTACAAACTTCGCCAAGGGCCCGATGAACGCGGCGTGAGTCGACGTCTTCTCAGAATCAGTCAACACATCACCGTTACCCCAGAACCAGAGCGGGTAGTCCGATGAATGCGTGACGCCCCATTCAGCGGGCATCTTGGCATTCATGCATGAGGCCCGAAACTCAATCCGGTATCTATAGATCAGGTGGCTTGCGTCGACGCCCGCAGTGTTGGATGTGAGAGCGTAGATGAGTCCACGCTGCATCTCGTAAACTTGCATATCGGCATATATCTTGCCCCATGCATCTTGGTCCCAGTTTACGGTGCCTGCAGGTAGTTGGCCATTTGGATAATGAAGCGGGAGGACAGTGTCGACGATGTGCTCCGGGTAATCGGCAATAAGCCGGGTGCGTAGAGCAGAGAGGGTATTATCCTTGGGTGGGAACCAGGTAGCGTAGAGGTGCTGTTCATCGCCGCATTCGCCGAGCATAAGGCGGACATTCCGGGCCACGAGCTTAGCGGCAAAGTCTCCGCTGTCTAAAGATGTGAAGAGTGAAGGCAAGATGAAGCCACCATCAGTTGTGGGGCGGAATTGATGGACGTCGATCGTTTTCCCGGCGTCGAGGAGGGCTTTGGGTGGGAGGGCGCGAAGTCGGGCGAGTTTCTCGGGTCCGCTTAGAGTTTGCGGGATATTTAGTGCCTTGAGGAGCTGGTTGAACTGGTTCTGTGTTTCAGCCGGGCTCTTGGGCTGCACAGCTGGAGAATTGGAAAACATGATAGCCTGTCGGACGATGCTTTGATGATCTGGTTGACGGAGATCATAGGCTAGTTGGTGGAAGGTGGAATTCGCGCCTGCAGAGTAGCCCGAGATCGTGATATTATCCGGATTACCACCAAAGAGGTGAACGTATTCCTTCGTCCACTCCAGTGCCAACCTCTGGTCCCAGAAACCGTGGTTGCCAACCGTCTCGCCAACAGCCGCCGCATCCTGCTCCAATTCGGCGGAGTATAGGAATCCAAACAGATTCACGCGGTAGGCAGGCATGACGATCACGGCCTTGAAATCTGTCTCACCAAGAAGCGCGGCAGCATTGAACCCATTGGGTGAGCCGAATTGAAGCCAACCGCCATCTGCATGACCATCCTGGTATTAGCAATGTACCTGCAAACCCAAGGTATACCCAACAAGGAGTAACATACGAATAAAAACGAAAACGGGCCATCCTTCTTTCGGCGGTTGACCTGTTGGCACCCAAACATTATTCTGGAAGCAATCCTCATCCCAGGCGTCCGGATTTTCTGGCGCAAGACTGAGAAATCCCGGCTGCGGGCAGAGACCGGCGCCCTTATCGCATCGCCCCGGGGCTTGCGGCGTGCCGTAACTAAATGATGCGGGGAGTCGTCGGGCGCGTCGCCAGCGCTGTAAGGGTGGAAGAGCGTAGCGGACGCCGCCGAAGTAGTGGCATAGCTCCTGTGAGGCGTTGGTAGAGATCGTCTGGCCTTGGATTGCGCCGTGGGCGCCAAGAGACCTCAGAACCGGGCGCGTGGTGGTTTCCATGGCGATCTTGAGTTCCTCTTCTTCCCAGGACAGTGCAATTCCCTTGACGAGGCCGGAAAGTGCAGAGAGTGCGAGATTGACCTCGTCTTTTAGCCAAGAGTTGGAGTCGGAGGTAGGTGGTCAGTGTTGAGTCCAGTCCCACTATGGCGCAACAACCCCCAATCCCTTTGAATGGCAGAGTCGCCCTTTATCAGTGCAGCGGCCGGACTTCATTCCGCTGTACCGCGATAGCAATTGGCCGAGCAAGATAGGCGTAACCGAGATAGCAGAACACCGGGCGTGCTGGCAGGAGGTTCCCATTGGCGATCGAGACGAGCGGATCGGCAATTTGGAGTTGGGATGGCCGAATTTGCGGGGGCGGCGGCCGTCGTCCGGGGCTTCGGCGCTACTTCTGGGGCCGACTGATATACAGTCGCGTGAGAACCCAAGTACACCGCCCTGGGGGAGAGATTCTCTACGGCGCAAGTTTTATTTTGATGAAAGCTTTTATGAGCGTTCCACTCTTCATTTTCCAGAAATAAATTTTATCAGTCGAAAGGCACACCAAAGTGTTGCCACACGGCGAGAAAAACGCATCTTCCAGAGGTCCCATCCTTCACCAACTTTATATCTTCATTCTCGGTTGTCGAGATCCCAGGGCTTGACTGTAACTTTTCCTCTGGCCGAAAGAAGATTCTCGGGGTGTGGCACAAGTATGATGGACTGCACTGGAGAGCCTTGTACTCTGAGGGTGTACCTGTGCATCCATGTGGTAGTATCCCAGATCCGCAACACAGTTTCGGTGCTCAACACAAAAGTATTGCCATCCGGGGAGAACCGAATAGCGGGAAAATTCGTGCCAGGGTAATGAAGCGTTCCTGTACGTGACCCAGCAGCTATACCAAAAGACGAACTTTTCCCCGCCACCCTACGACGAGTGTTTCATCATCTGGTGTGAAAGCCATGCAAAAACAATAATCATCCTCTGTGCCAAATCCCCGAATGTGAATACCGAGATCTGCGTCCCATAATTGCACAAGGCTTGTGGCCTGCATGTCAAGCTCAAAGACTACCCCGGGGTGTCTTTTGCTGCGCTTTAGAAACACCGATTTCTGGTCGACTAGAAACAAGCCATTTGATTTTGCCTGGTTTCTTCTCGTTGAAAGAATCAGATATCAATAGAGAGATCAACTCCTGAACTCCACGCTTCCCATCTGCACACTCATCAAGAGCATAGATTACTAAGTATACAGGAGAGAGACGCACGTCGACCAGCATATTTTTGAATGTCTTAACGAGAGAGTAGAATGAATTCGGGCCATTGAACACGTCCTTATCGGCTCGCTTATGTGTGTCGGTTAGATGGGACACAAGATGAGGCTGCTGCACTAATAGTAGCCACATCAGAGGTCGCAGGCCATCAGTTGCGCTGTTGTGATTTTTATCTTCTTCTATACAGAAAAAGTAAGAGATCCCAGGTGCCAGTTTGGAGGACTGTCCAAGGATTTCAGAGATCCCTCCAATTGTCAATATTGTTTTCCCAGTCCCGGCAGATCCATGTAGCCAGAGAACTTGACAACGGGATTCATCGCTCCAATTAGTAAGTGCATGATATTATTTTTTTCGTATCGTGGATCCTTTTGTATACTTCAGGCAGGAGTCTGTCGTTCTTTCCTTGAATGGTGTTCATGTGCTCCCGAGGGCCGATTTATAGAGATGCTTCAGATATTCACCGCACCCATTGCCCATCTCCATGCCCATCTGGTACTCTGTATAGTCCTTCAGCGTCTGGTGAAGGTCTCCGAGAGTATCTTGTAGGATTTGGCCATTCTCGACAAGCTGTCCCAGGCAATTCCTAGTTTCAAATTATTATGAGAATGTGAACCTCTCTGCACAGCCGCCTCGGCATCCTTGATGCTGGCCAGCAGTTCATCCCAACCATCTAGACCCACGAGATTGACAAGGAGAGTTCAACCTTGGTTCCTTTAACTCCCTATAATAGTAGCAAACGCTTTTCATCTGGTAAAGAAGAGTGCCTTGTACCGGGCAAACATACTGTCCTCCAGTTGAGCTATGACTTCCTCAAATGACTTGGTATCTAACTTGGTGAATTGCTTGCTCAGAAGACGCTCTGACAAGCTGCAATACCACTCCATTCTCGTCGCAATGTAGGCAATGCCATCGGAATATGACTTTGTTGCTTGAGCGGGATTCAGCAAAAACTGCATGGATGTTAGAAAAATTATCGCACTTCTGCCAAAGCCCTGGCTGCAATTGATGGGATTATTACCTGTAGGCCAATGCACACACTGGGCCCTGGGAAGAGCGGCTTAAAGATTGATCTTGACCACCAGATCAATCACGCTCTTGAATCTGAGCAAGAAGTCTGAGGCATTTCCCATTGCCATGGTGACCTTTGTGCTTTTGGAGATGTAGATCTTGTCTGTGCCTGCTATCACAGCACGCAGCATAAGCTCCTCCCGCCGAATCGGATCTTTCATCTCGCCTGTAGCCTGCTCATATCCAGTCTCGGTGGTCTTGTCATCGTCGTTTGACTTGGTCGTTTCGGGAATGACTAGCATAAGCCTCGCCGAGGTCTTTTGTGCCCTGCCGCTCGCAAGCTCTTCATAAGCAGGGTTCCAAACTCTCTGTGGTATATTTCCGCTCTCTTGCTCACTGAGTGGCTCTTCTCCCTTTGGTGGTATTCTCTTATACAGACTCTCGGTTTCTTGGTCCGCATCACCTTCAGAATCGACGAGTTGATTTGATGTGAGCGGGTGCTGGCACTATCACTGTTGCCTCCACTGGTCCCACTCGGAAGACATTGTGGTTCCTTGGCGCGGTGTCGACGTGATGTTAACAACTTTGAAAGCCTATTGTGTACTAGCTCATCCACCTCAGGTGGTAGCCCACAAGTGGGTGTCCTACTCGACAGCATCTTCTCAGGTGAGCCATCTCTCATCATGGCATCGTGTTTCCCTTTCACGCTTTCTGAGTAAGCCGTGGCACCATGGCTCAGTTTCGAATATTTTCATCTCGATATTTCGAAGTGTAGAATGAGAATTTATCTATGCCTGTCTAGCAAAAAATCATAACTATTTGAAAATTCCCATTCAAGTCCAATAAAAAAAGAGAAAATCGTAAGAACCAAAGCCAAAGCCAACAGAAATCCCGAGGGAGCCAAAACGCTATTCGTTCACATCGTGCAAAAAAGGTTCACGCACGTTTATACAGAAAACAAACACAAAACAAGATCCATTTTTGAATTCACGTCCCGTACAAGACCTTATTTGCTGATCTTGCAGATCAGATCCTGGCTGTCGACGGAGTCGCCCTCCTTGACCTGGAGGCCAGAGACCTTACCGCTGTGGGGAGCAGAGATGACCATTTCCTGGGATAGTGAGTTAGCATATGTGAAACTCGAGGGGATTGGAAGGATAAATTGATACTTACCATTTTCATGGCGCTCAGCACTGCAATGGGGTCACCCTTCTTGACATCGTGGCCGTCGTGGACACGGATCTCAACAACGACACCGCTCATGGGAGCACCGACCTGGCTGCTGTCGGCAGCGTCGGCCTTGGGACGGGCAACGTTGTCAACCGAGGCCTTTTTGTCGTCGACGCTCACCTGGCGGACTTCACCGTTGACCTCGTAGAAGACCTCACGCTGACCGGTCTGCTCGGACAGAGGACCGATGGCAAGCAACTTCAGGATAAGCACCTTACCCTTCTCGAGCTCGACGTGGAACTCCTCGCCGATCTCGGGACGGGCCAGGAAGTAACGGGTCGGCAAGACCGACAGGTCACCGAACTTCTGCACAAACTTGCGGTAGTCCTCGAAGACCTTGGGGTACATGGCGTAACTGGCAACGTCGCACTCGGTAGAGGCGCCGAACTTCTCCTTGATCTCGTTCTTGATCTTGGCCAGATCCAGAGGTTCCAGGTAGAGACCGGGACGCTTCTCTAGCTTGCGGCGGTTGCGCAGGGCGTTGGATCGCAGGGGCTCAGGGAAGCCACCGAAGGGCTGACCCATCAGACCCTCGAGGAATTCGAGGACGGAACCGGGGAAGTCCAGCTCGGCGGCACGGGCAACAACGTCCTCAGCAGACAGCTTGTTGGAGACCATGAACTGGGCAAGATCACCAACGACCTTGGAGGTTGGGGTGACCTTGACGATGTCACCAAGCAGGTCATTGGCGGCCTCGTAGGCCTTCTTGGTCTCGGCCCACTGCTGACCCAGACCCAACTGGCTGGCTTGGAAGATCAGGTTGGTCAATTGACCACCGGGGATCTCGTGCTCGTAGACCTCAGGGTCGGGACCAGTCAGACCGGCCTCGAAGGGAGAGTAGAGCAGGCGAAGCTGAGCCCAGTAGGTGTCCAGAGCGCGGACCTGAGCGATGTCCAGGTTGGGGTCCTGCTCGGTGCCGGAGAGCGAGGCAAGGATGGCACCAATGCTGGGCTGGGAGGTCATACCGGACAGACTGTCGGTGGCGGCATCGACGGCGTCAGCACCGGCCTGGGCGCAAGCAATCATCGAGGCAACACCGGTACCGGCAGAATCGTGGGTGTGAACGTGGATGGGGAGGTCGGGGTAGCGCTCACGGAGAGCACCGATCAGGATGCGGGCGGCCTGGGGCTTCAGGACACCGGCCATATCCTTGATACCCAGAACGTGGGTACCCATCTTGACAATGCGGTCAGCCAGAGCAAGGTAGTACTCCAAGTTGTACTTCTTGGTGGGGTTCAGCATGTCACCACTGTAGCAGATGGTGGCCTCAACAACGCCGCCGGCCTCCTGGACGGCCTTGATACCGACCTCGAGCTGGTCGACGTCGTTAAGGGCATCGAAGACACGGAAGATGTCAACACCGTACTTCTTGGCCTGCTTGCAGAAGTGGTAGATGGCGTTGTCGGGAAGGGAAGAGTAGGCGACACCGTTGGCGCCACGAAGCAGCATCTGGAAGGGGATGTTGGGAACAGCCTTGCGAAGCTTGCGCAGACGGTCCCAGGGGTCCTCGTACAGGAAACGCATGGCAACGTCGAAAGTAGCGCCACCCCAGCACTCAAGCGAGTAGGCGTTCTGGAGAGCATGGCTGGTCTCGTGGGCAATGTTGAGCATGTCAATGGTACGCACACGGGTGGCGAGTAGAGACTGGTGGGCATCACGCCAGGTGGTGTCCATGATCAGACAGCCCTTGTTGGCACGCACGGCCTTGGCGAAAGCCGCGGGACCCTGGGAGTCCAGGATCTGCTTCCAACCCTGTTGGCAGGGGACGGAGACGTCGATGGGCTTGCCAGCGGCGTCCTTGAGGATGGGCTTGATGATCTCGCCCTTGAACTTGGGCTCGCCAATCTGACCCTTGATGCTGCTGCCGTTAACGGCGACATCACCCAGGTAGGCCAGCAGCTTCTGGGCACGGTTCTGGGAGCTGACCAGAGCGAACAGCTCGGGAGTATCGTCGATGAAGGTGGTCCAGCAGGTGCCATCAATGAAGGTGGGGTGGCTCAGCAAAGAAGCCAGGAAGGGAATGTTGGTCTTGACACCACGGATACGGAACTCAACCAGGGCACGCAGCACCTTGCGGCGGACAATCTCGTAGGTGGAACCACGGCAGGTACACTTGACCAGCATGGAGTCGTAGTGGGGCGTGATGATGGCACCGGCAAAACCGTTACCACCGTCCAGACGAACACCGTTACCACCAGCAGAGCGGTAAACCTCGATCTTACCGGTGTCGGGGGAGAAGCCCTGGGAGGGGTCCTCGGTGGTGATACGGCACTGAATGGCGAAACCGCGAGTAGAGATGCGGTCCTGGGTCAGACCCAGCTGCTCCAGGGTGGCGCCAGCGGCAATCTGTATCTGAGCAGCGACGATATCGATACCAGTGATCTCCTCAGTGATGGTGTGCTCGACCTGAATACGGGGGTTGATCTCGATGAAGTAGTAGCGGTTCTGCTGGTCGACGAGGAACTCAGCGGTACCGGCGTTGCGGTACTTGACGGATTTGGCCAGCTTAACGGCATCAGCCAGGATCTTGTCGCGGGTCTCGACAGGAAGGTCCTTGGCGGGTGCAATCTCGACGACCTTCTGGTGACGACGCTGCACGGAGCAGTCACGCTCGAACAGGTGGACGACATTGCCCTGGTTGTCACCGAGCAGCTGGACCTCAATGTGCTTGGGCTTGTCGAGGAAGCGCTCGACGAAGACCGTACCGTTGCCGAAGGCCGACTTGGCCTCGGAGGTGGCACGCTCAAAGGAGTCGCGCAGGGAGGCCTGGTCGCGGACGACACGCATACCACGGCCACCACCACCAAAGGCGGCCTTGATGATGATGGGGAAGCCATAGGTGTCGGTGAAGGCCTTGACCTCCTCGTAGCGCTCGACAGGGCCTTCCGTACCGGGAACAACCGGGACATTGCACTTGATGGCCGCACGACGGGCAGAGACCTTGTCACCAAGGGCATCGATGGTGTCGGGGGTCGGGCCCACGAAAACGATACCGGCCTTCTCGACATTTCGGGCAAATTCGGCGTTCTCCGAAAGGAAGCCGTAGCCGGGGTGAATCAGGTGCACGCCGTGCTCTTTGGCGATCTTGATGATCTCATCGCCGGCCAAATAAGCGCCGACGGGAGTATATTGACCGCGCTTACCGATCATGTAAGCTTCATCGGCCTTTTGCCGGTGCATACCCAGACGGTCCTCGTGGGAGAAGACGGCGACAGTCTGCAAGGACAGCTCGTGGGCTGTACGGAAGATACGGATGGGGATTTCACCACGGTTGGCGACCAGGATCTTCTGGAAGTGCATGATGGTCGAGTTGGCACGCAGGCGTCGGTGAACCGAGTCCTCGTGGTGTGGCAGGTGGTCCTCGACGAACTCGACCGCATCCTCGAGCGGGGCAGACATGATGGCGGCGGGAGAGAGGTAGGGTTTAGATTACAAGGCTGTGATTCCGAGTCAATTGGTTTGTCCGCGGTGCTAAGCACCACCGACGCTTCCCAATTGGGGGCTCAATTGGGACGACACCACGCCGGCGACGAGGGAGCAGTTTGGCGGGGTGACTCACGATAGTAGAAGCTAGCTCGAAGCTCCGGATAGAACTCCAGGCCGGTTTCGGCAGAACGCAGCACAAGCTCGCACTGGGTAAGTCAGAAAACCGGCTCAGTCAGGGGAATTGCGCAGCAATGGGGAGGTGGAGGGAGATGGTAAGAAAAGTGGGCAGATGGGCTGAGGGAGGGCAGTTGATAAAGAGAGGAGGGGGGAAAATCACGGGCGATCTGCGTCCGGGGGCGTGACTGCCAGCATGAGGTAACGGGTACAGTCACGGGCTAACCTCACCCCAGGGCGGCAACTTCTCCTCCCAACCTCACTTACCTCCACAGTTCACCGGTACACCGACGCAATCCACGGATTGATCACCGGTCAGCAATTTGGTCCTGAAATTTTTGTTTTTCTTTTTTATCTTGGCCTCGCCGGGCGGGTCATGTTATTTATGCTATGACTACATCCCTTTCGAACTGCGTTCCGCGAGGTCGGCGGCTCCTCCGATGATCTCATCGACCCGGCGCGATTCTCGCCTTCAGATCGGGTGGATTAGGTACTGAACCTTGGGGATAAGATAATGAAAATTTCCTACCTCGGGTCCTCGGGCCCATGCCAACCACGTAGCTGTGCAGTGCAGCCTTCTAGACTGCCACATCCACACCACCTTTTCCCCATCGTCCACCAGGTGCGGATATCGACGGGAAACCTGGAGACTCCGGGGGAGACTCGGAGAACTCTCGTCACGGTGTTTGAACCGCAATCCCCACCAATCATACCGGGTGAATTCCCACGATCCTCTCCCCTCACAGGGTCCTAGGGAATTCCTAGGGATCTCCGAACTCCCCCTCGTTCCTGCAACTTCTCCCCCCCCTTCACCTCGGGGAAAGTCACTCCGGAAAGCCAGCCGGATCCCTATTTTTTCCCCTTCCTTTTTCTCGTCGCGTCCCCCTGTCTGGGTTTTCTTGCCCCGTCGAGACTGCTGGTCCACCGTCCCGCACCCGGGGTCATGCGTGCTCGTCCCTAGAGGAAAGGATCTCCTGCCACGCTCCGAGGGTGGCCAGCCTCTGAACCCGTCCTGGATCGGGTCCCTCGGTGTATCACTCCGACGAGGACCGCGCTGGCCCAACCCACCTTGCTTCGCCCGCTTTCCTTCCCTTTTGCCTTTCCCTCGCAACCCCCCTTGTCACTGTGGTGATCTCCCGCACGGTATGACAGGTACCACCTCTATCTCACCAAACGTAGTCAGCGGTGCAGGGCCAAGCAGGCCAAGCGCTGGGCGGAGCGGTATGACGAGCGGGTCAGATTGAATAGTTTCGATCTGCTACGTAGCTAATTCTGTAACGGCCGCAGCCCCGGTATGTCTGAGGATGCAACAATAATGCATAGCCTAAGGCCATAGTAGGTTTCGGGGCTTGTCAGAGATTTAAGAGATTCTGGAGCGAACCATTGCGTTCCAATTCCAGACCATGGTCTGCACATGTGCAAACTCAACTACGCAGTCCACCGGGATGCCACCCGATAAGCCTCCCCCCCACCCCAAAATACAACATTTACCTTCTCTTTCCCGTACCCTAAGCTGCGCTGGTACTCCGCATCCCTCCACTAGTAGTAGTATACAAGATCCCAGTACATCTCCCGCCACAAAGGTCCCGCTCAATCATCTCGTCTATGCTTATCGCAGCCCACAACGTCATGCACCACGTCAGTACTGAGAAGCCCCGACAGCTGCCAGCGTCTAAAAGACGCAAGGCACCCCAAACGGAAAAATTCACTACCACAATCCTCATCCACAATTCATCCGTGGCGCAAACAACGCATTCCTGGAGAACTAGCACCATGTAGTCGAATCGGCTACGTCTTTAGACAGAGTGGGAGCTTCTCCACGGGGTAAATCATTCCCCGGAAAGCCATTCTTCACAAACTGCATCCTTCCAGCCGGAGGACAGCGACTCGGCAGGGACTTCTCGAAAAGAATACCCTGCACACCTACCTCCTAAGCAATTGCACAATCTGGCGGAAAACTCGCCCCAGGGTGCGCTGAGCTCCGGCGGGCAATCGATTCCGCCGGAGGATGCCCCATTGCCAATGCGAATCCCAACGCCAATGGCAAGACATTCTGGGCACACGGCCTCGAGGATTTCCCAAGGGGTCTCTACGTGTCTCGAGGAGCCCCGCCAAGACAGGTGGAATCTATCCAATTGCCACCGTAGATGGCGATGAATGTCGAGTGGGACTCCGTTTGGCTGGGCGGGGCCGCAATCATGCGTCGTGCGGCCTACTTTCGGTCAATCAAATACTCGCCTGAATAGTGCACACCGCGCTGAATAGAGCCACGGTGTGCACATCACTATGCTGGGCAGGCATAGCCTTGACAGATCTGCAATCGGTGGGAACTTGCTCCTTGCTCGAGCTATTTGTACGGGGTCGCTATAGCTGAGAATGATGGCCCTTGGCACGCTTGGCGCGACCCGGTTATCTGCAGACGACAGCGATCATGGGAGATGCGGATGGAGGCAACACTTGGCAGTCTCAAAAATGAGCTGCAGATTATCCGGGCAGGGCGGGTGCCATATCAGGTCCACTGTGGTTTGGCTACGAACTGCGGTAAGTACTTTAAAGATCGTTGTGCTTTTTAAAGATAGTAGAGCAGATACCCTTAGGAATGCAATTACGGAATGGACCAACCCTCGGCTCGGTCTAGATTAATACAGAAAACAACTTGGAATTTGAGAACGCAGCCTATCAAAATACACTGGGTAAAGTTAGATGAAAAAGGAGAAAGCCTTTTGGAAGAGAAAGAGAAAAAAGAATTAACAGGCCGCCGTGAAATCGAATCGCCCCCCGATGGCACATCCAGCAGCCCTCGGCTCTCATCCATCCCCTGTTCTTCATGTCTTTTCCTCGCACCACGAGGGTCATCACTTCGCTTTATGTTACACATGACAAAAAAAAGAAGAAAAAAATAATCAAGGCGAGAAATGGAGACGTGTAGAAATCTCACGGTCAAAGGGACTAGAACGCGCGGTACCCGGTGGCTTGCGGGGTGACCCCGTTTGAACCCCAGGACGGAGTGGCGGGCGCAGGACCGCCGGGACCCTGGGTCAGCATGAGCCGGGAGCCGCCCAGAATCGGGGTGTTGTCTTGCTCGGTCTGCTGCGAGGTCTCGCGGGATTTGCGCTCTTCGTTGTCCTTCTTCAGCGTCTCGATCGCCCGAGTCTGCTCGCAAAGGAAGTTGATCATGAACGGCATAGTGAAGTCGTGCAGGCCCTTGCGCCACGAGATCTCCATGATCACGTCGGGACGGATCAGGTCGTAGCAGGCATACAGCATACCAACGTAGCACTCGCGACTTCCGATATCAACAAACTGCAGAGGGGAAGATGGTTAGCTTAGTACATAAATAGCATGGTAAGGGCAAGGACTTACGTAGCGGAGGAGCTCCTCAACAATTTCGGACTTGGCCGAGATAGCGGCGGTCTCAATGGCGTCCTTGTAGAGCCTGTCTTGCTTCGAAAGAGCAATAGACTTCTCCCAGCGCTTGTTATTACGGTAGATGCTGGCAGCGATCTGGCGGAAGAAAATCAGGTCGTGCTTCTCCAGGCGCGCGGCAAGATCCACGGCATCGAAGTTGTCGTAGTTGTCCACAGAGTCACGCAGGACCTTATAGTCCTCCTCTTCGATCAACAGCTCGTTGATTGCGTCGTTGACGGCACGCTTGTTCTGGGTCTGAACATTGAGCAGGAAGGGTTTGATCAAGGGGATGTTGTCCGAGCTCTTGAAAATGCGAACAACACGATTGACATCGATACGGGGAGTCAAGGCCTGCAGCAGATCGGTGATGAGAAGAGGCTGCTCCTGCAGGTAGAAGGTCAAGGCACGGTAGTAGATCTCCAGGTTGGCAACCTTGACGATGATGTCCTTGAAAGAGTGGTGCTCCCAAGCATCAGCCGCACGCTCCATCATGGCAAGAGCGGCGTTATCAAACTCGTCGTAGTGGCAGTACAAGAAGACCAGCTCCGGCCACAGATTGGCCTCCTCGCAGGCACGGATCATCTTGGGAGTGTTCAGGCGGGCATAGAAGAGCTTCAGATGCTCCATGACACGGTCGGGGTGGTACTTGGATAAGGCAATGCCAAGCTCAGTGAACATACCCATGTGAGCCCGCTCCAAGCCGAGACCGGCCTCGAGAACGGAGATGAGCTCATCGAAGTAGCCGTTGCGCTCGTACTGGCGGACCAGAGCCTGCAACTCCTCGGCGTGGACTATCAGGTTAAGTCCGCAGATCTGGGCTAGGCGGAATTCCTTCTTGTCAACGCAGGCCTCGTTGACCTGCTTCCAGACCTTGATGCTGTTGGCCTTGCGGGCACACTCGACAGCGGGCTGGTACTCTTCCAGATGGACCAAGGTGGTGGCCAGCTTAGCCCAGTTCGAGATGCTAGTGAAGAAGATCTTGGCAGCCTGGTGGTAACCCTCCTCATAGGCCTTGTCACCAGAGGCTTCGATGTCGGCCACATTGGTGGAGCGCAGGAAGTCCTCGAGCTCAGCGAGCTGGTCGAGGCGGGCGAAGCAGAAAGCGAGACCAGTGTCGATAGCCGGTTCCCGTAGGGTCTTGCGGGCCATGCGAAGGAACTTGACAAGGTCCTCATCCTTGCCAGCGTGGGTAGCAGTCTCGATAACCTCGTTGTAGTTGGACGGGTCACCAGCGCGGATGTAAGACTCGATAGAATCCGAAACGCGGAGGCCGTCCAGCTGGGCCTTGGCAACCTTGCTCCAGACGTCGGGCAGCTCAACCCGCTCAGCGAACTCCTGGGCACGGTCAATGCTGACAATATTTTCAACAAGGACGTTGGCGGCGGCAAGGTAGTTGTTGACCTTCTTGTAGATCTCGAAAGCCTCCTCGTACAGACCAACGCTAATACACATCTCAGCGATCTCATCGGCAGAGAACTCGTTGAGCTGGTGGATGTAGTCCATCAGGCGGCTCTTGTCGGCCTTGGCGGCAGTCAGCATCAGCAGGTTCTGCAAGCTGGCATTGTCGCTGAACGGCGAGGGCTCGAGAATGATCTTCTCGAGAAGCTCAATCAGCTCGCCAGGGAGATCGGCGTCAAGGAAGCACTTGACGGCCACAGAAACCTTATCGGGCTCGGTCGACTCGGGAACAGCAGTGGCAACGACCTGGTCAACGAGCGAGCGACGGTGAACGTTGTTTTCGCTGAGTACGAAAGTCCAAACCTCGGCGTCGGCGCGCTCGACAAGGTAACGGGCCTGGGCACGGTACATGGCGTTCTCATTGGTGATGGAAATGAGCTCCAAGTCGTTCTGACCCTTGCGGTAGGCGATATAGGCCAGGTTGGGATCACGCTTCTCGCAGTACTTGCCGACAATAAGGGTATCGTACATATCGTTCTCCTTGAGGAACTTCTCAGGATCGTTGTTGCTGTCAATGTAGATCTTCGCGAGAGCATTGTAGACCGCCTGCTGTTGGTTGCCAGTGGCAAGGGTGGCCTCAAGGAAGGGAAGGAGTAGCTTGAGACGGTTGCGGCTCTCGACTTCCTGGACAAGCTCGTCGATGGGGATAACGGAGGGATCCACAGTGGAGAGCAGGTTCTTGATGATGCTCTCTTCACAGTCAACATCCAGCAAGCCACCAACAACGGCAGGGGCACGAGAGGGGTTGACGCGCTGGACATAAACCTCGATTGACTTGAACTGCTGGTTCTGGTAGAGGTAGAGAACAAGGTCATGGATGAAGTTGAAGCGGTCGCAAACGATGATCAGAGGCAGTTGCTCGGTCAAGTGAGCCTCCTTCAGGAAGTTCTTAACCTTCTCAGCATTGTAGTAGTTGCTCTCACGGCAAATACGCTCGACCTCAGTAAGCTGGCCCATGGCAGTCGCAGCCTCGATGTACTTGAAGTGCACCTCGGGGTCCTCGCTCAGGTTGACAATGCTGCCGAGGTAGTAGTACAGACCCTCAGCAGTGCGGTACTTCTCGAGAAGGTCGATCAGGCGGTTGGCGCCCAGAAGGTCGGAGAACTTGGTAGCGATCTGAACCACAGCCTGGAGGTTCTGGCGAATGTTCGACTCCAGCATAGTGTCCATACAATCAAGGGTCTGCTCGACAGACAGACGGCCAAAGTAGTTCATCAACCATTCGGGGCTGAGCTTGTCGGTACGGACAATGTTGCGCTTGATCACAGTGGGGTCGTCGGAGTTTTCCAGAGCGCGCTGGATGAGACCAGCATTCTCGCAAAGCTGCGAGATACGAGCACGGTCGTAGTTTGTGAAGATCTCGTTGCCCAGGATAGCGTCCGCGACCTGAGGTGCATTGACGAGGTTCATCTCCAGAAGGCGAGTTTGGAGGTTGCCGTGCTCGGGCTTGTTGTCCTTCAGAGCATCGAGAAGGAAAGAGGTGGCCTGCTGGATCATGTTCTGGGACTGGAATACGTCCACAACCCGGTCGAGATCAACAAGGGTACCGCCCTCCTCGTTGGCGAGCTGTGTGGCAAACTCAGCGCCCTTCTCGGGGTTGACGCGCACAATGTGCTGCAGGAGCTGTGTGTAGTCAGGCTGGTAGTTGGCCTGCTTGGAGTAAGCAAGAATTTTGTCGAATTGACCAGTCTCAGCGAAACCGGCAACAACCTTGTGGGGAATGTTGGCCTGGAGGTAAACGCTCAGAGCGAGAGGCATATCGTAGGGGCGGATAATGTCTCCAAGCTCCTCGGAGCACTCGAGCTTGTTCTCGCGCATCCACTTCTCCAACAGGTGCTTGCGGTTCTGCTGCAGAACGGGACGCACAAGCTCCACACTCTCGTAACGGTTGAGTGAGCCCTTGTCCAGAAGCATACCAAAGTACTGCAGGATGACGGACATCTGACCCTCTTGAGGAGCGTTCTTGAAACGGTTGATGGTTTCGGGAGTACGAAGGAAGCCGCGGGGAGAATTGGCCGCAACCTTGGCGGCCTCGGCGAACTGGTTTGTGGAGATAAGCTGATCAAACTGCTGCTGGTACAGGTGATCGGCACCGGGGAGACCGGCTCGCGAAGCAAGCTTCACGGCGAGAGAAGACATAGCAGGGTTGTTCATGAGGTACTCGATAATGGTGCCCTCATCGACGCTGACAGACAGAACTTGCCCCTTGCGGTTGACACCAACCAGGCCCTGGCCATCGTTATCCGAAGCTGTGGTGAAGATGGTTTCGCTAGAAATGCGGTTCATGAAGATGCAGGTTCCAGTCTCGAGATCGTAGAGGTGGATAAAACCGTACTTAGTCACCAGGTAAACCACGTCGTACTTCGAGGACACCTGCATGGCGACGGGGAAGTCATTGACCGCCTCCTGGGGGAAGTAAACCTCAACAGCCTTCTTCTGGAAGCGCGGGTTGGGTTCCTGGTGGTCGATCTCGGCGATCTGCAGCTTGGCGCCAGTCTGAGTGCGCACAGCGAATGTGAAAAGGTGGTGGGGCAAGGGAGAGCCCTCGACATTGATGTCGGCGAAGGCAGCGGCGTGACCTTCGATGAATTGCGAAATGCCGCGCTCCTTGGAATAAAGCTGCATAGATCCGACAACGCGACCTTGCTGTTGGCTGATACCAACCAGAACCATCCATTTCTCCTCGGAGTTCACGCGGTAGTTGATAATTTGGCATCCCTAAATAGCACGCAAGCAAAGTCAGTAATGTATTTAAAGGCCAGTGGAGAACAACAAGATAGGAAATACACGTACCGAGAGGTTAGGAAGACGGTCAAATATCTTCACAGGGTTCTGCTGGGAGGCGTCGTAAACGTCCCAGTGATAGACCGCGGTATCGGTGACCAGACCCAGAGAGTTCTCACTGAACCACTTCCAGTAAACAATGTCCTCGTTCATGACGGCCGACTTGAGCTTTGATTTCGCGCCAAGGTCGAAGATCTGAATTGTGCGGCCTTGGGCCCGGAGCGCGATGATATTCTTGTTCCAGTGCATGATCGCACTGTCCGCGTTGATCGGCCGACGCATGACTTCATTGTTGTTCTTCAGGTCGACGATGATGACTTGAGGCTTTTCGTCCTCGTCCAGCTTTTGGCGAACACAGACATAGTGGTCTGATTCCAGGGTCTATTATGCGAATGGATTTGTTAGCTGCGTTTCACTGGCGGTGGAGGTTTGCAAGATGCAGGGAGTGACTCACGCATGAGGTGAAGCCAATGGACTGCGGCTGTAGATGAATGTAAAGTTAGCAAACTTGTTTCGTGTTAGATGGATACGTGTTGGTCGCGACCGGCGATTCCGCCTCACGGAAGCTCATCGCGAAACCAACACGGGGCTGAAATAAAGGAATCCGAGACGTACCGCGATTCCGACATTGGTCAACTGTTGTAAAAGAGAGAGTTAGCTCAGAGGAATCCGAAGTGCCCGATACACAGAGAGAGAGGGGGAGCGACGTACATTGACCAGTTCTGTAAACTTGATGGGTAGCGGTGCCATATTTACTTAGGCCGCCGGACGACCTGAACCGCCCAAGTAAACGCCGCGCAAGGAAAAAAGATCAATCGAAGAGGTAATGAATGGAGAAGCAAGGGTGGTAAAAGAAAGGAGGATGGGGAGAGAGAGTGAGAAGGAGGGGTGGAATGGGGGAATCTGAAGAAGCGGAAGTGACCTCAGGAGGCCGCTGTTGTCGTTGCTGAGGTGTCGCTTATGGGGGGACCACGTGACCCAGGGGCACGGCAGCTGGAGAGCGGTGAGTCGTGGCCACTGCGTCATTCAGACCCTGCGGCTATAAATAGCGGATATCTCTCCCCACTGTGATATTTTCCGGGGTTTGACACCAGATTGCTGCGTTGCACAAAGATATATGGATCAACGGAACAGAAGAACAGAACCCTCATTACAACAATGGAAGCTCTCAAGAGACGGGAGGAGCCCCTTTTTTGAGTTCAATGATCGCCTAGATTCTGTCTAACCACTCCATTTACAATCAAGATATCTTTGTTCAAATTGAATCTGCGCTACGCTGCAGTCTACCGTCGTTCTTCATTAGCAACCTCTGCGATTATGTTGATAGTTCAAGCAAGCTACCAAAGCGAGCACATGGAATCCACCACCCAGAACGGCAAACGTGTGAAATAGCTTTTGCGAATGACCGATAATATCAAACATCCCTGGTTTAAATATCTCTGAAAGACGGCTCACGAAAAGTCCAACGCCGACCAGCAAAGAGACCCCTTCCGCAAGGAACCAGCCAGCTCCAAGCTCGGTGTACACGCGGCCCCAGGCAAGCCGTTCAACCTATGGCAAAGAAGTAACGTGGCTGAGATCCCTAAAAGCGTGAACGTAATGCCTCGCAAATTCCGTATTTTGTTCCCACCGCCACGAGTATCGAAAAGTGTAGGTGTAGCAGCAAGAGCTCCCGCAATGTGTAGTACCAAGTAGAATCTTTGCATCCTGGGCTGACAATATAGAGCATAGTATGTCCTGGAAGTTCCAGCGATGATGCAGATACAGAATATCCATTCGGCCCCAACAGTTGTGAACGCTATAAGAATGACTCCTCGGTGTATGGAAGGTAGCGCTCGAACCAAAACAGGTGGCTACTGAGACAACAAACGTTCCAAAGGCCAACATATCCCCGTTATAAGCTGCAGGTCTTTCGATGCTAGGGAGTATCTGCGGAGCGTGAATTCGGCAGCAATGAAGATGCTTGACCCAACAAGATGGGTCCAGATATCCAGAGTCTCCATGTGCCAGCAGCACCAAAGGCGAAACAACTGGCAATGCGAGTATGTGGGCATCGGATGGCCCTCCACGATGTAGTCGTTGTCGCGCAGCCAATTCGGGATCTTGAAATTGTTAGCAATCACGGGCCACCAGCCATGGGGGCGTATTTTTTCGGCTGTCTTGAGGGGACCATTTCTGGCTGAGGCGGGCTCTGTTGACGGAGATGACGATGGCGACGACGAGAACGAGGTCGCATCTTGAATCATTTCTGCAGACCGATTGCGCCAGAGGAAGAAAGCAGCGGTTTGGGCGATTCGGGTATCTTTCGCAAGCCTTGGAGAGTAAGATTTCGGGGCATCGTTCGCTGCGCGCCGCACCTGGCAGGGTTCAAATTGCTTTAACCGCGCGCGAGCACACTGCAGGCCCCACTGGTAGCACGCCCCCTTATACCACCTCAGTTGTATAAGAAATTTTACTACCCGTATTCAATTCAACATTCATTCCAGAATCCGAACAAGTCAATCACTCATTTTTCCGCAACGGCATGGGTGCGACTTTCTATGAAGAGAACGGAATTACTGTTCACAAGTGTACAGTGGTCTGCGCAAGCGGTAGCGATCATCTCGATAATGTATATATCCTAGTGCGAGTGTACTTCGAATTGGTTTTGTGGAGTATTTCCCGTACTTTCTACGTGCTAATTTCAAAAATTCGACAGCCACCTATCTATTCTATTGCTTTAATCGAATCAATCCATTGTGTATACTCACGGATATTCGAACAAAGATGGTGGGTGCCATGTGATTATTTGCGTTCGTTCACATCACGTGATATATGGACTGACAGCAAGAGACGTTTGTTGACATTGGCATGCGCCAGCACGATGCCCCCATGCCAATCGTGCCCTGGGGCAAGAATATGCAAGAAGACAGATATATCACCACCCGAAGCAAAAAGCTAGTCTAGAATTGACTAGTCCGGATGCATTGTAAGCGCCGTCATAGGCTCGACCCTCTGCGGAAAGACTACAAGACTCCTATCCATGGATCATACCGAGGGCACCTCACTATAAGCAAGACGCTCAGACTATAGCCACTGCAAGCCCATCCAACTCTTGTGTCCTACAAGACTCAAGCCCGTTCGCACCACCGGACAGCCAGGTCGAAAAAAGCAAAAACAAAGCCAGCGACGTGGCGAATACAAGATGTGACCCAAGAAGTGTGGCGCTCCCTTTAGCTGCGGTTTCTATGTCCTAGTTCGCCCCCCGGTTCAATTACCCTAATCGTCATGTTTTAAACAGAGCCGCCGGCGTATATTCGCTAAAAGTTCGAATTCTTCCGTATGTCGGCACTTGCTCCATTGGTCCTTTAGCACCGAGCGATCCCGATGCCGTCCAACGGGCTGCGCTGAACGTGTAAGCCAAGGCCGAAAGGATCTCGGAGCCATAGTCTCCCCACGCTAAGTCGGCATGTTAAGCTTGGAACGCGGGATGCGTCTCGCATGGCGGACCTCCATTGGAGTGAGCACGGATGGCCGAGACCCTTGGCGACATCTTGGCCGGTCGGCCGAGTGAACTCTCCCCGCGTTGCTGCACGGCTCAAGTCTGGGGTTGGGAAGCCGGCTGCTCTGATCACGAAGAAGATGCGGAAGCTAGATGCGGGGCTGGGGTACATCTGGGGTGCAGCTGTGACTGTCTGGGGGCCAACTGGAGGTTATAAAAAGGCAGGGGTGTTCTCAGTGAAGCTCCGGAAGAGAAAGAAAGAGTATACGAGGCTTTCGTCTTTTTACCTGACATCAAAAGCCTTACCAATTGGTCTCCATCCTACGATCATGGATTCCAACGAAATTGCAGAGCCTATTGCAAAGGGTATCATCCCTACTGCCCGCCAAGCTTTTAAAGATTTGTTTATTTGGAAGCAGCGCGTGGAGGTGACAAATGAATATGGCGAGTCTCACGCAGAATGGCAAGCCCCGGAGCCTATCCGCAATCCGGTCAGTCTGTTGATGCAGCTTTCGGCTCGAGATTGGCTTTTCTTCTTCATGGGATTTTCGGCCTGGACTGCCGATGCGTTTGATTTCCATGCTTTGTCGATCCAGCAACAGAAGCTGTCGGACTACTATGGTCGATCAAAGACGGAGATATCAACTGCCATCACCCTGACGCTCTTGCTGCGAAGTGTGGGTGCCGCATTCTTTGGACTGGCTGGAGACAAGTATGGTCGCAAATGGCCCATGGTCCTCAACATGGTCATTCTTGGTGTGCTCCAGGTCGCGACGATCTACAGTTACACCTTCCAACAGTTCCTGGCTGTACGGAGTCTTTTTGGTCTGTTCATGGGTGGTGTTTACGGAAACGCCATTGCGATGGCCCTAGAGCATTGTCCGTAAGTAAGATCTTTTCGTCTTCAAGAACATCGAACTAACCCTGGCCAACAGTGTGAATGCGAGAGGTCTCATGTCGGGTATCCTTCAACAAGGATACTCTTTTGGATATGTGCTTGCGGCATGTGCCAACTTGGGTGTCGGAGGTGAAACAGAAAGCTGGAAGGTCGTATTCTGGGCTGCAGGTAAGCCAAGCGCTTCTAAAATGAAGGCATCGCAGTGTCTAATCATCTCGCACAATTTAGCGGGCCTTTCTATCGGAGTGGGTCTTCTTCGAATCCTATTCCCAGAATCCAAGCAATTCCTCGAGGCCAAGAAGGCAGGCAAGCGAACGATGACAGCGGCAGAATTTTCGAGAGAAACTCGGAGCATGCTGGCCAAGCAGTGGAAGCTGTGTGTCTATTGTGTCATTTTGATGACCTGGGTAAATTATTCTGAACCAACTGGGTAGACTGCAAGCTAACGAAACATGTGGTTAGTTCAACTACTACTCCCACACCTCCCAAGACTCGTATACCACCTTCATGCTCACCGAGAAGGAGCTCAATAACGCTGGCGCGTCGAGAGCATCCATCCTGATGAAAACCGGAGCTTGTGTTGGCGGAACAATAATCGGATACCTTTCACAATTCGTTGGTCGGCGTCGCGCTATGATTGTTTCTGCTCTGATGTCCGCAATTCTGATCCCTGCATGGATCATGCCTCACGGCGAGCGATCATTGAGCGCATCAGGATTCTTCATGCAATTTTTCGTTCAGGGTGCATGGGGTGTGATCCCGATCCACCTGAACGAACTGTCGCCCCCAGAGTTCCGATCGACATTCCCGGGCCTGACATACCAGATCGGAAACATGATCAGCTCTCCCTCTGCACAGATCGTCAACGCTGTCGCAGAAAAGACTTGGATTACGGCAGCATCTGGTCACAAGGTCTCTGCCTATGGACCTGTCATGGGTGTTGCGACTGCGATCATCGCTACTGGCATTATGGTCACCGCTGCCTTTGGCCCTGAGAAACGTGGTCGCCGATTTGAAACTGGTATGGCTGGTGTTGATGAGGTTGCTTCGACTAAAGCTGCGGACCTGGTGGCTGGAGATCATGAGCAGAAGGGAAAGGAGGAGAAAATAGAAATGGTCGATCAGAAGGCTTGATTGGGCTTGTTTTGTATTGACTAGTAAGGTGGAAGCTTGATGGCGGGTAGATAGCCTAATCTGTCTTTCGCTCGTATATACTCAACATGTCTGTGCCTTTACCAGCATTATACGACCGTTCGGGTCTCACATAGAGTACTCTGCAGAAATTTCCATCAGACCGGATAGAGTGCGCTTCTTTTCCATCATCTCCTACGTCGTTCGTGATGATACCATCTCCGCCTTCCGAAAGCAAATTCCAGTGAACTCCCTTTAGGCCCCAAGGCGGCCCCGGAAGCTTGGGGTCTTTGTATAGTGGAAATTCAAGGCAAAGAAGGAGACCACCTGGCTTTAAGACTCGAGCCATACTCGCGGCCCAATTCTTTCGTTGCTCTGGATGTAACGCGCATAGGAACTATGACGTAGAATTAGTAACATCCTCTTGTGTTGCGTAGGCGGTCAATTCACTCACGGTATAGTCGTAGGCAACATCAAACTTGGTATACTGGTCAACATCACCTTTAAAATTCCAATTGGAAGAGAAAAAATCTCCCTTTAGGAAAGTTACGGAGCCGGGGGAGCGAGCTTGATTCGATTTGCTTCCGAAATGGTATTCAGAAGGCTTTTTGAGTTCCTTTGACGCATAAGATTCGGCCTCCTTGACAGCCGTTCCCGAAATCTCGAGGCCGTATGCATCGAAGCCGTGTAATGCGAGCATAACGACATCATATCCGCGGCCGCAGCCCTACCAGATCAGCGGTTAGCATCCAGGGTACTCGGTGACCGCGTTTCGCGGTGCTTGTTATCTGGAAGGCTCGGATACTAACTGGGACAAATGCCTTTTTCCGGTGTCCCTCCACGGTGAACGGGTTAAGGAGCTGGGTTTCTTGCTCGACAATATCGACTAGTGCTGGCGATGCCTTTCCCCGATCCCAAAGATCGCTTTCGCCAGAATCCCATAAACTCGACCACCCTGATCCATGATCATTGATAGGACTGCTTGAGGTCAGTTTGGCTTTTTTGCACGGTTCGAGGGCCCATTATCTAGTGCTCATCTGGGGTTGCTCGGAACGGCGGATGGGATTGGCGTACCGATTGAGGAAAGTACTGAGTAGACGGCCTCCCATGCTCGGCCGAGATGGATTTGAACTGGACATCCCGAAAAGTACTGAGCTTTCCCTATATTTGTGCTTGAGGCTTGAGATTAGATGAGGAAGTGATAGACAAGGTTTCTTAAGACCGGGAGTGCTGTCATGGAAGCGATCACGTGACAATATTATGAGGTCTCCAGTTCATGTCTCACATTTCCTTCGTAGAAGATGAGAGAATTTGAAAGAGAAGTAGAGAAGATATCCAGTTGTTGTTGTCATCCTTCGAGCCAACAGTTTGTGTCTCTTTTCATGGTAGTCGGCTGGGCGGCTTCTCAGTTAGGTTATTCTCAAGGCGCGCTTACCCCAAATTCCTCTCACCGCGTTCAAAACGCGCTTTTCGGACTAGAATGTGTTGAAGATAGGTGAGCGAAGACGACCGCGTTGATGGATTTTCTTTTTCTGATGACTTAAAGCGTCAATAGAGCGAACAGAGAATAAGCGGGAAAGGACAGGAGAAACGGACTACGTCATGTGATCATAATTGTTTCAATATGGATTTTCTCAGTGGGGCATAAATGCAAAAATAAAGAGCACAAGATCGATTAATTCGTACCTTAAGGTACTGAAAGAAACTAGCACTTTGTGTTTTCATCCTTCAATTCAGGGGATTTTTGTGCAATCCTCCCTAGTCGCCATAAATGCGACACTTGGACGTAGGCAACTCTATATTAAGATTAAGATTAGCACAAGCCGGTTTTATGTAGACCCGGGACTTGTATTCTGTATACCATAGGGTAACTCTCAGAGTATCTTAGAGCGCAATATACTTCAAGCCACAATACCGAATTCCTTTTTCACTCATCTCAAGATCATGTCTACTGCGCTCTGGTCAGTCGGCCGAGAGATGGACCATCCGGAGAATCATCATCGGGAAACGCTGATGTGGAGCACGGAGAACGGAAGCTCAAGACAAATAACTACATGAGGCTACTATGAACTGCTAGGAATTAAGCACAAGCATGTGGGACACCGGTGGTGGTGATATCCCTCATTGGCTCTGAAAACTGGACCCATGATTGACGGTCTGACATCACGGTTTTGGCGAGTCCCGGGTAGTATGATATCTTGCTCTCGGGCGAGAATGAGAGAACTGAGATTCTACATTTTCAACTCGGATTATTTAAACAGCAAATCTGACAGTTACTTGTCTCCTATCATCGAACCATCGAACAATCATGTCGGACCCTAATAACCCCAACATCAAGAACCGCACCACTCCCCAGTGGTCACTTTATCGGCGCGACGCCTTTTGGAACACCAACAATGGGCAATATACTCTGTTTAACACTGGTGCGTCTCGCTGGAAGCTTCTATTTCACAAATCAATCATCCGTTGACTGACATGGCATTGGAATGCAGATCCCGCCGAAATCGAGAAACTAGCGAAAGCAAAGCTCTCCCAAGCAGGATGGTAAGCTCACTTCGTCCAGTTCGTAATTAATACGCGAAACTCCCAAAGTCGAAAAGTAAATCTAAACCCTGCCTAGGTACTACTCGTCATGTAACGCCGGCATGTCCTGGACACATCTTGCCAACCGTCAGGCATTCTACCGTCACCGGATCATCCCGCGCACATTGGTCGACACCAACACCAGAGATACAGTGACCGAGATCTTCGGTCATCGCGTCTCAGCCCCTATCGGATTTGCCCCGATTGGAATAAATCGCATCTACCACCCGACCGGCGAACTATCGGTCGCAAAGGTTGCCGAGGAGCTGAACCTGCCATACTGCCTTTCGTCCGCGGGAAGCTACAGTATCGAGGACGTCGGCAAGGCCAACGGCAATGGTCCGCGATTTTTTCAGCTCTATCAGAGCCATGACGATGAGCAGACTCTCTCCATGTTGCAGCGTGCCTGGGACTCGGGCTTCGATGCTTGCATGTTGACCACCGATACTTGGTCGCTCGGGTGGCGACATAATGACGTTTTCACGGGCAACTATGCATTCTACCACGACCACGGCGCTGGGGACCTGGGATTGCAGGATCCTGTTTTCCAGAAAAGGTTGAAGGAGGCTGGGATTGATCCGAAGATGAATCCAAAGGAGGCGGGTGCTAAATGGATCGATGAGAATATCTGGCATGGTCGTGCGCATACTTGGGAGAAGGTGAAGTGGACGATGGAGCAGTGGAAGCGCATTAGTGGTGGTCAACCCTTCTGTCTGAAGGGTATCCAGAGCGTTGAAGCTGCGGAGAAGTGTGTTGAGGTGTATATTCATCCATTTGGCGTCTTCGCTTTTTCGATTTGCTGACCATGAATAGGGGGATTGATGGTATTGTTGTCACCAATCACGCTGGTCGTCAGGTTGATGGTGCCATCGCCAGTCTCGATGCTTTGGAGAAGATCGTCGACGCTGTCGGTGATAATCTATACGTAAGTTGAACATTTCTTCCGCCTGTTCTGGCCTTGCTGACGAGTCATTTGCAGATCATGTTTGACTCGGGTGTGCGTAGTGCCGCAGACATCTTCAAGGCTCTCGCACTAGGCGCCAAGTTTGTATTTATCGGAAGGCTGTGGATCTGGGGTCTCAGTATCGCCGGTGAGGCTGGAGTACGTCATGTTCTGAAAAGCCTGCTAGCCGAGTTCGATATCTTGATGGAGGAAGCTGGATTCCAATCGGTTGACCAGATAAACCGTTCGGCCATTGATAGCCTTCCCAACTCGGCCAACTTGATCGCCCAACATTCTGGGATCTAAGGCTCTGGTTGGTTGAAAGAAGCTTCGTCGGCGATTGTGGGTAACGATCATGAATGCCACTAGATACTTTCGCATTTAGATTTCGCAAAGAGAGAATCATTGTATAGGAACCGAAGATCATATCGTCGTCTGCAATCTTTCCATGAAATAATCGTATTCCAATGTCATATACTCCATAGTCTAGCAAGCTTCCCTCAATGAGCGAACCTGAAATCCAATCTCTTACTTCCTTGTTCTTTGGCCTCCTTGATGTATTCAGCCTGTTCTTGCTCGGACAATGCCTGCCAGATCTTCTCTCTCCTCTTGTTCTCATACACATAGTAAGCCTTTGCTCCAAGGAACAGTACAATGACAACAATATTGATCGCAATGAGAGCGGTATTTCCTCTGCGATATTTCGGCTTATCGTCATCTCGGTAGATGAAATAAGCCGCAATGTCACCAGCCTGGACCGACATCTGCATGAAAAGTTAGTGTATATCTCGATAGAAATAAATGCGATATCACTCACGTTGTACAGCGCAGCTGAGACGGATCGATTTCCGACGTTGTTAGCATTTCTCGATACCCACGCGACCACAATTGCTACCCATGAAATTAGCTTTATGTCTTCAATGAATGCTAAAGAGGCAGAAACGTACCGTGGCAGTATGGGTAGCTCAACAGAACTGTCACAACCGCGTATGTTCCCCAAGCATCTGAGATAACGTTCGGCCAGAAACGCAAAGCGAACAGGCAGGGCAACGTCCATATAGCCTGGAACATGGCGACCAAAGCCCACTGATTGAGCCGACTGGAGATCCACGTAATTAACAAAAGATTGAAAATGTGAAAGACACTTGCCGGAATCGTGAGCAAATTCGTATTGAACTTGTTGAACCCGACTGACCGAAGTGTCAGCGTGATGTATGAGTTTACGGGCGACTGTGGGATATATGCAACGATGCCAATCAGGTAGATTGGCCACATGTGGTAATCCTTGATCGCCGACCAGAGTCTTGTAGGCGTGATCGCTTGTCGGTTGTGCATGTCGCCCTTGGATGGATCATCGCGAAGAACGCGGTTGGCGACGATCGCAACTTCACGGTCAGTGAACCAGCCTTTGGGTCGGAACCAGGTTTTTGTTTGCACGACTGAGGCTGGCATCATAAAGAAAGAGGCGAGGCCGATGGCGAGGGTGATTAGTCCTTCGATGAGGAACAGCCATTGCCAGCCGGCCATGCCGTGGACACCGCTGAGGTGAAAGACCGCGAAGGCCAGGAGGGAGGTCACGACTGTGGTCACGGAAAGCGAGGTCCAGAAAAAGCTATGAGATGGTCAGTAAGGTCCCTGATTGTGGTGTATTTTGCACATACCTTAGGCGGACTGGAAGCTCTCGACCTGTATAAAAGTAGGAGAGCCACAGGACAATGTCGGGGATGAAGCCACCCTTGGAAGTATGTGTGAGTTTCTGAAAGTCGTAGTCATGAAACCGTGGTAGCTCACCTCGAGAACACCCAGCAAGCTTCGGGTCACCAGAAACGTCTTTCGGTCGGCCAAACGACACTGCGATATTGCTACTACTGACCAGAGCACCATTTGAATGGGAATCCAACGATCCGGTCCGAGTTTTTTGGACACCAACTGAGAAGGCAGCTCTGCAATGAGAAAGGAAAGTCGAAAAACGATATTTCCGTAGTTGTAGTCTACAAATAGATGAAGTTAGCAAGTTTCTCTGGATGACAGATCTCGTCGATAATCTTTTTCGCGACACCTCATTGGCAGCATTTAATTCACCATTGGTAGTTAAACCCAAGTCAGCCAGGAAAGTATCAGAGACTGCCTGTACCAGATTTCCTCGGTCGACCTGAAGCGCGAAGAACATGACGCACTGGACTCAAGCATTAGCTTCGAGCCCTCGGATCCAGGAAGCAGCGGCATAACATACAGCCCAAAGACAGATCCTCCAGTCCAGCTTCCTGACGAGAGCCCTTTCTTCCTCTGGTGTCCAGGTGAGAGAAGGATCGAACACATGCCGACACTCATATTGTGCTTTTTCATACACATCGGCCCAATATTCCGCGATATCAGGATCCAAAAATGGATTTTTGGACTCATTATTTTCGCCTTCTGGCTCCGAAGTCCCATAGGATCGCTTGCGATCTTCTGGTATGGCCTCGCTCACGACTATCGCTGAGTTGGCTTTTGCATTGATTGCGCTCATATCTGCAAATATGTCGCGATAGGACTGCCCAAAGGGTCGAAAGCCGCTTTTTCTCCCGGGCGGACTTAGGATATCTCGAGATTCTCGCGGATACCTGATGTTTTTTATATTCCATTTTCTCTTTCAGTGTCGCAAGGACCTTGCAGCAAGTTTTTGAATGGCGATAGTGGTGAGTGCGATGATGTGCTAGAGGGGTATGGTGAGACCAGTCATTCGTGATGTTTTCGACAACCCTAGCGGCTTGGCCAGAGAACTTCAAGCTCATGGGTAATCTTGGTGCTCAGGAGAGGAAAAGTTTGCCAGACATTATCGCTTGTCTGCATTGAGTAGTAGTTTTTTCCATTTCGAGCCCAGGTGCCAGGCGAAGGTATTCGAGAATAAACCGCAGGGTAAACAAGGTCGGATCCTGACGAGGTATACAGAACAATATTTACGAGCATATCTGTCGCCACGAAGACGCAATGTGCGCCAAAATCAACCCATAAGAGGAGACGGCTGCCGCACTGTTTATCGTTAGTCGTGGACGCCACTTTTGATTGTCTTCTCCATTCGAGTGGTCGGGATTCACCATGGCACTCGCATTCTGCCCTCCTTCCTGAATACGTTTCCCAACTCGGAGGGCAAAGATCGTTAAGAATTCCCGAGATATCAAGCATTAAGGATTCCTCAAGACAACTTGGTATCTCTGAATTTCTGATGACATTGGCATCTGCCAGTTGGGCAGGGAATTGGCCTCGGCAAGATGGATGCTGTAATTTTTCAGCACTCGTCGTCTTCAAGGCATGCTCGCATCACATTCTTGCGACCTTTCGAAAGTGTGCTTCTTCCACATGGTAATTGGTAGTCTATTGGGTAGATACTGCCGCAGCGACGCGACTGCCACCCTCAAGGGCTGCACGTGGCCCCTCATGTGACCTAGGTGCAAAGGCCCGCTATAATTCCTCGTCCTCCGCCTCTCGCTCTCCTTTCTCTTGATTTTTACTTTAGCTTTTAGTAGCCGCGGTCATAGTAGCAGCTCAACGCAGTCTTCCCACCAAAGTTGAGCGCGACGGATCGGTTTATTGAAGGGGCTTCCGGGCCCTTGAGAGAAATAATTTTGGCCACCCCACTTCGAACGCGAGTACAAGAGGGAACTTTGTATATTGCAAATTCTGAGGCATGCGCCGTAACTTGAGGCCATTTTAAAGAAACAATAGCTATCGCGCATCGTATCACTGGTGCCTGTGCTAATTCACATCGATCCGAGGCCTAGAAAAGATCTTCGGACCGCGACATGGAGCTCCGGCTTGTACCCCATACAACTCAAATCCACCGTGTGATCACGTGGTATCTTGTAGAGTAACCTTCTGTGGGTTCAAGTGCATTTGCGAATATTTTTTGAACTGTAAGTCAAGACAGTGGGGCCTACAGAGAATCTCCGGGAATCTGCGACTCTACATATGCTTCTCTAGGTAAGTGTATTTTGGCGCTTATTTGAGTGTTCAGCTGGGTGGATAAACACCAGTACGACGTTTTGACTTGGATCAGTTTGGCGGGAGATAATGTATTTGTAGTTTTAGCCTACACTATGTTAGCTTCTTCATGTGTCTCTACCCTGCCACTGTACTCTCAGGTAGGCATCCACGCCCCCCTCAGTATAAACACCGAACAGAGTTCATGGTCAAAGAAGCTTGCAGGCCCCACCGGGTGGGTCTCCGTTTTCGCAGCATCATCGAGGGCCCCCGAGGGTCCGTTCCGGCACCTTGCGGACGACGAACGCGGCAGGCCCTGTTCGAGTTCTGACGGGACGCCACGATTGGCGTTGCCTGATATCTGGAAGAAGCTCTGACCCCGCCGATCGATGCTCACACTGGAGCTTAATAATGCGCGACGAGAAGGCAGGGAATTGCGCCATCCGGCCCAGTCTCCATTGGCTCCAAGTGGGGGGTTGTCGGCCGACTTGGGCTGACCACCGAGAAAATCGGCCGATAGGAAATTCTGGTGAGAGGGGAGGATGAAGCCTGCCAGACAGTATCCATACTGTGTCCTGGTTGATTCAATTGAGTGAGTTAGAGAGGTGTTCAAACAAGTATATTTGGATGTCTAGTACCGGGTTGAGGTATAGAGGAGGCTGCCCTTGAGGAGCACGAACCACGATGGCAGGCACACTAAACAGCCCACCTCGGACCGGCCAATCACGCGGGTTCTGCCGGGGCGGTGGGCAATTGCGTGATGGCGAGTGCTGGATGAGGTAAGTCGATCAATTGGCCCGGGGGGTGAGGTACTGGCGATGGTGCGCGCGTGGAGGGGCTGCCCAGAGGTATTTGAGTGCCCTCCCCCGCCGCTACTCCCTTTTTTTCTCTCCATCTTCCATTCACTCCCGCTCAAATCTATCACCATGGCTGACCGTGCTCCCCCGTAAGTGCCATCAATGCATTGAACATAGCTTGGACCTTACCCCGGGTTACGCCAGGGTGGCCCAGCTGTGCAATTGCACCCCCCTCATACCCCCGGCTACCTGCCGATGGATACAATGCTGACCCGCGTCCAGTCTCCGTCTGGGTTCTACTGCCCCCAACTTCGACGCCGACACCTCCAACGGCCCCATCAACTTCCACAACTTCATCGGCGACAAGTGGACCATCCTCTTCTCCCACCCCGATGACTTCACCCCCATCTGCACCACCGAGCTCGGTGCCTTCGCCAAGCTCGAGCCCGAGTTCACTGCTCGTGGTGTCCAGCTGATTGGTCTCAGCGCCAACGAGGTCGAGTCCCACCACCGCTGGATCAAGGATATCGATGAGGTCTCCGGCTCCCAGCTGAAGTTCCCCATCATCTCCGACCCCGAGCGCAAGGTCGCCTACTTGTACGACATGGTCGACTACCAGGACACCACCAACGTCGACTCCAAGGGTCTGGCTCTGACCATCCGCTCCGTCTTCATCATCGATCCCTCCAAGAAGATCCGTCTGATCCTGACCTACCCCGCCTCCACTGGCCGTAACACCGCCGAGGTCCTCCGTGTCATCGACGCTCTCCAAACCACCGACAAGCAGGGTGTCACCACCCCCATCAACTGGCTCCCTGGTGATGACGTTGTCATCCCTCCCCCCGTCTCCACTGAGGACGCAAAGAAGAAGTTTGGCGAGGTCCGCGAGGTTAAGCCGTAAGTGACCCAATGCCATGCACATTCGATAGACAATATGCTAACTTACCTTGTTTAGTTACCTCCGCTTCACCAAGCTTCCCAGCCAGTAAATGCTGATTACGATGTGACGCGAAAAGAGAAAAAACGTATGGATGATGTGGCCGGGTCATCCGCTTGATACCAATATGAAATGATTTCTCCCGCCATTGCTGTCTTGTTGACCTCTGTAAACCAAATTACCGTAGACTAATTGCGATAAATTGCCCGAGGTCAAATTATTTGATGCAGGTGCATTCGTAGATCAGATGCATGTCGCACTGGTGTCACCGCAACGTGGTTGACAGTTGAAGATGCCGGCATGAGCCACACCAATTCGTCCCATCTACTAGTATTCATCTCAAGCCAAAAAAGTGAACCTCCAGAATTCTCCGAGCCCACATGTCGACGAAATCTGGGAATCTCGCACCAATTCATTCTAGAAGGCTTCTACCCCTGTCGCACACGGCTGGCTCCGCCCCCAGCCCCGTCCCGGAAAGGAGAAACGTTGAGACCGCCTTTTTTGTGCCGATCCAACGTCGAAGCGCCCTAGGGGATTTTATTGTCATCCCACCTCCTTGCGTCGTCCCAGCTCCTCTCGCCCTCCGGCCCTCGACGTGGCGGGGACTCCATTCACATACCCTCCTGTGCCACGCCGCTCCTCTTCCCATCCTCTAATCCCCACCGAAGAGTCACCGTTCCACTCGAAATCCTGCGATCACCGTGCGCGGGCTGATCCCGACCGTTACACACACTAGACACCGTGCGATATATATACAGACCGAATAGAGCGGACCGGAGGAGACGCCTGTCTTATGCGACATACGGTGAAGACGACCTGGCGGGACTAAGTCAGAAAAAGGGGCAGATAACCACCAACTAATTGTTTCCGATCGGAATTCCCGTCGCTGTGGGGAATCCCCGTGCACCATGATGTCCAGAAGCCAGTCGAGTCTGGGCTACCTCGATGCAGGCCGTGATGACCCTTCGGCCCCCGGGGTGTCGCCGTCTCTCAACCAGCAGGCCTCGTCGGGCCCGATCAACCTGTCCGGCCTGGTGTGCAATGTCCGCCGAACCACTGGCAAGGAGCCGCACCCCCTTGTGGGTGCGACCACCACGATCCTCGGCGATAAGTTATATGTGTTTGGTGGCCGAATTCTCTCGCGCAGTCGCCCTCAGTTGACCGCCGACCTGTATGAATTGGACCTGGTCCGTCGACACTGGTCCAAGATCGAGGCGACCGGCGATATCCCGCCCCCGCGGTACTTCCACAGTGTGTGCGCTTTGGGCGATAATAAGTTGGTTGCATATGGAGGCATGTCCCCTGCACCAGGAACACCTCGGGACCCAATGAACCCGAATTCGGGGGAGTCACAGTCGGAGGTGGTGGTCATGTCAGATATCCATATCTTCGATGTGCCATCGCGGTCGTGGACCCGAGTTGCGGCCCACGAGTCGCCTCAGGGGAGATACGCTCACTGCGCGACTATTCTTCCGTCCAGCGCTAGCTTTACCTCTGCGAGTGCACCACTGTCTGCTATTCACCACAACCCCGAATCGACCACGCCCCACCAGGGCTCAATCGGTGTGGATATTGATGGCTTTGGCGGCGCTGAAATGGTGGTCGTTGGTGGCCAGGACAGTTCCAACCATTATATTGAGCAAATTAGCGTGTTCAATCTCCGCAGTCTCAAATGGACCAATACCAGTCCACTTGGTCGCAGCTGTGGTGCGTACCGCAGTGTCGTTGCGCCCCTGGTTGGCATGGATGTTTCAGAAATCGGATCTGCGGCCCCAGACCGGGAGACGCACGAGCCCATTGAGGAAACAGCCGCCGACGAGCATGGCTGCCCCATGTTGATTTACTCGAACTACAATTTCCTCGACGTCAAGTTGGAATTGCAGGTGCGCCTACCGGACGGGCGACTTGTCGAGCGACCCATGCAGAGCCAGGCATCGCCGCCGGGTCTGAGATTCCCCAATGGTGGTATCATCAATGGCCACTTTGTGGTCAGTGGTACCTACCTCACATCTTCCAAGCAGGAATATGCACTCTGGGCTCTGGACCTCAAGACTCTGACCTGGGGCCGAATTGATGCTGGCGGCTCAGTATTTGGCCAGGGAAGCTGGAACCGCGGTATTCTTTGGCCACGCCGCAGCACCTTCGTCATTCTTGGACACCGGAAGCGTAGCTTGGTTGATGATTATAACCACCGAAGGATCAACTTCTCCCATGTTTGCATGGTGGAGCTTGAGGCCTTTGGGCTTTATAACAACCCATCTCGCACTGCCCCAACATCTGGCTATAAGTCATATAGCTCACCCTCGGTCCCTGCGTCTTTGCAACAGAAGTTGGCGCAGTTGACAACCAGTCGACCCCTCTCTGCAGCGTCAGATGAGCTTGGTAAACTTGCTCTTTCGCTGCACGAGATGTCCGACATGGAACTGCAGGCCGTCGGCGGAGAGCGCATCCCTGTAAACTCTCGCCTTTTGGCTCGACGATGGGGACCCTATTTCATTCAGCTCCTGCGCGAGTCCTCAGAGGGAGGAATCGCAGACGGAGCTACTCTTCGCCCAGCTCAGGTCCATCCCAGCCGGAACTCGAGTATCACTATCACTCCATCCATCGGACAGAACAGCAGCTATTCCAATGCGACCACATTGGTCAACCCCTCCGTGCCGTCGAAGGCTCTACTGGAAAACCTCGAGGTTCCCTCAGCTCATGGCCTTGCCCCTACCTCCAGACCTCGCGTGCTCTATCTCCCTCACACCATTCTCACCCTCCAAGTCCTCGTTCAATATCTCTATACTTCCGCCATTCCTCCCCCCGGCTCCTCACTATGCACACCCCAAATACTCTGCTCTCTACTCCAGCTCGCCCGGCCCTATCAGGTGAACGGCCTGCTCGAAGCAACGGTGGAACGTCTCCACCAAGTTCTGGACGGACGCAACGCCGCAGCCGTCTTCAACGCAGCCGCCATGGCTGCAGGAGGCGGTCGTGGCACCGGATTCACCAACGGACTTGGCGGCACACTGGAAGCGCTCAACGGTAGCCAGATGGGTCGCAACGGATCCATTGCTGTATCTGAAACAACAAACTCCCAACACAGCATTCTCCACGCCTCAGACTCTTCGGACACCGAACACGGCGCGATTTCGAACTCAAGCAGTACAAATGACCTAACAAACTTTGCACGCGGCATCCCATCCCTCCGCATCGACACAAATCTCTCACAACAACGTAGCCGCAGTCGCAACCACCGTGACCGCGAGGACTCCATCAGCAACGCCAGCACGGCGACCTCCGCCTCTAGCGCCAGCTACAGCCAATCCGACTCGGAATTCATTAGCGATAGCGAGAGCCGCTCTGCCTCGCGCTCTCATCACCGTCGCGACACGGATATCCGTCCTGGTCGCGAAATTTGGACTGGCGATCTGAGCAGTGTGATTGGATTGCAGAAGCGTGGTCTGCGCGGATTGATGGAGGGTCGTCGCATGCGCGAGCGCAGTGTTAAACCTCCTAGCGCGAGCAGCGGCTCAACTTCTGTGCCGGCTTCGGCTGGATCGGGTGATCATCACTCGCTGCCCATGCAGGGAGTCGCTGGCTAAGTTGCGGTCATCGCTGATTGATGATTACCCGGCACGATTGCAACTGTTATACGTGGCATTCTTTGAATGTCCGTTTTTTCTTTCTCCTTTTCCTATATACGTTTTGATTTTTTCCGACATATCACATGATTTGCATGGACAGATAAATCATCTCTCTTATTGTTTTTCCAGCAGGCTGGACACCCAAAATCGGAACGATGCTCATGGGCTTTGATTTGTTTTCTTTGCATGGGTCTGTCTGTTGCTATATTTGTTTGTTAGCTATATACCGAACTGACTCAAGTTTTGCGAGAGGCAATAAACAGTGCATGAAAACATATATCTCGGTCTCAAATTCAATTAGGCTGTGTACCCTGCGGTGGGGTAAATGTGATGTAATGTACAAGGGATGCCAATTTCACTTTCCCGATAATCAAGCAGTCTTTGCGAATCACTCTATCTCTCACAATCATGTTCGTTGCAGCGATGGTCATGAGGAGGAAGACGATGATGGCGGGTCGTTCAATTTCTTGGGCGCTTTATCGCCGTATACTGTAGGGTGTGAGCTCAGCTCGTCCATAACTTCCATATTCCCGCTAAAGTATTAAGACCTAAGAAATGGGAAAGAACACCACATACCTCGCTCATACAGAATCCAGGACGTATACATAACAATCGGCAACGCGACAATCGTCGAAGTCCACCTGTCAAATTCAGCACTAATCCCTTGATATAAACACAGCAGCTCCTGAACCACAACTCGAAGTGCCCAGCATCAAGCCATAATAGAGAGAGAGAATGAAACATACCGCCGCGCAGCAAGCTTATACTCCTTCGTCTGACGAATATCCGACGGCTTCTGCGGAAAAGCCGGCCGTTGTGCCGGAGATGGGCGCGCGGACCCGGGCTTCTGGGCTGGGATTCTCAAGCTCGATTGATTGGGCGCGTCTCTGGGTGCCATTTTGTTGGATTTGAGAAGATTGTGGAGGGCCGGGGTTGCTTTTGTTGATGGGAGAAAATTGGGGGTGGGTTGGATTAAGGGTGGAGGTTTTGTTGGTGCCTGAGGCTGAAATGCGGTATGGTTGTTTACAGTGTAGGTACCGCAATTTAGGTGGTGGGCGCTTCTAAAGAGGTTTTAGCCTGAGTTTTCGAGTTTGATGGATTTTAATCAATAACTTAGGTCTTCAGGTCTCGCAAAACCGGGATCGCTGCGTTTGTTCGCATAGATGAGTTGCTGGAAATGCATTGAACTCCCAAGACAGTACATAGTTCTCTAATCTTGTCGCCCAAAGTTCTTAAATACTATTTTCCACCCCTTTTCTCTTCTTACTTCTTCAAATACCTCTCTCACACACATTCACCGAATCGTCGATTCCCAAACGATCCTTCCACGAAGCCTCCGACACTAAAGAAGCAGCTCCGTGGGGTCCGTCAAGGTCCAGCCAAGAATTACCTCCCCTCCACCCCCCCCCCCAAACAACATCGCGATCTTCTGATGGGGATATATTCTTGGCCGTGGTCAGAAAACCAGCCCTGGCTGAGGAAATGCCACAGAGCAGGTGACGGACCCCGCGGAACTGCAAAAGCTGGGCGTGGCCTAAGATATCATAAAAGGGAGAGAAGATTGACCGTAGGTCCGGATGCGCCTGACGCAGTCAGGTTATTCGAGAAGCAGTAAACTGCGAGATCACAACGGTTCCCGCACGGGCTCACCTGCCAGAAGTACACAGTAGGTGTCTCAATCCATATCCTGTCGGCAATTTCAAGGCAGTCTGGAGTGGTAAGCGCGGATGGCATAGGGTGGCGACCAAGCCGAAATTGCGGCAAAGCCATGGCCTGCGGTAACCTAAACCGCCCTACCTAGAAAGAATAGGCAGGGGTCTGAGACCACAGCACTGACCGTACTGTCCAGGAGATGCAATAGGAGTAAATTTTCTTCTTATATTGATAGGACATACAGCCAGAATGAACCTAAGTCGAGACAGACGGGTTTCCGCAGATCACACTTCTTTCGTCGGCGGCGGCGGCGGGTCAAACTCCGTGTTTTCGTTCTTGTGCGTCGAGGCGGAAGCTGTGAGAGGCCTGCTGTTTGAGTCATGTCGAGATTAGATTTTCCGAGTGATACACAAGGAATGATCTAAACCTCGGTCGTATTTAAAGTGCGATCGATGCGCCGCCGTATTTGTTGGGGGGGGGGGGGGGGGGGGGGATTCATAAAAATGGGGTCCTCTGATTGGCTTCGCCTTGTAGAAGGGGTCTTTCAGCCACTCATCAGTCGCTGCTGTGCTTCCTTAGATAACAAGCTGAGTACTCATCACGGAATCATTTCAACGCATTGCTCTTCAAGATATGAGGGCCATACCTGGTCGGAGCCAGAGTGAGATCTACTTGTGGCATTGACGTGTGTATTGTCATCTTCATCTCCAGACCCTATCAAAAGTGGCTGGATTTTGTCGGTAGCTTGTCTGACGTCCTATTGTTAGTATTTCTCGACCTGGGATAAGTATTCACCGTCCAAAATTCAGTACAGTATCGGCGCAACTTGGGCACATGAATGTGAGAAGTAGATAAATAAATACTGGTCCATATCATTAGGTATACACCATTAATTTCTGGACATGAACTAAAGGTCGCGGAATGGGAATTATGCTTGTCAAAGTTGATGCTTGGGCGGCCTCTAATGCCGTCTTCGCCTGTGAGTTTAGTCCCTGAAATTTCTCCAAGTTCCAACTCCCTCTCGATTTCTACCCTGGCAGCATCACGCCTACATATCCGCCCGGATTACTGCTTCTTTGTCTGTGTCATCTGAGCCGATGGATCTATGTAAGCAGAGTAGGCCCTGAGAATCCGTCCCACCTCAGCGTGTTTGAATGCGCGGGGGGCACGTGAGCGATTCCTCAGCATTTGACTGTACTTCATCCACTCGGTAACAGACCGTCGAGAACCCATACCTCTTTCTGTTCAATTCGAAATATTCTTGTTACGACGAAGTCCTTCGACTCTACACTGGGCTATACAACGGACAGACAGGCCGATTGGTCGTCGGAATGAGTGAGTCGAAGATCCTGCTGCAAACTGACTGCCTGTGAATTTTACCAGCCCCTTGGTCCAGCATGTGGATCTAATCTATGTCATTGTAGCCACGGCGCCCTAATTTATGACCCACCTTTACGCCGATCGTCCTCGGAAAAAAGCAACCCTCCATGGAACCGAAGCAAATGACAGACCATATCTTCAAGTGCCAAGTCAACTATCCACGATTAAAATTGACGCAAAACATTTCCAGCTCGCATATGTGATACTCTTTTTCATTCTCGTTTATTGACGGTTTCTTCATCCTCCGATTACCTGTTCGTGGGCGAACGATACTAGCGCACAGGCCCACATTTCCACGGCCCATGATAGATCACCAAGAACGAGCGATGAACAAGAGGGTCTGGTGATGGGCACACTTTTGTGGACCATATTGATGTTAACATCAAATGGCAGACCCTAGCCACGAAGCTAACCCCTCTCACAATTCGTCATTTTAAGTGGGCTGAGTGTCGACGACTCGCACTACCCTCAGCCGACGACCTTTTATTAACAAAATCCCCCTCCGAGACAGAGAAGAGCATCGACAACCTTACTTCCCCCAGATACCAACTATCTACAATCGAATCATGGCACCCAAAACCGTCGCTGAGGAATATGCCGAGCTCATGGAGCGTAATGGCGAAGGCCACTACCTATACAAGCCTCAACGATACAGCGACCTGCACCCCGGCGTGATCGGATACTTCGGCAAGTATGGAGCGTGGAACAAGATCACTGACCTTTCTGTGGAGGGTCAACCAGAGCGAGATGGTTTCACTGCTCTCAGCAAGCAGCTCAAATTTGACACGCCCACCGAGGGCATGTGGAAGACTCGCTCTTCAGGCAGCGAGGCTGAAGCTAGCTTCGGACTCAACGCTGGCCTTTCGGGTGCATTGACCGCTGCCCCCGTAGACGTCTCGGCCAACGCCAATAACAAGGTCGGCTCAAATGGCAAGGCAGCACTTATCACCAGCTCCGTGGTCAAGAATGAGAAGTTCAAGGCCCCATGCGGACCCCCGATCGAGAGATGGGTTAAGGCCAACGCCAAGGCTCTTGTGAACTCGGACTGGGGTGACGCCATCAAGATGTACGGACTGTGGGCCATCCAAACGACTTGGTCGACTCGGGAGTGCGCAATCACCATGACAAGCGGCCATAACCGCGATACCAGCGGCGGATTCGATGTTGGAGGTACTGGTGTTGGAAAGGTTGGCGCCAGCGGATCAGCCATGAAGAAACTTGAATCAGAGGGATGGTCGACATATGAGGCAACCGAGGTTTGTGCTTGGAATCTATTTCCCCTCTTACTGGCTGTGGTACTAACTTCATGAAGGACGACCAGGGTCTCGTCATCTCGTACGGTGGAGCCGGATACAGGCTTCATACCATTCAGAAATTCCGCAGTAACGTAAGTCCTCCTGACTGAGTCTCTTAGCTGAGCCCATACTAACGAACTCACCCATCAGCCCCTCAAGCAGACTGAAAAAGTCATGGCAGATGAGGTAGAGTACTGCAAGACCATCTACGACGAAAACGGAAACGCGATCGGACAGGAATTCTACAGGCGCGTTTACGACGAAGATGGAAACGAAATTGGGGAGGAGAAAATTGACAGGGAGGTCGAGAAGAAGAAGCGAGAGGAAGAGGAAGCGAAGGAGTCTACCGAGGTCGAGGAAGATTTCGTGATCGAAGCCTGTGGACCAGTTGGATTGAGCGAGAGTGACATTGAGGCCGATAAGAAGAGAGCACAGGAAGAAGAGGAGGAGGATCGCAAGAACTTCTCGAAGAAGGTGGCTTCTCTTGTTGCTCAGTACCCTGATGAGACGGAACGACGAGTGCACTTGGCCAAGCTGTTGGCAGAGAACTCGACTGAGGTGACTTATACGACTCCGGTGTAAAGAAGGCTTGAACAAGGCAAACCTGAATATGTTTAAGAGCTTTATTTCAACATCAACAGTCCCAAGCTGCCATCGAGCATCAATGTCATACTTTTGAAGAGCTTACGAAATCTATTGCAAGACGTATTGTGGATGAGGCCGGTAGCAAAGTACAATATGGGAACCTAACCATCAGAGCCCTTGACACATTGACTTACAGAGAAGGTGTCTAGGTGGCTGACCATGAAGATGACTTAGTACAACATTGTACATGACTAGCACCGGTAGGTATATGACTAGTTGAGTGGTCGGATAGGGAATCAGGTATGAGATCACAATAGAATAGAGTAGATTTATCAGGCGATCAAACAGAATGAGACGGCAGCCAATGATAAAACAGGTAGGATATATGTGCACCCTAGCGTTCTTGCGAGCATCATCTAAGAAGTCACATATACCATGCATACGTGCTGGGACACGGACCTGAGAGGATGTGCAGTAGGAGACGTGACACCAGGACCCAGCTGCAAAGTATCTCTGAGAATCTCTCTACGGGCTACGGTCATTCGTTCCTGGTTTGATACCATGGATGTGCTGAAAAGTATTAATTTGCGAGGGTTGTATCACGAAGCGGGCTGCAAACATATAAAAAAAAAAAAAAAAAAAAAAAAAAAAAAACCAAAGCCATATCTTCGTTATCATAATAGCAAAAACTAAACAAAAGCTCCATGCTATGCATTTTCAAAGAATTATTTTCAGCACTAGGGATCTTCTTCACAGTCCCTTCATTCACTATTGCAGAAAATCGGCTTGGCCTAGCTGCCGCCGTCATGCGATTTTCGGTGAGAGTCGGTTTGGGGGCCGAAAGCCCTCCTTCCAACTATCGCAACATTCACTGTGGTTTTAGTCCCGCCTGGAGTGGATGTCTCCACTGGTTTTGATACCCGTGTGCCTCCGCCAGGTCTGCCAGACATACCATCTTTCCATGACCGTAGTCGACTAATACGCAAGGCATCGATCGAACCGACCACCCGTACTGGAGCGTCCCCACTGGGTTTGACGCCAGTGTGCCACCAGACAGGGGCTACGGCCGAAAGCTTCTTGCGATACTCATAGTCGACTACTTCGCAGAGCATCGGTCTCGGTTCTCCCGGCTGAAGAGGGACCTCCACGGCATTCGACGCCAGTATGCCCAGTCAGAGCTTATAGCCACCTCAAGGGGTTAAAGCCAACACGTCATGCGATTCTCTGTAGTCGGCTTCCCTTCTCATGCGCCTACTTCACAGCTCCCGCCGCCAGCCCTACCGCCAGTCCAGGCTGGGTTTTCTGTTGGATTGACGAGTTACCGGTCTGGATAGTGGTGGAGCCCGTAGTCGTCGCGGGTGTGGTCGTGGCTGCAGTTGCTGTTTCTAGATATGCGCCCTCTCTATACCCAAAACAAGCCATGGCAGCGGTTCCGGTATTATCGGGGTGTAGTGTGGTCCCCACTGGATTTGATACCAGTGCGCCATCAGCTAGGGCCTACCGCTGCCATCACCGGTTCTTCCGGTTGCCTTTCTTGGCAGCAGACTCCTTCTTCACCACCACCTTCGCCTTATTCTCCGATTTGTTGTTGGTAGGGAGGGAGTAAGGAGTGGCGGCAGCAGATTTCTTGGCGGCCACGGCCCTCTTGACGACGGCAGTCTTCTTCTTCGTCGTCGCGGTCTTCTTGGTCTCGAGGACCTTCTTTGAAGGCTTCCGCGACTGACTACGAGTTGAACGGGCCGGGCCGCTATCTGCTGCCGGGGAAGGAGACTGGGAAGTGGAAGAAGATTCACTGGAGTCTGTGCCAGGCTGACTTGAGGGGGTCTTCTTGGCCTCAGCTCGTGGCTTCAAAGTGAGCTTGAGCCGCACCGGCTTGGTCGGCGCGGGTCCCTTACCCTTGCATCGGGTGTTGTAGGGGTGAGGCGCCACAGAAGAAGGAGCAGCGGGCGAAGGCGAACGACGCTGATGCTTAGCCGTAGGCTCGTCAGCCGGCTCGTCAGCACGTCGCTTGATGGTGGCATTCTCTTGAGAAATGCCAGCTGTGATCTCCTCCCCAGTGACCCCGGAGACTTGAAGGTAGGGGGTATTGCGGTCTCCGAAGAAGGGAGGGAAACCGAGGTGGTTGTTCCGAGAAATTTCGTTCTCCGAACGAGAAAGAAGAGGTGGGAGAGGGAGGTTCTCCTCCTGGGGTGGAGGAGTAGCCCGGTAGGGACTTTGTCCCCGAGGCGAGACGACGGCCTCTTCGCCGTCGTCACTGAATCCAGCGCGAGCCCAGTCCTCGCCATCCATACCAGGAGCTTCCTTGAGAAACAACTTCATCCTCAGAAGCTTCTCCTTGGGTACATCCCTCAAAAGATGAGGATACAGGAAAGGAGCTTCGGGGGCAATGGGGCGAGGACTGGGTGAGAGGGGGACTGGAGACACGTATCTTCCATGAGTGGGGACCTCAGGTTTAGGGTCGGGGGAAGTACTCGCGCTCTCGCTGGCCTCAGTATCAGTATTGATACTGGACAGGTCGCCACGGGCTTCCCAGGGACGGAGTATCCCGGCCTCGCGCTGTGCGCGCACCTTGGCAAGGAAACCAGCAGCTTCGCTAGGGAGCTTAATGGTTCTAGAAAATGCTTTTCTGGCAGATTCAGAAAGCTGCTGGCCCCTGTTCTCAATGCTGGCCACAATCTGCTTGGCACTCGACTTGATGGTCTTTGGCTTCTGAGCCAGCTTCTTGGTCGAGTCCATAGAAGTGGGCTTCGGGGCGATGAGAGGAGTTGGCGATGGCGTGTGCTCAGAGACTGGGAGCAGAACAGGCTCAGAGGCAGGCTCAGGTTCCGGCTTGGTGGCCGGCTTCTTGGGGAGAGCCCACTTCTTTGGTCGGGACGCCTGTTCCTCGGCGGCCTCGAGAGCGCGAGTTGAGGGCTTTCGGATGCGCCCAGACATCCGAGTACCGATCGAGGCACTCGACATGTCGGAGGAGGTAGAAGTCGAGCTCGGGTGGGGGTGTCTCGACTTCGGGAGGTACTGGTCTAGAGACCAGCCGGTGGCTTCAAGGCTTTCAATAAATCCTCGATCCAGGTCGGGGTCGGTGAAGGTTGCAGCAGACGCTTGTAAGGAGTCTACTGTTTGCGAATGCCGGAGTCGAGATGGTTGTGCTTCAAATGCTCTTCGTCTACCGGAGTGCAGAGAGGCTGAAGAAGAGACTCGGGGGGAGCGTCGAGCGGGAGTTATTTGTGTGGGCGTGGCAGGCAGCGACCTGCGACGCCCTTTTTGGGGTGCCATTGTAGTGAATGTCTGGATCGTGTTCCCAGCATTCAGAGTAGTCAATGGTTTTGCGACAAGCCTAGGTATCCACATAAGCAGCCAAACCAGATAGGACGTACTAAAACGAGTGAATACAAAGTGATCCTTGTGGGCTCTTTAACAGATTACATAGAAACACAGCACATATAAGACTATGAGCGGGGGTTGCGCGCGGCAGGCGGAGATGGAGGATTCCGGCAGCCAGGCAGGCGTTGAGGTTTAGTGCCAGGCTTCGGGGCAGCAAAACAATAATTCACAGTGACTTACCGGACAAACCCATTCAACCAGAACCACTTAAACAGCTGCAAGGGCCATATGGTCCTGCCAGTCGCCGGGGTCGGGGTCCAGGCCGTGACGGCGACGATGATGGGGGACGGCAGCGCAGAAAAGAAATTAGGGCTAGCTCGATCGGCGCTTATCGGCTTCTATCGCGCTGTCCGCCTTATTCTGCAACTTACCACCTTGCAACCCTCACCTTCCCCCCCAGCCCTCGTCGTTTCGTTGTTTTTACACTATGCATCTGTGGCAGGCCACTGTTCCATTCTGCCTGCTGGCATCGGCCGCCCTGCCTGCTGCCGCGGCCTCGGCTTGGGGGTTTACTGATGCCACCGTGGCCGTTCAACCCAAGGGTGCCGGCATTAACGGCGGCGTGAAGGAAGAGTATGATCTCTCAGCGACCACCGGCCCCGGTCGAGTGCATGTGAAGCTAATTTGCAGTGATCGAACAGGCTCTCTTCCTCGAAGCCCCTTGCCAACCCGGTCTCGTTCGCTGGTGCCGACACATTGCGCGTCACCTTGACTACCCAGGAAGGTAGCTCCGCGAAGCGACCACACCAGGCTTTCCTGTTGTTGAAGGATAACCAGAGTGGACTGGACATCTCCTACCCTTTCACCGTCAAGGAGAATGGAAAGTCTCGCGTGGAATTGGTAATTGCGGCCTGTTTGAAGCTCTCCCCGCAAGTATGAGCTAACCCCCGTGCTAGACCCAGAAGGAGCTTCCGCTTCAATTCCTGACTCTCCCCGGCCCCGTCGACGCCCGCATTCTCATCGGTGGCTTTGGTAATTCCGAGGCCTACGACCATTCTGTTTTCAAGCTGTCCATCGACCGCGACCCCAACATCCCTATTCCGACCACCGAGGCCCCGAGATACGGAAAGCTGCCAGAGATCCACCACATCTTCAATAATGACCCTTCCAATCCGCCCATTGTCCTCACTCTGGCCTTCGTCGGTGCTGTGATCGCTGCTCTGCCGGTCTTGGCCGGTCTGGTAAGTGCCTTTCCTGTGGCGCATTTCGAGTTTAATTGCTGACTGTTCTACGTAGTGGCTCTTCCTCGGCGCCAACGTCAACCACCTCCCCACTGCGCTCAAGTCGGCCCCTCTGCCGCACGCTGTCTTCCTCGCCTCCTTGGCTGCGTTCGAGGGTATCTTCTTCCTCTACTATACCTCCTGGAACCTGTTTCAGATCCTGCCCGCCGCGGCCGCTGTTGGCGCGGTCGCATTCGTGAGTGGCAGTCGCGCTCTGGGTGAAGTCCAGGGCCGCCGCTTTGCCGGCCTGCGGTAAATTGAACAGCGCGGCGACGTAGAGTGCGCCCCTCATTTCTTCTGGGCGCATTCACTCCAAGCGTCCACGGGTTGGCTCTGTGAGCTCGACAGCATTGTATCTTAGCTGTGATGATAGCGATCATATCCATCCTTCTCGTTTCAGATGATTAATTCTTGATGAATAAAAATCTTACAAATTTGGCACCTTCCCTTCAGACTCACAATTTTGCTTCGATCTTGTTTTTAGTTACTGTAAGATCGACAATCAAAGAAGCGGTTTCGCTTTGACGATTGGATATATCATAGTTTGTATCCGCTCAAGTACTACATCCAATGTTGAAATGCTTCATTATAGTATGTTTATTTCGTGCAAGTAGTACAACTGGATATCCCTCCAATTCTATAACCCCACATTCACCGAGGCTGATCTCCCTCTTCCACAAGCAGTATGCAGTGTTGATGAGTTGATGAGGCTTTGACGTCACTTGAGTGGCCAGCAAACGCCAAGCCTCCGGGCTTTTCTCCACGAACTCTGCCGGAAAAGCTCCCTCAACTCCTAAAACACTGGGACCCAGCAACAATGGGCGCCAACGCTTCAAAACCAGTGCGCACAGCTGCAGGCGCTGCAAAGCGCCAATATCCTAAACAAGCTGCTCCCCCGCCTCGGCCGACGCCGAAGGCCCCTCGAGAAACGAAACCGCCGCAACCACCGCAACCACCACAACAACCTCAACCGACTCCCTCCGCACCAAAAGCACCCCCAGCCCAGACCCCGAGCCATGCAGCACAGGGACCTACATATCATTCCAAGGAGGAGGCATCAACAGTTAAATCTAATGGTATGGCCTCTCATTGCAGTCGACCACCGAGAACACCGGCCGCGGAGCACCTGTTTGCCACCAAGAAACGATTCACTAACCTGCTACAGCGATTGACCTCGACGGTCGTGATCCCGACTTCGCTGCTTCCTTACGATCTATCGGCCCCGTCGACCCAACACAGGGTTTCCCCCACGGCAGCGCCAACCTCGGCTCCATGCAAACTGTTTTCCCATCCGCCTCCAGTCCCGCCTGGCTAGTACACACCGCGCGCAATAGACTGAACAAGATCGCCGCCGAGGAAGAGGAGCGCATAAAGTCTGGGCGGTATGGGGATCGACAATTTGTCGATGCTTTCCAGATACAACAGGCGCTTCAGATGCGGGATGCGCAAAATTTGCCACCTCGGGAGATTGAAGGGATTCTGGGCTTGAAACCGGGGCTTGTGGATAAGTTGGGACAGAAGGGAATCGTCTCGAGGATTTCTCTTGGCTAAATATGGCGCTTTGGGGGGTTTTAAATTGTAAGTTTGTTGGGGCATGGAATCGCATTCTTGTGCGATTTTCCATCGCTGTGTTGTTTTCCATTTTCTGGCCCGACTCCGTAGATTCGACCGGCGTTAATGTGTTGCATTAGCCACCTAATTATTCCTGTATAATACGGGAGCTTTATCTCTACTCACTATAATGTGACTCCGTGTCAAGCTGAGCTTGCGAGAGGTCATAAAATTCGTCAAAACCTGCCCCTCATTTTGCCAGCAGCGCAAAGATTCGACAATTTCATATGCATGCCATGCACGAGCGGTGCATGGCATCATATATCTCCAGCAGCGTATTGTGCCACTGTTGCACTACACATCCAATTGTGCCTCCCAAAGCTCCAGTCCGTTGAGTCCATGGTTACGAGAGTTGGTGCTTTGGTAGGACACAATGGCTGGTGTGGTCACACAGAACCCTGGGTCTGCACGGAAATACACTGATTCGATATCCAAGACTGAGAATGACGTTGCGGGCTATCCAACTATCGTGTCATAATGGGGAAACACTAGACTCAATATTCTAAATCACGATGAAAGTACAAGACGGGTACCCAAAGGTACGTCAGAGAGTCAACGAGTGTGCCGATTTGCGGCTGAGAAGGTATATGCCTTTGCCATAGAACCTTATTCCAAAACCGGCCCCAGAGCAGTCATGGGGCTGTGGTCCAAGCATCAACTCCAATTAAGCTTAAGTTATCGTCACGATTTTGATGACCCAGGCTACACATTTTCTTATTGTATAGCTTGGTCTATAGTCCTTGGAGGTGACGTAGCGCGGCTATGTGACAAGTTAACAATCGCTCATGATATATTTTGAGACTAGAGTAATTATAACGTAAACATAGAAATCAATGCCACGTTGATAAAAAAGTATAAACAATGACCAATATGGTCTCAATAAATGGGTATAAAATGAACAGTATGCGAGTACCTCCAAGTGAAGCCCTTATGCTCCGTCCAAGTACATCAATGTATCCTAAGTGAGATCACCAAGTGAAGGTTTTCCCCCAGAGGCTCCAAGAAGCAAAGTTCTTTTATAAATAGCGAAAGCCGCCTTCAAGACGGCCGTTTAGCAGCTTCCGACTCAAGCTCGTAAAAACCGTATTGCTGCCCAGGCGAGTCCCCGTTAAGCTCAGAAGGCTCGCCTGGAGACAGCTCCGAGGGCGATTGCAAGCCTGAACGTGCATGGCTTCCAGTGCTGGGCTGTGAGGGGGCGGAGTTGCTATTTGTTGGGTTGTCGGAGTACAGCGGCTGCTGTTGGTTACTGATCTCTGCTGTCTCAGTCGACTGGTCCCCTTTTGCAGCGCGCGCTCGATATCGGAAAATCAGCCAGACCAATACTGCAATAAGTGCTGCGCCACAGACACCACCGACGACGCCTCCGACAATTGCCCCGGTGTTGGAGCTAGAGCCGCCGTCTGATGCCGTTGTGTCGGACGATGAAGTCGTGGTAGCCGAGGCAGTCGTGCTAGTTGATGTTGTCGAGGACGTTGAAGTTGCTGTTGCTGTGGCGGATGCTATAAACATCTCTGTCAGCATTGATTTCTTGACATGCCTTCATTCTGAGGCAGTGGACTAGGATAGGCAGCTTACATGTGCCCGTCACGGCGATTTCGAGGGTTCCCATGGTATCGGTATCAATGTCGGTCGAGTTGACGCATCCAAAATATCCATATGTGCTGTTCTCCTTGCTGTAGAACCCTTGTAACCCCTGCAGACAGCAAAAATACTCGTACGCATCATCATCGGTGTTATCCCACGCGTAAAGATTCCACGTGGTGTTCGCGCACTGGGTCAAGGTAGGCTGGTTGACTCCTTGACGGCATATCGTGTTGTACTGGTTGGGCTTATTGTAGGTGTCCGGTGGGCAGCACGTGTAGAAATTGTCCCATGTTGATCCTCCTGACTCTGCTGGTGTTGGACACCCGCCCTTATTGCGAAGAGCGTAGCCTTGGGGCATTTATGCGACTGAACGGAAGGGAAGAGGTGGAAATGGTAGGATCTGTGGTCGAGGACGAGCGTCTGTATTGATTCAAATTGAGAAGAAGGAATGCCAACGGTGGAGGAGATGAAAACAAAGGATCAATTAGGGGCCAGAGCATTTGGGTCATGGGCAAGGCTGAGCAGGTCAGCAAGCGCTAAGCTCGAGGGATGCGAAAGAGCTAACTGTATTAGAGATACCAATACATACACTCCCGTGGAGCTGCGAGCTGCCTGAGCACGAGGCTGTCGGTAACGTGCCCAGGAGATGAGTTTCTCGCACTTTGCGGGGCCGAGCAAACAGTGATTGCCCAATGGGACTCGAAAAATGGGGGGACCAGGGTCCACACAGTGTTTATGAAATGCAAGTCAGGGTCGTTTCAGGGATGCTTTTGTGTTGGCTTCACGGGAAGAGTGGATCTATGGCGTTGTCTGCGCAGCTCACGCTAAACTGCATGTGACGCCCTCCGGGTCGGTTGTGGTATTGGAAAGCTTCGAATGAAATACCGTACGTAAATGACGATGAACTCAGCGACTTCCTTTTCGCCGGCGCTCTTGCGGTGCAACTGCCGACTTGAGATCCATGAGGCTCCTTTTCAGCACCTCGCCTAGGGAGACTTGTTTAGCTGGACCCGGCCAAGCCGATGCGTCGAGTCATGGTTTTGCTTTGCTTTCGGTTCCTCTCTTTACACCGCCCATGCGTAGCTCTTCATCCGACATATCCGACTATTTGGCACTAGTAATTTGGGGCCAAACGTTTAACCCGGACTGAGCCTGATGTGTGCATTCTCCGAGAGTTGCTGGGGAGTGATTGTCCTATCGAATCTGCCGATCAGGCTCGAGCATGACAGTACAGCAAAAACATGTCTGGGGCGGCTTTTGCTGTCCAAGCAATGCGCATTTCCATTATTCTGTTCGTAAATCGTGGCGTTCTTTTCAGGTGGGTCGATGGTGGGTCGGCCCCCGACATGGGTCCGTCCTCGGCACGGAAACCGTACCATGGTACATGCTTATCCAGTGGATGTATGTAGAACGACATGCGATGTAGATCGTAGATTTCTCTAACCACTGGCTTACCAGCTTCATTCAGAGTGTGTGTATTTGGAAAACACCAAAGTATGACCACTAAATCCATGATCTCAAGGTTCCCACTGGGTTTATTACCAGCGTCACCAGCCAGGACTTACAGCCATCGCCATGCTACCATCCCAGGTCGCGCGAAGATCCCAGGGACGGAGGATCTTTGCCTATGAGCGCACCTTGGCCAGAACCAGCAGCTTGGCTGGGGAGCTCAATGGTGTTGGAAAATGCCTTTTTGGCAGATTCGGAAAGCTGCTGGGCCCTGTTCTCAATGCTGGTCACAATCAGCTTGGCACTCAACTTGATGGTCTTTGGCTTCTTAGCCATCTTCTTGGTCCGAGACTTGGTGGCGGCTGTCAGAGGAAGCCCGGAGGCAGGCTCATTGAAGAATTTTAGAATGTGTTTGGAGGTTCGAGTACCGGTCGAGATACTCGATGTGGTTGAATTGGTAGAGGCCGAGGAAGGATGAGTCAATTTGTTGAAGAACTGGCCTGGAGACCAGAGGTAGCTATTCCAATATTTCCTTGAAAGACCTGTAGGGGTGCTGAATTGGCCTTTCAGAGGAAAGTGGAGGTCGCAAGCATGTTGCCTGAAAATGACAGAGAGAGGAGGGTATCAATGAGTCACTCTCAATTGTATTCAGTAGTAAGGAATCTGCTGTAGGTGGCGAAGTTCAGAGAGTAGAGGCTGAATCGTAAAGTACCCGGTAGCACTCCCGATCGGTTGAAGAGAGAGAGAGAGAGAGGGAGGTTGAAGAAGGAAGAGATAAAAAGACAAATGATCGGTATGTACTATAGCGGGTCTCTTGGGAATAGAGGATATAGTGTGACGGCAGTTAGCGATAGGTGATGGAGGCTGTAAGGTCATCATGGTAGATGCAGCGTGCGGCTCTTTCGGGCAGGGATGATGGTTTATGCCAAGCCTTGATGATCTCCTGGACCCGAACTCTCGGCCCGGCAGTGCCTGAGAGGCCGACAATGCACTTTCAGGGCTCGGAGATGCCTTAGGGTACATTAGCTCCGCGCCAATCACCAGGATTGATCGGTTCGACCAATAAATTATAAGCGGGTTTGTTTTGGAAGTATGATTGTTCCTGGGGTTTCATTTCAAAGCAAATCAGCAACCCGCGATGCATGGTGTCGATGTTTAATTTCGAAAGTCGATCGCATTTCTGAAAGGTGGCTGCTGCAGATGATTTCAATAAAAACACCGAAGGCGAATCTCACCTAGGCGCATATTTCTCGCTGTTTCTGGCAGATAAAGATCAACAACATAAAGGAAGCCCGATGGAATCATTTCATCCCTAGAGGCAACAACTGCTAAAAGCTTGGCCCTCGAATTTAATCTTAATAAGGCTCCCGCTATCTGAGAAGGCCCCGTGGGGATACCAAACCAGAGCAAATCCAGACAGCAGGGATGGTGAGACAGCGAGGGAGTAAGGATGGTTGGGGTAACAAGGGCGGGACTGGTGAGGAAGGGTTGTACCTGCTACAGTAGGGCACAGGCACAGTAGGAGGTAAGGGCGGAAAGAGTAGGCAGGAGGGCGAGTCTGGCAGTCGAGTACGATGTCTACCTAGACTAGTTACCATCGAGGCCACAGTAGCTAGGGAGCTGCCCTCTATTCATCTCATCAGGACAGTCGAACGCAGCAGCTCCGACCACCACGCCTCATCCCTGCGTTTCCGACTGAGGCTACACAAGCATCATCATCGTCTAACCCGTGAAAGACAAGGTAGGATTGTCGCCGTGCGTACCGCCTGTGTGCCGTTTGTGTACCTCGTGTCTTTCCTGTATTGATTGACGATCGTCCCGTCGCGTGCCTCCATACTGTACTTGGCCCTAGGGATATGGTCTGGGGGCGTTCCAGCTGCTTCCTCGCATCTGTGAATACTATTATACTCGCGCAACCCTTTTGACCTTGGGCCTCTCACTCACTCTCCCTCGTTCTAGTCCTCGTCGCGGCATTCCGGGGTGTTTGCCCCCATTCCGATCGTTCCTCCCTTCGTCCATTCTGCACCCTCCGCGTTACTCTCTTTTTTTCAACACCCTCAGAATCATGAAATGACCTCGACATGTCACTTCTCGCCTTTCTTCCGGCGTTCGCGCCGTTTGCTTTTTCGACCCTCGTTGTGAGCGGCCTCGCCTCCAAGGCCTTGCATATCGGCATCCACATTCACTCGCTACCTTTCCTCTACCTCGTCATCTATTCGCCCACCCTCGTTCTCCCCGAAATCCTGATAATTACCTGTGCGCGACTCTTGTTGCAGTGGCCGGCGCCAGAAACCAAACTACAATGGCTGTCAACATGTGTCGGAGGGATCTTGGGGTATGTGCCTTGTCCTGCTGATGCCCACGGGGAATTATTCAATTCCCAACCTGAACCGCATGATCTTGAAAAGCTAACCAGACCCGTTCTGCCTCTAGTCTTCTTACCTGGGGAGCCTCCGCCATCCAGTTCGGCTTCTTCATCCAAACCGGCGCCGAAGTCGCCTGGAACGCCAGCAATAGTTTCCTCAGCGATCCTGCTGCCATGAAGATTCTCCTCAGCGGTATCTCGACCGTTTTCGCGGCGGCGGCCGTGCTTGGAATCGCCGCGTGGCTTCTCAATACCCAGGTTTATAACCTGACCGGGCTCGGTTTGCAGGCGATCCAAGACCTTTTGCTCAGCGGGTATAACTTCTGCAGAGGGGGCTATCAGACACGTTACACCTTGCTCTCCGCGCCCAGCAAGTCGTGGATCAACTCGGTCGATATCAGATCTGCACGCCGTGCCGCCTTCGTTGTTGCCGCTTGTTTCTCTCTGTTGTTTTTGGAACTCGTCCGTCCTGCGATTCCGTACGATCACCTTTCTGCGGCACTCCCGCTGTCCTTACTCGATGCCTTCAACAAAAAGTCCAGCACCTTGGGAGGTTGCCGTAACCCCGCGACTACCTTTCCCCTGTGGACCGATGTCGATCCTGTGCCGCTCGATGAAGGATGGTCGCGGCCGTCATGGCTGCCGCAGAACCCACCGGGTGGGTTTCGCCGCTGGGATGTCCACCCCGACCAGCGTGCGGAGAGCGATAACCCGTCGTGGTATCTTTGCGGGGGTGGAGACGACGGAGGCTTCTACAATCCCAAAGCGGACCCGCTGAAGATCTCGAATCTGGATCGTGGGATTTACGATCCCTTGAAGAAGGCGTTCGAGCAACACGCCGTGTCGATCGATCATGTGATCCTCGTGACCCTGGAAAGCGGACGCAAGGATATGTTCCCCATGCAGCAGGGATCCCCCTTGTTCCACAGCCTCCTGGACTCGCACCCAGACGAAGATCGAGATGAGGCCACGGATCGGCTGGTTGAGATGACTCCGGTCGCACAGATGTTGACGGGAGAGTATGTGAAGAATAGCAAGGGCAAGCCCGTGGACTTGCGCAATGCCACCTGGCACGATACCGCGCAGAAGAATATGGGTGGCCTGAATGTTCGTGGGGCTGTAACTGGCAGCTCACTGACGTTTAAGAGTATTCTTGGCAGCCATTGTGGTGTTAACTCTCTTCCAGTGGATATGTTGGAGGAATCCCTGCTCGAGATCTACCAGCCATGCTTGCCGCAACTCTTCGAAGCATTCAACCAGGCCAAGAAGCCCCAGGTAGAACCGTCAGAGGAACACATCGTGGAAAAGCGCAGTTTGGCACCTAACCAGTCTGAATCTTTGAAGTATCCGTGGAAATCGGTCTTCATGCAGTCCATCACCGACGACTACGACCGCCAAGATATCATGAATGAACACATGGGATTTCGACACAAGGTTGTTAAGAGCACTCTACAAGACCACGAGTCAAAGTATCGCGCTGAGGGCGAAGAAATTAACTACTTCGGATACGCCGAGACCGAGCTCAAACCATACATCCGCGATCTCTTCGAAGAAGCCGCCATCAACAAAACACGCCTCTTCCTCTCCCACGTCACCAGCACAACCCACCACCCCTGGGAAACGCCCGAAGACTTCGCGATGGAGCACTACATGGGCAACCAGGGCAACATCAACCACGGTCTAATGAACAACTACCTGAACGCAGCCCGTTTCGTTGATAACTGGCTGGGCGACATCATGACGATGCTCGATGAAGCCGGCATCGCAAATAACACCCTTGTCGTCTTCGTTGGCGACCACGGCCAAGCATTCGGCGAAGACAACAGAGACTTGACAGGGACCTACAACAACCCGCACATTAGCAACTTCCGTGTCCCACTCGTCTTCCGACACCCGCACATGCCCCGAATCAACATCAACGCCAACGCAACCTCCCTCTCCATCATCCCGACTATCCTGGATATGCTAATCCAATCCCACTCGCTCGACGAACGCGACTCGGAAATTGCTTCCGCCGTCTTGCCAGAGTACCAAGGCCAATCGCTCATCCGACCTTTTTTGCCATTCATCAACGAGACCTCCGGATCCAAAAATACCACAGAAAGAGATCTCACCCCTCTAGGTCCGGAATATGAGCACCCCCACTTTAAATCAGTCTGGAACTTCGGCGTGATCAACTCCGGCGGCGCCATAATGTCCGTGATGGCTGCTAATATCCCGTACCGCCTCATCCTGCCGATCCAGGAGGACTTTGAGTACACGTTCACGCATCTGGGCGATGACCCCGCCGAACTGAATCCCATCAAGGCGTGGACTTTGTCTGATCTTGTTGATCTGGTAGAGACGAAGCTTGGGGATGAGCCAGCTGCTTGGTTGAAGGATGCGGAGAAAGTTGGGAGGTGGTATGTTAATGATCAAAGGAGGATTTGGGGGTATCGGGAGGCTTGAGCGCGGGCTGCTGGATGGCTCGTGCGTGTTGGATGCTAATGTTCCCCTATGTTACAATCTATGATAATCTTCAATGCAGTACATCTGCTATTTTGAGTTAGCCTTGGCGCTCTTGCTCTTGTATTTTGAGTGATGTTTTCTGGTATTGTATGTTCTCTCTCTGATTGGCCTTTTTTTTATGTTTACCTTTGGGACTGTAAGCATTTTCTTGGTCCTCCAACCTCGAGGAGAATTGAAGTACATAATACTTAAATTCTGTGAGTTTTGAATGGCGAAAGGCATTGTTTGCTTCTATCAAAATACAGTTCTCTTGCCATGGCGTCGTCTGCTTCATTTGAATTCTTTGAGCATTATATACTAGTCACGTGGTTTATCGTGTCCTATGTGAGGCTTGTGGTCTAACAGTAAACGTCATAAACAATGGCAATTTACCCTGGATTATACCCATTCCGCTCGGTGCTTTTACCAAGTTTGTCTGGATTCCACTCCTGGGGTTTGCGGTATTGCCTTTGGCACCCTAGGAAGCAGAGATATTGTTTGACGAAGGGTTCTTTTTAGCATAGCACTCTTGACCGTTTTATGATCCAGACCTTGGAACATAAAATTGGTCAAATTTCGTTCGAATTATTGAATTCGTTCCAACTATCGTACATCTATGCAAAAAATACCCGCTCCAAAGCCCAATCATAGCGCCAAGCTAAACCCCAAAAACGACAATCTATACAGGACCCAGTTCATCACATGCGGTTGTTCACAAAAATGCCCCGACGCGGAGTGCTACTTCATTTGTTCATCACTCGCCACCCGATCCATCTTCCTCAGATCAACAACAACAAAACTCTTCACCTCAACCGGCAACGGCTTATCATTATAAACCGAATTCAACGGCACAATCTTGCCCGTACACATATCATCGTCGAATGCAATAACGTCTTCATATTCGGTCATTTTGCGCGCCATGATGTATCCGCCCTTGGGAAAGGAGACGGAGCGACAGTGCTGGGCTCCGGAGCCGGTGTATGTGTGTCCGATTTTGTGTGCTGTCGGGAAGTAGGCGACGTCCCAGGCTTGGACACCGAGGGTGAGGAGGAGGGGGAGCATTATGGGGAGCATTTTATCTGAAATATTAGGCTGGTTCTTTTGGACTGGGCACCGTATTTGACGAACTGATTTATGTTGCTTCAAGTATTTGTTTTCGATTATAACAATTGAGGCAGTAGATTGCAAAGAGCTGTTACTGAGCTTGGTAGCTTAGTATGTATAAATAATCGAGCTCGATAGCTCTGAATTAAGTTGTAGAGTGGTGATCTATGGAGAATGCGCCGTTGTATAGGGAATGGGCTTCGGAATGCGTCCCTTGCTTGGATGCCACTCTAAGTGGTTGGAAAATGCCAATAAACGGGAAACTGTCCGAAGGAAACGGAAATATATCTTACAGTAACCTTCTTCACCATGTCGCTTGAGGCTGGTTGGCGGCAATAAAAGTTGTTCCTTTCATATAGATTCAGTACCGGGCGGATGGCTGGAGCATGTATGCGACACGAGCCATTTCCGTTACCAATTCACGCAACGAAGATGGAATCGGACATTTCGTGCAGTAGCGGTCTCGGATAAGCTGCCCATGCTTGGAGATATCTCGGTCGATGATGGGGACAGAGAAAGAACACCACTTGATCTCGCGATCTCTTCAAGAGAAGGAAGTGAAATCAAAAGGCCTCCACAAGCAACATCAAGACTGCCCCTCAAATAAACTCAAAAATAAGAGTCGAGCTGTGGTGGAGTTGCAACAGGGACCGATAGCCCCACCAACAGACATCCAGTAGCTCTCGCAAAATATAAGCTGCATGGCCAGCAAGCCGCGACTAGTCCAGATTCGCATACCCGAGACAGCGATGTGCATCGCGTAGGTGGAACACACTTCCCACCTCGACACGCGCACTGTACCATTGTGGCACTTCCGCACGGTAAATAGGCTAATAGGTTATAAAGGAGCGCGGGCCAAATAGAAATGGACTTCGCGCATTGAGCCAGCCTCGGGGGCTCTGTTATTGGTCAATGCCCAGCTCAAGTCCTTTTGTAGATAGCTCAGATGGGAGTGACCCACGGTTGCTAGCGCGGATACCCCCACGCGAGCTTGAATCGGTGGTCACTTGACGAGCCCACTATAGCCCCAGTATCGCGTTGCCCGCTCCAGACTCCAGACTTCCGCCTCCGCGGGATGGGTCCAGCCGAGTTGGGATCCGTGTTTCGCGGCGTTCTTTAGGTGCGGAGGGGTCGTGGCTTGGGCTGAGCCGGCGGGAAGAATTTGGTGCCATTGAAAAGCCAAAAATATATCGAGATGGCGATGGTTCTTTTGCTATTATCGGGGGAGAAAGTGGCCAGGTCTAGATCTAGATCGTCCAGCCGGTCTGGCCAGGGCGGTTCGAGCTGCAGATGCAGATGCAGATGCAGATGCTTGGCGTTCTGCAGGGATAGGATATTCGGAGCATCGAGAGGAACGATGGAAGGTGCTAGAAGTGACTGCGAATGCCGCTAGTTGAGGAAGGTGTTCGTTCCGACTGGTTGGGGATTGGGAGTGTGTTCGTGTGTGATTTGCGGAGCGGAAGGGACAACTCGGGTTTGCCTGATGGGGTAAGACACTACACACGGGCTTGCGACGCCGGGCAGATTCTGCTGGTCACACGGGCAGACCTGCGCCCAGATCGGATTTCCCCTGGATTAGAGATCCTTCGGTAGTCAGACCGGATTGCCGTGCTTGTCTAGGGTGTTATTTTTATTTTGTTTGTTTTTGTGTTGGTGGTTGCAAATTCGGTTGTAAACATGTACCTACCATGCAGGCCTTAGTGGCGAAATTAGAAATACCGATCCTATAGTAGATATTCGAAAGTACTGTCGAATTGTATTCTAGAAGAAGCCTGAGGATCGGTAAACGCTAGCTCGTAGTATCTCGATTATGTGGAGTAGTACTTTTTGTCGGATGGGAAAAAAAAGGTCAAGATGGAATGGGGATTGAGTTTCGCGGAGCCGAGAACCAGGGGAGACCAGCTGACGATGAAGAGGCTATCGCGTACAAGAATAGCACCAGTCCAAGCCAGGCTAGACCCAGACTAGCACGATGTCAGGCCGGGGTCAGGTGAACGGAGAGTGGCGGGGCATCTGGGGAGATCGGCTTGCCCAAACAAGGCATCCGATCGACTACTCGAAGTATGTTCCAGAGTGGCCACCAGCACAATCAGGACTCTACCAGCCTAGGAATTACAACCAGATGAGTTCATCGACAGGGAATGTGGACATCATGATTACGTGCCAGGATTCAAGAATCAGCAGAGTCTTGGCATCGCGCACCCCGGTCTTGCAGTCATCATGTTTGGCGGCTCGCCACGCCGTTAAACTAGGGACTAGGCTGGACTGTGCCATTCCCCGGGCCTTCCCCGGCCTGGACCGAGCGTCGTGGACTTCTTGGCCCTGCCATGTTCAGACTCTGCTGTCCACGAGACCGCGACCCCCTTCGGCACGACGCTGCCGGACACCGCAGACCAGACCGGCCATCGTGAATATTTAAAGATGTCGGCCATGGCTCCCTCTGCCATTGTTTCTGCATCTTCATTCTATCTTCATTCTAATATCTTAATTGTCTCTACTTCGACACCTCGACAAGCCACTTGACACTTGATTCTTTCAAGTTTATACTTCTACCTACTATTCACCACTACTTTACCACTTTAATCACCACCACTACCGACATAATGTCCGTCTCCATCGAAACCACCAACGTTCCCACTGCCCCCATGACCGCCCAGCCCATCCTGCTGGGCCAAAAGGCCCGCATGCCCGAGTTCAGTCTCGCCGGAAAGGTCGTCCTGGTCTCTGGCGGTGGCCGTGGTCTGGGTCTGACCCAGGCCGAGGCTCTCCTCGAAGCCGGCGCCAAGGTGTACGCCCTCGACCGTCTGGAGGATCCTGTACGTTCACACCAAACACTCCTTTCTTCTCTTTTAGACCTCTTCTAACTAGACGATAGGCCCCCGAGTTTGCAAAAATCCAGCAACGCGCCAAGGAGCTCGGCACTGAGCTGCACTACCGCCGCATCGACGTACGCGACACCGAGCTCCTCAACAACGTCATTGAAGGCATCGCCAACGACGAAGGCCGGATGGATGGCCTGGTTGCCGCCGCCGGTATCCAGCAGGAAACCTCCGCACTGGAGTACACCGCCAAGGACAGCAACACCATGTTCGAAGTGAACGTCACGGGCGTCTTCATGACTTCGCAGGCTGTTGCGAAGCAGATGATTCGTTTTGGAAATGGGGGCAGTATCGCCATGATCGCTAGTATGAGTGGTACCATTGTCAATCGGGTACGTTCCCAGCCCTCCACCAGCCCTCCACCAGCCCTTTCAGCCCATTGGTTTGTTGAGATTGGTCTATCCTTCAGGGATGTTCCAATTCCAACTACCCGCATGAATGACCACTGCCTGTCCTCGTACAATGCTAACTTCTCCACAGGGTCTCATCTGCCCCGCCTACAACGCCTCCAAGGCCGCTGTCATCCAGCTCGGTCGTAACCTGGCTGCTGAATGGGGCCAGTACAATATCCGTGTCAACACCATCTCTCCCGGGTATATTGTGACTTCTATGGTGGAGATGCTCTTTGTTGACTTCCCTGAGCGCCGCGACCAGTGGCCCAAGGAGAACATGCTGGGCCGTCTCTCGCGTCCCGAGGAGTACCGCGGTGCGGCGGTTTTCCTGCTTTCGGATGCCTCGTCTTTCATGACTGGATCTGATCTCCGCATCGATGGTGGTCACGCCGCTTGGTAAACATTACCATGCCCAGAATCTCGGGCGATAATTTGTATGCATACGTGGCGGTCATTGCATGGCGTTTCCATTTTGTTCTTGATTCGGGTTGGATGAGCGATCGTGTGCGAGTTCTTTGATTTGATTTGGCTATTATTATTCGGATATGATCAGCGTCTTTGTTTATTGTCTGCTTCGCTCTTAAATGTTGATTAGACTCATATCGATCGCTCGAGTTAATGCAGAGATGATGATCAGACCCACTCGCCCACTTTGACAGATCGGCTCCACTGTAGTTTACATTCCGCGAGTGCGTCTTATTGGCATCCCGGAAAAGAGGGTGGTCACTAGACATGCACGTTTCTCCCGATCGAGTGGTTTCCTCTGCCCGAAGACTCCAAATGTGTTCGCACGTCGACTCTCCCTCTCCTCACCGATATTTCGTCCAGTTGAATGCCAACACATAACCTCATCCCAGCGAACATATGACCTGCCGATCGCCTCGTTAGGAAACCCGTCCAGTCCATGACACCTTTGCGCGACCGAATTTGTCCTGGTGAGCAGATCATCTATTCACGAACCGGAAATGTTGTCGACATCGACCCTGGGGGAATGTGGAGGCGACCCCGCGTTTCACCGCCCCGCCAACCAGTCCCCCAACTTGCCATGGTTTGGAACGACGGCCTGGTGGTCCAATCGCCGCGACATCCAAGTGATGATGACGAGTTGCGGGTGTCAGATGCTCGCCGGGCGCCTTGGATCGCCGATGATTGGCATAGTCCATGCAAGGGGGCCTGTCACGATCGTGGGATGTCGACTGAACGCTGTGTGGAGTCTCAACAGCCATCTCGTTTTTCCGGCAATCGACTAGTGGAAGCGTCGCTGGTATTCCCGGCTACTGACGGGACGGAGCATCGTCCATGAAGTTGAGCTGGAGTGTTGAAGTCATGATCTGGCCGGCATGCCTGATCTAGTACACATCTTGCCCGGGGCATTTGAACTTCCCAACAATTTGATACGAATCGTCAGGCCCGTGCCCCGGCTCCTTTACTATACCGCGCAGATAGATCGAGTCTGCGCTAGAGGTCGACTGTCGCACCACGGGGGGATGGTCATACAAACTATGCTGTGCGGTCGCGGGTCCGAGTCAGCTATCCCAAAGGAGCTATTCAACGTGCGAGTTTACGTAGGTCGATTCCGGGGTGCTGTAAGTCACGGAACTCCCTGATTTAGGACCCCACAGGATACTCTCAGTCGTAGGAGCGAGTGCTGGGATCCCCGACCACTAGAGATGGTCGCCACCGGGGCACCATCACCCCAGCCGGTCGCCGCGATACACCATGATAATGAACAGTTTCCCAGATTGAATGAGTTTGCAATAGTACATCATCACTGCGTACTTTTGTTCTTGGGTACGTTGTGTTGCAAAATAGGGCTCAGACCAGGAAGCTGGCAAGCGCATTGGGAGGAAGTATTTGATAAGTTCCTGGATGTCGGCCAATTCGAACATTGCCTGAGAGAATATGCGACCCTGTGGCGGGCGTGGATGTTCGTCTCTTTCCCGGGAGACAGGTATCGCATCCAGCCGTTCCTCGATAAGAAACGCCACCGCATTACGACAGCTGCGCTAATTATTAGCCGAGGCTTGAGTGCGCCCGCGGGCTGGGATTGCAGAAGCCAGAACCCTAGGCATGAAATCCTGACAGCTGCATGGTGTATCGGGGATAAGCAGAGATCTGTGGACGTTCAGTGGCTTGATTACAGCCTGGATGTGTTCCACCTGGCAGCGTGCAGGGAGTGTATCTCTCGCAATAGCCTGGAGGGCGTTGTGGCATTGAACTTTCCCATGAGGCCAGTAACACGGTTGGCTTGTGGGCAGCTCCACTCGCTAAACCGCGATAAGGCCAGGTCCGAGACCCAGCGTAGTTCTTACTGGCAGGTTCCCATGATGGGCATGCTAAGCAACTCCAAGCCTTTTCAGCCGAGACGGTCTGTGTGTTCGCTGCTCCGTCGGATTTCCCCTGTTTCTGACCACAGATAGGGATCGTGTGCTCTTTATGTGTCTTTGTTCGTCTCCGCGAGGCCATTGACCCAGCCTGGAATCGCAGTGGAATCCATTTCACTCGGTCGTTGGGTGCTGGTGCCAGTGCGTGCCTGGCGAGAAGCGACCCCACCCCGTCCGGGCAGTTTGGGTCAAGCTTCCTGGCGCGAGTATTGGCATCGAGATGGCCTTTGTTGCGCAGGCCACTCATGCGAGCGGCTGATGTTGGCTAAGTCGGAGGATTCCACCGTTACATGGCACGCCAAATGTGGCAGGCCAATCCGGCGACGCTGCTGGCCCCAGACTGGACCTTATCTGCCGATGGACGCGGACATAATCCCATTTCGGGATAGTGGCATGCTGCATGGCGTGATAAGTCTGGGGTAAAACATGGATTTTTTGCGTTGACGCGATCGGGGGCAAGAGGTGTTGCGGCGGGAAATGAGAGCGAAGTGAGAGAAGGCAGAAAGGCAGACCAGGGAAGCGCGCTGGCAGTATAAGATCCGGCCATCACGCCTTCCCCTCTTCCATCTTCTCTCCCCTCCCACCTCCTCGCTTCTCCTCCCCCCTTTCGCTTTCGGCTTACGCCCATCATGGCAGAGATTCGGAATTCATCCTCGATGGAAATCCAGGCGACAAGCCAAATCGTCGACCTGAAAGGCGACGTCCCGGTCAACGAGCCGAAACCCAAGAAGGGCCTCGTTTCCGAATCCTATCATCTTCAGATCGGCGATGAAGATCCCACCGAGGATGAACTCCATGGTCCCAACGCCCTGCGCCGCATCTCTGCTCCCATTCCGTGGGCCGTCTACACAGTTGCCTTTGTCGAACTGTGCGAGCGTTTCTCCTACTACGGAACACAGGTGCTGTGTAAGTCCAAGCTACTACCCGCGCAAAAAGTCTCGACATTTACTAATTTTCTGAAACAGACTCCAACTTTGTGAACCATTCCCTCCCGCTGCCATATCCCAATGGACCCGCCGGGTCAAACCACAACACCGGCGCCGGCGGTGGCTCCTCTCAGGGCGTGTCCGGTGCCCTGGGCCAGGGTGTGGAGGTCGCAAACGGAATTAACACCTTCAACACGTTCTGGTGCTACATCATTCCCCTCTTCAGCGCCTACGTTGCCGATCAGTACTGGGGTCGTTACAAGACCATCTGCTGGTCCATCTTCTTCGCTATTCTTGGTCACATCATCCTCGTGATTTCCGCCATTCCTCCAGTTATCACTAACACGAACGCCTGCTTTGGTGTCTTCATGCTCGGAGTGATTATCATGGGATTCGGCACTGGCGGTTTCAAGCCCAACATCTCGGCCCTCGTTGTCGAGCAGATTCCCGCTGTGAATCTCAAGGTGCGCACCATGCCTTCGGGCGAGCGTGTCGTTGTCGACCCGACCGTCACTCAGTCCCGCATTTACCACTACTTCTACTTGTTCATCAATATCGGAGCCTTGGTTGGACAGATTGGGATGGCATATGCGGAAAAATATGTCGGTTTCTGGCTGGCTTATTTGCTGCCGACCATCATGTTCCTCACGACTCCCTTTGTGATGTGGTGGGGTCGTAACCGTTACATCCAGGCTCCTCCCCAGGGCTCTGTGACTTCCAAGGCTGTCAAGACTCTTTTCTATGCTCTGGGTAACCGATGGTCGTGGAACCCGGTCAGACTGTGGAAGCGCACTCATGACGGCACCCTTTGGGAGACTGCTAAGCCCTCCAACATTCCCCCTCATCTGCGTCCGAAGTGGATGACCTTTGACGATGCGTGGGTCGACGAGGTACGCCGTGGTTTCGCCGCTTGTGCCGTCTTCTGCTACTACCCTCTGTACTGGCTGGCCTACGGTCAGTTGACCAATAACCTGACCTCGCAGGCCGGTACCATGGCACTGCATGGCGTTCCCAACGATGTAGTCAACAACCTGGACCCCTTCGCACTGATCATCTTTATCCCAATCTGCGACATCTTCTTGTATCCAGCTCTCCGTCGCGCAGGAATCCGCTTCACAGCCATCCGGAAGATCTTCTTTGGATTCATGCTCGCCGCCTTTGCCATGGTCTGGGCCGCTCTTGTCCAGCACTACATCTACAAGACTTCGCCCTGCGGTCACGAGGCAAACAACTGCTACAATCAAGACGGCAGCATCAAGAACGCCCCACTGAATGTCTGGGTCCAGACTGGTAGTTACGTCCTTATCGCCTTTTCCGAGATTTTCGCCTCCATCACCTCCCTTGAATACGCCTACTCCAAGGCTCCTCGCAATATGCGTTCCCTCATCCAGGCTATCTGTCTTTTCGCAAATGCTATCTCCGCCGCTATCGCCGAGGCTCTCAACCCGCTTTCCCAGGATCCGTTGCTAGTATGGAACTACGTCGTCTTTGCCATTCTCTCAGGTGTTGGTGGCATACTGTTCCTGTGGCAGTTCTGGGGTCTGGACAAGGAGGAGGATGAGCTGAACAACTTGCCAGCGGGTCATGTTATGGCTGATGAGAAGGCTGCGGAGGGTTTGTTTGTGGCGGCCGAGGTGACTCCTGCTAAGGGATGAGGCCCTGATATCGCTCACACTTGCTTTTAGGGTTTGCATGTTATGTTTCCCTGAGCGGAGGATCATCGGCAGTATTTTGAGAGCCTTTTTGCTAGTGCTTGCATACCATATGATGTGAATATGATTTACGTTCGCAACCTTCCTGTATGATTAAATATATATCTATTATGGTCGACATGCTGATTCATGGCCAGAGATCCGGAGAAGTTGAAGATACTGTTTGCTAAATTCATCTCTTATTATGGATGGCCTCGGATTAAAATTTAGTATTTCTATGTCGAATGAACCATTCGAACATGCGTCTTGTGTCGATCTTTTCGATTGAACTTTCTTCCAAAATGTATACATTTGAACTTGCCAGGTGAAACATGCATCGATCCAATGTGTTGCATCAGCGTCCCCTCGTTCGCGAATTGGCCGGAGTGTGTGCAACCTTTCCATTCGAAATTCAACCGGGAGTGGCAGCGCTTTCTATATTTAAAGTCTTATTCAAATCATTGAAGCCATCTTTCTGGTTAAGAAAAGTTTAGAAAACAAAACTGACAGAGTTCATCATGTCAACCTTGAAAATTGGCAGTTCCTTCTCTACCCGCAAACAGGTTCCCGTGCTCTTCCTCCAGCGAGTGCACTGGGCCGTGGTTGATGTCCAAGGGCTTGGTGCTGGGTCTCGATGGTCCAACCTGTGTCGATGGGAGCTCACGGTAGATATGACCTTTCATCCTAATTCGACTTTCTGATCTCAGAATGTCAACTGTACATCCTGCCAGGGTACTGGAGCGGACAGATCAAAGGGTCCTATGCTGGGCCCCCATTGGCCAAAGACTTGGGTTATTGGGAAGTTCGGATGCATTTGCAATGCGACGAAGAGATCGGCATCGGAAATCGGGTTGATATATTCCGAAAGGTTCAAATGAGACTCGGAGTTCACGGCGGTTTGTATGTGTGCCTGACTTTGGTCATCCAAATTGCAACTCAGGGCATTGGGGTTGACAGTGTTGGGTGTCCACCAAGCCATGGTGGACATTTGAGGCAGTGGGAAACAAGTAATTAAAGGTCTGTTCTGTTATAATAAATGGATTGGTCTCAACAAGTATGGGATGAGCGTCGACCTTTGCAGGAAGGCCGTAGGCCCCATGACGTTTAACGCCAGGACATTGATGATACGACGTCGTCCCCGAAAATCTTTTGGAATTAAGGTTGACCTAGGCTAAAGGCGCTAGTCCGATCCGGAGATCAAGCATAGCGAATATACAAATTGATACGTGTCAAAATTTCGCCCCTTTCGTTTGTGGCGGTGCACGATTCTCTATTTAACCAATGGCCATCCGGAGCGACTCAGAGATTGCGCCAAGCTTACATCCAAAAAGGGAAAAATACACTAAAAACTTCGAGAATCCTTCTATGTAGTGAAGGAAACTCAGCACCCGGGTTTTCTCGGCATGCACGTTAGCGGGGTGGGATTCGAGAGGCTTGATCTTCTAAGTGGTTGAGTTGGGCGTCTCCCGCAGCGGTCAGACAACTTGGAAGTATTACAGCCTAAAATTTCATAAATCCGCACTCCAGGTCTCCTTGACCTCGGGTAGTCGAGAGATCTGGTTTGGAAGTTCTCTGATGAATTCTTGGCGGATCAGTGATTCCTGCGGTGCAAACACAAGCACAGAACAATAGAGCTGAAGGGGGCCACTTCAAATATTTGCAAGAACTTGAGAAGATATCGATTTGCATCGTATAAAAGGCTGGCCATTTCCAGGAATGCATCGCCTTGGAGGCGTTAGCTTGGATTTCCATATCGTGTCAGTTGACAGTTGACACACTGTTATAGCCGTCTGAAGGAGATTGATAGTTTAAATCACCTCGAACTTTGAACCGAGAGGGATCATTGCTTCCCCCAAAAACGGGAACGCTCTTTCGGTTACACCATTGATATCTTTACAGGCCAACAAGTGGTGGGCCCAATATCGACAGGCGTAATGGAGTTCTTCGGGGATACAGCGGGCGACTGTTTCACGTTCAACCTTCTCACGTCCAGTCCCATAATTCGGCAAATCGCAGATTTTCTTTCGAAGCTGTTGGCATATTTCCAGACACCTGAATGCCAAGTGTTTGTGCGTCTCCTGTTTGTTTATCCAGAATTGGGTCTTCTCGGGGGTGTCCGTATCGAGTCGAAAAACACGAAATGACAGCTGAAAAAGTCTAATGGGCAAGCTCTTGTCATCGGGCACATTCAGCACTGAATGGAGTAGGTTCAATCGCAAATTGACACGGCTCTCGGGGGCATTCAAAAGTTTTACGAGCGTTGGAATTGAGAGTGGGATTTCCAGTACCATTATAGCTCTAATCACTTGTTGAAATTCTTCAACGAGTTTGTCTTTCTGCTTGTGAGAATAACTCGCAGACGGACTGATGTTGCATTTTGGAGCCGGGATAGGAGCTGAAGACGAGCCGCATGTCATTATCTCCCTCACACTCATCCAGAGCATCTATCACAATCACTGGTTTCGGGGGCTCTGGCTGTTTGAGGAAAGAAAACGGCTGTCAAACTGCTCCTTCATTGCCTTTGACTTTAGATTCGGGTCTTCGTCTAGGGCGTTCTTTATGTGAGGTAGAAGCTTAGGGATTCGAAGTACTAATTATCTCCCGATCGTCGGAAGAATCTCGCGGCATTTCCTCGATCCCTATCGCCTATCTTTAAAACAAAAAGCTGGCTCCTAGGGAGGAAGGATATCGACCCGGGTTCCGTGCAGGCACTCATATTCGTGTTGGTCTTCTTGGGTATATAATGCAGCTCGTCCGACTGGTAGCTTGTCATCCAAGTCTATCAAGAACCAGTCTCCCCATCATCCACATGATGCTCCTATGTGTGGTCTCGCTAGTTGGGAGATGGTATGCGGCAGAGATTGGCCCATGGTTAGTGCCGATCTGCATTCCAGAGGCGAAATCCCCAAATCTAACTTCTGGCTCCATCCTGTGTGGATTCTGGAGATCAGGGCGACATGGCAGTTCGACAGTCGATATGCGGGGTGACGCTGTTTGGGCGACAAGATCGTTTCAGCCCCATTTCTGGAGAAAAATTGTTCCGCAGACTAGGCATTATCGCGCTGATCGGTGATTTCGCATGTCGACAGTACTGTTCTAGTGTTGATGAAGCAATGTGAAACAATATTAAGTAAGGTTCGGTGACCATCAAAAAGAAGGGGAATAGTTAGTTGGAACTGGATCGCAGCCTGAGGGCGGCCTGAGCCAACCGAGGTGCCTCAGGCTCTAATTTCTCTGCCTCAGCCCCTCGCATTCTAGAGGGCCATATGCTTTTGAATCTTCCATCCAGTGGATTCTATCTTGATATCACGCCTTGGTACGGCGACTCGAGTATGAGCATGATAAAGAAGAAAGTCTAGATTAGTCGCTGTAGCATGCAGCTCCCTGTTAGTCCGTACGATGTCAATGGGGTCACCGGCGTGTATACTTCGCGTCCTTCGTATACTCCGTACATCAAAATGTCCAGTGGCTTCAGCTTTCCTCTGGCATCGTCTCCACCGACGATCTCGGATTGCCGATGGAAGCGTTTGTCGCCCTCGGAAATCCTAAATACTAATGATCGGCGGTTCCTGACAATCACCCGTAACGACTTCTGAGTATATTCTTCGCACCACCAAGATCGATTTTTGATCTCAATTTCCTTCTCAGGCTGCGCTCTGGTCTTCCTCCGTTTGTTTTGGTTACTCATCTGCCTGTTCAGCTGAAGATCCCCACTTGCCATCGAGCCCGCCGCTAGCTCCAGCCAGCCCCAGCCACTATCGATTATGTGGTCTACAACACTGCCTCGCACATGATTTTCGCTTATTTCCCCGGTCCCAGGCCTGCATGCGGCTCGCCTAATCCCAAGTATAGAGCCGTAGTAAAACGCAGCTGCCTGGCTGGTTGCTGGGCTGGTATGTCGAGTGGACCCTCTAGGCACGCCGTTCGGAAGGCCCGGTTATCGGGTTATCGTTGTTTTAGTTCAATTCCAGTGGTTCAAGGCGGTTGGATCGGATGGTTTGATTGGGCCCCATAATTATGTTCCCTTTCTGCCCTAACTCGGGGACTAGGGGTTGGGTTGTGCCTAGTTTATCCCTGGCCCCTGAGGTTCGGTGGGTTTGGCGGGCTGGAGGGGTTTTGCTAGGCGAATCGGTGTGACTTGGGGGCTCTCCTCGGATCCCTGAGGGTTCACTAGACAGGCTAGTGCACCTGTCCAGATGAATCGAGTAATGCACCGCCGCAGCGTTGGTGGGTTCTGCAATCTGTGGGTTTCCTATTTTGGGCGCTCCTTCAATTTCTAGCGACCAGATGTGAGTTATGCAATCTCATACCGTCGACTGGGTCAGTGGGTGTTGGGTGCGTACCGTAGAGTCAGGTCGGGTCGGGTCGAGAATTGTGAACTACTCGAGTGTAATGCGGTCTGCCATGCCCTCGCGATGACGTCGAGGGGATCGACTCCCGCGGGATTAGCAACCATCCACTGCAGCACCTTCACCTCCGGGCGCACAACATTACCGGTGCCTCAGCCCTGCGCCACGCTCCTGCTCTCCCTGTAGGTAAGATGGTGAGCCCCATCAGGCACTGCATCTCACTGGATTGCATGACAGTCCACCGCAGCGGAGGCCTCGCGCTCGGAGAGTTCGCTCGGATGGCTTGACATCACCAGCTCCACACGATGACCACCCACTTGCTGCACCATCATTCGTCGTCCCCGGGAACGCCAATGCACGATGGAGTCCGCTGAGAACATGCCGAACTTTGCAGTGAGAGCGAGAGCTCATATCTCGGGCCTTGGCTAGCTTCCGGCGGCCCCGGCGCATACAAATATTCCAGGCTCCCCTTCGCGATCGTCACACCCCAGATTTCTCCCCTGGCTTGTGAAGAGTCAAGTTGTAGAGCGCCGAGGTCGCGTCGGGTTCACCATGAAGTCTACTACTCTGATCACTTCCCTCGTCCTGGGTGTGCTGCCCGGTATGTTGACCCCCTTCGGTCGCGCCGATTTGCATGTGCTCCATCGCATGTCGGCTCGAGTCGCGTTAGAAATTTGTTGAAGGCACCATACTGACCGTGATACTTGACTAGGCGTCATTGCCGCTCCCCCTGGCTTTGAGCCCGAAAATATCGTCCCCATCGTCGGCCGAGCTCTGCCCGATGCTCCCGATGGCTACACCCCGACCTCCGTCAGTTGCCCGGCGAGTCGTCCGAGTGTGCGTAGCGCCGCGGAGCTCTCTTCCAATGAAACGGACTGGCTGAAGACTCGACGTGAAAAATCCCTGGATGCGATGAAGGACTTTTTGGCCATGTCAAGGTTGGTGACTATGATGTGGTTTCCTACCTGGATCAGCACAAGAGCAATGCCTCCAACCTGCCCAACATCGGTATTGCCGTGTCGGGTGGTGGATACCGTGCTTTGATGTGTGGTGCCGGTGCCATCAAGGCCTTCGATAGCCGAACCGAGAATGCGACCACAAGCGGCCATTTGGGCGGTCTGCTCCAGTCTGCTACCTACGTCGCTGGTCTCAGTGGTGGTAGCTGGCTGCTTGGTTCTATCTACATCAATAACTTCACCACTATCGATCAGCTGCAGTCTGGCCCTGTCTGGGAGTTTGAAAATTCCATCTTGGAGGGCCCGGATACCGGTGGTCTGCAGATCTTGGATTCCGCCAGTTATTACAAGGATATTGCCGAGGCAGTTGAGGGAAAGAAGAAGGCCGGTTTTGACACCACTATCACGGATATTTGGTTAGTTTTGCCCAATTCGCCGGAAAACCATCGAAATTTACTAAAATGTCAACAGGGGCCGCGCTCTTTCGTACCAAATGTTCAACTCTAGCAACGGTGGCTTGGACTACACTTGGTCCTCTATTGCTAAGACCTCCGATTTCCAGGACGGCAACTATCCGATGCCCCTGGTCGTGGCTGACGGCCGCAACCCGGGTGAACTTGTTGTTGGCAGCAACTCGACCGTGTACGAGTTTAACCCCTGGGAGTTCGGAACCTTCGACCCAACGATCTACGGCTTTGTTCCTCTGGAATTCCTGGGTTCGCGCTTTGATGGCGGCTCTCTCCCGCAGAACGAAAGCTGCATCAGCGGCTATGATAGTGCTGGATTCGTGATCGGAACTTCGTCGACTCTATTCAACCAGTTCCTTCTCCAGATCAACACAACCTCCCTTCCCAGTTTTGTGAAGGATGTCTTCACCGATATTCTTTTCAGCCTCGACCAGTCCGACAACGATATCGCCTCCTACGACCCTAATCCTTTCTACCACTACAACAACGACTCTTCCCCGTACGCCAAGCAAACGGCTCTGGATGTCGTTGACGGTGGTGAGGATCTGCAGAACATCCCCCTGCACCCGCTCATCCAGCCTGAACGCCACGTCGATGTCGTCTTCGCTGTTGATGCTTCCGCGGATAACACTTGGAGCTGGCCCAACGGCACGGCTCTCGTGGCCACTTACGAGCGTAGCCTGAACAGCTCCGGTATTGGTAACAACACTGCATTCCCCGCTATTCCCGACGTCAACACCTTCATCAACCTGGGCCTGAACTCTCGCCCTACCTTCTTCGGCTGCAACAGCTCCAACATGACCGGACCCGCTCCCATCATTGTCTATCTCCCCAACTCGCCCTACACTACTTTTTCGAATGAGACGACCTTCACCTTGACGACTGACAACGATGTCCGCGATGATATCATTGCCAACGGCTACGAAGTCGCAACCATGGCGAACAGCACTCGTGACGGCAACTGGACTGCTTGTGTTGGATGTGCTATCCTCAGTCGCTCCTTCGAGCGAACTGGTACAACCCTGCCTGACATTTGCAACACTTGCTTCAGCAACTACTGCTGGGACGGTACTCTGAATTCCACCAACCCGAGCACCTACGCTCCTTCGGTTCTCATTGCGCAAGCTGACAATTCGGCTATTGCGGGACTTGTTCCCGGCATGCTTTCCACTGTCATTGCGGCCTCCGTCGCTCTTTCAACTCTCGTCTAGAGGACTAGTACATAATGATGTCCTCTTTTTCGCGCTTTATGATTATTGAGCCATGAACATTTTCTTCCAGTTGATAAATTCGGACATTTAAATTTTAGTACAATGGATGGTTCATTTTGATGTTATGTAATTCAGAGGTCTTCGCGATGCTTGCAGAATAATTTGCTGTGATGCACCTACAATAATTACAGTGAGAGTCTGGGAAACAAGCTCAAATCCGAGCTTGGGTACGATTAGTATACTATCATTAGCCCAATTTGCAGAACCTCAATCAACGGTGTCATTCCAATGTCCTATGCGTGGTCTTTGATATCGTACTTGACGTGACGGAATAACTACGTGATATCCAGAAAGCATGCTGCTGGGTCAGTCGGAATATAATAGCTTGGGATGAATTGTGAAATATATATAATGGCGTGACAAAAACATTACGCCCCTGGCGCTGAGATGCTTGTTGAGATCGGCTACGAAGAAGCACTGAATATTGAATGAGGGCCTGCTAGACAAATCGACCTTCATGGAATTGACAGAACTTGACTTAACTGTATCAAACTGTCTACATGCGATTCTGGGGGTATTTATCCCTGAACGGGCGGCAAGCCCCTGACAGTTGTAAACCCCTCATAATCGGTCTCGATCGGTGTTCTTCCATGAAGATCTCCTGAATGTAGAATATAATGGCGGCAAGAGCGCTTGAAGCGCATATCAAGCTCAGTGCCTTCGGTTTCCCTGGGTAGGCATGCCGACAGAGGTTGGGAATGAGGCATCAATTCGGTGCCTTATCCTGGAACCTCAACAATGTTTACCGATGATGAGAAATTCTGCCGTCACGGATATTGGCGAATTAATGTGTAAGCTCGGCATTAGATCGATTCCATTGCAGCTGATTGATGTCGAATACATAGCTCCGAATGTTTTGCGTATAGTAGTTTCAATGGTTCGAGTGTCCCTGCGTCGATCAGCCGGATCACCATCACGTGATGGTTACTATGGTAACGCGCGGGTCCGTCCGAACACGGTCGCACTCCACTGCCGTGACTATTTTGACCTGCAATCTAATGCATCATTTTCGGCATTGAACAGCATCCCGCGAACCGACCCCGACTGATACCGCTCAGACCCGCCATGAGCGTGTCGTTCTGTTTAACCTTATAAGCGACCACCCACGACAACAGCGCCAAACGACATACGACATAAACAACACCACTGCCCGCCACCATGGCACGCGCAGCTGTCCTGCCCCCCTCTCCTGCCAAGCGGGGAGCCCGCGCCGTGCCTCGAGTTGCGACCAAGACCACAGCTTCTTCTGCTGCTCGAACCAAGGCTACTGCGGACGCGAAGAAGAATACCGCCACCAGAACCGCTCCTGCCGACTATGACTCGGATACCGACGATGAGCTGTGTACGATAACAAGACAGGTGGAGACGAAGTCTCGAGCTCGTGCCAAACCTGCTGCTCGGTCAACGACGAAAACTGCAACCAAAACTGCTCGTGGAAAGAAATTGGCGCCGGCGCCGGCTGTGGAGGAGTCTGACATCAAGAGTGAGGCCGAAGAGGCTAAGACTGAGCCGAAGAAACGCGCCGGACGACCGAGAAAAAGCCCTGCGCCCGCGGAAGCTCCAGCTGTGCCTGCGCCTGCCCCCAAGGCCCGGGGGCGACCAAAAGGTTCGACGAATAAGACATCCCAAGCTGGGACGAAATCATCAGCTACACGGAAGAACACACGAACGGTGCGCGAACCCGAGCCAAGCAGTCATGTCGCTGACCAGAAACGGATTGTAATTGCGACCAACTCGACTACGATGCGGTCAAATCTCTTGCGTGGTCCCGCGAAGAAGAAGACAGTTACATTCCAAGATGTGTCAGATTCAGAATCCGAGGAGGAGGAAGAGGAAGAGGAAGAAGAAGAAGAAGAAGAAGAAGAAGAAGAAGAAGAAGAGCCAGCTGCTCCTGTTGCCGGCCGGAGAAGGGCGGCTACGAAGTGGGCTGGAAAGACCGGTCTTGGAGCTACGCCGGTTCGCAAGGCCGCAGCCACTGGCCGTGGACGGAAACCTGCTACTGCTAAGAAGGACGGAGCACAACCACTTTCCCCTAAGAAGACGAAGCAAATGGCCAAGTCTCTTTCTGCTTATGCTAGCTCTGATGGAGAGGATGATGAACTTGCTGCGGCCAAGGAAGATATCAACAGCCCCGTCCGGCTGGTTCACTCACCTGTGAAGCATGCGAATGAGAGTCCTGGACTTGCCTCGCCTGTCCGGAGGATCAATTTCACTCCTAAGAAGGCCTCCAGTGCGGTCGACGAGAATGGTGAACCAAAAGTCACTACCCCCAAATCCACTGGACTCAGCTCCCCCGTTCGGAAAATCAATTTCACTCCCAACCGGAGCCGAAATGCGAATGAGGATTGCGACCATCTCTCTCTGCCCGGTGGAAAATCCATCGATTTTAGCGAATCAATGTTCATGTCCAGCCCCGCAAGACGCCCCGAGGTCTCTCCTTTCAAGTTCAACCATGTGGATACGCCCAACCGCCGTCTTTCGCAGTCTGTTCCTGCCCCCAACTTCGCACCGGGTCAAGGATCGCCGCTCAAGATGTCTCCGCGGAAAGGACCACTGAGTTCTTCCTTTTCTCGATCTCCAGCAAAATCCGCAACTCCGTCGTTACCCGCCAGATCCTCTCTATTCCAGAGCCCAGCGAAAAAAGGAGCGTCACCATTCAAAAGCTCTTTGTTCTCATCTAAATTTTCGATTCCTGAGACTGTACCGGTTCAGGATGAACCGGTCTGTACGACACCTACCTCACAGTCGAAGCAGTCCCCCGCGATCACGCCCTCCCTGGGAAGATACAGGAGTGAAGATACCGAGATGGTCGAGGAAGTGGCTCGTGATATCTTTGGTATCGAGTTGCAGTCTTATCGGCCCATGTCGGAGTCACCCCTGTCAAAAGAATCTTTGAATCTCCAACCCGCAGCTCAGATGGAGGTTGAGCCAGCTGAAGATGTGGACGAGAACCAGGCCGAGATGGTTGACTTCACTGAAAATATTGATGTCGAGCATGAGATGGAAGGCACACCTGCACCTAGCGATGAGGCGCCTTTCCAAGTTGATGATGCTCCCGAGCACATTGAGCCTGAGCCTTTCGTAATGGAAGATGCGACTGAGCAGAGTGACGAGGAACCTCTCGAGGTTGATCATGCTTCTGACAACATTGATCCTGAGCACAATGTGATGAAGGACACGGCTGAACAGATCGATGAAAAGCTCATCGACAGTGACGTTCTTTCTGATTCAGACATGGAGGATAAGCTTGAAGAGCTTCAGAAAGAGATCCAGAGCGAGCCCGAAGATTTCGGTACTATCTGTTTCAACACCATGGAGTCCCTCCAGCAGCCCTTCAAGGACTTCGAGCGTTTGGAAGATCCTCAGGATGACTTGATATTGGGAGATACCGCTTCCGACCAAGATCAGACAGAGGATGACCAAGACGACGACATTCAACAATTGGATATCGTTGAGGATATCGCGGAGCCTTTCGTGGAGCCAGTCCAGGACTTGCCGGAACCGAAAACGGACGTATCTTCAGAGCCATTCCTCAATTTGTTTGCCCTCGAAGAAGCTCAGACTCCGCGAAGCGTCCGCCATATCAGTGAGCTGGAAAGCGATCATGAAGAGTACGAAGAAGACGACTTCGAGTACACTGTTAGCTCTATCTGCTTCCCAGAAGAAGACGAAGAAGAAGGCGAAGAAGAAGAAGAAGAAGAAAAAGAAAAAGAGGCCCAGCCTGCGGTGCCATTGGAATGTGACGACCCAACCCTTGTGCCATCCGAAGCAACATTCACCATCATGTCCGACGCTGCTTCAACTGAGGAAGTCAATGAGACTGAACAACGCTCCCATCCCTTTAATCGGATGCCGTCCATCCCGCCCCCAGCCCCCTCTCCCTCCCCTGCAGATGCCACCCCTTCGTCCATACCAGCCAGTGCCAAATCTTACGACAGACTGTTTGACATCAACCTCGAACCACGCATGGATCTCGAGGACAGTCTTTTTGAAACCACACAGTCGGAAATCCCGACACCACGGGTCCCCAGCGTCGCCGATACGCCCAGTGCCGCGGGCCGCCGGAAGTCTAACTTTAATGTCGACTTTGGCTTCACACCGCTTGTGCAGCAATTTGGTCAGTGGGAAACAAATTCGCCGCCTCTCAATCAATCTGGAAAACCTCGTCGACGAGGCGTTTTCTCTCTTGTTGGACCTCTCGAGAAACCTGTCGAGCCCAGCACACCCGAGCCTGGCGACATCTCATACCCAGATCTTTCACGCACTCCTCTTGCGAACACTCCATCCCTGTTCGCGGAGTTGCCTCTACAGGAGCGATCCGATCGTGCCACCTCGCCAGTCTCCGCTGCTGCGACGGAAGGTATTGGTAACTTCGATTCGCCAAACAAGAGCGAGATATTCGAAGACACCGATCATATTGCCTTGGAGGGAGCACATGAAGAAATGCGCGCCCGTTATGCTTCGTCCACTCCTGAGCCGACTGAAAATGAGGATGACGAATCGCCATCAGACGAAGAGAAGGAGAACAGTGACACCCCTGTCATCCCAGTCACTCCGGTCAGGCCTGTTCCCGAGTACCATCGAACAGTCCACACTGTTTCCAAGGTCCCACTGAAGGGTGAAGGCGAGGTTTCTCCTTTGAAGATTCCTCGCAAGCGCGGTCACTCTCTGTCCGGGGCTTCACCTACGCGCTCTTCTCCTCGCGTCCGCAAACCAGCTTTCCGACCTTTTGTCGACAGTGCACCGGCCCTTCCACCTAGCAAGCCAACCGACCCTGATGCCAGCCCTGCACCAAAGCGTCGTTGCAGCTCTCAGAGACGCTCTAACGCTCGAGTTTCTGCGATGAGTCCCCCCAAGCCCGCACCTGTTGCTCGCAGCCCTTCCAAGTCCCCTCGCAAGGCCAAGGCCGCTACAACCCTGCAAGGTGCCGTGGTGCATGTTGATGTTCACACTACCGAGGGCGAGGATGCATCAGGGATATTTGTAGAGCTTCTTCAGCAGATGGGTGCTCGTTGTGTAAAGACATGGTCTTGGAATGGCCGATCTAGCATGTCCCCTGTTGATGGAGCGGACCCTAGAGATTCACGTGTGGGAATCACCCACGTCGTCTACAAGGATGGTGGATTGCGTACCTTGGAAAAGGTCAAGCAAGCGTCTGGTGTGGTGAAGTGTGTTGGTGTTGGTTGGGTTCTTGAGTAAGTTTCACCTCCCACTTCATGATTTTGACATGGAACTAATAATTTTCCAGCTGCGAGAGGGAAAACAAGTGGCTGGACGAGACTCCATATGCTGTCGATAGCTCGATCATTCCCCGCGGTGGCGCCAAACGCCGCAAGAGCATGGAGCCTCGCGCATTGAGCAACGTCAATGGCACGCTCGTCAAAATTCCCGAACCTTCTACTCCTTCGGCAAGCGGCCGGCGCCGCGGCGCCGACCAAGGCGCAGTGGAAGGTTTCCGCAAGATAACACCCCCGACGCCGCGCCAGGGTGAGCCATCCACCCCTACTCAACAGTCGGATCGCAACCAATACCCTCAAACACCTGGCTACAATTTTGCCAACCTCGACGCCATCGGCATGTCTCCTGCTACGCCCTACTTCCTCTCCAACCGCAACCAGCTCATTCAGCAGTCTTGCCCACCGAAGCAGAGCAACAAGGGTTTGTTCCCTGCCTCGCGACCAACATTCAGTCTCGAGGAAGAGAGCGAGGAAGAATATCGACGTCAGCAACGGGCTCGGATGGAGGCTGCTCGCAGGAAGAGTCTTTTCTACAGGCCTGCTATGGGGAGTCCGCTCGGACAATGATTTTTTAACCTTTACCTTTTGAGATCCACTTTTTATTGTTTGTTTTGTTTCTTGGTGTTCACGCGTTTAATACATTCTGCTGTCCACAGTACATATGGGGGACTTTTGGAGTTTTACCTGGAGGCTTGGGGTTTGGAGGACTAGGATCCTGCTTGGGATTGGAAGGGTACGGAAGGCGATGCTTGCTTTTATTGCGAATTTTTTTGAATTCATAGCTCATTGAAGACAAATAAGCTTAAACTCTCTGCCCCTTGATTCGTGACCAATTTTTATTACCAGAAGCATTGCATGCGTGGAAACCTTGAATGATAGTGTTGCTGTGCAGAAACGATACACGGAGAACCCCAGGAAGATCCGACTTCACGCTCTAGGCGAAGGAGAGATGAATGCTCTCATTGCGCGGATGACATCACCCTCGTGTGCCCTCAGCAGCTCTGTCGCTTTGGTCTTGTGCAAGTCCAACTGATCCGCCTAAGCAGTGCAAATTGAACGACGTTAGAAAGACCTCTTCCAGACAAACGTGAAGTACTGTCAAAGAACGTACCAGGAGCGCAACATCGGTTGCGGAAATCTTGACCGTCTTCTTGACTCCTGAATCTTTCTTCTGCGGCCCTGCAGTTTTCTGAGCGCCCGGTGCCTGACCAGCAGCAATCTCAAGCCGGTCCATAGCCTTGCTAAGGGCCTCTTGCTCGGCACTGCCGCCTTTTGCGGGGGCTGCTTCGGTCGTTATTTCATTTGTGTTAAGAGAAGAGAGGGCCACGGCCGCTTTGCGGTCTTCGGCGTTGGCTGGGAGAGTCTGGTCCACAGCCTCGGGGTCAGCTGTGGCGGATGGGATCGAGTCCGACATTTTGAGTCGAGGGAGCAGTTGATGTTGGTGAGGTATTGTTTGTCTATGCTGAGGTCGGTCCAGACCCCATTTGAACCCCACGTCATTGATAAGCGCCCGATAAGAGATGACATAAGCGCTAAGAATACGTAATCCACGACCGACCTGTCCACACGGCCGACCTGTCCACTTTCACCGCACCCTCAATAAAATTGCGGCATTTCACCCACGAGACAAAATTATATTAGTCTATCTAATCGCTGAATATATAGCTATTTACTAGGACAACTTCTTACAGTATGTCCAATAGTCCCACACCCACTGCAGCGCCGTGGAGCTCGCTGGCATGGCCTAGCAGGAGGCTCACTATGTTGCTCGTTCGGCTGCGTATCAAGCTGCTGAACGCGATTTGACCCTCATCTCTAGATAAAAAGAGATCGTCGCCTATCTTACCACGCCTTCTTGCCTTCTTTTTCAGTTTCCGCTCATTCTCAGCGCGTAGAACCTTGATTTCTTGTTGGAGGAGAACGTTCATATTCATTGCCATCTGCGCAGCCTTTTCAAGATGTTGAATATGAGAAATTGGGCTAATTGAGCATTCCTTTTCGAAGGCTTCTCTGTAGACTGCGGACCTCATGATATAGCTGGCGAGGATTCTCAGGTGTTTGAAAAGTAGAGGATATTGATCCTTCGACAAGAGGTGGTGTTGGCGTCCAAAGTTGAAATGTAATCTTTTCGAGGACCCGGTCTTCGTTAAGTGGCTTAAGACCAGCTCCTGCGAAGCCATTCCGTATATTCTCTAGATTAAAAACCATCTCGCGTGCAGGAGGATATAGGTGTAGGAAGTCTTCCTTGTCGATATGATTGTTGCCGGCAGTCATCATTCCTTCAACCAATTTCCCATAAGAGCGTTTTAAAGGGCCGAAAACACCAACATCGAGTGGTTGTAGTAGATGAGAGGTTTGAGGAGGCATACAGAGACAGATAATTGCATTCTCTTTGCAAAAAGCATCAAACTCTGCAGTTTGGTGGCTAGAATGGCCGTCGAGAATAAGTAATCGCTTCGCACCGGTTGGAAGGCGTTTAGAATATGGCTCAAATGTCTCTTTTAGCCAAGCAAGGCCTATTTCATCTGTTGTCCAGCCATTTTGGCTTCTTGCAAGAACCCAGCCATTCTTGATAGCAGGCTCTTAATACCAAGCGGCCTGGTGAGATCCAGCCTTTAAGATGACCCATGGAGGTATAGAAATGCCTTTCGAGCTCACACATTCAATGATTGTAACCCATTCACGATTTCCCTGAATAACTCTCCGAGGTCTTTCACTACGATCTACCGCAGTGATAACCTTAGAGGTTGAACAGAGCCCCATTGCAAAGCCGGTTTCGTCAAAGTTCCAGATATCATCCTCATGGATACCATGTTCTTGAATAGCTTCACATACGGTCGCAAACCACTGTTTTATAACCTTTGGATCCTCCTGCTTTGCTCGCTGGTATGTAATCCTCCGGTTATATCTTGTTTGTATTTCAGGACGGCGTTTCGTAAAGGAGTAGGCCCAGTTAACCCCAAGGGTTGCTGAAGGATCCTGTAGACGCGCTTGGAGTAAATTCTGCGCCATTCCACGTAGAAACTCTGGCCGAATTGAAAATCCTCGTTTATCAGCATCTAGTAGCCGTTTAACTAGTGCTTATTCTTCAGTCGCTGTTAATTTATGGCCGCTAGCGCGTGTTTCCGACCGTGGTTTGATTCCATTCAGCCGAGAGAGTAAGGTGGATTTAGGCACTCCAAATATTGCCGCAAGCTTTGATTTTGATCCAATTTTTTTGTTTTTGTAAGCCGCAATAGCCATTTGCATTCGATTTTCTTGGGAAAGAGGCATTTTGCATGCTGGTGGTGTAAAAACAACGCGTTGAAAGATGTTGCCGGAAGGTTGGACGCGAAAGTGGACAGGTCGACCGTGGATTACGTATCCTCAGGGGGCAGCCACTGACCGACCTCGTCAGAAGGATTTCTCATCCTGGACATCCTTTTCAAAAGTACAGTCTTAATTTAGGCAGGCCTGAGATGGCTCAGATTTGGCAACTACTTCTGACATTCCGCTGTTCTGTTCAAGAGAAGAGAGACTAAGCAAAGGCAAAGTTATTTTCCTACGCTACAGTTAGCCTTTCACCCAAACTTTGTTGGCTTATTAGAAGTGTTCCACGATGACAACATTCTCTAACTTATAACTATGATAGGCTGGTTATAATTTTGTCGTAAGTTATTACTACTCTGACCGTCATTCTTTGGGAGCCTGAAATTGCAGACATCTATTAAAGCGTTTTACGCGGCCTTGAATACGTACACAAGCGTCTCAAAATCGGGCATGTAAATGTTGAGGAAAACAATATTTTTTTTGTCCAGATGGAAGCATCAAGTTAGGTTAGCATTATTTTACCACATCGTGAATGAATTACTTACATTAGTCGCCAATATCGGGGATGCTGTGTTGAATAAGGCTATACAAGCTTCCTTGATGACCGTGAAAACTTCGTACCTTACGTTTCGTCCTGAGCCCAAATAGCAATCGGGAAGTAATAATGTGACAGAATCAATCACACCATAAGCTCGTCGGGTTATACGCGAGGGGACGCTGGCAGTCCAGGAATCTGGACGTGGCAAGGAGGAACGTAAGCAACAGCAATCCAACACGGCCAACTAGGCCTACGCTGTGCGAGGCTAGGACTGGGTAGACTGATAGCGATAGGCCTGACAGAATACTGTGTAATAACAAGAACCGAAACTATATGTGGAAATGTGTAGTGTGTAAGATCTCCACGGATGATGTGCGTGAGAGGGTATCAATAGGTCGCAAGTCTTGGTTGAGGAGTAAGGCTCAATAGCTAGCCTGATTCCCAAGTTGACTACCCGGAGTCAGCTCGCTTGAGATCTTGTGATGAAAAATTTCGAATCTGATTATTTAAAACAGAATATGAAATGCTTAGCGAGGTGGACATTGACAATAGATCTACGCGGACCAGGAGCACGCACGCTCTGGTGCACGAATAGAGACGATTCATATAGCAACATATCCATTAGTTTCGAGAGAAAAAATACCCTCTCTACCTCTCTTACAATGTCTGTCTTTGTGTGTATGTGTGTGTGCGTATACTTACGCCTTTCAGCGCCCGAGCTCGATATAATCACTCTGAATGCGCTGCATCCACTCGTCTACCGGGACCGCGTCGTCGCCAATCAGCACGTAACCATCCTGTGGAGATTCCACCTTGGGCAAGCGGAGAAACTTGTGCGTGCTATTGCAGAACAAAAACGGGAAACCGGTCTCGTGTAGTTTCCCGTGGCACCCATTCTCGAATTTGACGTTAATACAATCTTGGCACCAGATCATCTCGTCTGCCATGTCCCAAGAGCCTCCGCAGTCGCCAGAGCAGATGAATCTCTGGTGCTCTCTGAAACGCGCTGCAATGAGAGAACGAATTGCCTTCACATTCTCTTTATCGCCTAGAGCGATGAATAACCACAAGAGTTCATTGTAGGCAGGGAGGTCGTTGTCTTCGATATCGTCGGTCAGGATCTCAATACCTTTCCGGACTATATCGCGAGCAATAAGCTTAGCCTGCGCCAGATCGCCTTTTCGCGCGTGATATCGCACAATGTATATCGCCGGTGGAAGCATGACGCTAGATTCGGGTACGTCCTCCGGCAGCAATGTTTGGATTTTCTCGAGATAGATAGACGCAGCTTCATCATCATTTGCGGCAGCTGCCTTGATGGCCTTTTGTAGGTAATACGGCGTGATGTTGCTGATCAGTGATGACAGAAGTTCCGGACCGGCACCCTCCTCAATAGCCTTACGCCACTGTTCAATCGCCTTTGGCGACCCATTCTGAAGCGCATTGAGTCCGCGCCCATAGTAGTATCGGATATAGCAGAGCCTAGCGCGATCACCGCGTGCTTCGAGCTTTTCTACACAGTCCCGGAAGGCGTCCACGATGAACTCGAGCCGACCTGTGTGAAAAGCCGCTTGCAACATTAATGGAAGTTGCTCTGTCCTGTTCATATCAAAAACGCACAGGATCATCAGCTCGGATAGCGCCTGCTCTTCTAGCGCATTTGAGCTATCGGCAATTGTCTCTAAAAGTTCAACATAACGTAGCCATTGTTTGTGGTGGGCACAGAGCTGCAGAAACCTCGCATCCCGGGGATAGTTAGTCGGCTCAATTCGTATCGCCGACTTTGCGAATTCGACAGTAGCATTGAACTGCTTTTGAGACTGCTGCCAAGTCTTCTCAGCCAGGATGAAGAACATGGTTGAATATTCCGATCTGTTGAGATCGCACTTCTGCCACTCGGCGTCAGATCCAACGCGATCAATGACAGGCTTAATCATCGCGATTCCTTCAGAACCTTTCAGTTTGTTGGCCAAGAGGGTTGATGCTCGCCAGTTGTTCGAATCGATATTCAGTGCTGTTCGAGCTCGCCGCATTGCTTGCAGGGTTTTGTTGCAGGCAAGTAACATGGCCGCAATTTGCGAATGCCAAAATGAATCTCTCTTGCTAATTCCCAGGATGTTCGCGCACCACTGGTCGACACTATCGATCTCCTCAATAGACGCAGTAAAGGGATCTGGCGCCTCTGGATGTTCGTCGCCGTTTTCGAACTGTAACCAGCTATTAGCGTATCTGGCAGCCGCTATCATGGCATAGAGCTCTCACCTTCCGAATGTAATACACAATGAACAGGAAAGCGCCCCTGGTAACGGGTAGTTTGTGCGGTTCTCGCACAAGGTGGAAGGCCATTCGCTTCGCGGCCGGTGCTAGTAGCTTACCATGACCGCCGCCTTTGATCACGTCCGAAATCCACTCCTTGGTTTCTTTGTCGGCGACTGCTGAAGTGACCGCCGAGTCCCTGAGCCATTGAATGACAGTATTTGCAGTGTTGCTTTCAAGCAACAGCTTCTGGGAGATTTCAATTCGAACCGGGCTAAAGCGGCTTGATTCCCGGGTGCAGAGTAACGCGTCGATTGACGCATCATGGGTGAACAGATTGACAAGAAGTTGACCAATTTGAACCTTTAACTCAATGTCGACAAAGGCCAGATCCGCCGCGCACAAATGGCGATCGAAGAACTTTCTAGCATAAGGCAATAAGCCATTTTCCTGTTCATCGGCATTATTCGCGAGCAATTCCAGGCAGGTCAGGGCCAGTTTAGCATCTCCTGTATGCGAATCGTCCTGGCAGATCCGGGTACCTCCCTTACTCTGCTGCTTCTGTGCGAGCAACGCGTCCACATTCAGCTTGCTGTAGGTGTTCGGTGGACATACTGTGCGGAGAAAGTGGTTGATCATGTCAACCTCGCTCTGGGAGATCGCAGTCGGGCTAAGTTGCTCGGGCTCATTACGGGCCCTGTGCCGCCGGTGGATGGCTTTCTCAACCTCGGGGGCTCGGAAGGTCACTTCGCCTCTGTGGGTGATCGTGAAGAGAGTATACTTCGCTTTGAACTTGTCTGACAGGCGGAGGAGAGATTTTTTCCCATCTCGAGCACACAGAGCAGTAGTCATCCAGCTTTCCGTTAACAGGCCCCGGTGATGTTGTATCCAGAGGATGATATCGTTGATTTCTGATATTTCCGCATCGGAGAGACTCCGTTCCAGCTCTTCAATCTCTTCCTTGATCTGCTGCGTACGCTGCCTTCCTGCATTGTGCACGATGCTCAATATTTTTTCGGGATACTCCTGTTTGCTGATCTCGTGGAGGGCGAAGTTAACTCGGACATAATCATGCCCTGTCTTTTCTATGAGTTCGTCGCAGACCGACTTCCGGAGGTCCCGGACACTGGCATTGGTACAGTCGTTCAAGGCCGGCATGGAGTTCATTCTTGACTCAATCAACGCTTGGACGTCAGGTTTATTCTTCGCATTAATCTGTATTGAATCGAAAGCGATGCCATCGACCTGGGCCAGATGCTCAGAACAATCCGGATCGCAGGTCATCAGGACCCGGATGCGGCGGCCTGTCGCTGCGGCGGTTATATCTCTCAGAAAGCGGAGCATGCCTTCTCCCATTTTACCCACAAGACCGTCTATGATGATATAAAACATGCCATTCACTTCATGAAGGTACGGACATTCAAAAAGGAGACGCTGTGACATGGCGGCCACATCAGCAGTTGGATGTTCTCGACATATTCCAGCAGCAGACCTCTTGTAGCGCGCGTCGGCCACAGTGAATTGCCAGACAAGGGACTTGGCCACATCATCAATGTTGCTTGCGCTCTGCATAGATTTGACTTCGTCTCCTTCAAGGTAGTAAAAGGCGGCGGAAGCTCGAGTGTCTGTTGCTTCGGCGGGATTTGCTCGGTGAATGAAGTGCTGTATGATGGAAGTCGCCAGGAAGCTTTTCCCGGTGCCACTACCGCCGGTAACTGCGAGGATGTTGGCTCCCGACTGGCCTTTCTTCCACCGAGCGAACATCGGATCATCGAATACCCATTTGCCCGTGGACGGTAATCGCTCCTTCGTATAGTCTCGGTACCTGTCGCTCCAGACAGGTGCGATGTCATGGTTATAGCCTAGGGCTTTTTTGATTACAGCCTCGGTCCGGCTCTGCTCATGCACCTCCTTATCCTTCATTACCGCGACTTGTATATCCTTGACCTGGGTTTGCACCTGGGAAACCTGGCCTTCGATCTTTTGTGTCACCTTCAGACTCGAGCGGGAGGCAATCACAGCCTCTTGTGAGTTGAGGAAAGTGTGGGCCGATATCAAAATGTGCTCTTCGTTAACATGCTTGGCCATCTGGCCGACCAAGTCTTGGATGCTGCTCTCACCCAGGAACGCAATCTTTAAGGCGGCCTTGAGCTTCCCTTTGGAGGTGTGTCTCAGCGAGATAGCATGATCGCAGATTGTGACGAACAATTTCAGCTGTTTGGCCGTAAGTTTGGTAAGGCTCTCGCTCATTGTTCCTTTGGCATAGATCTCGCCCAGCCGTGTCAGATATTTCGTGCATTCGTCGAAAAGGTCCGTGAGGCCATCGAACGCGCTCTGGTAGCCTTCCCACGCATTAATGACAAAGCCGATGGCATTATAACATTGCGCCGCGGCAGGAAAGACCTGTCGATGTCAGTTTACCCTCGTTCCGTAGCAATTCTGATGAGATCTAGTCTCTCTCACCTGCGACGCTCCATCTGCGACAAATCCACCAACGGTCCGGATCACTTTCAACGTATTCCCAAACACATTCTTAACTGCATCCCTCTTGCTCGGCTCCATGCCCGGATGTTCAGTAGATGCGAGGGTTCCCATGACATCCCCAATATCCATGCCCGTGTTGACGGACCTGCCAGCTTGCTGAGCCAGGCTATTGACTTTCTCCTGAATCTCCGCCCAGATCTGCTGTATCTCCTCATTGTCCGCCAAGGCAGGCCCAAGGGGAGCCGAGACGGGACTGCTTAATTGTTGGTCTGGGGGCGGCGATGGTTCCGCATGCGCCGATTCCCCTGGTTCCTTTGGCGGCAGCAGAACCTGTGTCACGGCCGCTTCCGGTTGTTCCGAAGGGTTGGGAATGGTGTCTCCATGTTCATTGTCCTCGGGAGACGCTTTGTCCTTCTTCCTAAACTTCAAACAACGGAAATGCATGGTGTAGGACTGGTCGTCGGTGCATTCGTAAAACGGGTGGACAGGCTTACAAGCAATTTATTGCATTCCGAGTTTTTCAGCTCTTCTTGCGATTGATCGGCATTGTTGGCTGAATATCCTACACTAACACATGGCGTAGGAGCCACTATCACCCCAGTCTACTAATTCAGGACTAGTCACAACACCAGGCCCTCCCCAGCCTCACGTCGTGGAAGAATCGTGAACCCGGGGAAATGGTTCCAAGATACAACTAAAAGCAGCTCGGCTCCACTTGAGAGATGATCATCAAAATACTACTTTTTTGTTTCCGCTTGTTTCCTCATGCGCCAGACAAAGTTGAGCAGAGGGCAAAGCCATACTCTTCAACTAGCTGGCTGTATAAGTACCATGTATCCTAGAGGCAATCTACACCACTGATTCAAGTGTACTTCTCGCATTTCTCCAAGGAACTGGTACATCGAACAAAGCTGAAATGCTAAGGTAGATATACCCACCGTTCAGCTCCACCATAGCCCTAGATCCACCCACATCGGCATAAAATCCCTCAATCTGAGTCTCTCGGCGTTCTATTCGTTTTTGACTATGGGTCTGCTCGCCTACCGAGTGACGTAAAGCTTATGCAGAATGCCAATCTTTATCAAATCTGGACGGATTATTTTGACTGATGTCTGGATATCCCGAACGCCACCTTTTCAGTATACTGAGTATTATCCTTATGGCATGCACGAATGGATTCTTTGGGTTTCCCTTGTCCTGGTAGAGGTGACTCGCCTTAGCTGCAAGAAGCTTATCACTCCGTGGTCACTCTTTCGATTTGCGGCAAGGTCTGAATACAATTTTTGGCCATGGAGACGAAGGATACCCCTCCTGGAAGCTAACGTAATCCACAGCCGAGTCGGCACCACAACCGAGTCGGCAGTTTTCCCTAGCACCACCATCAAGCACTATTCAACGTGACTTTATTCCACCACCACTATTCAGAATGCCTCTATCTCAAGAAAGCCGAATGCAAATGGCCATACACGCGTACAAAAGCAAGCAAATCCAATATCAATCAAAAGCTGCTGGAGTATTTGGCGTACCAAGGTCAACCCTTCAAGATCGGCTCAAGGGAATGAAATCACGGTCGGAAACGCGTGCCAATTGCCATAAATTAACAGCTCATGAAGAAGAAGTCTTAATCAAGCACCTGATAGACGCAGATAAACGAGGCTTATCGATTCGACCTGAGTTTCTGCGTGGAATGGCGCAGATCTTACTTCGTGAGCGTACCCAGGATCCTACCACAACCATTGGTGTTAACTGGGCATACAACTTTGTTAAACGCCATCCAGCGCTACGTACACGATATAATCGGAGGATTACATACCAGCGTGCAAAGCAGGAGAATCCGATGGTTATAAAACAGGTTTGAGACTGTGCATGAGGCTATTCAGGAACATGGTATCCATGAGGATGATATCTGGAATTTTGACGAAACTGGTTTTGCAATGGGACTCTGTTCAACCTCCAAGGTCATCACTGCGGTGGAGCGTAGTGAAAGACCTCGAAGAGTTATCCAGGGGAATCGAGAATGGGTCACAATTATTGAATGCGTGAGCTCGAAAGGGATACGTATACCCCCGTAGATCATCTTAAAAGCAAAAGAACACCAGGCTGCTTGGTATCAAGAATCTGCTCTCTTAAATAAGGGCTACGCTATCGCAAGAAGCCATAATGGATGGACGACAGATGAGATTGGCCTTCGCTGGCTAAAGGAGATGTTTGAACCACAATCAAAACATCATTTAACTGGTGCGAAGAGATTGCTTATTCTTGATGCCCATTCTAGTCATCTGACTGCAGAATTTGATGATTTTTGCAAAGAGAATGCAATAATCTGCCTCTGCATGCCTCCCCATACTTCTCATCTTCTTCAACCACTGGATGTTGGTGTTTTTGGGCTGCTCAAACGAGCGTACGGGAAATTGACTGAGGAGATGATGGCTGCCGGCAATAACCATATTGATAAGGAAGACTTCCTCCACCTATATCCATCCGCGCGAGAGAGGGTCTTTACTCAAGGGAATATATGCAATGGCTTTGCAGGTGCTGGTCTTATGCCACTTGATAAAGACCGAGTTCTTGAAAAGATTACGTTCCAGCTTCGTACGCCAACACCACCTCTTGTTGAAGTTGAAAGTTCAATCTCCTCTGCTTTTCAAACACCTCAGAATCCTCGCCAGCTTGATCATAAGATCCGCAAAATGCAGAGAAGCATTCAAAAAAGGAATATTTCTAGCAGTCCGATGTCTCATATTCAACATCCTGAGAGGGCCGCGCAGATGGCAATGAATACGAACGTATTTCCTCAACAAGAAATCAAGGTTCTACGGGCTGAGAATGAGCGTAAAATGAAAAAGAAGGCAAGGAGGCGTGCTACTCTAGGTAATGACCTTATTTTATTTGTACAGGAAGGTCAAAATCGTCTCCTGCAGCTTGATACGCATGTTGAGGAGCAGGTTGAGGAGCAGGCATCCAGGCCTCGCCAGCGAGCTCCAGCACGCTGCAGTAGTTGCGGGACTGTTGGACATACCATAAGAAGTTGTCCTAATAAGTAGCTATTTATTTTATTTTTTATATAGTCTAATTTAATGGCGTTGGTGGTTGAAATGCTTTAATATTCTAGTGATGACGGAGAAAGTGCCGACTCGGTTGTGGTGCCGACTCGGTTGAGGATTACGTTAGTTAACTATGGCGCATGGAAATCGGGCATGAACAGCTCCTGGACTGTGAAGGACTGAATCGGTTTTGGTGTTATTTAACAGGACGTGAGCGCTGGCTATCTACCATGCGAGGTACAGCGTTGCTCTAGCAGTTTGGTCAACGGATCTCTTTGTTTATTGCGCGTCTGATGCTTGGCTCCCCAGGTCTCTGCTTGCTTTCTCCGATAGTTCCTTCAACCTCTAAAACTCACTTGCTTTCCGCTTTACCATCCAACCTCGCTATGTGCTTACAATTTAGTTATAAACTTGAAAGAAGATACATCGCCCAATTTCGCGTGTACGCCGGTGTCGGCGACGATCTAAATCCAACAAGATAGGCCGGGGCGAAAATGCGGAGATCGCTGAGAACTCCGCACGCCCCTTGCTTGGCAAGCATCCCACATTTTCCCCATCCTCTCCAAAAGTTGAGCTTGACTCATGAGTGCTGAGCGCGTGAAGACGATTTGTGCCAAGATCATTTCAAACTGACTTGAAATTCACATCGAGAGACAGCAATGGCTTCTCAAAAAGCCGACAGCGATGGTCCGTCTACCCATGTTGAAATAAACCACAAGGGCGCAGTGCAAAAAACCATCGAGAATACCGTATCAGGGGTGTCAGACAGGGAATACAACCGAATTCTGCGCAAAGTCGACTATCGCGTCATCCCTATCCTGGCTGTGCTATACCTGCTGAGTTTTCTGGACCGAGGTGAGCAAGATTAAACTGCGATATTGATCCCTATTACTGACTTTACTAGGGAGCATTGGGAATGCAAATATCCAAGGGATGTCCGACACCTTGGGTTTGGTTGGTCAACAATACAATTGGTGTGTGGACTCCAATTGCAGCTGCTCCGAGTCATGAGAGATGAGGCTAAGATGGCCCAATTTTAGGTGCCTGACCATATTCTTCTTCCCATACTCGTTCACCGAGCCATTGTGCAATTTGCTATTGGTGCGACTGAAGCCTAGGATCTGGCTTCCGTCAATCATGGTGGCATGGGGTAAAGAGCTCTTGTCCCTCCTATGAATTGAAAATGCCTAACAAGTGGCAGGTATTGTGATGACTCTGACAGGCATCGTTCAGAATTATTCCGGTCTGCTGGCTGCAAGATTCTTTCTAGGTTTGTACATTGGCGTGGATACTTTCGATGACAAGTTTCTAACAAGCTATTTTTCTCTACAGGGCTCACAGAAGCAGGCCTTTGTAAGATGCCCCCAGATCTGTCCTACTGACCTCTTCAAAGCCGGTAGGCTAATTGAGACGTCTCGTATAGTTCCCGGACTCGCTTTCTATATTTCTTTGTGGTATTGTCAAGGCCATCTACACTCGAGGTTCCAAAATGCTTACTTGAAACAGGTACCCCAGAGCAAATGCGCAATTCCGACTAGCTCTCATATTTGCTTCGGCATCCATGGCCGGCGCATTCTCCGGTCTTCTGGCCTACCTTATCAGCATGATGGATGGCATTGGTGGAATCGAAGGCTGGCGTTGGATGTAAGGCACCTGGTCCGCAAACAAATTCCGCTACTGATGATGCACTAGCTTTTTCCTGGAAGGGATTCTAACCGTGGTCGCTGCCGCTGCCTCATTCATGTTTGTTTGGGACGAGCCTGCAACTGCGACGTTCCTAACCGAAGACGAGAAAAATATCCTTTTGCTAGCATTGAACCCTATGCAGCTGGAGGTTTCGGCAGATCCACAACTGGGAAGTGAGCAATCGGCTAAATGGAAACACATGAAAGCGGCAGTACTCGACTGGCAGGTATGAGCAGCCTTCGGAGCTAGTCCACACCAACATGATTACTGAATTCCATCAGACCTGGTTTCATTGCCTCAACTACTGGGGAGTGGTAGGTGAACTCTATCTCATATTTGCGACAAATGCTAAATAAGAAACAGGCCTGCGCAGTGTACGCTTTATCGCTCTTCCTTCCGGCAATAATCAAAGGGCTCGGATACTCCGCTGCCATTGCTCAACTGCTCACAATCCCAGTATACGCAGCAGCCACGATTTCTTGCATATTTGTCGGATACTTCGCGGACAAAACGGGCCAACGCAGTCTTTTCACTGTTGGATGCTATGGTGCGATCGTGGTTGGTTATATCATCGCAGTTGCGCCTCCGAGCTTTATGCCTGGACTCACATATGCGGGATGCTTCATTGCGGCCTGTGGTATTTACCCAGGTAGGTAGAGCAACTGGATCCCGAAATGACCGAACAAAGCATTCTGACATTTATAATAGCTATTCCGGGTCTTCTTGCTCTATCTTCGAACAATTGGGCACCCAACGCAAAGCGGGCTGTTGGGATGGCTATACAAATGGGATTCGGTACTATGGGTGGAGCTGCTGCTTCCAATTTCTATCGCACCGAGGATGCCCCGAGGTATCGACTTGGCCATATATTGGTGCTTGTGTTTGCCGGGATTGGTCTGCTGACGATGATTTCTTACTACTTGATCTGCAAGAGATTGAATGCGAAGAGGGATGCTGAGGCTGATAATGTTTACCAGTACACTACTGAGCAGTTGATTGATTTGGGTGATAAGGCACCGAGTTTCCGATACAAGCTATGAATAAAGATGGACAGAGGGAGTGAAAAAATAAAGCGATATTTGTTCTGGGCGGTCTACTTCCTAGTGGGATTTCAGACCGTATCTTTTGTTCAAAGGGCATACAAGGAAGATTCATTTATTTATCATGCATGTCAAGTACTCATAATGACATGGCTCAATGGTAGGTCTAATGCTCTATGTGAAGAAATCATGACGGGAAACAAATGGAACTCACATGTCCAGCACATAATGCAAATATCAACACTCAGTCCTCAACTTCATCATCAGTCTGATTCTTCGCCCGCTCAATACCCTTGCCCTCGTAAATTGTCCAGAGAGCAAACCATCCAATTAGAGATTCAGCTGCCAAAGCCCACCAGACACCTCCAACCATATTGTTCGCAAGACCCAAACCCAGGCCCCATCCACCAAGTAGGGGGCCCAACGTGCGAGCGCCACTGGATATGCTCTGCGCCACACCGTGCACAGTTCCCAAGATGGACGGGTCGGTAACGCAATTGTTGACGAGGATAATGGCTGCCGGCAGCGCGAACGTGCGCGAGATGACTTGGAGCGATACAACCAGCGTGAAGGAGGGCCAGACAATCCATGGAATACGAGGAAGGATCACGAGGAAAGGCATCAGGATGTAAGATAGGGGGGAGAAGGGAAGGAAAATGCGGAATGAGGTGAGCGTACCCAGCTTTGTCTGGATGTGAGGGTAGAGCAAAATCTGCAGAGGCAGGCCGATAAAGCCTATGATAGCAGTAGCTAGACCAACGCGTGCAGAGGGGAGTCCGAGTCCACCGCCGAAATGGAAGAAGCCTTGTCGAGAATCTTCCGGTGCGCGAGGTGCCGGGAGAAAGACAAAGGTCATCGCGTTGAAAGCACTTGTGTGGAATGCGAGCAGGAAGTGGGCTAGGAGTGTGAGAAGAATGTTGCGGGAGAATATCTGTCTGAATCCAGGTCGTTTGTGGGGGCGAGGTTGGGGTGCGCGTGAGCGGGCTGGGCTTGATGGTACTGACAAGGTACCGACGCTGCCATCCATATACAGAGAGTCGTCGTCGCCTGCGCGGGTGAGGGGTCGATAGTGTCGAGGTCGTCGGGACAGCGCGCGGGATATTCTCTTCCCAAGCTTTCGGCCCCAGTCGCTTCTGTATTGGGCCGTCTCGTGTGTCTGGTGAATTGGTTAGCGTCTAACCTGAGTCCTGCACGGCGGGTTTGATTACTTCATCGAGTCCGAGGAATACAGCGATCACGGACAAGAAGATAAAGATAGCACTGAGAATGTTTGGTAGGGCATAGGGCCAGTGCTGCATCCACCATACGCCTTCTTTTCCGCCGAACACCGAGCCAGGTCCAAATAGCGAGGGGAAACTATTGACTGGGTCGGCTAGAGATCCTCCAAGAATTGGACCAATGATGACACCAATGTTGAAGCACATGGGGAGCAACAAAAATGCTCGTGATTGATACCTAAATTGTCAGCTATTGGGACCTAGATAGGAAAACTGGGGAACACACTTTTTCTCCACTATAATCTCGGCAATTAATGTTCTCATGACACCGACATTGCTATTCAAAACACCCCCAAGTGTGCGGAAAACTGCCGCAGCCATGAAAGACCGAGAGAACCCAAAACCGAGACATGAAATACATGTTCCCAACAAGCCGATAAGCAGGACCCGCTTCCGACCCATCCATGGAGCATCTGCTAACCTGCCCCAGAAGATGGCAGTCAAGAATTGGGCAGCGGTAAAGCTCCCCTGCAAGATACCAGCCTGGGCAGAAATAGTGGAATCCGGCAGAGAAGGGTCGAAAGATTTAAGCTGGTAAAACATATAGGCTTGCAACGAGGTTTGTGTGAGAGGTTCAGACAACCGCGCAAAGGTTAGAATGGTGAGTTGCCCTTTCTTTGGCAATGAATTCCATGTCACTGGCTTTTCGGGCTCTCCATCATGACGGCCTTCTTCATTATGGTCGTTGTCACTGATATCCTCGTCAACGGAGGGGAATCGCTGATGGCGGGTGATGAGCGGAGCCGAAGCTAGGGTCCGTCGTAGCGAACCGCTGTGGTTCACGACCGTGTCGATGCTTTCCCGATCGCTGTCACTTGATAGATCAGTATGCGGGGTGTCGATGCCATCCACATGCTGTGGTGGCAGGCGAATGCCGTTCGCACCGGCGTCCCGAGATTGGTCGGGATGTGGAGAGAGTGGCCCCATTCGGCCAAGACTGGGGCACGCGACCGATTTGGTGTTGCACAGGCGGCTGCGAGATTATACAAGTGCTTTCGTGCGCAAGTACCGCGGCTTGGCGTATCTGCTGGCTGTGCAGCTTGAGAGTTGTTCGGAGGAAATTCGAAAATTGAGGTGTGGAGGGAAGAATATCCGCTCTGACACCATCGGCGAACCCACACGCTTTGCCCGCGCTGCGGAGTGCCGACCTAGCCGCCCGCCGATGTCGCCACTGTGTTAACGTTGGGTTACGCGCGACAAATCAACAACTTAAAAGTTAGTATGAAATACAAGCTCTCAGCTTGTCATCACAGTCGCCAGAATTATGGGAGACCTGCAGTGACGAAGCTGCGCGAGCAGCGTTACGTATCAAAATAACAGTACCCTAGGGTATAGTGCTGAATGCATATCTGAAACTTGTACACCAGTCCATAACAAAGTTGGGCCATTTCAGATTGCTGTAATATTTCCTCGTTGAATCGACGCCTGAAAATTTGGAAGACCCATAGTGGATTGGGTTCTGCGGGGCTGAAATTAAATGACCAGTGTTTGCCCTGTTTCGAACTGTAGACCTCGCTCTCACCTTTACTAGTAGTTTCTAGAAAGGAAGGAGCAGCATCGACCGCACCGTGTCCACCCTGGGTAGGTAGGTAGGCATCACAAGGCAGTATCCCGCGCCGTCTTCGAATCCCCCTCCGCTGCGTCTGCGAATTGCCATCTCTTCTCAACACCTCAACACTTCAGCAAGCACAGCCCTGCAACCATGCGCACCGAACTTACACCTCTCGACGCTATGGTGGAATAACTTTACTATGCCGTCTGCGTGCAACCCGATCTACGATCTGCTCGGTATTCTAACCACGAACAGCGCAGCTGCCCGTGGTGTTCCAGACACCCAACCTGACCGTGACCGGCGACCCCCACAGGGACGCGCGATGCAGCAACCCAGACAGACATTCAATCTGGCATGAAAAAAGTCAATAATGACTCCCATGGTAAGTACAAATTGGATCCTGCTGTTGATGCCCGTCTCGCGGAAGCGGTTCCCCCGCTGACCTTTAGGAGGAAGACCAGTACGACCGAGACCAACTCTGAGTGAAGGTGAGTTGTGTGTGCCGTTCCTTCGCTCACATGAGTTTAAGAAGTATGATAAAAATTCTAAGAATGCGAAGGACTTGACCCGTAACAGACAGATCATCACCGGTCTTGAGAAACACGCCACAGGTCATAAGTAACAGGATTTACCTTCGACCTTTTGCGAGCTCCTTGATCTGACTCGGATTATGTGCGTTGGAATTAGCCCTGCCAAGAGTTGCTTCTGTTTACGATCTTGGCGCTCGGAGGAAGGCAGATTGAAAGATTTTCTTGGAATGCCTTCGGTGGATTAGTTCGTATCTTAGCAAGGTACCATGAGCATGATGTGATGCTTGCAATGAATCCTGGAGCTCAGATCGAATTTAGTTACCTCAGATACTTCTAGCCATGGTTTTGAATACGGAGGAAGTAGAGCTCAAGTTCCCAAAAACAAAAGGGTCCTAAAGACCGCATTTTGAATTAGTCCCTAAAACGCAACAAACATCACTGGCAGGGACTTGCCGTGCAAAACAAGAAGTTCCCCTCGGCCAGGGCCTGCTGCATGACAAAAAATAAAAACAAAAATAACAATGGTTTGCTTTTATTTATAAGAGAAAGAGAAAGAGAAAAATTTTAAAAAAAAAGTGCGCCGACCGGGGTTCGAACCCGGGCCATCACTTGGTCCGCGAGATGGGAAAGTGAGATCGTTCCACTCGACCACCGGCGCATTTTACCTTATATATATCGGATAGAGGTCTTATACTCTGTACTGTCCCAGTCTTCTTCTGCCCGATGAACCACGGTTGAAAGTGCGGGTCGACTACACTCGGAACGTGAAGTATAGCTTCGGAAACACCGAAAAAAAAAACCTTTCAAAATCTCGAAATACCCGTATACAGAGAGGGTTATAGCGCAATCACAGTTGAGGGGCTGCAGGTGCCGATCTGGGCGAGTTCACCCCCCTTATGTTTGCACCGAGTGGGGGCTGGACAGGAACTCTTATCGACACGCCCTTTCTTTTTCTTCCAATGTGGTGATGTATTCGTATTACTCAACAACTATCATCTCTTCTACTGGCGATTGATGATACGCGGTATGGCATTACGGAGCTAAGCCCGGTACGGAGAAAATTGTATGTCGTGAACAAATGAGGGCGTGTGGTTAAAATCCACTGGCGGTTCATGCAAGGTAAGCGCGGCTCTGGAGCTGAATTCCGCAATCTCACTGACCCGCACGAGCTATCTCTGCCAACGTTCATGATACCCGAGAAAAGCCAGACTGATGGATACATCCGATGCGGCCGCGCTGGCAGCCCTGGTGGTTGCCATACTGGCCATATTCGTGGCCATTCTCCAGGCCGTGCAGCAGTACTTGCTGACTGGGGCGCTCATCCGCTTATGCGATTCGGTGGTATTTGGGAAAATGCCAGGTCGAGGACGGCGCGTATGGGAAATGAGCCAGTTCCGATTCCGTGTGGTGTATTCGATTCCGCAGGTCAGTTTGCACCGAGATTTGTGGCCCGGGTCTTTGCCGCATATTCCTTCATACGCGAAAGGGTCCCGTTCTTTGCCAGATTTGGGACTGCTAGAGGCAAAGGACGATAATTCTTCTTCCGTACAGGAGGGACCCTGGAAGGCTGGATCTCCCGCGAATTCAGTGTCATTCTCACCGGGGGAAGCATCGTGGGTTTCTTTCTGTCGTGCGGTCCAGCTATCGAGTGGACGATCGATGGTCCTCGACCTGGTTGCTGGAGATGCAGATCGCTGTCCGTCTGATCTGCCAAACGTGCCGATGCCGATGTCTATGCGAGACATTGCGGTAATGGGCTTGATGACCGGGATGAAATGTACCCAGGCGTCTTTCGAGGCGAAATCGCTCTCAATGCAGGGCCTTGTCGGTACCATCACTACTTCGCAGCATCCGTTCCTGGGACCGCTCCTTCATTTCAGCCCTCGCAACATGTCAGTCAATGAGATCCAGGACCTACAGATCGGCGGCGGTGCGGTGGACCCCTTCTGGATGTCTCGCATGTGGGATGAGGTCAATGTTGCTGGTCGTCGCTACACACAAGACCAAAGAATGAAAATCGAAAAGGACGAAGCCAGTTGGGCTCGAAGTCTTCGAGAACGTGCAGTTGTTCCGATGAGCCGCAATCGATCGCCGCCTCCGAGCTCGCTTTCTGGTTTGCGTCGCCGTCGAAGTGCGGGCCCTGAGCTGACGAAGTCTTCAGATACAGTGGTGTCCTCGCAAAGTCCTGAGAAACAAAATGGTTCAGGGTTCGTATCATCCTGCAAAGACGACAGTTGCCGTACGCTTTGGACTCGATCTGATGGAGACTGGTCTGTGGACAATCGCGCGACAGTCGTTGATGATACGCCAAATATGGTAGCCCAGACCATTGATACGTGTCAGAAGACCCCACCCTTGCGTATCAAAGACAAGGTCAAACGACATCGACGAGCCCTGTTGGCCCAAACGTGGAATATAGTGTTCTACAAAAGACATCATTCGTCAAAGAAAACACTTGATGACCCCTTCAACGCCGAGCTAGAACTTGGCGGTACCAGAGTCACCCCGGGAGTCGTACCAAACCCCCAGCGGAACATGCAAGACCAAAACTCTGGAAATCGGAGAAACACCCAAGATCAAGGTGCCAACCTCCCTCCGAGATGGTGGATCTCCAATTATATCAAAGAGAAACGCCAGGTGATAGAAGGTGATATTCTGGAGAACGAACGTCCAAAAGGTCCCCTCCTGATAGGGTGGTACGATGAAGATGACCAAGGAATTCCGGAATTAAACGAAGCGGAGGAAAACATCGCAAAGTCTGTTTTGGAGATGTGGACTCGATCTCGGTCCGACTTGGAGTCGCAAAGAGCAGCATTCTACGCCTCAAGATGGCGTAATGTTATTCAAAGGCGACAGATGAATCGTGAGGATCGTTCTCGCTCACGTCGTGCGCCGGCGAGGAGCTCGCAAAGGGCCCGCACTAGGTCCGACTCTGGAAGACGATATCGGAGTCCTGACGAGAAAGTTCCCAATCAATCGCTTGCTGAATCTCGTCGACATTATGAACTACGAGTACCATATTATCCTCCTGTTTACGACGATGAAGCAGGAACTCGATCCCAAGCCGGTTATTATCAAACCAACAGCCCAAATATCTACGCCAGACCATCAGCCCCGGAATCCGGGTCCAGACCGCGAATGCCCCGGGATCGCGGCCAATACTCTGAATCCAATGTCGAGGATGAAACAGTTCACCGACAATCTCGACCGCGGTCTCGGGTTCGTTCGCGCCCGAACGACAAGGTCTTCGAATACGGCGATGGTGGCATTGCAGGCCGGATACCAGAGGCCTGGCTAAATCAAAAGTCCCCAGAAAATTCTACAAGCAAAAGTCCAGTGTCACCAGCCTTGGATAATTCAAATGAGCGCAAACCTACAAACCGAGTCGGCTTCGGACCGACAATTGATGTTATCGATGCGCCATCAAGTGATGAAGATGCAAATGAAGACAGCAAAAAAACCTTGCCCGCTGAGAAAGAAAGTCAAGAGTGGGAATTTGTCACACCGGCTCAACAATTCCGCCTTGATTACCCGCATCTCAGTATTCCTCCTAGTGCTCTCTCGCCGAGGACGGATCCGGGAAGAGAAGTTTCGCCCCCTCCACGGCAAAGTTATTTCCCCGCGCATAGGAGGCCTTCGTCTCCTTCATCTTCATCCATTTCACCAAGAACGAGTTCGGGGAGAGCAATTTCGCCCCCTCCGCGACAAAGCGGCAGCTCAGCAGAAAAGCCCAAAGGGATTCTTAAACCGCCAAGAGCCACTTTTCCCGAGGAAGCCAACCCCATACGAGAAGGAGTTGCCCCATTGAGGGATAGGAAACTACCTGACGAAATTCCTGCCGGGGCTCGATGGACCAAGATTGACCGCAGACTCGTCGATGTGGAAGCTTTGGAGGCGGGTAATGAGCGCTTCGAGGAAAGGTCTGATCATGTTATTGTTCTCAGGGTACTCAGCAAGGAGGAAATTCAGCGATATGCGGTTAAGACGCAAGAAATCAGGGGTGAGCTATTCCGTTGTATCCCGATGATCATCTGATGCCTACACATCTATACTCATGTTGTGGTGCGATTTACATTAACTAACCTTGGTTAAAATACCAGAGAGACAACACCTAAGGGAAATACACAACGAGAGAGAATTGTACGATGGCAGATCTCGCTCTGGAGAGAGGCGTGGTCGTCGTCGGAGACGCGATAGGAGTGATTCATCGAGTCCCAGCAGTGTCAATTCGGCCCCCGATAGTCCACCTCGGCGCCATCGACAGGGTCGAGACGACACTGTGCCAAAGTCACCTATTTTTTCTCCGCAGTCGGAAGATTCATTCATCAGCAGACCCTCCAGTCGCCAAACAGAAACCAGACCCAGAGCAAGCCGCGAAAGGATCTACGTGGGCTTTGATAACGACTCCGATGCTCCTTCTCTAGTGGGTGATCGGGGCGAAACTAGATCATCATATAGTGGAAAAACATACAGCATCGGCTGGGGCGACAGGTCCGTCACGGACCTCAACACAGATGATGTAGACTACGATGACCTGGGAGGAGGCAACGACTGGGTCTCAGATTACCTGATGAGCCCAACCGGCGAAATGAACTGGTTCTGGGCATGCCAAATGGACGTGATGCCCGGATATATGTCCACACCTTGGACAACCAAGTTCTCGACGCCCGTCTGCATCGGCGCCATCGCCGTGATCATCGAAGCGCTGGGTATTCTCACAGAATTTACACAGCCTGTCTTCATCGACTCTGTCTGTCACTCGCGCGGCTTGCAATGGATGTCTAGCGGACGTTCAACCTTCCCGCCGTACGGTATAAGCGCCAACCACCACCATGGAATCGTGATAGCAGGCATATATACCACGACCAACTTTCCCGGTTTTCGCGCCCCGCTCTTTCCGATCGAGCTCCTTCGTCACTATGGATTCCAGGTGGACCGGCATTTACCTCTTGACACGGCAAATCTCCGGGCCCGTCTTTCTGAACTGATGGCGCTGGATGCGTGGCTGTCGTATTGTGGTCGTCAGTCGGAGATATGTGGTCATATCAATCGCTATGATGATAGTGTGCCGGCTATGGGCGTGGGAGATCTGCTATATACCATGCCAACGTTGGTAGAACGGACGATGAATAGCTTTACGTATGAGTTTACTGACTTGGAAAGCACTGCTATTGATGGTGGGAAGCAGCGTGTGCAGGAAATTGCGGAGAAGCTTCTTGACACGCTTGGGTGGAAGGCTGAGTGTTTGTCGCCAGCCGAGAAGCTGTTTACTTTGGTTGCTATGCTGCGATCTGCGAAGATGGGTCTCTGTATTGCACAGGGGACTGATACATCCGCGTTGAGAGATATTTTGCTCAATGATGTACAGGTACATCTTACTTAGAGCGAGCTCGTGCGGAGTTATCCGATTTTCGATACCTCGTTGTGTTAAATAATACACGACAGTAATCAGTAATGTAATATTGAAGAATCTGCTCTCATTAAAAATTTTCACATGCTCTGGAGACTAGACTATCGCTGCACCGTCCAGCTAAAGAACCAAATCAAGGCTCCCGTGGGGTATACAAGGAGCATTAATGACCAAGCCAACAGTAACGCCAAGGTAGTATATCAACAGGGTGAGAAGAGCTAAGCATCCATTCTCAAATGGTCATGCTTAGGATCGGTCAGGTTTTCGCGACCAAGTACCGGAAGGGACTCTGGGCTGGTGGGTCTGGGGTCCTCAATATCCCCACGACTCCCTTTCCTACCCCACTCATCAAGGTTATAAGTATCAGTTTGACTCAAGTCCTCCGTATAATCACCCGATGCCTGTGTAATCGCCTCCTGACTCGAGCGATGCATATCTCCACGTTTCGGCGTCGGAGGAGACTTCCCGCTCTTGCGAAAGCTGGGTCGGATGAAGTTCATTTTGCAAGGCAGTGAGAATGAGGTGCGTGATTCTGAGCCGTTGGAGTATCCGCTACTGTCCTTATTCTGGTTGTTCCGGCCCCATCCTCGTCTCCCGCGATTACTGTTGTAGGAGAAAGCCTTGAGGCCGAATAGTTTGCGCAGCAATGGCCACCAGCACATCAGGTTGGCGACGTAGATTGCGGTGCTTGCTTCGCGTATGTACCAGATCTGGTATGTAGTTGTGAGGGGGGAGGCGAAATTGAAGTATTTATTTAGGATGGCGGCGACGATCGTGAAAAGGCCCAGACTCATGACGCAAAGAAGGATGATCTTCCGAGTTCGTTTCAATTGTGCTCTGATCAGGAGCGGGATCGGAATCGCGAACATCACCGCGTCGGAAGATATGTTGAAGACGGCTTGCGTAATTGAATAGCGCTGGTAGGTTGCGCATTGCATGTTATCCACTGGCATGGCCCAGTACTGCGAAAAGGGCCGACAATAGACTGCGTAGTATGTGATCATGATCACGACGAATCCTAGCACGACGTAACCTGCCAATATTTTGATGTAGAGATTGGAGCGTAAGTTCATTGTTATCCGCCAGTAGAGCATTAGCATGCATGTTTTGACGCCCCAGGTTGAAAAGAGCATGCATTGCTCGAGCCCGATGACGATCTTGCTGCCGTAAATCCTGTCGCTAACTTGTTTCGGGTCGGCTAGCACTTTGTCATAATCTTTTGGGTCCATAAGGTTCGTCGCATAGCGAGCCGATATTTGAATCAATACCAGCATGCTTGTGTATATGCACTGTTGGAACAAATCGCTGTCAGTAAACTTCCGATCGTCAATCGCGCAGGGTGGTGCAAATCTTGAAGCTCACAAAAGTTGCGGTCATGATATAATCGTCCCCTATCATCATTCTGTCGTTAGCAACCAGCGCCTGGTCCTAGCCATATGGTAGACTGAGACGTACATAATAAACGCTTGATTCCTCCATTTGCAAGTATTCGCGATACTCTTTTGCTCAGTCAGTACGGCGCGAACAGAAAAGGTAGAGCTCAGCAACGAACATTCGACCACCATAGATGATGATACCTATGCTCCAAAATATTATCGCCTCGACAAAAAGCGCACGCGGAGTGGGTGATGTATTGCCCATCCTGCGGGTTGGAGCGGTTATCGCCCCACGAATCAATCAGACCTCAAACCATGGGCGACAAAAACGAGTGAGCCATGGATGCGAAAGGAGTAATCGAGCGAGTCGGGGCGATCAAGTGAGGCTGGAGGTGGCTCCCTCGGCCATGCCTATCGGCTGAAGCAGATCAGTGTAATCAATAGCTTGGAGTGGGCCGCTACCTGCGAGATGTCATTAACGCAGTCGGTGAAGAGTGATCACCAGCGCCGAGGAGTCAGCATTGGCAGTGGAGGACAGGACTGCAGCGTCATGCATCTTGGTCTGGACATGTCAGTGCTCGGCTGGAAGGGCCAGTGACAAGCAAGGAGCAATGGGGGCGATGCAAGGGATCGCGACTTGAACTTCGACCCAGATCGATGGCAGTTGCCTCGGGAATGTAGATCGCAATAGGGGAGCAGAGCGCGCTCCAACACCCATCTATCCCTGCCTTCTCTCGTCGTGATCCTGGGCGTTTCGTTTCCGGCTGTGGAAAAGTGAAAACTCGATAGTCGCATCGGAAAGGGCGCTGCCACGTATTGTTTTGCTTTTGCCCGCGGGCTGCAATCTGCACAGTGTGACACAATCACCCTGCAGGATGTTGAAAAGGGAGCACCTTAGCGAGCCAAAAAATCTAGTGCAACCGTTCCCGGAGCATATTCGATCTCCCCCTCCATGTAAGGTTTCCCATATGCACGATGGCGACAACCAGATGATCGGCGGTGCTCCCATTGACAGGTCAGATTCCGGAGCGCCGCATCAAAACCACAGCGAGGCAGTTGATTGGGCTTGTCGGGACTTTGATCTGCAGGCTGTTCCAATAATTTCCACTAAAAGGAACCCCTAGGGATCTTCACGGCGGGATCTACAGGCCTTGGGCTGTGTTGGCGCGATTTGCGACAGCGATAGAGTTGGTGGCAGATCGGTCTTCAATACTCGATTTCTGCAAGACTAGTCGCCATTGGCCTTCTTTCAAAGTGCATGTGATAATATTCGGTCGGGTATGAGTGACTGCATCGTATCTCCGAAGAAATTGGTAGACGAATTTGTAGACGAATTGGTCGGGAAGTAGAAATGGGTGAGGATAGCTTCGAGAGGTCACCTACACCTGATAGAACGACTATGGCAACAGCGCCGCGAATTCAAAAGAGTTGCCAATGCCCCAATCCATCCTGGAAATATCCTATGATCCTAAATAGACATGGCAATGTTCGCTTCCTGAGCAAGTTAAGCTCAGGTATGCTTGCATCACATTCGTCTCATTGCATCGCAGGATAAAAATGGGGAGACAGGGAATCTAAGACGAGGACATTCTTAGCTCAAGCACCTTCATGCAGAGCTTTGTGTGTCTGAATTCCCATCTCCAATGATGTTGAAGTATAATGAGAAATCTTTATTTTTTAGTCTTTTTTTCTTTTATTTTTTTCTCTTTTTTCGTTCTCCGTTCTCGCTCGGTATGTGGTCGATAGAGGGTACGGTAAGTATTCGAGCGCCTAGAGCTCAGGTGTTAGAAACCCTTCCAGGGTCGTATTTGGACTTTTGAGACAGAGATCCTGCACACCAAAGCTTATTTGAATGCCAAAGCTCTCCAACTGATGGTATGACAGCAGCGGGACGCTCCGAGAAAGCTGGCGAATGGAACAGATAGCGGAGGTCCTGAGAAAGGGGCTAACGGCCTGACGCCTTGATCGAGTGGCCCTTGCGCTGGTAAATATCCTGTCTGCATGTATGACAATGTCAACCAGAAGCCCTGTCAATGAAGTCATACTTGACAAGGTCCGTAGAGGGGAAATTGTGCTTCTTGCGAAGGTCAAAATCTTGTCCACGGCATGCGGCGCAATGCAGAAATTCCAAAGCAGTCTCTGGTAATATTTTCACATTCTGATCGGTACGCCACTAGGACCCCGTATGGTCCTCTTTGAGCAAAGGCCAATGACTGTGGTCATCTACTGGAAGGGTAGCAGATGTCCTGGTGAAGAGATTAAGTAGGTATAATTTCGTATGCCCTCCAGTGCAGAGGATATTCCAACTGAATCAGGGTGCTTCGCAGTATAAGCCGACCTTAGCGTGTTGAGATCGATCACGCTCATTTTTTGTCGGTCGTTATGTCGAGGTGACATTGCTTTGGGATCAAATGGGAGTGAAGGGTGCCGCGTGCAGCTCTTCTAAGCCTGAACGATCTTTCCCTTCCTGGCAAGAAACTTCACTCACGTTGGTCAACACTCCTCGTCAACTCCTCTCATGCACTCGTTCCACCTCTCGCCGGATCTCTCAAGCACCCTCGAGACATGGCCGCTCGGAACCAGTCGCTTCAAGTGTCGAGAGGCACCAGCACCAAATACGGGTTCAGTGTCCGAGGTGTCTGCACAGCAACTCCTCTCTACATCTAGACCATCAACAGCAGAGTTCTGCGCGATCCGAAAAACACACCACACAACAACGCTTCCGATAAATCGGATAAGGGTGTTCTCACTAACGGCTGTTCGTCATGGGAGCTAGGCCCTCCCGCTCAACCCATTCTCGGGATGCGAGTATAACCTGATCTGCAGCTGGATCCTATCCCAGGACTCGGCCCATACTGTCGCACCAGCAGCTTCATCAGTGACCATCACTCTACCCGCACCAATGCTTGAATAATCAACGCTTCATTGTCGATGAAACCATGCTATAGCCTGCGTATCGATCGGAACCGGATGCTATCAAGCGGATGGCACGGCAACCTCACTTCCTATCGATGCTTCTCAAGAGACGCTGTCTGACTACCGACCCGAATAGACCTGGAGAAACAGGGCATATAAATTCGATTCGCAGGAATTAAAATATACCTTCAGCTGAACTACACCTCTCAAGTTTAAGCTATTATCTATTGCCTAGTTTTAACCACTATGCTTGGAAAAATCGGTCTCGAAGACGCCTACGAGCGCGCTGGGTTAAAGGAAAAGCACAAACACGAGGCCAGCCTCTACATCGCCCCGGAAGACCGTGATCGCTACATTCGGCAAGTTCACGACATTAACAACGATCGTCTCCATCTTTCCAACGAGCATGGAATCGGATACACGGTGATGTCCCTTACAGTTCCTGGAATCCAGGGGATCGCCGACAAATCCGAAGCCGAGAAGAGAGTTACCTCGACAAATGACTGGGTGACCAACGAGATAAAAGACAAAGAGACTGTCTCGGTGCCTTTGCTTGTCTTTTCATGCACCATCCTGTGCAAGCAGGCCAGAAGTCGGTGCATCCAGTAAATGGGTTTTCACGGAGCTCTCTGTGCGATTTCAGCATATCGGTCCCAACGGAGAAACCTATCTCTTTTTTATGACCAGCCACAGTACGACACGTTCTGGGAAGTCGTCACCGAGCTGTATGTCCCTGTTTATCTCCACCCTGCGGCGCCATCGGATATCATCCTGGAGAAGCTGTATACGCAACGACACTTCCTCATTGGCACTCCTCTCTCATTCGCCAACGGCGTGGATCCACACAGGCTCCGCTATATCTGTGATGGAGCTTTCGATCGCTTCTCGAAACTGAAGCTGATCATCGGACACCTGGGAGAGCATAATCCGTTCGACTTTTGGCGCATCAATCACTGGTTCGAGGATGTCAAGAAGCCGATCGCAGAAGATGAGGGCCGAGTGATGTGCAAGAAGAGCATTCATGATTATTTCAAGGAGAATATCTGGGTCACCACCAGCGGCCATGTTTCGACTGCGACATTGAAATATGTGGTTAATGAGATTGGTGCCGACCGTGTTCTTTTCAGTGTCGACTACTCTTACGATACTATTGAAAACGAGTGTGGTTGGCGGGACAATGTGGCCAAGCCGATTCAAAAGGCTGTTGGGCGCGTGGATGCATACCGTCGAATGGGTCGGGATAATGCGAAGAAACCGTTGAAGTTGAACTCTTTCCACTATTCTGAGGCACTTGTGAGCTGATTATAACATAGCTTTGCTTGAACGACGTGCAAGTATGTTGGTCAGGCTATTGGTGGTTGGATTGGATCGCAAGACTCTTGGTGTTGATCGTGTGATGTATATTCCGCACGGTTGGCACTGCCGTGCTAGGTCCGAGCTAGGCTTTCACTAGGTCAAACAATCTACGCGATATAGTTCAGTTCAATCACAAATCAAGCCGATCGATCAGTCAGGCCACGCGACCCGGAAGCGATGTCCTGCAGGCGATCAACAAGAATTCTGGCAAGGAGGTGCCACGCAACACCGTGAACTGCAGGGATGTGGCAGCGTACGCCCCGGATCGGGCGCTAGAACTGCGAAAAACAAGCTTCTACCTTTTCCTCGCAAACTTACTCATGGCGAAATGTTGTTTTGCTGGGGAACAACCCAGCGCTGGATTGTTGATTTGTCTCCGACCCCAAGGAAATCTCCAAAGATCCAAACCGGCGCCGGCGACCGAGCCCAGCTCCCCCTTGCATCCGCGATGAGATGCATCCAACCTCGCCAACTCCCTTCTAGGAAGGTCCCTCAAAACGAACGAGAATGATTCGACAGCCACCAGCCCAGCACAAAGAGACTGGCTCGTCGCGCGGACTTCTCGCAGGCAAAGCGGCTACCAACAGGCCAGCTGCAGTAGCAACGCGCCCGTCAGCCTGCCTATTGCCAATAGCCACAGCCTCGTCCCCGCCAACAACAAAACACGAGAGAGAGCGAGAACAAGCGCTGAGCAACGCGCCACCCCCTCGGAGGAAATTGGTTACTGGTCATTTTGTCCCTCCCAAGTTATTCTCCTAGTCGCGCCCCCCACACGTGGCCGCCATATGGGGCCCGCACAGCATTCCGGGGGTTGAGTCGCACTGTCCTCATAGGTCCGGCGAAAAAGAGATGGGTCATTCCGCGTGGTTGTCTCCTTTTATGACTTGAATCTTTCGCAGATTTTCACTTCTCGACCTTTTGATTGTTCTTGTACCCCCTCTATGTCTCGATTCTCTTCGGAGTTCACGATCGGATATCATGGCCCCGGATGAGCCACAGACACCGCACAGCGGGGTGACGCCGCTGAAGACGAAGGGTGAAATCGATGAAGTGCGTCTGGAAGCTGCTCTAGGTCACAAGCAGGAGCTGAATAGACATTTTGGATTGTGGAGTTTGACTAGTCTGGGCATTGTGATTGCAAAGTACGTCGATTCAACGATCATCAGAATGATTTAAGCTAATATTTCCAGCTCTTGGGCATCTACGGGAGGAACAATCGTCGCAGCTCTGCACAATGGCGGGCCCATGGCTATCATATACGGCCTCATCCTCGTGAGCGTTTTCTATACGGCCATCTCCGCGTCGCTAGCCGAGCTCGCCTCATCAATGCCTTCCGCCGGGGGGGTTTATTATTGGTCATCAGTCCTGAGCCGAAACCGCGGACGAGGTGCAGGTTTCTTCACGGGGTACTTGAACGCCTGTGCGTGGTTGCTCTCAGCGTCATCGATGAGTTCCATGCTAGGAAATGAGGCCGTAGCCATGTATCTGCTGAAGAACCCAACGAAAGCGGATTGGCATTCATGGCAAGTCTTTATCGTTTTCCAGCTGGTCAACTGGATTTGCTGTGCCATTGTTTGCTTTGGGAATAGACTGATTCCCCTCCTCAACCGGATTGCCTTAATTCTATCGATGTGCGGGCTTGTGACCACAGTGGTTGTTCTGACCGTCATGCCGAGAACCCATGCAAGCAATGCACAAGTCTGGACGGAATATCATAACAAGACAGGCGGCTGGTCAGACGGTGTCTGCTTCATGACCGGTCTTCTGAATGCAGCATTTGCTGTCGGGGTACCGGATTGTATCAGCCACCTCTCTGAGGAGGGTACGTCAATTACATCACCCAGTTTTTTTATCACTGACTAACCACTATCTATAGTTCCAAAGCCCGAAGTCAAAGTTCCCCAAGGCATAATGCTCCAAATGCTCACAGCCTTCACAACATCCTTTGTCTACCTAATCGCCCTCTTCTACTCAATCCAAGATCTCGACGCCGTCTATGCAAGCAACATCGGCGGTTTCCCAACAGCAGAGATCTACCGCCAAGCAACCGGTTCCAACAATGGCGCCATAGGCCTTATAGCCGTCCTCTTCATCGCGACATTCCCAACCCTCATCGGAACCTTCATCACCGGCGGCCGAATGTGGTGGAGTCTGGCCCGTGATAACGCAACCCCCTTTGCAACCTACTTCGCCCAAGTCCACCCAACCCTCAACTGTCCCGTTCGCGCAACGGTAGCCATGAGTGGCCTCGTCACCTGCTTGGGTTGTATATATGTCGGCAGCACAACGGCATTCCAGGCACTGATTTCATCGTTCATTGTCCTCAGCTCACTTTCTTATTTCGGCGCCATCCTGCCACATGTGCTATCCCGTCGTCAGAATATGGTACCAGGCCCTTTCTACATGGGTCAGAAGCTCGGCATGATGGTCAATATCGTGGCATTGATCTACATAATGGTGACAGTTGTGTTCTTTTGTTTCCCGTTCGTCCTCCCAGCGACGGCTCACAACATGAACTATACCAGTGTCATTACAGTCGGGTTGATGTTTTTGGTTGGGGTGTGGTGGCTTTTCCGAGGTCATCGAGAATACCAGGGTCCGCAGTACAGCTTTGAGGCTGCGGAGAGATTGACTGCCTTCCAGGCTGGGAAGGAAGGGCGGAGGTCCTTTATTGATGTTGCGAGTCCGTTGCCCGTTCCTTGTCTTGAAAAGGATTGTTCGGCAAGATAATGGATGAATATGATATATACGACGCCATGGATATGTTGGTACGGCCGGTGATGGATACGACTTTTGGTTCTTGTGACATATGCGATTGACATTCTCGGATAATATGTACATTAATGTGAAAATGGAATAAGGTGTTATATTCGGCACCTTGAGCTTCTCCTTTCGAAAGCGAATGGAACCGGTTCGCCGTCTCTTTACCTCGAAATGCGCTACGTAGTGCCGATCTTTGAACAACGATCCCCAGTAGTCAAAATACAGGCGATCTTCTCAACTCCGGCTCGTCGGTGCAAACACACCCGAACCATGAGACTGTGTCTCACAAGAAACTCAAACTCAGAAATACCTATTGTCGAACATGGAATCCAAGATGGACGAGCAAAGTATTCCATCCTGCAGGTCTCGGGTTAATATAGCCCGGCAATAGCCGATCCCAGCATGTGGATCGCCCAGGGACCTGATTTTTACCGGCGGCTTGAAGAGCTGCACAATTTCCAAGAATTGGAGCAGGACACACGTACCATTCTCGGGGAAATAGTGGGCGCATGTGGCTGAATGTGGGGTTCCCCGGATTATTTCCTTCAGAGTCCAGGATGGTACCTTAGTATGCAACTGGAGCTTTACTTAACCGATTCATGCTGCTCCTGTAGTCATAGGAAGATCTTCACACTCACTCTTGACGTGATATTTAGATAGTTGAGGCCATGACATTCCGCCCCATCTCAGCCTCGCTTCTGGGCCTCGCGGCTTCGGCTTCAGGTTTGAACTTCAATGTTCCTGCATCTCCACCTTCGAATTCGAGTGGGCAAATCCCCGCGGCCCCTGTTGGAGTATCGTAAGTCTTGAATTGTGTGACTACTTTTTTCATATCAGCTAATTCCGAAGTTTTGAATTTTTTTGCGTTCCCCGCCTACATTGAAGATGTCGACGCGACTATGACATGCCTGGAGAACCTGAAGGATCTCACGGGGACATGGCCACCTGTGAGAGTCGGAGGAACAACCCAGTATGTTCAAAAAGTTTTCCAAATAAGACGGGTTGCTAACAATATGCAGGGATCGGGCAACATATGATCCCACCTCAACCGAAGCTGTCACTTATACCGTGGCCAGCGCAGGTGCTGCACCCGAGACTTTGACCTACGGCCCATCCTTCATTTCCTTGGCTGCTAGCTATGCTGGAGAAGTCATTATCGGACTAAACCGGCGCTTGAACAATATCTCGAACACAATCGCGGCGGCTGTCCTTGCTCAAAGCAAAATGGACAACTTGTACTCGATTGAGCTGGGAAATGAGCCCAACTGTAGGCCTCCCATCACAATGTTGACCATTCACGTGCTAACTCATCCTTCAGTCTTCACCAGCAGTGATCCAATTGCAAACGGTGCATCGTGGACATCCGCAGTAGACGAAGCATCTCAAATCAGCTGGCAGGACCAAGTTTGCGGCAATCTCTCTGCGACCGATATCATCTCGGCAGGCGTCTACTTCGGCACGTCGCCCATGAGCGTCGCAAGCCTTGCGACAACCGAAGGTGACTCGAATGAATATGTCAAAGATTATTGCTCGCACAACTATCCTCAGTCCTCTGGCTCCTATAATCTGGCCACCCTTATGGGCCATAGTGATATTGCCTCCCAGATCGAGCCTTATGCCGCTGAAATCTCTGCTGCTGCTAACAAGGGCAAGCCGCATATCTTTGGCGAGACAAACTCCGGTATGTCCTCTTATACTGCAACATGATCGAAATACTAACGAATATTCAGCAACCCAAGGCGGCGGCGGCATCAGCCCGACATTCGGTGCGGCCCTCTGGATCCTGGACTACGTGATGCAGACAGTCCTCATGGGGACCGACGCCCTCTACTTCCACCAAGGCACCGTCGGAAACTGTAAGCCATTTCCAAACACCCTCCATCTATATACTATCTAACTCTACAAGGCCAATACTGCTGGTGGGGCCGCTACGACATGGGCTCCCCCTACTACGGCGCCTACTTCGCCACAATGGCGCTCGCCAACGCAGACCAAATCGCACCCCTAGATAACCAAGATACCAAATACGCCGCCTACGCCATCTACAAGGACGGAGCTCCAGTCCGAGTTCTTCTCTATAACTCCGATTATTATACGAGCGGAACCCGGTCGTCACAAACGTTTACCCTCTCCGGACTTTCGGGTAGTGTTACAGCCAAACGGCTGACCGCAGCTTATGCTACGTCAAGGGTTGATCAGGGACAAAATCCCACTGTTGCTGGGCGGACGTTTGCGAATGGGACTTGTACGATTCAGGGGACGGAGAGTGTGGAGACGGCGTCTGTTTCTGGTGGGAAGGCGACGTTTACTGTTGCGGCTTCGGAGGCTTTGCTGGTTTACCTGTGATCACTCAGCCCCGCCAGCATGTTCATGACGAAGATTTGGGTTGGAGGCCATTTGTTGAAGTCAGAGAATGTGATTGAGAGAGGGTGACTCTACACATGTTGGAATCACCCCACCGGGGTTTCTCTCATTGGGGCTAGTGAGTATGCTAGTGCCAAGAGGCCCTTTGTTGCAGTCCATCCCCTTAAGAACCACTTCTCTTGTAATTCATATTTTGCATCCTAGGAGTAAATTCAAGATTCCGAACACCAATAACGGCATATAATTCCGCGTAGCCATCAGACGAAAACTGTTATAGACAAGCTCAACACGGGTCTGGTACATCAGTTCTAGACACGCGTGCCCCAGCACTGAATTCATGATAAGTCCAGAAGCTTTGCTTCATTCGAAATTTTCCCACCATAGTGACTATGATGTTCAGGGGTATTTTCAAACAGCTGGCCTGGTTTAGTGATTCAAGGCGAAGTAGCTGCCGGTCCCCAGAGACCCGAGTTGCTGGCTACCAGTAGCTTCGGTATAATTCAACACGAAGCAATAGCCGCTTTTTGAAACGATGGCAAGACGGAGCCACTTTGGATGAAAGCAGCCAATAGAAACGTAAGATTCTTCTGAATCGGCGAATGAACTGTGAAGCGAGGCCAGCCTTGCGGATGAGATTACACCCAGGCGCTAGCGTGGCTTGAGCTCCGGCGACCCCATATTACTTCCCCGCAATTGCCTTTGTTTGTCATTTGTGGAACTTGAGATGAATAGAGTTCAAATTAATCCTTCTGGGGTGGTTTAAGCTTCCCAAAAGGGCTGTAAATATAAGCATTATCGCCCAGCAGCTGTGATCTCCAACCGTGTGCAATTTTTGACTCTTCCTTCCCGTGGGGTAAATTCAGCGCAGCATTCAGCTCATGATGGGTGGATCGAAGGCAGACACCGAGAACATCGAGGATGTGTCTCCCAACCAGGGAGATGACATTCCGGTCAAAAGCATGAGACCTATCATGCGGTCCCGCGAAGACGATCTCGGTATCTGGCAATCTGTGCGACGATTCAAGACAGTGTCGCTGATTGCCATGACTGCGGCTTTCAGCGCGTCCTTGGACGGTTACCGTTAGTTTATTTTCCCTGGGGACAGTCGAACTATTTGATTCCAAGTTTCTGACATGAGCAGAAATCAACCTCAACGGCGGCATTGTCTCCAATAAAGGGTTTATTCAGCAGATGGCCTCTCCAGGGACTTCAATCATCGCAGGAAAATACATCTCTGCTTGGGGCGGCATTCAATCTGCTGGTCAGACTGTGGGTCAGATTGTGAGACTTTCGTTCCAATTCATTTGCGCATTTACTAAATTTCCTCAGCTGCTGCAATATTTTACGGAAAGGTTCGGTCGGAAGGCTGCACTTTACATTATCTGGGTCGACATTACTATCAGTGTATTTATTGAATCCTTTGCAACAAGGTGGGATCACTGGCTTGTGGCGAAACTATTTTCGGGAATGGGAGTCGGCATGCTGCAATCAACATTGCCTCTCTATTTGTCGGAAATCGCCCCAACTCAGCTCCGAGGTTTCTATATCAACGCCTACAGTTTGTCAGTTGAAAATGCGACTGCTATGTGAGAAAATTGGCTAATTGTCTGTAGCTGGTTTGTGGTCGGGCAAATTTTCGCGTCGGTAGCGCTCCAGGAGCTCAGTGCTAATGACCCGTACGATTTCCGGGTTCCGATCTACACGCAGGTTCGTGATATCGTTCATTTGCTTCTTGCGATCGCATGGAAACTAATACTCCTCTTTATGAACAGTGGGCTATGGTTGGCATCATCATGGTCATCTTTGGTTTTCTTCCAGAATCACCGTGGTGGCTCGCCAGCAAAGGCAAAATTGATAAAGCTGCGAAAATCATAAGGAGACTGAACGGCAAGGTCGACGGATACAGTGTTGACGAGCAGATTGTATGAATTAATATTTCTCTTGGAGATCTCAAAAAGAGGGAAATCTAACACTGGTTACAGGAAGTCATGACGGCGACAATTGCAGAGGAGCGAGTCATTGCAGAGCGCAACTCCGAAGAGGGAACATGGGCTGTCTTCCAGGGCCGCAATCGTCTTCGCTTCATCATTGCTGCATGGCCAAAGATTGCTCAGCAATTTGTCGGCTTGTCCGTGTTCAACACCTATGCCACATATTTCTGTGGGTTATGGCCACCTCTCACCATTTCTGGTATCTGACTAACAACTTTCATCTGAATGTAGTTCAAAATGCTGGAAGCAAAGACCCCTTTATGGTCACAGTCATTCTATCCTGTGTTCAGCTAATTTCCATGATAATGACCGCAGTTACCACAGACAAGCTTGGTCGTCGTCCGCTTACAATTTATCCCTATGCAGTGACATCCGTGTCAGTTTTGTGTCTTGGGATCATCGGTTGCTTCGACTATACCAAGACATCAACAAGTTCACTTCTGGTAGGCCTTCCTAAGAGGTGAGCTAAAGTTTGACAAATTACTGATTTACTATATAGATTTTCTTTGCTTGTTTGGCAACTCTATCTACCACGGGTGCATCGGCCATCGGATATGCTTACGCCGCTGAAATCCCCCAACAACGGCTGCGAGCAAAGACAGCCGGTTGGGCTCTTGCATCTTCGAATATGGTGGCTATTATGTTCAGCTTTTGTACACCGTTGATGATCAACAATGCACCCGTTTCCAAATGGGGTGTCAAGACTGGCTTTTTGTCTGTCTCTCTCCCCACCCCCCAACAAACACCAGTCCATATCATCCTGCAAATACTGATATTTCCATTCACAGTTTTGCGGGCACGGGCACGGTTTCTGTGATTATCGCTTGGTTCATTCTCCCCGAAGTGACGCGCCGAACGCCAGCAGAGATTGATGAAATGTATGTCCCATTCTACCTGATATGGCTTCCACCCAAGCTTGATACATCTCGCTAAAATGAACTCTAGGTTCGAAAAGAAGGTCAATCTCCGAAAGTTCAAGGGCTATGTCACCGAAGTACAGATGCGCTCAAATGAGCAGCAGGAGGATCAAGAGATGGTCGTCAGAGCTTAGAGTTGGATGATCTCGGGAGGTGAAACGGGAAAAGATAAGAAAAGGCACATGCAGTGATGAATGAGTTGGAATCTTTGCTTCGATACAGCTGCGTGCTTGTCATCAAAATAAATTAGCGTCACGTTTCAAATACTTCAGCGGAACAAATAAGCAAGGAAGGATTCGAAAAGCCTCATGACCAAAGCTTGCTCGATTGCTCAAGGGCTAATTAGTATCTGCGCCTTGGCTTCGCTCTTGATTCCAACAACCGAAGCGATTCAGCAGAGAATAGTGCCAGTAAAAGGCCTAGGAGCCCTCGCAAATAAAAAAGAGCTGGTCTACGACGCCATGTTCCTCTTCGTTACCACCTGGCATTCGACTCACAACCTCGACTGGCTTCGCAAGACTGAGATTCACTGACTTCCTGCCGCAAGATGTTGTGTACCACGACACGTTCGCCGAATTGTCCTTCCCGAGCATTACTTTCGCATACAGTTCTCCCGTCAATCGAAGTCGAGGTCTCCAGGAGATCTTCGAGCAGCCATGTGAGATCGGCTGAACGCCCGCCAGTTCTGTGCAGTACTCGTAAATCGGAACGCTTCCCCAAGCGTGGCAATCGGACCGTTGTCTCACGTCGTCTTCCTCCCATGTCGAAAGATTTTTTGCCAGCATCCCTCGCCAAGGAGCCCACATGTCATCCCAGAATCTGTCGTAAAGATCGTTACCAGCGAGGGCGATGGCTCGAAAGGCGTAGAATCGCATCATGTAGGAGCACTTGGAAAAGCGGTTGTTCGTGAACGATTCGGTCAAGATCCGTACAGAGTCTTCCTCTTTAGCTGCGCCGCAAATGACAGCAAAGACCTGGCAATGCTGAGAGTACGAAAGTTCATCTGCTAAGTCAGATGTGGAATCGGTGAAGAATTCTCCGTCGTAGCAATGGGTCCGAATAGCCACCAGCAGTGATTCTGCTCGCGCTTCATACTCGGCTGCGTGCCCCGGTCGACCGACATCACGCACTAAACCAGCAACTTTCTGCAGAACCCATGCGTAGAGCATGCTGAAGTAGGTGTGTCTGTTGGATTTACGTCCCGAAGTTGGAACCCCTTTATCAGGGTGTTCGTCAGTAGCTCCCCAAGTAGCCACCCAGTCGACATATTGCCACACTTCCTGGGGTAGTCTGCTGACCAGACCCAGCTCATCGGTGTGAGTATGGAAAAAGTCAAGAACTCCGTCGATGCGTGGGAGAAAGCTTCGAGCAAATAGGGTGTCCCCGAAGTACAAATGGTGGTCGCAAACCTGCAGAATCCAGTACAGTGAGAAACCGGCAATGACCTGGGATACGTGTGAAGGGAAACGAGATTGCGTGAGACCAGAAGGTGTGACGGAGGCAGCGAAGTTTGTCATCGCTTGGCGCATGAGGCGATCGTCGCCCGAGAGAAGATAGTGGAATAGACCGACCGAGCGGGTGTCTCCAGAATACCTAAATTGTTAGATTGTTAGATTTGTTAGACTTGTGAGAATTTTTTAGAAGCGTTGACTCGGAAGGTTAGAAAAGTGTGGTGCTTACTGTAGCTGTTCGTAGAACGGGCAGTCAGAGTAACCGTCGAACATGCAGTTCCGCATTGTTCGAATCGAAACCTCCCAGATCTTCTCGGCATACAAATCCTCAGGCTGCTTCCAGCTTGCTTTGGCATTTAACGGGTAGTTGACCTGCGTAGCATCCAAGGACACCAGCTTGACCGGCTCGTCGCCTACGGTGATCTCGACCCTCAGAAGACGAAAAGTTCGGAACCAGAATGGCTCGTAGACGGCAGATTCATCCTTCAAGAGAAGAAGCGACACCTCATCAAATGGTCCGATAATGTGGCCGGAGCTTGCATCTAGCCGGTCGGCCTTGGAGCGGAAAAACGGGTATGAACGAGGCTCCAGCTCATATCCTTCCGAATATGTCACTTTGAGTCCGACATAGCTAGTGGATGCCGCTCTGAATTCCCATCGCAGAAATACGGTCGAATGTACCTGTGCTTGTACTTCAATCGTATGTTTTGAATCCGCAGAGAGAGTGAGAGGGCGTTGCTCGACAAAAAAGGCAGTCCAATCAATGGCATGGATTGAACTGTCGCATGCTTTGACCGTTTCCATGAGAGCTGGGGTCGACTCGGGCATGGGGATAGAGCGCGGACGCAAGTTCCAGGGCGGAATATCGCCGTTTAGCGTTTTCGTATTGTAAGCTACCGGTTTCATGTGATGGCCCTTGGGAGCCGCTAAATCATCAGCCCGCTCGCTGATCTATAAAGAATGTCAGTGTAGTCCAGAAGAACTTGAAGAGAATGCTCTCACATGAAGGAAAACATCGTCGGCCAATCCCATTGGGAATTGAGTGCGTTCATCCACATATGCTACCCAATGCTCAGAAGAAGCAAGGTTGACAAACTCCTGATCTGTCGCAATGTTTCCCACGACTGTCAGTCCAGGTCGAGAGGTCCGTTGAAAAGGCATAGCGGCCCTCAAAGCCGCAAAGTAACGTATGACTTTAAATTCGATGATGTTCAGTCCCTCCTTCAAGTAGGGCGCAATATCCAGCGTATCGTAGTACCAGATCAAGGGACTGCTGCGAGTTGGTCCAACGGCAAGACGTTTTCCGTTCACATAGACTTTGTATCGTGTGTCTGCTGAGAAATGTAGAATTGACTCCATTGGGAGCGACGAGAGTTCAAGAGATCGTACGAAACTAACGATCTTGCCGGCCGTGTTCTCCTGCGAAGAGTCGGTCCAGTTGGGGACCCAGATCCAGTTGGCCTGGAGCTCGTTGATGATCTTCGCCCGGGGTATGTCAGTGATTCATTCTTCAAGGCCAGATGTTGGGCCAGATGTTGGGGACCTTACCTTTTGTTCATCCGGAGCCATCTTGCCTGTGTCAAACGGTAGTTGGAGTCACTCTGTGGTGGTGGTGGTGGTGGACCTGACTTGTATAAGTTCCGGTGGAGGGGGGCGAGTGGGGACTCGGGGGATCTGCCGCCGAGAGGAATTAGCCGTCGGCGACTGCAGCCGCCAGAAGGTGCTGCCATGGAAGTACTCACCTGCAGCGCACTGAAATAAGTCCAAAAGTTTTATCATAATATATTTATTCAAGACAAATCTCTTCATAAATCTCCGCTTTTACAGTACTAACACGTTGGCTCGTTCGGGTAAATCTATCAAGCATCCAAATTGAAATCAGGAAGTAACATTGGGTATCAGAACAAGATAATCAACTCGAAATACTTGATACTGGGCTCAAATCTTCACGTTCAGTGTCAGGGTGCGACCTTTCGCAGACCTCCTGACGCGCAGGAATCCCTTCCCTGAAATGATCGTGGACATATATTGTGAGATCATCAACATTTTTAGCATTCTGGGGTGATGCGTCTGGGCCAGCAAATTCAGAGGGCCGACCTAGGAAGAATCGACACCCCGCGAAGAATTTCCGCCCAAGTGAGCTATCATTGGGATTCTCTTCGCCATTGTGATACCAATCCAAAAGGTTCGAGTCTGCCAAAAGACTCGCAACTGCCGCGATACTGCAGGGGTCTTTGGGAAGGACATAGTCTGTATTGATCAGGACAGAGCCTACGATTCCTAGGATCAGGATAACTCCCAAGAGAGCATCCAGCACCCTTGTAGACGCGGCGTCCTGGAATAACCGAAGCTGATTTCCGAGGAAGACTTCGCCGGGGTATGAGACGTCCAGCGATGAGTTCGCGATTCGCGTCCAGTTGTTGAATTCCTGCGCCTTGATAATCCCACTCTGAAATTTAATTGCCTTGGCCACCTTCTCCACGTCGCCGGGGTTTCTGAGGTTTTCTGATGGGATGGCATATCTGCCTGTCGTCAAAGTGCTAAAGAAGGCATCAAGTGAGGCGAGCTTTGAAGGTGATACGGCGAAGGCGTCGTCAAAGGTCAGGTAAGGTGTGAACTGGTCGGGGGCCGGTGTCGCTGACGACTCGTCAGGAACAGGGGGATGATCGCTAGGGATGTCAAAATTAGGCAATTCGAAGCGAGTCCATGTATTGACGGTCTCGGCGGCTCCGGCACACGACATCGCGGCAATGTGCTTCACCTTGCGATTCGCGACGTCGACGTAACCCCAGTAATAAACGGTGACTTGAAAGGCATTTTCCCGGCTCAGACTATTTTTGGGATTGGCGCACTGCCACGAGTGTGCTCGTCCGAAGACACCATTCTCATCCCACAAAACGTCTTGAGTATAATTCCGCGTCCTTGACTCACTGTATGAGTAGGGAGGGCAGGAAATGCTGGGTGGGTAAATCTCAAGGCCATAAGGGCCGGTCGTGGTGTTTCCCAGTTCGTAGCGAACCTCAGTGCCTGTTTCAAGTCGGCAGTCCAGTGCAGCTCGCGTCGCGGGTACCCAGAGATCAACAAATGACTCGTTTGAGAGGTCTGTCTTCATCTTCTCGCTCAACCTCAGCCTAGGAAAGGCGAGATCTTTGTGAGTCCAGCGGGGATAGGAATTATTTTCCTGGATGATATACTGGGCCGTCACGACGTTCTGCACATCTTCTGAGTATGGCAGCGAATAGTTGTAGGCAGTTCCAAAGCGCTGGAAGGTATCCTCGCGGATGAAGGTCGCATTTACGTGATTTGGGACGTCAAGTGGCGTGAAGAGACCGCTTGTAACGATCGTCAAAAAGGAAGTGATAAATGCAGCAACTGTCGTGGCCAAAACCGCAAAATGTTTGGTGCGAATAGACGTGAAGATAATGGTCATGTCAAGAGAGTTTCGGAAGTCCAGAGTCATAAACTGCCCGAATGTCGTGCCAGTTGGCCGTCTTAGTTGGGCATATGGCGCTAGTGTTCGAGTGTTGAAATCGATGCTCCCGAACAAAAGGCTGGCGCTAACCATCACTACTGATGGCACAACTGTCCATGAGTAGTGAATATACTCATCACTTGTGTCGACATTTCCTAATCCGTTGTTGCTTTGAGAGACATGCAGGACAACCTCTAAAGCGACGATTAAGAGGATCACTGCGATGAAAATAGCGACGCGATAGGGAAAGCTCGGCATTGGTTTGGAGAGTGAGTCTTGTTTTTTGCTTGGCTCCGCACGAGCTTCCGGATCTGACTGAGCACTTTGCTGTGCTCCATCGGAGCACTTGATTGAAAAACCCTCGGTGGTGCTCTGAGAGAAATACCGCTTGTCCCCCAGTCGGCGATTAAGCGCCTCCATGGAAACCGCACTTGTGCCATGGAGAGATTGGGCTAGCTCTTTGCTTGCCGAGACAATAGCAGCGACACCAGAAATAGAATTCGGGTTCCAAGGAGCCGTTGTGCTCTTGCCCAATGAATCTTTCACAATCATCGCAATGGCAAGCAAAATCCCTAGTGCCAGACAGACCTCCATGATACGCAGTGGTAGTTGGGTCATCACCACTCGATTTTCATTGACAATTGCTGAGCCAGTGACCATTGAGGGATTTTCTTTGACTATTCCCTTCTTGATAAACTGGGCCGCTTCAGCTTGATAGTATGCATTTCCCACATCTCTCAAATTGTCGCCCTGGAGGAGAATGGTAAAGTCTCCTGTTTTCCCTGCAAGCCACGCGCCCATCCGTATGCGCATACTCACGGTTGATGTGCTCTTCTGCGCAGGATAAGGATAATGGTCTTGTATCGGTCTGGCGTACTTGCTGCTGTCACTGTCGTCGTCAAGGACAGCCTCGGGGAGATCCCAGTAGCCCAGTCCTGGAAGGCTCGAGCTATTGAACCCCAGCCTTTCTATGCGAGCATTCGACAATGACTCGGACGCATTCGTGGTGATGGAAAGATTGACAAAGGAGTAGGTCGGTTGGCAAATTAGTTGCGTCGATCGAGGCACTGTATAGTTCAGTTTCCAGCGGTGCTCATTCTCTGTATATCCCGGTGCAACTTCCTGCTTAATGGTACGATTCCAAAGGAGATGCTTTTCAAGCTCCCCGGCAAACAGTATAATTCGCTTTCCGTCGGAGCCGGTGGTTCCATCGCACTGTCCCTCTTTGAATGTTGAAAGATAACGCCCTGGATCCCCTATATTCTGCCCGTCACTAACGCTTCCGAGGGTGTCATCAAAAGTGATATTGCTCATTTTGCAAGATGGAGCGGTCAAATCGATTTCCATATTGCTCCCCATCGATCCTGAATAATACTGCCATAGTATGACATCCAATTCAGCAGATTGGCAGTCAAGGTTGGTTGTAATCCCGGAAACAGGCACAGTCAAGATGGCGTCCGAGGTGATGTTTGGTGCAGAGAAACGTTGAAAGACAAGGTCCTTGGTGGTGCCTTCAGCATAGGTACCATTTCTGAAGAGTACACTGTTGAGGACGTCAAAGGGTTTGCCTCCAGTCTTATTGAAATCGGCATTCCGTCCGTCAAAAGCGTCTTCGAGTTGAATTTCAATTCCGTTCTTATGCACTGGGGTATCTTGCAAAGAGAAAAGGCCTGTGGAGAACATAATGGCCAGGCGCAGCAGCAAAGTGCATGAGATGGCGGATGCGACAATAATATTTCTATACTTGAATGCCTTGTACAAGGCGACAGGCTGCATGATCGAGATGTAGTCGAGAAGTACACTCTGACTGGCTGCCGTAGGCCCTTCTTGCATTGCTTGCCACGGAGCATTTTGCTTTGCTTGGAACTCTGTGCGCGCCCACAGCGCAGTGACGATAGTCAAGATAGCGGTAGGACCATAGGTCCAAGCATAGTGTCGACTTGCGACAGATGATGCGATGCCGTAGTTGACGTGCGAGACATGACTGAGCGCTTCCAGAGCCGCGATGAGGGCGGCAAACACCACCACAAAAGCAATCAACACCCGTCGTTTTAGATAGCCCGGTCGCCAGGCAGCTTTCTGCTTCAGTTCATTTTGAGGTGCAATCTTCTGCCGAATCGTGGTCAGGGTGCTGGATGTCAACCCTTTGTTGGAACCAGGCGGTTGTGGATTATCGGGCATGGTATTGAAATCGGTCCGTGTCCAGTCACCTCAACCGGGACGTGTTTATGTTCGCCTGGTTCTCGTGGGGGCTGTGGGAGTCCAAGCAGTTTTGATCGTCAACAGACTGCGGTCCACGTGATCTCGTAAATCGCCCTGCAGCACCCTGCATTAGCTGAAACGAGGGTGTCCACTCTTATTTGCTGAGGTTCTGTGAAAAACCGCCGCAGAGGCTCTGCGGTTGCATCTTGGCACGTAAAACGACGAGCGCGTAAAAGCGCCAAACTCTTGGGACCGGCTCCTTGTCAATCTAAAATTATGTTATTTGGGCGAGTCGCTGGGGTTAAAGAAGACTTGAAGTGTAGTCCGGTTGAGAGAACAAGGGCCGTGCCGTGACCTTGTCCTGATCGGCACGGCCCTTGTTCTGATCCGTTGTCGAATCTGCCTTGCTGCACCGCTAAAGCGCTGTAGTACATTTGATAGACATCTGCATTTGGCATCCCTACTTCGCCCCCAGTCAGCTTCATGCATCTTTACTATTCGAATCGACGTGCTGAAATGTTATTGAAGAGAAGATTTGTCCCCCACCCTCTTAGGCCGTGTTCAATGCGCGGGTGTTGATCTTTGCCTCTTGGAGCGAGCTCAGGAGGATGTTTAGCTGTGGAAACCGGCTGTGCTTGGGGGCCAAAATCAGAATCGGACTTACGGAATACTAGACTCAGTTAATTAGAGGCAGAAACACAATCGTGTTCTTGGGATTCAATTTCGAGTACGAGCATAGGATCCTGGGTAATGCTACTCATGAAATCGATCAAATCTATTGTTCAAAATTCGATAAAGCTTCTTAAGTCATCACGTCACGTTAAAGAAAAGAAAAAAGGCTGGCAAATGGCTAAGCTCTGGTAAACGATGGCCTGTGGCGTCGTGTCCCTACAGTCGTGCCTTGATGCTTTGACCACCCTCCCAGGCATCACCTGCCTCGAGAGTCTGCCAGGCAGAGACAGATCCAGCCTCGACACAGAGCATCTTCTTGTACGCCTCATCGGGACCGAAGTCCGCCATGCCCTTAGCCTTCTCAATCCACGGGTTCCACACGACCATATCGGTAAGACCCTCACGGGTGATGGAGAAAATGGTCTTGTCATCCTCGGCCGATGATACAATAATTGGCTTAGCGGGGTCCAAGTCTTGGTAGACGCGGTCGGTCTCCTCGGTGATTGCAAGCGCGGCGGAGGTCTCGCTTTGCGAGATTGCGTTGCGTGTCTTGTCGACGTAGGTCTTGGACTCGAGATTCTTGACGCGCACGTTGGAAATGTCCTGTTCCGATTAGTTGAGCTGTAATTTAAAGAATCAAGAATGAGTGTCAATCTTACCCCGATGTCGAAGTAGGTGTGCATCAGAACCTGGAAGTCGAAGTTCTGGGTCCCCTCATTGCGCACCTGCAGCGAAGTCTCCAATGTGTCCTTGGTAAGAGTCACACTGTAGACCAGACCGAACTCGTACGGCCAGGCCTTACGGAACTCCTCTGTCAGCATGGTATGAGACAGGCCGAAGTCCAGCTTCACTGCGAGGTCGGCCTTGGCCTGGCCGGCGGTCTCCGCCGATTCAGATGATGATTTGCCCAGGAACTCCCAATTGGAGTTACGTGCGAAGCCATGTTGGGGGAGTGACGAGGTGACGTGGTTCTGAGGGGGAGGGCCGAAGACCTGCGCGTCGGAATAAGCTTAGATTAGCTTGCGATTCAGAATCGCGACGAGGAAGGCGAGGAACAACGAGACCATACCGGGAAAACAAGTGGAATACCTCCACGAATGGGCTTGGAGCCATCCAGGTGCGTCTTCTCACTGACAAACAGCTGTTCCTGGCCGTTGGCCTTCCATGAGGTAACCGTGGCGCCGTACAGGTGGACAGTGACGGATTCGCCGGATGGCAGGCTGGCCTCGATGGTGCTGTCTTTAATGGAGACGGTAGGCTGCGGCAGCGAGCCGCCGACGCCGATGGCGGAGGGTTTCTTGGAGCGATCCATGGTGAGCAATCTGTGGTGAGCAGTGAAGAGGAAGAGGTGAAGGGGAGCTTGCGGCGTGACGGCGGATGGTGGGGGGATCTCGCCCCACCAGCATTCCCCAACCTTCACCCACTTCCAACTTCGGCTTCAGCTCCATCAGCTACGAGCTCGCTACCGGGGTCTGGAACGGTGCAAGAATCGAACAGTCTATTCTTGGCTCTAACCTGGAACTTCTATTTCTATCCATGCTGCAACATTGAAGACCTGTGACCCTCCAGACTGACCTCCTCGATCTGTTTGATCTCATCTTCGGTAAGCCGCCAACCCAGCGCCTGCATGTCCTGCTCGGCCTGTTCAGGATTGCGGACTCCCACGAGGGGCACGATACCCTTGGTGATGGAATAGTTAATGGCCACCGCCGGGACCGGCACACCATGATTCTGCGCAATCTTTTTCAGAACCGTGATCGTGGGCTCGAGCATGTGCATAGGGTAACTACTGAAGCGCAGGGTCCGCCGGGGCTCGTTGAAACGTGAATATTTGCCCGTCAGCCGGCCCTCCGCCAACGACGCGAATCCCTGGAAACAAATGCTGCGCTTTTTGCACTCGCGAATCATGCCACTTGTCTCGGGAAGACGACGAATTACCGAATACTCGCACTGAGAGACCGCGAGCGGCACGCCATGTTTTCCCAGCTCTTCATACATCTTGATCATCTCTTGCGTGTCATAATTCGCGACTCCTACCGCCCGAGTCATACCAGCTTGCATGCAGTCGGCTAAGCCCTTCGCGACCGTGGTGATCTGACTAGGGTGGATTGGTCCATGCACGAGGTAGATGTCCACATACTCCAGGCCCAGGCGCTCGAGCGAGTTCTTCAGCATCTTTTTCGGTCCACTGGACTGCATCAATGTGTTCTTCAACGTGGACGTGGAGTGCCACTTGGTCTGCACGACGAACGAGTCTCGCGGCATCCCTTCGAACAGAGTACCGCAAATCCTTTCGCTCTCGCCGTCGCCATACGACTGTGCCGTGTCCACAAAGGTCAAACCGACGGACTTGAGCTTTTGCCAGGCAGCGTGGATTTTCGGTAGGTCTCGAGTGGCATTATAGCCGAATGTAGCCTTGTCGCCCCACGACCAAGCTCCAATGCTCATATACGGGATGAGGACATCTTGGTTTCCCCGACCATGAAGAGCAATCCTACTCTGCGAATTTGGAACTAGTTCTAGCGGCAGACCGTAAGCCGGGTCGCTGAAGCTGGGATCAACTGGCTTGGGGTGCGGCGAGTGTACACCTTCTGTTGCGGACATGCCAGCCGCAAGGCCGGCTTGCATCATGTATTGCGTTCCAGGGGTGGCCATTGCGTATATGTCAGGGTCTTCTGTAATAACCTTGCCCTTGGGAGTAGAGCGATATGTGATATCCAAGAAATAGAATGCGTAGAACACCACTTGTGGGAATTCTGGTCTTGCTGCTTCGCAACTATATATCGTGCACGCCGGTGGAGGTGGCGCGGTGCGTCATTCGCCATCAAGACCACAATGTAGAGCCACCACCTGCAAGAATTAAAAAACTCTATATATTATTCGTGCGTCTAGAAGCTACAAGCAATGATCTAGACCATCGAATCCTGGAGAAAGGACATTTGCGTGGCGACGAAGTCGGTGGAACGAAGAGAGCCTACTGCAACACTACATATACACCGGATAATGTGCGGCAACTCTTGGCGGTATCCTTCCGTTCCTGTGTTTCACCCCCTCGCTGCTTTTGCTCACTGAGTAGAATTGAGCACGCCCCTGAGCAGCCTGAGCTGGTCAGTGATTATTAGGTAATCGACCTGATTTGCCCACTGAGCCTATCTCGATGGCAACTACGCCCGTTCAGAGACGAATGACCTGAGTAAGCAGGCCCAATAAAACGCGACACGCTAGCTCAACCCCTATATACATTTTTTCCTTCAGTTCAATATCTCCTATCCCACCAATAAAGAGTTGGCCTCGTATGCCACTGATTTAGCGATCTTTCCCTTTACAAGCAGGATGTCACGGGCCAGAGCCCGGCAATAAGACATGTGCCATGGCCATACCCTGCCGCTGGGTTTCTGCAGAAACCATCGCCGTCTACTTACCGCCTTGGCAGAAAGGCGGCCATGCCGTTTCCTGCGGGGATCAGCTTCGTTTCTCTTCCTTCCCTCAAGACTGTTGTAAACGGCATATAGTACAATTGAATCAATTCTACTACTGTCCTTCACACAGGAGGCACGTAGTGAACGTTGTTTAGTCGGACAATTGCTTGCTCTAAGATACGACGCTTCTAGGAGTATTCGGATTCCCCGATACGTTGGCTAGATTCAGGAGAACTACAAAGATAAATGTGATAGAGTGTATTTCCTAGGTGGACTACTAATTTTCTTCCGTTCTTACTGGGCACTTTACAAATCTCTGTGAAAATTTATATACCTTTCTACGGACGCTACTACTTGGCTAAAGATCTTGTGGTTTTGGCGGTATGCCATTTTCACAATGTTGAGTAGATCAAGCGGGAACGAAGATCTGCTATCCGCATATATCTGAACAATTGCTCCTAGGAGCGTCAGCATGCTCCTAGGAACCCCTTTGTGAAGGGCTGTAGCAGAATTGATTCAATTGTACTAGGCCAACATGCTGTTAATAACAATCTTGGGGAAAGGAAAGAAAAGCGGGCCGTTCCCACATACTACCGGATAGGACTGAAGGCCGCGGTCACGTGGCCGTATACGGGCATCAGCCCGTTACATCCTAACACTAAATTATCTTGATAATACTTAATTTAAGTAGCAGGCGGCAAGTGGGCTGTAAGAAACGGCCGCAAGTGAGGCCGTTTTAGGACGTCAATCTGCTAGTGTTTGCCGCGGGATCCTGAACCTAATAAAATAAACTACTACGTGGATATCTGTGAAAAAGCAAGCATTGATTCCAACTTTCTAATACTACATGTAGCGATAATACTGGTTACATGCCAATCGAAATAAGAACAGATGTCTGCATTCGGTGCTGTCTGACGAAGAATCAAGTCTAAGGAGAGGAGAAGTGTTAGAACTAGCTATCTGCGGGTCCTGGAAGCGTTGTGCGGATCAGAGTGAAGGTTCCAAGATGACTCTGTTTTCTGGAAAGAGACTAATCGCTGTCTTCTAAGTCCTATTTACGGAGGTCTAAGTCCTCGTGCAGTATGGCAGCCCGTAGGAACCAAGTGTACAGGGTCCCCGTTGGCCAGTAAGGGCGCCGTAACAAGAAGAAGAGAATTACGGGGTGCGAGCTGGGCCTTTTCTAGGCATCCAGCCTAGGCCCTTTCCTGGCAAACTTACCAATCCGGAAGTGTACGAAGCATCCAAACAAACAACCTAGTTCGCCAGTTACCATCTCCGGACTTAATCGTCACAATACTGACTTAGTCGTCACAATACTCAGGCTTCCAGAAAGATAGGGCGGCAGCACACAGCAAGGTCCACAGTGAAGCATTCTTAGTATTTCTTGGGGACATGTAGCGATAAGACAGGTAGCAATAATGTTCAGGATTCCAGAAAGACATGGCTGCAGCACACAGCAAGATCCTCGGCAGTGAATGTAATATTTTTTTCCCTCGTGTTAGGTGCTGGATGGCGGCGCATGACGGATTCGAACTCTAGTTCCAGCGGAGCATTCTGGACATCTCTTGAGGTGATAATGATCTCGTGGACCTCTGAATGACGCAGCACTATTGAAGAGTCTGCTTGAGGTAGCGGAGGATTGGATAGCAGAGTGCGCTGGGCTTCCGCGTTTAGTCCACGGGTGATTCTGGGGGTGGTTGGTCTGAGACTGTAGAGTTTTATAGTGACTCTGCGCTCAGGGGATCTTTGGATGTGAAAGAGTATAACCACGTTGACTTGGTAGTCGGAATTTGAGAACCACCAATATACGTCGGCTCGTAGTTGTGCTTCTGATTCAGAAAGACCCGTCTCAATAACAAGCGAAGGCCACTCATTATCGGAAAAAGTATCCCGCGACGGAGTGAGAGACTGATCGGCTTCTTTAGCGCATGTTCTTCCTTGGTACCGGGTAGCCGCGTTTAAGGTGTAAGCTCTTGGACGAATCCCCATATCGAGTAACTTTTCGATAAGTTCACCCGTAAATGACTGCGTTAGTCGCTCATGGGCTCCTGAGGGCATTATTCGAATAACCACTTGCTGGCGCTGTGCGTCGAGTGTCAATCTGTAGGGAACCTCGAGAGGATTTCGGTCTCCACCTAATTGCTCCTGCAGAGGCTGGGATATATTTGACACGATGATAAACTGGTTCGAGTAAGACGTGTCGGAGTTGATTCGATTACAGACATCGTTGGCAGCTTGTCGAAGGACAGAAATAGAGGGGGCAGTCAACAACACAGCACCTGGGATTTCGAAAGGCAGGTACGAATCACAGTCCCTCGCTGCCTCGTCGGGTGACAGTGACTCGGGACTACCGATAGTCTTCGCCGACTCGGCATCCTTTGTATCCAGGGAGGAGGAGGATATTGTTGATGGGGACAGAGGCAGCATGTTGGCTGAATGGCGGCGTGAGAGGAAATGGGAGGAGGCAGAACTGGAGAAGCAAGATGACTATTAATGGAGGACTGAGGCAGTGATAACTAGTTATCGATAAAGAGTCCAAAGCTTGCACATGCGACAGGAGCATGAGCACTGTCATGTGACGTAAGTCTGGGGCAGGCGGTCAGGTAGGCGTGTAGAATACAAATCACATGCCCAAAAAAGAATAGCGGCATAGTTGAGTAGCCACTGTATTCGACAAATACTTAACGAGTTGTGACAGTGATCACTGAGCATGAGCCCGTGCTGACATTTACTCAGTGAGCCTGAGCCTGATCGCCCTCATAAAAGCGGCGGCAGCCCAGACAGGAAAGCCCCACCCGGCGGACATTATCCTGTGTATATAGGTGCATATATGACCTTTAGGTCTGCGATGGGGCAATCTACGAGAACACTACACTAGTGAAACGCTGCAGTGTGTGAATAATTTGAAAGGCGTAAAAACCTGATTACGCGAAGCCATACATTTTGCTGTCGTGCCAATACAACGTTAAATCCTTCACCTAAGGCCTTGTCAGCAAAAAAGGTCGTGTACGATCTCACATCTGATCTCGCCAACAAAAGGGTATAGACAATGCAGCACATGTTATTTGACATCCAAATCTCGCAATGTTCTAACAAATATTGACTCGATATGTAGAGATATATCAAGATTGATTCAATCGCTGTCGGCGTCATCTGGCAATTCTTCAAGTCTGCCTTCATGAAGCGCCTGGGTGACAGGGTTCTCAACACCCAGAAGACCATTTGCTTTTGCCCTGTTGTAGAGTTAGATTGGAAAACTCGATTAATCTGGGATCCTTCTCATACCTTTCGAACAGTACAAAGAGCCTCTCAGCTTCTCTTTCCTTCTCCTCCATCGTCATGGGAGGGCGTTCATCCTTAGGCTCTGCAGTCCAGCGCTGTCCTGTAATTGGGTTGACGTCCGGGTCCAGCCCTTCAGTATTCGTAGCGTAGGCTTCACCAGCCGTTTGAGGGATCTCCATGCCTCGAGATGCCAAGAACCCAGCAGCGAAACCATACCCGATTCGTCGAGTCAGGTTTTCGGCATCCTTGCCAGATAGAACGAACATGAGCTCTGAGATTCCAGTCTTCAGGTTCGTATAAGGGCTGGTCGACAGCTGTAAGAGCCTGGAGGCAAGAGTGTCCGATTTCCCGATGGGCTGGCTCCGGTCGTTGTCTTCAGGGAGGAGTAGCCATTGCATATACTTGCGAGGCCCGTCGGGTGCAACTTCGTGAACGACAATGAGCGAATGAAGAAGGGGAATGGCCTTTTCTTCCAATTCCTCTGGGCTGTATAGAGAGACGGCTTGGTCAAGGATGTTGATTAATTTGTCCACATTGCAGTTCTTGTCGAAGGTAGGGAAGAGAGGACTACTCTCGAAGTGATTGCCCTTCTTTTCTTCGAGGTCAAGAACAGAGAGACAGTTGATGAGGTAGCTGAGCAAGCCATCGAGGGGCGTTGCTGGGATTGTTATGCGACTGATGATCTTCAGGATATGAGGAATCGAGGGCGAGAAGAAAGTGGCGAGGTCTGGGTAAATTTTCGCGACGTTGAAAATCACCTTCAAAGTGTCGATGAGAGCCAATTCGTCCATTTGTGACAGGGCTGCGCGTCCGGACTTGGGGAATTGTTTGGCGTGACGGGCGAGTTGCTGTGCTCGTCTGTTAGTATGGAAGCAAAACAAGGCAATGGCATTGTAAATACGCACGTAGTTGACATTATCAGCAAGAGAGTGCTTCTTGATCAGAACTTCATAGTCCATATCGGTACCGTAAGTGGTCAGGAACAAGATTCGGCTGACCACCATCTCGTCGTCGGAGCTGTCGGTCTTCAATCGTTCGGCCAATTTACCTCCACAGCCAGTGTCGACGAAGACCTGGCGCATCTTCCCGTCTAGCAGAAGGGCGTTGGCAACCCCACGCAGGGCAGCTCGTCGGATATCAGCCGTTTCTCCATCAATCCCATATCGCATAATTGTGGTGATACCCTGCATGATCGGTCAGACCCCGTTTTCTGGAGTAGTCCAATGTTCATTACCAATGTTCATTACCACGTACATTGCTGCAATAGATCGGACCGGCATCGGTGGGGTTCGTTCCATGTTGGCGCAACTCGAGGAGGGTTTGGACTCGTTCTATGAGCAGGAAAGACAGGTCAGAAACAGGTCACATGGGGTGATTCGGGCTGTGAAACTTACGGGCCGACGTGAGATGCTTGTCCTGTTGGTCCTTCTGGAGGGTATCCAGTAGCTTGTTGATTTGCTGCAATTTCGCTGAAGAAGATTGTTAACTTCATGTCGACATACTTCAGCATAAAGATCGTAATGTGCCGCAGCTTACCTGTCCCCTGCAGCGGGGAGAATGCCATCATTTTGTCGAGTCGCCTGGCTGAACCAGCAGGAATTTCAAGGCGAAACTGTGGACGGTAGAATTAGAGCACCGGCAATATGTGGTACCCTGTTGCAATCGGGCACACGGTCACGACACAGAAGGGCGCGCAGCAGCAAGTCGGACGAGAAGGAGGGAGATGAAAAGCGCGGGGAGATCCTTACGAGCGGAGACCCCACCTAAGCTCCGGCGCTGCAGATTTCGTGATCGCCCTCTTCCTACCCTAGACTGAAGTACCTTATAAAATTTCGACACAAATGTTACGGCAGCAAGAAATAACAGAAATAACATACTATGAGCTATGTTCCCCTTAAATGCTTCTGCTTCTCGATTAAGATTTGCCACTTTTTTTGGCGACGGCCCCTGCGCAATACCAACAAAGACCCAAAGACGTCTCTGGTACCAATTTGGACCTCTCGTCGATAAGAAGGGCCTCGAAAACGTGTTCGTAGAATAGACCATAGAGCCTTGACGGTCTCGCAGTAAGCTGTTCTGCCTTAAATTCGTACGTAATCGCGCCAAAGTACGGTTGACACCTGAAGCGCGGGATGCCTTGGCGCCTGGGGGCTTCGCGCGGCCACTTTACGCGATCCGCGAGGGCGCGTCCGACCTTAGTTTTCTCTGGCCGGGCCTCCTCTCACCTTCAGTCCCAGTCCCCGTTCGAGCCTCCATCCACCTCTCGATACCCCCCACGATTCATGGAAGGGCCTCGCTGATCCTGTTCATCGCCCTCGCCCAGCAATGGTCCTTGAATCCTCCCATCTCCCTTTTTCATTCTTTTAAAACCATGGTGGAGATCCTCGGTCCTCTCCCTGCCCGTCCGCCCACACCTCCAAGGCCAGGTTCAAGAATCGACCAGAACCAGGACGACGACGACACGCCGGTCGCCGCGCAAACCCCCGCGGACACGCCTCAGCCTGCTTCGGCCAGGGCTCCTCCGTCCAGTCGTGGCTCAAAGCGTGTAACCTTTTCGCCATGGCTCCATACCACGATCGACTCGCCCTGGAGCGCCAAACAGCCCGAATCGAAGGAAAGCCCGAATCCTGGAAGCCCGCACATGACCGAAATTAGACCCTTCAAGTCGATCCTCAAAGAAACCAACTCGCCGATCCCCGTCTGGTCGCCCAACGTGGATAAATTCACCACCGAATCCCTCGACATGCTCCTCGAATCCGTCACGCAGCAATTGGCGGGTGTATCAGTTACATCACGACTAGACGCATATATGCAATTTTTCGGTGCGCTGCGAACATACGACGGACTGCCGGCCGGGAAAGACATTGCGGAGAAGTTGGGCCTAATCACCGGGTTCATCCAGCGCGATGTCAGCCGCGATCTGATCAAGGGCGTGCCTCTGGATACAAACCTGGCCAACCAGGCCCTCAAGCTCTCTGCGGCCTTTGTGTGGCACAGTGATATCTCAGGACAGCTGCCGGATGAATTCAAGGTCTTCATTGTGGAGCATGCGATTACTTGCCTCCACGAAGCTAAGGTGCCGAAGTCCGTCTTGACTCATTACATGTCGATTCTGTCCACCCAAAACTTCAGCCCGAAGATCATGACAAATCCTCGAATCATTCGCCTCCTCACGGTCTTGCAAGATGTCACCAAACATGTCACTGGAAAAGCGATCGCGCTCCATCGACTTAGCATCTACCAGCGCCTCTTTGCTCAATCCAAGTCGACCTTTGTCACCCAAGCGCCTCTCTGGATGGAGCAACTCATCTTCGGCTTGCTTCATCATATGAAGGATACTCGCCTAAAGGCCATCTCCTTAGGCTTCCAAATCGCAATGACAATGGGTCCGAACCTGTCATTATCGAAGAGCATTCGTGACCTGTTCGACCGCACCTTACAAAAGGACCGCAAGCTTGTGATGGAGATCCGCGAGCGTATGTCACGCATGGTGGCGACTGTGGAAAGTGGTGTCCACGTTCCGCAAATCTGGAGCATTATCATCCTCTTCCTCCGGAACAAGACACGCAGCCTGGACCAATGGGAGCATTTCAAAGAATGGGTACTTGTCCTTCAAAAGTGTTTCAACTGCAGCGAGCCCGCCATCAAGGCACAGGCAATCGTGGGCTGGAACCGTTTTGTCTTCGCGGTTGGACCGAATGAAACGACCAGCCGTTCGCTGCTGAAGATGTTGGGAAAGCCGATTCTCTCGCAGCTCGAACGGAAAAAGTCCGATAAAACAGGAGCTTCGCCAACACAACTTTCCCTGGGAAGTTATAACAATCTCTTGTATTACGCGTTCCGCCCATCGCCTCCTCATCACTATCTCGACCTGGTCTGGGAAGAATATGTTTCCGCTCCTGCTACAAGCACATTCACCACGGCCAGCCTCAGTGACAATGCTGCGCGCGTTCTTTCAAATCTTCTGTGGGCATCACAAGCTAAGGTTTGGAGTGAGAACCGGATCAACGATTCCACTAAGATGGAGGCCGACGAATTGCCCTCACTTGACCCCAGGTGGGTACGCTCTAGAGTCACTTCAATCGTGAAGGTGCTCAAGTCGCTTTTCAAATCCTCAGTATGGAACGATGAAGATTTGAAAACTTCAAACATCGCTCTTGCCTGGAACAGCTTCTCTAGTGCCTTGTCTCTCGCCTCCAACAAAGAGATCACGCCCTCCGGGGAGTCTATGCAAGCCGTGGCAAGTGTTGTTGGGCTGTTAAATTATCTATTGATGAGTGGGCCGTCTTCTCTCAATGCCGCGGGCGACAACTGCACAGATGTCTTCTTCGAAAGGTTTCGATTCTTGTCGACAACTATTATTAGTTCCCTTGGGGGCATCTCCTTCACGGAAAAGCTTCTTATGAAGACCATAGAGGAGACCTTTCAAACGTCCATTATCCGAACAGGACGCGAATCTACCCCCGGGACGAATTCTGATAGCCCAATCTTGCACCTTCTTCGCGCAGTCGGCATCACCTCCATGATCAACGAACCGACATCATCATACAGAAAACTTGTACATGACACTATCGAATCCGCTTGCAAGAGCAAGATTTCTCGCGGATCTCGTCTCGAACTTGTGCGGCAGTGTGCAGAATTGACCATTGTCGACACCTCATCAACCTCCCCATCCGTTCTCTCCGAGGTAATCTGGACCGCTAGTGCAGGGGCAGCAGCCAATGCCTTGCAGTCATTTCCAATCGAGTCTTCTCGTGAACGTGATGGCTCCGTGTCCCGTGATTACGAAAATATCACCAAAATTTTGGCTTCCGGTGTACAGTTCCCGGCTGCTTGCTCCAAATGGGCGTATCTATTGGAATCATTTGTGCGAGTGGTACGAACAGAAAAGGGCGATCGATCCCTGGCTACTCTCATCATAGAGCCTGTGGCCGAGCACCTGGCGCCTCTTTCTGCCAACGACACGTATTTCCCCGCTGCAGCATTGCTTGCTCACTCGATGTCAATTCCTTTCATGCAAGAGAGGATCCTTGAGATAGACGGTGTATCCCAGCAGGGAAACACCTCCGCCTTTCCCCGGAAGTTTAATAGCACTTGTTGGAAAGACACTTCAATCGGCATACAAGAGCTTCGACTTGTCGCGCGCCGATGGCCTCGCAGGTTTCCTTGAATCTTTGACATCGCTACTTGGGTCTGGTGTCCCATCTTTTCGCCACCATGCCCTTGAATCTCTCCAGGCATCGTTGGCTTTGTGGATAAAGGATGAGCGACAAAAAATCGATGTTGAGCACAAGGTGGATAGCCGTACTTTGACAGCGGTATGTGTGACCAGAATGAAAATCTCATCGGATTTGATATTAACAATTGCATAGTGTCGGGCTCTCTCATCTGCCGTGCTCAATGTCTTGCAAACTACTGTGCTTGACCAATTGACCACCATTCAGAAGTTTGACACCATCATTTGTGCAGGACTTGAGTCCCCTCATCTGTCAAGAACCAAACGCTTCGTTGATTTCTGGATCTCAACCAACTCTGCCTCCGATCCCCTTGCTGCGGAGACTAGCATCGGTCAATCGCTACAGAAAGCTCTTGCCATTCTCTCGGCTGGTGCTTCGGAACAAAATGAGGATGTACAGGTATAGCACACTCCCCCACACAATGTCTCCTGTGGCCATTTTGCTAATCTTCCCACCTGCAAGGATGTCGCCACATTCTCTTCCGTTGGTGAGACTGCTGCCTCTCAATCAGAAATCAAACAGCCCATTTCTCGCAACATTCTGCCTCGTTCGGTGAATCCTGATTCGTCACCTGTGATCGGGATGGAACATCAGTCTTCCGTGGAGACAACAGATTTGAACGAGCCTCAGCTGCCGACAAACTCACTATCTGAGGTACCCGAGGAGCCAATGGTGGAGGATGTCTCGGCCATCAATCCTGCAGTCAACCAGCGCGAAATGTTCAGGATGATCGAATCTATCCGATCGTCATCACCAGCCAATACTCCTGGAAAGTCGGGTTACGACACACCTGTTCATCTCCGCAGATTCCATATTTCTAACGGCACAGGAGCAATTCCTCTCACTCCGACCCTTGCTCCGACAGAAAACGATGAAGGCTTCATTGGGTCATCTCCTACCCCAGCTACACGGGACCCGACCCCTGCAGCCACTAAAGAAGTCCCATCGCTGAGTGTTCCAGATATTACAATGACCAATGCCTCTGATCTGCCGTCCTCTCCGCCAGAATATGCCTCGCGCAGTCCCAGCCCGCAGAAAAGAACGAGACCCACTAGGAGTGAGCGTCGTCGGTCTGCACGGGCAAAGAAGGCATTGCTTCGCAACTCTTCCGGAGAGCAAAGTGCTTCCAACAGTCCTAAGAAGCCTGTCCACGATTCTACCACTGTTCCAGAACCATCGCCACCATCCCAGGCCGATCAGCCAGAGGATTCGAAGGAGAATAATGGTGCTCCCCAGGCAGACGAAAGGCCACCAAGCCGACGAACACGATCTGCTCTTGGTCAATCTATGGACAACAAGCAGAGCTCGGCGCCGCCTACGCCTGCAGCAGTTGAAACTCCCGTGAAGCCGACCGATGATCAGGTTCCTCAGAGCAATAGATCGAAGACTGCTTCTAAGCGAAGAAAGAGGAAGAACGCTGCAAGAGCCGCAAATAGCCAAAGCCAGCAGTCCGAAAGCCAGCAGTCTGAAAGTCAGCAGCCCGACCAATCAGCAGATGTTTCTGCTACTCTGGCTCTTCCGGAGTACAATCTGGATTCGTCCAGCGAAGATATGGAGACCCAAATTGCATCTCAATTGGAGCAAGACCTAGAGTCTGCTGTTGACCTAGGCGATCGTGCTCCAACAGCTGATAAGGCTCAAGCTGTGGCAGAACAAGCCACCGTTCAATCTTCTAAGAAGAGGAAACGCGAAGAGGATGATTCCCGTGAGACTCGGGCGAAAAACGCTCAGGAGCGACGCCGATCCAGCAGGCTCACAGCATCGAAGGATGAGTTGCACGCCGAGGCCGAGGAGCCCCAACCTACGCCGTCTGAAGATCTCGCTCAGGAGTCTACGACTGTTCCACCTGAAAACCACTCCGCAAAGCCAGAGACAGCCACACCTCGCCGGTCCACTCGCAACTTCCAGCGGAGGGAAGAACCTCCACAGGAAAAATCCCTTCCAGCTACACAACTTGAGCTTACCGAATCGCAAGAGCCACCCAAACAGGATGAGCCTGCGCCGCCGCCTCCGAAACGATCGCGGAAGTCCCTTCGCTTGGATGATCAACCGCCGTCCACTGTACCTGAAGAACAATCCATCAGATCCAAATCAAACCGTTCTCGCAGGTCACGGTCGACTCGAACTGAAGTCGAGTCTTCGCAGCCATCTCAAGAACAGCAAACCCCATCTCAGCTCCTATCCGGCGAGACACAACAGCACCAGAATCAGGATGGTACTGAGGGTCTGATGCCCGAACGTATCGTTGTTGAAAACACGCTTGCAGAGAACACACATCTCGTTTCTACTGAAGAAGTAACCGATTCTCAAATGACAGACATGGCTCCCTCAATCGAGCCTACAACTACTCGCGACACCCAAACCATGGATGTCAACAAACCCCAAGAGAAGTCATCAGCAGCTCCCATCCAACCAACTACCAATGTCTTCACGACTGAAGTTCAAACAGAGCCATCGCCTATGCTTGATGCTGGTAGCAGCGAGAAAGACCTTGCTACATTCCTACAGAAGGTTCTGGACGAGGCGAAATCCGCCACCCTGGACCTCAATGGCCTCCGCCAAGTCGAAGACCTTCTCTTCAATATCCGCGTCGCCGCACAAGACGCACTCCGACGAAATTAGTAGCATAGCGATGGCGTTTAGTGGAACTTTTGTTTTAGTGTCTATGTTGTGTCTTCAGTTTACCGTTGATAATTGTTTTTATTCCCCACATGCATTTTACATCCACAAAAAACAGCGACTATTGCATCATGCTTTCTTTTCGGTGAGATTTGCTACTCTCTTGACTATTTTGTACTTTACTATGCTCGTCAAAACCTCGAATGGATGATCGAAGATATCACACGTTTTGATACAGAATACGGTACATGAGAAGTTGGGTGACCCCTTTGCATAAAATGTAGAGCTCAGGAGGCTTTAATGGGATTTTGTATCATCAAAGTTTTCCCATACCGCCATGAGATGGAAACCATGGAAATATATTCATTTGACACCAAGTAGATGCGAAGCTTTGGAGTACTTTGAAAGGAAGCTGCTGGAATGCGCTGTTTCTCTCTTGAGGTTGACATTGCTTCGTAAGCAGCGGTAGAGGCCAATGACGTCGCGCGCAAGCGGCAGTATTTCCTCTCCGCCCGGAAAAAAAATTCGCGGGGCACAGCACTTTCCCCCCACTTCACTCACTTGCATCCTGTGCAATCCCCTATACAACTGTCGCAATTGTTTAAGTCGTGTTCGACAAAAAGAAAAACGACAAAATGGCCAAGCCTTTCGACCCCGAGACTGCCGAGAACTTCGAGGATGTACGTCGCACCAGATCCTTGTCCGCTTCCATAGACCGCGAAGATCCGCCTCAGTATACTGACAATTTACAGATGGAGAAGCAGTTCGCTGTGAAGGGTTAGTGACTATGTCGATTCAACATATGCGCAGACCACCGACTCGAGCTTGGACGCGCGCTTTAAACCCCTGGAAACTGACATTGGATCCTCCAAATAGCTGTCGAACACCTCATGACATATTGGGCTATCCTCGAGAAGGTCAAGGGCTCGCAGCTGCGCCTGACCAAGATGGACGACGAGATCTATGAATCCTTCATGAAGGAGTTCCCCGAGTTCGACCCCGCCGGTACCATCAATGAGGACGAGATGAAGAGCAAGGCTGGCAAGGAGAAGTGGCGTAAATGGGTGAACCAGTTCGAAAAGAAGATCGAGGATTACAACTTTGGTACTATCGTCCGTACTCGCGCCGATGTCGAGTATGACCAGGACACCACCATCTTCGGTGTGCGCATGCAGTTCTACGCTGTTGAGATTGCTCGGTGAGTCTCCTTCACCCAAGAGGTCTATTGAATCGTCAAACTAACCTCCTTGATTCTAGCAACCGCGCTGGTCTGAACGACTGGATCTATGAGCGCTCTCAGAAGGCCAGCAAATGATCGCGTATCACATTTCCTCTTTTTCGCTGTGCTTGGCGATACGTCTCGAGTACGGTTCCACATCCGGGCCCCGACACCGACGGCATGCACCGATTCCTCTTTGCTCCGTGTGATACAAAGGAAGCGCGATTTCGCGCCTGTACATTTTCGTGCAGTCGGGACGTGACTATACGGACTGGGTTCTAGTTACGATTGATAGACAAAATGATTTGTAAGTATGGTACCTTAGGATTTGGCACAAGGCCGTTTTGCCCTGGGCCCCCTATGGAACGGATTCGTGGGCGATTAGCAATATACCCGCAAATAAACTGCATTTGACGAATATTTCATTCATTTCTTAGCTGTTATTCCCTTTCGCTCGTGAGTACAAAGATGGGCGACGAGTATGAAACATGTGACCGGCTTCGAACAAACACGTCCCACTCTTTGTTGATGTATTTTCTTCTTACGCGTTCCATGATTCAACACTCAAAAATTTAGAATTGTTCTCAGGCCACAAAACCCAGGAAAAGAGGAAGGTGCAGCGTGTTGCCTTGACAAAACGGAAATCGCGCAGGCGCCAACCCATCCGTGGAAATATGAGTCTTCAGACTCCCGCGCCTCTTTCCCCCTCAACGCGTCTTCTGCAACTTCGCTGAACTGATGGAAACAATGGATCGGATCCCCAAACCCCCGAAACTGACGTTTGCGAAGCTGAGCAAGAATCGAGCAACGAATCAATGTCCAGCTGGAAGTCCCTCTTTAACTTCACGGCTCGAAGCCACCTCCCGAGTCTGATCATTGGATCCATCTTCGCACTTCTTGCCGGCTGTGTGACCCCCGTGCTGGCAGTCTTCTTCGGTGATGTGTTTGATGCCTTCACGGTATTCGGCGCCGGACAGATAGAGGTTGACGAGCTGCATCGCAAGATAGGGAAGGGTTGCCTGGGCATGGTCGGGCTTGGAACAGCAGGATGGTTTCTCAACGGCGCTTACTACGCCGCATTCATCGCCTTTGCGGAGCTCCAGGTGTCGACTATTCGAGAAAATGTCTTTATTGAGCTGCTGAGTCGTGACCTGGCATGGTTTGAGGCTCAAACAGAAGGATCTGGTGCTCTCTTTTCCGGCATCCAAGCGTGTGTTTCCCCCCAACTTCTCCCTCCAAGCATTACAAAAGGAAACGCACTGACAACTCGATAAAGACAAATGCAGGACTTGAAAATGGCAACCTCGCAGCCTCTGGGTCTGATCATACAGTACTCGTGCCGATCGATCGCGTCGCTTATCCTGGGCTTCTACACTTCGTGGAGTCTGTCGCTCGTCACTCTCGCAGGTATTCCGGTATTCTCCTCCATAATCGCTTACCTCTCCACAAGGATGAAGATGAGCATCACGGCTCAACAGGGTGAGCTCACTCAGGCTTCCAAAACCGCGAGTAACGCCATCGCCAACATCGACACAGTGAAATGTCTCAACGGCCAGCGGATTGAAGTTCGCAAGTTCTCACACAGAATCCACAATGCCGCTTTTTACTACCTCCGACAGGCAAGACTGAACTCCCTCCAAATCGCGTTCATCCGATGGATGATATTCGGGATGTTCGTGCAAGGGTTCTGGTATGGAAGTGCGCTGGCTCGAGCAGACAAGCTGACATCTGGTCAAGTGCTTCGCACATTCTGGGCTTGCCTAACTGCAGCGCAATCAATTGAACAGATTCTACCTCAGATTATTGTGATTGAAAAGGGAAAGGTTGCTGGAATGCAGCTGAAGTCTATCATCCAGACTCGCAAGGAAGACAGAAGACAAAGTGAGACGCATGGCCTTTCGTACCCCTCGCATTGCGAGGGTGATATTGAAGTCAGAAACGTGTGTCTACCCATAAAAACAGAATTTTTACAGTCGCTAACATCATAGTCAGGTCTCATTCGCATACCCAAGTCAACCAGACAGGCAAGTTCTATGGCCATCGTCCTTCTTCTTTCCCGCCGGAGAAACCACATTTGTGATCGGCAAGAGCGGATCAGGCAAAAGCACACTCGGTCAACTACTCATGCGGTTCTATGTTCCAAAGTCGGGTCAAATATTCATCGATGGAAAGCCCCTGAGCAGTTTGAATACCCACTGGATCCGAAATAACATTACGCTCCTCGAGCAACGCAGCGTTCTGTTCAACGATACGGTTCTGCAAAACATTGCCTTTGGAAGCAGAAACCCCCACCTGGCGCTGACGGATCAGTTAACGAACGCAGTTGACCTCGCCGCGCTCCAGAATACGATTGACGGTCTGCCCAAGGGTCTGGATACATGTGTCGGCCCCGGTGGAAGTTTCTTGAGTGGCGGACAACGACAGCGACTTGCGATTGCCCGAGCAAGAATGCGCGATACGCCGATCCTTATTCTGGATGAGCCCACCAGTGCTCTGGATCATACAAGTCGAATTGCAGTGATGCAAGCCATCCGGGAGTGGCGCAAGGGAAAGACCACGATCATCATTACCCATGACATGGCCCAGATTCAAGCTCATGACTTTGTTTACATCCTGGAGAATGGCCATACTGTCTATTCCGGATATCGACGACATGTCGAGATTGAACCGGGAGCACGTAAATACTTTGAGACGGAGCGTCAGCGCGAACCAAAGGAGTCGAAGCCGCTTGAGAAACACCTGAGTCAAGCATCCAGCTTCTACCATGAGGGTTCGCATTATGATGATTCGGACAATACTCTAGAGGATCTCCACCCTGTCATGCCTCGACGGGCGCGTCAGGACACCAGAAAGTCATGGGCACAGCACCACCTTCCTCCAAGCTTCCGCACGAGCACATTCCAAATGGCTTCGATGCAATACGGTACGTCCCTCAACCGCTCTGATGACCTTCCGAATGCCAGCTCGAATGCTCGGACAAGCAAGAATTCCCCCACACTGGACATACTAGATGAACGCCCGCCAAGGAGAGAGGTGACCTCCTCAGGCTGGCTCGATGACCCCCAGGTAAGACCCACTGGAAATCAAATGCGTAAGATGAAGGGGAAGGCCCCAGACGTCGAAAGAGCAGACGTAAGATCGCTCCATGATTCACACATCCCAGTCCGACAGGACTCGAATCGGGATAGAATATCCCACCGGCAGTCGCTTAGACATCTGAGAATATCGAAGCGATTGAAGAAGCAAAAGGCAACGCCACTTTCTACGATCATGGGTACGATGATTCCCAGCCTGACTTACAAGCAACAGTTCATTCTGTTTTTGGGCGTCATATCTTCTCTTGCCCACGCTAGTGCAACCCCAATTTTCTCATACTGTCTCTCCAAGCTCTTCGCCACTTTCTATGCAGGAAGCGATAGTGCAAAGCTAGCCATGAAGTGGTCCCTCGCAGTACTGGGTGTGTCTGTCGGGGACGGCCTCGCTTCGTTCTTCATGCACTATTTCCTAGAATTCTCCGGCGAAATCTGGATGGATACTATCCGCAACCGGGCATTCAAACGAATCATGGACCAGCCTAAGGCATGGTTCGAGAAGGATGGAAATAGCGCTCCAAAACTAGTGGCGTATTTGGACCAAAATGGCGAGGACATGCGCAACCTGCTAGGCCGGTTTGCTGGATATGTCATCGTGGCAATTTCGATCACCGCCATGGCCATCATCTGGAGTTTGATTGTGTGCTGGAAATTGACTCTTGTTGCTCTGGCTTGTGGGCCTTTTATTTATGCCATCACTCGTGGCTTCGAGGTAATTAATGGCATGTGGGAGCGACGGGGCAATGCAGCTAACAGCCTCGTCTTTGAGATTTTCGACGAGACCTTTTCGGAAATCCGGACGGTGCGGACCTTGACTTTGGAAGGATATTTCCACCATAAGCATCTGAATGCGGTCTCGAACTCTTTGACGGTGGGCTTGAAGCGGGCCATTTACACAGGCTTGCTTTTCGGCATGGTTGAGTCGACCGTGATATTTGCCAGTGGTATGTGTAGTGTCCCCAGTAGCGCAGAGTGTGAATTTTGCTAACACGAGTGATTACAGCGTTAATCTTCTACTATGGAGGAGCCCTTGTGGGCTATGAATACGACGTGAATTCCGTGATGATGGTGTTTTCGATGCTTCTTTTCAGTATTGGGTACGCGGCCCAGATTCTATCGTGGAGTGAGTATCCCAATCCCTATTGCTGTTGTGTCTTTACTGACAACGACGCAAAAATAGTTCCCCAGATCAACACCTCCCGCGAAATCGCATCGAAGCTCCTCCGACTTGCAGCACTGCCCCGCGACCAATCTCACGAGCACAAGGGCCACATTGAGGCCACCACTCTTACCCCAATCATGTTAAGCAAGACCAATTTCCGATACCCATCGCGACCCAAGACGCTCGTCCTGAAAGATGTGTCAATCACCATCCAGCAAAACTCATGCACCGCTATTGTCGGTCGTTCTGGATCGGGCAAGTCCACCATCGCCTCCCTCATCCTAGCCTTGTATGAGGCTCCCATCACCCCATCTGGTCGAGCTACTGTGACCCTCGGTGGCCGTGATATTCTGCACCTACATGTCCCCACCCTTCGCTCACAGATCGCAGTCGTCTCACAGCAACCCACTCTCTTCCCCGGCACAATCAGTGACAACATCACCTACGGTATGGACATGCACTCCCCACTAACCTCAACCTTCCATGTTCGCGCGGCCGCCGGAGCTGCCGGAATTGACGATTTCATCTCGTCGCTGCCAATGGGCTACGAGACCGTCGTCGGAGACGGGGGCATTGGCCTTTCAGACGGCCAGAAGCAGCGTCTCGTGATCGCCCGCGCTCTTATCCGTCAGCCCCAGATCCTCATCCTGGATGAAGCTACCTCTAGCCTTGATCCGGCCGGCGCCCGAATCGTCCGGCGTACGATTCGTCGGCTTGTCGCTGCTCGCAAGAACCTGACCGTCCTCATCATCACGCACGCCAAGGAGATGATTGAGATCGCGGACCATGTCGTTGTCCTGGATCAGGGCGTTGTCGTTGAGGATGGGTCTTACCAGGAGCTAGCGCATCACGCCGGCGGGAAATTGTACGAGTTGATCCACGATGGAAACTCGGATGTTTGAAATCTCGTAGCATATTTCACTTAAACTTCCCGGTGAAACCCGCTGTTTTTGTCGCATTTGGGCCGGGCGGCCGATCAAAATCCTGCTCATTTGCTGTCATCTGCCTGTCATTCTTCTTATCGTTACTTTTGTATTTTTTATTTTCAGAATTCAATTATTTTTTTTGGTATCTCCAATTTTCTCCAATTTCGCGATATACACCTGGACTCCACCGAGCCCCGCGAGCCAATCAGTCGCGCATCTCTCCATCTCTCGCTCGAGCGCCGGCCGCGCCCCTCGCTTTCTTCCGTAGCTGAGTTCCTTTCGGCTGTTTTGTTGTCGGCCTTCTTAACAGCCACCCGCCGTGTCCTGCACGCCACATCTCTCTCAAGTGACACTCTCAGACAAAACAGTATACATTCCAAATGTCCAAGCCAGTCCTAATCTTCGCCCCGGGCGCATGGTACCCGCCAACCGTGTTTGACCCGCTGATCTCAAAACTGGACGATTACGAATGCCACACCGTCGCATTCCCATCAATCCAACAACCTGCCTCAGTGCAAGATCTCCAGCTCGATATCGCCGCGGTGCGTGCGCTGGTGGAGACTGCCGCCGAAGCTGGAAAGGATGTGTTTGTTGTCTCTCACAGCTGGTCTGGGTTGCCGGTCAACAGTGCCCTTGATGGACTGGCAAAGTATGAGCGCGAATTGTCAGGGAAGAAAGGCGGCGTTGTGAGATTGATTTTCATCGCGGCTTTTATTCCTGCGTTTGGCGAGAGTCTCATTGGGGCTTTTGGCGGGTCGCCGCCGCCGTGGTATGTTCGGGATGTAAGTAAAGACAGACTCAACCAAGGTAGTCCCGGGGTCAGGGTGTTTAGTACTAATTTCTGACGCAGGAAGCAAATGAAACCGTCATGCCCAGTGACCCCCACCCACTCTTCTTCCACGATGTACCCGATGGCGCGGAATGGGCCAAGACGCTGCGTCCGCATGCGTGGGTGACGAAGAATAGTCCCGCAACTGGTGCGGCTTATCTGGAGTTGCCCGCTTCTTATCTGCTCTGTGAAGATGACCAGGCTATCCCCCTTCCTGTGCAGCAGGTGATGGTTGACCGGGCCCAGCGGAAGGGTGCCCAGATTAAAACGCAGAAGATCAAGGCAGCGCATTCGCCCTGGCTTTCGCGGGCGGATGAGGTGGCTGAGTTTCTTCGGAGACAGACGGCTGAGGATGAGTAGTCGGGGCACTTTAATGTTTGTGGTCACTGTGGTTTCAGATGCATATGTGGACTTGATTTGAATGTCAATTTGTACATATTGCGAAGAATCCATTCTTCTTGATTTCTGATACTGAGATGACGTTGATTTGGAATCCTGGGACATACCACACATCCTTAAGATGTACCCAGAGAACTCCTCCACCTGGTCGGTTGACGCAGATTCTTGCAGTTTCTGGTCGGCGAATGTGATGAATCTGTCTCGTTGGTTGCTGATATGAGTATTGGCTCCTGAATCAATTATCCAGCAAGATGCCAACGGCTGAATCAAGGCGGTCTTGAATACAAATGGAGACACAGTGAAGAAGATGAGTGTCTCAGCGGATACATCATCCGCCTGTGCAAGGGCCAATTGGGCCATTTTCTCATGATTATCCTTCATGAACTTCCTGATTTCCTTCTGCTCTTCAGCACTAAGCTTCTTGATGTTTTCCTCTATGCACTTGCTAGCGGCTTCGTGTGGTTTCAAACCAGAGGATCTTCTAGACACATTGAGATGTATTCTCCTCAATGCAACCAACGAGGGTCTGTGCAGTCACACCAAAATTCTCCGCACGCGCTAAACCTTTTCTACATTGAAACCGGAAATTGAATCATAACCAATCGTAGCAAGCTCAAGATGTACTTGTTTCCGTTTATTAGATTCACAGGTTTTTTTTTCTTTTTTTTTCCCGGAGAGAAGTTGAAATGGAAATTTGGAGGGTTTTTATAGAACGGAAAGCTAGCTAGTGGACTTTAATTTCAGGCGAATGACACGTAGGATGGAGGTCCGTAAGCTTTCGTCATTCTACCCATCGGGTTATGAGCATGACTCCTCTCATGTCATTGGAATATCTAATGCAGCAACAAAAAACGTGTGCAAAACTATGTAGCTACCTAGTGACGTTTTTCAATGTACGCCGTAGTGAATGAATCCTGTTTCTATCCCACACTTGACTATATATTTGAACTGCGTTTAGGAAACTGATCTTCTCTAGATCAGGACATTGTAAAGTCTAACTCAGCACAGACATAGGCTGCCAGCGGGTTTTACTTCATCAAAATTATTAACACGTCATGTTTCCAGACGTTTTATGTGGTGTGTTCAATATAAAAGAACGATAGAAACAGCAGTTGTCCTCAATAATGTATCCGATCTCTATGTGTGAAAATTTTGCATCGACCATATCCACAATGAATCATTACGATACTAGCCAGTCACTTCGTCAGCTCAAGATGAAGTGGCCAAAGCCAAATGTGACAGTCACAGTAACAATGCATGAGTTGACTCAGCATTAGTTGATCTTCTCTGGAATACCCTGCCCTATCGTGCTCTCCAGACACACGCCTTGGTTACAGGTGACCACTTATGCCATCTTGTTCCATCGGAGCCCCTGATTGTAAGTCAGCATTTCATTTACCTCCCTTTGTCCTTGAATACTAATTTCAAATAGTACACCAATCCTCAGTATAAAGCTCCCGATAGAGCGAAGGAACCGGATGGTACCGTGTTTCTTTCTAAGTTCCAGCACCTAGCCATCAAATATGGCAAAGTGACCGAGCATCATCCTGCCGCCCCCTGCGGAAATGTCATTCCTGAGGATCTAGAGAAGCTGCGCTGGCTTGGAAAAGAGGTTCGTAAATGTCAACTTGAGAAGAAAGAGCCTATTGAAGGTGATAGTTTGGGATGTTTCTGGTCCCCAGCCCGAACCTGAAGATCTTTCTCTTCGCCTCCAGCGCACTGGGGTCGCGAAAGAGGTAAAGACCCTACTCCGAGAGATCCACAATGAGGTAAGCCCCATAAACATTTCTCCCATATACAGAAAGTTGCACCTAGTCTCATTTCATACGTAGATGGACAAGTCTTGGTCCGGAATACTGACGACGTTAATACAATTCATTGTGGTCGAGCTCCAGACCATCTAGGATCTAAGAGCTCCTAATTTGCCGCCATGCTCTTCGCAAATAGTGAGGTACGGACACTCGGCTATTAAGTTTTCGACAATATCCTCAAAAGAGCTGCAACGCACCTTGAGTTTGACCTCCAGCATTTGGTTGTTCTTTACAGAGAACTTATCTCTGCCCCAGCCGAGTTTCTAGGATATGTCGGCACTAAATTTCTACGTGACAGTCACAGAAAGATTGACGAGCTCATAAAATTGAATGTTGAGCCAAACACCAATCAGGAGGAGGCGCGGGAAGACATTCTCGCCATGGTGAGTGTTTGGCACAATATATCAATCTCCTCAACGCCCAAAACTTGCATTTATTTCCTTGGAAACATACATCCGAATATCCTATTCTGTCCGATTGAACATGAGGCGAGTTCTATTTGGTCATCTGAGTGGTTATAGGGCCATCCAAGTGAGGTGAGGGTTATGAAGGGTGACAAAACCTGGTTGCTGCCATAGACCGCGACGAAGAGCCACGGAGATAGTGTGTGCATAGCAGTTTCGAGTTAAATACATTGTTGCCGGTTCCATTATCGTTCCATGTAATATGGAGACTAGCTTAGGAAGCGCTCTGAAAAGCGGAGTATTCCCTATCAAGACTCCCACATCTCGAATTTATTATTTCGAATACTACTGTACTGGGATATTGACAAGAGGAAAAAGGCTCTATTGCCTAGAGAGATGAGTTGTCCCGCAAGCCAGCCGGAATATGTCATCTGTAGTTTCGTGATGGCAGATCTTGTATCACTTAACATAGATCCTGGGGCTCGTGTGAAAGAATTATCTGAGCCGGAGCATTGCATTCTTACCATGTCAGACATCGTCCCGGGGTTTTTTAGTTTCGTGGGAGAAGGTAACGCCGGTAAGTGTTAATCCTTGATGTGCGTAGTAATAATTGTTTTGTTTGTGCTATCCTACCTAGATACTCCCAGATCCTAGCCCATCCACAAACACCAGTAAAACAAGAAAAAAAAAAAGAAAAAGAAAAGGATAAATTTGAAAGGCTGGTAGCCCCGAACGCCTAGCCCAGAAAAACAGGCCATCCGGCAGCGCTGGATGCGAACCGCAGTTCGAAAAAAAGGGAAAAAGGGAGAATGCTAATACAGTCGTGAATCATGCTCATTAGGGCCGTATGATCAATGTGGATCTCCAGATCAAGGATCGCTAACACTCGTCTCTCCCGCTGTGGAGTCTCATCATGAAACGCCGGCGTGGACGGTGGTGGATCCTGGGTCGCTTGAAACAGCGCCTCGTTCCTGCATGGACTCTGTGGGCGTTGGCGGGTCGTTGTCGTTGTTTGCTCCTTGCGGTTGCAGTCCTGTCGGCGTCACTGGGGAAATGGTGATGGGGCTTGCAATGTTGACGTGGATTGAGGGAAGACGTGTCAGGAGGGGAGTGAGGCGTTCGGATTCTTCCTGGCGTTCGCGGACGGGGCTCTCGTAGGCGGGTGCGTCGCCCCAGTCGAGATATTCGTATTCTGGTGGTGGAGGGACGATGTTCAGGGTGCCGATGTCGCCTTCTTCGTTCTGGGGTGTTGGGTGGCCGGATCCGCGCGTCGAGACAGGGTGCAGGTCCCAGTGATCGATCTCCGTTGCGGCTGTGTCGGTCGTCAGGATGGAGGAGGACATCGACTGCACTCGCGAGTTCATGCTGGATGGCTCGGCGAGAGAGGGAGACGTTGTGTCCCTGGAGGCGTGCTGCAGGAGCGGGTGGTGGTCAGAGTCGTGCGAGTCGGCGCGAAGACGAGAGCCATCGTGTCGAACATGACCAATGTCTGCATAGCTCACGGCCGAGATGCGTCGATCTCGCTCGCGTGATTGGTGATCTGCAACGACTGCGGACGCACTCAGCGAGGTGTTGCTGCCCTCGCGACGGCGGTTGTTGCGAGCACGAGACTCGGCGGCCAACTGCTCCAGTCGGATCGAGTCACCACGAGATCGTGCCTCGCGTCGCTCGCGGCGACGGGCTTCACGATCGGCCAGTTCTTGACGTCGTTGCAAGCGCAGCTGATACAAGGCCTCCATCTGCTCTTCGCGGCGAGTTTCTTGCTCTTCGTTGGTCTCGGGGAATTCGACGACCATGTCCATGCCGCCTCGTTCGCCTTCACGGGCAACGACTTGTTCGGTCGGCTTGGGGCTGGCTGAGTAGGGAGGGAGCGTAATGATGGATCGAATCGATGTCTCGCGCTGCACGCCGTCGTTGTTGGTCGTGGCCGTGGTCGCAGTCGTCATCTCCGGATTCATGCCGCCTCCCCCGTGATATGAAGTATCATTGTCCGCAGCTACTGCTCCCTGGTTGGGGACCTGGCCGTAGGAGGCGCTGCCGGGACACCAATGTTTCCATTTCCGCTTGAAGTACTGTCCGGGGATATACTTCGGATTGTAGTGCCGCTGTCGCAGCCATCGAGCCCCGAAATAGAGGGCCGTACACGAGGCCAGCACGAAAAGGATGACGGAGGCACACTGAGAGTCGGGGATGGGTTAGTAGCGTCGCAACGGAGCATGGAGTGCGACCGGGTGAAAGTCCTGAACGGATACAGCCGGAAAGCACGAGAGCAAAACGTACGACGATGAAGATGCCGTTCTTCCGGCTGAGGGCCCGTTTCTGGGGCAGATACATGGTGGCAAGCGCGGGCGACGGGCCCTAGAGGACTGGCGACGACATGGAACGGATGCCCCAGATTTCGAAGAGGTCGAGCAGGAGTGAGGTGAAGGGACAAAGGATTCAGCCACCGGCGGCGTAATCAATTCTAGGCGCGAGTGGATCAGCTCAGGGACGCCTCTATTATTATCGAGTGGGGAGGTGGAGCCAGTGAGACGATGGCGTGGACAGAGGCTGGCACTCATCCCAATCCCAATCCCAATCCTGCCTGAAAGTCGGTGTCGATCGTGTCTGAGGCTTGTCTGTGCGCGTGTGCTGGCTCTCTCAGCACCCAGCTGCTGGCCCTAAATTCCAGTCGCAGTGACTAGGCTCCAGCCGCCAGCTGCGCGGTGCGAAATGGGTGGATCCCTCAGGCTCTGCACGGGAGATCCACGGTGGACTCGTGTGAAACTGTCTCGCCCGTCGACATCATCGGTGGAGCTCGTGGACGTCGGATTGGAGCACGAGTTGCGCCCTTCCTGGGGCTGCAGCTATCGCCGGCAAGGGCTGGGCGTCAACGACTCGGTAACACAAAACACCGATCGCCCTTGCTTGGGGAGTGTGTTTCGTGGTGAGGGGGAGGGGGTGATGGAAATTGGATTGACCCAGGCTGATGAGACAGCAATCAAAGAGACGGAAATTGGATGTGAAGGGAGAGAAGGGAAAAATGAACACAGGTGAAGTAGCATCGGAGATACGTAGTGTTTGGCAGAAATATCGATATCGCCGTTCCCGCTGCATACAATAATGCAATGGGGGTCTAATGCTTCTAACTAGATCATACGGCCAGGTGCATGATCGAATCGTGAAATATGTACTCGACATGTAGTGTGAGTGGAATAGACAATTTCATTGTGTTATTTAATCCAACATCGACTACTATCAGCCGCCATCAGCCGCCATCATTCCTCTCCTTGCCCCGTCCATGGACTGCAATCAAACCCCGTACCCTCAAATGAAAGAGGCAGTAGTGCATGGCAATGAGCGATTCAGTAGATTTATTTCTCGAATAGACTCAACATCTAGACGTGATTGAAATGTCGTAAGATTTGTTCACTCCCTGCGTCTACAGCGCAGCGATAAGCTATAAATAGCCAACATCAAAGTACATACATACCCTCAGAGGGAGATTGTGCCTACCACCACCGCTTCTCCCCCCGACTCTTCAATACCGCCTGCACCATGGCATACGCATCAAAGAGCCCGGACTCCTGAAAATAAGTCTCATAATGCGCAATCATCTCCAACAATCTCTCCCGATGGGTCTCGGCCAAGTCGTGAATCTCCCCCTGGTCCGTCTCCAGGTCGTACAGCTCCCACCTGCCTGGTCCACGCGGCGGAGGCAGATACAACGCCTTCCAATGACCGACGCGAACAGCCGCGATTCCAAACTGTTCCCAGCCAACGATATCGCGTTGCGGGTCGTATAGGGTGACATTTTGGTCTTTTGATGATTCGAGGAGTGCCCGCCATGATTTACCCCGGATAGGGGCGATTTCTCGGCCGCGAAATTCTTTCCCAGGGTGTGGGATGCCCGCTAGATCGAGGATGGTTGGAAGGACGTCCATGACCGTGGTAAATGTGTTGGTCACTGTCCCCGGTGGCAGCTGTGTACCGGCTGGATACCGGACGATGCATGGACAGCGGATCCCCCCTTCTGTTGTATACGATTTGGCGCCGCGGTTAGGCGCCGTTGCGGCTGAGGCCCACTGCGGTCCGTACCAGACGAACGAGTTGTGGTTGCCCATGTTCTCGAGCGAGTTGTCGTAGTATTTTTTGAGGAGGTCATTGAGTGTAGCCCCTGCCAGAATGGGGATGGCCTCGAGGAGTTGACCCTCGGCGCCGTTGTCGGACATGAAGACGACAAAGGTATTGTCCCACTCGCCGGTGGACTCGAGGTATTCTCGTACTCGGCCGACGTTCACGTCGATGAGGTCCACCATTGCGGCGAATATCTCCATCGATCGACATGATTTCCGCTGTCCATCTTCTGGCAGGTCCGCCCAGGGCGTTGTGTCGAGGGTGTGTAGCGGGGCTGGCTCTACGTCTGCTGGCACAATGCCTTTCTCAATGAGACCGTGTAGTCTACGATCTCGCAGGGCCAGGGGTCCACCATCGTATTTGCCGCGGTATTTGCGGATGGTCTCGGGCGGGGCTTGAAGAGGCCAGTGAGGTGCGGTGAAGGGGAGGTAGGCGAAGAAAGACTGTTCTTTCTCTCGTTCGGTTCGCTCATCCAGATATTTAAGCATATAGTCCGTGAATGAATTCGAAGAATAGAAATCCTTCGGCAGATCCTTCCCTCCATCAATGAACTGGTCATTTTCCATCCAGAGCCCATTCTCCTTCAAAATCGCGCGCGGCTTCTCCGTTTCGCCGTAGAGCTGTGGCTCGTGATTATAGTGATTCCCAGCACCTGGTAAAGTCGTCAGGACTTTCGTGAAGCCCCGAGCCGACGGACTCAGCTCTTTTTCCAGTCCCAGATGCCACTTTCCAGACATTACAGTGAAATAATCATTATCTTGCATGATCTCGGGCAATGCAGCGATGCGGAAGTTGAGATAGCCTTCGTATCCTGGCCTTCCTTTGAAGATTTCCGGAAAGCGATTCATTCGCTCGGCCATGCCCCCGAGACCCGCGATGTGGGCGTCTGTGCCGGAGAGCAGCATCGCTCGCGTCGGGGAACATGATGCTGCTGTGTGGAAGTCGGTCATGCGAATGCCTTCCTGGGCGAGTTTGTCGAGGTTGGGGGTGTCGATTTCGGATCCATAGGCTGAGAGGTCGCTGAAGCCCAGGTCGTCGGCGACAATGACGAGGAAGTTTGGTCGTTTGCTGGTTGTCATTTTCGTGACGCACAAAAGCACTTAGATGAACATTGGGAATAGCGGGTGGTTTTATACACTTGATCCCGCTGAGGCCAGGCGTGATTGGCAGATGTTGTATCGTTCGGTGGGTTTGGCGTGACGGACTAAACGCTTAGCCCCGAAATGGAAACAAGTCGATCTTCCCTCGCCGCCAGCCCCGCTAGTCTATACCAAACCCCGTAGAAAATTGCACTTGCTGGTATTACACATTTCCCACATCTGCCTTGCTATTTTTCGCCCTAGCAGTGTGATCACGACATGGAAGCCACTTATGACAACTGAGTGTTTTAACTTCTATAAAATATGCCTCTCCTCAGTCCGGACGGTTACCGAATCTTGCAGTCGAAGGCATTCACCAAGATTGTTCAAGTAAACTGAACTTCACCATGGCGAACTTAAAAGACCTTCGATCGTTCAAGCAGGCGTCGCTGAACATGGTCCTAGCCATCATCGTGATGAGCGTCAGCGTCTTCAGCTTTGGATTCGACAACAGTGTCTTTTCCACAATTCAAGCAATGGATGGTATATCATCCTTCTTCCACTTCAATTTACGTCCGATGCTAATGCACCCCAGCATACGAAAAACGCTTCGGAACCTACAACCCCAAAACCAAAGAATGGGGATTCAGCACAGAGCACCTCTCCTTCCTCAACTCCCTCGGCCTCCCCGCAAAATGCGTCGGAGCCCTCACCGGCCTACTCATCGCAGAGCGCTTCGGACGAAGAATCTCCTACTTGGGAATGCAGATCGTAGTCATTGTCGGTATTGCCGTCAGCTACAGCGCGACCACATACGGAGGCGCGCTTGCCGGCCGTATCATCGTGCAATGCTTCGTGGGCTGGGACAATTTTCTCGTCCCAATGTTCCTGGCTGAGATTAGTCCCACAGCGCTGCGGGGTGCAATTGTTGTCATCTATGTTTTTGCGCATATCTTGGGGTCGCTTATTTGTTCATTTGTTACGCTCGCGACGGCCAAGTATGAGGGCGATGCGTCGTGGCAGGTTCCGCTTGCGTCGATGTTTGCGTTTCCTGCTTTTGTGCTAGCTTTTTATTGGTTTATTCCTGAGAGCCCGAGGTGGTTGGTGAGAAAGGGGAGGAACGAGAGTGCGCTGATCCATTTGCAGTGGCTGCGTGGATCGCGGCTGTCGGAGGATGAGTGTCGAGAGGAGATTAACATGTTGCAGCATAGTGTTGATCGGGATCGGGAGGTCAAGGGTCAATGGCCGGACTTTTTGAAGGGGCCGAATAGGGTGTGTTTTGACAGATATCTTGATTCCTTCCCCAGGGCTAACGATTTGTTGTGTCCAGAGACGCCTTCGCATCGCAATCGCCGTCGCCATCTTCAATCAGGTCACGGGTCAGAGTTTCATGAGCCAATATGGCGCAGTCTTCATCAAGAGCTTGGGCACTATGAGCCCGTTTGTCTTCAAAGCGATTTCATCCGCAATTACCTGTCTCGGTCCCATCATAACCTTCACCTTTGTCGATATCATCGGACGACGACTCTTCTATCTTGTCTGCGGTACGGCATGTACGACAGTACTACTGATTTGTGGTGGACTTGGAACGGGTACCGTCTCGGCCTCGGACAAGACTGGCATTGTCACTGTCTGTATACTATTCGGGTTCTTCTATATCATGTCCTTTGGTGCTATGTAAGTTGCCTATTCAACTCCTCTATGCACTATCATCAGTACTAACTCATTGCCTATAGTGGCGCCGTGACAGCAGCCGAAGTCCCGCATCTGCGACTCCGTGACAAGAATGCCCTCATGGTATACTGCACCCAGTTCATCTTCGACTTCATTGTCACTTTGACCCTTCCCTATCTGATGGACGCGGGCGAGGCCAACCTGCAGTCAAGAGTGGGATTCATCTATGGTGGCTGCGGGCTCCTCGGTCTTTGCTGGGCCTACTTCTGTCTTCCAGATATGACTGGCCGGTCCCTTGAGGAGTTGGAAGAGATGTGGGCAGAGCGCGTGCCTGCTCGTGAGTTCCGCAGTATGTCGTCCCTCTTCCTGTCCGCATGATTTCCTTGATTGCCTGTACTAACATTGTCAGAATGGAAATCTTCGGGGCGGAGGGATACAGAAAACGATACGCCCAAGATTACAGAAGCTACCAAGGTCGACTCACATTCCAGCTAGGATGTACATTGTGCGTGAAGAGCGCACCGTACTCGCGAATGCTCTAACTACTTGCTTATTATTTTCTTCTTGTGTACAAGAGTTGAGATGAATATTCCGGCATTATTACAACTAAGAATTTGAAAAATTGAGATATTATTTTTCAAGTTACTTTCCAAACGATCACCACCGCTCTGCGCTCGTCTCTGTTACGTCCTCGAACAGCCTCGAAAACAAGAGAGTGGGCCTGTTGCTCATCGCAGCTGGCGATGGCGAGTCACACTACGGCTGCCGGTCGCCGACAGCCGGATCCAGGCTCTTCTGTAACTGGTGCCCGCGATTCCGCACGGGGATTATCAGGAAATTCTGAAATTTTCAATTTGTCAAATAGAAGGAACATATGATATGGAAAGCCTCTATCTGGCTATGTATTCGGTCTGGTAATACTAGTGGTCAACGGTACGTTGATGTATAGCTCCTCCGCGCCCGGTGGATCGGACTAGATGTTGAATGCGGGGACTGGTAAGTTAGTTCCGGCTGTCGGTCAGTGAGGCCGATGGTTGGCCGGTTTAAATGGCCTATACCGGGCTCGTTGAATCCTAGGTTGTTATCCTAAGCCATTTTACCTTGAGACGATGCATCCTCAGTCCGTCGGAGAGTCCTTCATCGAGTAAGAATTACGCAACTGCTGACGTTCACTTCGGCCATATTTGCAATTGCCGAATTCACATACCACTCACCAGCTCTTTTCTCCTTGTGTCACAATACTGGCAGTATGCAGAAGGTTGGCGACGATGAACCTCCCCACACAATCCCGCACCAACCAAGCGGCCTCCCCAATGAACGGCCCAACGTCGTGATCTTCATGCCAGACCAGCTCCGCTACGATGCCCTACATTGCACCGGGATGAACCCAGTCGTACAGACACCACAGATAGACAAATTTGCGTCTCGAGGTGTCCGCTTTTCAGAATGTTATGTCCAAGCATCTGTATGCTCGCAGTCGCGCTGCTCAATGTTCACGGGGCTCTACCCGCACGTGTCTGGGCATCGATCATTGGAGAACCTCATCAAGCCCTGGGAGCCGAATCTCTTTCGCTCATTAAAGGATGCTGGGTATCATGTTGCGTGCATGGCGCCGAGAGGAGATCTGTTTGCTCCAACTGTCACTGAGCTGAGCTTGACTGAGTATGGGTTTTTGGAGCCGCCCGAGGTCACGAAGATTATTGGAAAGAATGGGAATGAGCGACCTGAGGATGAGATTAGTATTTGGGAACGACTGTTTTATAAAGGTCGGAGGGATGTGAGCAAGGCGGTCGATTACGATGAGGCTGCTGTTCGGGGTGCGGAGCAGTGGCTGGAGTGTCCCCCGGATGACAAGCCCTGGGTGTTATTTTTGCCTCTGCTGTTTCCTCATTGTCCTTTCACGGTCGAGGAGCCTTATTTCTCGATGTATAAACGAGAAGAGATGCCAGCTCCATCTTCGCATAAGGAGAAGGTAAATAAACCCCTTGAAGCGAAGTGGGTCTGATGAAATATATCTGACATCCTTCCAGACAGGCTATGAGCCAACATATATGCAAATGATCCGCGAAAGACACGGCACACACCGTGCAACCCCCGAGATCTGGGCGGAAGTGGCCTCCACCTACCATGGCATGATATCACGATTGGACGACCAGTTCGGCCGCATCATGGACAAGATCGACGCTACGGGGCTGTGGTCCAAGACCATCACCATGTTCTTCACGGATCACGGGGAATATCTTGGCGATCACGGCCTGATTGAAAAGTGGCCAAGCGGGTTATCCGAGACCCTGGTTCGGGAGCCCCTGATCATCGCTGGGGGTGGCATCCCTGCCGGCCTCGTGCGCGACAGTATGACAGAGATGGTCGACCTGGTGCCAACTATCCTGCAGCTCTGTGGCATCGACGAGACCTTTCCTCACAACGGAATGTCGCTGCTGCCCGCTATCTTGCATGATCAGCCACATCGGGAGTATTCCTTCTCGGAAGGAGGGTTCCTGCTTTCGGAAGAACCGCTGCTGGAGAACGCTTCGTTTCCGTATGATATCAAGTCTGGCCTGCAGCACGAAGACACTCGATTGGTTGGGAAGGCGATCTCCATGCGAGACAAGCACTGGACGTATATCTACCGGTTGTACGAACCGGCGGAGTTGTATGACCGCCACGCCGACCCCAAGGAACTGCACAACCTTGCGGCCGATCCGCAGTATGTGCACCAGGCTCGGCTTATGGAGAGTCGCATGTTCCGCTGGATGGTTGAGACGAGTGATTTCCTGCCGTATACTAAGGATGGACGATTCCCTAAGGTAGATTTGCCGGATCCCAAGACGTTGCTGGATGAGCGGAAGGAAAGGCGTCGGAACGGAGACAGCGATGGATTGTTGAGTGCATAGAATTGCAGATAGTCCTGTAGAATCGCGATACGTATGAATCTTCCAATACTCAAGTCATTATCTGTGATGGTGTGCGGCATGAGGGCTCTGAGTTGCGACGACCGCAAAGTAGGAAGCGCGGGGGTGGAAAGGCATCGGCTGCCTCCTCCCTCCGCTCGCAACTTGACAATGATCGCCACGCATCCCTTGGCCGAGGATCACGGCTGCCACTCGCCAGCCCCAGACTCTGCAGGGGTCGTCCTGCGAGTCCTGCGCGGATGATACCTGCTCGTCCGCCCTCCCCAATATCCCCCGTGAAGACAGACCCCACAGCGGCAGGATCGTCGGGGGTGCGATCATCTGCGCGCCAGGCATGATCGCGCAGTGGCGTCCGGCGATGCTTGAAGAGGATGCCTTTTTTGCACTGCTGGCCTGGCAGACGGAGCACACTCTGCTCTCGGCCATGATCGACGAATGTTAAGTGAGCCAATGTGAGCTAGAATGTCGATGGTCCAATCGGTGCATGTTCTGCGCTGCCATGCGACGACGCGAGGTCATCGCAACGCTGGATCACCGGGTCTCGTCAGCCTGCCCTACTTGATGCGAAAGCTCTCAAAAATGCCGAGCATCCCGCGGTGGTCGAGCCGGATATAATTATGGGTCGCGTTGCAGGCCGAGATCGAGTTCCACCAACCCTTACTGAGCATCTGTGGTCCTGTGGCTCCTGACAGTGGACCCTGCGAACCCATCGCTCCCTATCAGCTTTGTTGTGCTCGCTCGGAAAATAACGGTCCAGCCACGCGAGGGTGTCCCCTGAACTTTCATTGAACCATTGGTGTTGGTTGTTCTCTGCGATTGCACCGACGCAGAATGGCTACCCTGAATTTTGCGCTGGTCAATACGACCGGGTCCAACAATGTTTACGCTTATATCACCGGTCAAGCTATCGATAATAACAATGCGCTGTTCCTCCTGCAGGCGGATGGCAAGACGGCCTATTTCCCCACGTCACCATCGTCGACCCTGACGGCCCTGAGCCAGGACTGCGCAATCCCGCTCGGGGCATCGGGCAGCACCAAGACAGTGACCATTCCACACATCGCAGGTGGACGCATTTGGTTTGTTCGCGATGGCAAGTTGACCTTCTACGTCAATCCCGGCCCCGCGCTGGTGGAGCCGTCGTCTTCCAACCCGTCCGACCCGAACTACAATCTGTATTGGGATTTTTGCGAGTTCACTTGGAACTCCGCCCAGCTTTATGTCAACATTACAGATGTGGATTTTGTGTCACTGCCCATTGCTCTGGCCTTGACGAACACATCTGGTGTCACTCAGACGGTCCAGGGTCTTCCACCCGGAGGACTGGACACTATTTGCACGGCGCTCAGGACGCAAAACTCGAAGGATGGTGCGGGATGGGATAAACTGATCATCAGCAAAAACGGCGCCAATCTCCGTGCCGTGTCCCCAAATACCGGTATCACCCTGAACAATTCTCTGTTCAAGTCATATTACGATGCCTATGTTGATCAAGTGTGGTCCAAATATGCCAGCGATACCTTGACTGTCAATACCCAGGCGGCCGCCGGTGATGTCACTGCCACCGTCTCAAATGGCAAGCTCAACTTCTCAACCGGCAATATCTCCTACAATCAACCTTCCACAGCCGACATCTTCAGCAACAGCTCAGGAGCCTTTGCCGTCTCGGGCGATAGTACCAAGGATGCCATCACAGCTCGACTAGCCGCTGCCTTCAATCGATCCACTCTTCTGACCAACACGAAGCAGCCGAATGGCGAGGTGGTATCCAACTACTATCAAAACTCCGTGACAAACCACTATGCTCGTATCTGCCATGCCACCACGATCAATGGCCGTGGATACGCGTTCCCGTATGATGACGTCGGTCCTTCGGGGGGCACGGATCAGTCTGGTAGCGTCTTCGATGGAAGTCCAAAGCTTCTTACCGTCACTGTCGGTGGTCTCACGAATGCAGTGAGCGAAAACACAGTGAGCGAGACTGTGCCTCAGTCTAGTGTCCCTCCCCCTGTTCCCAAGAAGCCGAGTCGGTTGGCGGGTCTCAAGAATGTGTGGCATAAGTTTTCTCACAGTTAGTAAATGAGCTATTGAAATCAGATACTGTGGGTTTGGGTTTCACTTTTTGAATTAACATACGAGATGTACATATACAAACTTACTGCGTGTCCTTTACATGGAATCTACAAGGACATATTCTGAACTTCGAATGATGATGATATTGTTGGACTCAGCTTTGAAAGGGGGTAAAGGGAAGGTTTCAGGTTATCAAGACCATAGTCTATGTGACACTTGGCGTCGAAACTGACACCGTTTGGCCAAGGATCTAGTTCTTTATTATCTGAGGGAAGCCATGGAAAAGGTGCGGTCTGAGGCAAAAGGGATGTGGAAGTATCAGTCTCCAATGTTAATCCGTGCGTATTTCTGGGGTGGTAAGATCCCATTAAGTGCCACATGCAGCACCTTTACTTGGAGATCGTGCGAGGACATCCTGAAAGGCAAGCTGAAAGATATCTTCGCAATCATTCTGTATGCCTAGATTCTCTAAATGCGAATCGAGACTTGTTTCACAGGCTAATACTTCTTCTGCCAATGGATCTCTTGGCTCAAGATCGCTTGATTGTGACCTCAATAGATGGTATAATGCCACAAGTGATACCACGAGAAGTTCTCCAGCAAGCTTTGAGCAGCCCATAGCCGTGGTAGTCACGTGTGAGAGCAATGCCATGAGCACGCACTTGCTGATCTGTAGCATGATTGTGTCTAGTATAGCGAAAATTCTCATGATAAGCATCGGAAAGACAGATGCATCCCAGGGAAAATACTTTCAATAGCAGACAAATTATCGAAGAGGTCAGTCACTGGTAGTACTGCTCTAGGTTTTCTGGATCCCGAGTACATCGGAACACCCGGTGACATTCTTATAGTACTCTGTACATTCACAGTGTCGCATTTCCAAGCTCGGGTACCCTAGTACAATATAGTTTCGGGTCGTGAGAGCCCAACATGAGGCCTTTGTTGAGCTTGAAAACAAAGCATTGTTGATATTGGCAAATAGACATTATTGGAAAGTCTGTTGGTAGTGGATCCGTCTCAGGACCTTTGTGTCCAAGTGCAGAGACCCGAAACTCGCATCAATTGTATTGTCTTTGATCAAGGGTGAACAAAGCAGACATTATTTCATCTCCAGCACCAATTGAGCTTCACCAGTCGCCTTCGACTCTATTAGCACTGTTCGAGAACGGGTAGCTCACCTTCCACCAAAAGATTTCGGGTATCATGACCATGACGAGGAAGCTATATTGACTGGTGATTCAGCATTTGTATCCCGACCACAGGTTCGTATATCCTCATCAACTTTGCATTGGAAATCGTCGACGAACAAATTTATTAATATCCATGAAATAGATATTCGAGCTCTATGCGACCTAGGTTTGCACTTCAGATACCATCCATCACACATGCCCAGATTGAAATTACAACATTTCATTACATCACATCCATGGATTCTCCACGTTGAGATTTGCGTAGTAGCTTCAACAATAGAACTGTTCAAAGAATATGGAGGCTCTTTTGCTTTCCATCCTTTGGATTCTCTATGCCAAACGACCTTTGCAGCCCAATGAGTTTTACCACGCCATTTGGTCAGGTTTGTTACTCGAAGTTCTAGTTGGTGATCAAATCCCCGATAGCCTCATCCAGCATACCGGGGACGGCTTGAATAAGTTCAATCGATACGTCATTAGCTCTTCGAAGGGATTTGCTGGGGTCACAAAAGCGAAACGACCAGTTGTTCAATTTATCCATGAATCTGTCCGTGATTTCCTAATCAAGGACAAAGGCTTACAAGAATTGTGGCCTGGACTTGGATATGGCTGCGAGAGTCCAAGTCATGAAAGGCTCAAGATGTGCTGCAACATCTACCTTAATCAATCATCACTTCGTGCGTCAAACGGTTTCCAAGATGCTATCGGAGCGCAACTCTGATCTACAGACGAAGTTTTTACCAAAGGATGCCCAATCCTAGAGTACGCTAACCAATATTGCCTCGAACATGCCAATTTTGCTGCGAAAGTATTTCCACAAGGCGACTGTTGGTAGCACCAGCTAGGTACTGTGTACACAGTTAAGTGGACAGTCTGTATGCTCCAAAGCAAAAGTCAATTGATTCCTGTTGATACATGTGTGTAGATGTTCAGTCTAGTTGGAAAAACACCCCTAGATCCCACACGCCGGCCTTCGGCGGTCACAACACCGAGGCCACAGCCCAGCGCAAGAATGCGTACACCAAGCAAGGGATGTTATCCATCGGTCGCTAGCAGTGGGTCACAGCCAGTTTGTTCTGACAGGAGAATATATCCCGACAGCGACTTTGTATCAAAATTTCTTACTAACAGCTGGGTTTCGGTCAACCATATCTTTGAGTAATTCAAAGTCAGAAGATATTTCCTCATTGGATCTGTCGTACATTCTTGCAGATAAGGGATACTCTAATCTCATTCGCGCAGAAATTGTGGATAATCCGGATATACAGATTGACAGGTTCTTGGTTGACCAGAGGTACAAGTACGCGCTTTTTGCGGCTTAAGCCAACGGCCACAAAGAAGCTGCTGCGGCTCTACTAGGGTTACCTTCAGCACTTATAATGGAGTCAACATCATAGAAGGCCTCAATTCCAAGAAAGATTTCAAGCATCACGAATGTCGAACACCTCTATCTTGGGCATCGCAAACGGGTCGAACGGAGATTGTTCAGCTACTTCTGCGAAAAACAACTGCAAACGAACCGGAACTCCGTGGCCGGACACCACTTTCACGAGCCTCGGAAAACGGCCACGAGGGTGTTGTCAGGATCCTTATCGAAAATGGAGCACGAGTTGATGCTCCCGATGCAGACAAGTGAACAGCGCGTCATGCGGCCTCGGCTCATGGCCACACGGCGATAGTGAAACTTCTCATTGAAAATGGAGCAGATGTCAATTATAGAGACAGGAAAGGCCGCACACCGCTTGAAGTCTCATTGCGCGGCCATGAGGAAACAGCTCGGCTTCTCGTCTATTACGGAGCAAATTTTTATGTTAGTGACAAGAAGGGGCGGACGTCCCTGCACAGAGCCTCAGACCAGGACCATGAGGTTGCGGTGAAAATCCTTGTCAACCACGGAGCAGACATAAATCAGAAAGACTACGATAGACGTACGCCACTTTCCCAAGCCGCACTTAACGGCAACAAGGCGATGGCAAAAAGCCTTATTAAATTGGGAGCGGAAATCAACACCAGTGACAAGGCAGCCTCGACACCCGGGATCTAGCCTCTTTTTGGGGGCGCGAGGGAGTAGCAAAGCTTCTTCTTCAAGCTGGAGCAAAGGTCGACACCAGAGATCTGGCCGGAGTCACGCCACTTCAAAATGCCATGGACAATGGTCATACAGCAGTGGTCAGGCTTCTCATCGAGCACGGAGCAGACATCGAAGCTTGTGGCGTAGACAGACGGACACCGCTATACAATGCCATTTACCCCTTCTATTTCCAGACTGCAAAGCTTCTTATCGAAAATGGAGCGCGAATTGATGCTCGGGATGAAGACGATCGGACGCTACTTCACGAGGCCACCACTTGCAGCCTTGAATCAATAGCGAAGATTCTCGTTCAAAACGGAGCAGATGTCAACGCCAGTGACAGTAAAGGCCGCACACCCCTTCATTTGGCCTCTTGAATAGTCCCGATGTAATATACCCGCTTCTTCGCCAGTATGGAGCTGGTGCTATGTAGCGACATTCGCGATTTGGATCATACCATTACGTCCAGATAGATATAATGTCAGAATTTTGTATTGAGCTCAGCCTGATTTCACATCAGATGATTGCAAAGGGCTTGTTCTTCTTTGTTGCCTTTTTCGCATTGCACCGTTATTCAGTGCTTACATTGTAATGTATACATCATTTTCCAGTTGTAACTGTGAATAAGGTAGTATCAGTATAATATAGTGAAACACATTGCACAGTGATTGTGTTTTCAAATGGACAGTTTTGGCATGCAGTTTACATAGCATATATTTGTCTCATCCCGCAAAGGTTTTCTGTAAATATATACCATTTGTATCATGTGAATGATCTGACACTCAAATACAGATGATCGCATTGCTAAGGAACCTAATCAAGCTTGAACAGCAACGACAAGCATTCCAACTAGTTCATTTGTATTCTGCAGTATAATCCATAGACAGATCGCTACAATCAACAGACAAACCCGGGCCGATTCGACGCAAGTGCAGAGTGGGGTGGGAACCGCAAATGATTGGCCCGTGCAGCCAAAACATTCCCGCCGCGCCAAAACAAACCCGGCCCAGTTTCCACCTCCACCTTCACCATCTTCACCTTCATGTTCTAGAGACCTCCCCTGTTGAGGACATCGAGCATGCCTTCAGACATGAGCCTCACCGTGTCGGACTTTGACCCAGAACACGAAGCGCTTGCATCAACGCGTGAAATCAACATGGACGACGAACCCGACTTCGCCATCAACACCTCGACTATTGACCGCGCCTTCCCCGATTTCTCACAATTGTCGCCCTCGGACGAAGACGAAGGACAAGCTGAGGACGAGTACTCGGATCACAGTTTGTCAATGGAGATGGGACGCGGTGCTGGTAAGCCTCGTCGTGTGGACGACTCGCGCGACTCCGTGATGAGCTTTGAAAACAGTGTCCGATCTTCTTCACCTGCAGTTCGAGTCGAGTACCCAACTCCACAGAAGCAACAGCCTGTTCGAAACTCTACGCGACGCGCCGTGAGCGAAAACCTCCGCAAAGATGCCCAATTGCGCCGGGCGACCCAGGCACAGAAGGAAGCCATGAGTCCGCAGGTTTCCAAGACTCAACGCGACCAGAAGCGCCGGACCCTGTCAGACATGCACGAAAAAGTACGCGATTCGTACGATGGCTCCTTCTTGGGAGACGAGCGACCAGTTCAGGCACCAGTGCATCCGCGATCGACGCGTTTTGGTAATCCGAACAACTCGCAAGAGATTGCCGAGGCTGTGGAGCGTGCATCGCGTGAAGCCTATGCGAAGGAAATGCGTAAACCCAGCAGCAACAACAACACTGGAGGAACCCCCGCAAGACAAGCTCTGCTCAGAACCACCCCAACAACACGATGGGCGACACCATGACTCGCCAGTCTTTCCTTCTTCCCGATCTCCCCAACATCTCCGAGCTTGTGTCTGGCGTTTATGAGGATGGTACACCTGTCTTCTCTCGCCAACAAAAGATGCGCTCTACCCGATTCGTCTCCCCTCCTCACGACGCGACAGATGTCTCCGTGACTCGTCAGCACATGCCTCTCGACGCCGTGCCCATCCCCGACGACGAGAAGGCCTTATTCGTCAACCTGCGACTGCTCCAGGATAAGGTATCGGAACTTCAGATGTTCAAGTCGGATGCAGAAAAGCGACTGGAAACCTACCGTGCAGAGAATGCGGCTCTCAAGGCTGGCCGATCTCGGCACTCTGATAAATACGGAGGCGATGATGGCGAATATAGAAAGGGATCGAAGCGACTTATCAGTGATAATCAAAGTAAGTCGCCGCGTACATTTCATTTCATCCGACCAGCTTACTAAATATGACACAGAACTTGAGGCAGCCAACGTTGCCCTGCAAAACCAGCTTGATATCGCCGACCGCAAGGCCCAAGTACAAGACGCAGCAGTCAAGCGTCTGAACCAGGATCGTGAATCGGCCATCTCACAACTTGGTGTTGCGTACCTCGAAAACCGCGAACTGAAAACCGAGAATGAGGCTCTGCGACAGAAGAACTCAGACCTCCAGTCCCAACTGTCGCGTTTCTCGAGAGGCAAGGCTCGAGAGCAGGATACTGGTGACTCCGAAGCAGTTTCTAGCGCATCTGAGGCAGATGACAGCCAAATGTACACCGAGCGCAGTGGTGACATGAGCCGCAGTACTCGCGACTTGACTTCGAAGAGCGCACACTCTAATACCCGCAACCGACGCCATATGGAACCCCGATCCAAAATTTCCACTCAGGTTGACAAAGAGATTTCAAGGCTGGAGAAGGAACGTGCTGATGAAGCTTTGTTCTCCCTGGATGTGCCCACCCCTAAGCGCACAGTGACCTCCAAGAAGATTCGCTCGGAAGCTCCTCGAACAGAATCTAAGGGCCCCAGAAAACAGCCAAATACCAGCAAGCAGCGCGTGAAGCGGGTGGTTGTGGAGGATGTGAGTGGACCCGTTGAGTCGACTGAGCAGAGCAAGGCCACATCCGAGATGGATGATGTTACTCTGCTTAGTGTCCTTGATGTAAGTCACCGATCAAAGGCGACTCCCAAATCTGCAATTGTTAACAAGAGTTCCTTCAAGGAGAATGAAATCTCTCGACTCCGCAGAACATTGGAAGAGGAGAGAAAATTACGCAAACAGCGTCGTTCCAGTGTCCCGAAGGACTCGACAGCGAATGAAACCGCCAATTCGACCCGACAGAGCATCCTCAAGAAGTCGTCACTCCGCGAGCCAAAGGCATCTATTCCCCGACCAGCCTCGGCTACGGGCGATCTCACCACGCGGTCAGTCGCTACCACTGAAGGTGATGAGAGCCTCGTTGTTCCCACAGCAGAGCGTCCTCGCCGCCACTCCGACCATTCAGTGGCCTCGGTGACTTCACGTACAATGCGTGCACCAAAGGAGGATATGACATCCGCATTTATCCTCCCCGATATCACACTGAGCCGTGCAGACCTGGCTGCCAGCAAACCCTCCCGGCTGCCGGAGTCGGCCCAACGAGCTCTGGATGACCTTGCTCGGCACAACGGAAAGAACTGCACTGTTTGCAAGAACGTTCTGACTCATGATGGAGAATGTGATCACGAGCCCGTCAAGGTCCCCCAGCCTGTTCCTGTCTCTGAGCGTATGCCAGAGCCATCTGTTCATAATCCCGAGCCTACTATGCGACCCTCCCAGCCACCCGCCGTCGCCCTTGCCAACGTGCTCAAGGCATTGGAGGATGAGCTGTCTCACCTGAAGATGCAACTTGCTGGCTACCAGAGCGCATACCACAAGCTCGATGCATCTGTTGGCAAGCGCCAGCGCAAGTCACTCATGGAGAAGATTGAGACTCTGCTGAAGGAGATCGATCAGAAGTCAGATCAAATCTATGCCCTCTATGATGTCCTAGAGGACCACAAGACTGGAAATCGAATGACAGAGCGAGAGATGGAGCAGACCCTGGAGTCGATTGGAATTGATGTTACCAAATCCGTTGACTTGGATGAGGAATCTGAGCTTCCCTGGGAAGGTATTGAGAGTACTGCGGAACTGACTGGTCGGGCTTAGACCTAACCGATGTTTTCATAACCCTGTATTGAATCTGTTTTTTTGGCGTGGATAGTGTTCATCTTGAAACCTGCTTTTTTGTATTTGACACGCTGTGGTGTCTCGGGTTCATTCGGGAGCGTGCTTTATTGAGGTGTCATAAGATTGATCGAATGGACAGTTGCTTTCTCACCAACTTTGTCTAATAGTTTACCAAATTTTCTTTAGTGATTGACACATCAAGCCTGTGAAATTTCTGAAATGAAGTCTGGAGCACTCTTCTGGCCAGAAAAGTAAATACATGCTCGTAAAAGAATTGGTACTGTCTTCCATCAACACCCCCCAACGAAAAAAAAGATAAAAGAATGAAGCCAAAGAGAAAAGATAAACAGAGAAAACTAACCCAGGTCCCTTTCGTGTCGTAGTGGCAGGTTTGAGTTCCGTAGAATCAACCTCAGAAAGGCCCTAAGCTGACGGCTTGGATACCAATGACTTACTCAAGGTAGCTCCAGCAAAGTCTAAATCGATAATCATAGACCATAGCGCCCAAGCTTCCCAAGAAAGCCACAGTGGACAAAAGAAGGGCTGGTCAGTCTCGAAATCTTTCATGACCTTAGGTTGCATGATCTGGGGCAAGCCTTTAATGACGCCTGAAATGCCTTGAAGGCAGCGACCTTTCCATGGACAGTCATTTTTGCCAGGATGTGTGTCTGACTTGTATGAGCTCGAATCAGGGACTTTGGGGAACTTGCTGGTTTCGAGGATTTGTTATCGAAACTCAAACTGATTGGTTTTTCGCCGCAGACTGTCCGCAGATTGGGTCGTGTTTTCGGTCGAGCTTGGGAGATTTCCTGGAACAAGGCTGCCGGTGCGTAGTCACTGTTGGACCCCGCCTGCCCTGGAAGGAATGAACTGCACTGTGGAACTGTTGAGTGAACGAGATCTGGCTTGTATGCCTTGGATCTGTGACCCCGTCTATAGAGGGTTAGAAGTGCCAAAGTTCACTTTCCAATTCCAGGAAGGCTTCATGCCTGCACGAATCATAGCGATTTGTACCTCTGTCTGACCGCCGAACTGTCATCAAAATAGTCGCCCAATCAAGCTTCTGAGCAGTTATCTAGCTCCTACCTGGTACAATTGCCATTCCTAATCTTGTACGGTCGATGAAGCTTCAGCAAGTATTATGGATATCAAACTATTTCGTATAAGGTTTCTAGTAAATTTCGGTCTGTTGGTGTGGGATCAGCCATCAATTGAAAACAAAATAAGAGAGCGCCACCGCTATGCAAGAATGATGCTTTTCCCATCCCATATCCTTTCAATTCTCCTTCACTGCAGCCATAGCTGCACCTTCGGTGGCTGTAGGCTTCGAAACCTTTTCAGCCTCACGTCGGGACACCTCCTCTTCAACAAAGCAGCCCAACCCTGCAAAAGCTTCCAGCAAAGTCCGTGAATAGTACTCTTGTAAATTGTATCCACCAGCTGAAACCTGTGTGTTCTTTTGCAAATTGTCCAGATATGCAGATGGGTAGGACTGCTGGAGCGTGTAGTAGTCCCGTTTCTCGGGCACCAGTCCCATGAATGGATCGTAGGGCTTCTCTGGCTCGGGTGTCTTGATCTTTCGCAAACCCTTGATCAGACCCGAGCTGGTACCAGCAGTATCGGCTGTCGTGAGCGGTGTACCCGTTCGCTTGGTCTCCGATCCACGCAACGCAGCCTGCTTCTGCCGAATACGATCCTCCTCGCTGCGCCGAGCAGACGATTTCTTGAGTAGTACTTTGTGTCCCTCCTTGGCAATAGCGCTGGCGTCGGCGGCTGTCCCGGATGCGAGTCGGGAAAGGAAGTCTTCGCGTCCAGCGTGGAGCTCGCGTCGCTCGCTCTCGTATTCCTGGCGGGCGATCTGGCGCCGGCGTTGGGCCTCTTCTTGTTCTAGTGTCATGCGGGCCTGGAATGAAGTAGCTTCCTGTTCCTCGAGGGCTTGATTGTTGCGGATGGACTGCATGTTTTCCTGCGCGTATTGCTGAAGCTGAGCTTCTGTCTTTGCCACGTCAATGCGGAGGACCAAGTTGGCGATTATTTCCTCACGCTGCTCGAGGAAGTCGTCGTAGTTGCGCTTCGAGTCAAACTCCTCTTCTCGTCGGTTTAGACTGTCCAGTACATGTGTCAAATCATGCCGTGTCTCGTATAACGGTTGGCGCAACTTACATGTGCATCACGCGACGCCGAATGTCCACCTCTCTTTCAACTCCGATATCTTCAAAGGTCTGCTTGCGGAATCGATTCTTTCGCAATGTCTTCCGGCATCCCGCTACAGGACAGCTGGATGGACCAGATGAGAAAATACGGTCGACGCAGGACTCGCACATTTTGTGATAGCATTCCGGGTTGATGAGAAATCGCATGTTCGGGTTAAGGTACCGCGAGGACTTGCAGACGGGGCAGACCTCTATACACAAGTGGTTAGCTCAGATGGTTGCTTATAGATTCATTTGGCACACCTACCGTCATCATCTCTGCGGTCGGTCCCCTCCTTTGACGCCATGGCGAGGGTGTTGAGATGGGATTTGGAGAGGCGGAGATCGCATCGAGACGAGCTGCGGCGATAAGCCGATCGACCCGTGCACGGACCCACTTTATCCGGCGCGCCTTTCTTTTCTCTTCTTTTCTTTGCGACTTTTTTTCTTCAGCTCCGCCTGCTCGTCTCCTCACGCCTCACGACGGTGCTCACCAAGAGGATTCCTTGTATATACCAGGACGACACTTCTATCGTCCCAGGTCATGGGGATCCCAAACCACGATCTCGCTGCTCTCGAGCAGCGCCGCCTCATCCTCGAAGACAACATCCTCCAGCTCCAAAAGTCACTTTACCACTGGAGAAATTGGGAAGCGGAATACGATGGTATCCGTGAAGATATTGGAAACCTGGACAACGATGCTTCAACCGACGACTTTCTCGCCGTTGGTCGTGAGTTCGGTGGCGCATTGGTAAACGAGGAGGAAATGCAGAAGATCCTTGGGTCGCAAGGAGTGTCGCGGTCCCGTGGGCAAGTCGTTGATCTCCTCGGCCGTAGGATCGACTACGTGAAACAGAATGTTGCAACCATGGAGAAGAGACTGCGAGCTGCTGAGGATGCGCTTCTCTCGCTGGATGCGCAGGATCAGGGACCGGCTGAGGCCGGCGCGGACTACCCCATGCAAGAGATTATGGAAGAGCTGGATGAAGACGGAGAGGTTATTTCCAGCTCTATCAACACGCCTGGCCACCAGGCTCCAGAGTTGCTTGACGTGTTGAAGCAGGCTGGTATCGAGAATATCCCAGAAAATGTGCAGCCCGCGCAAAACACCGATGCTACCGCCACCGAAGGGAAACTCGTTGAAACCTCCAGGAACAGCCAAGAGTCTCACACCAACCACTCACCCGACTGTCCTGTCCATGCACCCGAAACCAACGAAGTCGTCGAACAACCGGAAGATTCTGATCTCGAGCGGCCCGTCTCCCTCGTTACGCCTGAAGATCGCGAGCAGCCCCCGGTTACCGATGTCGACGAATCACCTGAAGAAGCCAGACTGCGTCGAGAAATGCTACAATATGGGATTGACGAGGTGGGCGCAATCGTTGCAGAGCTAGAAATGGATGAAGAGGGGAGCGATTTCTCTATTGACGATGAAGACGCTTATGATTATGATTATGATTCTGGCGAGGAAGAAAACGAGGATGAGTTTGGCCGTTCACACCACGTGCTGTCAGACCAATATCACCAACAGATGAGGGAGCTAGAGGCAAAGCTCAACGCACGCGGCATGTACAACATGGGCAAAAATACAGCGGCTCTGCCCGAGGAAATGCGGCAAGAGTTCGAGAACCCTGCACCTGTGGAGGATCAAGTGGCAAATGGCACCGATTCCTCCAACAAGGGCAAAAAGCCAAAGAAGCGAGTTGCTTTTGCAGATGATCTTGATATCGCTCCGGCCTCCGAACCAGGCGCAGCAGCTTCAGAACCTCCAAAGAGGACACTGCCACCCAAGCAGCCCGATGTTACAGTTCTGTCAGATGCCGTTGTTGAACGCACCGACCGCGCCCCTGAGAATCGCCCAGCCTCCGACGATGCCCCTAAAAAGGTTTCGCGGTTCAAAAGTTCTCGAGCTGCATCCGCAGAGACAAACGATTCTCCGGCCCAGTCTGCCTTGAAACCTCCAAGTTCCCAGCCCACTGACGTTCGGTGTACTCGCAAACAAGTCAACGTTGTCCCATCCGCCGCTCCCCTTACCTTGTTCCCTGCTACACCGCAAGAGTCGAAGCCCTTTTCTGCTCCCATTACTGAGCATACCGCAGCCCCTTCTGCTCCTCGGCCTCCAGAAGGTAAAACTTTGGCCGACCAACTTGTCGAGCGCGAAGTCGCGATCGGAGCTGCTGCTGCTCCCGAGCCAGACGAATTGGACGAGGGTATGCACCGCCGCGAGATCGCCTCGGAATTCTACAAGATCCGCAACCGCATGATCCAAAAGGAAGGCGGTTTCGTGAACGATGATGACCCAGAGTACGAGATTCGCGAAGGTGAAACGGAGCCCAAGCGAATCAGCAAGTTCAGAGCTGCTCGGATGAAGTAGCTGCTTGCCTCTATATGGATTCAACAATTTATACCCAATAGACGATACACCATGCTACAACATACTGGCCTCTCCCCGTTCGTAGGTTTTTTTTCAGCAACTATTTCACATCTTCTCTCTCCATCTTTCGATTACATTAACAGGAATTCTGTCTGTCGTCGCCTTTGGCGTGGCAAGTGGTGATACCGCCCCAATGGTATCAAGCACTGAACAAATTCCAAGATCAAAATTAGGGGTGCTTCTCTGACCGGATATCCTTTAGGTTTTCATTCTGGCTCTGTGGAACGGCAGAAGTTGACTGTATTGTGTCCGCAAGGGTACTTACGGGCTTGTTCTGACTGGGAAGTGGAGTGGGGTGGGAATATTAGTCTGTGGATATGCAGTTATTTTAATTCCCCGACATTCCCTACTCTATTACTGAGTTTCCATCGTATTTGGGTATAGATATTCATATAGCATATTGTGATACGAACAATTACCTAGTTAGTCTGAATTCACTTTGGCTTCACATTTTTCGCCTCGTTCCTTTCATTTAGAAGTGAACGCAAAGTCAGGTGATAATTGTCTAGTAGTGATATCTTTAGGTATTCCCAACTCTGAAGGACAGGACTCTCGCTGCTTTACACCCCATTATTGATGACTTATTTGATGTGCCTGCCAGTAGTTCCCTTGAGACGTTTGAAAATATCACCCCCTCCAATTTCTCTTACTCTCTTCACTTCTCTTGACTCCCCCTTCCCACAGCACCTCACTCATCCCCATCTTCACCATGCCTTTTAATTCCTTAATCAGAGAGCCTTTTCTCGCCGTCAACTTCTTCCATTGATACTGTCCGAAACCCCAAGAGATTCCAGGTCGCCGTGCGCCCCGAACCAACGAAATACTCAGGTACACTGCAAAGTCAACTTTGATAATGGCGAACCTGTGGAGCCCGCTAACATGATGGAAATTCATGGTGAGACTTTAAACATCCATTTCACCAAGCGGATGAATGTTTGCATTGTTGCTAACTTTCCATTGCTATACAGCTTCGACCTGTTGGGCCGACTTCTATGCGCTTGTGGGTGACGATCGCAACCAAGGATACGCCAGCTTCATCGAGTCGCTCACGGGCATCGAATACCATCCAAACTCTACCGAGTGGCCTCGGTCGTCCCCGGCCGTGGCCTATATCGAGGTGGCCAACTCACCCAGGTAAAGACCGATTCCACCGCCGACGTTGATCCTGTACTGGATATCTGGACGTTATTCTCACGTCAAATTAGCAGTGCCTTCAGAACTGGATACAGTTTGACTAGTGCGGTGTGCTACTTCCAAGAACACCGTGAGCATCAATTGGTGGCTCGATGCAGAGGTATGAATTATCCTTGATTCTTTTGTGCCTTCTGGTATCTTCAACGCCAAGCTTGCATAGATTCGCATCACCGTCAAGAGCCAGCCTTTACATGGGGGTACGTGGAGCAAATTTTTGCGCTTGGTCAAGTTGAGTATCTCGAATTCAAGACGCCCATGTAGGAGTGGAATGGACAGTTGGTACCCGAAGGAGTAGGGGCGCCGGCGCCCGCGCTCTCGCTTTCCCTGGGTGTTAGCAGTAGATACCATCAAGGTAGGTACAGTGTGATTGATATTATTCCTCTTCTGGGGTTATTGACTTATTTTAGTGCTACGGAGTAGGCAAGAGGTTCCCTCCTCTTAACTCATATTCACAGAAGATATCATATTGCCTTGTCATAAACGGTCATTAGTGGATTAAAAAAAGCAATCAAAAAGTTGGCCAAGAGGGCGTATCCACGGCCGTGTCCTCATGCCAAGCACAAAGGAATCCACAGCGAATCCCAACTCCTACGAATAAGATGTGTAACGCCAATGCAAATATCTGTAGCCGAAGATCATGAACCCTCAGCATGGCCGCTGCTGCGAGTAGAACTGGGTATAGTGCCCATGCATTTACTGCCAAAGGAGAGCAGGGATGGAGTGCAGAAACCACCTTCACTAGGAACATTGAGAGTTGCAACCCTGGTGAAGAAATGGTGGTGACAAAATCGAGACGAGGGAATCGACTCGGTGGGGGTGGGAGAAGCTGTTGTCGTCGGGCAGGAGATGGTGTCTCTTCGTGCGATTGCCTGGTCGGTGATACTGGAGGTGAAGTCGCAGAATATCGGTGTCGGACAACTAGGTCACGGTCAGGACTTAAAGATGGTCGATTGCCGATGACTGCATCTGAGTCTGGCGTCATGCTGGTTCCGGAGCCTGAGCCAGTGGAATCAAACATAGAGTCCCGTCGGTATGCCATGTGATTGTTGTGAACCGGCAGTCTCTTTGTCGGGGACAAAGCACGCTCCATCGAGGGTTGTGGGCTGTCGGCCGGGTGGATTCGAGGCCCACCGGGTAGGTCGGGGCCGACAGAGCTGCCTCTTTTGAAGCGGAAGCTTTCAGTGGCACCGGTCTGGATCCCATTCAGTACTTCGTCCGCTGTCGGCCGACGTTTTGGGTCCACGGCAAGAAGCCTCTCCAGGAATGTGTACAGCTTTTCGGGAAGATCAGGTCTGCGTCTTCGTGCATTGTCGAACCCGGCCCAACCGGTTATTTCGGCTCGAAGTTGATCTAGGTCTTCGTTTTCCTCGTGGATAATATCGGCGCTGGCATATGGGAGCTCGGCGAAGCAAAGGAAGTACAGGATCATTCCAAGGGAGAAGATATCAGACTTGAATGTGAAGTTGCCGAAAGGGCCATCTGGGTAGTCTTGTCGAAGCACCTCTGGTGCGCAGTACGATACGGTTCCAGTCGCGCCGGTCGACTTACGAATGGCGTCTTGTTGCTGTACCTCCCCGAAGTCACTGACGAGTACTCGGATACCATCACTAGTTTCATGAAGAAGACAGTTGTTCGGCTTCAAATCGCGATGGATATACCCGTTCATGTGCAGGTGTCGCAAGCCAGACGTGATGTCTCGGAAAAACGAGTATATCTCGTCCAGCTGAAGGATGCGAGGACCTCCCAAATGGGATCGGAGCTCGGGTTCGCCTCTCGATTTCCGGCGAAGTCGCTCTTTGAGTTGCTGCGCTGTAGTCGATGTTTGGACAGAACCGCAGATGTAGTTGTGCAGATCGCCGGCATTGCAGTACTGCTGGAGGATGAATGCGCACGCTACCGGTGGCCCGAAGGTGCTGCTTTGAGCATTTTCAAGCCACACATGCCGATATGAGACCAGGTTCTGGTGGGATAGATGTTGGAGTAGTTGTACTTCACCCAGTACTTTCTCCAGCCACTCGTGGTCGTCACCGACGGGTACTCGTTTGCATGCATAATGGCCGAGTGAGACGCCATCTAGCACATGCTTGACAAGCAAAACCACTCCCTTGCCTCCTTTGCCAAGCTCTCTTTCTTCCACGAAGAACCGTTTGAAGTAGTCTTGGCTGAAGGCGGCGGAGGAGATACCCTGTGGCGGTGCTTGAGCGGTGGATTGAGAAGGCGCACTAGTGATGCCATCCGGCAAGGCAGCGTGCACAAGGCGACGACGCGGTGATGGTGGACGCGATGATTTTGCTGAGCTTGGCAGACTGCTATTGTTCAGCATGCGAAAGTAATTTGGACTGATGAATTCCGCCTCTGGGTCAGTGCTTCCACGATGCCTCCCTCTGCTGCCATCGCGCATGGGGCGGTGACACAGGGGGCAGTTGGCCAGCTCCAGATCACCGTCATGGTCGTCCGCTGCATTTCGGAGAGCTAGCTGCTGGGAATCCCGATCCAAGACGACCACCGAGTCATTGTGTCGGCTAGACGACGATTAGTCGTGAAAGGTGTCTTGCAGGGAAGGGCACGTACAGCACGACATCGAGATTTCCTCCATTGTACGGGATCATAGACATGTCGTCCGGCATAGCTGCATGGACATTGCGGTGAGCAGCGACAAAGCCAAGGCGATTGGGCGGAACGTCGAATGCAGCTCGGCGAGATGACGATGAAACCCCCACGCGGGCGGTGAGACCCCAGATCGATGCGCGCCGAACCGTGGTTAAGTGCGGTGAGGGGCCCAGAGAAATGCCAACGGTTGTGAGATAGATGGTGTGAGATAAAGTAACTCCAAAATGCTGAAAATGAATCACTTTTGCAGGATTTTTACTGAAGACGAGCGATGGGACCCACTTTTTACAGTATCGTGAAATATATATATCTGAGGCGGATAAACAAAGGCGGGAGGCTGAGTTGGACCAGTATGAGGATCATATGTCTGTACTGTGCTCGCTCACGTCAATCCAATATTCAGAATGGCACGTATATGAGTATTGAGACACTGTCAAATCTGACAATTAGGCTTCCAATGCTGGAAGTCTAGAAAAGGGCCAAGACTTCGAGGAAAAAGGTTCACCATATTGTACTCCAAGAGCTCACTTTGGTCTTATGAGTTCAGAATATCGCGACCTGCAGCAGGGTTCTCCGACCCTCTAAATCCCAAGGTTACAAGAAGTCACAAAACTGTGAACTGATTCCCTAGATTGAAGCCTGTCACCTGGGCAGCCGCAAGGCCCAAAGCAGCTGGAGGTAAGACAGGCAGTCCACGCACGAACCCTACACTAGCCTTAAAACTTAATCAAAGTGCCCGAAATGGATTCATACCTGAATTGCTACTAGAATCATTGGAACAATCAGTGCCAGATGGTTCGAAAAGATGGTTCATTTTTATCGGATTCCTTAAGGGAATCGGGTATCTAAAGTGGGACCAGACGGCCACTGTGGTTTGATGCCGGATTCGCTGGGACTGTTGACCACACACGACTCGAGGATCGTTGGGAAATGCACTGGCAGTCCAGAAATGTGGGCTTCGACATGAAGCTGCCTGTCGAGCGTTTCCGCCCTATGATATGCAGGTGTCAGGTACCCGAGGCCCTGTCAAGTGAGAGCCCGGCCGGCGATGGGGGCGATGGGCATGCATACATGCTCTGTTTTCCAAGAGGTGCAGGCCATCTTGAAGTGACATTTAGTCACGGACCAGAAGTTGGGATTCCACCCGGGATGACGCTAGCCTTTCAATCCTCCTCACCACTCTCCACATCACTGATCTCCAGGTTGGCGATGGAGTCGTTGTCATCGTCGTCGTCGTCCTCGCCCTCGTTGAAGCCTTCAAACTCGGGACCGGACTCAGAGGACTCAGACTCGACGTCATCGGCAGGCTCGTCGGTCTTCTCATCAATCTTGCGCTTGCGGCCCATCTCACCAAGGCGGCCCTCACGACCTTCGATTTTCAGGTCATCGCCGTCATCACCCTTGGGAGGCGGGGTGAACCAAGGAGTCTTTCCACGCAGGAAGTCATTGATCACCATCTTGGCGACACCGTCCAAGTCCGGCTCACCACCCTTGAGCAGACGACCACCTTTGCGGGCAAGTCGGCTCAGAAAGTCTATGGCATCGGTGGGCTCTTTGATACCGTAGGTACGCTCCAGGTGACGGGGCTGCACACGGCGAAGGACAGCAGGGATGTATTGCTCCGGATTCTCGACGTTCTCCACACGGCAGACACCACGAAGGAGAATGTCCTCCTCGGTGTCATTCTGGTTGGGCGGGACGACACCGGGGCAATCAATGAGGTAAATTCTCTTCATCAGAGTGACATACTGCCACACCTTGGTCTCACCAGGAATGGGAGCGACAGTGCAGACCTTCTTCTTGCGAAGAGTGTTGATGATGGAGGACTTGCCCGTATTGGGATAACCGATCAGGCCAACAGAGATCTGCTTGCGGTCGGAGTGCAGAGATGAGAACTGACGAAGAAGCTGGATCAAAGAACCCTTGCCAAAGGAGTTGTTGATGGAGGCGTGGAATGCCAAAGTCGGATAATCCTTAGACAAATGGCGTACCCAAGCGGCCTAGTGTCAAATGCAAGTTAGCAAATGGTCACACAGAAATGAATGTTAATGACAGGAAATGTGTGGGATGTTACTAAGAGTTCTACCACTGAGCCACCAGAAAAGGCAGAGGCAGAACTCAACTCAAAAACAAAACACATCTGTCTCTTACGACTGGTCCTCAAGACGAAGACCAGTCAACCTAGCTTCAGAAAGAAGTTCAGTGCGGGACAGTGTCGATCTACCAAAGCTGTAACAGACAGACCTCCATGGAGAAAAGCACGACATGAGTCGCAGGAAGAAGCCTTGACTTAGCAATGGAACGGCTCGATAGCCGGTAAAAGAAAGCAAGAAAGAGAGAGCAATACGGTCGTAAAAAGGAAGAGGGCAAGTAAGAAAGGGGAACCGGAAGGCGACACTTACAGCAACACCGGTCGGAACAAGATCACACTTGTTCAGGACGAAGATGAGATGCTTGTGAGGAGCCTCCTCACGGATGTACTTCTCAATGCTGCGGCAGCGAGTGCCGTTGGGATCACGCGCATCTAGACAATGAATAACGACATCGGAAGAGTCGATAACCTTGTACAGTTCGTTCCAGATACGCTTGCTCTGACCCTTAGAGAAGACTGACTCGCGAGCGGTGGTGAGGGAAACGTCCTCCTTTTCACCGATATCACCAGCAACGATGGGAGTACCATCGGCGTGGAATCCCTCATCCAACTTCTCGTGGTATGACTCTTGGTTCTTGACAGTTTCGCCAGCGAGGTCCTCCAGAGAAGAGACACCCAGCTTGACACGCTTTCGTTGCGCCTTGGGGCCAAATGTGTCACCGAATGGGTTATTTTCGATCTCCATCTTGGCTTGATGTTGCTTGAGCCCGTTCACACTGTCATTGTCCCGAATCAAACTCATAGGTAGCTTGTTGGTCTTGAGGAGCACTTGGTACGGGTCCGAGGCACGCTCGGCGACGGCTTCGCGGAAGGACGAAAGAGCTTCTTGCGAGATAACTCGAGTGTTGCCAAACCATTTACGGTTGGGCTCAATGCGAGCAACGGGGGCGTCCCGGGACTGGTAAGAGGCAGCGACAGTGATGTCTCCCTGAGCGTTGCGCCGAGCCTTACCATCCTTGAACATGTTCAGGTGCTTCACCTTCTTTGCCGAGCTACATGCTGTCAGAAGGGATCGACTAAGGGGAAATGCGACCGAGCTTGCAGCTCAACATACCGATAGAAGTTTTCACCTTTGGTTCTCACGTTCCCCATGCCATCGCCGACCTTTCCCTGCCGCTCTTTACGAGCGGCCTCCTTCTTTCCGGTGCCCATGATGAGGGCGTTCTGTGATCTGAAAGGCTTGAAAATGGGTGGACCTTCAGAAAAAAAATTTGAAGGCGAGACCAAACACGAGGAGTGGCAGAGCGCGAAGAGAAGAAAAGGAAAAAAAAAGGCGGACGGCTATTTTTTTTTTGGCGCCAAGCCGCGTGCACGGACCAGGCAAAATCGCTTCTGCTTCCTTCCGCTTTGCCCGCGTCCTCCTTTTCGATGCCCGTCACTCATCGCAATCACCTCTTGTTCTCGTGGCCCTGCTGAGTGGGATCAGACCAATTTCCTTCTATCCACATTTCCCGATCTGCCGGTGGGAAAAATGTCTGCCGTTCGCAGCGCCCGGGCTGCCAATGTGCAGGCCCGTGGGTTTTCGACCACCTCGACCAACCTTCGAGCCGGACCGGAATCACCTCACTTTATCGAAATTCCCCGTATCATTCAGCCGAGCAATCCTATTAAGCCTAAGGTGAAGGGTACTCTTCCCGTGCCTCGCGAGATTTTCCCAGCTCGTCGCACCGATAAGCCGTCGCCGCAATACCTCGAAGCCGTGTCACCTGCGCGCACAACGAAGCCGAGCCGCTCAGCGGACAAGTTGGAACGTGGACAGCAGCTTTTCAATCAGAGAATGGCCGATCGCCGGAGAAGCCATCTCCGGGAGAGTCTGAGTGTTCTGCACCAACGGAAGCGCGCTGCAGAGAACACCGTCTTCAACCGAAGCAAGGCCAGCCAGGAACGCCGCCAGCGTATCCTCGATCAACCAGAGCCCGAAGATGAGCGTCTGACACGGCCGTCCGTTGTCGCCGCCATGCTTGCCCCGAACGATACATTCTTGCGAGACGCGAACCGTGACCAACGATTGGCTTTCTCTAAGGCTCGGCTCGAGGCCAAGCAGGCAGAGAAGCAAGCGCAACAACAGGATGATATCCACTCGCTTTACATGAATGCGCGCACTTTCATCACGACGGAGGAGCAGCTGTCTGCGGAGATCGACCGGGTTTTCCCCGACGGCTTGAACGATGCCTGGCGCAACGACCACCAGCCAGGCGAGAACGTCTGGAACCTTGGAACTCCCCAGACCGTGCAGTCCATTGTCAACGAGACCCGCAAGAGCGAGACTGCTCGCTGGGACGTCACCCAAGACCGAGTCAAGCAGCTTGGTGAGCAGATCACTGGTGGTAAGCTGTAATGGACGACCTCATATCATGTACAATATTTTAAGCCATCGCATTGTGTTACTTGACATCTGTATCTCTATTCAGCCCCGAGAGGTTATGAAATATATATCATTTGGACGATTTTCTGATTTCTACTGTTGTGGTCTGGTGTTTACAGCGCTCTTACCTAAGATTTGGGCCGGTGCGGACATCTCGGACGAAACCGACGAGTCAATAGTGAGGGCCGCCGGCCTAAGATAGGCAAACATCGCGAATGACAGTGTTTCTTTTCTGCGAATGATCCACCAGCGATCAGGCCTGCCACCACGAAGCTTAGCGCACCTGACGCTTTGAAGAAATGGGCTGCAAGGCTGGTCTCTGGCGACGGCTCGCCATTTATAGAGCCGCTGGGGCCCCTCCATCCGCAGAGGCAAAAACTGCACTACTATCGTCATGCCGACCAACAAGAGAAGCCCCAGTGGTACCAGAAAGAGATGGAAAGCATTAACCCCCAGGCCCAACGGCTCTTGGAGAATTACAGTGGTATTACACCAGCGGAGGTGCTCCCGCATGTTTTGAAGCTGGTAAGCTTTTTCCGCACTGCTTTCAAAAGAACTGCCTATCTAAATCGGTTCAGCGCGACGAGGCGTTTAAATTTCCATTATCCCTGCATTGGCCAGCTACGCTTTCTTTCTTTCAATCTCTCCGAGTCGCCCCATTATCCACGAGTAATCGAACGGCTCCGCAAAGATCCAGCGACCCGGTTTCTTGACGCCGGCTGCTGTTTCGGACAGGAGATTCGCTTCCTCGCAGACCAGGGAATCCTGGGAAAGCAGCTGTATGGGATTGACCTGGAACAAGCATTCCTCGCTTTGGGATACCAGCTCTTTCTTGACAAGGATCGTTTACAGGCGACGCTCATTGCCGGAGATATCCTCAGAAAAGGTGTTTGAAGCAGGCCAGTTATCTCAGGAGATCTCTGGAAAAATTGATATTAATTGTGCCAGCTCTCTCCTTCACCTGTGGGACTATGAGACGCAGTTGAAAGCCGCCGTGAGATTCGTTTCGCTGTGCCGTGATCAACCTGATGTCATGGTCGTCGGGCGACAGATGGGAAGTCTGTCAGGTGGGCACTACCCAATGTCGGGCGTGAAGGATGAATTCAATCATTATCGCAACAATGTGGAGACGATGAAGGGACTTTGGCGCGATGTTGAGGAAGCTACACAGACACGCTGGAAGGTAGAGGCGCAGCTCTACATGGGGGACGAGATCGAGAAGGTCATGAAGTCGCCTTTCGCGGACGGAAATGTCCATATGGTTCCTTGGTGCGCTACGCGACAATAAATCACATGCTCAGAATATATCTGTAAATTTTCTGGAATACAGTACGCTTGATGAATCCACTTTGTTTCGAAGACCGCTCAGATGTCAGTCAACGTCCACAGAGACCGAAGTCGGAAAATGAAAATAGATTCGGTTTTTTTGGAACTCCAAGCCATTGTCGATTTCGTATATGTAATCCACATCGTCACTATCTGCGAAAGTAAAGTCGCGCAGTCGATGGCTATCAGTGGGAGCTGGAGGAGGGTCATCGATCATCTGTCGGACGCAGCTGAGATCGTCTGGAAGCTTCATATCATGCTCCACCTCGATGATACGCTTGCCTGCCGTATACATAGCATCGAAATCCCAGAGAATCTCCCTTTTGCAGCACTTTTCTCTCATCAGGACAAGAGCCTTGATGCGCAGCGGCAGGTAGCGACACTTCATAGTGGTGAAGTATAGCTGCGGCGCGAAGCCCATTTCGAACATGAATTTGGGAGACTTGGACCAGAAGGGATCTTCTTCAGGAGGTGATTGTTCGGCGATCTCGACGATGCGCTCAAATTCATCCATATAAGCGTCGTATGCGGTCTCGTCATCCTCGAGAAAGCAATTTGTCCAGATCTTTGATGCTAGCCATCGCATTTCTAGGATGCGAGCTGTCGAGATGTATTTTGAGGTAGTTTCGGCTTGCTCCTTAAGTGGGAGAAAGGACACGAACCATGACTCCAGGTAAACATTCAAGCGTCGAATTTCCTTTGAGAAAAAGATTGGGGAATTTGATGTAGTCGATGGCCCAGCCTCACTAGTTCGATAATTGTCTCGCAAGCGGGCTAGTTTCACTGCATGATATCCCAGCCAGTCGATAGTCTCTTGAGCTTGCGCGAACGTCTGGAAAGGAGTGGAGGCCGATGGAGATCGGCCATTTGTGAGCAGAGGAAGTTGTTCAAGACATTCATTGGCGAACAGCGGCACGAAGCTCAAGTGTCGGAAGATAGACGCCAGTTCGGCATTGGGGCGAGATGAGTTCATGAGCAGAATTCCATGCCTGCAATGGCTGACAGCGGCCGCCTTATTGCCGCGAAGACATTCTATACAAGATAACAAGATGGAGACAATGATGGTCGTGTCGAGCTGGTCTGGATAATGTGCCTTGAGAGAGATAATTTCTTGTATGGCGCTGCTATAGTGTCGCATTGCAAAGCCTTCATCATATGGCAGCCGGAGTTGTGTGGCACCTTGGTTGAATTGTTCATAAAGCGCGCTGATGGTGATCACAGCATTCCGAGCAGCAGGTTCTTGATGGGCCAGTTGCGAGACTAGATGAGTCCAGAAAGACCGACCCAGCGGCCCTGAAAGAACAGGCGCGACCACATGTTGGAAGAAATCCAAGCTGCGACGGGATTTTTCGTCAGCCTCGGGTATTCTGGAAGGAATTACCAGCGACAACTCGCTGCGAGAAACGAGGTAATATCCGTCGCATTTCCGGCCCGTCGATTGACAGCGCTTGCAACACGGTCGTGTCTCATCGCATTTGACCCGACGGATTCTAGTGTGGGGATATAACTTTAGCCTCATGGTTGGCCTGAAACTAGGATGATGACGGGAGACATACTTGCACGTTGCACAGCCAGTGCGTACCCTTTGTAAGCCCTGGCGCCGAGTTCCCGTGTGAATGACCTGTTTCTGATCCATATTGCATCTCGAGGGAGGAGCCGTTAGAGCAAGTCTCGCGCTCAGCAGTGGAAATGAAGCAGATGGTGAGATTTATGAATTTAAGCCGACTTGAGGGGTCGGGGGCTGTGCAGTCCCGACTCTGAGGGTTACGCTGATGACATTGATTGCGCGCAGGGATATTCCGAAGCCGCATACGCAACGACCAGCGCTAGTTTGTGCATCCAGCCTCATGGCTCGCTGCACGGTGGGCCTTGGCTTCCGCGAATCGAGATCTTGCAAAAACGCCCGATTTGTCGATTTGAAATAGCAATATCTCAACTCCGAAGCCCGAGAGAAGATTTGGGAATGGGACCTTTATTGTGAGTACGACGGCTAAGCTGACGCGTGCGATGAGAGTCCGGCCTCTATTCGATTGCATTTTCCACCTCCTCGATTTCCCGGACGACGTGGGCGTCAAGGCCAGCAGCCCGGCCCTGCTTTTCCCGGCTGCTGCCGGGTTCTACGAGATGTGCCTCCTCCGCGTTTGATTCTGGTGTGAATTCAAGCTTTCGGTACTCGCAATTTTGATAACCGGTGCCTATCGAAAATATTCATGGTCAGCAAACTTCGCAACACATGTAATGCTTGCGAATCATCAACATACCCCGCTCTACGACATATCCTGTCCAGTCTTCAGTCAGGTAATGCAAGAATCCTCCGTGTGTGACGAGAACGATGTCCTTTTCTGGCCGACTCCAAATCCACTTTCGCAATTCGGCTGCGCGCCTCCGGACGGAAGTCAAGGTGGGGGCGTAAATCCCTTTCTTTTGACGTATTAGCTCTGGAGATAACGGTGAAGCGACTTCGCAAAATAATTCTTACCTTTGAGTTCCAGTCCTCTTTGACCAGAGTTGTGTCCAGATTCTCGACCTTCCAAGAAGGAGCCGCTTCGTGGATGAGTCTTGGGGCCGTTTCCCGGATGAAATCGACTTTATGGCCAATATCACAGTTCATTCCGCTGATCTCTTGCGCATTGGGTGTCAGGATAAAAGACACATTGCGCGCATCTAGTTCAGGCGCGAAGGCGTACGCGGCTGTCTGAATGGTCCGTTGCAGAGGCGAAGCAAGGATGAGTGAGATGTCCTGAGGAACTGGAAAGGCTTGTTGAAGCTCGAGGCATTGCTCTTTGCCTTTTGCTGTCAATAAGGGATCGCGCAGATGAGATGCATCCTGAGAAGCCAGTTAGCATGGTTCTCGCGGGGTTTGTAGGTGGTATCCGGAAACAAAGTACATTGACGTTGTGCTCGCCTTGGCCGTGGCGGATGACATAGAGAGTTGGTGGCATTGGAAGTTAGATTGATTCAAGCTAGCGGCGATGTGGTCTGCGATGAAGAGGAATGAAGAGAATGATGAAAAGTTTTCCATTCGCAATCATGCATCGCTAATGAGCTTCGGTGAACCCCCCACCATCAAAGCCGCGCTCAGAGTGCTCGGGATGATTGCCCTCGGAAATCCTGCCAAAAGACAAGGCGCCGCCCCGCCGTTCGGGAGGACTACCACTTTTGGACATGCGCAATTTCACTGCAACAGGAACTTCTCTCTGCTTGTTTGGAATGGAACTGCGAGTGCCAGAGTGGATTGGCACCCGAGTGTAGCAGCTCGGGTTACTTTTGTGCTGGGAATTCTTTTGCGGGCATCAACGACGAGTCAGGTCAAGATCTTTGAGAGGAATGGAAAGGTGTCGCAACCCGGTATATCGATGAGATTTCTCCGGAGAAGTACCGCGACTTCCTCGTGCCTGAAACTGTCATTGGATGTAAACGACGAGTGATGGATGCTGATTATCTTGCTTGCTTGCAACGGGAAAACGCGGAGCTAGTTTATGACGATCCGATTGCTCGAATCACCGAGAGTGGTGTGGAAACTAAGTCCGGTCGCGTGATTGATGCAGGATGTCATTGTGCTGGCGAAAGGGTTTGAGACTCAGAAACCGCGTTTCCCAATGACTGACTATTCGAGGCCAGAATGGACTGGGTATCTTTGAACGTGTGAGTTCTATTTTTCAACTGCTGGCAAGACCTTGGACTAACAGATTCAGTGGATGGAACTCAGAAATGGCTCTCCGGAGGCTTATTTCGGCAGTTGCTACTCTGAATTTCCAAACTTCTTCATCCTCTTCTGTCCAGACAAGTTGTCTGGACACCATTCAGTGATATATACCACTGAGTGCCAGTTCAACTTCATTTTGGGGGTTACCGATTATGAACGGTATCAATCGTTCGTTGCTCTTCAATGTCATCGGCTACGAGTACACGGACTTGGTGGCGGTGACTAGCGTTGCAGAGCGCAGAGATGTCGAGACCACAGACCAGAAAGCGAAAGGTTCGGTATATGGCAGTGGGTGCTCTTCCTGGTTCATCGACGAAAGGACGAGGCGAAATACGACCATGTATCCCGATTGGCAGTTGAAGTTCTGACCACGCAGCGTTTTCGTTCGTTGGCAAGACTTTCCTTACAAAAAGGCTGCAGTCAAGTCCCAGTCTTCGGCCCAGGTTTGGGGAAGGCTCAGTGGAATCTGCACCGCTGCGACTTTGATTGCAATTGGCGCCGCCCTTGGGTTTCGAGGTGTCCAGTATCTAGGGTACTCTGATAGGCTTTCTGCGATGTTCAGTTGGGGTACAATAATGTATGAAGCCAACTATTCTTTGATTAGAAGTTGACCAAAATTTAATCTTTTACACCAATGGGTTTCGCACTTTTTTCAATCATTTCGAGTTATACGAAGGGCGCTCGAATCGAATATCCTGTATATTAGTATAGTACATCCGAGATAGGTATGTCCATACAGTCTGATAATTCTAGACGGACATTCGCTGGTTTTATGTGAAGATAAGCTTGAGCTAGTCAAGACAGCCAAAGGCTATGCAAACTCGAAATTTTGGAAGACATCAAAGTGTGGTGCATATTTGTATGCGGCACGTGATCCCCGCAGGTGCGTGATCACACGTGGTGGGGAATGTACGGCAGAAGCCTCGCCGAACATGTTCCTCCGCATCAGCGACGACAGAAATCTCGCATTCCCACTGGGATACACTGATACTCTAGCTGTCTGCGGAATGATCTAGCGACAGCGTGGATTTTATGGCTTCCAAAGTCAAGCGCTCCTATACCGGCTGGTACGAGCCTTCCCGTCCGCTCCCCCCGAAGATACACATTAGCTGACATATCTTTCCAGCTTGACTTGCAAGAGTCGCAAGTTGAAATGCGACGAGGCGAAACCGTCATGTCGCCATTGCGTGAAGGCATCTCGTGAATGTACATATGGTGACCAACATATCTTTCGGAGCCAACCAATTCATTCGACGCCAAGGCGCAAACGAAAGGACAGGCGCAGTGTCCAGCAAGACGAGAGTCCTGTGTTTGAAGAGGGCCACACATGGCTCGAGGTTCCTTCAGAGTGTACGTGGAATTCACCTGGAATGGCTGGTAAATCCCAGCGTGCTCACATCGATTGACAGTGACCTTTGTTCAAATCGAAGATCCCTGGGCGCATGACAACGCGGGCGTTGAAAAATACCCCAGATATGTCTCTTATAGAGAGGACGACGTAAATGATGATGATCAAAATAACGACACAGATATTGGAGAGCAAACCAATTTCTCCAGCCATTATGCGACACCTGGCTTTGTTTCGATGCATGCTTCTCCCATTCCTTATGTGCCTTCGCTGGATACGCCCCACAAAAGTGCATCCCCCGCATACTCCGAGTCGGCAAATCATTCCGAGTTCGATATTTTCGACAAAGTGGTGATTTCATATCTCGTACGGCACTTCAAAGAGGGTCCAGGCCAATGGTGCGTCTTACAGCTTGAGAAAGAGTTAAGCAGTTGTTAATGATCACCCAGGATGGATCTTTTCGATACCACCGCCTACTTCTCCTCGAAAGTCCCAGTGCTCGCCGCAACAAAGCCCCTACTGAAATCTGCAGTATGTGCTCTTTCAGCGAAGCATTTGAGGCATATTTGTCACGCCGCGAATCAGACCGGAGAGAGCCCAAATTCCTTGTCGAACTATTCCAGACTGCCTCTCCGGAATGAGGATATGTGGCAATATCATTCAGCCAAGCAATATGACCAGGCACTGCGAAGTCTCAAGACTGCCATCGACTTGGGAACGTACGACAACAGCCCCTCAAACAAAGAAGAGATGCTAGCCGCTGTCGCAATTCTTTGCGCATTCGAGCTGATGGATGCTCCTGGTAGTGCATGGCGGGCTCATCTCAGTGCACTCCCACTTTTCAGCGACGGGGATATGTCATTAACTGATAATTCCACCATTATTATCCCCCGAACCTCTATCAAAGGACCAATATTCTGGAGTCTGGCGAGACAGGACTTATTGTGCGCCTGTAAGAGAGATTTGTGACAACCTTACAGAACCAGACTTTGCTTAAACTGACTCCAATTGCTTAGTTATAAGCGAGACTCAAACGAGGCTGGACCTGAAAGACATGAGGCTGTGGCAAAATGCTGGCGTAGTTACCGACGAGCACGGCACGCTGCTCTCGAGTAACCCCCAAAATATCATGGACATCCAGGATTCCTCCGGATTCGAAGAAGATACCAAAGCCAACGAGCTCACCTGGATACTGGGTAAAATCGCCAACCATCTCACTGCCGGAGACGCTTTGATTCCTGATGAAAACGAATTACCTCGAGGCCAACGACCTTCAATAGGCCTGACCCAAGAGCATCTTTCAGACAGGTGGAATCTACTCATGGCCGAGTTGGAAAATTGGTACGGGTCGCTTCCTCCGATCTTTCGGGTGACGGCTCGTACACGCGAGCTGGGCCAGCCCAATCCTCGGCTCAAATTGAGCTTTAGAACATTCGAGCAAATTTGGTTCGACTTGCCCATCTGTGCAGCAACGGTGCAGAGTTATCACCAGGCAAAGATCCTGATGTATGCCAATGAACCGCAAGAGTCTACGGCTATACGGTCTACCGTTTCGTCGAGGCTGAGATCATACCGCCATGCTCTAAGTGAAGCCATATACCATGCCAGACAAATCTGTGGGATCAGCCTGGCAAATTCAACAGATTCCGTCCGAATCAATTCTGTGCAGGCTTTGTTTGTTGCAGGACAGGTGTTTGAAGATCAACAAGAACAGGACGGAGTGATTGAATTGCTTGTTGGGATTGAAAGAGATCTCGGGTGGACCACGAAATACCACGTTTCGAAATTGACCGATGAATGGGCGAGGGGCAGGTCGGATAATCATGCTGATCGTGTTGAGAGAACTCATCACCAAAGGTGGGGATTTTAATAGCCGTCGGAAAATTCCAAGGTTTATCACACTGCTGTTTATAGGTCTCGGAATCGGAGACCATCTCCGGTAGTTTTCCCTCGATTCATTGCGTCTAATGCCTGTGGTGGCATTTCCTCGAAAATAGAAAAACGTGAAATGTCTGGAATGGTGAGGGTTTACTTTTCTTTGACTGTTCTGCTGGTTAGTGGATCTTGAGGTGACCCGGCGACAAAGGCCTGGAAGACCCTTGGGGAATCAGGCCAGTTACCTAAGCCATATCAACTCCCAAGTGCTCGAGACTTCTCAAATGTCCCGCGTCATTGTATCCGTGGACCTAGATCTATGCCTACGTAGTGTCGGGTATATTCTACGGAACATTCACTGAATCCCAACGGCGATCATCGCCGTGTTTAGGGGACTATTGTCGCCCAGCCGCACGGGGTAGTGTACTCTCGCCCATCGTGTTTTACCCATTGGAGCCTGAGAATAATTATGATGTCTCTGATCAGTCAGACTGATCAGACGAATTGACTTGGGGACTGCGACAGCAAGGCCCTGGGCTTCATCGAATCATCTGATGCCCATAGTCCTGCACGACTCCTCGGGTTGAACATCTTTTCTGTTTTTCTCATCTCCACCTCCCCGCCATGGATCTCGGGACAGTTTCCGCTCCGGAACCCATGGCCAAGCCAGGCATTTGGAGCCCCGCTGTCCAGCAAGGGAAATTAGCCGAGCCGATCCAAATTTGGACTAGAACGGAGACATTTAAAAGTCAAGAAAAAGACAGCGAGAAGGTAAATTGAATGATCCATCAAATATTTCTGTGCTCAGATCCAATCAACTGACAAAATGGGCTACCCGGACACCTTCGAAGGCTTTATGGTCACCTCGCATGCCAAGTGGAGTGACTTTGTAAAGCAAGAGGTAACTACAACTCCCTCCTTGTACATGATGAACAGTTGTCTGATTCCAGTTCAAGTTCAAACCAAAGCCATTAGGCACTAGAGATGTGGAAATTTCAATTGAGGCCTGCGGTGTGTGTGGAAGTGATGTGCACACTATCACAGGCGGCTGGGGCGAGGCCAAGCTTCCCGTCTGCGTCGGCCACGAAGTTGTTGGCAAGGTTGTAAACGTCGGTCCTCAAGCATCGACCGTGAAAATTGGAGACCGCGTAGGTGTTGGAGCTCAGGTCTGGGCTTGCCTCGAGTGCGATGTCTGCAAGTCCGGCAATGAGAACTATTGCCCTCAGCAAGTCGGTACGTCTGACGGTACGCACTGATAGGATGCAAAGACTAACTGCTTCGTCAGACACATACAACTGCTACTATCCCGACAATACAATGGCTTATGGCGGATATGCTAGTCACATCCGGGCTCATGAATATTTCGTCTTTGCTATCCCCGACAACATTGAATCTAGCCTTGCCGCACCTATGTTGTGCGCGGGTATTACCTCCTACAGTCCACTTTCTCGTGCAAAGATCGGACCCGGCAAGCGCGTTGGTGTTGTCGGAATGTAAGTTTCTGCCATGCTCGACGCGAGAATCTCAAACTAATTTGAAAATAGTGGTGGCCTGGGCCATTTCGGTATATTGTTTGCGGCTGCTATGGGAGCGGAGGTCTACGCCATTTCGCACTCCCCGAAGAAGGAAGCCGACGCAAAGGCCCTGGGTGCCAAGGGCTTCATATCAACTAAGTCGGAGGGATGGAACGAACCCTGGAAGTTCAGCTTCGACTTCATCCTGAACACAACCGATGCTACCGACCGTTTTGACATTACTGCCTACTTCAGCACTTTGAAGATCAATGGCACATTCCACACTGTTGGAATTTCGGATAAGGGGTTTCCTCCACTGAAGACACAGGATATGATGGGGACCGGCTGTTCCATTTCTGCTAGCCATATTGGCAGCAGGGAAGAGGTTCAGGAGATGTTGAAACTGGCTAGCTCTCAAAAAATCAAGAGGTGAGTGAGAGTCTTCACTTGAGAGCTTATCATCTAACTAACCATATTACCAGTTGGGTGGAGACGATTGATATCAGCCAAGAGGGATGCAAGGCTGCCGTGGAGAAGGTTTACAACGGCGATGCCAGATACCGCGTCACCCTCATTGGCTACGATAAGGTCTTTGGCAAGAGAGTCTGAAAAGGCTAGCCTAGAACTGAATTTGGGCGATGTTTGTTGATACCTATGTGAGACGAAACCAGATGAGGAGTTCAGTTAGACTGGATGAAAGGCATGAATGTTTTGAAGGTTATTTTGATTGAGGAGCAGTGGGATGGGCCGGATCATGAGAGAATAGATCTAGGTGACAATAGCGAGGCGTATTGGAGCTGACAGTCTTGAGGTTCCTAGTTATACTTAGAGCAGTTTGAAAGAGTCGAAAACAGTCTTTGTTGAAATCGAACAAGGCTCATTTTTCTGTGCTCTTTTGTTTGTATTGTAAGGAAATATGGTTGAAGCCTTGGACAAAGCCACTCATTGTACTGATCTTACTATAACTACTCGACATCTTGAGATAACGGGCCATCGATTCGACTATACCCTCGAGTCGCCAATACCATGGATACAGAGCACCAGTCCCTAAACTGCCCTATGATCAACTATACCTCGACCAGACAACACCATGTTTTACGACTTTCTAGCTAACGGCTTCCAAATCTGTTGGCACTACTGAAAGAGAGCGAGATAGGATAGTGGGGCCGGGTTCAGAGCATCGATATGCAATATATGTTGAAAAAGGTGCTGCCTTACCAAATGCTATCCACCATTGGTTTCACATTGCTTGTATTAGACAGTGCCTGTTGCGCCTAGGTGATGCAGACATGGAGAGGAATTTCCCGGTCTGCCCCGTTAAGTTCAACCTGGATTCTTGATAAAATCTTCGTTTTTTCTGTCTTGTTCCCCAGGTAGCGCTAGTTTTCTAATCAAATTTGTTCAACTTATACCTAAATTTCAGGTAGTTCTTGCGTAGTATACAGTAATCCCTCAAGTCTTACTTAACTGCCGGTCTATTTCAAGGCCAGCACCACGATCGAGGTGTACGTTGCAGCGACGTAAGAGTGAATCTGCTCCACTCGTAATCCAGCAGCATCGGCTAGAAGTTCCCACTGTCGTCTGGTCCTTTCCTTTCCACCACATGAAATCATCAAGGCAAGATCGGCCATAGTGCCCTGCCAAACAGCTTCAGTATCCGGTAGAACGGTATCATCGATCAGAACGCGCGAGTCAGTGGACATGGCCTCGGCAACATTGCGGAGGATCTTGGTTGCGTCGTTGTCCGGCCAGTCGTGAAGAACTCGGCGAAGGTAGTAGAATTTGGCACCTGTTGAGATCATGGATCAGCACAACTACTTGGTAAGAGATTCAAAGTTAGAGTACTCACCAACGAGTGGTTGCTTTTGGAAAAAGTCATAGGCCTCAACTTTGACGCCCTCAATTGCCAAATTTTCCACTGTTGTGGGGAGATCTTGTAGAACCAAACGGCCCAAAACGTTGGGGTATTTTTGACCAAGTTGAATGCTCTGATGGCCGTGTCCACCTCCAATATCGACAAGGAAGGTTCTCTCTGAAGACTGGGCTGCAGTGGATGGCAGCTTCTTTATCTCGGACTCGAGAAGGTCAAATCCCTCGGTCCATTCGGATCCCTCGATGGACGTCATTGCCTTTTGGAAGGGTGTGAAGTGTTCGGGGTGCTGGATCAGCCAATCGAAGCAGCTGAGGTTCGTATTAAAGGCCTTGTGGAATGGAATGTATTTGTTGCTTGTGACGTCTTGGTACTTGGTCTCCTTGAAGAAGTCGGGCATCACACGCATGATAACAGCGTGGAAGTCAAATCTGTCGTGGACGTAGATATTTTGAGCAATAGTCCTAAAAGGAAACAAAAAAATGACTCTTACCCGTGGAGCACCATGGCCTCGCCTTTTTCACTGGCGAAAACGTGCGTGGTTTTGTTCGCTTCGTATTGATTGACCCCGGCTTCCATGATCATGTTGGTGGAAGCCAGATAGCGAAGAATCCTCGCTGTTGACGGTCAGCGGAAAAGTTCAAGACGCATGGTAATATCGAGAGAGGCTACCTAGAAGGTCAGGAGACGCCCCAGAGGCCTCGGCGATCTTATTGACGGACAAAGATTCGCTGCTCTTTGCAAGTATACCAAACAGTCCGAGGTCGGTCGACATGCGAACGACAGAAACACCCAAAGTCTAGAAATGTCAGATTGGGCCGTCGTAAAATAGAATGTAAACCTAAGAAGACTTACCGAATTTACAAGCTCAAACAAGACCTCGATGGGGCTTTGGAGCTCGACTTGCGTTTGTCGCAGAGCCCGCTGGATCTCCAGCCGGCCGGCTTCGCCGGTAGACTGGGCCAAGGAGTGGATTTGGGAAACGATGGAATCCATTTCGAAGATGAATGCTAGTAAAATCAAGTTTATTGTATGAGATGATTGTTGATGACGACCGTCGACCCTGCTGCTGACCAGGTCCTTTATAGTGGCTTGACTGCAGTGTACGTACCTGATAGTTTCCGGACTCCGCGGAAGTTCCGCGGACTTCACCCCCACGCATAGCAATGCGCCTGCCACCAACCAGCTTCCCACGACGACAATGCATGCGCTCGTTGCACGGATTTAACGGTTACGCCTAGCACGATGCGAGTCGAGAAGAATCGATCGAGATCCTCGCGGTCGCGCCCGGTTTCCTGCCATTTCTGCCGGTCGCGTAAGCTGCGGTGCAGCCGGCAGTTCCCCTGCACCAACTGCACCAGCCGGGGCGTTCCATGTCGCCAGGATGATGAATTAACGGCAGCAACGGACCGTTCAGAAGAGGCACCGCCGTCGTCTTCGAAGTCATTCGAGTCGGATGTATTGGCACGCCTGCGTCGGCTAGAGGAGGTAGTGATCGGGCACCGCGGCTCTCCAGCCTCGAATCAAACTGGCTCTCCGCCGTCGCATGCCTTGTTTGCACAGAAACTGATTAAATCCCGCGTGGAGAGCACTCATAGGTCTCCGGAGAGCGATGTAGGCTGGTTGGAAGAAGCTATCACCCAGCCTAGCTCCACTGTACGTGCTTTCCGAAGGTGGGCCCGCGTATGTGCACTTCTAACATCACCGATGCTAGCATACTCTTCTCCCATATGATATGGAGCTCAAAGCTTGCCCGATTGACAGTGCTGCTGCCGATGGCCCGAACACCAACCAAAGCACCGCGACTAGATGCTGCTGGCTGCCATTGCACGAGGAATCGAGGCAAATCGTCGACAAGTACCTTACCGACATAACGCATTTACACCATGTGGTCCATGCCCCGTCCGTACGGGCAGCCGTGGATGATATCTACTCATGTCTAGATCGGAAAGACCCGATCAAGCTGGGATACGCTGCGCTTCTGTTGGCTATCATCTCTAGCACGACCTTCTTCTGGACAGAGCGCGACATAGACCGACCGTTATTTTCCTCGGTGGAAGAGGCCAACGAGCAGACGCCAAAATGGCTGAGGCGAACACTGGAATTGCTGGAATACTCTCGCCGCGCAGGCGCGGATTCAATTGAGGATGTACAGGCGTCTATCATCATTGGCTATCTGATCTGCAATATTGTGGGTATCACATCTCAGGCACACTTCTGGTTCGGGTCCGCGACATCTATAGCCAGGCAATTGTCTCTCCATCGAATAGACCATCCAGAGAATGGAGACTTGGACGTCCCCAAGCCGGAATCTGTTGAAGCCGAGGTGGCTAGGAGGGTGTGGTGGAATCTCGTCGGGACTGATTGGTATCTCCACAATCCATTCTGCAAACAAAACAGTGAAATCGGACAGCTTCTTACTGTTTTTATAGGCAATTTTCCCAATTCGCAGGTCCCCAGAAAGGTGTATATACGATCCATCCCCGGCAAATGGCGACAAGAAAACCACTCAATATGAACGATGAGGACCTTTTCGATGGCATGGGAGCAGTCGGCCAGTCGATCGATCAACCAACGTCCATGTCGTATTGCCTTCAAAGAATTCGGCTTGGAGAGCTGTGCCGCGAGCTCACAGATAGCGAACCTTTTGCGACAATGGGCACCACAACCCCGGACTACCAGAGGATCAAGGATATTGATTCGAAAATGAGCGAGTTCGTCAACAGTCTTCCCCGTTCTTTTCCCTGGACTACCAAACCGGCGAGTTATCAGGCACAGACCCACGCAAATCAACCTCAATCACCGTTCAACGATATGTTCTCAACTCCCTCGTTCATACACAACGGTGCCGACTACATCTGCCGTACTTGACTCGCAGTGCTACAGACCCGAAATACTCCTACTCGCGAGACGCTTGCCTCGAGGCAGCACGCATGGTAATTCGTACGGAACGACAACTCTCCACAGAGTCGCTGCCATTTGTCTTAATGCGCCTCAAATCCTCTGGTATCTTGCACTGCGTGTGCATGGCTATCATCGTCCTCTTGATGGACCTCTGCCTGAGCAAGAGTGCCCGGGTAGAGGATGACCGGGTGCGCCGAATGGAGATCTTCGACGCCTTTGGTATTTTGGAAGAGGCGAAAGACCAGTCACCCTTCGCTGAGAGAATCCTGGAATCGTTCTACTCTATCTTACGGCGTTACAATATTCCCTTTGTCTCTGCTGACATACAACCGACTTCGCGGTTCAAAGGCAATTCCAAAATTCAAACAGCTCTTGCCGCTGAGCCGCCAGCGTTTCCTGCCGGAGAACCTGATCCAGGCAGTGAAGGGCAGATATTTGACATGGCTATTCCATTTTTTGATTTGAGCTGGGAGACATTGGACACTAGTGTGGATCTGACTGCTCTTGATTGGGATACCCTGTTCCAAGAGTTGGATCCTTCGTTTGTGACAATGTAATCTACATTAAGGAGATGGCAGCACTCGTATCTCTATATTCCTTTCCTTTCAAACATAAGACATAGAGTCACTGGAGTCTGGCATTTCGATCCGGAGCCAAGCCATACGGAAACCACTACGAGTCCATACAAGCCTTATATTACGGAGGACAATATGCTGATAGGATACAATAAGGATGTGGTCAGGACGAGAGGCCATTTGTGTTTGGACTCCGGGTCCATAATCATAATCTTGATCGCAATACGCTCCAGGCCGATTGCGAGTGTGCCCCAGGTTGATGTAGGTGCAACGTCCATGCAGTACCTCGGGTCAAGAGCCAGGTTTGCACGGCGGAATGGCCTGCCTTCGAGTAAATCAGTCGCTGTTGCCATGTTCACCATCTGCTCCATCTCTTTCCAGTTGTTCCAAAGAGGATGATACCCGCCCTAGTTATGGTGGCGATAATGGAATCACCGCTCCAGATCGAAGATGTTGACCGTTCCAGAGGGGTACACGCACACTTCGCCTGGCTTCTCCAGAGCGCGTCTCTGCTTCCATAGATCGACCTCGATGTCGCCGATGGTCGAATCCACTTCATTCCTTTCATTGACCAGTTTTGCTTCACTTTCAGGGTCGAATGCAGTATGCATGCAATATCACATTTACCCTTCATCTTCGCCGTCCTCGTCGGACGAACTGCTCGCATAATGATTCAGGTATTCATAAAAAAGACCGAATATCAAGCCCGGACGCGACAACGTCCCCTCGGTGATATTCCTCCACCAGCATTTCAAAAAAGCCCTAAACCTCCTCCTACAGAGGAAGAAATGGCGACTCTACCAGATCATAAAGAATTTTTCTTGAATTATCCAGATGTTAGTTAACAACTCAAAACCCCTCCATTAGTCATCACCAACGCCACCTGGCGGAATCCCAGTTTACAGTCCACCCAAAGCTGACTTGGCAGTGACACGCCAGAAACTTTGAAGACGAATAAGAGGTCCTGAAGTTACGTAAGTAGCTTTGGCTAGTTAATTTCCCTGGACTTCCACCATCTTGAGCTTTGAAGGGCCGTTTTTGGTGACATGCTCATGGATCTGGAAATCAGGTTTCGGATGCCTTGGATGATTACAATTTTATTATTTAAACCGTTCGAAGCGCACGCTCAAGCAGGCTCATTGTGTACTGATGCAGACCCTTTCTGCCATTAAGCGCAACCAATTTATCACTCAGCATGGAACCGAACAAAATCTATGACCTTGTTCAAGCTCATTATGGTGAGCTTGCTTCCAAGGAGCATACACGTGCCGAGGAGAATGTGGCGAAAGCCTTTGGATATAAAGCATCAGATTTGAGCTCTATTCCACTAGATGCAAACCTCGGAGTGAGCTGTGGGAATCCTGTTGCTCTTGCCAACTTACGAAAGGTGAGTGTTTGGACGCTGAGATAGAATAATTTGCTGTCTAATAGTTTATGTCTCACCATTCTTCCAGGGCGAAATAGTGATCGACTTGGGTAGTGGTGGGGGCATTGATGTCTTACTAGCAGCCCAAAAGGTTGGGCCGAAGGGAAAAGCAATTGGCGTGGACATGACGAAGGTAAGTCAGTTCTATGAGCCAATACACCTCGGTACGAACATCTAAGTGAAAATTTCCCGATAGAGCATGCTCGAGTTAGCTCGGAAGAACGCAGAGAAAGCGGATGCATCCAATGTATCCTTTGTCGAGGCCTCCATTACTTCCGTTCCTCTTCCAGATTCCACAGCTAGCTGCATTATCAGTAATTGTGTTGTGAATCTGGTCCCTGCTGCCGACAAGTATCTAGCCTTCAACGAGATGTTTCGCTTGTTGACACCGGGCGGTCGTGTTGCTATTAGTGATATACTCATTCGAAAACAGCTCCCTGAAGAGATAGCAAAAGACCTGTCTCTTTATGTTGGATGTATTGCGGGCGCTAGTTATGTTTATGAGTATGAGGAATACCTACACAATGCGGGATTCAAAGGCGCGTATCGTGCTTTTTTCCCTAAAATTCAGTCCAGGGCAAGCTAACAATTTCCCAGACGTGCTAATTGTGGATACTCAAAAGGACCTTAACATTTACAAAGGTATATTTCAAGACCAACCGGGCCAGAAGTGTACGTGTTGTCAATCTGAGACCGTCCCGGGTGGGAACACATCAAAGTTAGTTGAGCTCACTGAAGAGGAGGTAAAGGAACTCGACTTTAATGAATGGGCTGGTAAGTCTCTTGCGACCTAATTTATATTTTTCAGAGCTAACACTGAACGTCTCAGGCTCGTTCGAGATCTATGCACTCAAACCGTAGAAGATGGGCACTCTATGTGACATATCTGTTGAGCTCATCAAATAATATTCAGTATTTGATACCAGGGATTGAATTGACCATAGCAATTTCCTTTTTATCGTAATGTATATTTACCGCATAACGGAACGTAGTACCTGTAACCAAATAAACCAGAATTTAAGATATCTCTGTTAAAATATCCAAAAGCACTTTGTCATTAACCCTACATCCTTCATTTGGAGCGTTTCCCTGTCGAAATCCATGTTGCATCCAAACATGTATGACGTGCAAATCGACGCCCCTTCTGTTGCACTGAATGACTAAACGATATGCTGTTGAGCAAAGGGTCGTACTCTCAGTAGTATTATCCCAAATTTGCGTGTTCATATCCGATTTCTGGGGGACTTTGTGACCAGATTCTGCTTGGTGTAGAGCATCCAGGTAACCCAAGTTGTTAACCCCAACTAAAGGTAGTTGAGCTTCCGTCGCCGAAAAACCAAACATATCTACCGTATTCGATGGCGCTTCCATGAAATTATACGGCCACTCGTCAGGAAATATGTGGGGCTGTGGTGTTATGGTTCGTGATAGGAAATGGTCGCTTAGAACAGACCCCATTACCTTCAAAGAATTTAGCATTCCGATACGCCAGGCGTGGATGAACCGTACCTGTGATGAACCCGCCGTTGCAAATGAGGGGTTTTGGGCATCACTATTGGATTCACTCAGGAGCCCTTGGTTGATGCCTAAGGCAACAAGCAAATGTCTCATGGAATCATTCTCGGTTTGCAAATTGTATAGTATCTTTTGATGAAGGGATTCTTTCGTGGCGAGTATATTCTCATAATCTTTTAGTGTCGTTTCCAGGCTCTGGATGTACTCTCGACGCTGTGCCCTCGACCGTCGTTGATTGTGGCGGATACGTGCGAGATCCTCGCTCTGAAAGACAAGATAATTCAGGAAAAGTGTTTAGATAACTAGATATGTGATTATGTAACGCTGGACACCCGGACACCCACCTTCGTCTTTGTTTTGGGTCGCGGCATGGTCTTGACCCAGCCAGAAGGTCACAATAAGAGATTTTTGGTAGCTACAAGCCTGAATAGCAGGGGCCGAGTTGGGCGGGAGATCGGAGAGTGTGAATTCTTAGAGACCGGGATGGAAAGAAGTACGATTATTTATACTGAGCCTTTCGATGACGGCCGATCGAAAAATCTGCCCCACAGACATGGGGTATCTGGCCAATCATATAAAAGTGGTATGTCACCACAAACTTCTTGGCTAAGAATGGTCCAACCATGTGACAGCTGTTTATTAGGTGATTCCTGAGCTTCTGGCTCTGAGATCTAATTTAGTGTCAACGAACATTGTGAAGACAATATATATCGAAACTAACAAAGAAGTGTGAGATAGGAATCAAATTAGTTGATTACAAATAATTAATATATTTGCCCCCTCTGCAGTCCCCTTCGCTGTTACTTTGTCTTCTATCCTGCCTAATCTTTCCAGTCTAATCGCTTAGCCATGAACTTCACAGCGTAAACTAACCCTAGCAGCACGGGCACCTCTATCAAAGGTCTCACGGTAGAAGCAAGAGCCTGGTTGCTATTAGCGCCGAAAGTTGCCACAGTGACAACAATAGCCAACTCAAAGTTGTTGCTGGCCGCAGTAAAGCTTTGGGTTTCTGCCAACTTGTAGCCGAAGCCCATCTTGTATGCGATAAAGAGTGTGGCGAAGAATATAACGATAAACAATAAGAGGTGCGGCAACTCGGATGACAAAGACAACCTGATGGACTACCTGACGGCCCTGTGACGCGAACAGAACCAGGATTGTGAACATGAGTCCAATTAGAGACAATGGGCTAATCCACTTCAGAAAGACTTGATCGTACCATCTATCCGAAACCATTTGCCGAATGGTAAAGCGAGTAAGCCTTGCGGAGCCTAGGGGAATTCCCAGAAACACTGCGACACTCTTGGCGGCAGTGGCGTATTCGAATTTTACTGAATCGCCACTGATAACACCAATGAATTCACTGCAGAGAGCCTCGTACTTCCCTGGGGGTCCATCCGGGTCAGGTTGGTACTGTATGATTTCTAAAGGCGAGTGCAGTGATTCTTCTCCCAAAGGTCTCTTTCGCTTTCCGTCTTTTTTACAAAGTCGTGTCGATCGATGCAGAAGCTTTCTTCGTACGTACCCTTCAGACTACCCACCGCCTTCGTGGGTTGGTGCACTGCCACTTAACGATTCAAGTATAGTATGAATGCGAGAAGCACTATGCGAACTAGCCTTCTGATGCTGCGCGCCCTAGCATCCCCTGTAGCTAGAAAAAGGCGACATATGAATCTTTAAATTGTTAGATACCATGTGAACTGATTACCTACCGGCATTCCTATAGCCAGAATTGTGGCTCTAAATAGAATAGTATTGTGGAGATCTAACTGTCCAAAGCTATTGCACTACAACATAGTCGCTGTAGATAATTACTATATTTCACTGAGTGTTCTATCGGCTAGTCTGACCACTTCAGGCGCACTAGTTGAAAATACAGGGAGAAATGACAATATTCCGCATTGAAGTTGTGGATGCAACTGCCACAGAGCACATTCTAACAGACCTTATTCTGATAGCACACTTTTTTTTAACCACTCGTGCGCTTCGGAATAGATACCTTCGCACTTCAGCTCTTCCTTGTGACGTTTCACCGGATCTTGTTTGCGTGCATGCGTGAATGCATGCGAGCAGCCAACTGCCAGCGTCCATTTATGCGTACCTTTTTCAAATGATGATTCCTGGTCGTCTTTATTCTGTAATCCTGCCAGCATATGCGCCATGACCTGCGCTTCTAGCCGAAGCATGTCCCACTGGGCACCGATCACATATATCCACTTCGGCAGATCCTCCCTCCTTGCATAGCATGGACTTAAAAGTGGATCTCGTCTGTTCTGGCCAACTGGTACATAACCCCAGTCGAACCACCACGACGCGTCCTCCAATATATCCCTTGGCCCCCCAGAGTAGGGGCGCGCCGCTAGCTTCTCGTTTGGGGGGGGACACCAAAGTCAACGACAGGGTAGTAGACAACAGCAGCTGTTATTCGATCTTTGATGCCCTGCAGTTGTGAGACGGAAAGAGCCAGATTGCCTCCTGCGCTAAAGCCTCCAATAGCGACCCGGACTTTGTCGATAGGTAGTGCCTCATCCCCGAGGACCGCATTTATCAAGGCAGCAATGTCATATGTTGCTGTCGGGAACGGGTGACGTGGTGCTTTCCGGTAATCAAGGCTCACAACCAGCATTCCCGTACGTCTGGCCCAGGAGGTGCAGAATTCGTCGTCCATTCGGGGGCTACCAACCGCGAAACCGCCGCCATGTATGTCCAGATAAAGAGGTATCGGTTTATTGCCTGGCTGATATTGCGGTGGGAAGAAAATCCGGTTGTTCAACATAGGCCGACATAAGTACCGCTTGACCAGCGTCGGCTTCGTGGACACTGGCGTCGGGTTGTGACGCCGTCGGAAGAGGGCAAAGATAATTGTCGCAGCCTTAAAGAGCAAAATTTTAAGACACCAGACGAAGCGGGTGGGGAACGGGAATTGAACTGCGGGTGTTTCCACGGCCATGTCTGTCTGAAGTGCCTTTGCCGACATAATTGACGGGCAACTAATGTGGTGGATTATCGCAAGGCGACCTTGTTGCCGTAGGTTTATCACCGGTTGAACGTGCTCGACTGTAGGATGTTTCTTGTTGATGGCTTAAATATAATGACGAATTAAGGAAGTGGTCAAATAAAACCAAGAGCATCCAGGACAGGCTTGTTCACGCAGGAGCAATTCTCGAAACGCGGGCTCATTCTTATATTTCAGTCGTAATGATAACAGGGTCCAGCTTCCCGTTACGTATCGCATATCGCAGGACATCGAAACCACAAGTACAAGATCCTTTGGCTTCGTGACTTGGTACGTGCCCACGGGTGGAGATTGGTGTGAGAGATTGGCGATCACCCATGGGGTCGTCGGGATATCAATCTATCCGCGGTGGCTTACCGGGGGAACAAACAAGAGAGATGCTCGATTAACGCTCGTGTAAGGAGAAAGGAAACTGTTTTCGACATCGACTGTATTCTCGAACTCTCCTTTTACCGTGACCGCTCTTATGGCTATTGCCACGCGTAGCTCGATGGTGTGCCTTCGCTTATCTACTCTCGCATGCAGGGAGTCCACGAGGTTAACGTTCTGGTGTTCATTGCAGTCGCCATGTGGTATATCGATATCGAACCGAGCAATGGCCTCCCTGTCGATTGGCATATCAGCTCACTCCGCTCGAGAATCGCCCGAGCCCGTGCGGCATTTCCTATACTTTCGCGGTCGCGTCTCTAGAACATAAACCACGATGTCTACCAAGCCAGAATATACATATCGAGTGACCAGCGTACAGCACTCTGAGTGCTGCCTCAACAACAGCTAAGCGAAAGCGCCACTCCCGCGGGTCCCAAAGGGCAGGGCCTCACCCTCCCACCAGGTCAGCAACATTACTGCCAAACGAGTTAATTTTTACCGGCCAGCAACATCGTACTGTAATCCCACTCTGTAACCATAGGACCTTTCGGCGAGATATCAAGTGGTTGTCGATATTTCTGCGATATAAAACGATTGTGTTGTGTGCCAAGCGGGAACTAACGGCTCCCACAAACACGCAAGGAACGCGAAATCTCTTTTTCGCGGAGAGATTCGAACCATCGATCGTTCCTTGCAAGAGAAGGGGCCCTCTCCGTGAGAAACGTAATTCTGACGACCCCTTTCAGGTTTTCACATTTAATGGCATTATTGCTCGGTTCTTCTGCCTTGGCCTCTCTGCAATAAGGATTTCTTTCGTCGCGGGTTCCAGGGCCCATTTCACAGATTGACACGGGATCCTATATTAATATATGATCTATTGTGCGAACAAGCTTGAAGGTAAATAGACGGCAGGATCAAATAAGAACCATAAAGAATGCTAGTCGCAAATGTTTGTAGGCCTGTTCTATGGCTATTATATAATTATACATTTCGAAAGGCGTGCCTTTCCCTCTAGATTGATCATACTAGTACCGGCTGAATTATGCCGAATAGGAAGAGAGTTAGGACTAAACATCTAGGCTAGCTAAAGAGCTTACCTAGGAAGCCGGCGTAGTCTCCTAGTACCTGGCTTGGTGATGCTGGAGCACCATCTTATGGCTAGTCCAATGCACCATATTGATGTAATAGCAGCACGAGAGCGGTATTGTTATTTTCGAGCGCTTCACGCAACGGAGATCTTCCCATTATAGTAGTGGTGTTGACCAATGCGCCATGGACGAGGAGGAGCTTTGCTATAGCAAATTTGCCCTGTGACGAAGCCCTGTGAAGGGGCGTTTCCCCACTAGGTCTTGCCATATTTACAGGAGCATTATGCTCGAGTAGCATCTTCGTTGTCGCATAAGCATCATATGTTATCGCGATGAAAAGAGGTGTATCATCTCGATTATCCATCATCGATAGGTCGGCCCCTCGCTCAACAAGAAATTTCGCCATTGGAAGGTAAACGTCATCAGTGTCATTGTGAAGGGCATGGTGGAGAGGGGTAGCGTAGAAAATGTAGGGATCGATATATTCGTCGCCGCGAACATTGATGTCCGCCCCATAGTCTAGCAGCGCTTTGGCCATCACAAGGTCGCGATTTTCAACGGCTACATGCAATGGAGCCCTCCAACATGTGGAAAGTTCGTTCACATCAGCGCCGTTGTCTATAAGGAGCTTAGCCATTTCCGGGGTCGTGGCAAAATGCAAAGCACTTCCACAATCTTCCTCAAATCCATAATCGTCTGCGAAGTCTGATGCGCTAGGAAGGTGACCCACAGGGCCTTTGAGGGGTGCACCCATTCTTAATAAGATGCTCACCCCTTTTGTTTGGCCATGAGCGATGCACCATGGGAGAGCAGAGCTTGCGGAACACTTGACGTTGTGTCGGTAGAGGTTTTGAAGTAGAAGCCGGTAAAGTTTTGAGCCCGTTCTTAAAAGCGAATAGATATCCCTCTCAGTTTCCAAATTCTCGGCAATCGAAAGAAGGATTTCCGACGGTAAGTCAAGAAAGCGCATCTTCGTAAAAGAAAAGGGATAGTAGGAAGTCCTAAGATCCGAATGTCACCCCCGATCCTCTTTGTAAAAATGAATTGCAAGGTGGCCTGAAGTGATCGTCGATTTGAGAGCCGGACGGAGTTATTTTACCACTTACCCTTGCCTTCGCTGCAATCTCACCGCTTTGCGCTGAGGGGTGCGCCACACTGTAATAACAATCCACGGCTACTGGGAGGAAAGAAAAGAAGAGAAAGGAAGCGGGCGGACTGAGATATTTATACCTTTTCTCGGGGCAGTTGGTTTGAGGCACAATCACTAACGTCTTTTTTTGCTTCCCTTGGTCCCAATCCGGCAAACAAAAGCTAGGGTAAACAAATCGGCCATTCCACGTGCTTCAGCTCCCAACACTACCAAAAGTGGATTAGTCGCCCTCCGCCTGGCGACTTTGCGACGCACCAAATTAATGGGCCCTGAATCGACGAACTTCTTGTGACCATCACTCTCCTATCCGCCAAGAGAAGAATAATATGACACCAGTCCCATCCGTCCTCACCTGCCCGGCCAAAGCAGTCGAGGGGAAATCCCTGTTGCTCGTAATCTTGACGGATTTAGATCAAACCGGCCAGGCAGATCTCGTCCAACATGTGGGGGAATCACTGCCAGATGACACCAAAATCCAGTTATGGCATCCACCTAAGACGACGCTTTGGTATGTCACGCATCGGAGCTTGCATCAAGATAGCACCGCCAATATCTACGCTGTCGCCATTCTCGCCTACCGGTCAGGCTGGACCAATCTCCTCGTGGCCGACAACCTGACCATTCGCCAACTTACGAAGAACCAAAACATGGGCGAGAGCTCCTCTATATCAATGACTATGGTCGCCGTCCGAAAATCGCAATTTTCGCGGAAAGACCAAGTTCGTGTTGTCGCCCGTCGCACAGCAGGAAGAGACAAGGCAGACCTCCATCACACGCTCCATACATTTGATATTGCGCCGCATTTTCTTGGAGAATGGCATCACAGAGTGTCCAGAATCTACGAGGATGAAGGATTTGAGCTCTATGATCCGGATAGCTGCATTCTTGCGCCAGACACAACCTCATTTTTTGCCGAGGAGCTCGCCAACATCACGCACGCTGCTCTCTCAAAGAGCCTACCACCAGTGCTTGTACACTATATCTTCTCATTTATCCCTGAGGAAGACCCCCCACAGCCCATTTCTAAGCCATCGTGGGCAGATCACGATCCATACTACGTACAAATCTTCACTACGTTTTATTGCGGCCCCGAACAGCTCCTCCAGATGCAATTTGCAATCGACGAGGCGATACAGGCCTATTCGCGGAAAGAGGGCTCGCGCAACATAACTATACGCCTGATTCGCAGTAGCAATGAGAGCAATCGCACTCCGACCCGGCGCGATCTCATACATACCTGGGACCGTTATCATACACCCATGGGCCCTGACACTATATTTCTACCCGAACCCATTTCGGACTCGCAAGATCTGGAATCTACGAGATTGATTGTTCTACACACCAGCAGACACAGTCCCCTGGTAGCAGTGCCCATAACCCTCCGCACCATCATCCAGGGTGTATGCTCTGGATCTCTCGGTTTAACCGTGGACGCGCATGTCCTCACAACTATCCCAGCAGCCTCCGGTGCTAGAGTTCATGCACCACCCTTCCCAGCCCTTCTACACCAACCCTCAGTTCTGGCACCCTAGCGAGGAGAGCCCGTTGCGGGTCCCTCTATTCTATCTCACGGACAAACTGAACCCTGAGCAGGACGCCAGTCTCCAAGCGGAGATATACACACACTGGAAGCGTGAGGTGGACGACGAGCATTTCGATGACAGTGAGAATCTGGAGTGCATGGTTATTCCGTGGGGTAGGCACGAGACGGACGGTACTCTTGACGACATGTGGTCTATCTTCTGGAAAGTGGGCTTGGAGTTCTTTGTTCCGGTTATATTCTTCGTGGATAATCAATCCGGTCGCGATCACAGCGTGGTTATTGCGCAGGCGGACTTCGTTGACGATTTCCAACTTACCGACGAGACACAGGATGTGCTACAGAAGTTGGGAATCTTGGAAAGACCAGACCTATGTGGATTTCGGTACTGCCGGATTCCGGGCCGCCAGTCGCATTCGGTGCAATGGTATCTGGAGATGGAGGCTGGTGATATTGAGGATTTGGTGATGGAAGGGAGTGTACAGAGGTTTTCTAGGCCTGGCTGGCCGCATCATTTAATAGAGAGGTAACTTAGTACTGTAAAATGAAGTCCTTGGTCGGTAGCTGATTCTCATGTACAAAAGTGCCTTGTGGTAGTTTGAATCGGTAACCCCTCAAATAGGCTATAATCCGATGTATCAAGCACAGGTCCATCCTACATGGTTGAATTGGTGGGTCGGCTCGCCCTGATGCTCACTGAATAAGGTGAATTGGTTCTCATCTTTAGTTATATCTCGATATCGCAAGTTATTCTTATAGTTTGCATATATATGACCTTTACTAATACACTGCTCATGGGTTGCACGTTGGTTCACGGGTAGGAGTGACTGGTATCGTTCCTTTGGATCAGAGGTCAACTGACTGGCAAAGACAACTGAATAAGATGCCAGTCGGTTGGGACTGCATTTATAGACACTGCAAGCGATCTTGCGGACAGAGAAATACCGGAAGATTGTCACTGCCAGATGTTGATTGGCTAGACCCCAACCGCTATTTATTATTGGCGGGTCCTGAAGAGAGCACCCGAAATATTTGCTTCTGCTCGCTTTTTGATGAACAACAGCCAATCATAGCGTTGGATTGACATTCACGTAGGTCGCTCTCGGTCAGACTTTAATAATGCCTGAAGGCATCCAACATACATTATTCGCTGTTTGTAGTAATTATTATTGAGTGTGGAAGATATCTTAAGTAATCAGACTAGTCCCATCACAAATATCGTTCGGGATCGACCAAATCTCATATCTGCCTGTTACTTATTGAGTGCATCAAAAACCAACATATTCTTCACCATGCAGTTTGATTCCGTGTCACAACCAAGTTCGGATCGCACAACATGAATGTCGGGACAGGCTCGTATGTTTGCGATAATTCTGGCTGCATTCTCGCACGACGTGAATTGACCTATGTCCAGATCGCCAGCGGATTGCTGTGCTTTAGACACAATCCTAGGAGAATCGGGACGAAGTGCTGCAAGACATTCTTTTTTTGAGCCTTGGCCATTTTAACCCGTATATGGTTTCCTAGCTGATTTGGATCGGGTATATTCAACGCCGCCTATATCATGCTCACTTAGCAGAGGGTTTAAATCTCGATCAGGAGCTGTCTGCGAGTCGCTTGAATTCATAGGACAACTCCGCACTATCAGCGACCGTGAAGTTGCCGGTTCCGAAGAGGCCTTTACTGGAATATAGACCGTTTGTGATTCCAAGTAGCCTTTGATTTCTTCTTCTGTGACACCGCGGAGCACTAGCAGTGATCGGAGAAGAGCATTCTCCTTTGCGACTTTTCTTCCTGCTTCTTGATCATCCTGCGACGCGGCCACTCCAAGCCTTTCAAATGACCTTAACCGCTGCTCTAGGTACTGGGTATACTCCTTGCGCCGTGCACGAGAGCGCCGTTGGTTTTCGCGGATATGGGCCAATGCGGCAGCGCCACTCTTGTTCACGATTCGATCATTCCCTGTGCTCATCTTGTTAGGTTTGGAAAACCATATTCCAAAGAACGTCACCAGTGTGTTTAGTCGAAAGCGAATCGTTCATGAATCCATCAGAGCAGACGAGCCTGTCAAGAGTAACACGGTTGCCTCATTATTCGCGGTAATTAATTTCTCGGGGCAATTCGCTAGTTAACGTGATTCCTAAACGAGTGGGCCACCGAAACGAGTGGGCCACACATCAACAGTACACTTACTATACATATATATATATCAACCACAACGTACTGATATTGAATTAATTACTGCTTTTGACATGTCCTGATATCATGGCCTGTCTCTCGACACCCACTGCACCGTGCTTGTGCCCTTTTTGGTTGTGTATTGGCCTGATTTGTCACCTCCGCTGTGCCCGCTGCTTCGGTCGGAATTGCATGTTGAGGGCTCTCTACCAACGTAGAGGTCTCATGAGCAGCTATACTGCTATTATGAGATATCCGACGTTTAGATCGAGTGCGCTTTTGGGTTAAATTTGCCACAGTTGCACGTAGGCCTCGAACTTCTTCGGTCAAAAGCGCTGTTCTGTGCATATGTAACTCTGAACATTTAACGAGCTGGTTTAACGTGGTTTGCACAGCTAAAGGAGGGCTTTGAGACCCTACTTTGAGGAGGCCTTTCATCAATAATGCCCGTCGCTGTAGCTGACGGGTATTTTGAGGTGTTTTTGCAATTGAAGAAGTGCTCCCTCGGCTGGGAGGAGGGGTGGGCGTGTTTAGACGAATAGTCAATTTAGATAGCACGCGATCAGGATTATATGGTACTAATCCTGTAGCATTAAAACCGCTTTGGATTGATGCAGTAATAAGTGCCTTTTGCCGTGCTATTGGATATGTAGATAGGAAATCAAGCTTGTCAATATGATTGATCCCGTTGTGGATTTGCCGTTTAACTAAATCGCCGTAGCCACGTTTGAGGGTGGCAAAACAGGCCACATCTAGTGGCTGGAGTAAATGCGATGAATGTGCTGGCATGCATATTGGTATGATGTTGTTTTGGTCGCATATTTGGTCAAATTGAGGTGTTAAGTGGCTACCATGCCCATCAAGGACTAGGAGACAGTATTTGCCTGTTAACCGACCTTGAATAGCTGGTATAAAGCTTTTTTGAAGCCATTCGAGTCCGATCTCGTCTGTTGTCCAACCATTTGGGCTAATCATTAATTGCCACTGGTCTGGAAGCTCATCAAACCAGGATTCGATAAAAACCTTGCCCTTAAAGATGATATATGGCGGGAGCGCCCAACCAGTGGCGTTGATAGCTTCAATAACTGTCACCCACTCGCGATTTCCAGGTTGTAAAGATGCCCTCCGACCGTAGTATTCAGCCCTAGTGATGACTTTTGCGGTCGCAGTTAGGCCCATTGCGAAGCCCGTCTCATCAAAATTGAAGATATCGTTAGGTGCGATGCCGTATTGGATAATAACCTGTCGAATCCGGTCGAACCAATCGCGAATAACCTCAGGATCCTCGCATTTAGCCCTTCGATAGTCGTATCGGCGCGTGAAGCGACTTTTTAGCACATCTGAGTGCCTTCGAACAAAGTTATTGACCCAATCTCGTCCGACCGTAAGTGGAGGGTTGGTTTGACGGCTTGTAAGTAGTAAATTGGCCATTTCTCTCACCATATTGACCCTAGGAGGATTTCCACGTAGGTCCAAAGAGAGTATCCATTTCACAAGCGATTCCTCCTCATTGGCAGTCAATTTGTGGTTGTTGGCACGCATTTCAGTCCGAAATTGTTGGCCTTGTAGGCGTCTCTGTAGAGTCGTACGCGGGACGGAAAAGACGGTCGCAGCTTCACGAACAGAGTTGATCTCCTGATTTTTGATGGCTTTGATAGCTAATAGGATCCTGCCCTCTTGTTCTGTAGATTTTTGGCCAATTTGAACGCGATTTGGTGGCATTTTGGATGGTTGGAAATTGCCAGAGATCAAAATTGGAGATACGCGTGGACGCGTGGCCCACTCGTTTCGGTGGCCCACTCGTTTAGGAATCACGTTAGTCATCACTGTATTAGATAATCTATGCCAAGTGACCACACATCCAATCATCGTCCGCCGATGACATACTAAGATTTACGCCTGTAAAATGTCGGGATTCTCAGGTTGTCTCATTTCTGCTATTTTCCTACCGCTATGCCACCAACTCATACGTTGAAGTTATATTGCTCTACACCAAAAATTGCGTCGCCATTCAGGGTAGCAATTAACTCAAGGCCATTCTTGCCTCGCCATACATCTTCGAAAATGCCTTTTTCCGATATTTCTCAACAAGTGGCTGCAAACACCGCCGAGTCTAACAGCATAAATGAAGCCCAACAGGTTTATTCCTGCCGAACGTTAGCTTTGCGCTCAAGTGAGGATGATCCTTACATTCGCCAGAAGTACCGGCCATTTATTTTGTGCAACGATGCAGCCGAGGACTGGATCGATAACCTCGAGCTGACCACTGCTTTGAATATGGCTGAGAATAACATAAAAATCACCAACGACAGGCTGAAAGTCCTAGTACTTTATGGCAGTCTCCGGAGAAGATCATATTCGCGGCTAGTGGCCTTTGAAGCTTCTCGGATCCTTTTTCGTCTCGGCTGTGATGTCCGTATCTTCGACCCTGAAGGTCTTCCAGTGAAAAACGACAGCGACCATAGTCATCCCAAAGTACAGGAGCTCAGAGAACTCAGTGCATGGAGCGATGGGCATATTTGGGTTTCGCCTGAACAGCATGGAAACCTGGTTAGTGTTTCCCGCTACTATTAATGATATCACAAATACTTATGTGTCTTTGATTCTACGTTACTAGACAGCGGTATTCAAGAACCAAATTGATTGGATTCCTTTAAACACTGGAAGCGTTCGCCCTACTCAAGGCCGGACACTTGCCATTGCCCAAGTGTGTGGAGGATCACAATCATTCAATGCGGTTAACTCTTTGCGCATCCTCGGTCGCTGGATGCGTATGTTTACTATCGCGAATCAGTCCTCAATTCCAAAGGCCTACACCCACTTCCCAGACGAAGGTCAAGCAGGAGATCAACGGCTCATACCTAGTGGCAACCGGGATCGTCTGGTGGATTGCATGGAGGAATTCGTCAAATATACAATCCTCATACGCCCGCACATCGAGCTTTTTGGCGATCGCTTCAGCGAGCGGGAGGAGAAGAGATTGAAAGATGCGAAAGAAAATCCTCATTCGGCTATTTAAGAAATGGATGGTGGCCAAATAGTGGATGGTGAGGTGCTGTACGAACATTTATAGAGAATCGTTCATATACTATAAGTAATCTTCTGTTGTATCTTTTACCAATATAGGTGACTTGCGCAAGAACACCGGCTACTTTGTGTAGAGAGCATAGCGCTGATGCCCCGATGCGCAACAAAATTTCCATGCTTGATTTCGTAAGTAATATTGTGCAGCTAGCGTCTAGACCGCCACCATTTTTAGGACTAGGTCCGCCGTTGAGTTCAGGATGTCATTCCCTGAATATTATTGGGTGAGATTTATCACCCTTTCGGGGCCTCCCTTTACTCAATAAGTACTTGAGGCACGGCGCTCGAATCACAAAAATTCTTTACCCTCATTACTCACAGCAATATTGCAATATTACCATTGACATTGAGATTGACGCCAACGAAATTCTCAGTAACCAGCCGCTATTTGTTCACTGATAACCACGGCTTACATCGGGAATATACAAAGCAACACAATATGGAAAACAAATCTAGCGTTTTGTTCGTCTGTGTACATAACGCTGGCCGCTCTTAAATGGCTGCTGGCTACCTCGCGAACCTCGCAGGCAATACTATCGAAGTTCGCTCCGCCGGATCAGCCCCAGCCGAATCCATTAACCCCAAGGTCTTCAAAGCCATGCTAGAAGAAGGCATTGACCTCACTGATCAGAGACCCAAAATTCTCACCAATGATGTTGTGCAAGCCAGTGATGTGGTCATTACTATGGGCTGTGGCGACGTCTGCCCTGTATTTCCAGGCAAGCGGTTTCTCGATTGGCAATTCGAAGATCCTGCGGGCCAAGGGCTTGACGCTAGACGCCCCATTCGCGACGAAATTCGTCGCCGCGTTGAGACTCTCATCAAAGAACCCCAGCAGCCGCGCATAAACCGCTGGGCGACTCCTACTTCCATGCCAAGTTTGACAAATAAATGTGTGTCTTGAGCCTCGTAAACCCGCATGAGGCCGAGACAATGATCGAGAGACACATCGCATTCAAGAGTTCACGAGGAAAATGAGTTCAGAATTTCAACTATTTTTCCATTGTTAATTCGCAACTTACCGAATGTGGTGTCGACACGGCTTCCAAAACTTCCATCGTCGAAGCCCTTCGACTTTTTCACGCAATACTCAGCCGTACCCACCTTAAATGGCAACAGTATTATTTGGCGGCATAATATTGCGGCCCTCAGTTTGATGCGACTTGTTCAATAAGTTTTGCGCGCTAATTCCTTGGCGGTGAGGCCACGAAAGAGTTGCTCAGTGTGTATTGGTCAAGTCAATTTTCGAGAATTGAGTGTATACGTAGATATATATCTTACGTGTACTATGCGCTTTCTGCTTGATTGAACAAAACCTTCCTTTTCCCCTCAAAAGAAGCGTTCCTTGCTACCTGCAGTGAAGCATTTCATGGTAATAGAAATTGGAAACATAGCTAGCTGGACGGATGTTTACTATTTAATTTTACGAGGTTGAGCCAATGTCTAATCACATGCATCGAGTAACTAATCTTATTAAACGTCGAGAAGAGCTTTAAACACGTTTTTCAAGACGATATGATTACTAACGTGCTAAAAATGTGGATTCAAAGTTCCTACGTGAGTGGTTTAAAACTGTTCAGTCTGCAATCAATAAGAACGGTATCTAAGCAGAGGATATATATAAGTGTAATGAGACTAATTTTGCGATAGGCCTCATATCAGCACAAAAGGTGGTTACTCGAGCTAAATATCATGGTCGTCGGGCAGTTCTACAGCCTCAAAATCGTGAATAGATGACTGTTATTGAGTCAGTTAGTGTGGCTAGTTTTGCTCTCCCACTATACATCTTCAAAGCTAAAAACAACAACACTAGTTAGCTTAATAGGCTTCTAAAAGACTAGAGAATTCAAGTACCGTCTAATTGCTAGACTTCGGATGAAATTAGTGTCAGATAGCTTCAAAACCTAGTAATCCTATTCACATCAGTTCGGATGAAAGAAAAATATCGCCTTCTGATCCTTAATTGCTATAGTAGCCATCTCATGCCTCAATTCGACCGAATTTGTGCTAAAATCTTAATCATCCCACATTCCGCATGTGCATAGGCTAGCTTTCCTGTCAGGTAAAACTAGCTCTACATGGCAAGGTGGCGCTATAGCTAGTCACTGACCCTGAGCCAATACTAAACGAAGAGAGAGGGAGTGTGGGCTGGTAATGCCATAAGAAGCATAGTGATATAAGTGATATGCAAGATAATCACGATCATCCCGTCCTCAGCTAGAACAGTGAGGAGGAGCTGTGTGATTCAGTGATCTCATTTTCTCGGCCAGAGAGAGATATAAGAAGGCCATCTTTCCTCCCGAATGGTACATTCGACAAGCAACCAGAGTTGTCTTCGATTGACTCTTGAACGCTTTGTCTCTCACTGAAATCAATCTCCCATCTTACTCTTCTTTGTCAATATGGTGCGCCCCTTCCTTTTCCTTGTGGTCCTTGCACTTCTCGCATGCCACGTCCCCGCTCAAGCCCAGGACTCTTGCTACTCCTGCAAAAACCAGGAGAAATGCGATCAGACATGCCAGGACTGCGGCGGTAAAGCCGACCCGCGAGGCATACGTAGCCTCATCAAGAACGACATGTGCAAACGATGCGCTCATTGCACAGGCGAAGAAGAGCCCTACACCGACACCCAAGATAAAACCAGGCTCCGCTGCGAAGAGAAGGGTCAACACTCCGATTCAACGAGACGCACACCGACGGCGGCCAGTGCTGCAAAAAGCGCGAAACGCTGCTAGTGGATGCCGACACTGGTGAGGACAAGTGCGGCGACGAGGACCACCACCCGTTGTACGACACGACCACCAATGAGGGCTTTTGCTGCCCCGTGGGAGTGGAACGATATGAGAACGCCAAATGCAAGAGCGAGAGCCCTGATGATCCTGATGACCCCGACGATGACCACCACTGCGGCGACAAGGTCTGCCCGGAAGACCACCATGACCTCGGCTTCGAGTACGGATCCTGCTGCAAGATCAAAGATATAATATTGAAGAGTTTCGACGCCAATTAGCAGATGCTGAACAACGGCTTTCGGCATCTCAACAACAGCTTTCAGCATCCCACCAGCGGTTATTCAAAACGAACCTTCCCACATTTCTTGATGGCCCCCATAAGAACCTCTTCCTCGGCCTTGAAGTCTAGCTGGACGAGACCTAGTCGATGCGTGCGGATGCTGCAAATACGGCCAACAAACTTCGCCCCCGATACCTCGGGGCCTGGGACACATTCACAAGCGAACAAGAGGAAATTTGGCGACTGCTGATGGACTCGTTGCATTTTCCACGCTGAATATCTGCTGATCGGTACAGATATGGTGTTGCCAGCCTATTGAGAGCCCACCATGTCAGAGCCAGCGCCGCATGAGAGGGCACGTCGGCCCACGTTATGATGATATCGAGAAGCTCTTTTGGCAGTCTGAGGAGAGTTGACCGTTCCATTCTGCAAAATGTAGGCCAGGGGCTCTAGGACGGATAATTAGACATCATGTACTCGATGTCTCGAAGGTACTAAGTGCGCATCCGAGACGAGGCTGACCCGTATCCAATGAGTCATGTGATAGCGTTAAGCAATTCAGCCTATACCGCCAGCCTCTTTGCCCTACTAGTATACCACAGGTGCTCACTATCACTTTTGATTTTACGACATTTCTTTATATTTATCGAATATGGAAGTACTGGTTGTAGATTGACTAAGGGGCGTCGAATGTCGGAAGTTGCTTCAGCCATGACTGCGTCCATTGCCCAGGCCTGTATCATCGCAATTGACCCACGACGTCACACACAATGAATAACACAAATTCAATGTTTATCCAAGGGTAGACGAATGCAATGTGATCATGTGCTCACCTGAATTTCAAATAACCTCGTGAAATTGCGATGACGTCGGTCTGTTATGTAACGTAATTCACTACCGAGTCGCCCACCCTACCGAGCCGCCCGCTCCGCTCGGCCCCTACCATTATTTTTGAATATTACTCGACCACCAGGAATTGTATGAAATTGATAAATATATCAAACTAAGCCGGGCAGTGTGTTCTCTTATGCCCAAGAGTATTGCAATTCGAACAACGCGGCGGCGCTCTCTGAAATGTCGTTTTTCCTGTCCCACTAGGACCTGCCGTAGTAGTATCATTGGCACGAACATATTCCTCCTCCCACTGTGCGCGCGTACAACCCTCCGATCGACCAATATTTGTGCCAGGAATTGCTTGTTTCTTCTGCTGCTTAGCATGGGTAGCGTGCATTCGGTTGATATCAGCTAAATATAGCGTTTTTTCATGCATACTAGAGCGCGCGCTCTTTGCTAATTGTTCGATTTGCACCAAAGCTCTCTCAATATTGGTATCCAGCGCTAATTGGCGAGCTTGCTGTAGTAATTTGCCAATTGATCGTGTTTGCCGCTGAATTTCAGTAGGCTTTTGTGGTGTACAGGGGATAAAACCACTGCTGCCGCTCTCTCCTGCCCTACTCCCTGGGGGAGTAACATTGATATGGATATTCAATTTTTCTAATACCCTCTGCGCAGAGAGAGGTAGAAGACCGGCGCCAGCAAAAGCATTTCGAATAGTTGATTGTGTGTATGCCTTTGTGCGCGCATAGGGGTAATTGGACAAGAAATCAAGCTTGTCGATGTGGTGTATACCATCCACTATCATTGACTGAACCAATTGACCATATTCTTGCTTGATAATAGAGAAACAACCTACATCAAGTGGTTGAAGTAGGTGAGACGAATGTGGCGGCATACAGATAGAGATAATATTATTATCTCTACATATTTGGTCAAATTGAGCAGTCATATGGCTTCCATGTCCATCCAAAATTAGGAGACGCCACTTGCCCTTTGTATAACCATTAGTCAATGGTATAAAGTGGTTTGTTAACCACCGAAGGCCAATTTCATTAGTCGTCCATCCATTATCGCTAACCTCAATATGCCAGTCGCGAGGGAGGTCAATTTCGGAGGAAAACCAGGCCGAATTGTAGGTTTTCGCTTTGAATATGAGCACCGGCGGAAGCGCCCATCCACTCATACAAATTGTTTCAACTGCCGTTACCCACTCACGATTCCCCGGTTGGATTTTAGCCCTTCGTCCATAGTAACCAGCGCGAGTTACTACTTTAGAAGTGCTACAGAGGCCCATTGCGAAGCCAGTTTCGTCAAAATTGTAGATATCGTCTTGGTGGATACCGTATTTGCAAATAACCTCTTGAATAAGGTCAAACCATTGCTGAATTAGCTTTGGGTCCTCACAGAGAGCACGCTGATAGTCCCTACAGCGTGTGTATCGTGTATCAAGCTCTGGCGTGCGCTTAATAAATTTGGTGACCCAATTCTTGCCGACCGTGACCGGAGGACCTTTGCCGCGCTGAGATAGTAGCAAATTTGCCATCTCTCGCACCAATTCATGCCTAGGAGCAATTCCACGGTCGTCCATAGAAAGAACCCAATTCTCTAGCGATTTCTCCTCCAATTCAGTCAATTTATGGCTGTTTGCGCGCGTGGCAGTGCGTTCAGTTGTGCCACTGCGGCGACCGCGGAGGGTAGTACGAGGAACATCATATAGGTCTGCAGCGCGTCGGACAGTCAATTTTTCGTCGTTTTTGAGAGCCTCTATAGCAAGTAATAACCTGCCCTCTTGGTTCTCACGCGTATGGACGGTAATATTGCGAATTGGTGGCATGGTTGCCGGATGAAGTGGTAGGAAGGGATAGAAATACGCGTTCGCGGGCGGAGCGGGCGGCTCGGTAGGGTGGGCGACTCGGTAGTGAATCACGTTAAAAGGGATGACTTCACATCAAGTCTTGGCGTCTCGCTCAAGCCACCGCACAACATACAAGGCACTCCGCCGATCGACACCAGTTAAACTTGGCATTGGCGTCAGAGCTAGCTAGCCCTTGGTGCCCACTAGCCCAACGGCCGACAAGCTGGCAGGCGGGGATCCATTGAAAGAATGGAGACGATGATCGCACGCTGCTGGGCTAACTATCATCCTAGGTAGTGCCCTATGTAGTGCCACCAAGACTTGGAAGTGCCGGCATCTGTGTCGGACCCAATTCAGCCACCGAGCGAGATCGATCGATTCGTCGACATCGATGAGTAAGGTACCCGGTGCCCGGTTCCTGGATCGCCTCCTGAAACATCTTCCTGCGCTGAACAATTCGGGGGACGAGATTGCGTTGCACAGGGCAGATTTTTCGCTATCGCTCGTCGCATGCAAATCCCTTGTTGGAGAGGTTCTAGAAGCACAACGAGCAGGCTGATCGGCCCCAGGCCACCGATCGCCAGTGTGCCATATGTATCTAGCCTTGTACACGCGTCCTCGATCGCGTACCGTGACAAACCCCCGCGCCTTTCCGTCTGTTGATGCAAGCTGCCAACTTTCATTGTGACGTGGCTGTGTGCGGTCCCCTCCGTGAGACATTTGCTTTACAGCTAGGCTGTGAACTGCACTCAGTGTAACCCGACGTCCCGATCAAAATACGGAATACTTTCAGCCGACAACGGGGAATTGCAGAGCGTATCCGTCCCTGGTGGTTCTTTGGTTCGACCGGCGGACAAAAATAGCCGGCAATCCTGTTGGCCGAACCCTTCATGGCCATCTCCACTGTGCGCTGTGGACTGCTTCCTACAGGAAGAGGCCAATGAATAAGCCCCGGCTGCACGCGATTCGACCCAATCCCGTTACTTGTGGACCGGTCAGCTCCGCAGGGGCCGGTGGATTATGGATTATTACATCGCTCAGTTTCCTGACGACATCCACACCACATAACAGGCTATGTCTTCTATTCGTACAGCCCACTCTTCGCTGTCCACCGTGATGTATTATGCAGTAAGAGGCTGATTCTCCACCCCGAGGGTCGCAGGGAGGGCAGGGACTGCGAGCGTTCGCAGAGGGCCTATGAAGGGTTCACGGCCTTGTCCCAGCTCCGCGAGTGGCCTACTTTTCGATCAGCCGTGATGGCTCCGGGGGATCCTCGGAATTCAAGCCCACGGGGAACGGAAAGCTTCTGTGTTTACAGTTAGCTATTTTTGCGCAACCATCTGGAGTACATCTGTCTATTGCTGGTCGTGCCTGGCAACCAGCCAGGACGAAAACCTGGCAGTCAATGAGAAGCAGGATGTGCCGGCCAGCAACCGTGGACAACGATACGTGTCACCCGTCCCGTCCGAGGAATTGGTTCGGCTGAGGACTCGTCGTTGGGGCGGCGTATCCAAGGCGAGTTCCGTGGGAACCCCAGTTTCTTTGCCACTCGAATCGGGTTGCCTGCGCAGTGGTCTGCAGTGTACTGAACTACTGGAGGAATCAGATCCAGACCACGTTGAAGAACATTGCGTTCGGTATCCCTGATAGGTTTCGGTGATCCGCCGTGGACCTCAACGGCATCCATTGACGATTGCCGGTCACCCCATCGCGGTGGAGTAACTCACATGGATACTTCTCCACGTCTGGAGTATCGGACCTCACTTCAAGGATGACGTCTACCATGTCTACGGATGATCTCTCCGGCTGGTTCGGAGCCTGCACGATATCCTTGCTGGTCAGGATATGGTCCTGGGTCCACAGCACCACAGCACGGTGAATGCCATCACCCATGCTCAATGCTGAGAGGCCGAGGATCGTTTCTATTTTTTATTTTTTTCACTTTCGGAGACAGAGCCCGGATTTTCGGCCCTGCTGCCCTGCGAAGATGGATACGTAACGGGGTGGGCTCCCACTGCATGTTATAAGAATGTCCCGTCGCTTCCATACTTCTTCTGGTCATTGTTGTTCATACACCCTCACTCCCCGCGACAGCTCCGTTGAATAAAGAAGGAAACGGTCTTCTCTACTCGAGCATTGTACATTCGTTCCGTTGGGCTTTCCCCACCACACTCTTTTCACAATGAAGAGCTTCGTCGCCGTCGCGGCCTTTGCTGCCGGCACCAACGCCCTCGTTGGCCGCAGTGACAGCTGCTGCTTCCACCTGACCTCCTCCGGAGGTCTCTCTGGCGACCTGGGCCAGCTGGATGATGGCCAGGTCCGCATTGGTGACAACAGTCTGTCGCCTGCTTCGTTCTGCCTCGACTCCTCCAGCGGCGCCATCACCGATAGCGCTGGCCGTGGCTGCGTCATCACCTGTAAGTATATCTGACGATCCGGCCAATATGGCTTGCATGCTCACACTTAATGTCAATGCAGCCGAGACCACCCAGTTCCAGTGTGATGAGGGTGCTTCCCCTGTCACTGGCTTCTCGGTCTCTTCCTCCGGCAAACTCGAGTTTAACGGCAGCCAGGACTTCGTGGCCTGCCAGACCGGCCAGAACGACGGCCGTAATGTCTACACCACTGAAAGCGCTGACGTGACCCAGTGTGTCAACGTTCAGCTCACTGCCGACTCGTGCTCTGGTTCTGGTTCTGGCTCCGGTGCCTCTTCGTCTGGAATTGCTTCCTCCACCGGCGCTGCCTCGAGCATCCCCATGACCCCCAGCTCTAGCGTTCCCGTTGCTCCCAGTTCCAGCACTCCTGTTGTCCCCGGCTCCAGCGTCCCTGTTGCTCCTAGCTTCAGTGTCCCCGCCGTCCCCAGCTCCGAGGCTTCCTCCGGCCCCGGTGTTGAGAGCACTCCTGCTGCTACCTGGCACAGCTGGACCCCCAGCCCTTCAGCCCCGGCTGATACCTCGGCCCCTCTGCCCGGTCCTACCTCCACTGTGGTGAACACTGTCACCGTGACTGACTGCAGCTGCTCGGCCTCTAGCGGCTTCCCTGGGGGTGGCTCCTCTGTCCCCGGCGAGTCTCCCGCTCCCTCTGGCTGGACCTCCGTCGCCACTGTCGCTCCCAGCGTTCCGGCCTCCTCTGGCGGTGCTCAGCCCTCTGGCCCTGCTGGCGGCTCCTCTAGCGTTCCCACTGCTCCCACCTCCAGCCCTCCCGGTGGCTCGCAGCAGCCCTCTGGCTCTGCTAGCGTCCCTGCCAGCTCTGCCTCCAGCACTCCTTCGTCCACTGGCTCGTCCAGCGGCAGCTGCCCTACCGACCTCTCCGGCGACTACGAGTACCCTCACCTGATCATCCCCATCGACTCGTCCTCGCCCGACACTGCGGCCGGCACCTCCTTCAACGGTACCGTGACCTCGACTGTCTCGAGCGTCTTCAACTTCGACATCCCCTCGTCCGACTCCGGCAAGACCTGCAGCCTGGTCTTCCTCTTCCCCGAGCTGCAGGACCTCGAGACCTCTTCATATAGCTTCAGCGGTGACGGCAAGATCGATTTCGCCAAGCTGTCCGAGGCTGCCAGCAGCGAGACCACCTACAACAACGTCCCTTCCGTCGAGAAGGACCTGGGTGATATCACCGTCTCACCCGGCAACTCCTACGTTGTCTCCACCTTCTCTTGCCCCGCCGGCGAGACTGTCGCCTATGAGATGAAGAACGCCGGTAGCACCGAGCTGAACTTCTTCGAGGACTACAACCCCTCTCCGTAAGTTTTTTTTCTTTCTTCCAGCATCCTTTTGAATCATTGCTAACATTTCATTCTTCAGTCTGGGTCTGTACATCACCGTCTGCTAAAGCAGTCAACCTCCAGTTGTGGCTGGAATCTGATGTCTAAAATTTGGTAATGCCTTATGTCGAATATGTGTTTCATGTGGTCATGGCTTTCCCTTTACTAGTTCGCGTCCACTGCTTGTCCCGACACAGTCGACATTCTTCGATATTGTATTAGTATCTTTCCATTCCTTCAATGAACAATCACATGTACATGATTTCAATCAACTACTATCAGTAATCATCTACTCATCTCGTAACCGCCTACTCGATTTCTTTCACTAAATTAACCGCCGAGTGTGATGTATAATGATGCTGCCTGACAGTAGTGGATCGGTGGCAGACACAGAAAACGCCACTCAAATAAATGAGATTGACAGAGCCCGCCACGTTGGCAGTGCGAGCCGGCGCAGAAGAGATGCAGACAGATATGCATCCAAGACAGCGACCGGGAGGTGGTCGCGCACTCAATTGCCCCATTGAAATTGGCTGGGGATCGGTGGCCAAAATGAGGATCTGCGAGGGCTTGGCGTGGCCAGACGGGGCCTGCGCTCGCCGTGGGGTGCAGAGTGCGAAAGTGTAAACTCCGCCACGACGATGTAAATAGAGAGGTCCCTGGCGGTGCCGATTCGGGGGACTTGAAATAACCTTGGATCTCTGCTTCTAAGAATATACAGATCAACTGTATCGGTGGTTCAGCTGAACAAAAGACGATCGCATCTCAGGGACGAAGGCACCAGCGCCAAGCACCGCATTGCAGCGCCCAGCCATTCAGCCATTGACGGCACACGACCCTTTGCCGCTGCCTGATTTCCTCTTCTCCATATCTTGCGACGTCTGCTGTTGCTGGTTGTTGCGCGTTCTCGTGAATGCGTGAGTCGAGTGTCTTCCTGGAAAGATGGAGCTTCCGGCCAAACTGCCGTTCTCCAAGCGGCGGCTGCGACCGCGCGTGATCATCTCGTCCGTCCTCCACCCGCCATAGCTGCCAGTACTCACCACTAACGCCCTCCCTAGCTACATCTTCGACTATGTGATCCTCATGTACGCTTGCATCCCAGCCTCCTCAACTTAACCAAATACTAACGCCCGCAGCGCCCTCGTCATCGGCTTCTGGATCATCGACTCCATCGAACCCTACCACCAACACTTCTCTCTCCAAAACTACACCCTGCAATACCCCTACGCTGTCCACGAGCGCATCCCCATCGTCTACGCCCTGTGCATCTCCGGCGCCTTCCCCCTTGCCCTGATCATCATCTACACCCTCTTCGTCGATGGCCTGTTCTCGCACCACAAGCCGGCGGACCCCGTCTCCGGCAAGCGCAAGCTGCGCGGGCCCTGGCGTTGGAAGGATCGGCTGTGGGAGATGAACTGTGGGATTCTGGGCCTGTTGCTCGCGCAGGGCCTTGCGTTCGTGATTACCCAGGCTTTGAAGAATGCGTGCGGGAAGCCGAGGCCGGATATTATCGATCGGTGCCAGCCGCCGGCCGGTAGTCATGATCCGCCTCTGTATGGTTTGTCCGATTCGAGTATTTGTACGGGCGATCCTGCCTTGCTGAAGGATGGGTTTCGATCTTGGCCGTCTGGTATGTTATACATCCTGCATCAGTCGTAAAATGATAGCGCTAATTGTTCGCGGTATAGGTCACAGTAGTTGTGAGTGCCATGCAGAGTCCTGACTGAAGTAATACTAACCATTTGACTTACAGCCTCCTTCGCCGGCCTCTTCTACATTGCAATGTGGCTCGGTGGAAAGCTCCATGTGATGGACAACCGCGGAGAAGCTTGGAAGCCCCTCATCTGCATGGTGCCCATCCTCGCCGCGACGCTGGTCGCCGTGTCTCGCATCATGGATGCACGACACCACCCATTCGACGTTATCACCGGCTCACTGCTAGGAGTCGCCTGCGCCATCGTCTCCTACCGTCAGTACTTCCCGCCGCTCAGCGAGTCCTGGCGCAAGGGACGGGCATACCCCATTCGCACCTGGGGCACCGAGCCCGCCCACCCATTGGATCCGCTCGGCATGAAGCTGGCCGGGTCCAACGACAGCACGACAGCGCTTCGTAATCCCGAAACCGAACGCCTGAGCCCGGCTAACGAGCGTGCGCGATCGGTCTCTCCGTCCCGGCAGCAGGCGCCCAGTCCGGCTGCGTATAGCAACGCGGGCAATCCATTCGTCTCCCAGCCGTATCCGCGTCGCCGGCACGACCACGACCCCGACGGCAACTATTCTTCGAGCGAGGATGATGTCGCAGATGGGTATGAGATGCAGCATGGGTATGCGATGACGCAAAATCCGGCTGTGGAGCGCTACTATCCTCCGCAGTATGAAAGCGGGACTGCGTATCAGTCTCAAACAACGGGCGTGGCGACCACGGGGCCGCATCCCCCTCCCGGGGCCTTTGTCAGTGCTGGCGATCGTGGGCGACCGTTGACGGATGCCTCACTACGGGATGTGTAGTTCACCTTAAGAAATTCTCGAAGAATTCTCCGCGTGCAATTGAGTTTGGAGCATGTGCATGACAGCTGTATGACTATAGAGGCGTTAGGAATACATTGTCCGATTTCATGTGTTTTGTCACAATTTCAGCCTCCTCTAGGGTCATCAATCTTAGTTTTTTCTCCACTCTCTCTGCATATCCTGCCAGCCATCGTACCTTGCCTTAGGGCAGAGAGTGTACCTGACTGTGCCGGGCTCCACTCTCGTTGCCGCTGCAACCAACTATCCGAGCATCATCCGCACTGTACCAATGCGCACCCCCCCAACACGGAGTAGCAGCGCATGCAAGACATTAATTAAATTGAGGGGCTGGCCCTCGAATTTGCACTCTCTCAGCCTATCATTGCAGTCGTCTCGAGCTCGTAGAATCCTCTGGGCCCCAGTAGCCTGCTGTCGTTAGGCGGTTGCCCAGCCACCCGCGACGGTGACTGGCCCAGCCTCCTCCCCCGCCGTCAGCGCAAGATGACGGCACATCTTTTTCTTTGCGCGCGAGTCTTCTTCTTTCTTCCATCCCTCTCGTCCCTGGTATTTCGTGCAGCTGCACACGAACACCGCCGCGATCACGATACCCTCACCTTCTCCACGTGAGGCTGGTGTTGCCGCATCGACCGTACAGAGACAACATCCGCATACTTCTGCGCGTAGTACCGCGTACAGCGTTGAGTTCCACACCCGCTGAAAAATCCGGGTCTATTTGCAATACTCTATCTCGACATCTACGTCGCATTCCCCCCTCTGTCTTTTTCGCGCCGTCAAGTCCCTAGGACTCAGACACCGACAGGATGTTCGGCAGCGTCTTCTTCATCTTCAACCGCTTGGTAGAAATCGTCTTCCTGATTCCCATCATCGGCATCCTGGTAAGTCCACACCCATCCGCTCGACTCGACCACACCTCCACTAACACAAAGAAAAGGCCTATTTTGTCGATGGCTACCTCAAAGCAAACATGCTGACACCCGCCTACATCCTCGTCCTCTTCATCGTCAGCGTCCTAGCCATCTTCTGGTGCCTCGACACGCTGATCCGATTCAGCACAACTAAGCGCTCTGCCATCTTTGTCTGCTTCGTCGACCTCCTCTTCTTCGGCGCCTTCATCGCCGCTGTCTACCAGCTCCGCTTCATCGCAAACGCAGACTGCGGTCATTGGGAGGGTAACGCCTCGATCTGGGTTTCTCTCGGTCCCTTCGGGCAGTATGGTAGTCGCACCGATAATCCGCTCTCGTACCATCTCAATAAGACCTGCGCTATGCTGAAGACATCGTTCGCGCTCGGTATTATGGAGGTTATTTTCTTCTCATGGACTGCTTTCTGGGCGCTTTTCATTCATACGCGCTCGCGGGAGGTTGTTGTTAAGGAGACGCATGTTCGTCGGCGCAGCCACTCTAGTCGTCGGGGTCATTCTTCTGGTTCGCATCATCGTCACCGGAGCTCGTCGCGTCGGCCTGCTTATGTGGTTTAGGGCGTGGAGCGTTGATTCTCATTTACTATGCTGGTGTTGTGGTTTCTTGTGTCCGGCTCGATAGAGCGGATTTGATTTTTTTGCCTTTTTGCGCTTTCTGGTATCTTTATTTTCATCGATATGGGATTCATGATTTATGATGAATGGAATAATGACGAGTGGACGAAGTGGGCCGGGTGAATAAAAGATTTCTGAGGAATGTGGGGGACCGTCCAACGTAGTTGCTAGCTAGCTCGTTTTTCAATGACAATCACAACACCCTGGTTTTTTTGACAAAGCAATACCGATCTGTTTTTGACGGCAGTGTAGCTCTATTGTAGATATTACTTTGACTTTTAGATTAGTGTTCCCATGGAACGATCAGACCTTCGCAGGCGTCTAGAAGCTGGCCGTTGGCTAGACCAGAGTCAGATGTTGAGTAGTGGGTCGATGCTGCAGGGACTAATCCATCTGATCAAGATAAGATCAAGATTTGGCGCGTAAAATTTGAGTACGATACTCGAACGGACTTTGATGTTTTTGCAAAAGCTAATTGCGAGTGTGGTTTGTTTTCATATGGATTGTTCCAAGGTTCGGAAACATTGCCGGAGGTATATTTTCCACGAGTATTTGGAACAGCACTCAATCCAGTAATCAGGTACCGCGTCATCGCATCCTCTTAGCCTGCGATGACTGTAGGTTACTCGCTTACCCTAAGGCATTCTTCATGAATGCTCACACAGTATGTAATTTTCCAGTTGCATTTCGCAAGGACAGCCCAGTTAGGTCGGCCGATCGTTGCTGAATACTTACATAGTGTAGAAGTGATCGCTGCATCTCCGAGACGGGTCCTGTTGACGCAGCGGCGAAATCCAAATCCAGCCCGCATTAAACTCATCGCCATCAACTCTCCCCAAACAAGCACTCAAACCAAACTATGATCATCACAGCACACCCACGAGGACCACCCGAGCTATCCGAACTAGCAACCATCCTCCAAAAACAACTCTCATCGAACTTCGCAAGCGCAACCGTCGTCGTCGTCGAACAATGCCCCGATCTCCAACAACCACCCTTCAACCTCGCCGCCCCAGGACTCTCAGGATACCCCTGGATAGCTGACATAGGCGGGCAGTCCAACCTATTCCCGACTCCGAATTACAAGGCGCAATACTCGCTCCTGCAACTCGCGAGAAACTTGCAGAACTCTCCGTCCGGTGGCGCTGTTATCGGCGCTGGCGCGGCCCCGTTCCAGGATATCGGTCGGAATGCTGAGCTTGCGCCGAATTTGGCGTGGGAAGGGTACGGGGATGAGGATTTCGAGGGGGATTCTCTGAAGGTGAATAATCTGACAAGGGTTGTGCTGGCTGATCGTGGGGGTGTGCCTTCTTGTCAAAGGACGACTAGCACTAATTGTGCGCTTATGATGAACCTGTACGGCTCCAGTGGACGGCCGGGACCGGTGCTTAAGGTTACGGCTCGAGGTCGGACTGGGGATATGAATTTCACGAATTGTATCCGGTTCGGTCTACGTGATACCTACGGCGACTCGAGACCGATTAGTATGGGCGGCGTGTTTCTGCTCAAGAAAGGAAAGGCAAAATTCCACGTTATGCCCGACTTCCCGACCGCGGACGAACTCCCTTTTCGAGATCGAGAGCAGCTTGAGAAGGAGTGGTTGACGTATCATGTGTTTGATGCTCCGGTTGTGTGTTTGTCTGTCTTCCATAGTGCCGATCCAGAAGGATTGGGGTTGAGGATGGAGCATACTCATTGCTTTGAGACGAATGGCAACATCAAAGGGGGGCATTACCACTATGATATTCAGGATGGGGATGAGGAGGTTGAGTATGAGGCTTATTTGCACCCTGCTTCTACTCTTTACCGGATTGACAGGCCGAGATCATAATAATCATTTTTGGCCTCCTATCAAGGCAGATTTCGGCAATACTTAAGAGATCGAAGAAACGGCATTGCGAAATATACCTGACTTGATACAAGAAGTTCGTGAGAAGATATCACTGAGGAAGTCCACCATTTTCCAGTCAACCGCCTTGAGCCTAGACACGTCCCTGGATAAACAGCTTTTGCGGGGTGATCCAGCGGAAGAACGTCGGAAAGCTGGATGTATCAGATGTCAATCCCTCATGCTCATCCGAGGCCTTTTTCTCAACCTCATAGCACTTCCACGAGCGAAGCATCCACGCCCCAAAAGAACCCACCAGGAAAAGACATCCCACATAGACCTGCGTATGCAGATACTTCGATCCACCACTCACCAGACTCAACGCAATGGGCTCAGCAACCGTGGTGGGACCAACCAAAGCCAGACAAATAACCGTGAAAACAGACGCCATACGTCCCATACCGACCACCTCTGCCAGCACGGGGACAACTGTGCCCCAGAATGTACCGCAGACCATGCCAGCTGTTAAAGCGAAGAGCAGAAGTACGTCGTATGTCTGCGCTGGGATCCAGACGATGAAACACAGCAGCCCACAGATCGCCGTCAAGACCATCGGGACTGTGATGCGGCCGAGTGTATCGCTGAGATACCCCGTTACCGGCCTGCCGATTGTCAGTCCCAGATTCAGCATCGCGCCCGTCACGGATCCTTGTTGCGCCGTGAGACCAATTGACGAGGCGTAGTTGGGAAGCGAGTAGATGAGCGCGATATATCCGAGGTCAGTCGTGATTCCCCACAGAATCACAAGAAGAACTTCTGGCTTGGCTAGATCTTTATAATCGACGCTGCGTCGTGAACGATCATGATGGGGTGCTTCATGTGACTTGAGAAGCAGTGATGCTGGTAGGTTGGCTGCCAGGGCGCAGTAGGCCAGAATCCGGTAGGTGGCTCGCACACCTTGTACTTCGATCGCATGACCCGCAGCCAAGCTGTACACAATACCACCGATACCAGATCCAGCGCCCGCAATTCCAACTGCGAAGCTCCGTCGAGTGGAGAACCAGGTTGGGAGGACGTGCATGGCGGTTAGATAGAGGAAGCCCATTCCGATGCCGAAGCAGATCCCCTGAGAGAGGAACAAGTGCCATATCTGCTGTGAGTAGGAGGCAGCCATCAGAGAAGCAAAGACGAATATTGTCCCGATCAGCAACGTGACGGTCGTGCCGAGCTTCCGACGGCATTCGGATACGATCGGGCCCATCAGCATTGCTTGTGCGATGGAGAGGCCGCCGATTAGGGCGTATTCGATTCGGCTTGCACCTGGGAAAGTCGAGTGTGATAGGAAATAGGCTAGTATGACACCCCATGCTGCGTTTATGCCCCACGTGTGGACGATTATCAAGAAGCTGCACAGTGTGCAGACCCAGCCGTAGCCTCCGTTTGGGGGGATTTCGTCGAAGGCGGCTGCGTCGGGGGCTTGGGTGTAGTTTCGCTCTGGGTCTGGCGTTTCCGCCTCAAAGATTCGTCTGTCATGATTGTTGCGAGGCTGATAAAGCTCAATGCTAGCCATGTATGTTCGGTGTGCTTTTGTCTGGAATCCGATGGTCGATCACACTGAGTTGGAGAACTCTGTCGATCGAGGGGTCTCATATACTTTTGAAGTACTGCTGATAAAGCATGCTGCATGATCGGCCTAGATGGATGTCCGTCGGAGCTCGTATCCAATCAGGTCTTGATGAGTTGGGATGACTCAAGCAAGAGGGTTGTTTAAATGACCAACTATGACAGATCGGGGAAACAAATCCACATCTCCACATCAGGAACCAGTGGGGAAGCACGCGATGAAAGCCACCGAACGCCAACCGGGAATATTGAATGAATTGGAAGGTGTACAGAATTCGAAAAGCTGAAAAGGGGGACCGTCTCATATTTCACCTGCACGAGTACAATGAACCAAAGTGTTTGATTTTCTTTTGATAATGCGCTATGAAAGTCGCTTGTCATTTTTGGGATCAACATTCATTTCAAGATTGTCCAGTCACATCTTGAGGAGGAACCACCTTGGCCTGGTCAATGCTGGTAAAAGGTGCTGCGAATCCGTAAGTCTTGTAGCCTTGTGAGTAATCTTTACCCTCCTCTCGTTCTGTTAAGCACCGTGTTAGCATGTATTCTTCACTGATTAGACAAAGACGGCACTCACCATGCTCAGGAGGAAACATCTCCGTCCGATGTTTGTAGTACCTTTCCCTCAAGTCCAACCCATCGTTTTTCGAGTGGAAGGTGGCATAAAGTCCCAATCTCGAATGATCGGTCTTTTTTCCGCCAAGCGATGCGCAAGATGAGAACCGAAGATGATCATGTCACCAAGCTGCTATGGGATGGACAACCATTCGTGCTGAGCTTCCCACTCCGGGGTGGTTTGAACCACCTTGGACAAACTCTGCAACCATCTTGTAGGATCCGGGGACCACCAAGAAGCATCCACTCTCGATGGTGGCAGCGTCAATTGCGAGGTTCGCAGTGACATGCTCAATACGGCCGATATGGTCATATGCAGGGGCATCGAGGTGGGCTTTGAAACCGTTGCCGTGAGGCTGCCTGTAATTGATTTTGTATTTGAAAAGAAGCATATCTTATAGACAGAGTTAGCAAGGCGAATTAGACGCAATGTGCATGACTTCAAATCAACATCACCAGAGACAGCCTTCAGAATCTGACCGAGCTTCTTGCCACACACAAGGTCCTTGTATTGAGGATTAAAGTCGATAAATCGCTCCGTGCGCATCAGTTGGCGCTCGCCGTTCATATTGATCTCGTCATAAGGCATCCATTTACCTTTGACCCGGGGCCAGGCCTGGATCTCCCCGGTCCACTTTTTGAGATCGGCCGGGTCGACCAGCTGGTGCTCGGGGGCGCGGAGGAGCAGGTAGCCATTCTTGTGGTAGGAGACCACCTGTTCTGGAGCGAGAGGGCTCATTGTGAAGAAATCGACCAAATGCAGCAAATTGTGCGAGATTTGGGTTGACGGAAAGGAATATGGAAAGTGTGGGTGCTGTGCTTCTGATGTGGAACACTTGTGAAGTATGAGCGGCAAGCTTAAATATGTCAGCCCAAAGGGATCTCACTTCCGGCGCACCGCTTCTCTGCCGACACCAACTCCCTGATCCAGCTTCATGTTCCCCAAGATTTGCTCTGTTTCTTCGATCGCTCTACATATCGACTCCGCTCGTCCCACTGGCAGGTCTTCCCCGCCCCAGCTGGGCAACACGGGCCATCGGCCTTCGCACCGACAGTTGCACGCCATCCACGGTAGCGCCATGGCTCGCGGAGATCGACGACAAGGGACGAGGAATCATACGCTGGCGCTCTGCACGTGGGGTTACGACATCTATACTCGACGGACTTCTTGCCTGCGATATTTCTGCATCGTCTATTAGAACGGACCGGGTGGCACGAGGATACTATCCAATCTGCCGTTTTGCATTAGTGATCTATACACCTCACTGACCTCGCTTTTGCTCAATTTACTTGCCGAGGAGTATATAACTCAGGAATGAAAACTCAGCTCTACCGAAGACCACGATGCTTGACTGCATTCGTTTCCATTGTACAGCCTTTTTCGGCGGTATCTGGCTTGGCCCTTTGATCACACCTTTGGTCAGTTGATCCTCAATGCCTTCGGTGGGAGCCAAGCTGCGGTTTGTGATTACCACGGGGGTTGGATTTTCGCAGATGGCTATCTGAACTTGACTATTGGGCTCGGTATTAATGAACGACTGGTTTATAGTCTCACCAAAGCATGAACTAATTGATCTTGAGACTAGTTGTTCCCATCCTTGGTTATCTCTACTACCAAGATGGCAAAGTCCCCATTGTTGACAGCGACATGATCAAGGGTGGCCTGAACCTGGGCATGGTCATCGGCCAGGTACTCTTAGGAGTACTAAGTGATGTCCTGGGACGACACACAATTTATGGCAAGGAGCTTCTTCTGATCATATTCGGCACTCTGCTGGTCATTCTGCTGCCCTGGAAGTTCATGGCACCGCGGTCGATTACGGCCTGGATAGCTGTCTTCGTGTTTTGAGCGGAGTCGAAATTGGAGCAGGTGAGAATGTCCATAATTATCTCCAGGTTAAATAGGTGAGCTAACGATATCCAGACTACCCGCTTTCATCACTTTCTGTAGAGAAATCACCATTCGGCACTCACGCCACCCAAGTCTTGACAGTCTTCTCGAAAATCGGTCTCGGAAATATGGCAGCCAGTATTGTCTTTTTGATCCTGTTGAAATCCTTCGAAGGATCTATCGCGGCCAATCAAAATCATTTGGAATGGGTGTTGCGTTTCCTCCTGGGTATTGGCATCATGCCAGCCATTTCACACTCAATGCTCGGTTGACTATTGCGGAGACGCTACCCTACCAGCAATGTAAGTGTACCGAAATGAGGGCCAAGAGGAATGCTAATTCTGTTTCAGATGTCTGCGATGAGACTACCGGACAAAGGCGAGGTATCAAGAAGCAATGGAAAGATTTCCGAGATTACTTTGGCCAGTGGAAGCATGCCAAGGTTCTTTTCGCTACATCGATGGCATGGTTTTCCTTGTAAGTGCTTCAGCTCCTACTTCTTGGACCATTGGCTAATCAAGCCTTGGGCGTATTGGGTTCGCCAAAGGTGCGACTCCTTGGCCGACTCTGTACAACACAGCCATAGGCAACATTATCGTGCAAGCAGCTGTTAGTATCTTGATACCCTTGCCTAGCTACGCTCTGCGCGTTCTGACATATCTCTAGGGGTACCTTCCAGGCTTCTAAGTGGGAATCTTTGTCCCAGATCGAATCGGCCGCGTCCGGCAGCAATTCCTGGCCTGTGTCGGGGTATGCATCATGTACGCCTTTTGGGCAGGCATAAGCTCTCCCAATGCACACACCTCAACAGCAGGTTCCATGGTTGTCTTCACCGTCTCCCAGTTCCTCCTGACAGTCGATCCCAATGTCACCACATTCTTATCCCGGTAGAGGTATTCCCCACTCGTGTTCGGGGAACTGCACTCGAAATCTCGGCTGCTGCTGGGAAATGTGGTGCTATTTTGACTTCCTTTGCTTTTGGCACGGTCGAGGATGGTATCGGGCTAAATGGCGTTCTTGGACTATTCTCTGGTGTTATGTTGCTCACTGCACTGGTAACTTTGTGGATTCCGGAGAGCAATAACCATACGCTTGAGGGTATTGAGAGGGGGAATTTATACGGAAGCAAAGAAGTGTCTGACGGTACGAACATGGATTCTTCAATTACTGGCAGCATTACGGACATTCATGTTGATGCGACAGCTCATGGGTCTGCTGATAAGATAGTCTAGATAGAATCTTTCCCATACACATTTGATTCTGGAAGTTGCTATCACACCGACATCACGTATCTACAAACCGTTTGCGCTGAGGCTAATAGGCAGCATAAATCAATGCCAACTGATCCATCTCATCCCCATCCTGGCCCATAAAACCAACCACCGCGAATCCATCATCAGCCGTGAAAGTGCTGCAGTTGTTAGTAGAGGTACCAACCTCCAAGGTATTTTTGGCGCTGGTCGTGGCCTTTATATAGAAGTTGCGAGTGTGACTGTTGTACGTTCCAGTGCACAGTTTAGTCTCAGTCCAGTACTCGCCCGATCCAAGTGTGAGCGACACCTCCGTCCCACCAGTACCGCCATGGCTGAACGACGTGCCGTCACTCAGAGTCAAAGCAACCGCGTCGAGTCGGTTGGCACCACGGAATGTAATGTTAGAGACGACTGGAGATGAGGGAATGTTGGGCAAGTCGTTGAACCAGTCTCCGTGTGGACCACCGGATAACTGGCTTTGTCGAAGAGAGCCCGAACTGGACCAGGTGAAGTTCACCAGTACCGGGTTGTGGTCGGAAAGCACTGCGCCGAGGTAATTGCCCTCGGTATTCAAGAAGCTGTTACCGTCGTAGCGGAATCCTGTCGCTGAAACAGATAAAATATCGGAACCTCGGTACAAGGTTTTGTCGACTGTCTCGCAGGTCTCGGTTGTTGAGGGATTATCGCATACCGATGCATCTGCGCCAGCTGTGGGGTAAACACCGCTCTGTTCCAGCTCGACCCAAGTGTCGGTCAGACTGTTCTGTGACTTCAAGACGCGGATTCCAGTGTCTGCGCTCCGAGTGTAGCGGCTATTGGTGTCGCCCATGACGACGACGGCGTTTCCGGTGGACCAGGTCTCAATGTAATCGGCGACTTGCTGGAGATTGCTGTTTCGGGCAGTCTCGTCTCCATCTTCGGTTCTATAAAAGCGAAGTCAGCATATATTGATAAGAAAGACTTTGTTTGGCGAGACATCACATACCCAGCATCCGCATGGAGGTTGTAGAAGTCGATGTAAACACCATCGGCGGGATTCCAACGCATGAAAGTGAAGCCCTTCGGAGTGAGACAATCCGAACCAGAGTCATTAGAGCAATCGTCCCACTCCACACGAGTGAAATCCACCCATTCGTAGTTAGAGATGGTATTCAGACCGCTTCCAATTCCAGCTCCACCGGATGTCGCGGTTCGGTAGGTATGGTCGTCGGTTTTGTAGATATAGGCATGGTAATTGAAATCCTGTCGAGCAAAGATAATTAAAATTGGTTCTCAAATTTGCGAATTTGATGAAATCTTACCTCCTGCATCTGGATAATGTCGTAGCCATATTCCGAAAAATATGTGCCGAGTTTCTCTGCATTCTCAGTCTTGTCGCCTTCAACATCGTTAGACTGCAGGATTGAAGGCAGGCCAGCGACGTTGAAGCTCAAGGCAGTGAAATCTCCAGTTGTCGTCACCGCACGAACACAAGTCAGAAAAAGAATGCTCGAGAGAGTAAAAGACTTCATTTCCATGCAATTTGCCATTATTTGTCTCAACGCAAGCCAAGATGTGGAACATCACATTGTTTTTATGTCGGAATTCGTAGGTATGCAGGTACGTCGACAAAAGGAGTAGGGAAATGTTCATTCGACAAGGGAGTGGCTTCGGTCGACTCTGCAACTTTCGGCGCTACTGCAAGCCATGTAGAGTACAAGAACGGCAAAAAGTCCGGAACGTCGGCAACTCATGAAGCGGCAATGGATGATGGGGAAGGACTGACATCCAGTTGCCAGCTCGTTTATTCCGACTATTTGGCGATATATGAATAGTGCAAACATGAGCTAAGTGGCTCTCTGGACCTTTTGGGATGTTCTATACTAGCTTGCCCACGTGCGTTGATACACGCGTATTCGTGGGTTCTTTGCTGGATTAAAAGTCTTGGCTGGAAACACTTCTGACAGCCCCGCATTCATTTTACGACATCAATTTCATCAAAGGAAAGTAGACGGACGCAGCATCATATTATTCCACCTATTATCTCAAGTTATTCAGAACGCGTGTCTCCTATCCCAAGGCCATATATTATCTCCCAAAACAATGCACCGAAATCAGACCTCTGGTGAAGTACACTACAGAACGAGGGGTACTTTTGGATAACTAGCCTGTAAAGATATCATATACAATGCGTGTTCACGTGATAGCTACTTCATAAGGATATGTGCACTGAAGTGATTGACGGTAATGATGAAAGAGTCCCGAAAGTTCCGTGTGTGAGTCCCATCGCAGTGTATCCATAGCGAAAAGAACGAAAGAAGAAAAATGCGCCGCCGATTCATAAGAATATTTTCAACCAAAGTCCCAACTCTACAAGCCAACCTGAAACCTAGGAGACGATGCCTTTTTAGTTGTCAACATATGTCGGCGTAACCACATCACCGACCATGACCGTCCGGCGCTCGGTTGCCTCCAGGTCCAGCCCTTCAAATTCATCGGGAGAAAGTGCTGCATATCGACCAAATGTGACCTTTCCACCGATATTGCGCGTCTTTGCGAGAGTGGAAAATGGCTCGGAGCGCCGTAGACCGGTGAACTGGTCAATACAAACCATTTGGCAACGCTGACATCCATCGAGCACATCGATGCGAAGCTGATCAGGTCCAATCCGGAGACCACCCCAGTGATCCTCAGCATATGGCTGCTCTGCATCGCCGAGACGAGCCAGTCGCTCAGCGACGACAATGTTGCCGCGGAAGACATCTGCCGCGACCGCCTTACCAGCCCCTATACCTTGTTTCGAGTTTGCTTTTATTGTTTCGTTAAGTCGGTTTACTGACGAGCGAGAGACGACCAAAATAGGCATCTCGTTAGACAAGGTAAGTCGTTTGCCCTGTTCGCGGGCTGGTGGTGGCAGATCGGGTGGGAAGGATCCTGGCATAATAAACTTGCGGAATTTGTTCTTCCATGTCCCGGACAGGCGAGGTGGTCGGGAGAATCGAGTGGCGGATTGAGAGGGGAATCGAGCAAGAGTGCAAGGAACCCCAAGGAAGTCTGAGAAAAAAGCAGATACCACGGGCGACGCATAGGCATGCAGCGAGATTTGGTCTCCACAAACCATAGTGGCCTTTTTATTCGAAGAGTTTTGACACAACGAAGTGGAAATAAGACTGGTGTCTTCCCAGCCAAGTGAGATCTCAAGACTCACTTGGTCACTCAGGTACCCGCAAGTGATGCGCAGTATGCCGCGATCGAGGTCCACAGAGGGCCGGATGAGGGACATGCGAGGATACCTTTTCTGGCTGAGCGCGGCTCCTGTGCCTTGGTGGATGAGGCACCATTCCCGGTCCCATGCCAAACCTTCTCGTTTGACCTCCCATCGTTTCCCTTCGGGGATCTTGAACGCACCGCAGCTTTTGATTGGGAACACCGAGAGACTTTCGATATAGAAGTGGCGGTCAACAGGGTCACCATCTTCGACGAGTGGGTTCAGTGCGACGATGGGAGGAACCTTCTCTACGTAAAATTCCTCGATGAAGTCAACGAAGGAGTCGATGTCTTTCATGTTTGTCATGGCACCCAGACTAGCTCGAAGGATACCAGTTGGACGGCCTCCCAAAACGTCATGATCATCGCCGCATCGTAGACCCGTAGAGTAGTGCCGGCGTAATTCGGCGCCTGTCCATCCAAGCGAGCATGCAGTGCCTCCGGGATTGCAGACAGACCCTGTTCTGATCTGAATATTCTGGACAGTAGCCAACTTTTCCACTTCCGTCTTTGGAACCCATTCGCCTTTGCTGGTTCGTATATTGAAAGCGATGATCGGTCCTTGAGTGACCGGACATCCATACGTCGAGTTGCCTTTGTAAATCTGACAAACACTGGTTTCATTCCAATGTTTCAAAACAGACAGCCTGTCGTGAAGCTGTTTGGCGAGGAACGCGGTATGGGAAGAAATATTCGCCATGGAGCCAAAGAGACGCTCATGTGTGCTAATGGCGGAATCGAGGGCAATAATGCTATGGAAAGGCAGAGTCCCATCCTCGAGGCGCTCGTGGATTGAGGACTCCTTCTTCGCGTGCCACTGCGCACCCGCCGCCAGCACCATGTCGACCGTACCACCGCCAAAATATCGCCGTCTCTCGAAGACACGGCCAGCACTCTTGCGCACAATCAAGGCACCCAGATTCGGAAAACCGAAAATCTTATAGAAGCTGAGAGCAGTGAAATCGGGGGCCGACGAACTGAGATCAAGAGGCGATGTCGACACGAGCGAGGCCGCATCGAGCAAAGTAAACACGTTCCCGCCATTTGCCGCAGAACGAATCTGTTCACACCAGCGAAGAGGCAGACGTCGGCCATTCAAGTTCGATTGTGCGGGGAAGGCAAAGAGCCTTGGGGCCTTTGTTTGGTTCGAGGCCAGCTCGGGGATCCAGTTGTCGACCTCCACATCGCTCTGGAAGCACTGGAAATTCAACTCGGCCAACTCTCGTACGCCGACGACACTGGTATGGGAGTCGATATGATATCCATACCAGAAGCCTCGGTGGTCAGAATCGCGGAGGCAGTCGGCTACCAGTTTGATGGCAGCCGTTGCATTCGCCACGAAAACCAAGTCAAATTCGTCCGGGTCAGCATTGAAGAAGCGCAAAACCCGAAGTCTGACATCGTCCGTTCGTGTTGTCGAGAGCTGCGATGACAGAGACATTGAATGGGGGTTTCCGAAAAGGTTGGATGTCATGTCCTTGGAAAAGGTCTCGATCATGGACTTTGCATATGGTGTCGTTCCTGCGTGGTCCAGATAAGTTGTGTCTGAGCATGAAAAAAAACTACAGTTAGCATCAATCCTTATGGCTGAACCCTTAGGGCTCTTGCTTACCATTCAACAAGGGATAATCCTGCTCGCGGATCTTGTCCACATCAGTGGAGTAGCCCCGGTTATACGCAGCCGGGGGGCGTTCAGTCGCAGCAGTATTCATCCTGGCAGATCCTAGGCAGTCTGAAAATTGCGTCTGCAGGAGGTTCCGTTGAGTTTTTGTCGGACTGCAGGAGAGAGATCTACAGCCACGCGATTGAGTATGGACGCTGTGCCCGCTTTATAACCAGAGAGCGTCGGATCCTGACAAAGCCGTCAGTTTGGTTTCATTTCAGCATGGCTGCTCAGTTGTCCACGATCCAGAAAAAGTTTTGTATGCCTCATGGGATTCAGAAACAAGACATGAAACGGTCGACCAGGGAGGGCCTGAGTAGTTGATAACGCGCAGAACTATATCGGAGCTTACCGAAGAGGGAACGCTGTGGAGCATTCAGTCATCAGAGGAAACGAACACTCCCCCGTCACTTTTCTGTGCGTTGACAAAACGAGAGACATTCATCGGCGAGGGAAAGACGGTGCTCTTATAGCAATGCGAGATGGGCTGCTAGAAACCGGGGGAAAGTCCAACAGCTCGAGGGGAGTGGCGGGGCCACGTGACGCTACGACTCGGGCGGACATCTCCTTCCTGCCCGTTCGAGGCGGACGAGTGCGGGTCCCCTCTTCCCTCCTTCTCACTCACCCACTATTACTATTTCTACAACTGCATACTGCACTCTCTAGGCACACCCATCGTCATCGGGTGGACCCTGGAACAATAGCCCATTCCTGCCCACGATAGACGCGTCGGTCCGGGCCCATCACAGCTGCAGATCCCCCACCATCATCCACCGAGGCGCAGGAACTACGGCAGGCCAATTCAATATCACCATGTATCACAATCACAACTGTCCATCCAGTATCGCCGATGTGAGCCTCAGTGGATCAGGAAGGGAAGCCTCCCGCAACAAATGCACGAAGCGAGAATGCCTCGACCGTCTGGCCCGAGTGCCTAGTGCCTGCTAGGGCTAGCTGTGCGTCAGCTTACACCACGCTACTGTCAGACGCGAGGCATCTCCCGTGGCGTACACGTTTAAACAACGGCCAACTGTAGAAGTTGGACTCGCCTAAAAATACCCTAAACCTCGGAGATCTCGTAACCCAAGCGGTGAGAAACCTCGCCCACTCGTCTATTCGGCAAAGTAGATCGAAAGCAACAAGCACTTTCCCCGCTGAGAAAAAGGGCCCGGGGCTAAAAATGGTTACATCGGGGAAGATATCGCACTCCGCTAAAATCAATAGATCGGTGATGGCATGCATCAGTAATAAGTGAAAATCAATGAAATGACGTCCCCACTGAGGTAATGGCACATGGCGCGGTTGGCAGGTCAGGCCTGTCAGAAGCGAAAAGAAAAAGCCATATCAAAAGCAACCATGCACCTATCGTGGATCGTCATTGGGACAAGACCCTTTTTCTGCACGACCCGGTAGACACTTTCCTAACTACAGCGGGCCCTAGGCACCTAATGTACCTAAGTGTCAACTATTGAATGCCGATATTACAACAAGTTCCATGGATAGTACTATCTATCACATCACTCTACAGAGCTTGGTATTTTAATTCCATGAGAGACTCGTTTCGCCCCCCTCATTCAGCCGCACGGGTTCGATAGTGCTCTTTGGAGGATCAAATTCCGGTGAAATTTTCCGCGGTCTGTCTTATGCACACTCAGATAAGCCTCGAGCAAAGCCACCCGGGCGTGTATTGGGCGTCCTGCCCATGATTTATATAGTACAGATGATATAATGAAGACAAAAAGAAAGAGAACTCCATCCCAAACCCCTGCAAATGGTTCGTACAGATGCGTCTGCCGAGGATTGCCAAAATAAAAGCGACAGCGCGTTGACGTCGATAAGCGAGAAAGAATGAACGAGCACGCTGCGTCAGCTTGTTTACCGCTTGGGCCACTGTCGCCAGCCACGACCATGACCTCTCTGTAGATCGAATTAGCTTCTATCCACGCAGGGACGACAGTCCGTCGATCGGCTTTCAGCTGGTCAAAACTTACCTGCTTCCACAAACGGATCATCTCGGGCATCTCGACCATCGCCTTACGACGATCCTCAAGACGTGCCTCCATGGTACGTTCCCACTTGTGACCCTTAACCTTCTGGCCAATACCAGTACCCTTGATGCGCAGACCCCGCTCGGCTAGACGGGCCTCCTTGAACGCAGTAGACTTGCGACCCGGTGGCAGGAGGGGTTCGACGTTGTACTTGATGGCAAGCTTCACAAGGTCGGCCTGCTGGCGCAATCCATACCGGGGACTAACCCACTTTCCGGTCGTGAAGATCTTCCGCGGCAGGAAAGGATTTTGGTTGTTGGGATCGTTATGCAGCAAGGCTTGCGAAAGAGAGAAAGCTTCAGGGTCTGGCTTGCGGGCTCCCTTGGCGTCGCGGTCGGGTGTGTATGGGGATGGCAAGTTCTGTTCTGCGGATGCCTCGCCATCGGGGACAGACGGGGTCGGGGCGACCAAGGCGGAGTAAATCTGGGGCGGGTAGCGAGCGAAGAAGTTGCGCAGGCGCAGGGGTAATTTGCCCACTGTTTCGGGGATGGACGCCATGGCGAGCCTGTGAAACTGGGATGCTGTTGGCAAGTGCTGCCCGGGCTGTTGACGACAAAAGTTGCGGGCTACCAATCGCGCTAACCGGATATGGTGCCTGATGCCCTGCCGCCTCAGGCAGAAACGGCTCGAACGCCGCTTCCACAACACATGTCCGACCGCCTCCGGATCAGGATTCATTTCTGCCAGTCTCGTCTTTCCCTGGACGGCTTTTTGTCGGCGGCGTGTCTTCAGCACTCTTCTCTCCCACACCTTTCTACCCACACACCTTCCTCGACCATCCTCTCCTCCACAACCGACAATCCAATTTCCATACTGTGCACACCTCAATCACTCCCTGTCCCACCATGTCGGACCTCTTATTCAGCGAGATCAACTCGGAGGATCGCGTGGAGCTCAGAAAGCTTGAAGCAGACCTGGTACGTCCGACTTGTGATCCATATGCGCGCACAACCCCGTGTATATCACGAGATCTTTCGCTCTTCAATATCACCACCTCATTCAAATTACTAACACTCTTTGTCTAGCGCGATGATTCCGACAACTTCGAGACCTGGGAGAAACTTGTCCGCCGGTCTGAGTCGTTCGAAGGCGGCGTCAATCGCAACTCTCCCCCCGAGGTCATCATGAACGTCCGAAACAACTACGATCGCTTCCTCGCAAAATTCCCCCTGCTGTTTGGATACTGGAAGAAATACGCCGACCTGGAGTTCACTATCGGCGGCACCGAAGCCGCAGAAATGGTAACTACTTGATGTCCTACTTGCTCCATCCACTGGAATCACTCTAACAGCAATTTTCTTAGGTCTATGAGCGTGGGATCGCCAGCATCCCCACATCTGTTGATCTCTGGGCCAGTTACTGCTCCTTCAAAGCTGAAACCTCCCACAACTACGAAGTCATTCGAGAGTAAGTGTATACCTGCTTTTTTCACGGAAAACCCTCCGGTGAACCTTTACCGATCACCCTCCTCAGAGCACCCAATACCTATTCTCTCTCATTCTTGGGATTCTCGGATGGGTCGGGGAGGGGGAAGCAAAATGAGCATCTGTCGCCGCGCCGAAGTTCCAGTGAACTTTACATATAATCCGCTCATTCGCGCGTCCTTCCCCTTCCGCGAAGCAAAAATCGTTCCTTCCACCGGTCCAAATGCGACACGGAACCGTTTCATTGAATGCGAAAGGCTTCTTCCCCTTGAAACTGCGCAAGAGACACCGGTTTCCTCACCTCCCTTCCCCTTCTCCCCTCCCCAAAACCGCCTGCTCACCCCATCAATTTACTTGTCGCAGCCACTAATTGTTGTTTGACTCCGGCCATCCTATCCCCGCTCTGAGCACATAGCCAATGGTTTGCTGACTTTCCTCATCACAGGCTTTTCGAACGTGGTGCCGACAGTGTTGGTCTTGACTTCCTCTCGCACCCGTTCTGGGACAAGTACATCGAGTTTGAAGAACGCGTGGAGGCTCCAGAGAAGATTACCCCCTTACTGGCTCGGATTGTCCGTATCCCTACCCATCAATACGCCCGATACTTCGATAGATATCGTGCGCTTATTCCAATTCGCCCCGTTGCTGAACTTGCGTCTGCCGAGATCATCTCTCAGTTCCGGGCCGAATTCGAGGCTGCTTCCTCTGATGCGGCGACTGGGGTTGAGATGGAGGCTGCACTGCGAAGCCGTCTTGAAGCATACTGGGCCGAGATCTACACCACTACGCAAACCGAGACGAACAAGCGCTGGCCGTATGAATCCGAGATCACTCGTCCCTACTTCCATGTCACCGAGTTGGACGAAGGCCAACTCTCGAACTGGTCAAAGTATCTTGACTTTGAGGAAACTGAGGGTTCCTACTCTCGCATCCAGTTCCTCTATGAACGTTGTCTTGTCACGTGTGCCCACTACGATCAGTTCTGGCTCCGATATGCTCGCTGGATGGCTGCTCAACCCGACAAAGATGAAGAAGTGCGCATGATCTACCAGCGAGCCAGTTGCTTCTACGTGCCAATTGCAAACCCCACGATCCGTCTCCAGTACGCCTACTTTGAGGAGATGTCGAACCGTATCGACGCCGCCAAGGAAATTCATTACGCAATTCTCATGAACCTTCCCGGCCACGCTGAAACTATCATTTCGCTTGCCGGTCTCTCATTCCGAGAGGGGGGTCTGGATGATGCCATTGAGATCTACAAGACCCAGCTGGAATCCCCCGAGGTAGAAATGTCTACCAAGGCTACCCTGGTGGTCGAATGGGCCTATCTGCTTTGGAAAGTCCAGGGTGTTCCGGATGACGCTCGCAAGGTTTTCCAAACCAACCAGAAGTACTACCTCGATAGCCGCGCCTTCTGGGAATCCTATCTCAAGTTCGAGGTTGAACAATTCACTGGTTTAACTCATGTGGATAATCAATACGAACGCCTCAAACAGGTGGTTGCTGACCTCCGTTCCGAGAGCACCTTGCCCGATGACGTTGTCAAGGAACTCATGCAGATTTACATGACCTATCTCTTGAAGCAGGGTACCAGGAACGCCGTCCGCAAGTACATGATTCTTGACCGTGAGATTTACGGCCCAGACTCCATTTCCACTGTCCGAACCAAGAGCCTCGCCGATGCTATTCAAGCTGCTGAGGCTGCTCAGGCTGCTCGAGCTGCACAGGTAAGCCCCGCACAACCGCTCTGGCGAGATTTGCGCATCGCTAACTGGCGTGATAGCTATCCTGATGGATAATATTAATCAGGGTCACTCAACCAACCTCCCCTTTCGGAGTCGTTGAATCATTATCGTGATCGGTGAATTCGTGAGTGCTTCCGCGTGGTCGAAATTGACGCTGCTTTCACAAACAAAACCAATGGCTATTGCCTCGAATCAAGCCCCTTTCATGCCACCTTACGAGTATTTTTTTTTTTTTTTTTTCGTGTTTTGGCGGCTCTCTGTTCTTTGAGCCGTCTTTTTTCTTGGCCCCTTCCTCAGGGGGTTCGTTTAATATGCGATCTATCAGGGTGGGTGCGTTTCTTCACATGTAGCATCAACGTTCTGTGCCTTTCTACTTGGCACCATACTCCCAATTCCCCCTTTTGCAGTTCTGTTTAGCGAGATTCATCCCCTCCCCTTCACTCTCCTAACTGTGCCAACTGGTACTCTTTCGATCTGCTTTCCGTGATTGGATCCAGGTCCACAGCTGGAGCCTTCTCATCGCGGACCTTTGTACTAGTATTGCACCCCCGTCAAATCCAAATGCAACGACCCCATGCCAGGTGACTTTCTTTCCGTAAAAGTAAATTCGTCGACAGTGACATGTATTCTCCTATGCAAAATGGTGTTCAATATCTTTTTGATTTCGCCGAGGAGGTATAAATGTCACATGACCGCGCGTTTGGTCGAGTCCGCCCGCCCTAGAAATTAAAGATGCCTTGCGGCACCCGACAGTTTGTCAGTTCATCTTCATCCTGCTCTTCAAACCGTGTCGCGATGGACGGTATCGTGAATCATGGCTCGGGCCGTCCCCCTCCTGGGCCTCCGCCTGGTTCTGACGAGCACCAACCGACACCACCTCCCCCTCCCCCGGAGGACTCAGTCGCACCGCCGCCGCCACCTGATGCGACCGTTCCTCCACCTCCTCCAGACGACATCCCTCCCCCTCCTCCATCCGACGATATCCCGCCACCACCTCCAATTGAAACAAAGAAGAAGAAGCAAGGGTGGGGTACGAAGAAACCAGCTGCTCCACCCGTGAGTGTGGAAGAACTCATTCGGAAGAAGAAAGAGGCAGATGCGGAAGCCGCCAAGGTATGTTCCATTTTTTCTTCGCCAGCACTCACTTTCAGATTCGTGGCTGTTCTTTTCCTAACATCCTCGCTTTTTCTTTTCTTGCGCAGCCAAAATTCATTCCCAAAGCCGAGCGAGAGAGGCGTGCGCTGGAGGAACGACGCAAGGAAGTCGATGCCCAGCGAGAACGCTTGTCAAAAGTCCGTCGCTTCGAAGATGAGACCGAGGCCCCTACCGGCCCCCGTGCGATGCGTCAAGACGCCCTAGATGAGAAATTTTCGCGATCTTACGACAAAGAAGCTTCAAAAGCGAAGAACGCCCAGGCCGATAAGCAACTCGCGGAGGAAGACGAGGCCGCGGCACAGGCCGCTCTCATCAGACAACGATATGTGGGAGTCGAGCAGACCTCAACTTTCTCAGCAAAGAAGAAGCGCAAGCGAACTACGGATCGCAAGTTCAATTTCGAATGGAATGTCGAGGATGATACCAGTACCCCCAACAACCCTTTGTACCAGAATCGGGCTGATTCGATCCATTTCGGTCGTGGACGGCACGCAGGTCTTGGGGACGAAGCCGTGGAAGCCAACGTCCGCAAAATGGCGGCCACGATCGAGCGTCTGGATCCCGAGAATGGCAAACAGCGCGCTCAGGCAATTCTGGCGCAGGAACAAGCCCGTCGTGAACGAAACAGACGGACTCAAATCGACGTACACTACAGCCAAAAGAAACTTAGTGACATGCGTGAGCGCGACTGGCGTATCTTCAAGGAAGATCATGAAATCGCAACCAAGGGCGGCGGTGTACCTAACCCGATGCGTTCTTGGGAAGAGAGTCAGTTACCACGGGAAGTGCTGGAACTCGTTCATGATGTCGGCTATACAAAGCCCACTCCCATTCAGTGCGCCTCCATTCCCATTGCCATGCAGTCGCGCGATCTTATCGGTGTTGCCAAGACAGGTTCGGGTAAGACCGCTGCATTCCTGCTCCCGCTTCTGGTGTACATTTCAGAGTTGCCACGATTGGACGAGAATGACTGGCGCAAGGACGACGGACCATATGCTCTCATCCTGGCCCCGACCCGTGAATTGGCTCAGCAGATCGAAATTGAGGCTAAGAAATTCACTCAGCCGCTCGGATACAACGTTGTTAGCCTGGTTGGTGGTCACCTCATTGAGGAACAAGCCTACAATCTCCGCAATGGCGCGGAAATTATCATTGCTACCCCAGGCCGTTTGGTTGATTTTATCGAGCGACGCATGCTTGTCCTGAACCAGTGCTGCTACGTTATCATGGATGAAGCCGACCGTATGATCGACATGGGTTTCGAAGAACCTGTCAACAAAATCCTCGATGCCCTTCCCGTCACTAACGAAAAGCCTGATACCGAAGAGGCTGAAGATCCTAATGCCATGAAGCAGCAATACGGCGGTGAAAAGTACCGTCAGACAATGATGTACACTGCCACAATGCCTTCAGCCGTTGAGCGCATCGCTCGTAAGTATCTTCGTCGACCTGCAATCATCACCATTGGTGGTGTCGGTGAAGCTGTCGACACCGTCGAACAGCGCATCGAGTTCATTTCTGGTGAAGAAAAGCGTAAGAAGCGCCTGGCGCAAATTCTTACTTCGGGCGAATTCCAAGCCCCCATCATTGTCTTCGTCAACATCAAGCGAAACTGTGATGCTATCGCCCGCGAAATCAAGCAGATAGGCTTCACTTGTGTTACCCTGCACGGCTCCAAGACCCAAGACCAGCGTGAGGCCGCCCTTGCCTCGCTCCGCAGCGGCCAAACCGAGGTCCTGGTTGCGACTGATCTCGCTGGTAGAGGTATCGATGTGCCCGATGTCTCGCTTGTCCTCAACTTCAACATGGCCACCTCGATCGAGAGCTATACTCACCGTATCGGTCGTACTGGTCGTGCCGGCAAGAGTGGTGTCTCCATTACCTTCCTCGCTAGCGAGGATAACGATGTTCTGTAAGTTTTTTCCCCTTGACAATCGCCCTTTTTGCGACGATACTAATTCAATCTTCAGTTACGATCTCAAACAGATGCTCGTCAAGTCGCCTGTTTCTCGAGTTCCGGAAGAATTGCGCAAGCACGAGGCCGCGCAATCCAAGCCAAACCGTGGCCAGAATAAGAAAATTGAGGATAGCTCTGGATTCGGAGGCAAGGGCGGCTGGGCGTGATCTCTTCAGGCGCGATTTTTTCAAATGTACCATTAGTCTTCAAAGATACCAATACTCTTCGCAATCAAAGGACTTGGTTTTCATTTTTAATGTGAAGCCAAGGTTTGCCATTCGCACTCTGATCCCTCGTAGGCGTTGTCCACGGAGATAAATATCACATCTCAATCAAATAGGCTAGAGGCATACGACTTGACTTCCAAAAACTAAGAACCATTTCACACTCATCTGGAAGGTTATAATTCAAGCCGTGTGAACATGATCGACGTTATGTAGTTATGGTCACACTTAGTATGATAAAACCCCTTGAATTGCACTCTGGCATTGTGTTACTACACCCTAACGCTAGGTGACGGTAAGTTACCCCCGAAAACGGCTACATTCGACACCATTCTAAGCGTTCATTTTACCAAGATCTTGGTCATTTAAACATCACGTGATCGAATTGCTGTCTCATTTGCTCCCTGAGCACTCCCTGAGCATTCATGGCTATTCGGGGATCAGCTCCGCCATATTCAGATTGCTCCTGTTAGACGGTCAGGTACGTCATCAGTGTCTCTCTTCTCTAGCATCCGCTTGTAGCCACTTGTACAAAAATAATCGATGGCTTTGTCAGATGTTGGTTTTCGACTTCAATACATAAATAGTCCCTGCTCCCGCTTGCTCGTAATTTCTCTTCAGCGCCATTCTCTCAGAACTCTTTCTTTTAATCATATCCTATTGGTTTGGCTGGGTCGCTCCCTGTTGTTCTTCTTGTTCTGTTCTCCTTCTTTTTGCACTGCCAGTCATCCTATTCTCTGCCATCTCCTTATCATATTTAACTCTTTTCAATCCCTATCTTTTGGCTTCTTTGGTTTACTTCTTACAACCGCCTCCTCGTTGTGTCGAGCATGAAGTCTCCTGCAACCAAAGCGCCAAAAAGCCTAGTCTGTCAAAGGAAAAGTCACTGAAGATCATTACTGCTTAGATGCCTGGCAGAAACGTGTGCATAATCGAGTCAGAACGAGCGGTCAACCTATGGGTATCCCTCATCTAGAGACCGATACGTTTGGGTTCTTCAAGCGTTAATCTTGTGTTTACGAGAATACGCGTATCCTACCGTAAGCCCCTCTTACCTACCAACTAGTCACCTGGCGCCAACCAACCTGGCTATTCTCTTTACAGTGACCCGTTCACCGTGGTTACGTTAGTAGTGTCGAAGCATATGAATGAGGAACGCACTTTGCCTCGGAATATATAGGTGACAATTTGGAAATTTGGGTATCAAGAGTAAGATCGCTAATTTAACAAGTAAAGAATGGAACTCCTTATCATGAAGCCCGAAGAGGTCTTGTATCTCCTACCTCTACTCGACTTGGTCGTCGTTTTGCGGACCCGGGTCGCTGCTTAGCCGGTCGGCATCTCAGTAGAACGGTGGTCGACGATCAAAGCATGCCCGAGCTATTCACTCCAGAGGACATTGTCTCCCCTGAGGTCTTCATGTATTATCCCGAGAGCTTTGATTTTCTTGTTGGATTTGTGAATCTCGCGGCGAAGCCGTTAAGTCAGCTCCATCGTCGCTGTACTTTCACCTCCCCAAGCCATTACGAGCATATGGCGGATTTGTCCAGCGCCATGAATAAAGTAGATTTTTGCTAAGTCAATCGTTCCCAGGAATACAGGCACAGCAGATCCCTGAGTCTTGCGCAGGATCTGATATACCTGCGTTTCGCGAGAAACTTCTTTCCACAACGCCGAAGTGGTGTCTACCCCGATAACTGTATAACCAATTTCGTGCAAGTCATTTTGAACGGGGCACGGTAGGATCCCCAACCGCCAAAAGGAATGCAACAATCCTCTTTTCGTCCAATGGGCTTTTCAGTGAAAGCATCATATCCCCAACAGGATTTTCGTGACGTCATGTGTTTCCTCGTGACATCATTCGATACGAGGTCGATGGAAGAAGTGGTTCAACAACACATTTGCTTCATTATCTGGCACATTTTCATCCTCGACCACATCTCCAGATTAGAAACAAAATGCATATTACAGTTATCCCAGCGAGTACGAAGACTGGAGAGGCAGCCATCAACTCACTTCTATCTCATACGTCTACCAATGAGCCACTGCATATTCGTGGTGTCTACAGAAACCTCACTCGAGTGCCAGCTGGTTTTTCATCTTATTCTAACTTCAGCGCTGCTCAAGGCGATGTCTCTTGCGAGGCCTCTCTTGACTTCACGGGATCTGATGCAGTTCTAGCCATCTTACCACCAGTGCCTCCTTCATTTGATTGTGACCTGGTAGAGCATGCAGAGAAGGTGTCGCATAACATCAAAAATGCTATCGAAACCTCAGGTACCGTCAAAAGACTAGTACTGCTCAGCAGCGGTGGGGCCGAATTCAATCAGGGCACTGTGTGTATTAGTCTTCGGGATTTATCCCGATAATTAATGGATCAGTTCACTGATGAAATAATAGGGAGAAATCAAAACAAACAACAAATCCGAGGAAATCTTTAGCACAGCCAAAGTTGAAGACATCATATTTGTCCGATGCGCATACTTCATGGAGAATTGGTGTACAAACATGTGTACTCTTCGAGAGCCAGAGCCATTCTTCTATTCGACAATCACCCCTTTGGATTATAAAATTCCTATGGTTTCCATCTCAGATGTCGGCTTTTATTTGGCGACAGAGATAAGCAAGCAGCATATTTCAATGCCGAACCCATACATATTTGAGCTGCATGGTCCTCGGATGTATAGCTCGCTTGATGTGCAAGAAACGTTCACGAAGTTACTCGGAAGGAATGTCGAGGTTCGACCCGTGGAAAAGAATAATCTGCGTGAGTTTTACTCGCAGGTATTTTCTGCCAAAACTCTTAATTATTGGGTCGAATTGGCGACAAGTATCTTGCCTGATGGTCTGTTGGGCAGGGATTATATAGCCAATTCCAAGGCCATGGTTGTACATGGTGATACGAAGCTCGAAAAAGCGATAGCAAAAGCCCTTCGAAGCTCAGAATAATATCATACTTTATTTTCCAAAATCGTTGACTCCCGAGACCATTTCTTATATGTGGAGTTTTTTACTACAGAGTTCCAAGCCTTCACGCTCCCAAACTTTCTTGGTTTTCCTAAACCTGGGTATTTTAAGAGTTGATGGGCGGAACGTCTCACTGGCGGTTCAGAGAGTCGCGACTCTGAAGGTCAGTAGTCTCAACTAGCAATGAAGCAACGGTTTCTCAATGCAGCCACTTCCTCCCAAAAATTGCAACCTAGCTCCGGATAGCCGTCCTGGGGCGCATTCGAACTATGCTTCTGTGGCTTGATGCTGACATTAATTCGGGATCCGAATGAAAGACGTCTTCGACTGTTCAGCTATTTGAGACTGGAATTCGCAATAAGATTCCTTGGCGTAAAAATGTCGTAGGAACCTCGCCCTTCACCCTTTCCTTCACGTCGTTCCTTATGCTCCCATTGTCTTTCAACGTTTCCCAGGAAGTTCTGTGAAGTCCAACCTGGAGCTACTTTGCTGATCCTCTTTAAATAGGAACACATTCCCAATCCTAGAAAATGTTTTCGATCCCACCCTGGTCCTCAGTCTCTATTTGTTCCTGCTGGGTATGTTATTTAGGATTTGCGTATTCAAGGATATGTCTCAGGACGGCCCTGTTTTGGACTGTCCCGAAAAGTTGTCAATTGAACATTCCCCGTAATACATGCATAGACTCAATATGCCGCATGAAGGTTCTCTCGCTGGAAAATTGACTGTGGTAGGTACATCCATCCGCAATTGTGCTTGGCTGTAGATGGCTTCGTTCTGTATAGCTTCATGTTAGCAATGCTCCACAGACGATGTTCCAGTTAAAGACTTACGCGGACTTGTGCTGACATCCATAGTAGAAGACTTGCTTTCGAGTTTCAGTCGTTTCTTCGGCTTGATCTTCCAAGATTGGTCTTCCGAAGGCACCGAAGTGTTTGTGGTTGACCTCTGGGTAGTTGTATCCTGCTTCGGGGCTGTCTAGTGATTCGAAGCTGACAGGGCTTTCGCTCCAAATCCACTCTTTGGAGCGTTTTCGCTGTCAGTAAATCATGGCGATTGATTTAATGGTTGAGAGTGCCCGGAGCCTCGATTAGGTGTATGAAAAGGCTCTTGCATCCCTGCATGATTGTGTTGTGGACGATATGGTATCCAGGGCGTGCTTTCAGTGAAACAGCATGACGGCGGGCTAGGATCGAGATACTCAGGGTTGATGAAGGGTGTCGAACCCACAGTCAAGAGTCCCAAATTTTTCGGACGACCACTGGTCCATGATGAACAAGCTTGATGATTGTTTCGTCTCAACAATTTGGAGGACTCCTCCACGAGTAATGTGAACAACGCAGTTGACGAGACAGGATTTGCTTCTGCACTAGTGTGATAAATTGATTTCCCACATCAAAATCTCGGGGTATTTAAGGCCCATGGCCCGTCTGTATATCGGAGCGCAGTGCCTCATGCTACCGCGCTACTTCCTATCCCGCAGCTCCCCTTCTCCACGTAATTGCCGATACACAATGTTGGAGGCTGATCTTTTGGATGCATATATATCCACTTGGGCGCATGCATATCCTCTTTCAGTCAATCACACATGGCGATCTTGCATCAGATCGACCAGGGCTATGCCTGGTATGGGGCGAAAGCACCAGACACACTGCGTGGGTTGAACAGCTGCAGGCAGGAACTGCACGAGCGTAGCTGAGTATTACCCTAATTTGATTGCCTCCCACTGATCATCGTATCAGGTGACAGAGCCGATGTTGTATGCATCAACTTCACCTGGGCATAGAAGGCGGGCTCCAGTTCCTGCTGATTACCCGGTTGGGACGGCGTGATCCGCTAGTCGCCGGCATGGAGAAATAAGGAATTCGTGCAGGTCCCCCGATTTTCCACTGGTAAGTTGCGACGAATTGGACCTCCAACTGTCCTCATGCGAGAGCCCGTTTTAGGCGGCAATATCCCAGTCAAAGTGTGCGCGAACCAGAACACGACTCGAAACCCTCAACCATCTCTGCGATGCACCTTAGATATGCCCAGATGCCATTGGCAAACGACCAATATGGAAGAGGCTTCGGTGCTGATGTAACTGCCTTATTCTGGCCAGCGTGCCTCATAGCTGCTGGGTTATGATTCGATGATGCAGTGTACTGACTTTGTACGGGAAGCTCTGCCTTGTTCGCGTGAAGTCGGGATCACGTAGTCGAGCTTCAGGTTGACAGGGGTCACGGAAATATACAATAACACAGTGGATGACATGTTGTTCTAGTTTGCATTTGTTATTGTTTTCCTTGCAAAAGGCTAGATCTAGGGTAGAGTAGAGTGGAATCTAGCAGTCATCCAAAAAATGAAGCACAGCCCGTGTGCAACAAGGATACATTGAAGAATTGCGCTAGGTCAGGAAAAACAACCCCGAAAAGAAGACCTGTCTTGCCAGGGCTGTGGTTGACAAGCCTTTTGGCTTGGGCTGAAGTCAAAACAACATCCTCTACAGCTTGCTCTGGAGGTAGCTGTTCTTGCTCAGCCAGGCCTCGACGTCGTCGCGGTCGCGGTTGATCCAGTTGACCTTAGCACGGATAGCGTCGAGGCTTTGCTCGACGGCGCGGTCATAGCCCTAGAATTCAATTGTTAGCAAAGCTGATCACAGAAGATGACATTGAATGTAGACGTACCTTGGTGTCCTTAGAGTCAAAGAACGAATTGACGTCCTTCAGCTGAGCCTCAGTGCAGAAACTGGAAGTAGTGAGCTGCACAACGGTACCCAGCATACCGAGGGAAGGCGGGAGACGTTTGTAAATTGCATCCCAGTTCTCCTTGAGCCAGGCCCAGCGGGCCTCAATGCCAGCCTCATGGTTACGGAGGCCACCCAGGGGCATGTAGATGTCCTGGTTCTTGACCTCGTCGCCCATAGCCAGATCCAGAGTGCGCTTGATCAGAGCGGGATCTTGGGCGGATCCCAGGCAGCGCAGGGCGGTGGTCTTCTCATCAGAGGTCGGGGCGTGGCGAAAGCGGTCCAGGACAACTTCGTACTCCTTGACACCGCCGTGCTTCAACACGATAGTAAAGACGCTACCGCGGATGTTGGGGTGGATGGCGGATATGTCGCCAGCAGCGAAGCGAGCGAACATATCCTGGGCAGCCTTGATGACAACGGGGTCCTCGGCCATACCGGCGGAGCCGAACATGAGAGCCTTGAACTGCTGAAGGATGTGGTCATCCTTCTCCGAGAACTCCCAGCCCAGCTCGTGGGCCTTGGAGGAGACAAGCGAGCGCTGGAAGGCCTTCAGGGCATCCTTGGTCTTACTGTCCTCGAACATCCAAGCCGCGCGGAGGGTACCAATACGGGTGAGAATCTCGTTCCAGACGACGAACTCGGACTCGGTGTCTAGACCCTGGAGCAGCGAGAGCATGCCCGAGGTCTTCTGGTAACCAGAGGCAGCCAGGGCACCGGAATCAGCGATCATACCAGCACGGTCCTCGACGGTAAGAAGACCCTCACGAGCGGCGTTACCGAGCTTGGTGAGGCGCTCGGGGGTGTAGGAGGTACGGTAGATACCGGAGTGGTCAGCGTTGAGCTTGAAGAAGTCCAGGTCGGGAACCTTGAACTCTGCCTCACGCTCGGTCAGCATGGTATCCTCGTTGATACCATCCTTGGTGCGCAGACCCAGCATGCAAGGGTAGAGGACCTTGTCCTCCTCGGGCTTCACATCGCCAGTGCGCAGGAAACGGTTCTGCTTCAAGGTAATGGACGAGGAAGCGGGGTTCTCTGTGACACCAATAACGGGGAAACCGACGTTCTTGGTCCAGATATCCATGACGGACTGGACGGGCTTGCCACTGGCATCGGCAAGAGCAGACCACAGGTCGCCAGTCTCGGTGTTGCCATAGGCGTGCTTCTTAATGTAGTTGCGGACACCCTGCAGGAAGACATCCTCGCCCAAGTACTTGGAGATCATCCGTAGGACGGAAGAACCCTTGGAGTAGGAGATAGCATCGAAGATCTGGTTGATCTCATCGGCACGCTTGACAGGCACCTCGATAGGGTGACTGCTGCGCAGAGAGTCCAGAGAGAGGGCACCCTGCAGGTTGTCGATGACATAGGTCTGCCAGACCTTCCACTCGGGGTAGAAAACGTTGCAAGAGTACCACGACATCCAGGTCGCGAAACCCTCGTTGAGCCACAGACCATCCCAGAAGTCCATGGTCACCAGGTTACCGAACCACTGGTGAGCCAGCTCGTGCTGGACGGTCTCGGCAATACGCTCCTTGCGCGAAGCACCGCTAGTCTTTTCATCCAACAGCACATCGACAATTCGGTAGGTGATCAGACCCCAGTTCTCCATGGCTCCCGCGCTGAAGTCGGGCACCGCCACCATGTCCATCTTCGGAAGCGGAAATTCGCTGTCAAAGGCCTTCTCGTAGAAAGCCAAGGTCTTAGCAGCAAGCTCCAGGGAGAAACGACCGTGCTCGATATCCTGGTCTGGGGTGGCATAGACACGAATAGGGACACGGAAGTTCTTGGTCTCGACATAGTTGAGGTGTCCGACAATAAAAGCAACGAGATAAGTCGACATTTCAGGAGAGGTGTTGAACTTGACAGCCTTCTTCGCACTTCCCTGCACATCAGTCTCACTTGCCACGTCCATGTTGCTCAGACAGGTCATGCTCTTGTCCGCAACGAGGGTAACAGTGAACTTGGCCTTGAGGGCAGGCTCGTCAAAGCACGGGAAAGCCCGGCGAGCATCGGTAGGCTCCATCTGGGTGGAAGCAATATACTTGGTCTCGCCATTCTCCTTGTACGAGGAGCGGTAGAAGCCAGCCATGTTGTCATTCAGAATACCGGTGAAGGCGAGCTTCAACTGAGCATCAGACCCCGCAGCGAGAGCCTGGCTGAACCTGATGGTGGCGGTCTGGGCATCCTTATTGAGGGATATTTCGGGCTTGGATTCGACGACCGAGCCTTTGGAAGAAACGACGGCGCTGTGGATTTCGATCTCGTTGGAGTTGAGGGAAACGAAGTCGGTGTCCTCGTTGACGTGGAGACTGAAAGAGAGGTTCAACGTCAGCAATGAGTTCTGGAGCATCACACTGCTGCGGGAGTATCATACTCAATCAAGACAGTTCCCTCGTAGGTGAACTTCTCAAAGTTCGGCTCAAGAGTGAGGTCATAGTGCACCGGCTTGACATTGGTGGGCAGGACCTCACGGCCTTGGACATTGGTCGAGCCAGAGACCTCGCCGCGGCGAGAGCTGCACATTCTGCGATAGGAGCAATAACGCTTGGAAGTCTGGGAGAGGGGCGATCGGGCACGGCGAGTTGGTCTCGGAGCTAGCGCAGAAGCAGAACGAGGGGCGGAGAGGAGGGGGAGGAGGGGAGATTTGGCGGAGGGAAGCGGTGGCTTTGCGTGAAGCAATGCACGCGTGGAGAAGCGACGCATTGGTGGCCCAACAACCCCAATGGGTAAAACGGAGGCGAAAGAAGAAGAAAGAAAGCGCAGAGAAATGCAACCAAATTATATATTACAAGGATAAAAGGACCGAACAATGAACGCGCTGCGATTGTCACAAAAGAACAATCGACAGAAGAGAATGATTAAGCCGCGGCAGAACCCTCGGCGAGTCCTCGGCAGGCGGTGAGCGCCAGCCTCCGCTTTTTCTTTTCCGTCGCCAATTTTCCTCTCTTCTTTTTCTTCACCTCACGCAAGTCGCTCCCAGCGCATGCCTTGTTTCCACGGCAGACGACTGGGGAGCAGCCATTGTGCTGCTCCTCTTGCAAGACCAACCACCAGCCAGTTTGAGGGGTCCATGACAGCTTTGCTGCTCCCGTGAATGGTCTTCCATAGAGGTCTGGGACAACCTTGAATGCTCCGAACCGATTTTTCATCCAAATAATTTCATACTAGTCTAATCTCATAGTCAATATCTTATATTTTCCATTGCTTCTTTAATTGGTTTCTATCGCCCTGTGTAGTGCAGTAGCTTCGTTCAGCCCGGCGCCGAGCTCGCAGCCTTTGAACGTTTGAGGTAGTACAAACCTGGTACCTGCATAGCCTGAACCAGTATTTACCTAGCTGCACTACTAAATATACTCCAGGGCTTCTGTCTCTGATCAGTTCGTCCAAACTTCATTTGGTTAAGAAAATAATCTGTGTCTGCATTCTCCTAATTGGAATACCTCAAGTCCTCTAAGCAAATTGATATCCATACAATGCAACAAAGCAGAATATGGACCATTAAATAATATGAACGCACTTCAGCGAATAGAGCATGGCACAGACTTGAAATCCCGATCTTCAAGATCCCGTTTTTCTCGATACACGCGTGAAGACACTGCGCGACCACCCATCCGCGTCTACCACAGACTCCTTAACCAAGACATATCCGCCCCAACGAGGGAGCAGCACAGCCCAGACAAGGTAGTACATTGCGCCTAGAGCAAATACTCCTAGAGCAACGACGCAGTGCAAGAAATATGGTAGCTCCTCGTACACACTCTGCCCATCAGTCGGAGGGATATATGGTGCGATGACCAGGTAAATGTTCGATAGCAAGAAGAATATAGCGACTGGCAGCGTAGCTCTGATTCCGGGAGACCAGTTAGGGAAATTCTTTGCTTTTGTCAGGTAAATGTAGACAAGGCCGCCAGCGACGAAGATATTGATGATTGAGAGAGGGTATGAGATCAGACTAGATATTTGTTAGTTGTTTTCGTCGTAAAAAGATCGGATGAAAAGGCATACTTTAGAAGGAAGTTGTAGGCATCGCCGGGAGGTGGTGCCAGCATGATAATGGCCGACACCAGATAGTGCTCGAAAAGGCCGGCGGCAGGGGAGTGCAAGGGCCAGTTGCTAGCCCAGATTTTGGAGAAGGGGAGGGCACCTTCACGACCCAGCTCTTGGACGACTTGAGACGGTGTTAGAGTTGTCTTAAACAAAGGGAAAGTATTTAGTCTTACTTCGACCTTGCGAGAAAAGAACAGATAGGACGTTGCCAAATGCCGACAGAGCCACGAGGACTGACAAGACTTTCTCGGCTTTTTTTCCAAACATGTTTCGAAAGAACGCGGCTGCAACCACAGTTCCAGAATCGAGAATCTCTTGTTTCGGTACTGCAGCGAAGTAGGCGATGTTGACTAGCATGTAAAGAATTCCTACAGAGACGATTGCTACTGGTGCGGCCCTCTTTAAGGTGCGAGCAGGGTCCTTGGTCTCACTCAGGACCTGTTATTGGTCAATATCGAGGATGTGCAGCATTCTCTTCCGGGCGACTCACGTAGTTGGCATTGGAATATCCGATGAAAGACCAAATAACGTTGTATAGCGCCATCACAATACTATATCCACTACCCTTCGTGCCCTCGAAGGCGTTGGTGAAGTTCTTCGGCGGTTCAATCGTCGTATGACCAGCGAGTGCAACCCAGCCACAGACCACGATGAACAAAATGATGATCAGTTTGATCACACCAAGAAGATTTGTAAGGCGAATGCCCCATTTCAAAGCGAAGGCATGGATAACGAATGCCGTCGTGAGGCAGGCCAGGCCAATACCACGTTGGTTCCAGCGTCCGATCTCAACCTCTGCGGCGTTGAGGATGTATTCACCGAAAACGACGCTGTTGCTGGCGGCCCACCCAAGCAGAAAGGCATAGGCGGCGAACATGGCCGTTGCGAGGAACTTAGGTTTCTTGTAGATGTATTCGAGGTAGTTCTTCTCGCCTCCATTTCTAAATTAGATGGATGAGAGAGGTTTCGTCGCTGTAGAGCGGATGGGCTCAAGCGTACCTTGGGATTGCAGTTCCCCATTCCAGATAGACTGCTGTGCCAGCCAGGGCGATGATAGTTCCAATCACCCACATGAACAGAGCAAGGCCCACACTGCCAGATAGAGACAAGATGGTACCGGGTGTCGCAAAGATGCCTGTTCCGACAACCCGGTTGAAGATCAGTCCCGTCGCACTGAAAACGCCGATTTGGCGTCGATCATCCGGGGACGCTTCGAAAACATTTCCTTCATCTGCATTTCTGAGTCAGACTTATTCGCGTAGTCAGTCAACTAAGAGGATTTCGTACATAAGCCAGATATTCCATCTACGGGACGAGGTCCATCCTCGGCGTCCTTTGTGTCGGCCAACGGTGATTTACTGGCTCCTGCCTCGAGGAAAGGACCTGCCAACTCGGCCATCATGAAATCAGTATGCCGTCTGCCGTAAGACACAGTTTTCTGGTTTCTTTCAGCTGAAAGCCCAGGTAGGAGATATATGGCAAGTTAGAACACGGTTAGCAACGGTATAGAGATGGCGTGCTAGCACTAAGCGTGATGCAATTTGGGATCAATGCTGGGCACAATGCTACCTCATGCCAGCAGCCACAAAGCGCACGATCGATTCGCCGCTCAGGACCCTTGACCCAGAGATTTTCTCGAAGAAATTGTCTTGGGGCATCAAAAGAATAGGTAGGTTGCGGGTATAGCGCGCACGTCGGGCTCGGCCAAGTTCGAGTATACTTCGGCTTGTTGGTTGATTCCGAACTCCACTGAGGATTCGATAGACTGTGAAGCTGAGTGGTCGGTTCTGAGTAGAATTAGATCAAGGTAAGAAATCAGACGACACGAATGATGGAGTATTCTGGGGCTTTTCTAGCGGTGCCTGTTCGAGCGTGGTAGCTTCGGGACACCGTTCGTGAGGCTACTAAAAACCGACTCGGACTACGCCAATCGGGCAACGCGCTGGAAGAACATCCGGGGTCCAGCCATACTTAACTCGAAAGGACGTTTCCTATTTTCCACTAGTACTAGTGCAAATGCTGAGCACAGAATAGGAAGTGGTCTCTCAAGAGGCTAACTTCCCATTTTGTGATGTTTTTCCACAAGACCGAAGAATAGCGGAGGGAACATTTGGAAGTTTTGCCGTTTTATTTCTTTCTGCTTCCTTTCAATTTTTTCTACATTTCAACTCCACTTTTCCGCATTTGAACAATTTATTAAGGCCGTCTGCGCCATCGTATATCAAATATATTTGCATTTAATTCACACCACATGTTCGCGGAACTACCTGGACTATTGTATCCCCACGACATCCAAGATATATTATCATCCCAAATTGATTTCTTACCTGCTATTTTCGTGAACTGCGTTGCTTTATCATCAGAAACATCGAAAAATCGCGTTAAATTCGCAACCACAGAAATAAAAAGCTCAAACATCCTCTGCCAAGGTCTGGCACCCGCCCAGACCCGGCCAAGCGCAAAAAAACCAAGCAAGCAAGAAAAAGACTCGAGCACGTCATCCGACCCCGTGGTACAGTGTGCTCGCAAATGAACGGTAGAAAAGATCAACTTGGCAAGCTGAGCACCTCAAGAGTGTCGCTGGCGCAAATTTGCCCTTTCTCCTATTGCTATCAATTTTTCGATCTAAAACTCCAAAAGCGTCACGAACCATGTTGTCATGGTGAATCCTATATTTTCGTTTCATTGAGTTAATTGATTCGTTTCAGAAATGCGATCTGTACGATGGATACCTAGTTCCTGTAACTTGCGAGAGGGCGCGCTGAGCTCACAGAAAACTACTATGGATCTATAGATGAGGCTGATTGTAGTCTCATCCAGACGTACAATCGTCCCGTAGCTTGTCTTCGTATTAGATAAGACGGCTTTCGAGTCTCTTCAATTCTAAAACTACCTCAATGTCGTGCCATGATGTCTCTGGAATTAGACAGATGTTGCAACTTTTTGTAATATGCTTGGTCTCTTTTCGCACAGGTAGCTTTCTAAACATCGATCCCGCAGCACTTATAAAAGTTGACTTCTGAAATTCGGAGTGATTATGGACAATGCTCCAAGACCTCACAGAATGATTTGTTTGCCGCGCAAGAGTGAGTTTTTGTTAGCCCGTAAGCTTCCAATTTCATCCAGCATCTACATCGGAATATCAGGTATCACGGCCCCGAACCGATATCGCATCCGTAAGCGTTTCATCAACCCGAGTACGACAGATACTCTCCCGGCTTATCCGCACATTCGCAGTTTTCTCGCGAGATAATTCTATTCAGAACACATACGAGGATGTGTGTACATCCATAAGCAATCTGCCTTGGTTGACTTGGGAATAAGGAAGTAGTATATAAACGGCCTCGGTAGCTCATCACAATCACTAGGTATCCAGCAGCAACAGCAACAGCCAAAGCTTCGATCTCGCCTTCCTTAAAACCTATCATCTAAGGCAATTTATTATATTCTCATCTTAAAATGAAGTTCTTCACTCTCGCGCTGCTGGCTCTTGTCTCCATTGTCATCGCATCCTCGACTCCGGCGGGATCTACTATCGAGAAGCGATGCAACTGCGTATGTTCATTTTGTGCACAAAATTTGATTTACCGTCGTCTATACTACTAACAGTTCCGACTAATCAGATTGCCGAGCTAGCCTGCAAAGACGGATGTCGCGTCTTCGCCGGCCTGCCCGCTGGCCATGTCTCCGAGGCGTTCTGTGAACTCGGATGCACCGGTGCATCTGGATGCGGCGTCAACAAATGCTAGACCTTTCCATTTTCATATTGGGATTGACAGCCCGTCTTATCTCTTAGCGCTGCTTGAAACTTGAGAGTGGAGGTTATATGATTAGTAGAAACAGAACTGCAAGCCTCAAATTAAATCTCATCTAGTATCTGCATATGCGAAGCACTAGTCCAGCCCCAAAACTCCATCTTCGCACTACCCATCCGATGGTGGGCAACGTAAAAATTAGAAAGGAAAGAGTGCCAGTCTGTATCACCTCCCATCGAGACCAAAACGCCGGTAAACGCAAAAGCAAAAAATCGGAATGGCAAAAAACTCCTTCCCCCTTGTGCAGTGGGATATATGGCGAAAATAGATTCGGACAGGTAACGTCATGAACATGAAGATTAGCATCTCCCTGGAGATGTGGGGGAAAGACGAAAAGGCAGAGTCAAGACTTAAAACTCAAAAGGCTTATGTGGCAGGAATGAAAGTGAATGGTGTGAATTCAAACGCAACAAACTTCGAAGTAGTTAAACTTGGGTTTGGAGAGGGAAAGGGCCACCAGTTCATGAAAGAAATCTCGCTATTAGCACCAAGGCGAATGTACAACGGGCTTTAACGGGGTGGTGTGGCTTGTGATGCGGGAACTAGGTTAGATGAAGGCATTCGACCCATACTGCCCGCGGTGGGAGTCGGTGCTGATGTCCGCTTCGCAAGGATGGCCAGCTTCTTTCGAAGAGAAGCCAGGCGCCCACGCATACTAGACACCACTATTACAAGTTAGGAATAGAGTACTAGATATCAAGGAGCTCAAGTAACTTACTTTTCACCACAGTTTGTCGGTTTTCGCCTTGGAGTCCGTCCACTTGGCTACCATGAGAGGTACCATCGGCCGAATTTCGTAGTCCATCGTCTTCGATGACAGCCTCCAGCATCCGAATGGCCGTGACATAGGCAATTTCGCAACCGGCGAGGTCTTCGCTCGTCAGCTCATTGATGGCGGCGGCTCGGCTCATTTCCAATGCACGGTCATACATCAGCTTCTCTGCTGTGACGCCGGCGCTGACTACCACATCGGCAGAGCCGGTGGACGTGGATGTTGATTCGACGGAGTGGTTGTTTGGGTGACCAGGGTGATCCAGTGGCAAACGCTTCTGGCTCTCGATGAGTTTCAGGCGCACAAATTCAGCCTTCTCCAGAACTTCATTAAATCGGCCGCGCACCCACTGAACCACATTGTTGATCCGAGCGCCGGCAAGCGCAGTGTTGTCACCTCGGGCTCCAGAATCTCCGTAGGATTCCTCACGGTTCTTACGAGACCACCAGGCACCCGCGATGTCCATAGACTTTGCAAGCAAAGACAGGGCTTTCACGTAGAGAACCAAGGCCTCTTCAGAGAGAGTCACAATCGCATCGACTGTCAACCCATCGGGATCATTGGAATCAGAGTCCGCGACTGGATCACCCTGTGCAGACGGAGCCAAGGGGATAAGTTGCTTGTATTTGACCTCGGCAAATCCATACACAACGTCACTTCGTGTAGCACATTCCTCGATTATGTTGACTGTCCGGCAGTCCTCGTCAAGGATAGCGTTGTTCTTATTGGGAGAATCTCCCAGAAGCATCAAACTCCCCGGTCCGGCTGGATATGCCGGGAACGGGTTGTAGGCCAGAGGTGGCGATCGCCCACCCTTGGTGATAGCCAGTGGAGGCGAAAAGCCCATCCCAAACAAGCGGCCACTGGCCATATTAAGAGCTTTCGAGATGGCTGATGTCGCCGAAGATGGGCTCTGCCCGTATCGGCGCTCATATGAATGCTGGCGTTGATGCGTTGAGTCGGCGCGAGCACGACCCGATACGACCTGCATCGCTTTCGAATTAGGCGCATGCGGAGACGTGGACGACACAGTTGGTAAGCCCTGCGTTGTCGCGCGGCGAGACACATTCCCTGCCTGGCCTCGAGACAGTCCCCCTTGAATTCGCGGGCTATGGGCCAGCTCGTCCGCAAATGCGTTCACCTCAACCGCACGCTTCTCTACCACCACGTAGTCCCTCTCAAAGGCGACCTCCTGGGCCGCCCGATCTCGCTCCTCTGCAGACCGGGAGTCCGCAGTTGATTTTGCAGAGCCGGAGTACGTATTTTGCGATCTCTGTCGCTCTATGACCGCCGTAGGATTGCGATCCACGTGCTCCTGTCGACCAGGCGCAGTTACGTACGAGACCGGGTTTGGTCGGTGTGGCGGAGTGCCTCCTCGTGGTTGATCTTTCGCACCTGAGACCGGCCTGTCTGTACTTCCCATACGGCGCATCAGTGAAGCAGTCGGTGGAGTTTCGGTCCTCTGCCGAGTGGACGTTTGCTTGTGTGATGCGGGATAAGCGAAGGTTTCCTCCGGCTCATCAGGGTAGGGCGATTCCGGAGCTTTGTTCTCCAGCCGAGTCGGCACTTCTGATCGAGAATTGGCGCGCGAGGGTCCTGGGACATGAGTAGGATCGACAGCTGGTTGTCGGTACTCATCGTCAGGCAACAAGCCTGGAATCACTTCGGTGATCACTTTGTTGTTGAAAAACTCGGGGAAGTTCAATCTCTCCACGGGATTCTTTTTCAAAAGACCTCGAATCAGATTCTTGATGTCTTCCGAGACTTTGTTGTCCTCCGGAAAGTTAATCTTATCTTCTCCCTTCTCGATCCTCCGTAGTAATTCGACGTGGTTCTGCGCGCGGAATGGAGGCCGTCCTACCACCATCTCGTAGAGAACTGTACCCACTGACCATAGATCGGCCTTGGCGTCATACTTTTCATACCGCAGTATCTCGGGCGCCATATAAAGCGGTGATCCGCACAAGGTTTCTGCCAATGAGGTCGCTGGCAAGGAACGGGCAAATCCAAAGTCTGCAATCTTCAACATCGGCAAGGTCTCTAGCCCTGTTGTCGGGTCATACGAGTTCTCGCTGCCTTTGTATGGAATCACCGTCGCTACACCCGATCGGTATGATGCGGGTGCCGGGCAAAGCAAGAGATTCTGGGGCTTGATGTCTCGATGGATGAGATTTCGATCCCGCAGGAAGCGCAGAGCACTGGTCAGTTGCTTCAGGAAATGTCGGACCACGACCTCGTTCAGCGCTCCGCCTGGTGGATTTGGGTATTTCTTGATCATGTCTCGTGTGTATGAATGACTGCCTAGGGATTCCCGCCGCTTGATGAATAATGACAGGTCCCCCAGGGCGCAGTATTCCATGATCAGGTGGATGTGTTGGGTTGACTCATGGCAGTCGATGAGCGCGACGATATGCGGGTGCTGGAGGCCCTTGAGAATATCGATTTCGGAGGAAAGATTCTCTTTCAACTTTCTGTTGAGTCTCACGAGGTTGACGGACTTGATCGCCACAAAGGTCTTGGTACGCTAGGAAGAGAGAGGAACGATCAGTATGCCGATCTCGAGTCAGCGAGGTGTTTGCCACCAGTCACTCACCGTGTGCATGCCCTGATAGACCGTCGCAAAGCTCCCTCGCCCGATTTCGTCGAGGCGAGTATAGCGACCGATCGTCATCTTGGAGGTGGTCTCGCGTGACCGCCGGGAATGTTGAGACGTCATTATTGTCACCACCGTTCACGCCGGGATCCCACTCAGCGGGGACAAATGCAAAGTCCAGCCCCCAGCAACCACCACTACCGCAGCAGCAATAGAGAGGATGGACGCAATGTGATGCCCATCAGGGGAGTTGGAAAGGCAGGGTTCTGCAGCTGCCGGCAAGCTTGGAAAGACTAGGAACCGCCGGGAGGAGCAGAGTGGAAAGGCTACGATGCAGGTGCCGTGGAACGCAACCGGTGAGCTCCGTCCCGTCGATGCAGTTGGATGGCGTGGATGAGGTCGGGGGATGGAGGGAGGTGTAGTCGAAGAAAGGTAGATCGATAGATTGCAGATCACCGAGGAGATGGTTTCGAACGATGAATCACAAAGCGGTGAGGTAGTGATGTATGCGACCAGAGATGAAAATGAGGAGACTAAAGGAGGAACCGGCGACGGAAACTGGGGAAGAGGCGAAGGAGGGGAAGACGAATGAGGAGGAGTAGATGATGTGATGTTCTCGGGACTGCTGGACCCAAGGGACGCGCTGGGGGGTGACCTGATAACGAGTGACGGGCGGTCAGGAGGGCGGGGAGATGACAGGTCGGGGGACCTTTGGAGAGGGCCGTGAAGCAGGACTAGCACAGAGAGAAAACGAGAACAAGGAGAAATCAGGGAAATACGGAACGGCAAGGCTAGACTAAAGATCTAGGAGATGAGGCATCCCTGCAGGAGCAGCGCTGGTGGTGGCCTGCGGTAGCCTGCATTCAAATGTACTTGGGACGGAGCGAATGTATTGGGATGACAGGAGACGATTAGATAGAGCGATCGGCGATATGCTTATCGGGTGAAGAACAATGCGTCCCAGGAAACATTGTCTTCAGCAACCAGGGGAACTCGACAAGGTTGCATCCTCTTTACTATTATGACAGTCCGACTAGATCTGGGAGTAAGTGTGTACTAATCATAAAGAGTAATAAGGTATCTATACTAGGTTCTTCTGGCTGTATATACAAAGCAGCCATCGGACACTGATACTGATACATCCAGCCAGGCACTCACACGCCCAGCCCCCGCACTAGCAGCCACAGCACGACTGGCACCACAACGTTATCATTGCATCCAGTCAGAATCGCCTCGGTCGCGCTAGTTCCGCCCGCGGCCAGCACTGCCTTGCATCCTGTCCACGCCCAGAAGCGCGGCGTGGATGCCGATCGCGAGGCTGATTCGACGCCAGCCACCGGCCATCCTCCTACCTCCAGCCAGGCACGAACCGCCAACAGGCCCACCGATACCGCTGCTGCAAAGGCCACGCTGCCCTCTAGCGATTTGCCGCCACCCCAGAACCACTTCAGTCGCCCATATCGACGTCCCACGAGCGAAGCTGCCGCGTCGCCCATCCCCACGCAGATCACCCCGCTCACCATGCTGACATCGCGCGCGCCCACCTCCCATCCGACCCAGACGCCCTCTCTGTCGCGCGCCAGGTCGGCCAGCGACAACCAGAGCGGGATGGAGCATCCGATGAGGAGGAAAATGTGCGACACAATGACCGGTCCACGGTGGTCGCGACCGTCGACGTAGGGCGCAAGGAAGTAGGTCAGCGGGCGCGATATCGGAGGCAGTTGCGACGCCCGAAAAAGATCCAGGAGGAGGAAGATCGACAGGACCAACACAAGGGCCAGGGCACAAAAGGTCGGGTCGACGAAGACGGTGGGCAGAAACATCAACACCATCATGCCATGGAATACCTTGCGGCGCGTATCGACCTCGGCGACGGTGCTCAGCTGCAAGACCACTGCCAAGCCAGTGACCAACACCACTACACAGTAGGCCATGAGGAGGAGTCGTGTATTCGCAGGACCAAAGGTCGTCTGGCGGAGATGTTCAACCCATCCAAGCCAGCAGGAGGCCGTCTCTAAGGTGACCTCCGGGCGCGGAGGCAGTTGAATCCAGTATTCCAGGTTCAGCATGAGCACCCAGAACCGTACGGTAGTCAGGTTACCCAAGAGGTATCCCAGTGCCCAGCCGAATGGGTCTTGCCCCTGGAGGGCTTGCTCGGCCACATACTTTCGAATTGGGCCTAGAATGATGGCAGCAGAGATAGCGTAGATATAGATCGCGTACAACCACTTGCGGACCTGCGCTTGGGCTGCAGTCAATGATAAGAAAGATGCAAGGCCCGGGCCCATTAATTTCTTGCGCCGCCCACCGGGGGTGGTGCGGACGCGCTCTTCCTGAACAGCATCCTGGAAAGTCGAGATCGTGTGACGTCGTTGGCGTCCAGTCCGACTGTGCCACTCAAACGCCTCTTCGGCGCTGACATTGTCGATCGCCGAGCTGGGTTCGGCCGGGACAGGCTCACGAGCCTCTCGCATCGTTTTGGCTTTGCGTGGCCTGTGGACGCTACCGGGCCCGTCGCTGTCCGATGAGGGCTCATCGGAAAAGCCAGTGCCACTTAGCTTCTGACAAAGTCGGTGGTCCATCATATTGAGCAACTTTCGGGGTGATTGTGAGCCACTGAGCGAGCGGCGGAATTTCCAACTGGGGATTCGAGCCAAAGCCACCTCCCAGCGGAGTATATGCCGGCACGACACGAATAAACTCATTCCACCAAGCCATAGCAGTGCCTTTAGGATTTGTGCCTGGGGCGAGACCGCAAATAAATATAGGTTGACCAGAGCTGTCGTCAAAAGCTGTAGTTCCGCAGGCAGAATGCTTGTCGTCAACAAAAAGTCTAATGTGGGTATCAAAGCTTGATGCAAAGGAAAAAGAAGAAGCAACGATTCCGCTTCAAGCCCTCGGAGGATCAGCGGTTTAGGGATGGTATTGTCGAACGAGAGGTGTTCAGCCACGAGAACAGGCGCCGCGGCTACTAGCCAGTGAGGTATGCTAACGCCGTGGATACATCTCTGCATTGGGATTACCGGTGCTGGGAGAGATGCCAGACCAAGTATAATATTCGGCATGACCAGCGCCGGCTGGTGATTTGTGAGGGATAGTGATACAAATATCGGGAGAAGCGTCGGGTAGAGGAGCGGCGCCGGGTCAAAACTCGTCGGTATAGAGAAGAATGGGCGTTTGGACGGCCAGACGTGCCATCGTCGGCTTCCCGAGATGCGAAGTAGAAGAGGGTACGATGCGTATAGCCCTATCAAAAGCATGCCGTGCGTTGCCAATTCTGGATTGGAAAGTCAGCACACCATGTATCTCTGCAAATGTAATCGACCAGCTTCCCATACCTTTTCTCCAGGCCCAAGCTAATGAACGTGCGTCCCGTTGAAGTAAAACCACCACGCCCACCGATAAGAACAGCGCGGTCTCCATTAACCGTCGCAAGACCTCCACCCGCCTTTGCTGTCGTAACCGTTGTGTTTTGAGCGCCTCTTCTTCCGCCTCTTCCTCGGAGCTCCTCCGTGGACCACGAGAGCTCCGTCGTACAAATGAAGGCCATGGCTGTAGACTAGGCAACCACCCGTCACCGTCGATGACTCCATTCGTACCCGACCGCAGCCCCTTTCGAGGCCGAAGCGGCGGTGCCGGTAGACCCCTCAAGATACCGGTGCTCTCATCGTCCGCTTCTGTGCCGCTATCGCTCGGAGTGCGCGATGCCTTGGAGTAGGAGAGCGGCTGGAGTCGATCACCCTGTTCGGAGGGTGTACAGGACCCGAGTTGTCTGCTGCGATGATAGGGATGCGGAGAGCGATTGAATTGTCGCAGATCCTCGACAATCAGTTCGGAATTCGCAGGCGTACTGCTGCGAGCGATCGCCTCTTCCTCGTAGCCCCGCGAAGAACTCATAGCGCCATTCCTAAGACGAGGAGGGTGTCATGCCGGGGAAGCGTTTCAGTTGGAAGATGAGGTCAAGGATTGTAAATGAGGAGAGAACAAGCGTAGGCGATGACTCGACTGTCCAAAGTCCGCGAAGGTTGCAGTTGTTGCGGATGTGTTGTTATCCACGCGGACGGAAGGTGCCTATCACATGCTCGGGCCCACCGCATGACATCGCCCTTCCTTTCGAGCTGGCGCGCGCCGCACATTCGCTGCGCACTTGCCTCAACGCTGCCATCGCACCACCTACCGAGCAACTGGAACCGGCCACCACCAGTCTGCGTGTGCGACCACCAGGGTCCGGTTCAGCGTCAATTGGTTCCCATTTCCCATCTAGACCTCCCAAACGTCGCATCTCCGAAAATATCCTTGCCGCTACCCTCGATTGCAAATCCAACTCGCGACCCGCATCCACGCAACATCATGGTGCTTGAAGACTCGAGTGACGGCTCGAATGATAGCATGCTTGAAGGCTTCGAGAGAGTGCCAGTATTGGACTCTTCATGGGGTTGGAGAATGTAGAGTATAGAAGTAAAGCTGGCTTTCCGGATTAACATGTAGGACTTGTTGCTAGAAGAAACACAACAGCGACCAGAGAACCCCCGTGAGTTTCGCAGGTGGCAGCGTCTCCACGCATATAGATGCAGAATTATCAAAACACACATAGGCGAGGGCATTTAAGATCGCGTGGGGAAAAACATCGAGGAAACAACTGTGCTGAATTATCTTCATGCTATCAAAAAAAAAAACCATGACTTACTTCTATTGAAGCCTCCTCTAAGCTCTTTGAATTTGGTATCGACTTCAGCATATATATGCTACCCACTACAATGATTTTGACGACTATCTTTAGGTATTGACAGAAATGAAACTCGCGTCTGACAGAATGGGAGCTCTTATCCACGACTCTCTTTTGTGTATCGCACTCCAAGGTCTACCTGAAAGATTTGACGACTTCAAAGTTAGGTATCGTTACCGGCTAGGTATCTTTCGTGAGAACGAATCAGAAGACACAGATCGCTATATACTACCAAAGTCGATTGATCTCTTTGAATTCAAGTGAGATGTGAGAATTGAAGATCGGGGGATGAAGAAATGCCTAGGAAATTCAATCCCGGTAACGGGAGAGCATGACACAAGGCTGATTTTTACTGAAGTGAATACAGCGATCGTGGAAGAATTATGATGCAATTTCTGCTATAGCATCCAAACAGTATTCTTTTTCAAGATTTGGAGTCTATTGTAGGGACAATGGTGGCGCTGCACTGCTGTTATCGACCAGGAGCTACCTACCACATACTTCTGTCCACCGCAGAAAACCACCTGTAGGCTGGCATGATTTCGCTTGGTTCTATGTGAATCCTCGCCGTTTTTACTTGCTAGAACATAGAGTACTAAAAAAGCAAAAGCAAACAGAGAACAGCGGGCGGGGGTTCATCCATCTCTGGGTCCGTCGATCTACCCTATCCACGGATGGGACACATCACAATTGACAGCGGATTGGAAAGTGAAATCTCAGGCCGAACCTACTCGCTTGGTCATACATCTTTATACGGCAGCAGCGCTGGGACCCTTTCTAAAGCGTCGGAATTGGTTCCAAAGTCATAGCACAAAACATTGTTCCCGATGATCCATATCAATCCATGGGAGGGGAAGAAGAAGCAAAGTCAGTAGCATTACTTTCTTCAAAAACAAAGATTATACTAATGCTTTTTGCAGCGAAAGCCTGTCTGGCACGTCAGTTCAAAGTGCCCCTGATTACGTCCTCAATCCACTTTCTATTTTCCGAATGGCGCGCAAGTCAATTCCTGACATGCAAGCACCAGAGAAAGCCGCAACTTCTTCCGCCCCAAATAGCACGAAACCTGACTCGGTGACTGATATGGATCGGCAGCTCAGTGATGATCTAGCTCGTGAGTCACAGAACTGTGGCCCTACATACCCCGAGGTCAGCCATGAAAACCCCGAGGAGCTTCAATCGCTATTCATGTCGGATTTGGGATGGGCGTGGCAGCCTGCAGATACGGCCGTTGGATCTGGCATCAAAGGGATGCCGAATTATTCAAGAACGCATTGACCATACTTTGCTACCACACGTGTGGGAGAACAATAAGGTCACTCAGGAAGATATCGTCGCGGTGCTGGATTATCTTCATGCAGTCGAAGAACAGACCAGACCGAGCACAGCCCACCATCAAGCTCATCGAAATCTCGAATCGTCTTCAGTCTATATCTGTCTCCCAATTCCAAAATCTTGACGGATTTTTCGACGAATTCAATAAGATGAAAAAAGCAAACAACAGAATGGGATTGCCAATTCACGGTTCTCTTTCTGTCTCGCTTTCATTCGAGGTCTGCCCAAGGAGCTCGACGAGTTTACAAGCGAATATGTATCTTTCCAGGACGAGCATTTTGAAGACTCTAGCCGATGCCGACACTGAAACCAGGACCGAATAGCCTGTAGACATGGTCAATTTTCGTTCGGCTCGAAAGAGATGTGAGGAAGGAAGCCAACAGATCGGAGGATTCATTGAGAAGATCGATTCCAAGTAAGAGAGGGCAAGATAGAACAGAACGATCATCTATCAGGTGAGAAATAGCGGTTGCATACGTTCCATGGTGTTGGGTGTCCGGCTGTCGAATATCTGCCCACGGAGCACCGAATCAAACTATCGCAAGCTGCACCCCGAGCTCAGCAAACCATATGGGCGCAAAAACAAGAAGAATTTGCGAGCAAAAACAGACTACTGAAGTGATTTGTTATTTCGGGCTACTTTATTTATCGCAACGTTTGATTTCAAGAACACCGCTTTATCAAGTCTAAAGATGCGGGGAAGAAACATTCCTCGAACTCACCAGCGACACTACATTCCACCCATCCCTAGAACTTCAAGACCACAAACAAAAAACAAAACCCACACTCGTCCGTAAGATGGGCCGTCTCTTTTCACAAATTCAAATTATTCAAATCAAGAACACTGCATCATGCCTTCCAGAATCAATCACGCCCCATCTCTCCAAGTCCTGACGGACAAACAAAACTGGCCAAAATGGAACACAGAAATGGTCCTTAGTCTACGACAGCGCGGCCTGGGCCCTCTCCTGCGCGACGCGAACAAACCAGAAGACGAAAGTAGTCTCCAAATCTGGAACATCAAGCAAAAATTGGCCTGTGCAATCGTCGTCAGTCACCTAGATCCGAAATTTGCCAAGATCATGCACCGTCACAAGACGCTCGAGACGCTGCTCCGTGCCATCGACGACTTCACCAGGCCAAAGGGCAAAGCTGCCATCGGTCTCCTCTGCAGCCTGTGGAATCGTCTGCGATCACTTTCTGCGTCGCGCCATAAGAGTATCGCTGAGTACTGCGAGGAGGCTCTTGAGATTCAGAGGCAGTATGCACGTCTTGGATGCAGTACTTCTGATCCCATTATCTGCTGTGCGTTTTTGGATGGGCTTCCGTCGCACTGGTGGCATTGGAAGTATCTCCAGCAGCATGAGATGAATGTTACTTGTGCCGGGGATGGGACAGATTCGTCGACATTCATGCTCTCCAATCTTGTTGGTGATGCGTTGGAGGAAGATGAGAGGCTGTATGTTGAAGCTTTACGGTCTGCGGAGACAAAGTACCGCATGAAAATCATCGATGCGACGAAGACGCCTGCTACAGTGGAAATTGATTTCTGTACGGCCTGTAATGGGTTCTTTCATTCGGCGCCGGCATGCTTCAAGCTGAATCCTCAGCCGAGATCGCGGCGGAAGGGGAATAAGAGACAGCGAGCTAACTCTAGGGAGCTGGGGTCTTATGGGAGGTGTGGGGTTGATGTATCTTAATCGTTATAGGCATTGCGTGTGTTATTTCTTAATCATCTAATCCGATCCAAATTCCTGTTGGAGAACGACTCCAGCAGCCAATGGCTTTCCTTCTCGGCCCCATACTGTTCTGCATGGGACAACCTGCCCAGCCCAGGAGCCCTCTGACACCGGTTGTGTCGTGTATAGAATAGCCTGCGACAGGCCTTGTTTCATATACAGGCTTTCCGTGATAGAAGCGAGACTGGCGGTTTCTAGGCTGGCGATCTCGATGCAGGTGTAGCTGTATCTGCCATCAGCAGTAGCCGCTGTGGAATCGGCCTGGCTTTCTAGCAAAATGTCTGCACATCGACTTCCAAGACCTTGCCATTCAATATCACTTCCGCGGGGCAGCTCATCAACCTCAACGGCCAAAAATGGCGGTACAGAAGTTGCGGCATTAGAATCCAGAATGCCAAATCGGGGCAAGCTCCAAGTTTCAGCCACCACGTCCTCGGTCTGACGCCCATACTTGATATCCCAAGCATCAATCTGCGGTTCGTCATCCTCCTCGTCTTCGTCGTTAACTTCGAGTGTATGCATCGTCTTCCACAGATGCCATGCCACCCGCACCTGGGTCTGAATGTTTTCTCCGCGCGTCAGAAAAACCACTGCGCCCACCCACCAGTCAACCTGCATCGCCTCTCCAATTCGCCACATATGCTGCAATGCCAGCGTAGTCCGTAGAGAGTAATCATCAAGCCAAGACTTCCCTTGTGAAGCCATTTCCATCGACGCAGGCTCGAGCGGGATCTGTCCAGCTACATAAACCAGCCTGCTCTGGTCCTGAAGTGGGATGGACATTGCCTGGGAATAAGGCCCGATATTCGCAGGTGCCCAGTATGATCGTGATTGAACGTGCAGACCCTGGCGACTACTTCGAGCACCTAGGTCCACGACAAAGGAAATCATGACATTGACGCCGACTGGGAGACGGTCGCCGCAGGCGATTGTTGCTCTTGCGGGAGGATTTGGCTTTTTGAAAAGTGAGACGTAGATTTTATTCATGGAGGCGAAGTCGGCCATTGAGCGGAGAAGCACCGTCGCAAAGACTATGTCTTCCGTTTTTCGTGGCTGGGAAAATGCTTTCAGTGTTCCTTGGACCTTGGCCACGATCTCGGTCATTTGTTCCCCTGCGCCGGGACCAGCCTCTGGCGCAATAATGTTCGAGATAGTCCATGTTGTATTGGTTTGGCGATGCATTGGTTGGCTGGAGAGCCATGCTGGCGATGATATTGCATCATGTTGCATGGCCTGCTCGGTCTGTGTAGTTTTCAAGGCAGAGGAGACATCGCCCAACGCAGCAGCAAATACGCTATCCAGCAAGACAGGCCTCCTAACATTCTGCGGGGCGACATCTGGCCGCTCACCCTCAGACTTGGGAACACACTTGGCCCCTTTCAGACTGGTATAGGCGACACCACCCTCCGCAGTCCTGCTCTCCCGCTCTTCAATTTCAATCCGCTTCTTCCACAGAAGACCAGGCCCATCAATAGCAAGAGTCTCGTACTCCCCACCCTCCCCCAGCACCGCACCGCGGATATCTTCCGGCGCAGCAAACCGACTCATAGCCTTAACAACACGTCTGCGAAACGCCCGGCCTCCATTTCCACTTTCAGAGACATTATCCCACAGGAAGCCATCGTCCAGACCGCCCGAGGCAACCTTGATGATTCGCGCATCACACCCAACGGCCGACATATCTTCCAACAAGCCTGCTTCCCGCACAGCCGCGGGGTCAGCTTCTCGCTCGGCCGGCGCGGGGAGGGAAGGATACATCCACAACCAAGCCAGTGGAGTAAGACCGAGTCGACCAGCGACGTTCTCGATGCGGGTACGCTGGTACGTCGAGAGGATGGCGCCCGCAGAGACGGCGTTCGCCTCGGGATGTGCTTGCATCGCCTGGTGAAGCAAGGGGACGAGACACTCCGTTTCGTCTTCAGAGGCAGCCCCCGACTCGACAGATTGGTCTGCAGCATCATGACGGTAGATCCGTGAAGTATCCACGGCGCCGCCGGTGATCGGGGCGCGGTAGAGTGGGATGCCAAGTGCTTCTTCGTAGAGCGGGATGACGCTGTGACCGATTGTTTGGTACATGAAGCTGTCGATGTCTTCTTCGTCACCCTGGTCTTTTGAGCCGCTTGATGCATGGCTTTTTATTTCGGGGTGCAGGTTGGCTAGGGCGACCACTCTGTGGCCGTTGCGGATGCAGTGGAGGATTGAGTAGAGGGAGTCTTTGCCTCCGGATACCAGGGCGATTACATTCAGCCCTGGTGAGGGGGTTTTCGATGCCATTGTGCTCGAGCGCCGAATGGTCGTCTTGGCTGCAGTCCTGCCGTGCGTGAGGTGGAATTAAATGCGTTCGCAGGTGCTGTTTGGAGGGCGGGCCGTCGTTTTTTTGTCTCGTCCCCCGCCTTCACGTTGTTATCGATAGGCGGGCGAGGCATCATATCAGATGGGCAAGCATTGGCAATTTCAGACTAAATGGCCAAATTGGTTGAATTGTTTTTCCTTGAGCCGGCAATTCTCTAAAGATGGCCAGGATTGCAAATGATTTTTAGGTACACTAAGTACATTCAGTGATCTCGTTTCTGCGTGAACCTCTATTCCCGAAGATGCCCCGTTTCCGACCGTTGACTTGAACACAACAGCCATGTCCTGCCAATGGCTCAGTTATACTGACTACGGAGATGATTACGAGGAAATTTGGTAAAGATTATGCTTGTAATTGATATGTGAGGATCCTATTCTTATGGATCGTTGACCTTGACCAACAACAAAACGAGCAGGCAAGAAATGCAATGCAAGGGGTATGAGGTATGAGGTATGAGGTGGAGGGTTGGTCAATTAACTTATACACGAATGTGACCAGCACAAGGAACAAAGTGCAAAAAAGGTAGGTCAAAAAAGGCCAAAGGCAAAAAATCACAGAAGAAGCAAGGATATTACATGAAAATAAGGCAAGGCGAGATGTGAGCGAAACGGTAAAAGAATCGAAGGGATAAAAATGTCACAGAGAAATGAAAACAAGAGGGGAAAGCCGAAGAGAAACGCAGGAAATCAAGAAATCAAGGGCTGGCTGCGAGAGATGGAGCCAATTTTTGCCCACACGCTGAATGTGTTGATCCGGGGATGGAAACCAAGATGAACATAGGAAATAAAAGAAACTGACAAAGGAAAATCAACACCAAGCCACCTGTAACCGCGAGGACAGATGTCACCATGTCCACTTTTTTTCCTTTTTGCGTTTTGTTCGGGGATTATGGACTTTTTTTTATTTTGAGTCCACCCGAATCAAGCCCAAGACAAAAGAAATAAGAGAAGAACGCAAGAGAGGCCGAGAATCGCTTCAGTCCTCTCCCAAACTCCATGATGAAATGTCTCCCATGGTTCCGATAAACAGGAACTCAAGTTGCCGTACACCGATGACCCCGTATAGCCGACACCAGTGTAAATGCCCAGACGCCAAACCCAATGACCACAAGCCAGGTCGAATCAAGAGAGAAAAAGAAATTTCCCCCTGGAGAGCCACGGCCGAGTGAAATTTGTATTATATATGCAGTAGGAAGTTCTCCTTGGTCTCATAAAGTATCATGATCGCGAAGCGACTCGCAGCCCATTTAGGCGGAGTCACGCTTGCGCTTCTTCGCGGCCCGACGGTCAGCACCAGCCTCGTTGGACTCGTACATGACCGCGCCTAGCGCCCCGGCATCTTGTGACTCGTCGAAGGGAATGGAGCTCTCCGATCCGTCCATGACGCCCATGACAATAGATCCAGCACCGTGGGTACGGGCATGCTGGGCCAAGTTGTCACTGCGGGAGAACTTCTTACCGCACTCGTTGCACTCGAAGGGCTTGTCTTGGGTGTGAAGAGAGCGGTAGTGGCGTTTGAGGTGCTCCTGGCGACGGAAGCGACGAGAGCAGAGGGTGCAGACGAAAGTCTTAGAGGGATCCTCGGTCAGAGACTGCTTGCGACCGCGGCGGTTGACCGACACGGGGGCAGGCTCCGAGTCCGTCACCGTGCCATCGGTCGACGGGGCCGGGGGCACAGCGACGGTCTTCTTGTAGGCAACCTCGTCAATCTGGGCACTCTTGCGAGCTGACTTGCGGCTGCTGCGTTTCTTGGTCTTGATCTCTTCCTCCTCCTCGGCGGCAGAGTCCGACTCGATCTCGGCCTGAGCATGGGCAGACTCGTCCCACTGGAAGGCAGGCATGGCCGAGGGCATGAAGTTCTCCGAGTCGTCCGAGTCCTCGAGGCTGTGCTCGCTCAGGAACCCATCGTCGTCGGCAATGTACTGGTCCACCCGCTGACGCTTTCCACCTAGGTAGACAGCGTTGCTGCCCGGGTGGAAGTCCACCAGGCGGTTCAGCTCATCATCAGAGTCCAAGTCGGAGAAGGAGTCGAAGGTCGGCAGGGAGGTCAGAGGGTCCTCAGTCGACGCGGTGAAGGAGGGCGAGGGGTTCTCGTTCACAGGCAACGTCACAGACGCACTGCCCACGACGGCGCGAGGCTGCTCCTCGTCACAGGTGAGGGTCGGCAGGGGCGGGAGGTCCTGGGGGGCCGGGACATTCACCGAGGGCTCAACCGTGAGCTGACGCGGATCGCAGAAGTCTGCGCCGGCCGACTCGGCAGAGAGGCCCTGGGATTGGGCGAGAAGGTCGGTCGGGACTGGAGAGGGAGAGGGCGAAAGCGAGGGGCAGGAGTTGGCGGAGAGCAGGTCGGAGGTCTGGCTGGCGGTCAATGACGGCGGGTGGATGAACACTGTGCCTCGGATTAGTTCCTATTCGATCCTGGGGTTCCCACTTCTCCCTTGCATGCCATCGAACGCCACCTGGTTCGTAGGTTTTTTGATTTATTTTTGGTGACGTTTGCCATGCATATGTTTCACGCGAAACTTACCTGGTGTCATCGGAGGGGAATCAGAGCGCGACCAGTCCGGGTTTGCGAGGATTTCCGTGTGCACGTCGGTCTCGCAGCCTTCCTTTACGCCCTCGACCTTCTCAAAGGAGAAGAAGGTGTCGTTGATGGGAGTGTGCAGGGTGCCATTGGCAGAGGGCGGGCTGCTAATGCTGCTGCCTGAGGACGAGAGTGGCGGTGTTGTGGGGAAGCCATACAGGTCGGTGCCGATGAAGCGTGTGTCCAGCGGCATGAGAGCAGGCGACCCTTGCTGCACAATGATGGCGGGCTTCATTTGGGAGGGCTGCGGCGAGGCTATCGGGGTCATGTTGATGGTGGCGCCCCGGAAGGCATTGGTGGTGGCCATCTGGTGCATGTTCATAATGGGCTGCTGGTACATGGGCTGCTCGGAGCCACGCTGGGGGCCTTGCTGGTACTGCATCTGGCCGTAGTAGACGTCGGACGGTTGGCTGGTGTAGTGACCTTGTTGTGAAGTGGCGTCGGAGTAGTAGAAAGATTGGCCTTGCACCGGGGGTGCTACTGTGTATGAGTCCATTGCTGGAGGGTCAGCATTAGCAGCTTCATCTCTATGCCAATTGCTGCTGGCGCTGTCCCAGTACATACCGAAAGAGTCAATCGCAACGAGAGGAGAGTATTAAGTAGGTGTAGGTTAGGTGTTGTTAATGTCAATGTCGAGGGGTCGCTGGTCGAGTCTCCGAGAGGAGAGTAAAAGAATGAATGAATGACCAGAAGGATTAGTGTGAGGGTCAAAAGGAAGGGAGTCCCGAGGCTTTTGGGATGGTAAGAGAGTGGCAGGAGTGAGAGATCCAAATAGTGATAACCCCAAACCCAAAACAGAATAAATTGAAAAATAAAATAAGGTATAATAAAAAAATAAGGAAACGGGAAAGCAGAGGGAAAAAGAGTGTACAAGTAGAAGAAGCAAGAGAAGAGAGAGGGAGAGGAGCCGGTGGATAAAAGAGTGATCTGCTACTATTTTCTACGTGCCGGGCTCACTAGCGCGGGTGGGCCAGGAACAGAACAGAAAAATAATTCCATCAAAAATAGTCAAAAATAAAAAAAAGTGGGATTAATTTTGGGTGTCTCAATTCATGTCGTGTAAGGAATGGTGGTATCAAGCCCGTCTGGGGCGGGTTGGGAACTGCACATCCGGTGGGTCGCGCAGGCCCAAGGGAGCGGGCGCGGGCCATCGGTGACTCGCCCAAAAAGAGAAGTGGGAATGCGGAGGGCCTACGATACGCGACGATACACTATTCAAAGTTACCACTGGTGTGGTGTGCCTCTGCTTTCTGTATAGCACCCGGTCTGTAGTCCATAGAAGAGTGGTGTGGTGGCAGTATCGATGCCCGCCATCTGCGGTGTGCGTCCCGTCCAATCTGCCTTCCCAACTCCAGCCAACACTTTCACACTCTCATTCACACACGATGCCTCGGAACCAGCGACCACCGTGAATGATCATTTATTTGTGGCCACGAGGACTCCTTCGATTGGCCCAGCGATGGTGACAGCGGCAATCAATTGCACCTCTTATCAGCAGCACGCCCGTGCAGCGGCAAATCAGCAGTGGCTCCGGCCCGGGACAGTGGGCCTTGGGGATTGGATTTCACAGCCAGCGCGACGTCCATCCTTGGGGCTCCCCCCGAGACCAATGGAGGCTTGCTCGTCCCCGCCCCACGCGCGTCCCGTCCTCGTCATTTCACTGCCAGGGCAGTACACCACCCAGAATGGCCAACACTGTGGAGGGGAACCCCCACCGTAGCCCACCGGGCTGGCGATCGACACTGATCTGACTGCGCTGACCTCGGAGGCCCATTTCCCCCCGGTACTTGGAATTATTCTCCAGCACGATCAACATGTGGAAATGTGGAAACAAAAGACGGGGTCGATCCATGCCCCATACAGGGCGAGTGCGCCTGGCCTGTCCAGGTGTGCATGAATCCGCAAACCCAAGTCGCTCAGGATCGCGCTGATCAGAAGGCTATCAACGGTGGCGACCACCGTGCTACCTTCGACACCCTCAAGGTCATTGATGGACTTGCTGTACTAGTGACCCGTAAATAACAGATGTGTTCGATCGTGAAACGGTCGGCATTGGCCCACGACCGGCCTGGCGCTGGCGAAGGGTGTGTGTCCACGCACACCCCCTGGTCAGTTTCATATGATTTTCCGGCCAAAAGTACAACGGGCACGAGGCAGAGAGAAAATCGGAATGTGAGTAACGGACGCCGCGGGCAACCACTGATCTGTGCTTTCTTCTTTCGAGAAAGTATTGGTTCCGACTTCGATATTCCATCGCCCATGATTACATAGTACTCTACAGATTAGTCTAGCTTCTTTTTGGTGGAGGCAAATTATTCGGCGCGCCGACCAGCAGCAGCTTCAGCTTCACGGTCCAATGTGTGCCAATTTGCCACATGGATCGGTGCGGGAATTTCTTCGGGCCACTGGCAAGAGCAAGACGTCCGTAAGGGGTCGGCGCGACACGTCAAAGCTCAGCTTCGACTCAGCTTGTGATGGTTTGATTTTTTTGGTCTGCATTATTGGGGAATTGTTGATTCTGCGCTGCGCGGCCTACTGCAGGAACCAGCTGCGGAGGCACCGAACGGAATCTGAACCTGACCCAACATCAGACCCAGACTCCCCGAAGCAATGCGGTCATTGGCAGGCCAGGCAAAGCAAGGCTTCCTGCAAGTTCCTCGTCATACGCGAATGACAGCGCTCGAACAACTGTCGGCGAGAGCGTCCCGAACTTTGAGCCTTGCCCTAATCGCGAGCGTCTCAGCACACCAAATACCCAGCTCGGCACTGCGCAGACGATGGCCGGGTCTAGTGGCGCGCTGGGTATGCACGTCTGAACCTAGGCTGTTTTCCCCGGCATACGCAAAGAACTCGCAGCAAGGTGTAATCTATGGGAGTGGCGTGTGATACATCTGATTGGCCTGGCGAGCGTCAGCCATGTCGCGAGGTGATGTGTTCCGATTGCAGCTGTGATGGCACTGCTGCATACCGCATCTCACGTAGATCCGGGGCAGCGCCAATGTCCAATGTGCCAATGTGTCTCTCGGGTGGTCTGTGATCCATCAGGCAGGACGCAGAATCCGACACATCCAACTTGATTCTTTGTCTGCCGACGATGTGTGCTCTCACTGCCACACACCCAACTGATGTGCCTTTGTGCGTACATACGTACAGACGGCGCCACGCAAGCAAGACCCGATCCAATCTTGAGTAACTTTAGGCTTGTGTACGGATGCCTATGTAGCACACTCCTTCCCGGTCTTTGTGCTGAACCCAAACATGGGTCCTGGCATTTCCTTCCCTTTTTTCTCGGCATGCCCATGACTCTGGACGAGAGTCATGATGAGATAGACAGTACCTTAGGTCTGTACATAGGGTGCGACCGGCGACAATCAGGACTATCACGACTATCCCAATCCTACGGCGAAGGTAGTACCAACCCAATCCCAAAACGGAAAAGTAGCAACACCCACAGGCAAAAGCAGACAGCTCGAGTCCAGTCCTTCCAGTCAGTTGCTCTCCCACGGAATTTCATCATCGCCCATCCTTTCCCATCCGCGCATCAACCGTGCACCATTGGCCGCTTCTAAACATAGCGGCCTCCACCGCGGCCCACCGTGGCCCACCGTCTCCTCTTTCAGTCCCTCCGCCTCAACGCCATCCCCGAAGGAGTAAAATGGTGACGGGAATCCTCGACATTCTTCCGTCTGCCAATCACATTCCCGAGACAGTCCACTTGCGCTGGGAAATTGTGAAATGGAGAGGGAAATTGTCTGATCGCTCCCGGCCTCCACTCCCGGACGACGGCCACCCGCAATACCGCGCCTGTACCGTCCCCAGTCACCTCTGCGAAGAGCAAGTCCAACTCCCAGACCTCGCGCTCCACTCATGGGAGTGTCCACTCATCGTCATGCCCCACGGAGTACTTTCTACTTAAGTTCTGTACTTATGACTTACTAAGTACTTACAGAGGAAAGCTCACTGGGTCGAGGGTTGCCTTGCGCGGTCTAGTCCAGGCCGCTGGGCGAGGACTAAGAGTGTTAGGACAGTGCCCTAGACTCAAGCGGGGCCTAGTGGGTGGACAGGCCATGCATGGAAGGCTGTCATGACTCTTCGAGAAAGAACAGCGACTCCATTCCTCCTTGCCATCTTCCGGACTAGTCTTCGCCTAGCGAGGAGACTAGGAACGACCCTTGCAGGTGTCGCCGGCCATGATTTTCGCTGCATATGTACGAGACACTACGTACTGACGTTGAGGGTCTTCATCAATAACAATATGGATAGGTGCTAGCCCTTGCCAAGGTCCATGTCTGGCGTATGGATCGACCGAACCAGAGCTCCAAAAATGCGACCGTTTTGGCTTTGTACTATTTGCGTTGGCTCGCTCGTTCTCGTTTACACATCTCATACCGCGGGTGCCACCCGTTGCTCCAAGCCAAGCGCCCATCCCCCAATTCCGTTTTTTGACTAAGCGCTATTGCAATTTATTGAATCCTGAGCTTGGGGATCGCCAGGCACGGGGGAGGCCAAACGTGGTCCCGTCGCGCACTCAGCGTGGCCACGCAAGGAGGAAAGATCTCACCGAGCCGCCCAAATCAGCCCCCTACGGCCTCACCCGCGTCTACACGGACCAGATGAAGCGGGTGCCTTTGCGTTACTGACAGGGCAAAATGGAGAATGTGTCGCGCCTGCGGACAGTCTGGATGCGCGGTGGAGCATGGAGATAGCGTCCGGCGGACGGGCGGCTGCTAGTCCAGTCACTCACGCAGAGGGTCCTCATGCACAGCCGACGGTGGGCTGGATGGGGTCGGGTGTCTCTGATGGGAAGAGCCCTTCTCCATTTTGGTGCGCGACTGGAGCTCCAGAGCTTTCCCCATATCCAGGCCTTTGGCCATTAACCAATGACCCTCGCCGAGGGATTTTCAAATCCTCAAAGAACGGGCCAAGCCCGTGCTGTTGGATGCTCATGCTGGGTACGTATGGAGAGAGAGGAGTCGGGATCCATATGAGCTTTTTCCCCGACGAATTGGAGGAGGTTGGGTCTGCCACGGAGTCATTGCCTCTTCTTCGTTGTTGCTCTCGTCCTGGCTCTCTGTACATGATTACTAGATCGGGATTTGGTGGACTTCATGAACTATCGGGCTTTGCACAGGATTGGTTTGGCTGCGAGAAACCGTTGTCGATCATGCTCGTATCCGCCCATTACACTGGTACAGAGTGGATGATATTATTGTTTATTGCGACGCTCGACCTGTTCCATCGGGTAATGTCCGTGGCGTCTAGCCGCGGATAGAATTGAGACAGATGCATCGAGCTGCATGGTATATGCCGGTGACTGGTGTTAAAATCTATAAAGTACCCTATTTTACTTTACTAATGAACACAGCCATTGGAAGGCAACAGATTCCAGGTGCCTGGAGTAGTTCCAGTCGTAAGGCAATGGATACATCATACATCGAATATTCGGGCGGAGCCAGCCACCATGCAAGGGTCTCGAGGCTATCCACGCCGTTTTTTTTTCCATCTCCCATACATCCAAAGCTTGCATCCTGCGGCTTTGACAGCGGGACGCCGCCACCAACCTGGGCACGCAGCCATTGGCCCGTATGATTGCCGTGCTTTTGCAATGTGATCTGGCATTGCTTACATTCTGAAGTTAGTGATATGTCGGTTTTCTCCTTACAGACGTCAGACGCCCATCCAATCCCCGAGTGGAGCCTCCACCGGTCCGGGTCAGTGTTTACATGCTAGTTCGTCTCGGCGCACTCTACTTGCCACTCCGCTCGAGCGATGGAGTATACGCGTGTCGGGAATGGCGATAGACTAGTATGACCGTCGTCCCGCCTGTTGGCAGGCCTAACGAGGCTAAACGACTAGGCTTAACGGCCGTAGTTCGCTGCAGGCGTAGGGGTTCGAGCCCCCTAATTCACATGGTGTCACCAAGGCTTCAGATACAGTATTCCCCATTCGGCGGGCTGGGTAGAGCGTTCCGAACCAGGTGCAGCAAAGCCGACGACCCAATGGAGGCGGCTTTGGGGGGCGTGAGGGGGGTGAGAGGGGCCTGAGTCGGACGGTGTTATTCGCGGATATCTGCGGAGTGCCGTCCACTTCTCTATGATCATACTATCGAAGGTACCAGGACGGTCAAGGTCCTCTGAGCAACTAGGAGGGCTTTCGACATTGCGATTCGACGCTGTCCCGGGCGGGTCCTAGGCTACTATCAGCGGCCGAACTGGAACTGAACTGGGACTGGAACTGCCAGGTGGAACCTGGGACTGCTCTGGTGGAACTTTGGTTGGAGGAGTGCCTTTGAATTGAACTGAGGCGGATAGCCACCCTTGAGCTGCTGCGCTGTCCCGAGGTAAGTCTCTCCTCGATTGCTTTCTTCTGAGTCGGTTCTCATCTCTGGGGATAGCTCAAACCTTGCTGGGGAGGTCTACACCAGGAAGAGAAGCTAGTCCCGATCTCCAAGGTATTCGGGCTCTTAACAGCGTTGCAGATCGCGGCCTGCGAAGCCTCTGGGAAAGGTTCTAGCGTGGCTAGCGGGAACCGGCGTTCAGTACGAAGTCGGACTGGCATTTTTACACTAAATACATGCTGTGGTATCTTGGACAGAGTCCGGCCACTGGTTTCATTTCGGGCCTTTCCGCACGTTGGAATCTGAAACAGCTCGAGGGCCGACACGGTGGCATCGAACACGCGTCGAGGCTGGGGCTGGTGCTAGCGCGCACACCGGGTTCTTGGCTGGGCCCACGCCGAAAATCGAGACGAGCCTGTCTCCAGGGCCCATGTCCAGCGACTGTTGGCTGGTAGTAGCGGTGTGTAATCGGAGAATTTGTCTGCAGTGGCCAGTGTTGAGTGTAAGGGAGAGCATTGACAGGAGGGAAGAAGCGGTCGAGACGTTGGTGCTACTGCCAGGAACAAGCAGGGACGAGCAGGAACGAGGTGCGCTCGGTCACACCCGAGCGGTACACATCTGGACATACTACATGTATGAAAATATTTACATGTGCGACCTACACATTGAAGGTATTGGACAATTGCATCATATGACCCGTAGGCACTTGGATAAGTGCTAAGGTACATGGCCAACTATAGGAGTACTACCAAGGTGTATGCTGTACAGGCGAGTCAGCACCCGCTCTCTTTCAACCTCGCTTCGCTCTTGCCAACTGCACATCTTATTAATTGGCGCACCCAGCCTCTACTCTAACGGACAATTCCGAGTGAGGATCAAGAACACTGCAACGGTCGTTCCGCCACACCGCCGTACTGGGCTAACGGGTGCTCGGGCGCAGTTTCACATCCACGGTCCTGCCTCTGCTCCTTCAGGATTTGCCAGGATGAGCCTGCGCACGCGATGCACGGGAATAACCACGGGAATGGCCCAAGCGAGAATGCGGGGGGTCTCGGCTAGGGTCGACTTCATGATGCACATCACAGACGAAGAGGACCCGTGGACGGGCGAGATCAGACGCCCAAGCGGGCAAAGCCGGTGTCACTCGCCATCTTGGGGGGACCAAATGAAAGAGAAAGAGTTAAGGTCTGTCCCGGCCGACCGTTCTTTCGGATCTGCTCTGCACGTGTCCCTCGGTCGACGCTGTTCGTGCTTCTCCAGACTCTCCAGGCGGTTGGCTGGTGACCCCGACACTACTCTCGATCCGGCATATAGTCCCTGGCGACTTCCCGGTAGTGCATCGCATGTCGCTCGTAACCTGCCGCGAGAACGTGCTGCAAACTTACACTTGGGCCGCTCTTCCTGTCGAGCCACGTTTGCTCAGAAACCAGATGCCCCCAAGTTCCTGATGGGGTTCCATCCGGCAAGATCTGCCCCCGTCCAGGTGCTATCGACGGTAGCTAGTCTTCACCGGGCCCGGAAGATGTCTGAAGAAACCGCTCGACGATTGGCATCATGCTTGAACGGAGACCTTTTCCCTGAAGCCCACTAGTCTCGAGGCTAGCTTCATCCAGAGGGCCAATGGTCGATGCGTGGGCGTGTTCCAAGGTTCAAGCTTGTGTTAGCGTCGCCCATTTTGAAGCTTCGCGGATCCCCATCTTCATGGATACTACTGCAGTGAGAGCACAAGGTCCTCGTACTCGCGGCGTATTGCGTCGTACTCGCCTCCACACTGCGACCTCCACTTGGCGATCGGCTACGACCGCACATCCAGTCGCTGCGATCGCTGCGATCCAGGGCCCAAAAATGCGGAGAGTTGTGGGCGCACATCTTGAGCACTACGTGCACACTGCTGAGGGCCGTATCACAGTATGTGGATGCAGTCCCCAAGTCACGGAACTCTGTCAGTTCCGACCCAGTGCACAGCTGCATTAGTGCCTCTTGCTCGGGGACCACTATCCATCCGACGTCCAACGAGAGGGCCCTTCGTGTCCCCAAAATCCATATCGGCTGGCCCTCAGCAAATGGGCCTGCCCTGCCGTATCTGCAACTTAGAGGAACCAGGAACAGCTCTGGTATCATCGAATGGTGCAATTCTATTTGCGCCAACCCCAACACGGTTGGTAGTTTCCTCCCGTACGGTTCCTGCGACACGAACCCCCCAGCAGCATCGTGCGAACCGATTCCGTGGGTTTCACTCAGGTACCCGGCTATCGTGCCAATCACCTGCTGCAGACACTGTTTCAATGAGGACCCCGGTGGGCTCAGCTGAGTATTGCACGGAAGTCCGCGTCTTCTCCGTCGCGCCCCCTTGGCCCCGCTGGATATCTCCATCTGGTTCCCCTCTGCAGCTCTCCAGACTGCGATTCCCGCATGCCGAAACCCTATCTTCCAGATCCAGATCGTCGGTCTCAAGTCTGGTTCGGTGAGGTCATCGCTTGTTTCAGCGCTGATCTTATTCCCGTTCTTGTGCATCTGTATTAAACCCCGGAGCAATTCCGAATCCACTGACCTCAACTCCAGCGCCAACTTAGGCTAAATGGGAGAAGGCTCTACGCAAGTCCAATCCTCCCATTCCTCCCCAAGTCACCACTTGCACCACATTTTCAGCAGATCTTTCCTCCGATCGGCCCGGGCACGACCAACTTCTCAGTCCTGGAGCCTTGGCCGGCCCAACACGACTCCATCATTTGTGAATCTGTGAATCTCCCGGCTGCGTTTGCTCCCCCTTCCCCCCACCCGGCAGCCGCACAAGGTTCATCGATGGGACCGTGGTCCCGTCCTCGTACTTAGTCGTAGGAATCCTCCGAGGCTGGGGCTTGCTCGTATGCTGTGTCGTCTCCATTGCCCTTTGCGCGATCCAGATCGACACTTCCCCATTTCTTATCAGATAGTCTTTTCCAACACACGGCTCATGCCAAGGAAGTGCATGCCACCAGTGCCAATCTGGCAGTGGTGGCACTGGGGTGGGGGTGCGTCTGGAAGGGGATCTCCCTCTCGCAACCTGAGTACGTAATTGATATGGGCGGGTTTAATTTCAACTGTCCACACCCTAACGATGAGGTATTTGGCGGATGGCATGAGATGCGAGTGGATGCACAATTGCCTCATTTGCCTTGTCCTATAGTAGTTCAAAAGTACCCTGAGGTACCGTCGTCGTACTTTTTCAGTCACAGTAGATTAGAGTTAGTGCTGGAATGGAGACTACTGAAGCATCGAAGCGACTAGAGCCCCGACTAGAGCTGAGGTCGGACCTCGTGCAGAAGCAAAAAAAGAAGGCAGGCAAAGAAAAAGCCTTTCACAAATGGCGCTTGCATGGTCGAGGTCCTTTGGGTCGCGCGATAATTTCTTCTGGAAGACGCCACCGACTATTAGGCTGCCATCGTGGAACAGCTCTAAATCCACTCATTTCGCTAGCACTACGGACCATACGGACCAGTCCTCGGCTGGAAGTAAATTGCTTCTTCACCACTTTTTGGATGGTTGATATGCTCTTGACGGTGCACGTGTGGGTGGATACTTCGGTATGGGCGTGCTCGACGCTGGCACGCAGACTGGCCACAACCAGCACTGGCCAGCAACCTCACGTCAGGGCGGTTGAAGCGGGTCTGCTTGTCCGTGTCGTGTGGCCTACATAACCGGAAGATGAAGCAAAAAGCACACCGGCGAGCACAACATCGGGAGGACATCCCCATCTCGCAATGGAGCCAACCTTGGCTCGCTTACCTCGCTAGATATTCGTCGTCGACTCTACACTCTCTATAGCCGATCCGGTTCGGCCGGCGCCATTGGACCATCACCATCGCACTCTATTCACTCTTTCGGATAGCCGACTCCTCCCTCCCGTGGATCTCATCTATCCCCCACGCCCGACACCGACCGAACAGTGGAGTGCCGAAGTCTGGTACTGGATCACACATCCAGACATGGGAATATGGCACGATCCGGCCCCGTCTCTAACTGCTTCTGGAGAATCGCACGACGGCGGAGCTGGCCAAGAGAGTCCACGTTGCGTTTCATCTCTTCCAGCTGGTTGTGTCCAGCCGCACCATCCGGTCGGGGCTGTTCTGCTGTTCCAGCTGATTTTTTCAAGCGTACATGGTACGTGAGTGGATTGCCGGCCCGCGATCGATACCGAGGATCCATCCAACCGTCCTCTACAGAGAACTTTTCACTGGATGTCCATCATACGATTGCGTCAGAGATGGAAAGCATGCCATTATTACAGATCGTCTGTTTCGGCGAGCAACGACTTCAGGCTCTGCCGTGCTCCGCTGATATGATCCATGGCGGCAACAGGGTCCTCACTCGCGGCCAAGTGCCATTGCGTGTGCAAGGTGCAAGTTCGCTGGCTGATCATTAGAGCCGCTCAGCCTTGTGAAATCTCTGCAAGCATCTAAACGAAGTGAGACGCTGACAGCTAAATCTAACACTGGATCTGGTCTGAATCAGGATCTGATATGCGTACCAGCTCGGCCAGCTGTCAGCTGTCAGCTACCAGATCACTACACAGCATTGCCACAACAAATGGCTGGCCTCAGGGATGGTTAAGTTAAGATCAAGCTCCAAGTAGGAGTCAGTCTCTTCCTATCATAATATTTCCATTGTCCTCATCATCAGCCAAATATATGCAGAAGCAAAGATGCCGCACTCACAACAGAAATTTAGCCGTCCTTGGCTGACTCAGCGGTCCGCTCTCCCGGGACGGGAACAACGGTTCATCCGCTCGCTTCGTTGGCCGCCCGTCCATAAATTCTGCGCGGGCTGGGCAACCTTTGCTCTTTTTCTTTTTCTTCTTCGTGCGGCGGCGCAACTATCAATTTTACCCGTGTTGCCTGGATATCCACGGCCTTCAAAAAGCCTTCAGTGATATAACCAGGTGTCAGTTGCGCCACAGACGAACGGAATTGCACACCGGTTCTACTTTATTGGTCTTACTGATTTCCTAAGGATGAGACCATTTGGTTTGGGATCGGACATACTTTTTTTTCAATCTCGAAAGTGCAGGATTGGAGAGTAGTTAGCTAGTCTCTCTTATCCTCTCAATTAAAAAAAAAAAAAAAAAATTTAAAATGAAATGGAAGATTTTTCAAAGTTCATCTGATGTCCAGTAAAGGTTTTTTAAGCCTGAGCTTGTCGCTCGTAGCCGGTCTGGTAATAACTATGTTCGCTCACGCTAACATCAAGCATTTGTCTAGGCTGACCATGGACATGGAGAAGGTAAAAGAACGCAAGACTCCCATCCATCTACAAGAGTGCTTCGTACTTGTCGAAGTACGAGCTCGTCTTTACTCGCCGGGCTCATCACCAATCTTCTCCAGCTTGCCCATGGCCCTCTTGTCGCCCGCGTCGCCAATGAATCGAATTCGATCCACGCGCAGCTTCTCGCTATCGCCATCCCCATCGCTGAAGAAGAGGACGAGCGAAGTCACGCTCTGGAACTTGACAAACCGCAACGGCACATTCACAGTGCCCGTCTTCGCATCCCAGTCCTCGGGCTTGATCTCCACCTTCTGCACGGCGGGGATATCCTCCGCCTCATCGAAGCCCAGCACATGAGACCGATTTGTGTACAACGAGATCGTCTTCGGGCGCATCGGCGCCTCGTCGTCGTCGCCGTCGTTGGTCGCGAACGAGGTAATCTGCAGGGAGTGCACCTTCAGGTTCGACTGGAATGGGACGTACAGCATCAGCTGCTCGTCCGTGTCACTCTCCACCCAATCCTTGCCGGCGTTGCTCTTGTCCTTCCCTGTCAGGGCCGATGGCTTGCCTTCGAACAGTACCCGCGGCAATCCGAATTCGTCGTCCCGGTTCAACAGCTCCAATCCCTTTGTTTCGACTTGGTCGGTGACATCGGCGTAGGGCTTCGTCACGGCTGCACCGAGCCAGGATCCGCCGCTGCTTCCTTCGCCTGCGTCGCCGCCGTCGGACTTGCTGGCTTCCGTGGCGAGCTTCTGGATGACGCCGTTCAATTTTTGCGGGTCGGCGCCGTTGACGGTTTCCTTGACGCGTCCGTTCTCGAAGACGATGAAGGTGGGGAGTCTGTCAGGTGTTAGTCCAACTTTATTCGATTTGTAGAGCACGTATCCGTAGATCGTAGGGTGTGGTGACGAAGGAGGAGGGACGTACGCCCGCACGCTGTAGGCCTGCGCAAGCTGTTGCTGCTCATCGACGTTGATCTTGGTAAATGTGATCTGGTTCGGCCGCGAGATCTGGCGAGCCAGCGAGTCGTAGGCAGGGGCGATGGCTTTGCATGGTCCGCACCACTCGGCGTGAACTGTTGTTTGATAGGGTTAGATCTGCCAGTCACGGTGTTTTGGGCTGCGTTGGTCGAGCGGGGTTGAGACTTGGTTGGCGGGTGACGCTGCCAGCAGCACACTTACAGTCTGCAATGACGATCCGCGAGGAGTTGAGCAAGGTGGTGAACTGCTCGGGGGAAGAAATCGTGACGACGGCCATGGTGTAGGGTGATGGTGTTGGAGGGGCGGGGAGCTGAGGTTTCGGCGGTCCCTCATATGTCATCATGTTTTGCTCCCGCCAAATCGTCCGAATCCGTTTTCTGACATTGCAGGCTCAGATTGATTTTTTGGATGCGACAGGTTTACTCAGAAGTAGTAATTATATTGTCTGCAAATAGCGCAGTTTGGTCGTCGCGTCTCCCTGGATTTGATTTTCCCCTTCCAACCTTGGAAGTGATGGGACCAAAGCCCTCCTTGGTGTCTATAACACCCCCAATAGGAACAGGAGTCATCTCTTAACCGAGTTTGTATTTCTTCAGATATTGGATTTTATGGTTGAATTGATATAGTGCATTTAATTATAATTTTATTTTTATTTCTCTGGAAACCCAATTACGACGCCACAGCGCCCTCTCTGACATATATATTGTCTTCTGAGTTTCCGTCTGAAGTCAGGTTTGACACTCAACCATGCAGGCACCAATTCAGCCTTTTGTGCCACTACCATTACTCTGCTCCTCTGCTCATGCTCATGGGGTGTAGTAGCGATGCTCTACTACCTACCACTCTAGCTTTCACTCTCTGTGATCCACTCAATTATTCGTTTGACATGAATCACTTGATCACCCGTAGGATATACCCTTCTCAAGTGGCATCCTCAATAGTATTCGGCCTTGTGCTTGAGTCTCATATGAAGAGCCCATAGGGAATGATTCGATTCCCCCGAAAGCACAGTAGCATAGGCGGGCGGTGCAGGCATCGTGGATAGCTCATGGTGAGAGGCAGTTTGACCATCCGCAGCTGCAGTGTATGGGGATACGGAGCCAAAACTCGCAAGATAGGCGGGGTCTGCGGAAACTGTAGTGTCCTACGCTGTGAGAAACAAGATCATCCAGCCAATATCATCCAAGACGAGCCATGGCAGTATAATCACCCATCATCCTCAACAGCAAAGAGCACCTTCAACCACAGGGAGCAACCCCGACACCCAACAACAATCTCGCCATGCTCCGCCTCCTTTTCCAACTCATCCTCAGAGACCAGGAATCCCCGATCATCACCACACCGACATCCGCGATACCACACCGCACCCTCCCCACCACTCTCATCACATCCCAAATCCTCCAAATCAACAATTTCCAACCCAGTATGAAAAACGTCGCCCGTCTTCTCCCGCTCCGCCACCTTTACCCGATCAAGTCGGAGAACACGATCATATTCTGCGCGGAGGGTGGGGTCCGAAAGGGTCTTATATGCCGTCGTGATCTCGTCAATCGTGTAGCTGCGCGACTCGACGTCTTTATTGCTTAGACTAGAAAGGGTCGCCCGTGTCCCGGATTCTTGTGTGACGGCGCTGGCTTTGTCTGGGTGGTGGCGGAGGAGGGCTTTGTGGTACGCGAGTTTGAGTTGTTGTTTCGAAAGGCTGGTCGTTGTCCCGCTGAAGGGAAGGTTGAGGACTGTGTAGTAGTCCACGAAAGTGGAGGTCCCGGGCATTGTCGCGTCGTTCTATTTCGTCTATCGATCGCCCTTTTCCGGTCAGAGGGTATTCGGATTTGCCCGTGTTTTTTTGGCTTGACTTGCGGTCTGGTCGCTGGGCTAGGCTGGGCTCCCCCGCGCTGCAAGTCGGCTTACCCCGGGTTTCGGATCCCAGCGCAGTCTAGCGAGAGGCTTGACCACGGACTCTGTGCGCGACGCGACGTCGGGGCGGGGGTTGGGCGTGGTGGTTTCTGGGGTTGAAGATTTAAAATGCAGTGGAGCGCCGGTGGTGCACGCCACTTCGGACTGGCGGCCCAGCGGTGCTGCGTAGGCGGAGTGCGGTTCTCCCTTTACTTTCGTCTCTTCAACAACTTACCTTCAAGTTGGAACCTCAGAACTGACGTTGCCATTGACGACTTGCTACTCGACTATCATATTCCAGTTCGAATTTGTCAGACCCAAAATGAACATGCTGACAATAGACATGCTGACGCTACGCAACAACTTTGAGCTTTGTACTAATCGGCATTAATCCAATAGGAAACAGTCACATTGAAATGATCTAGATCTATCTGAACATTTCGGATATCACATCGCGCAAGAAAATAAATCTATGCAGACCAAGTCTACTTCTAACACATCATACACTCCTGCCTTAAAATCACGCTTACTCAGAGGTCTTGAAGCTGTAGCGCTCCTCAGACTTGAAGGGAACACCCAGCTCCAGAAGCTTGACGAAGACGTCAGAGAACTCCTTGAAGAAAGCATCATTGTCCTTGGCATAACGCTCAACGTGCGACTTGAAGTTCTTGTCCTTGATCAGGGCAATATCAGTCGGCAGCATCATCAGGGTGGAGGTGGACTTGTCAGTGAACTGGGCAGGACCATTCCACTTGCGGTTGTTCCACTTCTCCTCAACGAGCAGACGGAAGAACTCGTTGCTGAAGACGGTAGGGCTGAAGTCCCAGGGACCGTCGAAGCCGGAGCGGTCAGTGTGCGCGCGGCCCAGGGCGTGGGCACCGATCAGAGCAACCATCTCGCGGTCATCGAAGCCCATGCGGGAGAAGACGTCGCGGATGTGACGCTGGTCCTTGGCGGCGTCGGGCAGACGGCCGTCCGGAGTGCACGCGGCGACGTCCTTGTCCTCACGGCCGGGTCTCCAGGGGATGACGGGGCCACCCAGCTCCTGGATGGAGGCGGCACCGGCCAAAGTCCACAGATCCGAGTAGGTGATCCAGGGGAACTTGGCCTTGACGGGCTCGAGGAAGTCCCGGGCGATCTTCAGACCGGCGTTGGCGCCGTGGTCGGACTCGGGAGCGAAACGCATGGTGGCACCGTTGCTGCCACCGGTGCCGGTCGCCTTGTCATAGGTGCCGCTGGCGTGCCAGGCGAGACGGACGAGGACCTTCGATGAGGAGAGTATGTTAGTCCTCTCCTTCCCCCTTCGATGGGATTCAATGGCTGTGCTAAAATACTTACAGGTCCATAGCTGCCGTCATCATAGTCGGTCTCATCAGCCAGCTTGCGGGCGATCTCGTCATACACCTTCTGGTAGTCGGCCTGGGTGGGGACGAAGGGCTTGCTCTCGCCGTTCAGGTAGAAGTAAGCACCAGCACCACCGGCAACAGCAAAGGCCAGAGCCCAGATACCGCCAGAGGACGAAGACTTGCCGCCGGCTTCAGAGGCGTATCCACGACGAGCAGTGGTACGGAAGCCCTGAGCGGGGGCAATGAATCGAGCAGAGCGTGCCGCCGGGCGGAATGAAGAGGCCGGGCTTGAGCGCAAGAAAGCGCGAGATGCGGACCGAGCAACGGAAGCCATTGTGTGTGAGATGATCGAGGATTAAGATGGATAGGGAGGGAGAGGAGGAGAGAAAGAGAAGGAAGAAGTCGGAACCCCGTACCTAAGTACCTCCCCCTGTGCAGCAGCCTCCTGTGAACCAAACTGTGCCACTCGCTGGGATCCGCGCATTTGCCTCGGTCTTTGACTCAGGCACTCCGCATTTCACCCCGATGTCGATGGCTCCCATTCTTCCAGCCTGGTGGCGGGATCTGCTGGGACCCGTGCCGCGCGTCGCCAGGAGGCGAGCTGGCGGCTTCGCTTCTTCTCGATGCGCATCCTGGCCGGCCTCTGCGCGCCCGACTCGATGTCGACACGTCTCGCAACGGGCATCATTCTCATGCATTCTCTCATTCCACCCTCCACCCCGGCTGTCGCAAGCGGGTCCCTAATTTGTAACACCGACGCGCTGCTTGGTCGAAAGACGGCCGCGGCTCCACCGACTGCACGGCCTGCTCCGACGCTTACCTCATCGATCGATCTGGCTCGCGCAGTCGCTGCTTACTGAGATCGATGGCCTGGATTCTGGGGTTGTCGTCTGCAGACCGTTTGTAAGATGGGCCAGTCTGATGCTTTTTTTTTACTCGCGAACCGTGGGCCACACGCACAAAACTGTAAGCACCTTTCTGCGACCGTGGGTCGATCGATCTGATTGCCATCCCGTTCCACATCGCCAGAGAAATCACTTGGATTGTTTTCCCCGAATTAGTGAGACGTAGATACTCACTAGAATATTCAATTAGGGGTAGGGTATTACTGCAAGTCTACTTATGTCTTTGTCGGACCATACACCCTCTTCGTAGCCGAGGACTCCAACCTTCGAAGGGGTGATTTTCCATCACTCAGTGTTGTTTGAATACTGTCTAATGTAGGTACAGAACAAAAGATCTCTTTCTTCTGAGAATTCAGATTTGATTTTGCATTGCTAAATCTACCCGTCAGACACTCGCAGCTGCTGTCGGGCATTTGTGAAACATGATGAAGTGCCTCGACAGGTTCACAGTATGTTAAGTAGAGCACCACTTTGCCATACAAATATATATACATTCGTACCTTACATTAGTGTAATCATGATGTTTCCCTCCACCCGATTTGTGCACTAATGTTGTTCATGATAGCATCGGATTGCATGACTATACTTGCTTAATTCTATTTGCACCGAATTAGACAGTAGCTCCAAGCTATGTGATGCGCGAAATAACCCTTACAAGTATCATGGCACCAAATTGTACGCTGAGTGACACCGAATCAGAGGACAAGGATAAGCCAGTATGAAAAGAAGACTGGCTGGTTTTAAAACCAGAGACTTTGAGGCACTGAATGATCCATGTTCACTTTCAGCTCAACGCAGCGACAGACAAGATGAATTATTCGATGCGAAGAGGCGAGCCAATTCTCAACATGACGACGCAGAAAGATGTGGGGGATTTACTTCGAAACCGACATGTCAAAAGGTTACTTGGATCGTCAAGTGCAATTGCATGCTTACAAAACTGCTTATACTGGATATATGGACAGTATTGATACCTCAAGACTAAAGCGAAGGTTAACTGTCCCAAGTCGAAAAGCCAAAATAGCAACAAGACAGTAAGGGGGAATTGAGTCCATTGAAATAATAAATGCATTGGAGTATGGTAGAATGTTCGTCGTAAAATTAGTCCTGCTGCTCGATTGATCCCGAGCACCAGGGTGGAGTAGACGCAGCCCTGCTAAAAGCTGTTTGGTTTTGATCTCCCACCGAACGAACGATAAAAATCACCCATGAGACGAAGTGCCACTCTCTGGCACCACGCGGGTTATGTGGGTTGGAACTCCCGAGAGCACCCGAGGTCTGTTGTCGACTACGAGATCCCCAACTGAAAGGATCGATTGACAACGACCAGGGACGCTCTGTTGGCAGTTGGGAAGAGAAGAAAGAGGAAAGCGCGACGAAGAAAACTTCACAAAACCCATCATACACGTGACCGCGCTAGGTTCATAACACGTGACAACAGCCCGGAGTATTTGGGCCCGAAAAATCTGCCCATCGCTTTTCTCCTCCTCATAACACTTCATGAAAATCACGAACGCATAATCAACCTTCACTCCTACCTTAGGGTGTTTGCCATAGGATGACGGGTCATATTGGCGTACTAGATTAAATCCCGAGCAACATAAGGCTTCACTACGGCACTGGAGGCTCGGTTCTCCTTTTGCAGTGGTGGTGCGAGTCACCTGCTGCTCAGACATCCCTTTTTCACGCGAAAATGGGGTTGTATTTACGTATGCACCGTAGATTTGCGATTCTAGTACGCATCGCAAAAAACTGCAGATATGACGCAGATTCAGGCGGGTTGACCGGTTCCTAGCCGCTGGGATGAAATTATCATTGGGACGGAGATGACTTGAGCCAATCTTAGTGCGAATGCGTAGGCCATGTTCGCATAGCTTTGCTCCCAGCTTGGCAGGGGCCTCAGCCGACAATGGCAATCTGCTGAGCCAATCTAGAGCGCTTCTCGAAGAGGTCGTTGGTGGAGTCGTTCAAGGGGAAGTGTCTGTCGGCGTCCCTTGGGCCTCGATTCCGGGGTTGCACCTTAACTTTGCCCCTCGCAGACTTGTGATCTTCCTCCTTCATCTTCTTCCCCTATTCCCTTTTTTTTCCCGCAATCGTTGTATTGTGTCCATTCCTTTCTTTTCATCATGCCATCCGGCATTAGCAAGCGCCAGCAGCTGCGTCATGAGAAAATCCTCGCCGAGCTGATCCGCACGGTTCCCGGCAATGACCGTTGTGCTGACTGCGACGCCTTGACCCCAGGTCAGTTGCCAAGAGGAAGCATGAGAGTGGTGTATACTGCTACGACAGTTGACTAACGTGCATTCGCAATTGACAGGATGGGCAAGCTGGAACGTACGCACCCCCGGACCTCTGTTCCCCTATGTCCGAATCCCACTGACTGACCGTTCCGCCAATAGATGGGTATATTCCTTTGCATGCGGTGCGCCGCAATTCACCGCAAGCTGGGCACACATATTTCCAAGGTCAAGTCCTTGTCGATGGACACCTGGTCGTCCGAACAGGTGGATGTGAGTGAAATCGCTATCTCCAGAGTGAGGCCAAGACCCAGATGCTGACGTTCGGTTTCAACAGAATATGAAATCGCATGGAAACATGTTGATGAACAAGATCTTCAATCCGAAAAATGTTAAGCCACCCGTCCCGACCGACATTGACGAAGCCGACTCGTGCATGGAACGCTTCATCCGGCAGAAATACCAATACCGCTCGTTGGAGGATGGGAAGCCCAAACCCCCGAGCCGCGAGGATGCCAGCTATACCCGGACCCCCGATTCACGACCTTCACGCGCCAGATCTCCATCGGGCTCTCCCGAAGGGTCGCCGCCTCCGCTGCCGCCCAAGACCGGCAGCAAGTTTTTTGGATTCGGCCTGCGAGGATCCTCCTCGACCTCCAACCTCCGCCGGTTCGGCACCAAGTCGTCCAAGGGTTCGCCGAATCCTGACCTTGAGCGCTGGTCTCCGGAGCCGACTATGAAGAACCGCGAGCGGGGCCTCGGCGCGCCCGTTGCCGATGTGACGACTGCTTCATTTGAATCCAAGATGGCTGCGATGCGGGAGATGGGATTCACCAACGACCGCCGGAACGAGATGGTGTTGCGCGGTCTCAATGAGGACCTCGATCGGTCAGTCGAGACCCTAGCTAGACTGGGAGAAGGAAATGGTGCTCCAATGCGAGCCAGAACTCCTGCTGCGACCAGCACCACTGCGCCTGCGCCTGCGCAGCCTGCCCGTGCCGTGACCCCCAACCCTCCCAAACCGGAGACATCCAACAATCCTTTCGAGAGGTCCGTTTCAAATCCAGTTGTGCAGCAACAGCCGCAGTCTGCGACTGCGTCTTATAATCCATTTGACCGTCCGAACCCGACGCCCGTCTCGGCTCAGCCTCTGGAAACTTCTTTCCAGAATTTACAGGTCTCACAACCCTTGTTCCCTCACTCGACTGGCGGACATCCCAATCGAGCAAACTCTGTGCCTCAGCCTGCATCTCAGCCTATGTACCAGCCGCCGTTCGCGCCATCGGCCACTTTCGGCCAGAACCAGGGCGGCTATGTCTCTTCGCCCCAGTCAATGGACAACAGCTACAATCCTTTCTTTCAGACAGCGCCTCAGCCGCAGGGCGGCGTGGCCAGTCAGACCTTTTCTAGCCCCAGTGCTGCGCAAAACAATCCATTCTTTAACAATGCCGCGCCTCAAAACCAATCAATGCAGCAGACACAGCAGCCAGCAGCGGTGCCAAATCTCTCTGTGCCTCGTCCACCTCAGCATGCGAACACCATGCCAGCCATGCCTTCCAATTCGCCGTTTGGAACCTCACCATTTGGCCCGACGCCCTCTTTCCCGCAACAGCAGCAGCAGCAGCAGCCGCAGCAGCTACAACAGGCTACAAATGCTGCTCAGGGATCCTACAATCCGTTCCAGCAGGCCATGGGACCGACGACCCCTCAGAGCGCAGGTCCATTCACGACACAGAATCAATTCCAGTCCCAGCAGTTCCAGCCTCAACAGCAGCAGCCTCAGCAGCTTCAGCAACCGCAGCAACCGCAGCAACCGCAGCAGCTGGTTCCGCAGACTACTGGCCAAATGGATAAGAACAGCATCCTCTCTCTTTACAACCTCGCCCCATCACCCGCTGTTCCTCCCATCCCTCAACAGTTCCAATCCCAGCCCCAGGCTCAAGCCCAACCCCAGTTCCAGCAGGGCATGGGAACCAGCCCTGTTCCACCCCTAACCAATTCTCTCAACACAACCCCTCAAACCCAACCCGGCTCAAGCGTCCCAACGCCGCAGCCTCAGTCCAACGCTCCACCCATCGCATCCAGAAACCCCTTCGGAGCTGCGAATGTCGGTTCTGGCCTCGCAGCCCAAGCAGGCGTGACCCCCTCTCAACTCAACCAACCTTCCTCCGGCCTGGGCATCGGAATGGGAACCAACGGCACAGCCCAGTCTCAACCCCAGCCTCAAATCCCGGCACCAACAGGAATGAAAACATCCGCTCCTTTCGCCGGTGGCTCGAGCCCGTTCTCATCCAGTCCGTTCTCCGGACCCCCGCCAAGTAACCTATCCTTTCCCCGGACACACATGAGCCAGCCAAGCGTGGACGTGAACAACCTGCAAAACGGCCGACACAGCCCAGACGCATTCGCCAGTCTGAGTGCCCGCTACGGTTGATTGCACCCTGTGTTGTTCTGGCTCAACCTCACGATGAATCTGACACCTGTTTTCACTCAAGAATATTCCGAGATGATGAACCCGCCTTCTCTTCTTATAGGCGGGTTGACCCGCAAAATCGTTTATGGACATGTGCCTCTTTTATTCCTAATGATTGGATATAGATTGATCGATGAGATGTATGTGCATGGTTGGGTGCATCGAGTTTCGATTTGTCATGGTGTTTCCACTTTCTAATATTTTCCTGTTCACTTTTTGTTCTTCATGTGTTGTATAAGTATGTCTCGTTTAGCGGATCAATGGTATATATTTGGACTTTTTTGTTTCGTTATATAGAATTTCAGATTGTTCCAAACCTTAACTGCGCTGGCGGCAATGAGTCCATAACCACAGTAGTCGATAAATTGTATGAATTATTTTACCATTCTCTAGTTCCATAATGCAAAACAGCCTTTGGCAAACAATGGTAGACATCTAAAAATTATATCCAAAACTATCCTTACCCTGTAGAGATTCAGAAGTCAAGACCACAACTCCCGTTCAAGAATCTTCTTTCTAGACTTACCACCCAGCCACGCCGGCCGCTCGGGCAAATAAGAGCGAAGCGACGACCACCTCGGCACCAAATCCCGAATATTCGGCGCCGGACGGCCCAGCGTCCAGAAGCTCGAGGGCCGCGGCGCAAAGTACGCTTTCACGGCGCGGCGCCAGGAGGCGAATTTTGCTGCGAAGGTAGGCTGGGACGGAGACCAGGGGTAGGAAAATGAAGCAGAGGGTAAGAACGCCTTCCAGCCTTTTTTGGGCTGCGCACGACTCGCTTCGTTTTTGATGGCGTCGATCATGCGGTCGAGATGGAATTCGCGGGTGTTGGTGCTGCGGCTTCGACGTTGGGTTTCGCGCCAGTTGTCTTGTTCGGTGGTGTCGAGGCACCAGGCGATGATGTCGCCTCGTCGACGCCAGTCGTCGTGCCAGGCTGTGTTGTATGTGCGCCAGCATTCGCCGTAGGAAGATCCGCGGAGGAGGGTTTGGAGGGTTGGTTCCAGTTGTTCGAAGAAGATGAGGTAGTCTGGCCATGGGTGTTGGGACTCCGGATGGGCGAGATCGGGAGGAGAGACGTAGCTCGGTCGTCGGGGGAGATGACGCAGTCCTCCGGCCATGTTGTCGCGGAGGAATTGTGCCGGGTCATCGTAGAATTGATCTGCTTCGTCGCGGTACACGGCTTTCTCAGTCTCGGTGAGGCCGATTGGGGGCTCGCAGGATAGTGCCCAAGCATCGATTGTTGGGTACACCAGATGCGATCGCCAAGGCGTACTGTGACAGGGCATCAAAAAGCCTGCGGTTATCCCGTTCGCTGTCGAAGCGGAGGAAAATACAGAGGCCTTCTGTCCGTTTGCGTGAACCTCATGTTGGCGACGGAGGTAGGTGAGGATGTTGAGCGACCCTGAGGCGTGCAGGACACTCGTGTAAAAAGCAATCACGACATTTGCGAAGATGAAAAAGATAAGCAGCAGCCTTTGCGGAGTGTACGCATGTGATGATCTGTAATATATCACAGGAGAAAAGTACTGGACCAGTGGCGGAGCTGCGAGAATGTGAAGCGACGGCAACAGTGGGTAGATGAACCGCACTTCCTTGTGCGAGATGAGCGAGAGGACGAAAGGCATCACAAGGCAGATGACTGCTAGTTGAATTCGGGTCTCTGTTTGCAGTCGGTCGGAGACGGAGAATGTCCGAAAGGTCAATGTTTGGTAAAGCCCCCAGAGAGCGAACGGCAATGCTGTCGTGAGCAGAAGGGGGAAACCCTGCGACAAGTAATAGTGCCAATCATTACGCCCATAGAATACCGCGAGCGACTGCGCGATATTGAAATAGAGAAACCTCAGCGGCGGGAACGTCCAGAATCCGTAAAAGAGACGGTCTGCGACGGCTGACACTGCGAGCACAGCGGATCTGGAAGTAATGTCAGTTGATCTGTGAAGGTGGTAGAGGTACTCTGCCTGGAATAGCAGGTATCTGATCTGCAAGAGGAATAAGCAATTACATACCCGCAAATCAAGACCTCGCGCACGAGGATCATCCGATTACCCCACGAAGTCCGAAGCAAAGCGAAACTAGCTAGCGTTGCCCAGATCAAGATGTTGGTCGGCCGCAGAATACAGGCGAGGGCAGCCAGTAGCAGGCACTTGCGAATGCTGTGTTCATGCGCGTCAGCGGTTGATTCTATCATATGCAGTATGGCTTTTCGATATTCCCCTACCTCGACAGAAGCGCTCGATCCTCGACCGTGCCCCTTCCATCCTTGCGGCTACCGTCGGACAAGGACCCTGCTGCCCACTGCCAGGGCCAGAGGTCCAACGCGACAATCGTGACCGTGGTCTCCAGGCAATTGGACAGGGTCCTTGTCGAGCAGAACCACTGCCATGGATTCAGAATTGTCACCAGCAACTGTCCCTTGTCAGCCCGGTGTTCTCTCCGCGCAAGATCCTCCCACCGTCGCTGGAGGGCCATTGCGCAAAAAATCACAATCACATACCGTGGTCCATGCCCCGCGCGAGTCCTTCCCATAGATCCGCGTTGCTAGCTTCCAAGTGTAGAAATCGCCGATTGCCGACACAACGGCCTGCGCTGTTTTGGGACCGGCGATGAGAAGCTCCGCGCGCGTCGCAGAAGGCAGTTGGAGGGTGGTCGCGAGGAGGTCGGCCGTTTTATAGACGGCGGCAAAGAGGAGAGGGTGGATCGAAGATCGGAGTTGGTGACGCCATTCCTGCATGGGGGCGCAACGCGGTTAGCCTCAATTGTCGGACCTGGCCCTGATCACCGGCGTCAAGATACCGAGACGCGGTCTTGTCCACTTACCCACGTCACCCAGGCGCCCTGATCCTTGCCGAAAGCGATCTGCCATGCTGGCTCGAGCGATTGGAAGAATTCGTCGGGCTGGAAGAACGTCCGGACGGTGAAGGCGTTGAGGATGCGGAAGGCGAGGAGGAAGAGGAAGATATTGGCGGCCGGCGAGGACGCAGCGCGGCGCGCAGAGGCATTGGAGGGGGCCATCGCGGAGAGCGGATGGGCACGGCAACGAGGCCCGTCAGGTCGAATGCGAAATCTGGGGTCGGCCAGCGCTTAGAAGGCCATGGTGGGTGCGGCGACGGCGTGGAGTCGTGATTCAACCTGTGAGCGCACGAGTAAAACACGACCTCACGGACAGCGGAGACCGGGCCGGTGTGAATAATGGGAATAACACGCCGATTGGAGGCCGGCTGGACGTGCTGGAGACCAGGGAAGCAAAATCGAGGGCTTCTCGTGTAATCCTGCGCTTAGCGAACAGTGGATGTCGAGGGTGTCAAGAGCTCGCGACGACCTGCACTTAGGAGAAGACACCTGCACTTAGCGGCATAGCGGCAACCTGGGGGGACAGCGCCACACCCTACTTAAGGCGCGCCTTCACCTCTCTTTGACTTGAATTCTCGCTACACTCTACTACGGCCCTTTTTCTTCATTCAGGGACATACCTCAAAAGCTCCAAATTCTCTCCGACACTCTATTCTTCCTCTTTGCTCTACCTCATCGACCGCCCCCACTAGCGCCCCCCGCATCCCCGAGCTCCATCTCCAATCCCCAATCCATCCACCATGCCCGCAAACGGCACCAACGGGTCTCTTGCCCACTACCACGCGGCCTCGACGGCTGAGGCCATCCAGGCTGAGAAGGACTATGCGGCGCACAACTACCACCCGCTCCCTGTCGTCTTTGCCCGGGCCCAGGGCACCTCTGTCTGGGATCCCGAGGGCCGTCACTACCTGGACTTCCTGTCTGCCTACTCCGCCGTGAATCAAGGCCACTGCCACCCCAAGCTGGTCGCGGCGCTGGTCGACCAGGCCTCGCGCGTGACGCTGAGCTCGCGCGCCTTTTACAATGATGTTTTCCCTCGCTTTGCCCAGTTTGTCACTAGCTACTTCGGCTTCGACATGGTGCTGCCCATGAACACCGGTGCGGAGGCCGTTGAGACCGGTATCAAGATCGCTCGCAAGTGGGGATACAAGGTCAAGGGCATTCCGGAGAACAAAGCAGTCGTGCTGAGCGCTGAGAACAACTTCCACGGCCGAACAGTAAGCTTTCCCCAATGCACTGCCCCTCGACAATGTAGAACAATGACTGATTGGAGACTTGTAATAAGTTCGCTGCTATCTCTCTCTCCTCCGACCCCGAGTCGCGTGAGCACTACGGCCCTTACCTGCCCGGCATTGGCTGCACCATCCCTGGCACCGAGAAGCCCATTGCGTACAACGACAAGGCGGCTCTGCGCGAGGCCTTCGAGGCCGCCGGTCCTAACTTGGCTGCTTTCCTCATCGAGCCCATCCAGGGCGAGGCCGGTATTGTCGTTCCCGACGAGGACTATCTGAAGGAGGCTCGTGCCCTATGCGACAAGTACAATGCCCTTTTGATCTGCGATGAGATCCAGACCGGCATTGCCCGTACTGGTAAGCTGCTGTGCCACGAGTGGAGCGGAATCAAGCCCGATCTGGTCCTGCTCGGCAAGGCCATCTCGGGTGGTATGTACCCCGTCTCGTGTGTGCTGGGCCGTAAGGACGTCATGCTCACGATCGAACCTGGCACCCACGGTTCGACCTACGGTGGTAACCCCCTTGGTTGTGCCGTCGCTATCCGGGCCCTTGAGGTGGTGCAAGAGGAGCAGATGGTTGAGCGGGCAGAGAAGCTCGGCCACATCTTCCGACAGGGCCTGGAGGCACTGCAGAGCCCGTTGATCCAGACCGTGCGCGGAAAGGGTCTGCTCAACGCCATTGTGATTGACGAGTCCAAGGCCAACGGCCACTCGGCCTGGGACCTGTGCATGCTGATGAAGGAGAAGGGTTTGCTGGTAAGTTTTTTCTACCCCGTTGGTCTTCGGTGTGGATCCAAGCTGACATGAGAACCTGCAGGCCAAGCCCACTCACCAGAACATCATCCGTCTGGCCCCGCCGCTGGTCATCACCGAAGAGGAGATCCAGCAGGCTTTGAACATCATCCGGGACGCCGTGACCGAGCTGCCTACCCTGCAGGGCACAGACGAGGACAAGGTAATTCCTCCACCGGAGAAGAAGGTCAAGATCGGCGTTGAGAACTGAATAGCCCTTGTGCTATCGGGTGGAAGACGTGCGACCAATTTGCATTCATAGATTTTTTTTTTTAACTTTCTCTTTTATTACCCGGATGGAGAGCGATCCATGCCATGATTAAATCACGAAGGAACGGAACAAAATGTATTCCAGGAAAGGATGCCAGACTGCATGACTTAGAAGGATAGCTCGGGCTCCGAATGTACGTTGAACTGCGATTGTTGATTTCCCACTCCGACTCCTGTTTCCTGAAGTAGTGAGACATACTACTAGTAGTAGGTACTAATGTTATTTACTGTACCTGGTGCTTTATCTAGCAGCTGTGTTGCAGTAGGGAGAGCCTCGTCAGGGCTGGTAATCCGAGCCAAGATAACACTCTGGCACTATATAATTGGACTATCGGTGTATAATCGTTACGTGAAGGTAGTAATCAACTTCCCTAATGTACATACTGCGATTATCAAGCCGGACTTGGAATCAATAACTACCCCAACCTTCAGCTCCCCTGCCAGCGATTATTAATCTGCAACCCACCTATGGCTCCATCCGTGGTCTCGTCCATCCAAAGTGGTTTAGCTGGTCGGCCCGCGGGAGTTGCCAATCCCGATCTCCGCGATTTTCTTGGGGAGACGGCTAAGCGAATGCGAATGCGAATAAGATGCGGCGTTGACAGGTTGAAAGATGTTGGAATCTCCACCGGCGAAAAACAGCCCGAGCCCTGTCCAGCAGTTGTCAGTGCAAGTGTAAAGTGGGAGCTGGCCCAGTTTTGCGAAGCTTAGTTGTGGGCGGAGTCTGGCCCTGCACACGCCGGATCTCCGGTGCGACCTCCGTTCGAGGCAATTCAGCGAATTCAGCGAAGTCCGGTGACTCACGTCCGATTTTTTCTTTCTTTCTTCCTTTACTTATTGTTGTATTGACCCGCTGGTTTGCGGTGTTCCGCAACGAATTCCGCATTCAGTCGCGTCTCCACATTGCGATAGAGTGGCCGGGGCTAAGGCCTGGTACTTATCTCCGAGAATTTCTGGATCGCATTCCTCCCCTCCTCGTCTTCGACTGTGACTGCAATCCGTCCGAATATCTCACACGGTCGCGACGAGCTCCTGATGTCTGCTCCGCCCGATCCGCTGCCGCAGGTAGTGGTGGCGGACAATGAGAAGCTGCAGGCTGCGTCCAGCGACAGATCGGCGTCTGGGGACGAGGAAGCCAAGGCCCCGGATGATGTCGTGCAGCCGCCAGAGCCAAAACAAAAATGGTATCGCAGACTGAATCCGCTCAGATGGCAGACGCCGCCACCGGTACCCGAGGAGCGTACGCCGTCGAAGGAGTATGGGGCTTCGTTTTTCAGTGTTGTGTCGTTCCAGTGGATGTCCCCGTTGATGAGAGTGAGTATTATAGCCCTTGGCGCGGAAAGAAGTTTAGTAGTTGAGTGATGGACTGACAAACATGATCTATAAGGTGGGATATTTGCGACCGCTGGAGCTGCAAGATATCTGGACAGTCAATCCGGATCGCACGGTTGACGTTCTATCAGAACGGTTGGATGCGGCGTTGGAAGGCCGCACCGAGCGTGGCAGCAAGCGCCCTCTCGTCTGGGCTCTATATGATACCTTCCGATCCGAATTCCTACTCGGCGCCGTCTGCCAGCTATTCAGTTCACTGCTGCTCGTTTTTGCGCCCTATTTGACCCGTTATTTAATTGCCTTTGCGACAGAGGCCTATATCGCGGAGGAATCCGACCAGCCAGCACCGCACATTGGTCGTGGTATGGGGTTTGTGGTGGGAATCACCCTAATGCAAGCCTTGCAGAGTCTGTGTACGAACCAATTCCTGTACCGCGGCCAGATGGTCGGTGGACAGATTCGCGCGGTGCTGATCTCGCAGATCTTCAACAAGGCGATGAAACTGTCTGGCCGGGCCAAGGCAGGTGGAAAAGCCACGACAGAAGAGGTGAAGGCCTTGGAGTCGACCAAGGAGGCGCTGATGAAAGGCCCCAAGGAGGACAAGGGGGAAAAGCAAGCCCAAGCGCCCCCAACTGCCGCCGATGCGAATGGCGTGGCCGGCGATGGACGCGGTTGGAATAACGGTCGCATTGTCGCGTTGATGAGTATTGACGTCGACCGTATCAACTTGGCGTCCGGCATGTTCCACATGATCTGGACGGCCCCGATCTCAATCATCGTGACACTCGTCCTACTTTTGGTCAACATCGGCTACAGTTGCCTGTCGGGGTATGCCCTTCTGGTCTTCGGTGTACCTTTCCTGACATACGCGGTTCGCTTCCTGGTGAAGAGACGTCGAAACATCAATAAGATCACCGACCAGCGAGTTTCGCTCACACAGGAGATTCTCCAGGCCGTGCGTTTCGTCAAGTTCTTCGGATGGGAGAGCAGTTTCCTCAATCGCCTCAAAGAAATCCGGAAGAAGGAGATTCGCTCAATTCAGACTCTTCTGGCGGTCCGAAATGGCATTCTCTGCGTGTCGATGTCTATTCCCATCTTCGCCTCGATGCTTGCCTTCATTACCTACGCCCTGACAAAGCATGATCTCCACGCTGCGGAGATCTTCTCATCGCTCGCATTGTTCAATTCGCTGCGTATGCCACTGAACATGCTGCCTCTGGTCATTGGACAGGTTACCGACGCCTGGACTGCCCTGAACCGCATCCAAGAGTTCCTCATGGCTGAGGAGCAAAAGGAGGATATTGAGAAGGACGAGCACATGGATAGCGCCATTGAGATCGAGCATGCTTCGTTCACCTGGGAGCGTCTGCCAACTGAAGAGAATGCCGACAAGCTGAAGAAGCCCGCTGGCCCTGATGCCAAAGCTTTGGCATCGCCCAAGGAGGATAAAAAGGCCGAGAAGCAGGCTCCGTCGGAACCATTCAAACTAAAGAACATGACACTTGAGGTCGGACGGAATGAACTAATTGCTGTCATTGGAACAGTAGGCTGTGGCAAGAGTTCCTTGCTGTCTGCTCTGGCAGGCGACATGCGAGTGACAGAGGGTAAAGTCAAGATGAGCACCACCCGGGCATTCTGCCCGCAATATTCCTGGATCCAAAACACCTCTGTTCGTAACAACATTTTGTTTGGAAGAGAATACGATGAGAAGTGGTACAATAAAGTCATCGATGCATGCGCCCTCGCCCCAGATTTGGAAATTCTCCCCAATGGCGACCAGACGGAGATCGGAGAGCGTGGAATTACGGTCTCTGGCGGACAGAAACAACGTCTCAATATCGCCCGCGCGATCTACTTCAATGCCGAGCTGGTGTTGATGGACGACCCTTTATCCGCCGTTGATGCCCATGTCGGCCGCCATATCATGGATAGGGCTATCTGTGGTCTTCTCAAAGACCGCTGCCGAATCCTTGCGACGCACCAGCTGCACGTTCTTAACCGATGCGATCGTATTGTTGTTATGGATGAAGGCCGTATTGATGCGGTGGATACATTCGAGAATCTCATGGCTGGAAACGAGCTGTTCAAGCGTCTCATGTCTACATCCCGACAAGAGGATTCGAAGGAGGAAGAGGAGGTTGCGGAAGAAGAGGCGGGTGAGCACAAGGACAAAGAGGCCGCCCCCAAGAAGGCACCTGCCAAACCTGCCGCCGCTCTGATGCAGCAGGAAGAAAAGGCCACTGCGTCGGTCGGCTGGGGTGTCTGGAAGGCATATGTGCGCGCTTCTGGCAGCTATTTCAACGCACTGGTGGTCTTCATCCTGCTTGCCTTGGCAAACGTCGCCAACATCTGGACGAGTCTGTGGCTTTCCTACTGGACCTCGGATAAATACCCCGGCCTGTCGACTGGTCAGTATATCGGAATTTATGCCGGACTCGGTGCCAGCGTAGTGCTGTGCATGTTCGTTTTCTCCACCTATATGACAACTTGTGGAACCAATGCAAGCCGGACGATGCTCCAGCGTGCCATGACCCGCGTCCTCCGCGCCCCGATGTCTTTCTTCGATACCACCCCACTGGGACGCATCACAAATCGTTTCTCCAAGGATATCCAGGTAATGGATAATGAGCTGTCGGACGCAATGAGAATCTACGCATTGACCATGACGATGATCATCTCGGTCATGGTCCTCATCATCGTCTTCTTCTATTACTTCGTCATCGCCCTGGTCCCCCTGTTCATCCTCTTCCTGCTCGCATCCAACTACTACCGTGCCTCAGCCCGCGAAATGAAACGACACGAGGCTGTTCTGCGTTCGATGGTATACGCCCGCTTCGGTGAAGCCATCACCGGCACCGCCTGTATCCGCGCCTATGGGGTGGAAAACCAGTTCCGACGTAGCATCCGCAGCTCCATCGATGTGATGAATGGCGCCTACTTCCTGACCTTCTCGAACCAGCGCTGGTTGAGTGTACGGTTGGACGCCGTGGCCACCGCATTGGTGTTTGTAATTGGTGTCTTGGTCGTGACATCTCGTTTCAATGTCTCCCCCAGTATTTCTGGACTGGTACTGTCGTATATTCTTGCTATCGCGCAGATGCTGCAGTTTACCGTTCGCCAACTTGCAGAGGTCGAGAACAACATGAATGCCACGGAGCGGGTACACTACTACGGAACCGAGCTGGAGGAAGAAGCGCCCCTGCACCTGGCTGAAGTTGCGGAGAGCTGGCCGGAAAAGGGTCGTATCGTGTTTGACGATGTGAAGATGCGATATCGGGATGGCCTTCCTCTTGTTCTCAAGGGTCTTTCGATGGACGTACGAGGTGGTGAGCGTATTGGTATCGTTGGTCGAACCGGCGCAGGCAAATCCAGTATCATGTCCGCCTTGTTCCGTCTGACAGAGCTATCTGGCGGCAAGATTCACATTGACAATGTCGATATTTCAACTGTCGGTCTACACGACCTTCGATCCCGGCTGGCCATCATCCCACAAGACCCGGCTCTCTTCCGCGGCACCATCCGCACGAATCTGGACCCCTTCAATGAACACACAGATCTGGAACTGTGGTCTGCTCTCAAGAAAGCCTACCTGATCGGCGAGGATACCCTCGGAGCTGAAGATGGCATTCAGGGTGAACCTGGCACCGGCACAACCACACCTGCAACAGACAGCGACTCCAAGCCCCGACCCTCCAACCGTCTGACGCTAGAATCAGCCGTCGACGAAGAAGGTCTGAACTTCTCGCTCGGTCAGCGCCAGCTGATGGCGCTCGCTCGAGCCCTTGTCCGCGATGCAAGAATCATCGTCTGCGACGAGGCTACTTCTTCGGTGGACTTTGAGACTGATCAGAAGATCCAGCGGACTATGGCGCAGGGATTCCAGGGGAAGACGCTGCTGTGCATTGCGCATCGTCTGCGTACGATCATTCACTATGACCGCATCTGTGTGATGGACCAGGGTCAGATTGCGGAGATGGATACCCCAGTTGCGTTGTGGGATCGGGCGGAGGGTATTTTTCGTGCGATGTGTGATCGTAGTGGGATTACCAGGGAAGATATCTTGGCTGTTGAGTGATTGAAGGCATGTGGAAAAGTATACATAATGCCCGATGGAGACTGGTGTAAATGTACATGCAGATATGGACATAAAAATCGTATATATCACATAGTACAATAATATTTGACGCTTCTATCTAACAGATTTCACTCATACTGTATACTCAGGAAGACCTTATTCTAACCACAACGGCACAATACCTGAGCACCAAACGAAGCTATTGCGACACTCCCTTATCCAACTCACAAACCAACTCCATCCCCAAATTCCTCATCATCCCCTCAACCCCAGCCTCCCTCCACCCCTGCAAATCTCTCTTATCCAACTCAACCCGTTCCTCCTCCTCAGAAAGCATACCCACAGGCAAACCAGTATACTTAACCGGCAACCCAGGCGCCGTCCCAACAACCCTCATCCTCAACCCCGTCAAAATCCCCCTTAAATGCTCCGCGGCCTTAACGCCGCCGCGCGAGCCATACGTCACGATCCCGGCGGGCTTCCCCTTCCATTCGTGAAAGAGGTAGTCGAGCGCGTTCTTCAGGCTTGCGGGGATACTCCAGTTGTATTGTGGTGTGACAAAGATGAAGGCGTCATATTTCTGCACTGTGTTGGACCAGGCGCGTGTGTGTGCTTTGCTGTAGTGCGGTGCTGGGTTGCTTGTTGGGAGGCTGGCGGGGATTACGGATTCGTCGTAGAGGGGGAGGGATTGCGTTGATAAGTCGAGGATTTCGAAGATGACATGCCTGGGGTCTGTGTCGGTTGAGTTTGAGGAGTCTGTCGATGTTGCGGGGTGGTGATTTGTTGGAATCGTTGGGTCCGCGAGGAGAACGTCATAGATATAATGGGTGATGGTTGGGTTGAGGCGGGGGCGGCGGGTGCTGCTGGTCACAATCGCGATGCGTTTGGCCGGCATAATGAGATTTGAGTATATAGATGCTGGCTGGATTGGTCTGGGAGTCTGCTTTTATATGGTTGGGGTGAGGAATGGGTTGCGGAGGAAGCTGCTGTTTTCTGAGCGTTGGTCCGCGGATCCGCGGTGGTGAAGCTTATGTGGGGCGAACCACGTGGTGGCGAGGGATTTAGTCATGAACTAATAGAGTAAATCAGCACGAGACCTGTTTGCCTATATTATTATGAAGAAATCTGCGCGCCTTTATCGACTCAGTCGGTCGAACAAGATGAGACGATGGGAATAAGACTAGACTTTAGAGATCGGTCAGTGAAGTTGCGGTATTATAGCTATGCTTGTATCGCCACCTTCTTGGTTTCGAGTATTTATCCGCAAATAGTATTGAAATTGAACGTGACATACAACGGAACCTGCTTGAAAGTTTTGATCGTGTTGATATATTCGTCCGTATACATTCAATGCTTTCACTCGAATGAAAGCTCATAATGGGATGGCAGTGAATTTTGAAAGGTGCCAGTATTCAAATCAACGGATGACAAAAGACACTCGAGTCCATATTCTCAATTTGGCACAGTTCGATAAATAACAATGTATTAGAAATAGAGACATAAGACCTTGTTTATTGACTTAGCTGCAAGACATGAAACAATTCGTCTTGCCCTGCGTCCCGAGATGCTCCAACGCCGGATCTGGCCGTCGTAACCAGTCAGCCAGAAAGTTTGTACAGTGATCCACATGGTCAATATCACCAAGCATGGTATCGAGCCGGTCTCCACGCATGTGCACATCGTGTCCCCGTCTCAGCAGATACAGGCAGTGTACGAGGTGTTCACGCACAGACGTCCAGTAAAATCCATTCTCATTGTGTCCCACTTCATTATAGTCCTTCATCCGGTGCTTCGCTGCCTCATCGTAGTAATACACGAAGGGCTTGCCGTCGTTGAAAGTCGAAAACTCGTGTGAGTAATCGTGTGGGCACTCGCGGTGCATCCAGCATGCGGCTAGCGGGTCGTAGATACAGCCCATGGATTCGGCTTCGGCAGTGGAGTTCCCGCAGGAGAGGGTTGTCCGCGGGGCTGTTTGGAGACATTGTCGCTGGCCTCGATTGCCCTTTGAGACGGGAGAGGCTTTTAGAATGAGGGCTTCTCGGAAAGGCTCGATTGTGACGACGGCGATTAGGGCCATGACCGTGAGGAGGAGAACGAGGATCAGCCCGGTGATGGTGATGGCGGACAAGTTGCGTTTGAGTAATCCGGGTGTGAACCGACAACGCGGACCGCCGGTGATTGTTGTATCGCTGTCTACTACCATGTCGTCATCTTGCTCGCTCTTGGGGACGGGCTGGTAGCTTCGCGTGAAGACTTTGTTCATCTCGATGGAGGATAGCGCTGATGGGTAGTTCGGATTCTCGTGCAGAGGGAAGAGGAGATTGTAAATTCCTCGCGCAAACGAGGGGAAGATCAGAAATCCATTATGGCGAGGCACTCAAGGGGGAGACTTCTCATTTAGAAGAAGTGAGGACAAAGAGAGCTGTGGCGTGAGAAACAAGAGTGATTTGCAGACCAGTGACCGGATGGGGGCGTCAATAAGAAGTCAATATGATACGGACTGCAAGTTATAATGCTGTGTATGACATTGGGGCCTAGACCCAAAAGGGGTCTCAATAAGCCTTTGAGGTTCAAGGGCCCGACGGATGTGGCGTCGCCTACCCCAAACGGTACTAGGTTCACAGCCCTCGAAGGCGAGTCAGCTCGACCTGATGGAATTTACATTTGGGTGTTTTGGACAGAAAGGGCTCTTCACGAAGGGAAGCTTTTGAAGCCATATATATCTCGAGACCGTCGGTTGTTGGCTAGCGAACTACGATATCAAGCGCCATCCCGGTTTTGCCCTTTAAGATCCCTGTTGATGCGCCGCACGTGACGAGACGCCGATTAATCACGGGACAGTTAACTAGCTACCTCAGGACACACTATAATCGCGTCCTCTTTACTCCCTGGTAGTATTTGCTCAGTCGGTGCAAATGGTAAAGTCCTGCTTACTCGCATAAGCTGATGGGCTGTATCATGGTGACCAGAAATGAGTCATCATGATCGAGATAATGGTAACTATGCGTAGATAGCAACGCTTGCGAAAAGTAGTGTTATAAAATCTCTTCCTTTTCGTGTATTTCGTCGCTCAAACACTACAACTTCAATCACTTCAATATTTCAAAGCGATGGATCGATACAATACGAAAGAAGATGTCCTCAAGCTGGGGATCATCAACCCAGAACTCGAAGAGGTAGTATATTCTTGGAGATACGTTTCGAATATGCAGCAATTGTCTGACCGTCATGGCAGATCCTCCAAAATCACCCCCTTCCACCAATGGACCTCACAGCCCCGATCGAACAACTACGTCAGGGCGTCTCATCCCTGGAAAAGATCTGCTACGACTCGTGCCCAACCTTCAACACCCAGGAATCCGAGCGAACAATCCCCATGCGCGACGGCCATCAAAGCAACATCCGCATCATTAAACCAGAAAACCCAGTCTCGGCCAGCCCGGTGGTGGTCCTGATCTTCGGCGGCGCCTTCATCATGGGCACGAACATCCAGTGGATGCCCTGGGCGCGCGCCATCGCGGCCCTGTACGGGGCGACCGTGATGTTGCCCAGCTATCGCCTAGCGCCCGAGCATCCGTTCCCCACCGCTCCGAATGATATCTGGGATAGCGTGCGGTGGATCGTGGCTAACGCGGCCTCCCTCGACGCAGATCTATCGCAGGGCTTCGTCATTGGGGGCGGATCAGCAGGGGCAAACCTCGCCATCGTAACGGCGCACCGGGCACGGAAGGAAAATCTCTCAGCACCTATTACGGGCGTGTTGGCAAATGTGCCGGTTTGCATGAGTCAAGAGACAATCCCCGAAAGGTACAGGGATCTGTGGCAGTCGTATGAGCAGAATGCGCACTCGCCAAGTCTGAATCTGAGCTCCGTCGAAGGGTACAATGCGCTGTATCAGCAGGATTTTTTGTCGGAGGATTTCTCACCGTTTAACTCGACTGTGTCATTTCACGGTCATCCGCGGACGTATGTGCAAATTGCGGGAATGGATGTTATTCGCGATGATGGTCTTGTCTATGCGAAGGTTTTACGGGATCATGGGGTGGACGTCAGGCTGGATGCCTACCCTGGAATGCCCCACGGTCACTTCAGCCTCTGGCCACAGCTGAGGTCGTCATTGGACTCGCAGGTGGATACCGTGTGGCACGCTGGGTGGCTGTTAGGGCGTGAGGTCAGTCGAGAGAAAGTAGGCGAGCTTGTCACTGAGTTTCGGAAGTAAAGTCAGTCGGCTCGGCTTCTTCTTGGCATTTTCTAGACTTCGGCATGCATTTTTGGAAGCGGGAATATTTTTGAGAACATAACTAATCCATAGGAGGTTGTGGAGAAATTCTCAAATCAAAATGTGCTTACTGTGTACTCAGCGAACTCAACGTCATATGCAGCCCGATCAGACGGTGAAGGCTGGAGGCAACTGTAAATCTTGATTGCGGGATGCTGCCGGCGTGGCCCCCACGCGGCCGCAACATGGATCGGGTTATCCGATAGCCGATCACGGGTCGGGCGCCGGAACTGAGCATCAGTCGACACTTCTTGCGCCTGGTACCTCGTGGTTCGTACAGTAGATAAAAAACGAAGATAGAAAATATCTACACACATAGATCAGACCAATTGTGCATTCGGGCTGCCAAAGATATGCCGTGGAGCCTCCTATCACTGAGTAACACTTGTTAACCGGCGAACGAATAAATCGCACCCTGGTCGACTTGCCCGAACAGGACAGCTCACCCGCAGCGAATCTGATACGTAGACCACGCGGAAGACTCACCGACACTCGGCATGCGGCGTCATTTTACTTGGGCAAACTACGGGAACCCTGCCGGTTCTTCCCCTCCTCACCTCCAATTTTCCCCGCAGGACCATCCTGTCCGAGCTTGCAGCCACGGGGGGCAATGTACATTAGGGTCAATTGGCGAGAACGAGGTGGGAGTTCATTAATGGAGAAGCGTTCTGCAGTCTCTGTATTGAGTTGGTGCAATTGGCAAATGTCTCAGCTGCGGGTCGTGGTAGTCAGTTTGGAGAGCATAATAGCGCATAGTCACCTCAATTGACGTCAAATAGGACGATGTTATCATCGGCATCATTCCTGTCTCCAGTAAGGGGAGAGCCGAGTCGGAGCTCGGGTTGGAAGATTGCGGTTGTGGTGGAACTAAATGCCCTTTCTGCACATATTTTCCCATGGGGGTGCAAAGCATCGAGCGGGTTGCGGAGCCAAGAGGAAAAAGAAAACCTGGGTATAATAGTCTTCCGCGCCTTGATCGAATCGCCTTTTCACTCGGATGCAAAAAAAAAAAAAAAGATTTCGGAAAGCTTTGGCTCTTTAATATTAAATACGAAGGTTTGCGCGTGGCCGAGCGCGCGGGCGGCTTCGTTTGCCGAACGATTGAGGGGTTTTCTGCTCGTTTTTGCGCTTTGGCCGTTGGCGGCGTAGCGGCAGGATGCCTCCGGACTTCCTATTCGAGCTTTGCGGGGCCCCGCAGCGCACTCCACCGCACTACTCGTTGAGACTCGGAGCACTGGTTGTGTTGGGCGGATGAGGGGAGATCCGGTTTGGTCAGGACACATTGCGCGCGGCTGATTGGTCGGCTGGATTCGTGGGAGATATAAAAGCCCTAGGTATGCAGCGACGGGGCCCAGTACCTCCATTTCCAAATTTCTCAATGCCCCCATCGTGATTGTTCAGTATGGATGTGACCGAGATTCCTCGCAAGGACGAGGAGGACTTCGACCTCAAGAAAATCCAGACGACTCCGGACCATGATGATGTCTTTGGAGAGATCACGGAAGAAGGCCCCAACTACCGCAATGTGCGCATGACTCAGACAAAAAATGACATAGAGATCACGCCTAACAATTCTCTAGGTAGGACTTGTGGGAACTGTGATTCTCATGATGAAGACCCAAATTGGTCTAGGGGTTCTGTCAATTCCAACGGCCTTTGACGCTCTTGGGATGGTCCCCGGCGTCATCTGTCTATGCGTCATTGCATTCATCATGACATGGACCAACTATGTGATAGGAACTTTTAAACTGAAGCACCGCGAGGTTTACAGTATTGATGATGCCGGGGCCATCATGTTCGGCCATGCTGGTCGAGCTGTGCTCGCAATAGCCTTTTGCCTCTGTATGTCAAATGCCCCAATGCAAGATTGTATCGACTGCAGCTCGCCTAACCATGCACAGACTGGATCTTTGTCGTCGGCTCCGGCATTCTTGGACTATCGATTGGTCTCAATGCGGTTTCGAAACACGGCACCTGTACCGCAGTATTCACCGCGGTCGCTGCGATCGTGGGATTCGCGTTTAGTAGTGTGCGGACTCTCGGAAGAATCACCTGGCTGGCCTGGGTGGGACTTCCGTGTATTCTCGTTGCTGGTGTGTTCATAATGCGAAACCGTGATGAAGTCATGAGCTGACTTGTTCTTCTAGTCATGACCGTGACAATTGCCGTCAGCTTTCAAGATCGACCACCCAACGCACCACAAGACACGGCCGTTTGGGTCTCTGACTTCAAGGTCGTCGCCAGCCCATCGTTCACCAAGGCCATCACAGCGATTAGTAGTCTCGTCTTCGCCTACTCTGGAACCCCCGGATTCTTCGCCATCGTGTCCGAAATGCGCAACCCCAGAAAGTACACCACCGCCCTCGTCTGGTGCCAGTCAGGTGTAACTGCCGTGTATATCACCGTCGGATGTATTGTGTATTACTACTGCGGCTCCTATGTATCCTCCCCAGCTCTCGGCTCCGCCGGAGGAGAGGTCAAGAAAATCGCCTACGGTTTCGCCCTCCCAGGATTGATCGTGACTACCACGATCTGCTCACATGTACGAACCACCCAAAAGCGAGAATAGTCACTTAGTTGCCCCAGACTAACGAGTACGCCTCCAACAGATCCCGGCCAAATACATCTTCGTCCACCTCCTTCGCGGCACCCGACACATCAATAAGAACACTCCTACCCACTGGATCACTTGGCTCAGCTGCACCTTCTGCATTGCAGTGATCGCGTGGATCATCGCCAGCACCGTCCCAGTCTTCGACTCCCTGGTCTCATTGATCGGCGCTTTACTCGGCCCACTCATGTCCTTCCAGCCCATGGGCTGCATGTGGCTTTACGATAACTGGTCCAGGCGAGAGAAAAGATTCTGGCTCGTCAAAACATGCTGGAGCGGCTTTATTGTCCTTCTTGGGACTTTTCTCATGGTTGCTGGCACCTATGGATCGATTGTTAGTATTATGGAAGCATATGCGGCATCTGGAGGGTCGGCTGCTTTCTCATGTGGTGATAACTCGAACTCTTCATGAAATGTGTATATATTAGGTAGAGATTTCCTTCACTGCGGGCAAGCGGAGACAAGATCCGGGCATATACATAAAGCTAGATGAATAGAACTTGTCATTGTATGCTTTTTTGTTCTGCTGGCCGAGAGAAGAACGTAATTGATGTGTGCTTTAAGATTGCGGCTTAAATTTAATTAAATTTATTCGCGTCCTTCCAAACATGAAGTTGACGTATATGATCAGGGATAAGCAACATACAACCCCAGGGAAATAGTACTCGGTGAGCTTTGAAGCAGCAGAAGACCGATCGCCAGCAACAGGGAAATTGTCTACAATGAATTGTATCTGCTTCAGCTAGCCGTCATCTAATGATATAGTAGTCGCGTTGTCCAGCATCCTCCCATCCGAGCGCGCCCCAACAACAGGGATGAAACCGGCATGTCGGACCGGCTACTCTGTCAATTAATCCAAGACAACGCCAACTGTGCTGAGGTACACTTCTTCAAGCCCGCAAGACCTTTGATCTTCGACACAAGCTGCATGTTAGTCGCAAAGTTCTCAGGCTGAAAGCGAGGGAAGAATCGGTGGTAGTCGTTGGCGGGCATATCATATAGACTCTTGATTTGACCTGTCAGTATCCCAGCACCCAGAGGCGTATGCGCGACCATTGGAATTCCCAGTTCTGCGCAAGTCTCCGCCACACCGTTCTCAAGCACATCCGTTGTCCACAGGCTGATTTCCGTCACGACCATGTCGATCTTGGCTACTGCTGCCGCGCGCCGGATCGTGCTGGCGCTGACTTCACTCAATTGGATACCTCCGATCTTACCCTCGATGACGAGCTGCGCGAGTGCTACAACTGTATCTTTGATGGGGACGCTCTTGTCGGCTCGCCCGCAGCCGAGGACACCAATCTTCTTGCCGTCGAGGATCTTGTTCGCACGGTCGACAAAGTTCTGCACGCCGGCGGGAGAGCCGTCCATGGTGAATGTTCGCATGTCCACGATGCCGGTCTTGATGGCCAGAACGGCCTTGTCGGCGTCTTCGGGGTATTGGGTGAAGTAGCGGTTCATCAGGAGCAGGGAGTTGTTGTCGGGTGTCCCCAATCTGCGCCGAGAACGGCTTTGAGGATCTTCAAGGCTCTTTCACACGGGGTGACATCGTCTTTCCAAATACGCCTGAATTGTGCTAGTTGATGAAGTGAATGGTAAGGGATTGGCAGGACGAACACATGAGACTTAGCCCATTTTGGCTGATGGGTTTTCTGGCGAGCGAAGGCATGGTCGATATCGCGGGAAAGGGCTTTTCGGGATGGCAAGTTTTCGGATAAAGCAGGCGAATTAAAAATATTTGGAAGATCAGGTTTAAGTCAGGGTTTCTGCAAGAAAGGACTGAAGGTAGCTGCGGATGCCGGAGGTCGTGATGCCGACTCGCCGATGTATAGCCCCGTTAACTCTGCGCGCTTCTCTCGCCGGCCCGCAGTCCACAATCAGATATTCAAGTGCAAATGACAACAGTGAAGACTTTCATGGACCACAGAAATAATAATAAGGCCATGATCAGTAATGATCGAGACTCAATTTGTCAAAAGGAAAGCGCTGTAGGGAGTGATAACTGTGAGGCTTGTTGCCTTAATCAACAGTTGAATTTGGTAAATACCTCATGCTTGCGGTTTCTCGGGTTGTTAGCGGATTGAATCGCATCGAATTTACAATCAACTGGTAGAACTCGAAATTTCTTCTGGCCAGTAGAGCAAAAATGATTTAAGTCTTATGAGAAGCTGTTGAGCGGCGTATAGTCAGGTGACGTAGGTCTCAGGCAAGTGCCCGCCGAGGTGGTAACAGGGAGGGTGCGAGGGCTTACCACTGGGTGCGAAGGCTTACCTCTCTTACCCTCCTTGCCACCTTCCGCAAGTTAGTGTTTCCGCATACTCCCTCTCTTAAGCCTCATTATCGAGTGCACCAGTGGAAGCTGTTTGTTCAGACTTTGCCCAATCTTCTTGACGGGTGCTCCTCTCAGACTCACTGCTCTCGATCGACACTGACAACACTCGAATGGTCGCGTGACATCCGACTTAACCTAAACACTTCAACTAATCATGAAGTTCGTTCTATTCATCTTGAATGTGAAACATGCGATATCAACGGGACTTTTCCTGCATTTGAGCCTTAATTAGCGGGTCCTAAGCGACGGTTGCAGAAGATGTTGCACAGATCCGCATGATCGGCACTTGATAGGTGCCACTAAACACCTTATTCATGCTTGTGATGATTGTGGAGACGAAGTGGTCAATTAAAAGCTTGCTTGCCGATTAACCCCGGATGTTTGGTTCTGGGGAAGCCCGGATATATACATGCCGATCATGGATTGTTTGTTATGCATCGCTGCGCAGCGGAAGTGGTGGGTTCGACCTTCCTATAAAGTGTTGAGGTTCCAGGATAAGGCACCGAATTGATGCCTCATTCCCAACCTCTGTCGGCATGCCTGTTCAGGGAAACCCGGGGCACTGAGCTTGATATGCGCTTCAAACGCTCGTGTGCGACATTATATTCTACATTCAGGGGATCTTCATGGAAGAACACCGATTGAGACCGATAATAGGGGTTTACTACTGTCAGGGGCTTGCCGCCCGTTCAGGGATAAATACCCCCAGAATCGTATGTAGACAGTTCAACACGATACAGTCAAGTTCAATTCCATCAAGGTCGATTTGTCTAGCAGGCCCTTATTCAATATTCAGTGCTTCATCGTATCCAATCTCAACATAAAGAGGGCATGCTTGGTGGAAGATATATTTTTGCGAAAAAAATCATGAAAGGATTTCAAGATGTTTCACTTGCGAGATCTGTTTACATTGCAACTTGTCGGAGCGCTGGAGCTGGTAAGTATAAAGAAAGGTGCGGAATCTTTTACATGACGAGACTGGTTCAACATTCCAGGCGTGGTCGTTTTAACGCGTTATCGGCTGAACTTAGGTCAGCCATTTTCCAGCACAACGAGTTACAGAATGCTCATCGTGGTACTTTCTGAGTTGAATTTATCTCGGGCGATTCCCAGAACAATGCGAGCGACTGTTTTGAACAATACAACACCAATGTCCTCCGTGTTGCCCCGAACCAAATCGCGTTTCGGGACCCTCAGTCTCTCAAAAATGTCATCGGTAAGACGATCCGGTTGCGCATCGTCGTAAAAGACTCTTATGAACCCTGGTTTCTCTCATATCGCCCTAGCCAAGCAAGAGCCAAGGATTGTCGTTCCATTAGTGGACAAGCTCGTCAGGAGAATTGAAAGAAACAAGGACAAGACATCAACATCTCTGATTACTTCGACTGCCTCACATCTGATATCATCGGCAAATTATTCTTCGGGGCAGATTTCCAAATGCATGATCGCGTGGAAGATCACCCCTTCTTACACGCCCTACCTAATTCTCTGCGAATGACAGTCATTGCACAGTGTATTCTAGAGGTCTACCGCTTTGTATCGTGGGTATTCCGGTTCGGCCCTTCGCATCTAGTTCTCCCGGCCTACCGGAACGTAGCGGACTTTGCCGGCAAACATACTCGCGAACGAGCAATGAGGCAGCAGAATGGAACGCAGACTGATGAAAGTGACATCTTGAGTATCATTATCAACGGGACCGGAAAAGCTAAAACACAGGACCCGAGCATGGTCACCGACGCCCACGAGCTCCTCGGCGAAGCAACCACCCTCATGGCTAGTGATGGGGATACGGTTGACACGGCACTCACAACGACAATGTGGAATCTAGGCCGACATGCATCCATTCTGCAAAAGCTTACTGCGCAACTCCGTACCGGTTCACCGCTTCCGACGACATCGATTCAAAAACAGTGGCAGCCGAGGTCCCGCTAGTAGACGCAGTGCTGAACGAGTCCATGCGTTTGAACTCCGTTCTCCCTGGCCTCATGTGACGCCGGACAGACCACCCCATTCCGGTCTGTGGATACTCGGTTTCTGGAGGTGCCAGAGATAGGTGTGTTGCAGCTGTCGGTCTATCAACATGCAGACGCGTTCCACCGCACACGAGAGAGTTTCGTCCTGCCCGTTGGTTGGATGACCTGGGCGGCAATTTGGATGTATTTCAGCCCTTTGGTATAGGTCCGCGCACGTGCATTGATCGGTATATTGCTATGATGGAGATGCGCCTCATTCTGGCGAGGCTGTTGTGGGAGTTTGACTGGGAGATGTTCACGCAGCGATACGATAACCCCGAATACGTGGTGCTGTATCGGACTCCGCTGTGGATGAGGGTGACGGCGAGGGAGAATCCGGCCGTTTAGCCGCTGTCTAGTCATCTGGAAACGTATTCAGGACATCATGCAAGATAATTTTCTGTGCTCTCCATGCAATAGTAATGTACTATCATCGGGTAGCCCTTCATACTTCGTTCGACCAGCACGAGCCCCGCAGCGGAGATATGACCTGGCCGGCGATCGACATTTCCAGATAAATTCTCGAATTCTCCAATGTGTCGGACCGACTTCGGCAGATATTTAGGGTTCAGTCCAGCAAGATCCATGGGAGCTGTAAATATGGTCAGAACAGTGTTTGAGAGTCTCATTTCCGGACAGACGGCGCCGAGTAGAGCGAGCAAAGCCCTAGATACCGACCACCCTCCGTCACGGACTAGTCTCACCAGACAACAATTACCACCTAGGCATAATTCGCAGTCGAACGAGATGCCATTTCAGCCGAGTCTAGGCGAGGTCGGACTGCAAGGTGACAGCGACGCAATCACCAAGTGTGTACCACATGGGAAGACCATGCGATGGGGTGGAACCGCCCGCGAGGATCTGCTGGCCAGCCATTCCAGCACGTTCCCGCCAGCTGCTCCACCACGCCCGAACGAGGCTTCCCCTCGATGCCGCTTATCACATTATGAGACCCGCCTCTAGGTTAAGTATGTAGTCATCGTCGCGCGGCATCAGGAACCACAAAATGTCGTGCCTGGCCGATCTCTGGAGAGATCCGCGTTGAATCAATGCGACATCCCACTTGCGTATCTCGAACTACTAGTACGCTCGGTACCCCGTTGCGACGCGGCCATGAGCCACTTCGTCTCGCCCGACTGGCAGGAGTGGGAAAGTACCTCTTCGCGCCGGCAGAGTACGGTGTCGACCTCCACCGTGTCGTCCGCCTCGACGAGTATCCTGTTCCAGACCCCCGCCAGCTCCCCGGGGTCTAACTCGCGCAAACAATCATGGCAGCTCTACGATGATGTGGTGCGGCTCGAGCTGAACCCCTCCATGACGATGTGTGTCCCCCACTTGGTGTGGTAGTTCGTGGTGGACGAGCAGATGGGCTAACGATGGACGATCTAGTAATTTTGTGAAAAGCGGTCAGCTGTTCAAGCTGCGCTATACATACATCGACGTGTGCAAGGACTCGACGGGGGCATTGAAATGTCTCGAGTTGGGGGGAGGACTCGGCCAGCAAGCCCCCTTCGTGCATGCCTGTAAGTCGGAACAGCGAATTCGTTTCATTGGAAGCAGAGGCTAATGGAAAGACAGTTCACAACACCAAACTCCCTGTTCCGCACCTCGAACATCCGAAAGAATCCTCCGACTATCCTCTTCGCGTTTCCTTTCTCGAGCACCAGACTGTGCAGACCGCGCATGTGGTATTCATGACAAAACTATCCTACAAATTCGACAATTGGGAAGGTATGCAATGCGTGAAAGCCGATGAGTCCTACAGGCGAGACATTTGCTGACGGTCGGCAGATTGCGTCCAGTTTCAAGAACTTCTCCTTGGATCCAAACTGGTATTTATTGGAGGCATGGCCGAGGCCAAATCCAAGGGCCGCGGCGAAGAGTGCATCAGCCAAAATCTGCGCATCCTCCGCGGACAGAACGGCAAACGCGTGATGCTCTACTTTGCTAATTCACAACGTGGAGGACTGAAGAAATACGTGTCGCTTCCTCGTGAGTTGTCATAGTCACTGTCATGCTAGTAGTGATTTCCTAACCTCTCCCAGTCAACTGCGTTGGGAATGTCAAACCGCCCAAAAAGGCCGGTCGGCCCGTGACGGTCGAACTCAATCCAAATTTCGATATCTTGTCGCAGATGCGGAACTTTCAGATCCAGTTTCTTGATGATGATGGTCAGTGCAGACATTTCTTCACGCCTAGCTTCTGGTCTGAGCCCCTCGCTTACTCTTCTTAGATTGCAAGCACTTTTGCCAGCTGCTCTCGACTGATCTCACGATTGGATGATCTTATTTGGGCTTAATATAAATGTAACAACTAGGATAATTTCGGGGCTGGGGGGTACGACGGACTCGAATGGCGGAGTTTTGGGCGTGATTACCGCGTGATACCAATGCATTGTTCTTTTTTTCTTTTTTTCTCTATAGTTATATTTTTCATCGGATGATTAAGTTCTAAGACGGCAATATTATTTACCATACTCTTCGCCTAACCTTTTTGCAGGCTGATCATCACGGAAAATCAACGTCCAAAAAAGCATATTTAGATGAGGTGGGGGCGCGCGCCGACCGTCTTAGCTGCCCCGACGCCCGCACGTGCAGCGACTCAGCGCTGCTGCTGGCCCTAGCTGGGAGTGGGGCGGCCTCCGCCATCCCAGTGCTTCGGGTAAGTTGGGGCCACACGGGGGGTTGGTCTCCGGCGTTCGTATCAGAATCGCCCGGGGCTGCCCGGGGTGATCCGAGTGCAGTTCAGCGTGGGCTGCGTGGGCCATCTCGACGGGCGAGGCTCAACGTGGTGGCCTCATTGGCTTCGTGACTCGGAACAAAGCTATGGCCAAAGCCTGGAGGCTGCTAGGCGCGGTGGGCGCGGTGGGCGCACCAGGCGTTAAGTACGAGGGGTACCAAGGCGGACCTGAGGGTCCCTAGGGCAGACCGTATATCTCAATTCGTATCTCCTGTGGCTCTCGACGCATCCTGCCGTGCTTTCGATCCTTCGCCCCATGAGACGAGGGCCAGCTTGACTTTGGCCATGGGCAAATTCCACCGGTTATACAAGACTGACCGTGCGCGCGATTTCGATCATGAGCAGGTGCGTTTGCGGTCAGCAGTTGCGGGCGAGGGGCATCAATACTAACAGACGCTCCTCTAGGATCGATATGTGCGCATGCGACAGATTTATGAGACTATTGACCGGCAGTCTTACCAATGGGTAGTGGTGCTGGTCGCCGGTCTTGGATTCTTTCTCGACGGATATACTGTGAGTGGGATAAGCTCGGAATGCGTGTATGAAATACCCGCTGACATATGTGATGGGATAGCTCTTTGCCAGCAACATGGCCCTCCCGATGGTCTCCTACGTTTACTGGAAAGACGAAGTCTCCTCCATACGCCTAACATGCATCAACATCGCGACTCTCGCCGGCACGCTATTCGGAATGGTGCTCTTTGGGTTCCTCGCGGATAAGATCGGCCGGAAAAAGATGTATGGTGTCGAATTGGTTCTGCTGATTACCGCGACGATCGGAGTGGTCATGTCGTCTGACGGACAGAACGGGAGTATGAATGTATACGCCTGGCTGATCTGGTGGAGAGTCTGTGTCGGAATTGGCGTGGGAGCAGATTACCCTCTGAGCGCAGTGATTACCTCTGAATTCGCTCCAACGAAGCATCGAGCCCGCATGATGGCCAGCGTTTTCTTCATGCAGCCACTGGGCCAAATCGCCGGAAATCTGGTCTCCCTCATCGTCATCGCGGTCGCTCGGAATAGCGGCGGCAGCGACGATATCACACGAACAGTCGACATGGCCTGGAGATGGGTGCTTGGGATTGGAGTTATCCCCGGAGCGATCGCGACGCTATTCCGATTCGCCATTCCTGAAAGTCCCCGATATCTAGTTGAAATCGAAGACGATCCCGTCACCGCCGAGTTCGATGCAACGACGCTTTTTAACGACACACCCATGAGTTCAGCGTTCGACACGGCCAGCTTCGTCACTGCGACCGGAAGTGCTATCCACATGCCCCCGGTCTCATCTCTGGCAAGTGACTCCCTTCATGAAGACGAGGAATTCAGCAGTTTACCACCCGCCACCCTGAACTCGCACTGGCGACTTGCCCGCACCGATATCATACGATACTTCTGGACAGAAGGCAACTGGCGGACCCTTCTCGGAACGTCGCTCTCATGGCTCCTGCTCGACTTTGGATTCTATGGAATTGGTCTCTCGAGTCCGCAGTTCTTGGCCAAGACATGGGGACAGTTGCATATCACCCAGGTCGAGCCGAGCTGGATGACGGATAGCCGACCCGGTGCGAATGTTTATCAGATGTTTTTCGACACTTCCGTTCGGGGCCTCATCGTGCTTAATATCGGGAGCTTCGTCGGAGGGTTTCTCCTCATTCTCTTCGCCCATCGCATCGACCGCGTCGCCTTGCAAAAATACATGTTCCTTGCTCTGGCGGCTCTCTTCATTGCCCTGGGAAGCATGTTTGTCACACTCTACTCCGGGCCACCAGCCGTCGTTGCCCTATACATCGTGGGCCAGATCGTCTTCAATTTCGGTATGTCCATTTCCATCCCCAGTATCCAGCCTATCATATCGCTGACTCTCCAGGTCCAAACGCAACAACATACATGATCCCAGCCGAGATCTTCCCCACTCGCTACAGAGGAACATGCCACGGTCTCAGCGCCGGTGCTGGCAAACTAGGATCAATCCTCGTTCAAATCTTCTCGACTTACTACCACTTCGGCACCGATCCCGGCCCCGTATCAACCCACCACCACGGCATTATTCTTTTCGTTTTCAGCGCCTGCATGGTTATCGGCGCGGCTGTCACGCACTTCTGGATCCCGCCTCTTCAGCAGAGGAAGGGTCGACATAGCATCTGGGGTGGGAAGCCTTATACTCTGGAGACATTGGCTCTTGGGCGGATGGGAAGGAAGAGTCGCGAGACAAATCTTCGGAAGAGGACTTCTAGACGACGGGCTATGTCTTTTGGTGGGTAGTACCGGTTTTGCTGTAGCAATTTTCGTATCTATGATAATTTTAGGGATGTACATATCACAGTATTTTAGGAACGGCATAAAGTTGAATCCTCTACCGTGAGGTGGACAAAATAGAAATATAAAAGAAGTACCCTCACAAGCACTAGTTTTGATGATATATGCCGAGAAACGACCAAAACATCACATCAGCCTTAATATCATGTCAGTGGACGTCAGTGACTAACTAGTGATTGTTAGTGGATACCCAAGCTGAGGGCCGTTTATCAATCGGTGATGAAAATGCCGATAAGTCCGAATTTGCCGGAATTCACCGACCTCGCTTCCACAAGGCCGAGGACAAACCTCGACTCCAGAGCCCAGACGCGACAGCAATTCACCCCACGCCAGAATGAGCGATAGCCAGGCCCAGTACAATCCCCGCAAGCGCCGTCGACCCGCTTTATCGTGCGAGCAGTGCCGTCGCCGAAAAGTCCGATGCGACCGGGAAATGCCGTGTGGGCCCTGCAAAAAGGCCTACGGCTCTATGGACTGCTCCTATGTCTATGAAGGCAAGGCTGCTTTGGAGTCCCGGCGTAATGGATTTAGAGCCAGTGGGTACGAGTCTCCCCCGTCTGTTGGGGCGCAGGCAGGTCCTCATGATGGCGCTCATCGCTCTCCGGACGGAGCTCGGATGGCGCAGATGGAGAGCACTATTCGGGCTCTGCAGGATCGCGTTCAAAGCCTAGAGCAGTCGGCTCAATCTGGCTCTAGTCAATCGCAGAGGGTAGGAGACATGACGCGTTTTGATGGAGTAGATGATCGCATTGGGCAGCGTTTCGATGATCGACGGGATGAAATCGAACAACCGCAGACACTCATTGCACCTCTAGCACCCCGCCTGAAGGGTACTGGTGAGAAGACCAAGCTGTTTGGTACAACACACTGGGCGATTGTGTTCCAGCAGGTAAATTGCTCCGATCGTAATGATTCGATCGAACACATTTGACCTTTGACAGTTCCGTCTCCTGCGCCAAGTTCGCAGCACAGCTATGTCTGTCGAAGGCAAGGAGAATGACATTGGCAAGCTCCATAAGGAAATTAGATCCATGAGAAGACTGATTAAGGGTCGTCAGGCTCCCCGACTTGTTGATCCGACGCCTGGTTTACTGAATGACCTACCGTCACGGGAGGTCTGCGATGACTTAGTGCATCACTATTTGCGAACTCTCGAACTCGTCTATCGAGTTCTGCATGTCCCAGTATTTTATGAGGAGTACGATCGCTTCTGGGAGAATCGTTCTTCAGTCACGAATGGTTTTATGTTCAAGCTTCTCTTGATCCTCGCAATCGGCTCAGTGTTTTATTGCAGGCCAGGGCCTGCCAATGAACTCGGCATCCCTGTTCGACGTTGGGTCTATGCCGCACAGTGGTGGCTAACCGGTCCATTTGATAAAGAGACCGATAATCTAGAAGGCTTGCAAGTGAACTGTCTCTTACTCCTCTGTCGACAGGCATATGCGATCGATAAGGAGGCCAGCTGGGCTTCGGCGGGTACGCTGGTACGGCTAGCTATCCGTCAAGGTCTACATCGTGATCCAAAGAATTTCCCGACACTCTCCCCGTACGACTGTGAAATGCGACGGCGTATCTGGGCCACTATTATCGAGATCAATGTCCAGTTTGCCATCGATGCGGCCATGCCTCCTCTACTCGGTCCATATGACTTCGACACGCTTCCACCCTCGAACCTCGATGATGAAGAATTTAATCAGGCAACTACTTCATTGCCGTCTCCTCAACCTCGCGACTTTTATACGAGCTCTTCGCTGCAAATCCTGCTTTTAGAATCTTTTCCAGTTCGATTACGAATTGCGCGGGCAATAAATGAGTGCGGACAGAGGCAGTCCTACGAGATGGCTTTGAAGCTGGGAAGTGATCTGACAGCATCTTGCAAGGATATGACTCGCTTGATGCATGGATTTATTTCTCGCGCTACTGCGCGAAATCTCCGACCAACCCTCTTCCACCATCGTCTTATGGACACCCTCCTCCGTCGCTTCTTGATCAATATCTACCGCCCATTCGTGGTACAAGCGATTCACGACCCCCGATTCTACCTCTCTCGAAAGCTCAGTCTTGAGTCAGCTCTCTTGACAGCTTCATATGCCGACGCACCTAGCGACTCAAGTGCAGATCACATCCCCCATCGAGACTTTCAAAGGCTGTCTCTATCCGGGGCTGGTGTCTTCAAGGGCTACTTGTCCCTAGACGTCTTGGTTGTCATCAGTCTCGAGGTCATCACTCAACTAGAAGACGAGGTCGCCAGGCAGCCCACCGATTCAGACCAAGCTCCCCCCGATGCCGTAATTCAAATGGCCCAAGCAGCTCGTGCACCTCTGATCCAGGCCCTCGAAAAATTATGGGACCATCTTTATCAGGGCTTGGTGGTCGGTATTCCTAGTATGAAACGATACTGTCTGCTTGGGGGTATTCTTGCTCAGATTCGTGCAGTGCCTCGTGGGGAGCAGGCTGAGTGGAATCATATTCGAGATGCTTTTATGGATACTATGGAGACGTGTCGGACTCTGTTGCAGCAACATATCGCGGATGAGAGGTTGGATTCGATTGGGGATGCGGCGTTGACTACGCCTGCTGATGGGGCGAATCAATGGACGCCTGAGGGTGTGATTGGCTCGAGTCTGGATTCGGACTTTATGGTGAGGCTTCCTTCTTCAGGGGTTGTTGTCTCAGAACTTTGCTAACTTGAATTTAGATTCCTAATTTGGGGCTTGAGGATCTCAGCTTTTGGGATATTCCTGGTTTCGCCGATGCCGACGCTTTCGATCCACCACAACTGCCTGAAGTGCCTTAGCTAGCTGGTAGCTCGAATGAACGAAGAAACCAAATCAACATATTTTAAATACCCATGGGAGACTAATCTTCAATGGCTGGCTGTGCTTAATACATCTGTATGAGTCACGTGATATGGAGACTCCTGTTGATGCCTGGGTTTTCTGGCATATAGGCCGGTACCCCCACACTTCCCCCGCACGCCCGAAAAGCGCGGCGACACTGCGGTCGTGTTTCTCCAACAAACCTCATCTCGGGTCATCCTCTTCACAAAAGGCTATAGTAACCTATCCGCGGATCAGCCTGCTCTCTGTCTATTACAATCTGTCAATTCTGAAGTTCTACGCCTCCCAAACGCAACGAATGACCACGCGCCAACGATATACCGCGAATCCATGCGAGTGGTGCAAATGTGCGTAAACCAAATGTCCCAGTTAAAATTCCGCTAAACATCATTCTTATAGCACGGCATCGAAAATGCAAGACTTATCCAGGGTGATTTGCTCTCTCGTGTTCGTTAGAGACTAACGGCTTTGCGCAGGTGATGGTAAAAGGCCATGCTCACAGTGTATCAAATCAAAGACACGATGTGAATCGTCATCGACAAGCTTCAGGTTCAAAGATGGGCACCGGCGTCATCAAAGCCTGGAATTCTCTCCAAATCAGAAATGGGTTGATTGTAGTCAGAACGGTATGTATTTGCGTTCGCCTCGCATGGCACGGCTGACAAAACGCTGTACAGGCCAACTCTCCTACATTCACACAACCAAGGGATCGACGGGCGAAACACAGGATGATGAGCCCAACGTGGCGCACGAGAATGGTAACCAGCGAGAGCTGGAATTGAATCGGACCCAATCCATTAGCTTAGCAAGCAACTCGACACATCAAAGTCAGCCTGATCTAAAAGTTCAGATGGACAAGCCTGCTCGGAATTTCCCGGATCCCGCGTCTCTATCCTCTCTCGGACGGTCCCCTTCAATGTCGCGTTTTGCTTCGGAAACGCTCACTGTTCAGAGTCACAGGAGCGAGTCACTTACCTTTTTCGGATCCCCCTTTCCGCCGGCGCGTAATGAATATCCTATTGGCCCGTTGAAGGGGCTTTCAGATAGCGCGACAAATGCATCATATGCGAGCTTGGAAGAAGCTTGTTTGATACGGCACTTTACTGAGAATCTTGCTTATTGGGTAAGTCTCAACTCACGCTTATCGATCATACATCTCCTTCCAGACTGTTTGGTTAACTTTGTCCCGGATAGTTCGATACTTGCGATAGAGATCGCCACTTTGAATTGATAGTTCCACAGCGCGCTATATTCTGTCCGGTCCTACGATATGCCATACTTACCGCATCGGCTGGTCATCTCACTCGATTAGTAGCATGCCGTGGGAATCCAGGAAATGATGTCGTGGAAGTATCAGGCGTCAGGCTCCCTGGGCTTACCATGGACACGGCGGTCCGTTACCACGACACCTGTATTTCATATCTTCTTGAACTGTCAAAAGACCCAAATGAGCAGTACAATGAGGATATAATTACTGCGGCGACTATACTACGCTTTTACGAACAAATTGACGGTGCGTCTGGTTCCCGTAAAAACTCTGGGCTGCTAATTTTCAACCCGTTTAGCCCCATCCATCGGCATCGACTCCGAGGCATATCTCAACACCGTCCAATTCATCGTTCATAATCAACATAATGACTCCTTTTATTCATACCACACGATTCAAGGACCACCCAGGGATTATCATATCCACTCGATTCCGTCAACCTCATTACGACATTCCGCCTTCTTGATTGCCCTCCGACAGGAGATCTGGAGTGCATTCTTAAACCAGCGCACATTCCGTCTACCCGTCTGCCCATCAAATGACTATACTGTATTCGATTCAGCAAGCGACTTTGTCTGGACGAACAGGATCCTAGTCTGGTGTGCAGATCTTCTGAAATTCTGCTTCGATGAAAGCAGATCAATGCCCCCAGCCAAACGAGTTGAACGATGGACGACGTTGAAATCATTCGATCTGATGTGGGAAGCGAATAGACCACTGGACTTCAAGCCACTTTATTTTGAAGACACCGATCCCGCATCTGGGAAGTTCTTTCCTGTCATCTGGCATCAAAACCCTTGCCAGGTTGTCGGAGCCCAGCATGTCGAGCTATCCCGCATCTTGCTTGCTGTATCAAATCCACATCTTTCCAGGCTAGGACTTGCTGCTCGCTCGGCAAATCTTGCCTTGGAGGAGGAGTTGCGATGTATCATACGTCGGCTTATAGGGTTGGCGCTGTCTAATCCGAAGTGTCCGGTGGTGTTTGTTGATGCTGCGGTTGGAATCTCTGTATGCGGGGAATACCTTACAGACCCAGCTGAGCAGAATGCTGTTCTTGAATTTTTGGCGGATCTGGAGCTTAATTATGCTTGGCCGACTACTGCTACATCTACTGCTCTTAGAGAAGCATGGCAGACTAGGCTACTATCATAGAATTGTTAATTTTGCCAGCGCAATACTCAATCAAACTGGAGTAGTTACAGAAGAAAAACGAGGGGTAGGGCTACTATCAGCTCCCTTGCCACTTTAGCCAGCGCGAAATTGATCCTTACGTTCCGATAATCCAGTCAGTATCCTTTTGCTCCTGGGAACTCGGCTGTTTTGTCTCGGGCTTGCCACCCTTCTTGTGTGGCCAGCCCCAATGGCGGCGTTGACTATTGGGACTAGCGGTATTGGCAGTATTACCTGTGGCATTGTGAGTATACACCTGAGCCCGGAAGTCCAATACACCACGGAAGGGGAAATATCATACCACTTGCTATACCAGCAGAAGGTTCAAAATTCGTTGTTGGCTGAGTAGGCTGAGTAGACTGGGACTTCTGATTCATCGAGTCCTGCTCAGGCGACGTGGGTGACTTTGCTGCACCTGGGGACTCGGGCGCGTCCGTCGAACCTACGCTGCCAGCTGAACCTTGGCGATCGCGATGATGAAAGGCGTCGGATGCTCTACGGAGGAAGTCCGACATGATGGCAGTGAATGTATCCCAATCAAGTATTGTTTCCAAGTATCGAGGTTCTCAAATAAAGCTCGGAGAATGCACTTTCGACAATGACCTTCACTCACAGGAGCTGCTCCTATATAGCTGGCCCCTCACAAGGTTAATGACATCATTGTCCCAAATGGTGCTCTGTTCTCATGATCACTCTGATCCCTGGAGTACGAACAAATAGGGTAACTAGGATTGCCACTCCGGTCGGCGAGCTATCAATATCATTCGAGGAAGCAGAGTGAGCGCATCATATGTGGCAAATATCGTTCAAGGCCGCGAGGGGGAAAAGCTAGGTCCAGAATGATCGGACCCGACATCTCCGAACGTGGATAGTTACTCATGGACATATCAGATGCGGAAGAATTTTAAATAGATATGTCAAGATATCTGTTTCGGTGAATTTCCTCGCTCTTCAATGAAGATCAGGCAGAGGAAATGGCAAAGGTCCGCGAGCATGGACCCCCGGGCAGGTGCGGGTGGTCGGGGATAACAGCGACAAGGCCAGACCGACCATGGTATCAGTTGGTATGATTGATTGCCCCACGAATTGTGTTAACCTAGGCCAAATCAACATGGCACTCCATGAGAAGCTGAAGCACTAGCTGCCATTCCCGATTGGGTCAGATTTTCCGCAAGGTTTCCCCCACGCGACAAGCCAATGTGCGGGGAAGCGGGTCCTTTCCGCCCGGCGCGATTGGTGGCGGAACTTGTGTTTGCAAGAGCTCGATAGGAATTCTTTCCTCTTCTAGCGATCGACAGGTCGAAGTTTCGTGATGGGTGAGGATTTCCGCTCGTGCAATGAACTCATGTTCCACTCTGTTCAATGAACGAAGTCACCCCCAAAACACCCTCTCGTCGGTGACATCAATAAGGAAGTACATAAAGATGGAGAAACCCATTCAGATACCCAAACCTTTGCCAGACCAAATTTCATACTTGCAATATGTTGTGGACCGTGATTTTCGCTGCTGCAAGTATCTACTTAGTCGTTTCCTGGCTGATATGGCCCGTTCTACGATACTTTCGTGACCCAAAGGGTTTCCGAAAGTACCCCAATTATTCTTTTCTCTCCGGCATCACGGACATCCCGTACTGTCTTCTCAGTTCTTGTGGCTTTCGGTCGCGAGACCTCACCAAGCTCCATAAAAAATCACCCATTTTGCGGATCGGCCCCAACAACCTCTCCTTCGGGGGTATCGAGGCCATTCGGGACATCTACGGCCATTCGACACCTTGTGTGAAAGATTTGAAATATATCATCACATCAGACGCCCACCCGCACCTGTTCGATGTTGTCAATAAGCCTAGTCATGCTGCAAAGCGGAAGAGACTCTCGGCTGCGTTTGCGATCAAAAACCTCGAGCGATGGGACTTTAAAGTCGCTCGCACCACGGAGCGCCTTATCGCTGCTTTCGACAATCTGTGCACCCAGCCGTTACCTCCCAGCGGCATTCCCGACGCATCTGACCTGACGGTTGACTTTAATAAGTGGGCCAACCTATTCACGATTGAGGCCATCAACAACATCGCTCTATCATCGACCCTGGGTCTTCTTGAGCAAGGTGGTGATCTGGTGACAGCTCAGAGGCGAGACGGCGCCACGTACCAGGCACACTATCGCAAGTCTCAAAACACTTCCGCTTACGCCACTTCGCACTTTGTCTGGGACTACAACAATTTCAAGTTCTTCGTCGCACTGTCGAAGTTGTTTCCGAAATGGAGAAAAGCTTGGACACAAGCGGCGCCGTTCAAAGATGTTATCTACCACCAGGCTGTGACGCGACTCGATCGATACAACAAGGGAGAGAAACTCGACGATTTCTTTACAGCTCTCATGGACAACAAGAATGGGAGTCCGCACAATTTGGAGTGGGGCGAAATTGTCGGCGAAATTGCTGCCATCCTCGACGCGGGCGCAGATACAACAGCGATCGCTCTGACTCAGATCCTCGAACTGCTCATCCGTCATCCTGAGCACTTGGCTACTCTCCGCGAAGAGGTCGACAATGTCCTCTCGCCGGAAGATGTCGTGGCTCCGTATGATACAGTGAAGAATCTCCCTTTCCTACGCGCATGTCTTGATGAAGCACTTCGCATCATCCCACCCACATCTGCGGGACTCCCGCGCCGGACTCCGCCTGAGGGCGCGAGAATTCTCGGCGAGTGGATCCCAGGTAATACAAGCGTGTCGATGACCATCTACACAGCACACCATGATCCGAGTGTGTTTCCGAGCCCGGACGAGTTCAATCCTAACCGGTGGATGGATATCGAAGAGCGGAAGAGGATGGAGCCATATTTTATCCCGTTCTCGACAGGCGCGAGGGGCTGCATTGGCCGTAATATTTCGTATTTGGAGCAAACGGTGGTGCTGGCTTCGTTGGTTCATCGTTATGAGTTTGCTTTGCCAAGTCCAGAATGGAAGCTCGAGCGATTCGAGGCTTTCAATCTGCTGATGGGGGAAATGCCTATCAAATTGTGGAGAAGGGAGACTCCAGTTTGATGAGTGTTACGAAAAATTTTTGGTTTCACTTCCTGTCAGTCAACTTTATTGATTACACCCTCTGGCCATATATTAGTAGCATACAATGCTGCTTCGACGTTTAATCATGGTGAATATCGTCTGAATGGAGACATCCAATTCAATTTGCTTGTCTGAGACTCCTGGTCTAGTTTTCACCAGAAAACCATTAGTCTATCTGTCTGGTAGTTCGAATTTCTTAGAATAGGAAATTAGCAAGAGTTGCCATGACAAAGTCACATGTTATTAGCAAACACCAATCACGGCCACGTGCTGACGCCCTCTCCGATTCTCAGCTATTGTTCCGCGGTGTGGCTTCCTTCCGGCCTCATTCCGGCCATTCGGTTGAGCCAAGATGAGACGCAGCGAATAAAAAGTCACAACAGATATTGTATAGTCACTGCCTCCCGGTGTGACTCTTATCTAGGCAAATACAGTCGCGCAGGGCTTGCCATCGGTTTCCGGTGTCAGCACAGCGATCACCTTGGGCAGGCATATCCAAGGCTTTAAAATTGCCACACGGGCAAGATCAGCCTTCTCGATATCGGTATTTGTGTCGTTCATCATCCGTGGCTCATGGTAAGCAATAGCCGGAATGAAGCCGATCTGCGCTTTAAATGCGGCAGCTAGTCCTAAAATGACTAAACTGGGCAACATTTCCGCAACCCCACGGGGTAAGTCACCAAGTGCGCCAAAGTCGTGATCATTTCTTCCATGCCTCTCTAGCGGGCAATTTCGGTGGTTAATTCAGTATACGCTTGTCAGTATATAAATGCTGCAATATTTTTTCCGTACTTACATCTATTCTTCTCCATTCTTGAACTAGAATATTACTCTCCACATTCCTCATTCGCCATGGCTGAACAACCTCAAGAATCGGTACCAGCTGCCGATAAGCTTGGTGCTGATGAAAAACCCAAGTCATTTTCTCATCAAGAACACGCAAAGGATGAGACGGTCGAGTTTGCCGATCTCCAGATCACCTATGATAGCAATGGCATCAAGGGAATTCTCAATTCGCCTTTTGTGTGTGGTGCAGCTCTACTTGCTTCCTTTGGAGGTTTCTCCTTTGGCTATGGTGAGTAATCTCCTATTCACAGACATTATTATCTGATTAACATTTCCTAGACCAGGGTGTAATCTCTTTGATTCTGGTGATGCCCCAATTCGTCGATCAGTTCCCAGAAGTTGACAAGAACGCCCCGAACTATGGCTTCAATACCGGCTTCCTGACAGGCATGTTAGAGCTCGGAGCATTTATCGGATGCCTTTTCTTCCCGTACATTGCAGACAAGATTTCGCGAAAATGGGCTATTAGCGTGGCGACTGGATTCTTCTGCATTGGTGCCATCATTCAAACAGCGTCGCAGAATTATGATTCCCTCGTTGCTGGTCGATTTATTGGGGGCATAGGTGTTGGAACACTTGGCGATGGGAGCTCCTCTATACATTTCCGAGATAGCGCCTCCCAATCTTCGCGGATCGCTGATGGTTCTGGAAGCTATCAGTATTGTCGTTGGGGCAATTGTTGCGTATTGGATTACTTATGGGACAAGGTATTTCGCCTAGTATCCGTGCTTGGTTGAACATGATCTGACAATTAAATGACAGGGCAGTTAGTGGCGACTGGGCATTCAGATTGCCATTCCTTCTTCAAATGCTACCGGCCCTGGTTGTCGGTGGTGGAATCCACTTCTTCCCTTTCTCTCCTCGATGGCTTGCGCTCGCGGACCGAAACGAAGAAAGTTTGGAGTGTCTGGCCAAGCTTCGACGGCTCCCTGCTACCAATGAAACTGTGCAGCTGGAGTGGAGGGGTATTCTTGCGGAAGATCGATTTCAGAAACAAATCTTGCTGAAGGAGCATCCCGACACTGGTGCTGTGATGATGGAGTTCAAGCAGTGGGTTGATCTTTTCCGGCCGAGGTATCTCAGACGGACATTTGTCGCTATGGCTATTCCTTTTTTCAACAGGTATGCTCCTTTCTCTTGCTGCCAGTGTGATGCAACTTTCATTAATTGACTTTGGCACAACAATCAGTTCTCTGGTGTCAATGCGTTTGTGTACTATGCACCAACGTTCTTCAGCAGTCTGGGACAGGATTATGAGACATCGCTTATTCTCTCGGGAATGGTCAACATTTTTCAATTCATCGGCAGCGTCCCGATCATCCTATATATGGATAAGTTTGGCAGGAGACGACTTGCTATCTTCGGTGGGCTTGCGATGGGCATCCCGCATATTATCATGGCCGGCATCGTTGGCAGATTCAGCTCAAACTGGCCAGCGCATAAAGGCGTCGGCTGGTTTGGCGTTGCCTTAATTTGTAAGTCAATTTCTTTTTTCCGCAGTTTGCTTCGCTTCCATACTGACATCCGCAGACATCTATATCCTCGCATACGCCATGTCATATGGACCCCTAGGCTGGGTCCTCCCAGCCGAGATCTTCCCAAGTTCGAGACGAGCAAAAGGGGTAGGTCTTGCTACAGCAGTGAACTGGTTGGCCAACTTCATCATCGGGACCATCGTTCCGCAGATGCTGGTTTCCATTGGCTGGGGGACATTCTTATTCTTTGGCGTGTTTTGCGCACTGGCGGCTCTCTTCTCGTTTTTCTTCGTACCAGAGACTTCCAACAGGTCTCTGGAGCAGGTTGCATCTGTTTTCGGAGATAACCTTGCGGCTGATGAAGTGGAACTTCGCTCTCGGATTGATCGGGAGATCTGGGCGGAGACTAGTGCTCGTGCACAAGTCCATGTTTGATATGGATAGACTTCACCAGCAAGGATTTGTACATTGATTAACGCCACGCTATGAGAATTGAGTATATGACATTCGTGTCCGATTCGAATAATGTGTGCAAGGCGAAAAATAGTGATTTTACCTGACAGGCTCTTTTGTAGATCCTGGCATCTTGAAAGGATGCCCGCCAGAGTTGAAGACGTATTCATCCATGCTGATGAGATCCGGAGCACTAAACATCAGATAGAAGTATTTCAGAGTTTGCGACATCCAGTGACTTTCCATCGAATCACTGTGGATCGGCGCGGCATCGACTGTCACATCCACAATCGCCGCATTACCATTCGGAACATGTGTCGCATTCTGAATATTCTCAAACATCTCCCAGGCAATATCGAGCAGGTCTTCTCGACCCGTAGTGCGATAGAGAATAAACATGCTCTCGATCATCTCTGGTCGCAGGTTGTACCGAGTGTCGGTAACAGCGATGATCCCCTTCGGAAGGTTGTGATCCTTTATGAAGGCGTCGATGTTGAGAGTGAGGTCTGCGTTCTGTTGATTGCTTGCTTTCTTCCTGACCTCTTGTTTCCAGAGCCACTCATTCCAGGGACAGCTGCGTTGCGACTCGCACGGGATTGTTTCGAATACCTCCGGCATAATCCCCATTGGCATTGTCTTCTGTGCCCAGATACACCCGTCGACCAGATTGTCGGCGATCTGTCGGTGAATCGGAATGTTGAAGAGCTGGCCGCCCATCGCAAACATTCCACCTGCAAAGCATCCTCGGTAATGGGCTTGAGCTTGGAGTGTCGTTCGCTGCTTTCCATTCTGCGTTATCGACACGCGGACCGACCCTGGAAGCAGTATACCTTTGTTCTCGGCGTTAAGTGGGCGAAAGAAGCTGTGGCTTGCGGCGGTGCGAGTCGTCCTCTCGTACATTTTCCGGTAAATGGGCACTTGTCCGCTGAGCAGCGCATATGCTCTGGGTATATCCTTGTACAAGGAGTCAACCTCAGCACCCATTGTATACACATCCCCGCTGAAGACCTCCGCCCGCGGATTGAGGATGACCGGCCACATCCCCGACAGTTTTGTCTGCCCTTGCAGCTGGTCGAATTTGGTCATGACGTGCTGCGCTGCGTCAAAGTATTTCGGATCACCTGTAATTTGAGACAGTCTCGTAAACTCCAGCACGAAAGAGCCGAGCTCTGATGCCGATACGACTTCCTCGGCTTGTTGCTCTTCTTGACGGGCGGCTTTGTGGAGATCCCAATGGATAATCGGCATGCGGTTGGGGGTGTCGAATGCAGCGTAAAGCATGTCGCCGACATCGACTGCTTTGTTCAATAATTGTTTATCGGCGCTCAAGTCGTATGCCGAGAGTAGTCCTCCGAGAATGCGGACGTTGACTTCGTGGGTATTGATCTCTGGCGACGGGGTATCTTCAAAATTAATTTCCGAAACGGCTGCGACAGCCTTTTCAAAGTCCTCTTTCATGTCCATGATCCAGAGTGTATCCAGATTATCGATTAACGTTGTACCCCATGCCCCGAGGACGTTTCGCGGCAAGCCGCTCAGGGGCGCAAGCTCATCTGTCGGCCATGCGATGGACTTGTAAGAATCCCAGCAGCGCTGGAACGCATCTTTCACTGCTGCCTGTCTCTCTGACTGGTACCACAGCGTCAATCGCGAGAATTTAGACGTAGCTAGCTGGATGCGAGGGAGCTTTCGTGATGTTTCTGTTGGAAGCGGCTGGCCAGGGACAGCGGGGTATCGGACAGGCAATCTCCGCCATAATGAATCAGAAATGGGATCATTTGGCGGAAGATCGTCCACTGCTGGGGCTTCTTGAGCGATCGGCGACGGTGTGGGTAAGGAGTTTGTCGTGTCTGACGATCGAAGGCGTGGGGAGATGATGATGAACAAACAGGCCACGAGCAAACAGCCTAACGCCTGACGTCTAAATCGATTCATGTCGAGGACCGCTAGAGTATCTTCATTCGCCCACACTCTGCACTGGCATTTTCGTCCTGCAGTGCTGGCCTCCCACGTCAGCGACAATGATAAAGGCGGAAGTTGCGCGGAATGAGGAGAAGAAATGAACGCCCCGCGCAGGAGAGCGGAGGTCCGGGCAAATAAGCACTATACTACGGGCCTTGCCAAGCCAGTTTCCCAACCGGCGGAATTAATCAATTCAGATTGGCGCGAGTCTAGATCGCGGCATGCCAAGTAGCTCTGTGAACGTGTCGTGTCGGCCAGTACTCCATCGGAATGCTGACGACGCCGGCAGGCATTGGCGGGAGGATGCCGTGGAGATTGCCTGCTGCATGGGCCCGAGTCTAGACTGCTGGCGCGCGGTTTAGTTCGGACTCGTACCGGGTTGCTTTGCATGCGTTCTCGCTGCAGGTTCCGTTGTCGCCTAGAGGAATATTCACCCGTGAAGTTCAGACGTGAGAGTAATTTCGAAATAGAGGACATGGAAGATAGCAGCCAATTACCATTCGCAGTGTGCCTTGCCCCTGGCTAGCTCGGCGAGATTGACGCGACGCCTTTACTGCAGTCAGCACTGCAAACAGCAAACTCACTTTGCACCAACGGCGGGGCGTCTGCTGCGAATCAGCATGCTCCTTCGATATTGCAACAGCCACACGGCGATCTGGACAAAATCGCGGAATGGAACCCCTCGATTGACTTTGCTCTCGCACAATCCTTTTCTCGCTACATACCCCAAAACAGAGGAGAGTCGACCAAAAAAATGTAGAGGAAGAAAAAAAAAGAGCTTAAGTGCGCTAAGCTTAAAACGCAACTCGAAATTAGCTGAAAAATATCTTGGATCAAAAATAAAAAATCGGAGCAAAAAAGAATGCATCATCCGTGAATCGAACACGGGCCTCGTCGATGGCAACGACGAATTCTACCACTAGACCAATGATGCTAGTTGATGTTAATGTTACGAAACTCGTCTACATAAAGAAAACCTGAACTAATATGCGGCGATACCTCCGTCGGTCGCGCGCTCGTTTCTAGGACGAATTTCGAGGCACTGATCATTTCGGATCAAACATTTCACTTCATTTTGATATTTTCAAATACCTCTTTATTTAAACTTGATTTTAATGGCACCTGGACAATACTGTAGTCCGCAGCAAACTGAGATCCAAATTGTGTTTTGATATATATTTCTTTGGGTAAGACCACTCAACGGTGCTTTGGAAGCTTCACAAGAATTAGGCGCCGAGGGATAACACACCCATGCCGAAGTTCCACGAGACTACGGTAATTTAACATCAAAATAAATTTAAACAACACTGTTCAAATTTGACTCATAACTCCCAGCTACAAGGTGTCCGATTACCTCGAAATGCACAGAGAAGTCCCACTTTGTCCTCTCGTGCGGACATCACATCACCTAGCCAGGACCCCATCCCAGGCCCACAACCTTGCAAGCATATTCAATAGTCTGCGAGCATCACAGAAACCTTGAAATAAGAAAGCGGTAGAAATTTCCAACCCAAAGGAAAATCGCGCAAGCCCCACCAAAGCCGCAGGGTAGGCAGAGATCGGCCCGCTCCCCTCCACCAGCAGGTCTGCAGCCGTAGACCAAAGTACCGATCGCGGGGAGAACTGATTACCTAGATTAGCAGTTGTATCGGATCGCCACCACTTCGACAGTAGTATTTTCGATGTAGGCTAGCAGTCCACTTGCCAGATTCAAGTTAGTTCCAGATTCATCTGTGTCGGCGGTATCCAAGAATATTTGGAAGTAGGTATTGGCCATTTGGATTGGTGGAATCCATCACGACAGATTATTGTATAGCAAACCTGCATGAGCCGTCCCATCGGAGTGGTCAAGATGAAAATTGGCCCTAGCGGGGCTGTGATTCAGCTGAGCGTGTACGCGAGCGTGCGGGGTTGTGATTAATACTCGGCTTGTGGCACATCCCTCTTCCTACCGCACTATTTTCGATTTCCAACTCCCCTTCCAAACGCAATGGCAACAGCAGCTGTCCTCCCCTCACGGGAACGCGTCGAGCCCGGCTCATGCAATATCCCACTTGGAAAATTGCCTACTACAGCAACGAGCACCCCAGAGAACCCCGTAGAAGTCGCCGGGGCCGTGATCCAGCAGCTAAACAGCGCCCTCGCAAAGAAAGACTCGACAGCGCTGAAGCAGTTGTTTATTGAAAACAGCTACTGGCGCGACCACCTCATCGTCTCATGGGATTTCCGCACGCTTAAGGGTCCGGAGGCGATTGCGTCGTTTGTGGCCGATGCATCTCTGCAGTTTGAGATTGATTCCTCGTCGGCTATGAGGGCGCCGCATAATGGGCCTATTGATGCTTTTGGTGAGGTGCATGGTGTTGAGTTCTTTGTTAAGGTGGAGAATGAGACTGGGGCTGGTCAAGGTATTGTGAGGCTTGCACAGGAGGGGGGTGATTGGAAGCTCTTCACTATTTTTACTTCGCTGGTTGAGCTTAAGGGGAATGAGGAGAATGTGAACCATCGTCGGCCGGCTGGCGTGCAGCATGGTGAGCTGCAGGGGAGGAAGAATTGGGCGGATCGAAGGGAATCGGCGGCTAGCTATGAGGGTGGAAAGGAGCCTGCTGTTCTCATTGTTGGTATGTATTAACTCTCCTTCCGGGTAGGGGGGATTAGAGACTGACTCAATGACTGATGTAGGTGCCGGACAGGGCGGTCTTACTGCCGCCGCGCGCCTGAAGATGCTCGACGTCGACACCCTGGTCATCGACCAGGAAGACCGGATCGGAGATAGCTGGCGACGCAGATACCACCAGCTCGTCCTGCACGACCCCGTCTGGTTCGACCACATGCCCTACCTTCCCTTCCCATCGCACTGGCCGATCTTCACGCCGAAGGACAAGTTGGCGGAATTCTTCGAGTCCTATGTCAAGCTGCTCGAGCTGAATGTCTGGACCCGAACTGAAATCAAGTCTTCCTCCTGGGACGAGCAGACGAAAAAATGGGCTGTCAAGCTGGAGCGCAGGAAGGAAGACGGTACCACCGAGACGCGTACCCTGCATCCTGCCCACGTTATTCAGGCGACTGGTCACTCCGGCAAGAAGAATCTGCCTGTCTTTAAGGGGATGGAGAATTTCCGGGGTGATCGCATCTGTCATAGTTCGGAGTGGCCTGGTGCGAAGGAGAACTCGGCTGGTAAGAAGGCTGTTGTGGTTGGCTCTTGTAATTCCGGCCATGATATTGCACAGGACTACTTTGAGAAGGGCTATGAGGTGACGATGGTGCAGCGCAGTTCGACCTGCGTGGTGTCATCCAATTCCATCGTGAATATCGGACTGAAAGGTCTGTACGAAGAAGGTGGCCCTCCCACCGAAGATGCAGACCTGTATCTGTGGAGTATCCCGCCCGAGCTGTTCAAGCTGCAGCAGACCAAGGTGACCCAGGCGACAAGCCAGAATGACGCAAAGACCATCGAGGGTCTGGAAAAGGCCGGGTTCAAGGTTGATCGCGGTCCCATGGACGCCGGATTGCTGGTCAAGTACCTCCAGCGCGGTGGTGGATATTATATTGACGTGGGCGCGAGCCAGTTGATCGTCGATGGCAAGGTGAAGGTCAAGCATGGACAGGAGATTAGCGAGGTCTTGCCGAATGGACTGCGTTTTGCGGACGGGTCGGAGTTGCCGGCTGATGAGATTGTGTTTGCGACGGGGTATCAAAATATGCGGACGCAAGCGCGGGCCATCTTTGGGGATGAGGTTGCGGATCGCGTGGAGAATGTTTGGGGTCTGGATGAGGAGGGTGAGATGCGGACGATCTGGCGTCACAGTGGTCATCCCGGTTTCTGGTTTATGGGCGGTAATCTTGCGTTGTGTCGGTACTATTCGAGACTGTTGGCACTGCAGATTAAGGCGAGAGTGGAGGGAATTGTGAGGGAGTAAGCAAGCATAGCTGTGGAAAACAGTTTTTCAGATAGATCTTGGAAGTCGAAATAATGCAGCGATTTCATAGACACCTTCTGTTTTATCGAATGTTCAAATGTATAGTAAGAATGTCCACCCATTGGCAGGGCTTTAACAAGGACTTCTACTCCACAATACCGAACAACCCGACCAACCTTAGTGATGAAAAGTTCGGGTCAATCGGAGGCAATGCAAGCACAACAATACTGATAAGGCATGCGCAATACACAGAGGCCATGGTGGAGGCAGGCTACGGAAGGTTATAGCGGCCAAAGCTCACTTTCCAAATTCCAATCTCAAGAGGGCTTGATACATGGATTGAAGAGATCTGTATCTCCATCTGACCACCTTATATACTCTAACAATACCCAAAATAGTGTTCCATGCAGTCTTCCAAACAGTATACTGAACGGTCAACGGAACGGTTAGATAAAAAAGCATCTGAACAGTCACCTAATCGCATGGACTACTCCTAATCTTGTACCGTCAATGAGGCCTTAACAGGTGTCATGGTTATGTTACCTCCTCGTACTTTGAGCAATTGTTCGTCTGTCAGTGTTGTATCAGCTATCAACTCAAAAAATGGCATTGATACGGGCGATAAACTTCCCTAGGCAGGCGCTATTCAAGCTTACCCAAAGGTATACTGATGGGCAGTGGCCCGTGCCGTTATTTGTGTCTGAGACATTGAAGAGATAAATGTACTCAACGGACGAAGGTGCCATTCTGCCGAAAAAAGCGCTCTGACGCGTACCTACTATCTTCGACCATCTATTATGCCACCAAAACACGCTCGATCATGCCAAGTCTCGATCGAACAGGAAGACCGAATACTATTATCTATGAAAGATATTAAAAATGGCTCTCCCGACTCTATACGCGCGATCGCCGCACGTTACTAGATACCCGTTCAACACTTACGTATCGCCTCCAGTACACCATCTCGCATTAATACATGCGTGAATAGCTATAAATTAACTAAATTCGAAGAAGATTATTTATACTGTGGATATTCTCTATCGATTCATGTGGTGTAGCACCTAGTCTCTCTACAATAAGAATTATAGCTAACATTCTACTTACTAACTTATATATAGAAATACCCCTCATCTCAATTTACCACTTCACTCCCTCGATCATTCGTTTCCACCGTCGCCAGAAGCGCAGACTGGCAGACCTACACGAGCGTAGTGTAGGAAGGAAGTCATTTTGTGTGTGTGTGTGTGTGTGTCTTCTCTGCCTTCCGAGTGCTCTCTCGTGAGCGAGTCATCGAGCACATTGTTACGAACCTTGCGACAGCACAGCCAGCTGAAGTAGGAGGGGCTACGACCTACTGATGAACCACCGAGAGCCAACCGATTTTGGAACAGTTCATTAGTTCCAACTGTCACGTGAATAATGCTCAAAATCTGCCGGAACAACGAAGTGGATATATCCCACAACCAATGGGGTGGTAGAGGTCTGAATTGCTATGAAACCCCTGTTCTGGCAATTTATGGGGGCAAGCTGACTAACTACAAAATAAGGCAATAACGCATCAATCTAAACTCAATTAGGTCCTCCAGCACCTGGATCCCGACAGAATCTCAGAATAAAATCACGTGACATCCCATCACACGATAGGATGGGATATCCCATTGGGAAATAGGATCGGACCCCACTGATGGATAGGATCCGATTCCATCGGAGGATAGGAAGGACTGGATATATAAGGACACTAATTCACACACATGTATTTAGTTCTTCGCGATCAATCTCACACTGTTACTTAGATCTACTGTTCACACTTCACTGTTCGATATAAAACCAAACATCCTACAATTAGGGGAGCTCTTCGGACTGACCTACTTAGCGCACTCGACTGGCGCACCTCTGCAAGCATCCTAAAGACCCGAACCCGCAGTAAGGTGTGGCATCGCAACGATACGGTTGTGGATAGGCTTGGAGTTACGCATACTTAAGGCAAGTATCACCCAGGAACACTCACGTTCACTGTGCCCAGCCAGTAGCACGCATCCCCCTTATTCACCATATTGGTGCATTTTTCTATTTTCTATAATTTTCATGTGCTCTCTTCTAACTAGCTTCTTTTATTTTTTGTGTTTTCTTTCAACTGTTTTCTTTGATTTTCTATATGGTTTCTTTTAACTGTTCTTTGTTTCTATAATCAGGAACGATCATGTTTTCGAGGAGGGGCGTATATGTCCCACAGCCTTACTTCTTTGATTGTTTCGGCTAGAAAACCTTATGACCTTATGTTTAACACATTTTGATCATTTTCTTTTACAGGGAGGATCGAAATCAGTTTCACCACTTAGACACAGCGATTCGTTCTTAAACCCTATTCTGAAGAAAGCTAATGCACCGATGGCTTTAGCGCTGTTTAGAAGATGTATCGCAAGGAGAGAGAAAACCACGTGATGATTGATGGTGAAATTTACTGGAAATACCCTGACCATGAATACGTTCCACAACTGCCCCCACTCCCTGGCAGCAATGCTCCCCAGGATGATATGGGTGAATGAACTATCTTCTTAAACTGCATAAAAAGCCCATTTATGGTCGAAAGATTATCTGAATGATTCACACTATGAATCAGGCTCCACCGGGGAAAGGCATCACATAAACGGTCTTCCTCATCTATGTATCAAAATTTAACAACTCTATTTCCCACTCCAGCAAGGTTTCGGAATGAGATAAGGTTTGGGGATGATTGGGCCCCAGTGATTGCCTCTGCTTGGACAGACAATCTCGTAGCAAATCTAGGGCCCGGGTATGATGACCTGAAGACTTCCAGGTGAAAGCGAGATTGGCCATGCTTGCCAGCGTGTCGGGATGGTCCACGCCGAGTTTAGACTTGCGAGACTCCATGACCTGCACGTTGAGCTGCTCTGCCTCCTCCCAGCGGCCCTGGTTCCAATATGTCGATGCTAGGTTGGCCATACTGGTCAACGTGTCGGGATGATCCACACCGAGCTTCATCTTGCGAGACTCCATGACCTGCACGTGGAGCTGCTCTGCCTCCTCCCAGCGGCCCTGGTTCCAATATGTCGATGCTAGGTTGGCCATACTGGTCAACGTGTCGGGATGATCCACACCGAGCTTCATCTTGCGAGACTCCATGACCTGCACGTCGAGCTGCTCTGCCTCCTCCCAGCGGCCCTGGTTCCAATATGTCGATGCTAGGTTGGCCATACTGGTCAGGGTGGAGGGATGGCCCACGCCGAGTTTAGACTTGCGAGTCTCCATGACCTGCACGTTGAGCTGCTCTGCTTCCTCCCAGCGGCCCTGGTTCCTATACGTCGACGCTAGGTTGGCCATACTAGTCAGGGTGGAGGGATGGTCCACGCCGAGCTTCGCCTTGCTCCTCTCCATGACCTGCACCTGAAGCTGCTCTGCCTCCTCCCAGCGGCCCTGATTCCTATACGTCGACGCTAGGTTGGCCATACTAGTCAGGGTGGAGGGATGGTCCACGCCGAGCTTTGCCTTGCTCCTCTCCATGACCTGCACCTGAAGCTGCTCTGCCTCCTCCCAGCGGCCCTGATTCCTATACGTCGACGCTAGGTTGGCCATACTAGTCAGGGTGGAGGGATGGCCCACGCCGAGCTTCATCTTGCGAGACTCCATGACCTGCACGTTGAGCTGCTCTGCTTCCTCCCAGCGGCCCTGGTTCCAATATGTTGATGCTAGGTTGGCCATACTGGTCAACGTGTCGGGATGATCCACACCGAGCTTCATCTTGCGAGACTCCATGACCTGCACGTTGAGCTGCTCCGCCTCCTCCCACCGCCCCCCTAGTGAGTATGCATCTGCTAACATCGCAGTACTGGCAAGCGCTGCTTCATCCTCAGTACCTAGTAGCTTCACTCTGTGCTTTCTTGATTTTTTTGCCATGTCCGTTGTATCTGCGATATTGCCGCTTTCGCACGAATACCACGCACCTCGATAAAGGAGTGTTGCCCATTTTAGTAAGCAATCTCTTGACTCTGGTTTTTGAGACATTGCTGACCGAATATGAGGAAACAGCGAGCGGCATTTCCCCCAATTTTCATACTGACCCGTGGGAAACTCTTCATACAGATTGCTAACGAACTTCGCCCTCCATCGACTTATTTGTCCATGAGTCTTCAACCATGCACGCATAGTTAGTTGCACTAGTCGATGCATGGTAAAAGAAGTGCCACTGTCACTGACAGATATGAACGAGTAATTTCTTAAAGTGGTGATATCATCTTCGAATTCAGGGCCTTTGTCGGATTCAGATATCTCCGTGTCACTAGAGTCGTCAAAGAGTTCTGAGGAGTTGCTGGCCTTAGGCCCAAGCCGGATCAAGCTCTCTGGTATCCCCTGCCGGTCGAAGAAGCTCATGAGAGAAAGTAGATCTGCCGCAGAAGGTCTTGTATGGCGAATATAGTCGAATGAAATTTGCCAAGTCCCGAGGATTGAGTTATTTGCTTCCCAATCCCGGACAAGTCGACTGGCCTCGCTTTTGAGAAGCTTTGTCGCTTCGATATCACTGCCTTGAAAGTCTCTCAGGTATAGTGATATCGAATAGCGAGGCGCCCGATTTCGAATAAGGCAAGCGGCCTGGACGATCGCTAGTGGCATAAACTCGAGCTCTTCCACTAACTGTTCACTCCCTGGGCTTTGCTCGGTTTGATCGAGCGTTTTTCGGAGAAGCTCTAGTGCTTCAGAGCTTTCCATCGGATTGACTTCAATGAGATCTTTATGATTCACCATCTTGAGTGCGACTTCTTTGCTCCGACTCGTGATAATAATAAAGCCATTCTGGCTTCTAGGGATATATTCTAATAGTGGTTTCGTGGAAGCGTTCGTTAGGCCTCTCGCTAGATGGCCTTTGCCTGCCGTTGGAAGCAAACAAAGGAACCCGTCGTCATCAGCATTGTCAAGGATACAAATCCACTTTCCTCTCTTCTCATCTAGGAGCCAGTTTTCAACCAGCTTGAATATGTTCGTCTTTGGATTCTGACGACCCGGAATTTTGACTTGGTCTGCAATATCCCGAAAACTTTGCTCGAACCGGGCTTCGTTACTCGCATATACCCAGAAAATCCATGTTGTTGGCGATTCGGATCGGACCCGATAGGAGTATTCGATGGCAAGCTGTGATTTCCTTGGAAATGTAAGCAAAGACCGACGTCATGGTAACTCCACACTCACCCAACACCGCCGAGGCCGACTAGCGCTATTCTCGACCCGGGCACAGAGCCTTTCTCGTGAATCTGATGGAGCAGTGTGTTGCGACTGACAAAGTGCGGATCGCGCGGGAATGGGACAGTCGATAGAGGGCTAGGTGGGGTTTCTGGCCGCTCTAAGGTGGGAAATAGTGGTTAGTAGTTGATTATTGTCCTGCCTGGTTCCTGACTTACCCGGCGGAAGATGGAATTCCGCGTTGATCGGGCCATGGCTAATTCCGACCTGGAGCCCATGGTTGCTCCCGGGGAATGATATCGATTCCATGATCAGATAACTTTGCGTCATATGAGTTTCATTCGAAGGGCCATGATCACATCCCCAGCTGAAAGAGGGGCACGTCACGAGCTTTACGATCGGGAAACCCCACGGCGCCAAAATAGGGGTTCAAATACTGAGATTGGCTACTGCGGGGTGGGATCGGCCCGAGCCAGAGCACCCAGATCACGCACAGCGCGCGATAGCCAGCCAGCTCTCTCTAGCTAAAAGCACACTATAAGAGATTGTGGGGTCTTCTAACAGTAGAAGTGTCCAAGGATATTAAAGAAAAGAGGAAACGGATAGAAAAGATAGACGCTGGCCCCCTCATATTCCTGGCCGCTGAAATGAGTGGGGCCCACCGTTACGAAACCTGCAACACCACACGCAGCCGAGGGGCCGCAAGTTACAACGGGCTATCGAGAACTAATCACCCCGCAGGTGCTACCATAACCTGCAGGTCACGTGCGTAACATAACAAAGAAAGAAACAATGGCATTTCCACTGGCAATACATGATACACAATCCAGGGGCACGGGGAGCATCCACGGTTCGGGGAGAAGAAGCGTGGGTTTCCGGGGAAAGAGGGTATCATACGAAGAACCCTTTCCCAGGAAAAACAGTGCCGCAGGAATGGAAGAATCGCAAGGCGGCAACCATCCTGCGACGTAGCCGATCCCAGGACTAGGAACATCCTACGGGCAATCACGATGCCTGACAATTGGTAAAGAACCGTGCTGGTTCGTACGACGGTTCGCGTCGCAGGAAGGAAGAGGCCATGCGATGAGCACACGTGACCGTGACTCCTAGCGTGACTCCCGGAGTATACGAAGGAGTATACGGTGACTCCCGAATCTACCCCAGAAGTAGATCAAGGAGTAGGAAGGGTTAGATATAAAAGGACACTCATTCACACACATGTATTTAGTTCTTTGCGATCAATCATACTATTGTTACTTAGATACATCTTTGCTTCTATACTGTTTAACGTGACTACGAGTAGGGGAGCTCTTCGGACTGACCTACTTGGCGCGCGTCAACTGGCACGCCTATAAGACTTGCTCTAAAGACCCGAGCCCGTGTAAGGCTTAGTGACAGCAACGGTACGGTTGCGAGACGATAGACTTGAGGTACGTATTAGGAGCACGAGGGGTTAGCTTACAGTGACCAGTTTGCACCGCGTAACACCCACGTTGAAGCCAAAAACAGCTATTAGCCCCGGAAGGTAACCCTGTCGCTCAGCCCCAACTCACTGTATTTACAGAAATATTAAATAAACTATCGTAGGCCTAGCAAGGATTAGAACGGGTTAAAATTATGTAGTATCCGAATTCATCGGTAAAGTACTTCCTGAAACCGGTGTCATCACTTACACTCTTTGATTCTTTCTCAATCCCTAATTGCCAAGATAGACTAGTCTATATTAGTGATTCCTCTGTAGAATCCCTGTTACTCGGGCTTATATTGTTTCTTAGTCCGGCCCCATATATCACCGAAAGGAGTGTAAATCATATCTCCAAGGCACAAGAACCCAGTTATGAGCCTAGTAACATTATTACGCGTCAGCATAGATTAGGAGGGTGTTAGGAAGCGTTAGGTAAGAGGTTGTGACTGAGAGGCAGTATATGGTGGTGAGCAGGGTCATTAGTATACTTTGCAAGTAAGCAAGGCATGCACGTCACTGTTTGCGACATCTGGCCTATAACGAGTAAGCCCCTAGCTCGTCCCTTGGACACGGTGGGAGTGGTGGCAGAGGGAGGTGACAACATTGTCAGATTCTCAAGGCCCACTCCAGCTTCTCATGTTTGATTTTATTTGCACTCCTATAGAAGGGTTTAGCACTCCAATACAGTAACGAGTAGACTGCGGCACTATCAACCGATCGATCGATTTTTATCGTATCGGACTATTATCGATCCGATAACGATACCATTTTACTATCGGATATCGGCAGTCCGATCGATAGTAAAACAAATTATCGGCAAGTCCGATATCGTACGATATGTATATAATTGGGTATTCATTCTCTAACCAAGCCACCCCTCCTGAAAAGCAACCCACATCCCCAGGGTCAAAACATGCGTATACAACCACGACTCTAATACATCATGCGGATCGCGGCCATTGGTGACCTCCGGACTGGGACTGGTCAAATTAAAGCACACACGCAGGGATTCCAGAATGGAGCTTTTTCGCACAAACACCTCCAGCCCGCCGGGCGTCATGGTCGCGATGCGCGACTTGCGCCGTGCGTGCCGGTCGATCAGCATCAGAACGAATTGCTTGCTCGGTTCATTTTCATTATGCGGGTTCAGATTTGATTTTGTTCGTGGCGCGGGCCGTTTCTCCCATTGCATGACTATTCGTCCTAGGTCGGTGTCTTTAGAGTTATTTTGTGTTGAGTGTAGCTGCATGGTGAAGCGGTAGGCGGGGATGTCGTGATCAGGTCCCGCGAGACTGGAGGCCGCGCTCCACCCGCACCGCGCGTCGCGGAAGTGGATTGTGGAGGGCGGGCTGTCGTCGGGTGATTGTGATTGTGATTGGCACATGGCGGCTGTGATGTCGCGGGTCGGGGTGCCTTCAGAGTCCTGCTCTGGGGTGTCGGATTTGGTGGATTCTTTACGCAGGTGCGAGTTGATGATGTAGGGTTCGTCGAGAGTGGCGTAGATGTCGCCGGTGCGCAGCTTCGGTCGCTGAGGGAAGTCGCGGGTTAATTTGGACTTGCGGAAGGGTGGTTGCCAGATACCCAGCACTGGGACCGGTCGGTGGTTTGGCGCGAGTTGTTGGATTTGCAAGAGGAGTTTGGGCGCGAGGCGCAAGGTGGATTTCGGGGGCGGGCGAGCGATTTGGAAGTTGGCTTGGATTTTTGCGTGTGGTGAGGAGGGGCTGCCGTAATTTTAGCTATTGTTTGTTTGTTTGTTTTTTTCGGGGGGATTCAAGATGTACGGTGGGCGATGGACTCGGGAGGTCAAACGTACCGCTCGTCACTAGCGCCGTCGCTTTCGTAGACGACCGACGGAGAGCTCATGTTGGCCTCAGTATGCAGGAGGAACATGATGTCTGCAGGTACCACACACGAAATGCCTGGGTGACGGGGCGACGAGAGTGTTTATATCTGTGATGCTCACCGACTTGGATAGTTAGTCTCTTGGCCGTACTCGTATAGCGCCTAGAGCACGAACCATGTGGGTATGTCTCTGCCTGGCCGACCAGCCCGACCCAGACTGTCGTAGTGCGTGGTCCAGGGTCCAAGAGGGTCTGCAATGCGAATACGCGGGCTTCCTAATCGGCCATCTGCCACTCATCGCATCACAGTTGCCTCCATAGGTGCAGCGTGGTTATTCGACTGCCTGATTGTACCCTGAATTTCCTGAATTTCCTGAATCCCCGGAATCACCCATCCCGACCGATTGGCCGGGTGTCGGGAGGATGCCACATTAGGGATTCTTTGCGACCAGGATTGCTTTGTCGGGCGGGATCGACGTCACTGCTCGAATGGGGCGGGTTGTCCGGCGCCCGCCGTCACTTTGGTGTGAACTGAGATCGAGTGTTGACGTCTGCGCCTTGTAGGGCACGACCAGAGCAGTGCCATTGGCCGACCCCGTGCTGATCTCTACCGAGGCAGACTGTCACTGTGGATGATTGTGCCCATGGGAATGAACGATAAACGATGAACTCGCATGGCGCAGTCGATGCGCCCGTTCGTGGGGGCCAACAGGGCTGTCACTTTTCTCGGATCGGCATTCGGCGTGCAGTCAGTCTGTCAGATCTGCCTAGCCTTGTAGTTGACCTGTTCGTTGTTGACTCGCTCGTGTTTCCTCCAAGAAAAGGTGTCACGAACACGAATACGGCAGGGCCTCGGGGTGAGCGTCTACGCCGCCTTGGGCTCGGCATCCGCCCTGCGCGCCTTCCAGCCATGCGGCAGACCCACGATGCGGCCGGTGACAATTCCTTTAACCGTCAGGACCTGCATCACCACCCACATCACCAGCAGGAGTAGCAGCAGCCCTGTCGAGACGACCGCAAATGCCGGCGAGGCCATGATCTTGCCGAATTCTACGGCCGAGTTGGCGAAAACGCCCTGACCTGTTAGCTTTGGGAATGAATGTTACAGCGAAGAGGGGAGACACCCACGGAAAAATGAGCGACCACGCCGACAGACTAAACTGCGTCGCACGCCATCCCCCCGGCTGCCCGCACGCTGTATGACAAATGCTGAGGATGGCGAAGCACCACCAAAACACCCCATACCCCCAGGTCAACAGACCCAGAAACTGGCTGATGAACCCGATCGGTTTGCCAGCCGCGGCTGTCAAGAACGTGCCCCGGTCGTATGCGGCGAAGCTCCCCTTCTCCGCCGCCTCGCCCAGCACCTGCAGCGCAAAGGAGCCTTGTCCGAAGGGCCCGCAGACAATCATGTCCTGCCAGACCTTGTCTGCGGGGGCGTGGAAGCGGTCAAAGTGCTGAAATAAGAGGAGCGCATCGAAGCTGCCGGAGAGGGCTAGCCCGGCGCCGACTTCTAGGTACGAGATGATCAGTGCCGGGACTTGGAGACGGGGGTGGAGGTTGCAAAAGCGGCAGATGACGCCCCCGCCGGCGGCGGAGGTCAGGGCTGCGATGAAGGGGAGGAGGATTGCGGGCGGCAGGTGGTGCATGCCGGGTGGTTGCAGCTTGAGTTGGATGTAGGGGATGCCGAGGCAGGCGATGATTGCCAGAGCGGTGCTGATCCACCACAGGATGTAGATGGCCAGGCCAGCGCGGTGCCCATACTGCAGCGCGGCGAGCTGGAGGATGGAGGTGAAGGTGATCGGGATGCTGGAGAGGCAGGATGTCTCGACGAGGTTGGTTCGTAGTTGCTGGCGGACGTATTGTGGGTAGATGGCGACGCGCAGCATGTACAGGGCGAGACACAAGCCCAGGAGCACAATGGTATAGATCCACACGATCTTCGCGAGCGTCTGGAGTCCGCTGAATTGGTAGTCGAGTCGGTAAAGGATGACGCTAATGATGCCGGTTCCCTGGGGAATCAAAAACCACTGCGAGGCAAAGTTCCATAGCGCCAGACACCGCGGTCGCTCGGGCGGTTCGAGCGATCTTCCGGCATTCGACATGTTGATCTGCAATTGTGAGTGAGTGATGAGGAGATTCAGCTGGAAATCTGCTGGTTAGTGAGTTGACGTCAGTCGCAATGCTTGACCGGATCCCTGGAACCTGAAAAGCCTGTGTAGTATAGAACTGGAGGAGTCAATAGAAATCAGTTTTCATTGGTGAGATAGTAACATCCATAGTATCCGGAACTCCAGAACATGATCCTCATGTAAATGCAACGCTCAATGGGCCTCGCCGACCGCAGATTCCTTTGTCCATTTTGAGTGTGCCGGGACTCATATCGTCAAAGCATCGAAGTCGTAAACACCGAGAAAAGAAAATTCGTAAACAGAAGCGTAAACAGCGGGCGTGAACAGCGAGAGCCAGGCAAAAAAAAAAAAAAAAAGTAGAGAGGAGTGGGTTCGTTTAGTGTGGGGTAGTCACGTAGGATTCCTGGCCGGACGGTGGGTGCGAGGCGTGGGGTGGATGCGCACTGTAATAGCCCGACCCTTCCGGAGTAGCCATATCTACTCAATTAGCATGGGGTTGGGGGTCAGTCCGAGACTCAGTCTCGACAGAGGGCGTGTAATACGAACAGCGTGAGTCCAGTTCGTGGCGAGCCGCCATCGCCTCCGCGCGCAGGGCGGCCAAGTTGCGCAGGCGCACGCTGCGCATGTACTGCTGCTGCTCGTGCGAGAAGTTGTAGCGGCCTTCATCCTCGCTGGGGTTGTAGTGGCGGAAGATTGCGGCTCCGAGTGCCGTCACCGCCAGACAGGCGACGAGGACGATGACGATGATCGCGGCGCGAGTGAGAGCCATCGCGGTGGGTTTGTGAGAAACGGTGCGGTGTGGGTGGTAACGAGAGACGTGGATGGGGGGACGGGTTTCACGGTTCGCGATCGATTGATCAATGCAGGCCGAGATGGCGTGGTCAGTGCATCGTCGGATGCGCGACGAGGAACGAGTGTGGGTGTTTGCAGGAGGAGAGTGTTGGTCGAAGAAGAGAAACAAAGGTAAGTGCCGTGGCAGGCAGACAGGCAGAAGAGGGGAAGGTGCCGCAGAGACAAGCTGGGCAGGTCGGCGTAAGCGGGTGATGCCTCATATTTCGCAATCACGGATAGATCGGTGGCGGATCGTCCGGCCGATGCCGATCTACTAACGGGTACGCCGGAGAACTCGTCTCTTACATTGCACTATTTCTGTCGCCCTCGGCTATTTACGACAGGTCGATTGGATCGGCGGGGCATGTTCACCATGTCTCAGAGAGAGCCACACCGTGACTTGTCAAGATCGAGTCTACCAGGGTAACCTGTAAGGTCCTCTGCACTGCTATACACTGTTCTAAGGTCAGGTACTGGCTCTGGCCGAGGCTGCGCTACTAGCACTACTGGAATAAAGCAGCCTGGCTTAACGGCCGCGCAAAATTGCGCCTTAAAATAGCGAGGAATTGGGAACCGGTGGGTTTGGTGTCCCGCCCGGGTTTAGTGCGAAGCTTGTCTGCTGGTGCGACACACTCCATTGGGCTACGTATAGCGGGTACGTTTCACAATGGGATGGGACAGTCACATCGGGATGGCCTCGATTTTGAGACATGACGCCGAGGCGGTGCGTGTTCCAGAAGAGAAAACACCTATCCGAAGTAGTGAAAGTAGCAGGGAATATGGAATTTCAAGGGGAATTCATACTGCGAGCTTTGGTGGCACCATAACATCGATCATGTAATCTCAGCCATTTAAGAACTATCCGATCAGCGAGAAAAAGAAATCATATCACATACGATCAGTCACAAGTAAAACACCCTTGCCGATCTTCCTTATCCACTCTCTACCCACGTGGAATACTTGCCGAAGACAGCCATAAGCCTGTGATTAAGAACTGCAATACTTAGATGCACAGCACAGCCCTACAGCGGAAGAGAATGTTATAGATGTCACATCAATCACTTCTATTGGACCTGCCTCCAGTGACTAAAGCATTCTACTATCTCAAGATCCATCCTTATTGATCCCCAATTAATCGCCGACCGATAAATCCATGGCTGTCGAGCTCCCAGCCTTCCCGAATTGGCATAAATTATGCTCACGATTAAGGTTCAGGTACCCGATAGGCGAGCAGATCCATCGGTTCTCGTCCATTGACAGGGCACCAGACTAGTGTATTTGCTATTTAGTCGCCGCAAGTGTCGAGGTGGAAGTGGTCTTACCGTTTGAATCCTGGAAGCACGCCGACGGCAAGGACGATCACTGATCATTGCGGTGCATGAATGGCGGGAGATTCCATATGGACCGTAATTAGTATATAATTACCATATGCCCCCACCCCCCCCCCCAAAGGCGACAACAAAGGTAATAAGTCTGTTTTGGGTGCCGGGCACCTCTCGCTGAAAGAAGAGAGTCGGGTAGGGGTAAGGAGCTTCAAGCGTATACATAAACGGGCCCATCAGGGGACATAGAGTCGAGCGTGGTTGCGCCATTTTGGTTCGAGGTGTTTAGGACAGGAGAAGGAGCTGAATGGAATGTGAACATCAACAACCACGAAGATCGGACTGGATGTACCATTTATACCTGAGAAAGCCATCATGACCCAGTCACATAGGTGACCTAGGGGAGCACTTTAGTGTACGTTTTTCTTATGATGATTATAATTTTTGACAATGATTTGCGATGTTCTCGAACGATTACCGTAAACCCTTCAAATCATGGGTGATATTTTCCAGGATCGGTGTCTAGAGTATGCATTTGCATTCGGAGTGTAACCAGGATCCATCGTGTCATATTAGGAACGCAAGCACCTGTCAACTGATTTTAGTTATAAATAATGGCATTCCCTTCGCGCCGAGAACACATTGCGTAAATGTGACAAGCGGTCGGGCACCCATGGGAAGAGCCATCGTGTTACATTATGCCCCGGGCGCGTTAGGTACATTGAATATCACCAGCAGTGAAGCAACTAAGAGCGATTTGGACGATATGTAGATAATCAGCGTGGCTACTCCCTGAATTTGATTTAGTTTAATTTAATTTTCTTTTCTACAAAAAGGGTATCCCTGTTTTTCATTCTAAAATAATTTGACCACTCGCATGCAACCAGCATTTAGAACATCAGCAAGTCATGTAGGACGTACTCCATAGAGTGGGGTATACCAGACCCATCGACTTAGTGTAATCAGTGCACTACGTGAAGACCTGGATGAGATAGAATACATGCTAGTGAGGCCGTTAAATGCCATTATCTTTTGAAATGTAGTTAGCGCATTATAGTAGGTACCCACCTGAGGTCGTGAGTGCACCAGCAGTGGAGTATCCCAGATCCACTGGACACTTAGCGTATTCTACACATGTCTTTCCTAATCCACATAGAGTATAATGTACATCAGCAGTGGGTAACCCAGATGCATCCAGGAAATAGCGTAGTCTACCCATGTCTATTCTAGTCCACATAGAGTAGAGTAATACACCAGGAGTGGGTAACCCAGAAGCATGAAGGAACTAGCGTATTCTATCCAGATTCACTTTAGTCAATTTAGAGTATAATATACACTAATAGTGGAGCCATATGGACCTAGCGTGTTTTTTAGAGTGCAAAATCTAGATGCAGGTAGGAAGTAGACCGTTTTCTTCACGTCCACTCAAAACGGAATATAAACTAGAAGTGGGATATCCTAGACCAAGTGTGTTTTTAGTGGCGAAATTCAAGTGCAGCTAGGAATTAGGGAGTTTCCTCCATGACCAATGAGAGCAGAAAATACACGAGGAATGGGAAGACACAGACATATCATGGGCCCCAGGGTGATGAGTGCATTATTCATACACACACAATTAACATAGAGCGTGCACCAATGGTAGGCAACAGCTACTGCGCCATCCAAGGATATGCCGAGCAAACGGGTACAATCTGATACACAGTGTATTCATATTGTAATTGCTACCTTTTCACTTGTTTATAGAGCTAGTTTTATTTATGTACTCTTTTTCTTAGACCAAGATTCTTCCCACGGCATGTAGAACACGCAGTGTGATGAGGGTACCAGACCCGATTTCGAGACTTGCAAGAATTATAAGCTCTATTCAACATAACTAGCTTATTGTACAACAAAGATTCTCAAAGACCTATATCAGATCAAGCCAAGCAATCGACAAAAGGCAAGCCGATCTTCTCCTTGATCTCCTTAAATGCCTGCAAAAGCTTTTCCTCCTCCAATCTCTTCGCAACGAGCTGCAATGACACAGGAGCGTGCTCTTGCGCTACCGGATCATAATTCTCATACGCCCAGGCATCAAAATCGTTCTTCGGAGTATACGTGGGATCCTTTGCATCACGCTCGGGATCAACCTTTGTCACCGGGAAGACGAGGGCTGAATAATCGAGGAGGTTGAAGAGGGATGTATAGCCCCAGTATCGAGAGGTATCGTGGATAGGCGCGGGGGTGGGGAAGGCAGGGCAGAGAATCACGTCCATTTCGGGGGCGATTGTATTCCATTCTAGATTGCACGTTAGGATAGGGCGTCTGAAGAGGGAGTAAAAGAACTCACGTTGTAAGTAGGCATAGCGGAAGAATTCTCGCTTTCCAGTCCACTCCCATACACCATGCTGACTGAGCTCTTCGATGCCGGGTGTATCGCGGAGTGTCCATGCTGTTAACGGCTGATAAGGCTCACCGGAGGACTGGAGATGCTCAGCAAAGGCTTTGCCTCCATCTGGAGCGTACAGCTTCGTCTGAATAGGCAGAGATTAGTAAACTGCACTTGTAAATACAAGCGTATTTGGCTCACCAAGATTTCCAAAGCCTCCTTTTGCTGGAAAGCTTTCCATTCAATTACCTCTACCCCCTCAACAATTTTCAGTCGCTCAACAACTTCCGTCAGCGCCCTAGTTACGGCCGGCGCGGGGGTAACGACATCATCAGTCCACATCACGCCGACAGTCAGTGTCTTGTCGTTCCGATGTATATGTGTTTCTTGATCACGCCACGGAATGGGAAGCATCATTGAGTCGGTCAACCAGGGCTGTGATTCAATGACGGTCTTCATGAAGATTTCTACCCCGCCCAGTGTCGGTGAGATCGGGCCAAGTGTTCCGAGAATAGTTTCGCAGCCGAGGACGTAGGCATCACATCCGATTAGAGGCAGTCGTCCGGTCGATGGCTTAAGACCATAGAGGCCGCAGTTCGCGGCTGGGGAGCGGATGCTGCCTCCTAATGCTTTTGTCAATGATATCTCTAGAAAGTGATATATGCTGATCACGTACCGATGTCAGATCCAATACCTAGTGGACTACCATATAACGCTTGCAGTGCAGATTCTCCACCAGAAGAACCGCCGGGCGTGAGGGCTGTGTTGTGTGGGTTGGTGGTGGTACCGGTGATGTTGCTGCATGTTTCAAGTGCCATCTGTAGGACACAATAAAAACGATGAGTCACGGATCAAGAGACAATTTAATCTTGGTTACTCACCAGTCCCTGGGGTTCTGTTGTTCTCGCATACACAACCGCGCCGGCATTCAGCAGAATCTTGACGATATTGGCATCGACGGGGCTCTTCTTGCTTGTCCAGCTCACAAAACCGGCAGACAGGTCTCGGCCTTCTAAACCGACATGGCCCTTGATACTGATTGGAAGACCGTGCAGAGGACCGGATGGCTTCCTGTGGGTTGCGAAGTATTCATCGAGATGCTTGGCTCGAGCGAGGGCGCGTTTGGGGAGGAGTTCGTAGATGCAATTTGTCTGGAGAAGGGAATATCATGCTCAGTCAGGCAACTGGCAACAGGATTGCGGGAAGGGCTGAGCTCACCAGCTTCTGAGCGATCGCAGCTCGGCGCAAGAATGCATTTGTCACGGCGACTGCAGTCAGTTTCCCCGCTGCAAGAGAAGCCACCAGGGCCTCAGCTGGGCTTTCGGTGATAGCCTGCTCAGCAGAAGTGAGGTATTTTCTGGGCACGTCGATGACTCTGCCCTTGAGCTTCTCTGGAAAAGCTGCGACATATGGATCAACTGATTCAATTGAACGATCTCGCACCGCTTGAACCTGGCGAGCGGTTTCCTGCCAGGAGGTCTGCTGAGGAATGACCGTCATCGTGGGCAATGACAAGGAATGAAACCAATACGTCCATTTGTCTGTGTTGATAAATCGTGGCCACGCGGGGCACTCTTCAAATCAACATGAAGCCAACGACCCACCGCGTGATTTTCGATACAGACAGACTTCATCCTGCGACCCCAATGTTGCATCTCGCTCCTGCTCGCGTGGGGTGGTGTGCGCTAGCGTCATCCTTCGGTGCTGGGCGTCGAAGTCACGGATCCACCCGTGGCCCCCGATCCAATTTGGCGCCCGTTAAGAGACGGCCCGTTGTGGATCGACGATCTCGCTTGGTGATTTCTCTCGAGGAATCCTGCATGGTGCCATTGTTGCAGTGCGGTGCAGAAGAGAACAGTTGGGGGCGCCGAAGTGTAGCGGGCCGATGGGGGCCTGCCCCGACCGGCTTGAGTGTTTGTCCGGCGAAGGTCAATGGCCGAGGATTCGCATATCATGCCTACCTGGGTAACTGCCCAATTCCTCATGTGTCGATCTCGTTGACTATCAGAACCCCTTGGCCGTGGACGATTTCAGAAGCTCGTTCCTCGTCAGCACGCGGTCGTCGGCTTGTCATCGACTTCCGGTGGATGTTAGAACATCCACCTTTCTCACAATGACAGACCTCGACGAGGACTTTGGGCCCACGCTATGGGTGGTGAATACCATCTTCATTGTGCTGGCCATTTTTGCCGTCGCGGGGCGCTTTGCGGCACGTCGCATGCGAAAGATGCCACTCGGAGCGGACGACTGGTTGATCTGTGTCGCGCTGTTCTGGGACTGTCTTCTCTATGGCGTGTTTATTGGGTGTAAGCAGCCCCTTCCTAACATCTCGACAAGGCCTCGCAATCTGCAATATGCTCATGCAAACACTATCAGGCCGAATAAATGGCCTCGGAAAACACCGCGCAACGCTTCCACCCGCCAAAGTCGCCGTCTTCTCGGAACTTCTCTACTTCTTTCAGATCATTTACGTCCTCGGCCCGCCGAGTGTCAAGCTCTCGCTACTATTTCTCTATCGACGTATCTTTGAGCACTCGCGATTCCTTCTTCTCGTGTACGGAATGATGGGGCTGATCATGGTCTGGGCGATCATCATGACATTCCTGTCAATTTTCAACTGCAGGCCGATTAGCGCATTTTGGACAATGGAGGGGACATGCTTCAATTTTCGCCAATTTGCAGTTGGCTATGCCATTGTGAATATTATAACTGACTTCGCTGTCTGGTTGATGCCGATTCCGTCGGTTTGGAAGATCCAGTTGCCGCGGGCACAGAAGTTTGCATTGTCACTGATCTTCGCATTGGGGCTATTGTGAGTACTTTCCCTTTTTCAATGAGTTTATACAGGAAACGGAAGTATACCAACATGTTTTTGAAGTGACTGTGCCGCCGCAATGGCCCGCCTTCTCCTTTCAATGCTCGTCCTCGGCGAATACGACTCAACCTGGCTCTACGCTAAAGGATATATGTGGTCCATAATCGAGGTGTCAACGGGAATTGTCTGCACCTGCCTCCCAACCATGCGAATCTTTGTCAAAACCGCATTCGGAGGGCAATTCGCCCGTCTATTTGGCATGTCGAGTGGAAAGGCTAGCCATCAGCAATCAAACACGCCGGTATGGTCGCGCAACCATGATTGCTATAATGAGCTCAGGGTGTCGCGGAATAAAGAGAGCCCTAAATCAGAGTCGGACTCCACACATCGGATTCTAGTGACGGAAGAGGTTAATGTCGAGATGCACCCGATTAGGAAAGATCCTGTTTGATATAACTAGTGATGATTCTTATAATGAATCTTTCAGAAGGTCGATCTATGACAAAAGGCCCCCTTTTCCTTCGAATCCTAGGGTTTGATTATATAACTGATTGTATACTGTGATATGACCAGGCAGATGTTTTGCCCTTGAAGGCATTGGAGTCATATTTGACCTTGCTTCTCGTTACCTCTTTGAAGGATATGAAGGATACAAATAATTGTGTACGGAGCCTTTTGTGAAATCGGCATGAAGTCGCACTTTGTAGCAAGTTTAATAGACAGGAGCAAGTGGTCGTCAGGCTTTGTCCATGAACTAATTTCAAAAGGAAAGCGAGACTTTCAGAAAAGCAACTGCAGTTTCCCAATAAGCTCCTTTAGCACAGGCTGATACTTTTCATCGACGGAACCGACCGAATTCGCCGTCCAGGCGTCGGCCTTCTCCTTAAGAAGCTCCCAAACATCTTCGGAGTCCGCGAGCTGTGTTTCCAAGTACCGCACAACCAGACAAGTGGCAAAAATTTCTTCCCAGCTAGCATGGCTCCAAACATCAGAGTCATCATTCGCCAAAGCCTTGTATTCAGCCTCGGCCTTCTGTTTAGTACTTGCAGCATCAAGACCAATTGTCTGGAGAAGGTCATCGCTCCATTTCCAATACCCTTCGAATTGCTGCAGATAAACCAGCTTTTGCAAGGGCGAGGTCGGCATCGGAGGCTCGTCCATGGCACCAAATTCCTCGGGAAGACTTGTATCTAGATTGAACGATGCTGACATCAACTGGATGGGGGCGGAAGGGCAGGCGGGGGCAGGAGCCATGACCGTTTGAGAGGAAGCCATTGCCATTTTCCTTTTCACCTTCCTCCTCTTGGCACGTACAGGGGGAGCTGACGGGCCCGAGTGATACATCTGATGCTTATAGAGACTCTGCATGCTGCTTGCAGCTTGATCACCAGCGTCAAAAGTCATGTCTTCGTTGGAGGAGTCCGTCGAATCTGCTTTAAGGAAGTTATTAGCCCCGGATCCGTTGTCATCAGAATCAAACCCAGCCGAACTTTCATCCTCCGAAATCCCAGCTTCTTCCTCGAAAAATTGGCCACCGCCACGATGGGCTCGAGGACGGCTCACAAAATCGCCCTCTTCGGACTCTTCTTCATCTTCTTCACTATCGGAATTATAGTAAAATCGCGAGGCCCGGACACGGCGAACGAAACTTTCCATACCTTTGTTGTCTCGCACTGCCACGAACGAGCAATGCTTACCAGCAATTTGGAACTTGACACCTAGTCTTTCACACTCTGCTTGAACAATCTCTCCCATCCTGCTTTCCCACTTTGTTGATAGCAATTCACCTTGGGTATCCTTCGCAACGGAAATCCAACCACGAAATTCTTCCAATTCGCTCATTGCCTTTTTTGCCGCGAGCTGGTGAATTGTCTCGCGTTTGCCTGCATCCTGGACGGGGATGTCCAACTCCAAGGGACCGTTCTTGCTCTCAGCACGAAGAGTGATTCGCTCCGGGATTGAGGGAGCATCCGGTGAGAGCAGAACGTAGACGGTTGACCGAATGAACGGGAACAGGGGAGGGAGATCAGTCGGTACCTGAATGATGCTCGGAACACTCAGTTTCGGAAGTGGCTGGTCCACTTTGCCAACACCTTCAGACTCCTCGTAGTTTTCGTTGAAGAGCGAGACTGGATGCGTATTTTCTGCTGTTGTTCCCTCCCTGTCGTCGCTTAGCTTTGGCGCTTCGATCTCGATAAAGTCACCGCTTTCCGCGCCCTGAGGCAACTTCATATCCAGAGTAGTGTTGTAGAGTCGGCTCATCAAAGCACCCTTGAGCATGCGGATAACTTTCTTGTCAAGCTCCTCATAGTTGAGAACTGATTGAGAAAAGCCCATACCAGCTCTGGAAATGCCTTCGATGAGCGAATGGGAAGCACTATCCCCGATTCCAAGAGAAAAGAATCTAGCGGAAACTTCCTCATTTGCCTTCTTCACAAAGGCGAACATCTCTTCCTGATTCCAGGCTTGTCCATCGGTCAACAGCAAGATCTCAGGCATCTTATCTTTGTAGCGCATATCCACGGCGGATTTAAGGGCACTCAAAATTTCGGTACCGCCATAGTCAGCCTGGACTCTTCGTATGAGTTGGAGGGCTTGCGCGAGATTTTCTTTGTCGCAGGGCTTGCTGTGGGGCCACAATGAATCGTGTCCGGAGCCGAAGGATACGATGTTGAAATGAATTCCAATCGGAAGCGATTTGAGGAATACTTCCAGGGCCGATCGGAGCGTGGGGATTTTATCTTCCATGCTTCCACTTCGGTCGATCACGAAGATGATCTCAGAGGCATCGGGCGGCAGGCCGAATTTGGGGATGAGCGAGACCATCAGTGCCCGCTGGTTTTCGATCGTCGGGTGTGTTTCCAGGAAGGCACACGGTAGATCTTGCTTGGTGGCATTGATGGTCAAGACAAAATCTTCTTGCATGACAACATTCTTGCGCAGGTTGATTGATGCAAAGCAAGGCTCGAATGTCGACTCGGACATGAAGGAAGCGCGGCCCAGCTCGACCTCGATGGGATGGCTTGGAGATCGAACGTTGCAGATATGGGACTCCTTTTCCATGACCACATCCACTTTGATTGATGTTTCAGAAAGTTGACCCTCTTTTGAAGTGGAAGAGTCGATTGGGAACAGTGGATTATCCTGCATAGCACCATATCGCGGGGCGATACTGACGGGGATTGTGTATCGTGGTCCGTTGGTCTGGGCATCTTGCTTCAACTCGGCAACGAGTGTGATTTCAATCACGACTTTTCCGCCAGCCGGCAGGTTCCCGACGCGAGTCTGGAAGACATCGGCCGCGTCAAGTGACTGGTCAAAGATGGCAGCTGTCTCACCTTTGGCCTTGGCTTCCTGGTACACCTCGTCCGCCTTCTTTCGGGGTTTGACAATGCCTTTGATCACTTCCTCGCCAACATGACAGGTAAAGCCGACGATGCTGGAGCTCTCATATAATGGGAAGGAGTACTGGACTTCAGAGATGGGGTCTTTTGATGAGGGGTTCACATATGTTTGGGTAAAAACAGTTCGAGAGGAGGAAGACAGCACGGCCGCATGGACGTTGAGCCCCACCTGGGGAAGGTAGGTCTTGCCGTAGCGATTTACTCCCGGAGGGTAGTAGAAACAGCCGTGAGAAGTCATTGTGAGTTGGTTTTCTTGAGATTTGGGGGGTGGTATCGTTGTTTATATAGCCGTGGTGGATTGAGCCTCACGATCACAGGCAGACACACTAAATACTGCGCTAAACCTGAAATAGACGGCTTGGTGGAACTTACCACACATTGAACACACGAGATTGGCCACAGCTGCAAACGATGACTTCAATTGGCGAATATCATTGTGGCTTGTAATGAAGCCACGTGACTTTTGTTGGACAAGTACAGCTGAAAAAGTAGTCATACCTCGGATACCCGCCAGTTTTCCACAACAATACGGCATCTATTGGTATGTGCAAATCTTGTCGAAGTTCGAGTCGTAACAGGATACATCTATGCGTTTCTACTATAGTGGTTCGACCCGAACGGCGTTTTCGGTCGGCTCCAGCCTTGTCCGTCTTCTGAGGGCTGGCCCCCACTTTCGACGAACCGACCCCACCCCGTATGACTCAAAGAACTTGAATGCAGTTGATACAACTGATGCGATGAATCAAGGAAGGTTACTACATATTACCAGAAGGATTTGAAACTTGCCTGTTGACATACAAGCATCAATACAAATATCTCATGCGATACTACGGAGAGCGTGGTTTTGTCCTGTTTCTTTTGACTTGTTTGCTTGGCAATAATAGTCCCACCATCAATCAGTCTGTCAATCTACCTCAGCAGCTACCTTCCTCTTCCCCTCCCTCCAAAGGTCAAATCGTTACGCTAATTAAGTCGGGGCATACTTTTCGTGCACGACTCTTCTTTCTTGCTGGCTGTGGAACAAGAGGACTACTGAAAGAGGATGGCTGGAATCAAGTCAAATTGGAGGGACTAAATGAACGCTAAAGAAATTCAAGTAGCTGATATCATGAATCGTTCCGTTCGCTCTCACAGATGCCTCTTCGATGCAGAAAAATATCAAACAAACATCAGGACTTGATCTTCGGGAAACGGATCATGCAATAGAGCTGCAAGAAGAATTCATCAGTTACCAGGCAACGCAGCAATTCACGATAGAATTGACTTACCTTGCAAACATCCCCTTTATCCGCACATTCAATCTCCCGCACGAGTTCGAATCCCATCTTTTCGTAAATAGTCACGTTGGGATACCCCTTCGAGCTCTCCAGATAACACGGCATCCCCTCACGATCCGCTCTTTCCATCACACTCTCCATCAGTCGCTTCCCGATGCCCATGCCGCGAGCCTGAGAGCTGACACCAACCATGTTGCAGAAGTAATATCCGCGCGGATCAGTCCAGAGAGAATCGTGCGCCTCTTGCTGAACCTCTTTCCAGATCCAGTATCGGGAGAGATTCAGCCCTCCACGACCGAGGAAGCGGACGTTGTTCTTGAACTGGCGGAATGAGAGAAGCCAGCTTTGGGCCCAGATAGACCAAGGTTCTGGGGTTGATGATGGTTGGGGCGAGTACCACCAGCCCACGCCGACGATAGTGCCGGATTGGAGCTGGGCTTCGCGGTCGATCTTCTGGTCGGTTGTTGCGCGGGTCACTTTGGCGACGGAGATGGGGCAGTAGCAGTTGATTCCGTACTCGAAGTGAGCGGCCAGCGATGCCGCATTTCGCTGAATGTTGAACTGTGTCAGGTGAGTATCAGTTTCCGGGGATGATGTGTTGTTCACTGTGGGGGTGGGTCTCGTGTACCTTGGAAGGGTCGTTAAAGGCCCATCGGAAGTAAGGGTCGTCGGAAAAGGCCTTCTGCACGCACTCTACGGCACCGGGTATATCTGCCTTTGCCAGCGGGACGATCTCGATTGCCATGGTGACGATGGATGGACGATGCTGCGTCGAAGTCTGGCCACTACAGTTTTGCACAACACGAGGGCGGTAGATTCAGAGGTCAGGTTTGGAAACTCGCGTATTGTTTCTACTGGAGCGGCGAATGGGCTGCGAGAGCGATATAGTATAAGAATGTGAATGGTGTCGTAGTGGGTAGAGAGATAAAACCGCCATCTAAGAAGACTTGATGTGGCCTAGATCCACAGGTTGAGGTAACACGGAGAGAGGGAAAGGAGAGAACGAGGTCTATGGGGGCGTTGAGACGAGCCAAAGGTTGCGAGGCTTGTAATTGTCAAGTGAACTTATTTCCTATGAGTTTCAGGAGAGAGGAGCAAAGGAGAGGAGAGGGCCAGGGCTCATATAGCGGTTCCCATCATACTCCACTGTCCCTCCCCCAGGCAGCTCTTATCAATTCTTAGAGTCCACTGCGTCTCACTAGCCCGAATAGGCAGCTCCACCCGTCTCTTCTGAGTTGCTGGCCACGAATCAATTGTCACACGGTAGGACTGCACCCTGCACTGTGACCACACATAGTTCTCGGAAGCACCGAGAGTAAGCGTCAGCCGTCACGAACAGCTATAATACCGCCCAATACAGGGAGGCACGCGTAGAGGGTCAGAGTCTACTGAGATAAACCCATGCAATCTGCTGCATCGCCGATCTCCGTGGTCGCCAAAACGCGGGGGTCGGTTGGGCGATGTGGAGAGGCTATGCGCAATCGGGCAGGTTGTCGCGGTTAGCGACGGGCATTGGCCGTCCAAGCGGGTCTCTTATCGCGGATGACTGCCCTGGAAAGACTGGAAGAGTGAAGATTGACAGCAATCTTGGTAAAAAAGATAGGTCGAGGAACCATATACTAGCAGTAGATCATAAGGTACTAGTAGGGGGTATTTTTATATACACATAGCTTAATCCTAACCCTCGTGGCGATGGATCTCGGTTGCGGCAACCGAGATCCGCTTAGGCCCATTTACCCAGCAGGCCCATCAACACCAGTCCGCTCACCAGCGCAACTCCTCCTGTCAGCACCTTGCTCAGTGCTGCATCCAGCATCTCGCCGCCCTCAATCACCCAGTCACGCGCCCACATATCCACCACACCCACCCAGACAAGAATCCCCGCAGACAGCGCATCCAATGTGCCCAGGGCGATCAGCGTGCTCCGTTCGTTGCCGTTGAAGGAGTTTAACACGCCCAGTCCGATAGCCATGCCAATCGGAGTGATCAGAGCAAAGGCGCCCGCCATGATCGCTTTCAAGGGGAATATGCCTCCCGAGAGCGTCGAAATCCGGGCACCCAATGCCAGACCTTCGAAGAATTGATGGAAGACAATGACGACCAGCAATGTCTTGTAGAACGAGTCGCCAGCGACAACCAGAGTCAGTCCAATCAGGATACTGTGGAAGAGAACGCCCGCTTCCATGACCAACACGGAGAATTTTGTGTCGGGCTTGGTGGGATCCGCACCGTGCGAATGCCCGAGGTGAGCGATCGTGGGGTGCTGGGGTGATTGAGAGCCGTCTTTGCGCGACTCCTCCTGGCAGCCGGAGGCATCGGAGCAAGTGGCATCTGTTTTTTGACCCCGGGAGACGATGATCCGGTGACCAACGTACTCGAATAGGAAGGCGAGGAAAATGCCGGCCATGACGACGGCAGAAGTGGTGGCTTCATAGTCGAGTTCGCCGAGGCATTCATTTGTGAACATGAGATTGGCATGCGTGTAGAGCTATGCGCTGTTAGTCCTCCGCATGACAGTGGATGGGAAGTGAAGGGCGTGCTTACATGGACAAATGCGGTCGCAATGATGATACCCGTTCCGAATTGCTTGATGATGGTCATCACGACGGAATTGACAGCTGCGAAGGGCAGTCTAGCCAGCAGGATAGGGGCAAAGACACCGATGGCACTGGTCACAAGAACCACGAACAGTGTTCCGATTCGCAACGGCACATCATAGTCTCGAGACTGGATCCCGCACGACTGGCTTGATTCCGACTCTCCTGCGCCCACGCAGTGCCTGAGAGAACACTGAATTAGCAAAATGTTTTGCTAGCAGGGGTATGCAAACTCACTCGACTCCCGCATGGAAGTGACAGTCTTGCCCTCCTGAAGATTCCGACTCTTCATGGTTATGGCCATGATCATGCTCACTGCTCTCGCTGGAATGATCATGTTCACTGCTCTCGCTGGAATGATCATGTTCACTGTTCTCGCTGGAATGATCATGCTCACTGCTCTCGCCGGAACTCTCACTTTCATGCTCGTGGGCTTCTTCCTTTTCGATCAACGCCTCATTTCCGTCCGAATCCATGCAGTATCTGTCGAGTGCATTTGTTAGGATTTGCACGATATGGAATAGTGAAAGGACTTACGTTTCGCTCCCGTGAGAATGACACCCGGTATACTGCGCCGGGATGCCGCCCGTTGGTGTCGAGGTCGCAGACACAAGAACTTCCTCGCCATCTCCATCAATGCAGTAAATTTCACTTCCGTGGGAGTGGCATCCTGTGATAGTAGATGAATTGCTGGTGGTCGTTGCGGTCGCGGCATACGCCTTCGCGAGGCTGAGGAATAGGAGGAGAGATTCGGAGATACGCATCGTGCAAATGGACAACGAAAAAGGACCACACTTCGAAGAAGAAGAAGAAGAAGAAGAAGAAGAAGAAGAAGAAGAAGAAAATACAAGGGCCAGATACCCTCGGAGTTGATTAAGACAAGTGTGAATTTCGAGGAGAAATATTCGTCTCTCTATAAAGCCCTCCGATCAGGGACTAAATGCAAGCCCTTCGGTGACCCTTCCAAGCTGACCATCGCCAAGCGGAAAAGACCCTCCCCGACCCCCGCCAAGAGAGCGCAGTGAGTACCTGATGAGGCCATCCCTCTCGGCAGGAACCACTTTGGCAGTGCTTGTTCTCTCAAGGTCCCCAATTCCAAGCATCTTGGCAAAGCTCCGCTTGTCTTGGTCCTTGGCATCGGAGATATGTTCTGTGTCCCGCGGAGGAAATCGGCCGTGCCCAGAGCACTACCATCAAGGTACCCGCTTGGCATATCTAGCGTTGGACGTCATCAGGAAATTTTCTTTCGCGAACATCTTTGCGATATTTTCTGAGTACACCTCGCGTAACGAGGCGCAAGGTCTCCATGCGCACTTGGCGATGCTTGGAAATGGGTACCTTTGGATAGCGAAAGAGATTTGACTTTTTGAACTGCTATAAAAGAAACCATGTGGCTCCATGCATTTCATAGTACATACTGTGCATATTGTTTCGTTCATGATGTTTGCATCTTCAATCAAGTCCATCTTTCTACTCGCAGCTGCGGCAGTGGCACTGCCAACTTCAGGGTCTAACCAAACAAAGCCTTTTATTTGGGACGGTGGTGCCGTTAGTCAATTTCCCATCCACTCCAGCTGCAATGCAACCCAGCGCCGTCAGATCGAGGTAGGGCTAAGCGAGGCTGTGTTCCTGGCGGCTCATGCCCGAGACCACATTCTGCGGTGGAGAAACGAAAGCGAAATCTACAGAAAATATTTCGGCGACAGTCCCTCCATGGAGCCTATTGGTGCTTATGATGTGGTAGTCAACGGCGATAGAAAGCACTCCCTCTTCCGCTGCGATAATCCCGATGGAAACTGTGATATTGAAGGTATGGCTTCAGATACCAAGACGTCATTAACTATGTTCTAATTACTTCAAGACTATGCCGGTCACTGGCGAGGTGAGAATGGCACGGACGAAACTGTCATCTGCGACTTGAGCTATGAGACCCGCCGTTCCTTGTCCACTATGTGCTCCCTTGGGTATACCGTCTCCGGATCCGAAACAAATACGTTCTGGGCCTCGGATCTTCTGCACCGGCTCTTCCATGTTCCAACCTTCGGTCAAAACCATATTGACCACTTTGCGGATGGATATGAGGAGGTAGTCGATCAGGCAATCGAGAATGTGACACTCTCTACGCATGATTCTGAGACGCTCCAGTACTTTGCGCTGGAGGTTTATGCCTACGACATTGCCGTGCCGGGTGTTGGCTGCCCTGGAAAGCAGCATGAACACGAACACAGCTCTGAGAATTCGAGCTCTCAATCTACCTCGACGTCTGCAGGCACATCGGCAGCTACCGAGGCCGCTACCACCACTTCTGATGCCCCGAAGGTGTGTCTATTCCCACCCCGTTAAATCAATAATAGTCTAATAAGAGCAGAACTGTCATACACACGAGGGCGGTGAGCTTCACTGCACCTAGATTTGAAAGACATGGAGACCCTGTCCTGAAGAGTCTCTATGACTAACGGTGATTTGAAGTGAGAAAGTGTCCCAAATATCCCTAGCTTAGAATGATTGAAAAATAGGATTAGGAGTGGTGATATTAGGTGACTGTTCAGATGACTGTAATGCCCGAATTGTATGGTGGCCAGATTGAGGTACAAAAGCCCTGTCTTTTTCAAGGTCAACTCTTACACTGGACTGAATGCCTGTTGGCTGCTCCTTGGATGACCCTGGGTACAATGGTTTATCAAGGTGGTGTGAGTCTGTGAACATATCTTTTACCGTGACTTGAAAACTTGTCTGTGTTCGAGGAAAGGAACACTTGTGAAACTGCCAGTGTAGATTCGGATCACTACAGTCTAGATAATCACATGTCTGTTAGTGTCTAACCATTTCCTCCGAAGCACCGTCATGTGACCCGTCTCTATATTCTCTTATCTCCGTCGGTAGATTATATTTCTGGCCGATATTGATTTACTTTGTGGTTCCAGGACAATAAAAACGAGCCTTTCAATCAGGTAGGTGACCGGGTATATGACTGGGAAGGTATTAGTCGAGTATAAGCCCGAATCATCCTAATTGATCACATGAGGCTAGGGAGTATGAGGCGAACCATGATATAAACAGTACCTCACGTGACAAATACAGATGCAAATAAAAGCATCTGTCGGACTTTCGGATATCGGTATCGACTAGTACTCGTGAGGGCAAATTGAACCATCCCAGCGATCGATTGATTGACTGAAGAACTATCTGTCGGCTCCCGTTCAGGATGCCATCTATTCAGGGGTTTTTAATGTGTTACAGCGCTGCTTTTCCGAGAATACCCGATTACCATACAAAACAGGTAGGAGATTGGGTATCTGCTGAATCATCCTGCTCCTGATTGTAATATCAGTCTCCGATCGACAGCATCTTCTTACCCTTCTTAACTTTCCACGCCTGTTTACCGTCAAAATGACACCTCCAATATCCTTTTTGGGTCAAATTCCAATGACTCATATCAATCAACCAGGGAAGCTCATTACTCCTGGCCATCCCGGAGAGACACCTGCGGAGGCCGCTTCGTACAAGCCGAAGGAGCTCGATGCATACCAGATCCTGACAAAGCACGAATTGGCCTCTGATTTACGCCGAATCTTCTGGAGCGCCACAATAAGACAGTCCAGGTCTAGTACCTGGCAGTTTCATGACACGCCGTCTAGGAAGTTGTTCTGAGGCTGCAGCTGGGTGATCACTCTGGCAAGGCTACCAATTTTTGGAAGTCAGTTGCAGACGTGCGCGAGCGGAATTATCTTCGCTCTCTTTCAAAGAATCATTGATGCGAGTTGTCTTTCTCTTCTGCTGTTGGGTCGTAACTAACCAAGGGAATACTTAGGAAACTCGAATAAGTTAACATCTTACCCGGAGCTTTGAACGCCCAGAATTTAGTCTGACACTGCGAAACCAAACTCCGTTAGTGAATGCTTTTTTTTTGTGTGAAAGGAAAAAGTAAAGCAAAGAAATATAACGAGTGAGCTAACTACGCTATACTTTTGCTTGTGGGTTGGGTTCCGCAATGTGATCCGCTACGATCAAGACACTTTGGGGACGCTTGGTTCCCCACGTTTGCCCTTGTGAACGGTACTCGATGACGACAGGCTCATTCATGGAGGACGACTGGGATGGAGATGCCTCGGACTGGACATGGAAAAAATTTTTGCTGCTCTGAGCAGTCTCTCTTTTCTCCCCTGATGCTCCTAACTTTTCATATCTGTCACTCCCCAGTTGAGTTATTAGCAATTCAGCGTCTTCGAAAGGAATATACATTCTGAAGTTACCATCCGAAGCCTTGTTCTCCAGTCTTCTAGCGTGCTACTCAATAAATATTTGCAAGGACTTGTATTGCAACCTAGTTGCGCCCGAAAGCTAGCGGATTGATAAAGATTGACTATTCACACGATTCTGGCCATGGCAAATGGCACCTGTGACCTGACTATCCACTCTCAGATGACTATCCATCTAATTCAAGACCAGTCGAGGCTCTTCCAGTAATCGGCAATGGGCTTCGGGCCCCAAGTCAACTTGTCGGCGGCACCAGGAATTACCTGGATTCTCACATATTGAGATCCCTTGAAGACATAGTGCTCACCGTCGACCTTGGCGTTGGGAACTGGAATAGCGGCATCAATCGCATCAAACCCAGCACTCGTGAGACCTGGCCACTGGTCAATCAGAGTGTAAGGGCCGTAGATGATCTTATCTTTGCTAAAATCAAACCGGGCCGAGTGCGTTCCAGAGAAGAGATACGTCTCAGTCGAGTTTCCGGGAAGATTGATAGCGGCATCAATCGTATCGAAGGGAGTCCCGGCAAGGCTCTTCCACTTGTCGGTAATCTTGAGGGGTCCTTCAAGGACGGTGTCCTCCGCTCCGGGGCTGAACTTGATGCGGATAACACGGGCGCCGAAGAAGAAGTAGAATTCGTCTTTGGTCCCCTGAACGGCAACGGCGGCATCGACTCTGCCAAATCCGGCCTTAGTAGTCGCGGGCCAGTAGTCTTTAATCTGTTTGGGCCCAAAGACTATCTCCTCATAGTTGCCGTACGAGGTCCATTTGACCCGAGCGTAGCGTCGGCCGGAGAAGAAGTAGCCTTGATCGTTCGATGGGTGGACAATTGCGGCATCGACCATTTTGCTGGGTTTAAGTCAGATAGGTTTGGGTGAAAGTTGATTTGATAGATGATAGAGATCTTGTTGGAAGTCTGGAAATTCGATTCCATGGGGAGAAATGGCCTTATTTATAGCTTTTGAAACGTAAGACCTTGCCACTTTTCCACAAAGCCAAAAGTCGGTCAAGAGTATTGGCATCATGAGCGTATGAATTTGCATCTTAGGGCGCTCTTCTCAATCTACTGTGTTACCTGGCTATGGTGGTCTAGAATACTGTGTCAAGGCCAACCATTCTTGGGGAACTTGCATCATTCTGTTCAATGGCATCATGTTATTCAAACACTGACTTTTATTGCGTAACACGTAGCCTATCTGCATCTCCCGCAAGATTGGCTGCTGATCAGCAGTAGTACCATGTAGATCTTTCTTCCCATTGGGAAGTGTGGTGTCGATTACTCCCAGCATTACGACTTTTTCTACTGCCTATCATACTCATTGCGTGCTGGTATACATGAATAAATACCTCATGCTTGATAAAATTGAAGAAATTCTGAAACTATTGCTTTTGATGGCGTGCTTCTCTCACAGTGGGCTAGGATTATTGACGCAATTGCATCCTGTATAGGCTGCATCAGCCAAAAATCAAGAACAGCAAATTGATTCTGCATACGAGAGGCAAGGCTAGACCGATGCAAGCTGCGCATCTCATCATTTCCATTTGGTAATTGCATGGAGCTGAGCTACCAAGTCCAAGATCTAGGGCAGTGGCGTTCATCTTGCCACGCACGTCTATCTCATGCTTTGAAAAAAAGTAAGCATAAGGTGATGTAGTTTTCAAACTTCTTGTATGCACTCCAGCCCTACTTGTAATACATGAATCTCTGCCATTGTTGGTGAATTGATAGGCACAGCGATTGCCCCACACAAGCTCATTGGCAGCTTGTGACACAAGACATTAATTACTTCCTAGGAATCGCATCTAAAAGTCTGGACTATAGATATCGAGGCTATTTTAACGCATGCGGACCGGCCCGCGTAGTGGAAGTAAAATTGCGTGTGGAGTAGTCTTCCAGCCATCCCAACGACAGACGTGGCTAGCTGAAGTGGGCCAAGGGGGAATGCGGTCGGACCGTTGGTGCATTTGTACAACGTCGTCTATAGACTCCCCGCTTTTAATGGCGTCCCAGAGGCCAATCATCTGTACAAAATCGCCAGGTTGAAAAGAACAGCGTGAAGATCGGCGAGGGAGAGGGCGGGCTGCGACACCCCTTGTGCGACCTGTCCTTCACCATGCAGAGCAGAAGCTACCCCGCAGGACATCGCAAAGCTCTCCGATAATCTGCTGTACTTGAATTTTAGTTGGATGTGGCGTGAAACGGATTCAAACGCTCCTAATTCATGTAATATGTGGTCTCTCAGTGCTCGATAGCTGATTTTCATCGCCTTGGGATGATCCTGGCATTTCCATAGCCAAGTAGTATAAGCAGACAATCACAAAAATGAATTGCGCATTGAGGTAGAGTCAGCAACTCGTTGCGGAACATCCCCATAATCAACCCAGTCATTAAAAAGCAAGTCAAGTGGCATATTCCCCTTAAAGTCAAGCAACACCTCATTCATAAACGTGCGCAAGTTCGGATCACCCGTATCATCATTGACCGCAGGCTGGCCTTCATCTCCAAACGCCAAATAATTCTCACTCAAAGGATCCATAAAGCCAGAGACATCCTGTGGAAAGGCATCAACAGAAGGGTTGGGCACCTCCGGGTTATTCAAACTCAATAGCAGGTAGGCATCGGGATCTAGTCCCGAGTTCAGTGTCGGCAGAGATTGGAACCGGCTACAGATTCGATCGAGCAATTCTAGACACCGGCCCGCGGAAATGCTCCGCTCGGCTAGTGCTCGTAGACAATCTCGTGCCTTGAAGATTGAATGATGCCATTGCGGGGGTTCTTGGTCTGACTCGAAATGGTTGCTTTTTCCGAGGAACCCGACCAGCACTACTAATGTTGCCTGCAGCAGGAAGTAGGTGGTGTACCAGATCAGACCCTGGTAGAGCGAGACCTTGTGCATCATGCAGAAGGTGGCGATATCATGGATGCTTTCCATGGCGACATCGAGGCATTTTTCTTCGGCGTTGAATCGTGTTGGGAGGAAGGCGTGATATTTCTGACTGCCTCGCCACAATAGAATTCGGAGGTTCTGCTCTTTGAGGTGGAGCACGAATCGAGGCCCTTCCCACCAGGATGGAACTTCTGTTGCGCTGAAGTAGCTGGGAAGATTATTTCGCCAGTCGGATAGGTCTCGCTCGAGTGATTCGGCTAGGCGGTATTCGATCCTTGAACCGGCTGTCTTTGCGAGTAGGTACTCGTGGTAGATTGCGTCAGCTATTTTGGCAAGCTTGGCTTGGCTGATGATTGCTGAATAAGTTGTTGGGTAGTGGACTTCTTCGGGGACTGAGAAGCTCAGCGGAAGGTCCTGCGATATCACATATGTGTCAGTACATCTCAGAGGATGCCATGGCAATGGGTAATCATACCTTGTCATCTATATTTCGAGGAAGGTTGATGTCAATGAAGCCATCAGCCATAGTAGGTGGTCGGCCGGTGGTGATGTTGAAACCACTCTCAAAACAATATATTGTCCAGAATAGCTGTCGACGTCTCTCGTGTCCAATCGTGTTCTTCGCGCCGGCCGGCTCCCGATGCAGTCCAATTCCGAGGGCCATTCGGTACGCCAGCCCGACAAAATTGTACCCAGTGTTTGTCCTGTCCCTCTTCTGCAGATAATTGCCCATAAGCAAAAAGGCCTGCACCGTTTCCACAACGCCCGACTCCAGCATCTGTAATGACAGACTCGCTCTGGCAGCGGTATAGTAGTTGGACCTCGCATGCTCTGACTCTCTGCTCGAGGCCCAATGGCCAATGGCAAGGACCATGTAGTAGTTAACTCGCCATGGGGAATGTGAGATTCGGTGCTGTTGCCCCGTGGCGACGCGATCTCGGAAGGATTTCTCGTGCAAGACCGGGTAGTAGATGTGGTAGAGGTGGAAGTAGGCATCGATTAGGTTGCTTGCCACGTACGACATGCTCAGATCGGGAGGCTCCGGGGGTGTCAGCCGGGTCTGGTAAGGCCTTCGTTGTGCCTTGCGTTGTCGTCTCTGTCGAGTCATATGTGTCATCGAGGAATCGAGCTCCTCTAGCAGTCGAGATCCCGAGCTGCTTCCTACAATCTAAAGTCAGTGAGATTTCTGCTATCCGTTGCACATTGGACTCACCCAGATACCCAGAATCGGTCGTCGACAGCGTAGCCATGCCATCGGTCGCCATACTATCATCCCAATTCGACGATTTATCCTCAGGCGACAAAGACCCCTCGTGCCACTCATAACTATCCGGAGTGGACTCGTTCACTTCTTCTAGAGGCTGGGGCTGGGCAATCTGCGCCTCGGCCCGACTCTCCAGCGCCGAATCTATATTCAGATCTGGATTGAGCGAGCGCAGGAGGGCTCGGAGCTGAGTGCACCGACGCTCGGCGGCATCGAGATTCTTCCGAGTCAACGGCGTCCGTGAGGGCGGGCCTTCAAAGCTGCAAATCTTGCCGGTTTTCTCGCAGAAGGAGCAGTTGCCGGCCTCGCTGCCTTGCAGACAGCGGCTCTTGCGCTTTTGGCAGTTCACGCAGGCACGGGCGGCGGGTGCGAGGGGTTTGCGAGCCTGCCGGTGCATCGTTTTCTGTTTGGATGATCGTTTGCTAGTCATTGTCGTCCGTGCTAGTATCGATCACAACGATCGGTCCCACACTGCATCGGGATGGGCTTCGAAGGGCGCGTTGCTGGATGTCGTCATGGCCAGTCGATGGTCGGAGCACAGCCGGCCGACGCCCTCACCAAAACCATCCGCCGATTTGTATACACCATCCCATTTGGACTAATAGTATTCTCTAGGTCAGTGTTGAGATAAAAGATAAAAATTGTCTAATTTATTTGCCTTATAGAAGAAAAAGTATTTCTCGAGTTGGTATGCGTTTTACAGCACAATCGCGCCGCCATCCACCACAATATCCGAACCATTGATATACGAGCCTGCACTGCTAGTCAGCAGCACAATGGTACCAGTCAACTCGGACGGGCTGCCCATTCTACCGCTAGGATTGCGCTCAGCCCAAATCCGCCGATGGTCGGCAATGCCATCACCCTCATTCAAAATTGTATCCATATACCCGGGGCTCACACTGTTCGTGCGAATGCCGTACCTCGCCCACTCCGCCGCCAGACAGCTCTTGAGCATGAGGAGCGCCGACTTGCTGACATTGTACGCCACCTGCGGCTGAGGGAAGTTGACTCGATGAGCAGAAATAGATGCGACGAACGTAATCGAGCCTCCGGTGCCTTGCTTCACCATCTGTCGAGCCGCGGCTTGCGCGCAGATGAAAGAGCCGGTCGTGTTGATATCTAGGACTTTCCGCCACTGTGAGACGGGCATCTCGAGGGTCTCTACGCAGCCCACAACTCCCACGAAACAGACTAACGTGTCGACGGAGCCTAGGAGACGAGCTGTCTCCGCGACGGCGGCGTTGACCTCATCTTCAGCGGTCACGTCGACTTTCTGGGAGTGGATTTTGGCGTTCGGGAATTTCGCTTGCATTTGCGCGATTTCCTGCTTCGAATTGTCGGGGTTGATGTCGAAGATCATTAGGCCCTGAAGGCCGTGCTCGAGCAGGGCGTCGCAGGCGTGTAGGCCGAGGGTGCCTGCGCCACCGGTGATAATCGCGTTCCCGCGTACGGAAAATCGTTGCTGGGCGCCGTCGGCGGGGTTTGTTGCGAGGGGTGCGGTTGGCGCGGGGGTCATCGAGGAGGGGCTGCCGTCACTGAAGACCATCGAGGGTATCACACGGGCTGTGAGGGCCTCGCGGCCTGGAAGTTCGGCCATGTTGGGAGAGGAGAGAAGAGGTATCAAAGGAGAAGGAGGAGGGAAGTAAATAGGAGGGAAGGAAGTAACGAAGAAAGGGGTGGACAGAGAAAAATTATCGAGAGACCTCAAAGCTACTCCGAGAACACAGCGGGGATGGTAGGTGCATGCACAGGATAAGTACTCAGCCCCCGATTCCACACTGCCTGTACCCATCGGCTGATCGAGAGAGCTGTCGGCCAGTTGTGTTCCGATGGAAAACCTAGCCTTTTCTGCGATGGTACCTCATAACTACTGCTCGTAGTATTACCTCCAGCAGTAATAGTAATACCGAAAATATACTTGTATGCTCTGATGAAGGCCGACGCAAAGCTCCACCCATCGGGACACTGTCGACCGATGGCGATAGTCTCGTCTGGGCAGCTGCTGTTCCTTGAACTCGTCCGTCAATAGTTGGAGTGATGCGAGCCGACACACGCCAGCCGGGGTTTTGTGGAGACGCTAGTCCCCAGACGCTAGTCCCCAGTTTCCCCAGACCTGCTCGAATCGGCATATCCAATCTCGGCCATATAACGGAGATGGCCTCCTACGTTTGGCCTCGGGAAATGGTACATGATGTATCAATCGATCGACTGACTTCCTTTTGTTCTAAATTCCCGGGAACGCCTTCACAATGGTTGCACCGGCTCCTACGGTGATGCCGGTTAGTCATGTCCCTTTCACTAGACGATTTTGAATACTGACTGCAATGCTTGCTAGGCTACCGAGGAATTATCCAGCAGCCGTATATTTTCTTTTTGGCTTCCTTTGCTAGTATTGGTGGCATGCTCTATGGGTAATTAGGACCTACCAAGCTACTACGTGAACTGCTTCTGATTTAGTTCCAACATCAGATATGACCAGGGAATCATCAGCGGTGTCCTAGTAATGAACAACTTTGTCGCCCACCTAAATTTATTTCGAGTTCCTTGGCTAAACCTCTCAATTCAAACAATTCCCCGTTCTCTCCTCAAACGCCACTCTCCAAGGATGGATGGTCTCCGTCCTGACCCTCGGAGCAATGGTCGGCGCATTCGCAAACGGCCCCATCGCCGACCGTCTTTCTCGCCGCTGGTCAATTCACCTCGCTAACACCATCTTCCTGGTCGGCTCCATTATTCACGCTGCCGTAATCAATATTGTAATGATCTTCATCGGCCGATTCGTGGCTGGTTTGGCTGTTGGTCAACTGTCGATGATCGTGCCGCTCTATCTGAGTTAGCTGGCCCCTTCGAATCTTCGGGGTAGCCTCGTCTCGCTGCAGCAGCTGAGCATCACACTGAATATTATGGTTGCTTCCTGGCTCGACTATGGCACGCAGCATATTGGTGGGACGGGTGATGGCCAGTCTCCAGTTGCGTGGAGATTACCGCTTGCTCTGCAGTGTGTTCCCTCTTTGCTCCTAGCAGCTGGGACATCCTTTTTACCATATAGTCCGAGATGGCTATTGCTGAAAGGTCAGTTGGGACGCCTCCATTCGAAAGAGCGTATAATAATCTACACTTGTGAATAGACCGCGAAGAAGAAGCCCACGCAGCATTGGTACGCATCTAATGTGTCCCCGCAAACGACCCCCACATCAGACTAGAGCTCCTCGAAATCAAGGCGGCAGCTCAATTCAACAACGAAACAGTTGCTATTCTATATCCAAGCGCAAAGACAAATTTTGAACTCACCCTCGGACGATACAAGGCCTTGTTTATCACGAGTCACCTTCGACACCGTCTTGTAATCACCTATCTAATGCAAGTAATTCAGCAATTCACCGGAATCAACGCGATCATGTACTACGCACCAGAAATCTTCGAAAGCATCGGTCTTTCTGGAAACTCGGTGGATTTACTGGCAACTGGTGTGATTGGAGTAGTCAACTTTTTCTCGACCATTCCGGCGATTATGTTCATGGATCGCTGGGGACGCACGAAAGTTCTGATTGTGGGTGGAATTGGTATGTCGATCTCTCAGCTTATTGTGGGTACTATCTACGCAGTCTATAAGGACTCGTGGGATACGCACAAAGCTGCTGGCTGGGCTGCTGCTGTTTTTTTTTTGGGTGTATATCGCCAATTTTGCTTTTAGTATTTGATGTGTGAATTGGATTATTCCGTCCGAGATTTTTTCCTCCTGGTGTGCGAGCACAGGCAGTCGGACTCGCTATTGAAACGAACTGGCTGAGCAATGTGAGATATGCACCCTGTCCCTGGTCATGGACATGTCTAACTGATTTGATCCAGTTCGTCGTTGCTTTGATTATCCCGCGAATGCTCGCCAGCATCAAATTCGGAACTTTTTACTTCTTCCTTGGTGTGTCAAGACTTTTTTTATACTCTTGTCTTGAGTATAACTGCTAACTAAAATAGCATTCTGTCTTTTCCTTATTCTATGGGTGCTCTTCCTGGTTCCCGAAACGAAAGGCGTCGGCATTGTGGAAATGGTCAAGTTGTTCGGAGGTAGCCAGGGAGAAGCCGATGTGGCCCTAATGGCAGATATCAGAAGGAGACTTGGGATCGACTTGGGTGGTGCACCGGCATTGAAAGGGGCAGTTCATATAGGATCTAGGGTCAGTGCTAGCTCGAATGACTCTTGCATTACATTGCTGAATTTAGAAAACACTCACTTTGAGGCAGTTGTAAAGACCAGGGTACCTGGGATCTGAAAGTTCTTGTAAATAGCAAGAGGCTTGCCATGATAATATGTGTGCAGGTGTGTCATTAATTAGAATGGGTCGAGAGAATGCATGGTACAGCAATAAAGTTTTTATTCGTCTATTCCCTGCTTTTCAACTCAGGGCAAAACATATCCACCATCAATAAGCACATCACTACCGGTCATATATGTCGAGGCATCACTAGCCAAGTAGAGATACAGACCCTTAATCTCCTTGGTGTGACCCTGGCGTCCGAGGGCCGACATGCGGTAGGCCTCATTCACGCATGAGGGGCTGGCACCCATCTTGGTGTCGAAGAAGCCCGGCGAGACAATGTTCACACGGGCAAACTCCCGCCACTCCCGCGCAAGCGACTTTCCGAAGTGGGTGACGAAGGCTTTGGTGCCGTTATAGACGGGCTGGTCGGTGGGGACGTTGACGATGTGGGCGCTCATGCTGGAGGTGATGATGAGGTTGCCGAAGCCTTGGCGCCTGAAGACTTCGCCGACGAACTTGGAGCAGTGGACGATGCCGTCGACTATTTCGTTGGTATTAGTGCTTTGTTTCGTGGTAGGCTGAGCCGGGTTGATTCTTACCGTTGACCGACATCTGCTTGTGATACTCGTCCAGGGTCTGTTCGAGAATGGGCTTGGAAATGGCCATTCCTATTCAATATTAGCCATTGCGACAAGTAGCAATCATCGCGAATGCTACTTACCAGCGTTGGCGACAAAAATATCAATCCTACCAAAGTTCTCTACCACCTTGGTGATTGTGTTGCTCACAGAATTGGCGTTCGAGACTGAGATCTAATTAGCAATGCGTCGGGGAGAGGGCAGTTTGGTAGACTCACCGTCGACCTTGTAGGCAGAGGTCTTAATGTTATGAGCAGCGGTGAGCTCCTTGCCTCTGTCGACAGCGGCGTTGTTTCTGCATTCGTCAGTGTTCATGTCCACCGCGCAGACCGTACTTCCTAGGTAGTAATTCACTCACGAGTTATACCACAGCGCGACGTTGGCGCCTGCCTCAGCCATGGCTTCGGCGACAGCCAGACCAATTCCGTCGGACGCACCGTTGACGACCGCAACCTTGCCGCTCAGACTGAGTTGTTGGAGGACATTTGTAGGCGTGTTGGGGAACGGACGGGGATATCCTTCGCGGATCTTGCCGCAGTCTTCAAAGTTCATCGACATGTTGGAGGGGAGGGTTGGTAAGAGGGGAATAGGTTCTGAGATAAGGGTAAGTGAAATAAATTGCTGCGGTGAAGCCGGCCTCTTAAGAAAGCGGCGCACGCGCATCGGAGTTGCTGCGATTCCCCAGAAAGTCGGGGGACAAACGCCCGCATCGGCGCGCTGTCGCCCGACGATCCCCCACCTCAGCATGGCTCTGTGTACACCATGTGGTTCGCGTGGAATCGACATTAGTTCAGCGATTCGAACCCAGGTATGAGAAGGGCCTTGAAGACATCAGCACCTGGGAATACTAGAGCTACCTTAGGGTATTACCATGAGTGATCTTGCAAAAACTACTTGTAGAAAACTGGAGCTGCTAGTCCTATGCGTGTCCACTTGCCTCTGACCAGTATACTGTCACGGTATGAGATGTACTTCCATATCTTATTTTAGCTAGACATAGCTCACGAAACTGAATGCGATCCTATCTTTTCGTGTGAAACATGCAATATGTGAACATGCAATTCCCGTATATCTATCCAGGAAATCCTACTACATCCTTTACTGTACACTGATCAGCTGATGCTGTTAAAGGTGGGGCCGGGCCGGAGGATCGGAGCGGAGGGTCGGAGGGTCGTCTGCCACAGCACCATTCAATTCCAAAGTCACCTTCTCTCTTTCCGGGTATGTCCACAGTACTGAGCGCATCTCACCATGAATGATCGGCGAGTTCTTCCTCCCCCGAGCCGGCGTCGCGACAAACCGCAATTGTCATGTAATCTCTGCAGGCGAAGGAAGTAGGTCTTCCTAATCAAAATGTCTCCAAGTCCTTTCCATATTGATCTGTGACAGACTTCGATGTGATAGAGGCCAACCCTGCGGATCCTGTGTCCACCGCGATCTCTCTCATTCGTGCACATATCTGCTTCCCAACGCAAACGGACCCAGCCGTGTCAATCGGGAACAGCGATCGGGGACGATCTCGGGATTAACGGAGCGTATTGGGCAGCTGGAAGGACTGATATCATCTCTGGTAGATAATGCCAGCGATGGAAAGGCTGGTCAGACTGCAGGGCAAATGCCAATTAACCTGAATGAGGACATTCAGGGATCCACAAGAGCCAAGGCAGGAGCTAGGAGTGGTTCCCAGCCAAGCCAACCATCCGACTCCTTCGGCCATATATCGCTGCGGCATAGCAAGACCACTTACGTCGAAGACACTCACTGGACTGCAATTCTTGATGAGGTGAGTATGGTTGAACTCGTGTGCAGCCCATGATATCAATAATATTGCAGATGTCTGAGTTGAAGAGCTCTGCACGAGGTGAGGATTCTTCTGGCTCCCACCATGAAACCTCTCCAGGTCGCAGTTCAGACCTTCTCTTCTCTGACAGCCGACCTGCCAACCTTAAGGAAATCTTAAAGGGTCTTCCCTCCCGACAGGTTGCTGATAGGCTGGTGGCTTCATATTTCAGTTGCAAAATTCTTCCACGTATGTTTTTCACCTACTCTGCAGAAATTGAAAATCTAATGAGCATATCGAAACAGTGATCCACGGCCCGTCATTTTTAAGACATGTAAGAGAAAGATCTCCGTCCCAGCTTGGAAAACCTCTGACCATGAAACACAGTATGAAAAATTCTGGGAAAAGCCACTCGAGACCCCCATTATGTGGATCGGCAAGCTATATGGTGTGCTATGTCTCGCAATTCATTTCCAGTATCAAGCTACCCCCGGATTCGAGGTCTTCAAAGACCAGATCGAGGCCTACACGGAAAAGGTCAACCAGTGCTTGATACTAGGAAGGTATCAGGAGTGTCCGCCTGACACCATTGAAACACTCTGTTGCTCGCTCCATGCCCAGTTTCTTCAACGTGGCGACTCGCGAATGGACGACTTGATCTTTCTCGGCCTGGTTGTGCGAACGGCACAACGAATGGGTTATCACCGCGACGCATCCCACTTCCCCCATATTTCCCCCTTTCAAGGTGAAATGAGACGTCGTGTGTGGGCCCTCATCACCGATCTAGATACCCTAGTATCTACGCAAGTCGGGCTACCTCGAACACTACGAGAGTTCCAGTCTGACACTGCGCCACCACGTAACCTGCTTGATGAAGATTTCGATGAAGATACTACAGAGCTGCCTCCATCGCGACCGAGCTCATTCGAAACACCCTGCCAGTGGCTGGTAGTCAAGAACAAGCTTATCTCTATGTTTGGGATCATCACTGATTTTTCGACTTCGATTCAAAGGCCCGCTTATGGGGAGGTGATGCGGTTGGACAAGCTGGTCCGCGATGCGTATACGTCCAGCCCGCCGAATTTCTTGGAGAAACCACTGAATCGGTCTCTGATCGATAGCTCGGATATCATACTCCGTCGCATTCAATTGATACTTCTGCTTGAAAAGGCGTTGTGTGTCTTGCACTATCGATATCTTGCGCCTGCCAGAGTCGACGAGCAATTTGCGTATTCTCGAAATACCTGCATAGAATCATCGCTTCATATGTTGGAGTATCATTGGATTGTGGAGCAGGAAAGTAAATTTGGCGGGAGTCTTTTCGAACAGAGATGGAAAATTTCCACACCCTTGTTCAAGAGCCAGTGGATACTAGCAACCACTCTACTGTGCTTAGAGATGAACTATGATCTCTTGAATGAGTCGGCAGAGGACTCGAGGTGGATACCACTGACTGACAACACAAGAGAACGCATCGTACAGTGTCTTCAGAAGGCGTACCAGGTCTTTTCCCATTCGAAAGATGAGTTGGAAGACAGTAGCAAGACACTTCAAGCACTAAAGATTGTGTTTCAAAAAATGGGGAAACACTCGAATCATAAATATGGGACTGTGGACCCTGTCGAAAGTGCTGATAGGCCAGCAGATGTTGGTCGGGGTTCAGGTGTGACAACAAGTAACTTCTTTCCGAAATCCTCATTAGGATCTTACTGATACCCTCTGTTTAGCAGATACCGCACAGCCCAAATGTTCTTCGGCGACCGAACTGGAAAATGCAATGCTCTTGGACCAAGAGATGGAGATAACGCAAGCATCACCAATTGAATTCTTCACGCCCATGACATATGATAGCATTGCACCCGAGCTACTGGACTTGGTAAGTGTACATCTTCACAAGTTGAACGTCCCGTCTCTTACACAAAGCAGACGCACAGCGTGGACGAGATGCTCGGAATCTCTATGAACTACCCACGATCATTCGACTTTACAATTTAACAATTTTTTGGAGATATCGCACTAGCAATAATCTAACTCTTCAAATCTCTCTAAATGTCTATCAAAAACAGAACCCAATCTATAACGCCAGACATGCCACGTCCAGTTCATCATTCCATAAAGCGTCCATTTATGCCGAGGCACAATGACCACCATCAACGCGCAGGTCGGCACCGGTCATCCAGGCGCTGGCGTCGGTCAGCATGTAGATGGTGGGACCCTTGAAGTCCTCGGGAGCGCCCAGGCGGCCGAGCAGGGCGCCGCGCATCCAGGTCTCCTCGACCTCGGGCTTCTCCTTGAGCAGGGCGTCGGTCATGGCAGTGCGGATGTACTGTGCGTTGCATTAGTGAGGGTTTGTTATTTCTCAAGTTGTTGAACTTACGCCGGCGGACAGGGTGTTGACGCGGATGTTGTGCTGGCCCCATTCCTGGGCGACGGATCGGCACATCTGGTGGACGGCGGCCTTGGAGGAGTTGTAGGCGGTGCAGGTGAGGCCCTATTATTGACGCGGGTGTTAAGAGGCGTGTCATGAATTTGAAATCGCATTGCAACTTACGCGGTTGGCGATTTGGCCGGACATCGACGCTATCATCACAATGCTGCCGGCGGACTTCTGGTCGACCAGAATGCGAGAGAAGTGCTTGGCGGGGATGAATGTTCCGAGTACGCTGGAAACCCAATTGTTAGCTGAAGTTCTTGCGAATTTCCTTCTTGAATAGTCACTTACTTGACATCCAGCATCTTGCGGTATCCCTCAACAGGGTAGTCGAGAGCGGGCACCATCTGCTGAATACCAGCACAGGTAATCAGTCCGCGCATCGGCCTGTTTCGCTGCTTCGCGTCGGCGGCAATCTGCTCCAATAGAGCCTTGGTCTCCTCCTCGTCGGTAATATCGCACTTGGTGTAGGTGGCCTGCAGACCGTGCGACTTGGCCAGCTTCTGAACCCCAACCCATTCCTCGGGGCTGGGCTCGGGGAGTAGATCCAGGCACACCACGTCGCCGCCGGCTTCCAGAACCGCGGTGGTCAAGGTCATGCCAAGCCCGCGGCCTCCTCCAGTAATTACGACGGTGCGACCGGCGAGAGAGAAGAGGTCGTTAGTGGGCGCGAATGCGGCCGGAGTCTCTTTCGACTCGGGGACGACCGCGTGGGTCGTGTGGTCGAGGGAAATTGCGGGGGCCATTTTGAGAAGAATTTGAGGTTAGGAAGGAGGTGTGAAAGTGATTAATTGCTATGTAGGCTGAAATTTTTCAAGGATATGCGCTTCATATAGGAAATTTGAGTTGCCATGCAGCATCCACTGCTCGCCATACTGGCCAGTGGTTATACATTGCCGAAATAGGGAATGTCGAGCATGGAGGACCACAGTGGAACGCGCATCGAAGCAATCATCTTTGTCTGAGCTCCATTTTTCGAGACTTCTTCTCCCGAGCCCGACAAATCATGCCGATTGTCACGGGGCCGGTCCGAGTGCTGGTGGGAAGGTTTGGGGTGCAAGGGGTTACTAAATGCGGTAAGTGGCCCATGTCCATGCAGAGAGGGCGCGGGGCATGGGGTAAATGGAAAAGAGGGTACTACCGCATGGGGCATGGAGAATGCAGTGCTCCATCGCAATCTGCGATGTCGACGGGGAAACGCTGAAGCGAACAGCAGCGCCACGCGAGTAGCCCGCGAGGCAAAGTGCCCCACATATCCGGCCAATCATGTGGAGTTAATCGCCGCAGCAGCGCTTAAATTTTCCAAATTAGGTAGTGCAATAAACTCTTACCGCATTGGGCAGCCCATCGCGCACAGCCCGCGAAGCTTTTCGCCGGCACGGCGCCGAATTGATGGGGACTCGGTTCGGCCCAGCCTTTCATCAGCCCGAGTACGCGTCTTGGGAATAATTCTGCGATGCGATATTGCAAATTCAGCTGAAGAAGATATCTGGGGTCCTAGAGAGAATAGTTGTGTGCTGGCGGGAACAGTCACTTAGTGTCGTAAACTCTTAAGCTGAATCCGCATGGAAGTGGCAGTAAAGAAAAATGCACGCAAAACAGAAACACCCTCGACAAAGGCTGCTCCATGCGGTATTTTCGACATCAAGCCTCCCCCATATGCACCCCGCAGTCCCGGACGTCGCCCGCTTCAGGAACACGGGATGTCATTCTGGGGCACGCGAAATTCCCCGGTCTTGCCTTCCGCCATGGAAGCGCGGAACCTTACATGGCGCCACCGATTCACGCTGCATGACGGCCCTCGTACTTCTTTGACTCTGTTTTATAAAAGGGGGCAGAACCCCCACTGCCCTTGAGATTCATGAACAGGCGTTGTTGACCTTCTACTCTCCCCGCGACTCCCGATTCCGGTTTCTCCTTAGCTGTCGCTTCGCTTAAACACCTTCATCGCTAGCTGGGATCATGACGTTCCTGACTGGTCGACCATTGGCGTGGGCCATCACGGCCACTGCCGGCAGTGGCTTTCTGTATGTACCTCGTTGGTGTGGGGTCGGCGGCCGTTGATTTTATCCCTTGCTGACTGCCGGGGTCATCACAGTTTATTTGGTTATGACCAGGGAGTGATGTCCGGCCTGTTGACAGGCGACGCCTTTGTTGCGCGATTCCCGGAGATTGACACGACCAAGACGGGTCATGGCAGCTCTTCTTTGCAGGGCACAGTGTAAGTGGAATCGAGTCAGTGAATCAAGACCGAGATATGGCTCTAACAAGCGTGTGCTATTCAGGGTTGCTATCTATGAAATCGTGAGTTGACGTGAATAGATTTCTCGCTCAAAGCAGAATACTCATGAGTCTAGGGTTGTTTCTTCGGCGCCATCATCTCCCTGTTCATTGGTGAAATGCTCGGTCGACGCAAGTGCATCATGGCCGGCTGTGTGATTCTCAGCATTGGCGCCGCTCTTCAATGCAGTGCATATGGAATCCCGCAATTGATTGTGGGCCGTATTATTGCTGGAGTTGGAAATGGTTTAAATACAAGCACAATCCGTGAGTTCCGTTGGCCAGTGACTGCACTATCTTAATGACTGACGCCATTGCCTTGCTTCAGCTGTATGGCATTCGGAATTGAGTAAAGCAGCGAGTCGAGGAAAAGGAGTATGTGCCCTTCTATTCTTCTAATCTGGCGACACCATACTGACAGCGGCGACAGCTGGCCATTGAATTGGCTATCAACATCTTTGGTGTTATGTTGTCCTACTGGGTCGGTGAGTATACCCGAGTTGAGCTTTCTGTCGTCTCCCGTGCTAACTCCATACCCGCCAGACTACGGTTTCTCTTACAACGGCAGTGAGGCGCAGTTTCGCTTCCCCATTGCACTTCAGATTCTCTTCGCTATCGTCACATTTATTGGAATCTGCTTCCTTCCTGAATCCCCTAGATGGGTAAGTGAAATCCGCTAAGTCTCAATTAATACGGGCTCGTGTTGACAATTTGTATAGCTTATCAAGCACGGAGACGAAAGCAAGGCTCGTCATGTCATCTGGATGCTCCAGGACAATGCCAGGGAAATCGACGAGAACAACACTGTGGTCAATGTGGACGTTAGGGATATCTCACAGGCAATTCGCGAAGAAACAGAGGCTTCTGCGGAAGGATCATTCAAGCTCCTTTTCACCAATGGTCCACAGCGCTTCCTGACCCGAACCCTTTTGGGCATGGGTGGACAGATGATGCAACAGATTTCGGGCATCAACCTCATCACCTATGTGAGTTATTCAAAGAAAATCATCCTATGATCCTCAGCTGACCATAGATTAGTACGCCACTTTCATTTTTGAGAACTCTGTGGGAATGGATCACAACCCTGCTCTGTTGCTGGCCGGTTTCAACGGCATAGCCTATTTCTTCTCATCCTGTGTGCCCATCTGGGTTATCGACCGGTAAGAGGCTATCACTATCGAAGACACGGAGCTTACTACTAACATAATATAGTCTGGGTCGTCGCAAGCTTATGATGTTTGCCGTCATTGGACAAGGTTGCTGCATGGCTATCCTCGCAGGCACTGTCTGGGATGGTGGCCATTCTGCTGGTTTGGTTGCCACGGTCATGCTCTTCCTGTTCAACTTTTTCTTTGGTGTTGGCCTTTTGGCCATTCCTTGGCTCTGTATGTCTCCTTGATGAGTGATCGTGATTTCATTGGGAGAACTATGCTAATTTACTATGCAGTGCCTGCCGAGTACGCACCTCTCGCTATTCGAACCCGCTCCGCCGCTTTGGCTACTGCGACCAACTGTATGGAGTCTAAAAAGCACCTCCTTATTTGCTTTGAACTAACAATATATGTAGGGATTTGCACCTTCTTGGTCGTGGAGATCACGCCTGTCAGCATTTCCAACATTGGATACCGAACCTACATCTACTTTGCCGGTATGCACTCTTTCTGGTATCTCTCGATAGCTACCACTAACACAACCTCTGTAGTGTTCAACTTTTGCTTCTTCCCGCTCATCTACTTCTTCTATCCCGAGCCGCGCAACCTCACGCTCGAGCAGATCGATCATCTCTTCACGGGGGACAAGATCCAGCTCCATTGGCACCCTTCAATGGGCATGGCCGGCGATGCCGATGTTCGTGTTGCCCATGGCAAGGAAGATCCCGAAAGTGTGGAAACCCACCACTTCGAGTAGAGGTGTCGTCTGCCGGGACATTTTGTTACATTATACAAGCCAGCTAAGCTGGCACTGTTGTAGTTTTCATGAATCAATGAGATCTTGGTCATTTCCAACTTTTTCACATTTCTTCTCCACATTTGCACTTCGAATTGGTGAGACTTTACAAATTTATCACCGATCGTACTTGACGTAAGACCGACGATCATCTCGCTTGTAGCCGTGTTCCTGGCAACCGATTGCCGCATGACGGCGCCCGCCACTGTTCGGGCAAACCCCGCGAAACCTTCCCCACGGTCGCCCCCAGAATCGGCCTCGCTAGGGACGCCGACCAACGGCAGCGCGGCCGGTGGGGCCGGTCGGGGAAGGTGGCTGCCCCGCGCTTAAACGTTCCTTTTTCGGCAGGTGCGCTTTTCATCCTTCTATTTCCCCGTCCTACAGTCTCCCCATGTCCACCCCCGGATTCTAGGATGCTGACCCTTGCACATAACAATGGACAACTCCCTCGCGAATAGCCCCTCGGCGGAGCTGAGCAACGACAAAGGCAGCTCGCCGGGAATACCGCAGAAAGATGTGCAAGATCCGAAGCAGTCCGAGCCAAAGAAGCGCACGCGGACGGGCTGTTTGAACTGCAGTCGCCGTCGTCGAAAGTGCGATGAAGCAAAACCTACTTGCACAGGTTGCAAGCGCCGGGGCGATAAATGTCAATGGCGCATGCTGGGCTCATTCCGCGATGCCAACATCAAAGTGCTGGATTCTGATCACCCGTCGATGAGCCAGGGTGTGGCCGCGAACAAAAACAAACGCCAAAGTAGATTCAAAATCTTGAATACTTTGCCGGAGCAGCCTCGTACCAGAGGCACGAAGCGCCCGAATGAGACCAGCCCCGATCGGCCGATACGTATTGGCTTCTCTCCCTCGCCTTCAACGATCAATGACGACTCCATATCGGCAGTTACTTCGGTGCCAGAAGTGCAGAACAACATCAATACCACTCCTGGGCCTGTGGGTGAACCTTCCAATTCTGTTGATGTTGGTCCGACTCTGTCGCCGCCGCTCTCGGGAGATACCTCCTCCCATTCTTCACATCATCGGAGTCACGCCTCTCCACACCATGACCACATCGGACCCGACACGTCTCAGTTGTCCCAGCCTGGGTCAACAAGCCATGCGCCCTACCAGACCAACCTACGTTGCGAATTTCAATCCCAGCTGTCAGGGGATGCATCGCCTCACGGCTATCTGAACTCCAGTCCGGAATACGTGATCGATGACCTTGCCGCGCTGAGGAATTTGACACACGGTCCTCCGTATCATTCTTCTGTTGAAGGGTCATACCAGACTGTTCCATCGCCTGTATTCGACCACAGTGTCTTCTCGGATCCGGCTGACCTCAACAATGATGTCTTTCTTCCGGGATCCGCCTATGAGGCACTTCATACAGCGTTGCGAAATCGTCAGCTGTGGACGGCCCGGCCTGATGTGCCAACTCGAACTAGCTCCCGCGAGTCTATTCCGCAAGTGCATACGCCCTCGGCATTCAGCGATGACTCTTTCAGATCCGGGCGACAGCCTCGACGCTCCCGGCCCGGTCGCTATTTTGAGTTGTCTCCTGAGCGAGAGCATATCTTGTGGCAAAATTATCTGAATGAAATATGCTCATGGGTAAGTTTCTTCACCTCAATACGAAAAGGGCTTTTGATTGATAATAATAGCTCGACATGTTCGATAATAACCGACACTTTGCATCGACATTTCCTCAAATGTCAAGGACTGCTCCTCATCTACGATACTCTATTCTAGCTCTTTCTGCTCGACAGCTGGAGAGGGAGCAGAATGAGAAGTCACAATCCGAGAGTTTGTCTCTTTATCAAGAGGCTATTCACCTTCTGCTACCTGAGTTAGAGAGCAAGACCACACCCGTCATTGCGTCTTGTGTCATCCTGTGTGTTCTGGAAATGTTGAGCTGTATGTGACCAACGCAAGCCACATTATTCCTCGGTTCTTGCTGACAACACCAGGTAACCCAAAAGAGTGGAGGCGCCATTTAGATGGCTGTGCCTATCTCATTCAAGCGGCTGGTATCAATGGATTCTCAGGGAAGGAGGAACAGGCGCTCTTCTGGTGCTTTGCGCGAATGGGTATGTAGCCTCTTCCATCCAAAGTCTGTTCTTTCTAACAAGTTGACAGATGTATGCGGTGGACTCATCTCCGAGGAAGAAACCATCATCCCAATCCACAACTGGAGACCCAAAGATATGAGCTGCTCTGAAGCATCGCACTTGTTCCTCTCTTCAAACAAAACAAACTTCGACACCTACGCCAACTATACCGTCTACTTGTGTGCAGAGACCCTCAGTGTTCTCTTCGGATCTTCGTCCAAAACACCGCATCCATGCACCTCGGGTCAATCCTTCTCTGACGAGGATGGAAACTCATATGTTCATCGCTGGGCGGAGCTTTTTAGCCACGTGGAGCAGTGGTATGAGCATCGGCCGAGCCAAATGAAGCCCATCTTCACAGTTACCACCCCAGGCCACACTGGGAGAGACCGACCGTTTCCCACAGTGTTGTATGGGAATGGCGATGCCAGTATGCTACCTGCTAATGTATTTGACCGATTGACACTGACATTTCTCCAGTTTCTGGGAACCAACTCTATCATGTGAGCGCCCTTTTGCTTCTTCAGCAGAAGCCAAAAACACTTGTTCTTTCTAAAAAGCCGGTGAATAAACTGTCCTCATTCGATCTTCTCCCATTCCAGAATCCTAGCTTATGCTCTGTCCCAGAAATCTGTTCTTTGGCATGCACGGCAAATTTGTGCCATATCCGCATCAAATGCGCATCAGTAAGTGCCCTCCTTGCTCTTCAAACACATCACAGCAAGGACGCTAATTTTCTTCAGTGGCTGTTGGACCAATGCACTCCAGCCTCTTTGGATCGCAGGCAAGGTCATGTCGCACTACTCCGAACACGAAGCTATCGTCGAGACGCTGGTCCGAATCGAGCGAGAGACTGGCTGGGCCACGGCATGGAGAGTTGAAGACCTAAAGGAACTCTGGGGTGATTATGATAACGAGGACGACTATGACTTTGACATGAATTGAACAGTATGACACGATGATGGAACATTGGGCTGTATATAGAAAAGGCATTTGAATTAGCAGAACATGGGCAATTTGGCCATTCTTTCCCAAACTTATCAGGTCTGCACCGAGTCTCCCCTGGATATTTTCCACGTGCATTCATGTTGATGGAAGCCATCGTGCGATGTGAGCTCCATCTTGTTGTGCAACTGATGATCTCGGACCAGCTCCGTGCGGGGCGGATGTGCTCGAGTCGAGGGCCAATATCCACTTCATACACCAGCGAATTGGAAAACAACGCGGTCCGAGTCTTAAATACTTGAGGATTCTTGGCATGAGAAAGGCTGGGGTTTACTATGTCATTCTCCGGATCATCGGCTCTGGACTCGACTCGAGGACTGTCGGATCTCGAAATACTTCGACCCCGCATCCTTTTGCGATCAACGCCGGTATAAGAGTGCGGTGTGTCGACATCGACAGTTCCCTCCCTTCAAGATCTTCTTTTTTATGTGATCGTTTGAAAATGTCGTCGTCCGTCCCCTCGCAGTCTGCGCCCTTGGGGCCACAAACCAAGATTGCGCTCGAGTCCAAAGTCATCGCGAGTCCGTCTTTCCTTCGGTTTCAGTACCAGAAAATGGAGATACAAAAGGCTGACTCTTCTAGTTACCGGCGCAAACCGCGGAATCGGACTCGGCATCGCCGAATGCTGTCTCACCAATGGCGCTGCCCGGATTTACTCCATCGACATCGGCGAGGTCGGCGACGACTTCCACGCTTTATCCAAGCGCTTCCCTAACCAACTTTTTGCCGTCCAAGCCGATGTGACACAAGAAGCCAGCATCTCCGCGGCAGTGGATAAAATCGTGGAGGAGGCCGGGGCGCTGCATGGAATGGTTGTGAATGCAGGACGGACGAACCACAAGGCCGCGCTAGATTTCACGACCGAGGAGATTGAGGCGCTTTTCTCTGTCAATGTGAGACTCCCTACCTCCTAGCTCTCATACTCTGTTTAATTTGGTTTGTGACTGACTTGAATGATTAGCTTTTCGGTGCATTTTACACGGCCAGGTGTGCCGCCCGTGCATTCATCAAACTGGGCATCAAGGGAGCGATTGTGTTTACGGCTTCGATGGCTTCGTATCGACCCAATAAGGTGAGCGAAATTATCCCCTGCTCCATATTGGCCCTGTTGTCTCGTGTATTTCTCGATCATCAGCTGACTTTCGCAGCGTGTCCCCTCCACCCCCTATGGCGCGTCCAAGGCTGGCATTCGGAACATGACCCACACCCTCGCGATGGAATGGGCTCAACATGGAATTCGCGTGAACAGCGTCTCTCCTGGGCTGGTGAACACGGCCATGACGTACTGGGTGCCTCAGCAGCCCGACTGGGAGCAGCAGTTGAAATACTATGGAGGATTTCCGCGCCTGGCGGAGGTTCAGGAGCTTGGGGGCGCCTATGTTTACCTGCTGAGTGATGCGGCAAGCTATACCACCTCCATCGACATCCCGGTGAATGGAGTTATTGGAAGTAAGTTTACTGAAAAAATATTATTCGACACTGCTGACTTTTTCGTGATAGTTTGTTAATTAGGTTTTTCAACGACTAAGCTTGATGATCATGTGTATTTAGCATTTCTGAAATGATATTGAGTATATTATGACATTGCGCATCGACGGGACTATGGTTCTAAAGCTGACAATAGTCACAATGTTTGCAGTACATTAATTAATTTTTTTTGTCTTCGTTCAGGGGCTGCTGGAACCGCGGCCAGTCGTAAAGTAGCTCGATCATTCTTTCGTGTACCGGATATGTAATCCATGCAATTTCCAAAGATGAACAGTGTTCGGCACATCTGTAGGAGTGGAAAGACAAAGCTGCACCAATTGGCATCGTTTTGATAAGTGCTGTTTCCTGTCAAATTTGTCAGGATTTGATCTGTTTTCGATCTGGCATCGTCATTGGGTGTTTGTGTGGCCGGTGGGTCGAGTGGAAACGGCTCGTGGATTTGCGAAGCTCGCAACGGGCGGCCTGGTCCCTCCCGCCTCAGCGAGGCGTCCCTCCTTAATCTGCCCCAGACACCGACTGGATGGACGTTACCTGCGTCAGCGCATACTACGAGCATGGGTGGCAAGCCTTTCCAGTCCAGGGGCTGTATTACCTGCAAGAAGCGCAAGGTCAAGGTACGCCCCTGGCCCCCAAATGCCTTAGCTCTGCGTGGGACAGCACTGACAGCGGGACATAGTGCGATTATCAAAAGCCCGAATGCGCGCGCTGCTTGAAGATGGGCGTTGCCTGCCAAGGCTATGAGAAACGATATGCTTTTGTCTATCGGAATGCTCCGGCAACGCAGCATGAAAACTCGAAGCATGCTCTCTCAAACCAAGATCCAGGGGCGTGGTCTCAGGATCTCAGTCGCGCTAATCGATCAGCGGTCCAACGGCTAGCAGTGCTAAACAATGGCCCATCAAAGCGGCAGCAAATGTTTTCGACTTTTTTCACTTCTTACTTTCCCGACAATAGCACTGGCAGTACTGCGATAGACCCGTGGCATACTCTGCTCTTGGGTGTCTCGCAGCTTCCAAATAAGTCCATCATGCTTGAAAAGGCCGTTGCGGCGAACTCTTGTATTTTCCTAGGGAAAACCAGAGGAGACAACCGCATCTTGAATTATGGGCTTCGACTATACAACGGTGCGATCCAACAGGTGTCGAACCAGCTCAGCCGAAACAACTTTAACGACGAACTCATCTACACGATTGCTGTGTTTCAAACTCTTGTGGTAGGGCCATTTAGAAGGCCTCACAGAGAAGAAAGAACAAACGCTAATTTTTGGTTCAGTCGCTCTATTGCCCCCAAAGCCTGGACGTCTGCCTCAACCAAGCCTCCACGACCGATAGGCTCTTGAAACAATGCGCTCAATACGCGAGTGACAGTCCCGTCGTGAAGACTTTATATTTGGCATTTTATCGGATGCGATTAGTATGGCAATTTTTCCTTCCATGATACTTCTACTCCCGGTGGTTCGACTGACCGGTCTTTTTTAGTTACTGTCATTGACGCCGTTTGACCCGCAAAGTGCAGCAGATTTGGCGGCCGATCGAGAGAAATCTAAAGCGTCTTTGCTATCTTTCGACAACCAGGCTATCGATGGACTGCTACTCCTTATGTCCGATATTTCGCCCCTTATAACCGCGGTCAATACGGCAGATGTATTCGACAATGAAGCCTGCCAGCAACTTCTATACGATTGCCTTGCTCATAGAGAGAAAATAATAGCATGGTACTCCCGAGAGGAAAAGAATATCGGTGGCCGCCCCTTTGTCTGCGCGCCTGGCGAGTTGTTCTCCACTAGACTTCTCCCTGCGACACATTTATTCGGTCCCTCTTACGATTTCTCCTCCCTGGACAATGCCAGGACACATGCTACCTTCTGGGCGGCACTGTCAATCCTCCAGGCGCTGATCGGTCAAGCTTATGTATACGCTTATGCCACCGCCGCCGGGGATATCCTCAGCAACAAAGAATATCTGCTTTCCGAATACTACGCCGACGAGATATCTCGGGCCCTGCCCTACTGCTTGCAAGACAGTATGAAGGCATGGGGCATCAGTGTGACCATCTTTGGCGTGAGCCAGATCGCCAAGGTGTATATGGAGCTCAGGCGCAAAGAAAAATTTATGTGGAGTCAACAAGCCTTGCAGGTCATGGGCGAGTTGGGGCCGGACCTTCCCCTACGCATGAGTGAGCTGCTGCAATATGGCTGGATTTTGGGTGAGGAATCCGACCGGGATGCGCTCCAGGAGGCCTCCCCGGTGTCGTCGACCTCGAAATCTACCGGGTCATCGCCATCTACCGCTTCTACCACACCACCAGGGGTGGATGATGCGAACGTCACGGATATGGCAGATGCGTGTTGTGTTGAGTTGCCGGAAAGGTGACACGAGTCACATATCCCTGCCGGAGCTTAGGGGTGTCTCAAACTCAATGTACCGGCAAGGGCTACCGTATTGTTCCGACCATGAGCCTGGGGCGCATCACAGCAGTCGGTTTACCCGCCGATCGCAGGAGCTGAAGAGGTTTCTGAAGACGGCATAGGAAGCGCTGGGCCCGAAGGCTCGTCGCGTGGTCTCAATTTTGTACATATATAATCCTATCGATACCCTTTTGTTTCTATAATATAACAATGAGCTAAATCACAATGGCCTCTAAAAGATGCTGAACTTCAAAATATAGTTATTATTCTCCTCAGATGACAACGACATAAGCGTAATTCCAAAGTTGCGGCCCCATAGACGTGCCGCGTGGGCGTAGTACCTACTACCTAGATAGGTGGCTCCACTGCGCAGGTGCCATCCAGCTCCGGCGGCAGCCGGGTCGCCCACGGCCGCGATTCCGAAGTGGAATCCATCACAATCACATGACCGGAAATCTTTCAGATTGATATAATGAGAAAGTGGGATTTAATTTCTATAGCATGATCGGATGAAAATTTTAAGTATTTTAACTTTGCTGACGAGCCAAATAAGAACACGTAGTGCACCGGGTACATCAATGGGGATCGGTGGGTAAACCTGAAATATATATCCAACATGAACATGAAGCGGAACAACATGAAGACACCGGTACGGTGTGAGATATCTACTTACCTGATCAAGGAGAACAATCACAATAAACTGCACCGTCTCTTATTGAAATAAAATGCTCTTTAGATTTTTCCACTCTTCCCGAAATGTCGGGAACCTAAGGTTATACGGATTGTTAACCTGACTTTTATCCCGCAACATGCATCTAGATCAGCGGCATTAGAAACTAGGGTTGTATGAGGAATTGCAGGGAAGCAATTTAGAGTTGATGGGATGTATTGGAATATTCTGTTCAAGAAAAAAAATATGGGATTGACTCAGGCCAATGACTAGTAGCTCCTGGCCGCTGTTTGAACATGGCCGTTGTCCAAATGCGGAGCGCTCAAGGGATGTCGATCATCTACGATTTTTTTGAATGCAAACTTTCGAAAAAGACACCGGTCGCACAAAGATACTATGGCATGCACGCGGTTAAAAAGGTACTAGAGTACTAGCATTGAGCGTCGAATTAGTGCGATAGATCGCGTTGGGAAGAAGGAACAAAAGCCGAGGTGAAACCTTTCCGACGCTATTGCTAGTCTACACTAGTGTAGGGTAGTCTATTGGCAAGGTTCGAATAGACCGTCGATGCACCACTTGGGGGCCAGTCATATCCAGAAGAAACCCCGTTAGCTCTACTCCGCACAGTTAAATTTCTCAGTCTCAGGCCGTCCCGCTAGATCAGGGCAAGATTCCCCCTATTGGAAAGGGGTTGGGGGACGAACGCGGTCGATGGCAAAAGACAGCGCACGGGGCGGGCGCAAAGATCAGCCACTAAGTCGACATTCCAGGCCGCAAGCTGCCAATGACTGCCGCAATGACTCCTGCAGGGGTGGACGATCCCTTCTCGACAGAGTAGGGGGTGTAGGAGGGAGGAATGCTTGTCATGGCGGCACGAGTCCTTAAATCTAGGGATGAAAACAGAGCCGGCAAACAGCGACCTTGCGCTAAGCGAAGAAGAAACAAGAAAAACAAACCAGCTTGCTGCTCAACAGGGATTCGAAGACCCCTACAGTACATTCGATTCTCTTTTTTCAGTCTAAAAAATTCAGATCGACCGGTCGCTAGTGGAGTGCGGTTGGGAAAATAGAAACGAGTGGCGTGTGTCTTTGGGAGTTGTTGTGCTTGCCTTGCGCGTCTTCGGACTAGCGTTCTCTTTGGGAAAACTGTCTTGCACTTGTGGACTTCCGTCTTCGTCTAAGTGATGCGCTTGCACCGGTCTGTGTGGGCTTGGAGCGCATTCCACGTCGACACGACATTGTTTATGTACGGGGGTGCCCCAGCTGTCTCCATCCCCATCGACGCCCTCGCCCACCCTCCCCTGCCAACGCAAACACTCGACAAACAAACAAAAAGGCCAAACCTGCGACGATCGATCTCGAATAAGACCAAGAAGGAGCTTCGACGATCATTGTCCCGGATATTCTAAACCACCCGTGCCACGATCCGTGGCAGCATAAAACAACGCAAACCATCGATATGAGCCTACATGGGCTCGGCGTGATTGGGGCCCAGGTGGCCGCGTCCATCAAGAGCAACGACGAGAAACGTCCGACATCACCGCACATTCGGTCGCCTCCATGCTCCATCCAGTCGACACCTGAAGCCACACACGCCCAGGAGTTTGACCCATCGATCGGGGCCAAGCCATATTCGCCTTTCTATCACCATGGATCACCTACGATCTCCTATGAGCAGATCACCTTCGAGACAAAGGGAAACCACAGCCAGAGCCATCTGCGAGATATCGAGAACGCCGGCCCTTACACGTCCCTGCGGACCGATAGTCCCCGTCGCTCCAAGCTTTGGGAGCAGCAAGAGAATCCGCCGCGTTCATGCCTGCATTCCTTGAGTTCGCGACAGCGGATGGCATTGAAAGCCGTCGTCGCCATCGTAACCGTGGGCAGTATGATCGCTATTGCCCTCGGCATCACTGCCGCGGTTGGTGGAGCTGCCTGGAGGAGTAGTAGCAAGGAAGTGGCCATGGGAGGGTAGCTGCTTGAGCAGGCCCCTGCCCATTGATTTTGACATCGCGACTCGTGATGGTGAATTGTCTCCTATGTTCTCTCCTTTTTTCCAATTTCACGAGATGGCTGGAGCCATCTGGATGGAGTTCGGGCGGCGTTGCTGCTTGTTTGCATTGTATTTTCTGGACTGCTGGATGGTGCGGGCTGCAATGCACTGTTGTACTCAACAATGACCATAATTGTAAATCTACAATGGAAACTGCGTGAATAAACATCGCCAGCCCGGCCAAGCCCCGCTAGTCCCAAATCATATAAGCTTGCGGAAGCAGTTCGGCCCGAGCACGTGACCCATTGGCGCTACAAAAATGCGCAAACTTTTCGCACTACGAAGTTCTTTTCTTCTTCATCAAAAAGTAACAGAACCTGCCACGACCCTCGTCCGGTCTTTCTTGACGAGCTTCACGACGATGGGTTGCCTTCGGTCCTACGGGACTGACCGGTTCTGGAGATAAATGCTCCCCGATAGGAAGTTCGTCTCCCGTTGGGTCCTCTTCAGTGAGGGCGATGGGAGGGGAATGTCGAAGACGGGATACATCTCTTTTGGGAAGTAAAGTACTGTAAACGTAGAGTCTGCGCGTGTCTGGCAATGGTGCGCGACAGATTTAAATCAGCAATTGTGTCGCTGTGTGCCCTGCCTCGAAATGGCAGGGTATTTGGGCTCAGCTCAATCATGCTCAGTCATGGCCGAGCGGTCTCCCGGAGGGACACCCGCGCGCGTGTCAATTTAGCTCCGCGGAACGTCGACCTTATTTACCTCTTGCCATCAACGGGTCGTTTGGGTGATGCCCATTGCCCAATATCTGATATTGACGTCACGAGGAATGTTTGCGTAGCATGGCAGTCCATGTTTCAAATCGTAATTCCTCCGCTCAACAAGCTTGTCCGAGGATCATGCATCGCTCATTGCTGGGTCCCTCGCGACGGCCATTGGGGCTCAGCACTTCAACCACGGCTATGCCCGTCATGACTGGCTGTGATGATCGTCTAAGGGGCTGTCGTGGTTGGCCGAGTCACTTGAAAATACCGATCCCTCGATGGATCCCACCCCTCTTGAGACCACCCGCGGAATGTCGCAGCACCACCTGAACCGCACGCCGTCCGGCATTTGTTTACGCCTTTGTTGACGACCTTCGATGGCCCAAGGAGCCTAAATTGCTCGTTCTCGAGGGATCTTCCATTCCTGCCGGCATTCTGTTGTGACTCCAGTGCTTAGCCCGCCCTCGAGGCCCAGTCTGCGCCAGTCGATGGCCCCGGACTCACATTCCACAGTCCAAATGATGATGGTGATCATGAATGCAAAGAAACTACTAAAGCTCAACTAACCTCGCCAGGAATGATTACATGCTTGCTGCTTTTCGGGAGTATCTTCCACTATTTGCTGCCGTTCTTTTGCCTGCTCCCGTAGCATCGGTCTACTGTCGCTCTTTATTAACAATCGCTCGATCCTCCCCCTTCCCTCTTCCAGTAATATTCTTTATCGAAATATTGCAACCATCACCATGAAGGGCTTCGTCGGCGGAATTCCCCTCGCTCTCCTGGCTGCTGCCGCGCAGGCGCAGGCCATGGAAACCACTGTATGTGATCCGCCCCATTGGTGCTGGACAGCTTGATATTGACCAATATCCAGATGAACAACAATGGTGTCCAGCCGCGCAACGAAAATGGCTTTGCTCCTCACCTTGGTGGCACTGCCCTCGGCGGACCCTCTGGAAATGACGAAGATGGCAGCTTCACCACTCCTTATGCTGCCAATGTCCACACCCATTCCAATGTCAACGAGTACAGCAAGGATGACCACTCCGTCAAGGTCAAAGACACCCACGTCCACCCTCCTTATGTTGGCCCCGGTCCCTACGGCCCTGCTCTGGGCCCCGGTGCTGGTCCTTTCCCTGTCAAGCGCGGCTGGCCTTCCGGCGGCACTGCTGAGGGTGGCCCCTCTGGCAATGATGAGGGCCAGTCCTTCAACATGCCCATCACTGGCAACTTCCAGACTGATGTGAACGAGTCAAGCGATGATGACCATTCCGTTAAGGTCAAGGACACCCACGTTCACCATGCCCCTGTCATCGCTCCCGTCCACCCCGTTGCACACTTCGATGCTCGTCCGGCTGGACACCCTCATGATGTTGAGGGTCCTCCCCACTTCAACGGTCGTCCCCATTTCGAAGGCCCTCCTCATTTCGGAGGTCCTCCCCACCCTCAGGGACCTCCTCACTTCAACGGTCCTACCGAATTCGAGCCCGGCCACAAGGGCCCCACCAACTTCGAGCCTGGACACAACGGTCCTACCGACTTCGAGCCCGGCCACCACGGCGAGGGTCCCAATATCGATGCTGCTCCGCATGTCGAGGGCACTCACGTCGGCCCTACCGGCGGTATTCACCAGGCCAATGACAACAACAACAATAATGACAACGGTGATCACTTCCACATTGCGGCCACTGACCTGCACCACGACTGGCAGAAGCGCTTCGGCCCCCCTGAGGTTGGTGGGACTGCTCTTGGAGGACCCAGCGGCGGTGGCCACGGCCCTGCTGGCTTCCACGGCCATGGCGGCGGCGGCACCGCCCTTGGTGGCCCCTCTGGCGATGATGGTGGCATCAACTATGGCCGACCCATCGACGTCGACACTCACGCCGGCGTGAACGAATACAGCAAGGACGATCACTCCGTGGATGTCAAGCACACCGACATCTACCCTGCTCCCGTCTCGCCTTTCGGCCCTCCCTTCAAGCGTGGCTGGGGACATGAGCACGGCGGCACTGCCCTTGGAGGTCCCTCGGGCGACGATGAGGGCCAGTCCTTCAACATGCCCATCACTGTGAACACTCACACTGGAGTGAACGAGTATAGCAAGGATGACCACTCCACCTCCGTCAAGAACAAGCACATCACTGATAACCCTGTCATTGCTGGCGGTCCTGGCCCCTACATCCCTGAGGGTGGTGTCTTCCGCCGTGCCTACGCTCCTGACCGCGTCGCTGGCGGCGGTGGTGGTGGCACTGCTGAGGGTGGTCCTTCTGGGGACGATGACGGTGTCAACTTTGGCAATCCCACCTCCGTTGGTGTCGACAGCAATGTCAATGAGCACCACGAGGACAACCACTCTGTCAAGGTCGATGACACCCACGTCGACCCCCCTCATTACGCTGTGCCTGAGTACCCTTGGATGACCTATCCCGAGGCCACCTACGAGGTCCCTAGGTCCCCCCCTGTTCACGAGACCCCCGAGGTCCACCAGGATCCTCGCGAGGACCACGAGGAGGTTCCGCAGTGCCACGCTGAGACTCACGAGGTCGTCCGTACTGTGACCAAGACGCAGTACAAGGAGGTTCACCCCACTGAGACGGTCTACCAGCAGCCTGCCACGTCGGTTGTTGTTCAGACCAGCGCCGTCCCTATGGGGTCCACCCCAATGGACCAGCCTGCCTCCAAGGTGATGTCCAGCGTCGTCTATGGCACCCAGGCTGTGCCCGCTCCGTCATCCACCCACCGTCCCTACCAGAGCTACAACTACAACTCTCAGCGCCCTATGAGCACTCCTGCCTACTCCATGATCCCTGTTCACATCCCCATGGCTAGCCCTTCGTCCAGCATGATGATGATGTCCATGGCCACCCCTCCGCACGCCACGGCCTCCCCAGCGGCGCGGACCCCATGCACAGCGCCAGCGCCTCGGCCTCGCCTTCCCACGGCACAATGTTCACTGGCGCTGCTAGCCGTGTCTCTGGTGGCCTCTTCTCGGCTGCCGCTGCCGTCGCCGGTGTCCTTGCCTTCGTCCTGTAAAGTGTGGATGGAGCTTCTTCTGGATGTGTTCAAGTGTTATGAGGAAATCCCTTGTCGATCGTTAAATTTATTTCCTATATTCCTTTCCTACTGTGTCTCTTTTCGTATAACTTGTATTATCTTCCTGATTCCTCTTCGCTTAATGATGGTTTTGTCTTCAACGAGGTCTCATGGTTTTCGAAATATGATTTCCTATTTTTCTTTAGTCATTCTCGTAAGCCCCATAGTAACTTGTATTAGCTTTATCCACTTCGAATGATCACAATGGGCAAGTTGTGAAGTTCCCGCTATTTCGTCTGGGCTCAATGTCGTTTTTAAAGTCAGGCTCCATCGACGATCCCCAAGTTCGCTATGTTTTCGTCATACCGAATCGTGTCTCCGCCCACCAACTTGGACATTCGCATTTGCAAGATTTAGATCCCCCCAGTCACATCTAGAACTCAGTCCCTTGCCTAGTTGCTGCAAACGGTCCTGTTCTACCGAGGCAAATTCATCCTCGATCAAGGCATCTCCACGCGTGATATCATCCCTCCATCATCTCCCAGCTTCGAGGCCTCGCGTTGTGACATCGTACCAACCGATGGCATGAACATCTATTTAAACCTCCAAACCGCCTTTATTCCTCACTTTTAATCAATCATTGATCAAGCACTATAAATTCTACCACTCTCGTCCACCTAAAATCAGAATTACCACACCCTTCTACTTCCACTTAACATCGCCAAAATGGTCCGCAACGAGCAGCAAAACCCCCACCAAGGCGGCAGCCTCTTCGACATGGCCGCAAAAGGCACCTCAATTCCTAACGACGCGGGCAAGATGAACACAATCCCCTCCGTCCCGCGCCCCGATCAGCGCTCCGAACACTTTCTCTACGATAACGAGGGCATCGCCCAACCCAACCCCGCAACCGCCGCAGACAACGCCACCGACCTGCCACGCTCAACTCGCGATGTAGGACAATCTGGCGAAGTGATCAGTGGCACTGGCAACACCATCCCCGCCAGCATTGAGTCCAAGCGAGCCTACATGGGCACGAATGTCCCTGGTGCCCCTGGAGACTCCCGGGATCAGAAGCATCACCGTCAGAACCGTGGTGCTTTTGAGCGGTATGCGAAGGAAGATGAGGACTCGCAGGAGCATGTTGGTTTGCATCAGGGTCGCAATGAATAAATGATTTTTTTTATGAATAATGTTGTGTTTCAAAATTGTATTAGTATCATGGGTTAGATGATATTACTGCTCATCAGAGCATTGTCCAATGCATTGTCATGAATCAGAATCACATGTGTCCAGGGCGTCATATACTGCACTATTTTCGTAGTCTAAAATCAGGTATACGATATTCCTGTTTCAGCTCCTACAAATCCCTTATAGATATCTTCAAGGACATCTCGTTTCCTCTTTCGACTGGCCTCTGCGGCTTCTTCCTCTTCGTCGGGCTCAGCGTCAGGATCATGGGAAGCCCAGGTTCGAATGGTACCGTCGCCATGGGCGGAGAAAAGCTCAATGCCTGCGCCCGTAGCGCCGTTTCCACGCCAGGCTAGATCGTTGATACGAGCGGCGCTGAGTGCAGTTGATAGACCACGAGCCCGGGAGGTAGTCGCTACTCCTGGTACTCGAAGGCGCTTGACGAATGTTCCCTCGCGAAGCTCGAGCATCAGAATCTCGCCCCGGTCATCCTGGTCATTGAAGTTCGGCCAGAGAAGAGTCTCATGGCCAGTAGTCATGATCTGCTTGGGTACAATCAACGGCGCCCGCTCTGCCAGATGGGATGAAGTGCTGTTTCTGACCCGCGGGCCAAAATGAACCAGAGTGTTAGCACCACTTGCAGTATCCCATACTCGGATCCGGGAGTCTTGTCCTGTAGTGACAATGTATTTGCTATCTGAAGTCCATCGCACACCCGTCACAGGACCATTGTGTGCACGGGAAACCGGTGAAAAGGCTGGACGTGGTTGGTAGGATGCTGGGACCTGGCCAGCTCCCGGAGGCACTAGTCCGACCGGGTCATCCATGTCAAATGTTGCGATCGCCGAGTTATGCCCACCCTTTCGGACATCAAACATGATGACCCTGTTGTCCACCGATCCCGATGCGAGCAGGTAGGGGTTGTGTGGTGCCCATTCCACCGAGAGCACGGCCCCATTATGTCCCGGTAGTCCATGTGTTGCCAATCCTGACCGCAAGTCTACCAATCGGACGGATCGTTCTGATGTCGCAACTGCCACTAGCAGTAAAGATGACGGCACAGTCGAAAACGAATGCGCGTACGGTGTGCAGTCGAGATTGAACGTATGTATCGGAGGAATATCAGGCGAGTGTAATGCGGACCATTTCAATGTCCGGTCATGCGAGGTCGAGAAGATGGTGGACGGGATCGGGTCGAATGGGTAGATGGAAAGGGAGGTGATAGCGTGTGTGTGTGCGTTACTGTGAGAGGGTTTGCTGACGGACGCACAGGCTCGGTAGATATGTTCAGGCTCCGAGCCTCTGTTCTCGAGATCCCATAAGCGAATGGAGGGGTCGGCGCCCCCAGAGACCATACTAGTACGCTTGTCAGAACGTAATCCAAGATGCAGGCGAGAAAGTACGTACTACCGCCCCTCGAACTGATCGATCGCCAGGCAAGTCACGCCTGACTTGTGCGCGAAATCTTCACCAGCTGAGTTATTCGGGGTCGAGGTTGTGTCATCTCGAAGCCGATCGGACGGTGCGGCTCTGCGACTGGAGAAGCGGATCCCCGGCGCCGGCTCCAGACTGTGAACCAACCGCTCGGTCTGCGCGACATGAAACACTTGCGGCGCGACAGACCCGAGGGCCCTGTTGAGTAGGTAGGAATTCATTCATTCATTCGGTTTGAGGAAGGGAAGTGAAGGTTCAAGTTGGGAGGAAAGGACGCCAGTGACCTCGTCGGATTAATGTTGTGCCGGCGCAATCGAATATTGTTCACGGCGCCCTGTTGACATTTCCACCTGCAACTGCCCACCCACCAAGTCGACGAGACATGTCTTACGATTTGTCTAGCAGGGACTGGAATCCTCCAGGCAGAGGAGGCACGACAGAAGAGAAATGCGTGCGGTGTCGGGAATTGCATCTCACGTGCAATCACGAATCACCTCGTAGCAATTATCGCAATGCTCGAACGCCAGTGGAATGCAGCTACACAGGGTCTCCGATTATCGTATCCTCACCACCTACGGAGCCGTCTCCTATTGTCCTGTCCTCATCATCTGCCCCGTCCCCACCACCTCCCCCGAGCGCTCGAGATGCAGACGATTTGCCGGTACCCGAACTCCAACTTGCAAGCCAAGAGGCAAGACAGAACCAGGCGCCCCGGAGACATGTAAATCGGGAACCCAGTGCCACCCCAGGTACACGGCGCAGGAGAGCACGGCAGACTCAGGTTCAAGTTCCCTGGTCGCGCATTGGCAATGACCAGAAGTTGTCGAAACCTCAACCTGCAGCAGAATCATCGAAACCTCAATATGCACGAAAGCATTCAGAGAAGATGCTTCGATACTTTCGCCGAGAGCACGTGCCTGTGCCCAAACGCAGGCGTAAACGCAAGCCCTTGTGGAAATGCGAACGGTGTCGAAAACTGTTTCTCCCGTGTAATCGGGACATGCCTTGCGGTAATTGTAGCAGTTGTCCAGCGCCCGTGAAATGCCGCTACAGAAGGTCGCCGCCACCTGAGGATGCTGCGCCGGCACCCGCACCTAAACCCGCGCCAGAGCCAGAATACAACTGGGCGAGGCAGGCGACTCTTTATGACGCAGTTGCTGGTAAGTGCTACCCCCCGGGGTCCACCAAATTTGAAAAGGACATTGCTAACATGTTATCACCAGGTCGTTTAAGCCGCCTCGGAAACTTTCTTTACAACGAAACTGGCAAGCTTGGACGCTTTCGTGATACGCCCAAATGCCAACGCATTGCGGGGCCAGAGGAGGTTGTCTTTTGTAGAGAAAGAAACCTGTCTAAGCGGGAAGCAAAATGCGCAGCATATATGGCGCACGAAAATCTTCCCGCCGACTGTCCTTTGCCGAGCTCCGATCTTCTCGAAACGATTCACGCCTACACTGCCGACTTCTACAGATATGCGCTTTCCGATGGCGGTCGAGGCAGCTACGGCAGCATGGACGAAACCGCATTATTGGCCATGGGGATCTTGATCGAAGAATTGGCGACCGAGTCGCTCGGGAAACAGGGCTACCGAGCTTTGCTGGAGGCGGAACCCAAAGCAGGCGAAATTTGCCAGCAAGCCGATTACATTCGAAGACCAGGTAGACGAGCACCACTGGAAGCAGCCATCGATGAACTGAAACGCAAGAAGAGCCACGAGCCGAGTCCCAAGGCGGAGAGCGTCAAGAGTCGTTCACGTAGTCGCTCGAGGAGCCTCGACTCCCCGGAGCCCAAGCGGCTCAAATTGGACCATGACCCGCCGGCGACTACTGTTGACGCCGTGAAAGAAGTTGATTGAGAAGATTGTTGCCGCTGATTCTATGGTCTGACCCATTGATGCATTCTCGATTTCTTATATATTCGGCTCGCAATTGGATCTGCCGTCAATCCGGAGACCGGCCGTGATGGCTTTTCTTGAGCGACCAAGCTTACTGGCTACTAGACCGTTCAGAACGATAAGTACAATCTCGTACAACAGAGAAACGGGAAACCCACCCTAGGGTAACCATCGATTGCAATTCATCGCTCACCGGCTTCGGCGTCATTGTGAAGTGATGTCAGCATCGAGATGGGTTCCACGCCCACGTCCAGTGTCAAACAGTCAGTGATGGGTGGAGTCAAACACTACGAGAGCGGTGCCAATTTGACTATCTACTTCTGTAGTGAGATTGCAGTCGCTACAATAGTTGAACTTACGAATGAACGAATAAATGAATGAATGTACTGATCAAACGACCAAGATTGGATTCGATTTCTTTGTGTAGAGCGAGTATCTTCTGAGCTGAGGGTCACGATATGAGGAGTCACGGGCTACGATTGAGTTGATTCTGCCGCTCCCATATTTTGGCACTCCACTCCGTCGAATGCTTGACGCCCGACTGCTCGATGTGGCAAGGCTTGACCACTTAAGCTTCGTTGATCAGATTGAAGACGTTTTCCACGCAGTGGCCCTGCTGGGGCTCTATTCATTTCCAGCCATGGTACGTGCCCCCCCCCCCCCCCCCCCCCCCCCGGAACAAGCGTCAGGTTGAGGTTGGGTGCGGACAAAGCATGCTTCAAGAGACCAACCCCCAATGGGCACGAGGTCACTGACGCGTCCCTAGCCTCCCAAGCTCTCGAAAAGCGACAAGCAGGATCGGATTGTGACTCACCTTCGCGCCACGGGAACCTGTCACACCCTCAAGGATCTCGAGAAGAGCCTCCCCGCGGTGGCCTCAATCAACGGCATTCAGGTCAAAGAGTACCTGCAGGCGCTCACGGACGAGGGCCGACTACGAGTCGAAAAGATCGGCAGTGGGAACTGGTACTGGATCTTCGGAAGTGATGAAAGAATCCAGCGCGCACAGCAGTTGGCCCGGGTGAAGACAGAGGTGGAGAGGGCCCGCAGCTGCTGGACCGACGTAGTGGCCGCCCTCGCCGCGGAGACCACGCGACGCGAGCAGGAAGCCGACGACCAACGCCGCGATGCAGAGCGCACGGCGCTGCAGGCCCAGCGAGCCGAGCTCCAGGCAGCGGTCGACCGGCTCCGGCGCACAGAGGCACAGACCGGGCTCGACTCGGTGAGCAGCAAGGGCGTGCTGCAGCTTCGGGAGGAGTTGGCGGGGTTCACGCAGGAAGCGATGCAATGGACGGATGATATCTACGTGCTCGAGGAGTATCTGCGACGGTTGGCGAGTGGGGACCGGGAAGTGGTCGCGGCGGTCCAGCGCGACTGTTATGGGGACGAATACGTGGAAGGGGAGGGCCTGCGCGAGCTCTAGGGCGCTGATTTCCCGTTTGTCCCCAGGGGAAGGAGACGACGGCGTCTCCAGAGGGCGGCGGCGTCGTCCTGGTCCGGCCCTTCCGAACCCGAGCCCTGAGGGCCAGGAAAGCTTAGCCTTGTGCCGTGAGCAGCAGAGAGACTGACGGAGAGGGGGGGGCGTCAGCGATCACCGTATGATAGCAGAATTAGGGATGACTGCGCCAAATGATTGAGTTCCCGTGTGAAACCGCCGTTTCGTGGTACCGTAGCGTAGGGTCCGTGTCGTTGCTGCCCAGGGACTAGTTCGAGCCCGCGAAGCTTGACTGGGCGACACGCGAATGGCAACCCGGAGGCTCCCAGGCTTCTCCGCCCTGCTTATCGCGCTCCCCTCCCCTTCTGCTTCCTCCTTCACCTTCTCTTCCACTGCGCCACGTCCCACATTCCCTGCGATTCCTGCGATCCCTGCGATCCCTCCGGCACCGCCCTCCAGCCACCCCCTCGTACTCTCTGCCCAACTCGCCGTCGAGGTGCTCGACCCTCGACCTCTTCGCGACCTGGCGCTTCGCTCTCGGGAAACAATGTGGTCGAGTGGCTATCGACCATAATCCCCCTTTGGTCCTCGAGGAACGTCTGTCGACAACCCCCCGAGGCCCCGGAGAACATACTACCCCCGTGGCGTTTGAATCCGGACCGTGTGGACTGGTCCTGGACGTTGGATTCCTCCCACCCAGAGCCAGGACGTGGACGTGCAGACGTGTGGCCGGTTTGTCTGGTCGTGGGATTGGCCTAGACGTCGGCTCTCCTGCCTACCGGGCCGCATTCTGCTCAAGCATTCTCCCGCCAGATCGTCCTAGGGGTTGTCTGTCCGAACGTGCCGTTGCCACGTCGCGATCTGCGACCATCTGATTATCTCTCTGCCCTCCTCTCCCCCACCCTTTTCGACCCACGGCCGTCGTGTATGGATGCAGCAATCCGCGGCTGTGTGTCATGTCCTCCAATCCTCCTTCCAAGACCTCCACGTCGCCGGTCATCAGTCGGAATAGCAGTTCTTTCCTGTCCAAGTTTCGCTCCCCGCTCGGGAATCGGAATCGAAGCGTGACCGATTATTATATTGATCTGGACGATCCCTGGCGCTCGTACTTTCCCGGCGATGTCATCAAGGGCACGGTAATCGTCACCGTGGTTCGGCCGGTCCGCATCACGCACATCGTGGTTTGTCTCCATGGCTATGTAAAAGTCTTCAAGAATGCGACGCCGGCTGGCGAAGCAGCACCCGATCTGGGCTTTCTGGGTCCCGGCCGTGGTCGACGCGGCGCAGAATACTTGGGGAATGGACTCGCGACCTTGTTCGAAGACGAGGTCGTTCTCTGCGGCGATGGCCGTCTCAAGGAGGGCATCTACAAGTTCCGCTTCGAGATGGGCCTTCCCCCATATGCTCTTCCGAGCAGCATTAATGTGCGCCTTTTCTTCCTGGCATGGTCGTATACTTGGACGTTTCGTTAACTTTCGCCTTTCTAGTTCGAGCGCGGCACCATCGCTTACTCCCTCACCTCCACCCTCACCCGACCGACCACGATGAACCCTACCCTGACCTGCCGAAGACGGGTCAATCTGCTAGAAAACATTGACATTGCACCATTTCCCGCCCCCAAGGCCCGCATAGTTACACTCGAACCTATCTCCAAACGCCCCAAATCAAAAACGAAGGCGAAATCCACCACCTCTGAGCCGGCTCCAACACCCGATACCGCTTCCATTGATGCCTCCGCCAGCGTGACCGCCGCTTCCGTGGACCACCGCCCACCTTTGAGCCCTTCACCCAGCAATGTTAGTTCGTCCAGTCGCCCGAGCAATAGCAGCCAGAGCTTTCAGATCGCGAGCGATCCAAGTTCGTCGACCAGCACCGGCGGCGGACGAAATAGCGAAGGACGCAGTACGACTCCTTCCGTTTCAGATCGCACCATCACGGCCAAGGCCGAGGTTCTGCGCGCGGGCGTGCTACCAGGAGATACCCTACCCATCAAAGTCACCATCAATCACTTCAAACAGGTGCGCAGTGCGCATGGAATCGTTGTTACATTATACCGGCAGGGCCGCATCGATCTCCACCCTGCCATTCCCATCGGCTCGACAGCAGCGGGGAAGAAACCCGTCTACGAAGACTGCTATCCGCGCTCACGAACGGGACTTGGCGGATTGACCTTGGGCACCAGCCGCACAAGCAGCACCTTCCGGAAGGACCTGTCGCAGACCTTTGCGCCGCTGATCGTCGATCCCACCAATATGACTGCCGTCGTCAAAACCTCCATCCGAGTTCCCGAAGACGCATTCCCGACCATCACCCGCGTGCCAGGCGCCATGATCAATTTCCGATATTATGTCGAAGTCGTGGTAGATTTACGGGGCAAGATAACTTCGCCCGACCGTTTTATCCCGCGATTTAAGATGGTCTCCGGTGGCAGCAACTTTTCGCCTAGCGGACAGATTCTTAATCCGGCTGACGCCAACGGCAGTACCCTCACCACCAATTGGGGCGGCAACATCTTGGATACGAATCAGATCCGCCGAGAGAAGGGTGTGATCTCCGTAGCATTCGAAGTCGTCGTCGGTACCCGGGATTCACAGCGTGGCCAAGCTCCGATTGAGCGCACCATGTCCAATGCCGCCGAGTCTACTGCATCTCATAGTAATGCGCAACCTGCCGCGCCAACGGCTGTGATCAACCCTGTTGACGGGGAGGAATGGCCTCAGGCAAGTCCTTTGCCCAACTCAAGTGCTGAGTATGGTCCAGAGGACTATGGGTTCCCCGACGAGACGGCCTGGTCCGAGTATCCGGAAGACTTCCCGCAATCCTTCACGCCTGCCGGGCCCATGATGGCCCACCCCGAAGTCGAGGAACCTGTGGATGAGAAGACTCGAATTCGACGCCACGAAGAAGCTTTGCTGCCCAGTCGGCCGCCCGACGAGGCCGAAGCAGGGCCGTCGAACGCCGAAATGTCCGTCCCGACAGCGCCTGTCTTGCCGGATGATCACCATCTACAGGACTACCAGCACCTACCATCGCCCGCCACCGGTGGCGTGCCGCATACTGTCCGATCTGCCGAGTCTTTGCAGACTGTGGTTATCAACGGCACCGGCGAGGGCCCCAGCGAGTCTCCGGCTCCTCAGGAAGACAAGCAGGAACTGGAGCGCCAGCGATTGATGGAACAGACCAGCGCGCCCAGCGCACCGCCCGAAGAACCGAATGGCCATGGCGAGGCAGGCGAGGGTCCAAGCGCGCCGGTCTTTGACGAGGACGACCAGCTGGTTGGCGGCACGGCCCACGCAGACGAGTCTCTACCTCGGTACCAGCGATAAACGGATGCGATCTTGTGTTTTTGATCTCTAACTTCTTGTACATTTGCATTTTGGGAACGGGATATTCTTGGAAGATACCACTACTCGCATATTTTATGACACACGGCGCGGGGCGTTTACCGAATGTAACATATGGACGATGTCCACTATTTGATCCCACAGTATTATACCAAACATCATTCTGGTTCTGCGAGCTGAAACTTCACTTTCATTTTTACCTTAAGAATTGTAGATTCTTCGCTCTAACTATCTAGTTAATTATCTAGCTGCTACTGTTTACTAACGGCCGTCAAGTCAGCCCGCTGACAATTGACGAGGCGGGCTTATCTCTGGTTCCCCCGGGGAAAAGCCTTGGCACCCGCTTAGCGATAAACTTGACCTCCCCCTGTTTCTGACTTCTACAACTCCCCCAAAAACCCGTCACAATGGCCTTCAAGAGCGGGTCGTTCGCGACCTTCCTCATTCTCTGCCGTGAGTCCCCTAACCCCCCAGTCCGCCATGCCCGTCCGACCCCCGAAACCCGCCCGCAGCGCCCGAAGTTGGACCCCAACGGCTGACCTGTCCTAGCAACATGCTTCTTCTTGGGCATCATCTTCTCTCTCTTCCCCTACGACTACCCAATTCTCTGGTCGACCGTCACGACTCCCGCGAGCCACTATGACTACTTCGAGGCGCACCTCCGCTTCCTCCATGCCTCGCCCCCGCTGATCCCACGCATCCTTCATATCGTGATCTTCCTCGGCCTGGCCGGCCTCGTGACAAAGCTCTACCGCCCCTCCGAGTCCAACATGCTCTTCGACGGCGCCTCGCTCGTCCTCTACATGTGCGGTATCACCGTCTACATCGCCAACATCGTCAAGGGTCTCCGTCTCGCTTCCGCCGGCCGCTACGGCGCTGACTTGGCCACTTCGCCCGACGAGAAGGACCAGATTCTCGGTCGCGAGGACTCCCTCAAGGTCCTGGCCGCCAGTAATACTATTCTCGCGCTGGTCCTGGTTGGTATCCTGGTCCTGCAGGCCGGTCAGTGGTATGCTGAGCGCAAAGATGCGCAGGAGTTCGAGTCGCTGGCTGCGGGGAAGAAGGATAAGCATGAGGGGGCGGACTCGGCTTCCTCGGCTACGGCCTCTGGTTCGGCCAAGACCGGTCGCCAGGGAGGCCAGCGTAAGAAGAGCAATTAGTTGAATTTGCGTCGTTGCATTTTCCTGTTCTTTTCTTCTTACGTTGTCTCTTGTGCGGGGAGCTCGATTGCGTTGGGTGCTTGCTACCTGATATGAAGTCTTGCTTGCGGGTCCATATTATATCATATATGTTTGTTTACCCCAACGCTGCTACGCTGAAAACAAAGAGTAAGGATTTCGCTTGCTTCGTTTTATATATTTATTTTTTTGCCTCTTTGCATTATGGACATCTCGAAGACGTCAAATTCAGGTGCTCTATGTACACAGGTCCCCTGGTGGCGCACTATGGCATTTCTCTGTACGGAGTATGAATGTGGAATGCAGAATTCAAAAGATGTCGTGGGCTAATGATGCTGTACCCGTGTAAAAGAACCCTTGGGGATACTAAAGCTTGATCAATGATCATGATGTTGGGAATAATGTGGTCACATCGCAGAAGGGGAATCATAAGTGCAGATCGTAAAGAATGTAGCAAAAGCAATGTCGGTAAAGTGGGATGTGGGGAAAAGTCTCGACTTGGGAGACATTCAAGCAAATGAGAATGGGCTGCGTGGGAGATCAGGAGATCGGGGGCTCAGTGCTTTCGCGAACAGTTCTTCGCCAGAATCAGCGCTGGAAGTGCGTGCAGTGGAGTTCATGGAGTTGATGGGTGCGAAGCCCGGCGCATCGGTGTTCCGCTGGGCTTCTTGGAGGAAGTCAGGTGGGTGGAGTGCAACCGGCTTGAGAGACTCGGGAGCAATTGGATTCAGCTGAGAGCTGGGAGTAGGCGTAGGATTGGTATCGGGAGTTGGCATGGAGTGTGGCGCTCGTCTAGCAATGTTGCTAAACGAACTGAACGAGGATACGGCGACATCGGGCGATTGCGGAGAAAGCAGAGATCCAGGGTTCGATCCTATTGTCATGAATGTTAGCTCTTGCGTTGAAATTGAATTGATTGGAATAGAGACGCAAACTCACGGTCCTTACCCGACAGCTCCTTTTCACTCGTCTGCAGCTTCAATCCTCGAAGCTTGTCCGACAACTTCCTACCACTAATCGGCGACACCGGAGTTGCTGGGCCAGTTGGGTATGCGGATGGGCTGTTCGACGAGTCCTGGCTACTGGCCACACTCTCAGCGCCATGTGCTCCCACACCAAAGTTGGACTCGATCCATTCCTTCTCCTGCATGGCCATATGCAGCGCAATTCCCTCGACATTGTTCAAAGACTCGTCACGGATCTCATTGTCCAAAACCCGCAGTCGCTTCTTGGCCCAGATTGTGTGCAGCACACCTTTTTTGCCGGCGGAGCGACCGGTTGCACCCAGCTCGGGAGGGAAGATGGCAGGCAGAGGATTCAGCTGTAGTGTGTCGCGGCTCTTAGAGGAACTGGCGTTGGGCTCGTATGAGAGGGTGACAACCGGCGGGATGGTGGCATTGGGAGGAAGCAAGAAGTAGAAGCGGCGTGTGGTATCATTCGGTCGTTCATCTGCGGGGAGGACAGTGGTCTTGCCTTCCCAAGACACATGCCACGAGCCCTCGGTGGAGGAACGAGTAATATCATCATCCTCCCACTCGATCATCAGGATCTTCGTTCCATCGTTGGCCCGGCCCGCCTCGAACTCAAACCGGGCGAGAGCAGTGATCGAGAGGCATCCGGCCTTGGGACCGCGCGGGGTCTCGAGGTCGGCGAATTCGCTATCGGGAGTGAATGTCTGAGCCATGATTGAGCCGATAAGAGCGCGCGTAACTGGGGAACTCGGGGAAGGGACCTCCGGTACTGAATGGGGCGCAGTTCGGCGGATGCACGGAGAGAGAGGAAGGGCGGAGGGCGGAGGGCGGAGGGCGGCAGCGACGCAGGCGCGAGTCGAAGTCAGAGGGGATTCCTGGTGGGATTGCCGATCACGGGGCGGCGGGTTGACGAGTGATTGTTCGCGCAGTTTCACCTCGATTGGCCTCTAATTATAGAACCGCCGCTCTTGGCATCACGTTTCTACAAAGGTGCTGCTTTGGAACATCACCTCTTTTTCTATATGGCCCAGTCTACAATTTTTTACTTTCAACGAGATACAATGCCTGAGCCAAGAAAGACTGCTAGATGTCTTATATTATCAAGATCAGGTTCGCGGTGGTGGGTGGCTTTGCTGATGTGACCATTTAGTACATTCCTAGTCGAGGCGGAAGCGCGAACAATGATTCATGTCTGTGTTGCTCTGTAGCTTGAAATGCGTCAGTTCCCCGTAATTGAGCAATCGAAATATTGTGAAGATTGCAGAAGGCCTAAGGATAATTCTTGATGAGATATGGGAGTAATATAACTACAGTACCCGCGTCCTAGAACTCGCAACCAACACTCGGAAACTGCAATATCTTTGTTAGGCGTCAACAAAGAATTATTCACAGCCTTGGGAGGTGGTCAATGATGCAAATGAGTTTCCCCAAATAGATCGCAGCTCATGGCTGTTATTTTCAGCGTTCTCAATCGAAGAAAGAAAGATCGTCGAGCACCAAACCCCGGCTCAGAACTTCGTTGGCAGCAACCTCCGATAGAGCAACAAGACCTAAACGCTGGCCATTCAATACAAGTGTTTTGAGACGAAAGAACTGAAAAACAGTGCCAGTATCATACAGTATCATACAATTCAGCTAGAAGATCAAGGTAAATTGCGGTGGTCCGTTGTTAATGGAACAGGCTAGGGAAGAGAAGCACCGTCCTAGCGCATGCCCTATGCTCTTCCTGCGGTAAAGAACTTCGTGAAAGAGCCAGTGGAAAGAGGGGATGCAGGGGCAATGGGTCCACGGGAAGCCATGCAGGAAACAGCTTCAATGCTGAGCAGATCTGTTCTAAAATTAACTGAAGAGTGTGATAAAGAACGTGGAGGTGGGTGGTATTGTCGATGGTGAGCAATGATTGGCATGAATGATAGACATTGCCTACGGAAGGGACGGAGGGTTGGTCCGGCTAGTTGCTAGGAGCATAATGGTGGGCGCTGATGGGTCAGAGTATCAGGGAGTAGCCGCTTGAGGGCCGTGACGGTCACAGCTTGATGAGCTCCTGGCTCGTGATGGGGGTCCCAAAGGGCGTCAACTGGGTCAACGGGAGTCAAAAATAGATCAGGGATGGCGATTCTGACGGATTGAATGATCAGCAGGTGCGTGACAGTGGGGTTGGTTGAAGTTCATGACCTCGACAGGATATAGCACGCTCATTAGTGTGGCACATTGGCCCGAGAATAAGAGCCAGTGGATGAGAGAAAGATGCAGGCGAGCCACTAGAATTTGGCCCGGAGCCGAATCCGTTTCTGTTAGCTTCAAATTTTGCCTTGACGCGAACATCTTTGACACATTCGAGCTGGAGGACATATCCAGCTTCGGAGGACCGGGTGTATCATTGAGAAGCAATTCATGGAATCTGAAAACTTGGATTGTGTTCGAATTCAGGTTCCTCTCGTAGAATGTAGACGGTTCGTCCCATATGATCTCTTCCCAATCTTTATTCGAACTGGCATCTGTCGTTATATTGATCTTGAAGAATAGTGAGTTTGTTCCAAAAATATCACCGCCCTAGAGAGTTTTGGGTTTGGTGGTATGCAGGAACTGTTGCTGCTGCCGAAATAGAGAAAAGCGGGCGTTCTATGATTAGGACGAGCAGTGACCAAAAATAGGACCTGGACGATATCACACTGCATGGGTAGCGCACATGCGTATCCTGCACACCCCTCTCTCAAAATCCTAATTTCCTGTTCCGATTGAGAGTCTTGGTCTATCCTTACTCATATCCTCTCGGCTTGGATTGGCCTATTGTTTCCACCGGGCAAACCACTACATCAGTGCCAGCTAGCACTTGTATACGACTAGCAGTAGCTAGAGCATCATGTGACGTGATTTCCTTGCCTAGCATTCCTTCCTACTCAAACCGCTGAAGATGGGCCGACCGACCGATGCAATCCCTTCTTTGCATCCAAAATCCGGTCGATCATCGCCCTTTTCGAACGAAAGCCAGTTACACTGAGAGATAGCGCCGGCGCGAAGCCATCGGCCATCTACCGAATGACCTGTACGGAGCCAATCACAGCGGTCCTCAAGAGCGGTTCTCATGCTACATCTCATCTTTTGTTTCCATGTTTGAACGCACGTAATACTTGTGTCGGCGGCAACAACAGGGCTCAACTCCCACCACGTCACCCTCGCACTCCACTGTTCCCAGGGCGTGGGACCAATGTGTGGCGGGGACAACCCCACCGTAAGAGCGGCAAGCGGGGCAAAGATGTTAATCCCCGGCTTCCTATTGTTCCACCCGTCCGTTTGGGTATAGCGCCGGCGCTTAACGCCTGCGGCCGTGCGACCGAAATCCCACCAGAAACTGCACTGATTGGCCGGTCTTCTTGCGATGTGGGCGGTATGTTATTTTTGTCTGCGTCTTTTGTGATGGCTACTAGGGGGGAGAACCAATATAAACACTGAACGCGACCAAGAGAGAGGAGAAAGGTATCGTTGATGGGCAAGCAAAACTCTATTCGGAGAACGTTCCGCTCCTGAGCCTTGTCTTTTGGGCTATTTTCCCTCTGCATCGGTGGGCAGACAGGCGGACTATGGACCCGTCGTATTTTTGAAAGGAAGAATGGCCCGTGAACAGCGTGTTCGGGTCCTCCTGATCATCCTTGTTTTGATCTACTACCATCAAAATGGCATATCCGTCTTATGAAGGCGGTGGCGCAGAGCGTCTATGTATGGGGACATGAAAAGCCCCTACTAGTAGCTACGTTCCAAACGCCCGGGACTCATTTGAAACACGGGTGTGGAGAACGAAGAACGATGTATGTAGCAAAGCGCAGTTTCGACATCCCTGGACGGATTTCTTCAGCGACAATTTGAAACACGGAGTACATTTGCCTCCCAATCACCGTACAGCGTTCCGCTGTGACAGTATAACCACCTGCACCTCGGTGAGCCCGTGGCTCCGTGGCTTGGAAGGAGTGGAAACGGGTTTTCTTCGTCGCGTGCTCATTGGTGCAGCCATACAGAGTTCGTGGCAATCTCTCTTCACCATGCATAGAAATCAGGGGGAAGGTGTGATGTTCGAGTCAGGTGCCCGCACAAAAACCAATACCGTTTTACAAGCAAAATTTAGTCTAGACGCTGCCGATCGGAGATGTGTGATGGAAAGGGTGCCCTCCCAAAGCTGTGTAATATTACACAGGGTGATACATACTAGCACCACTTCCTGTAATACGCAACGTTGAATTCCGTACTTTCAACAAGGCCCGAGTACATACGCAAGATGGGCCGCTAGCACATTCTTCGGGACTATGAAGGGGAATATAATGTATGGAGGGCCATCGAGCTCGCCTAACTTAGGTGAACAAGCACGCCCAAAGGCGTATGACCAGCAATATCTTTATGGTACCAATGGAAATTAGCATTTGAGGTTGGCTGCCAGATCCTCGGGACCACAGCTCACACGCCACGTATAGATCTCGGAGATGGCGTTCTCCTGGGGCGAAGGATCCATGATTTCATTTCAAAGGCATCATTGGTGAATTAGCGATTCCTATAGATGGCAAGGCGTATCTCGTCGCACTACAATCAGCAGAACGCCAAATAAAGAACTCGGTTTGAAGCGCCCTCTGCGATCGGACGTCCTACGGGGTCTTTCTTAGATCGCAAATCCCACAATCTTATCAAGGATTAACCGAAGAGCCCCTTACTAGACACGTGGGGGGGGGGGATTGCACCAGAGATCCTGCGACCGGGACTCGTATATCGCAATGATGGTCACCAATTCGATGAAAGGAAACAATGTTGGTTCTTCGGATGGAAGCCTAAACTTGGGGGCGGTGCTTGCCGGCTGGGCCCAGGGATTATATCCATGCTATCGCGTGGCCCATGCGGAGACTCCTTCGATTTGACCTACCCTATCCCCGTCCAAAGAATCATGTTGGTTCGGTACCGCCCAATTGGTGAGGCTGGATAGCATGCACAATTCCTCCGAGGGTAAAAGCCTCGCAGACAAGTGACAGATCCGCTATGCTGGGTACCGCCCTATGTACTGGAATGTTACCGCAAGAAACGCATCCTTGATCAAAATCCACAGGTCGTATTTGGGCCTAACACCAGCACAGCCGGCAAGATAGAAACTTTGTGAGGTCTGTGAAATTGTTGGGCTGCCTCTTATGATTGCGCTCATTTATTGTAGATTCAAGATACATCTCTCTGGTGAAGGCTAAGTGTCGGTGTAGGGGCACCCGTCTCATACGCCTTGGTTAGCCTGTATATACGTTGGAAGGATCAGATAGAGCCAGGATTCACGAATCAAGTTATAGTCCCAAGCCACTAGGGCGGGAAAACGTATATTGAAAATTACTCCACCGGGTCCAAGAAACAAAAAGGGAAGAAAAATATGCAAAATTGGTTCACCAACAAACCAGAACATTGTCGCTGTATGTTTTGAACGATAACGCCCCGCCGACGCCCGAACACCGGTATCTTCGCTAAGAGCCCCCAACTACTCCAATGCAGTACCAAATATCATCACACATTAAGGCCAAGCATCGTGGGAATTAAGCTTCCTTGTCTTCCTTCACCTCGCGACACTTGCGCCGCTTGCCCTTTGGCGGGGCCTCGAGCTGAGTCCGCTTATAGGTCACGGTCTGAGTGACCACTTGTCGTACGCTGACCGGTTTGCCGCTGGGATTGGCACTGTGTGGGCCCTCGAAGTAGCGAGGGCTCCAACTCGATGGTGTGAAGGGCGATCGAATAGTTGTTGCGCTCCTGGGGGAATCGGTGCTTGGCGAGTACTTCCATGTCTGCGGGATTCGAAGGCGACGAGGCAGCGCAAAGTGCTTCCTCGAGGGCTGTGCAGAAGCTGGGGTAGGGGGTGGCAGCGATATAGTGGGCGATCGCATGGAGTCACCAAATGTAAAAGAGCTGCTGATGGCGCTGGGGGGCTGCGAGGTGGGCGAAGGCGAGGGTTTCTTGAGAGGAAACTTGGGGGCGCCCGCGCTGGCCGGACTGAAGAGGGGCGTATAGGCCTCAAGGAACTGCGTATAGGCTTTCGGAATGGAGGAGTCGGGCGTAAGAGGAGTCGATAGCTCCTCTTTCTTGATCAGGTCGGAGGGGCTCGCGGAGGAGTCGCTGTGAAGCTCGGAAGGGAATGATGCGCTCTTGGGCGTTTTCAGAGGAGGGAGGAACGGTTTGGGGTTCGGCATCTCGATCATTCCAGGTTGCTCTGGTCCTCTTTAAGGCTTTATTGGGTCGAGGTCGAATAAGTCAACAGATTGGCGGGGAGAAACAGGTGACGACGAGCTTTGACCCTTCACCGTGGCAATTAAGAGCCGATGAAAGACAGAGGGCAAAGCCGCGATGAGTGGTAGGGACGGCAGCAGGACCCAAGAAAGAAAAGGAAAAATGTTGGAGGATCAAGACGGACGATCACGTCAGAAGGGACTCTTAGCAAAGAGAAAAGCGGCGGATGGAGTGTTTTATCTATATGTGCAGGCAGAGACGATCGCGTACGGAAACCCTCTGGGTGATACCGTTCGGTTTGGTACGGAAACGACGCTAGCGGTAATATTTCACGTTAGTTACGCGATTCGGCCCAAGGCTGACCGCGGCTTAGGGCCATTCTCAGCCCCGAAATCCTTCGAGAACAAGCTGGCGGCAAAGACGGGGAAAACTGACTCTTTGGAGGCTGTCTAGAGAGAGATGTCACAAAAGAACTCGATGGCTCTCGTGGGCGCGAGGATGAATGAACGCGAAAGATAAAAAAAGCAATTGGCGGCCAACTGCTCGGCTGTGCAACTAGAGACGCGCAAACGAGCCCCGAGAGTCGATCGCGAAGAGCAGGAAGTGGCGTGTGTTCTTCTGAGTGCAATTGCCAGTGGCCGCTCTCTTATACATTTTGACAGGCGGTTACTCTCTGCTCATTATATCTGGTGCTATCGTCAAACAGTGGTACTTCATGGCGCCAGGAGAGACAAGCCGTTGTCGCGCGCCATCTGAAGCAACGCCTCCAAGTCCCTGTCCCAGGAGCCGCCAGACAAGGCGACTGTTGTCTAGGGCAACGGCCTTTTTCCCAAGCCTCCGTTTCCAGACTGACTCGTGGTTCGTCAGGATTCTACGCGCGCAATCATTCATTCCGTGGGCGGCTCGCCCAAGGGCTTCAGGGGTCGAGAGATCGAGGGTTTACGCATGAAATATCCCCCGATACTGGCTCAGACATCTACCGTCATCAATTCGATTGTGTTTTGAGCCGGATGATCCAACTGGTAGCGCCGGTTCCTATCGATCAGTTCGTACCTTAGGGCAGCTTCTGCCCAATCAACCTTCACCGAGGCTCTGAGATCTGGCAAGGGTCCTCGCCTCCACTATTCTTCAGGCGCTATAATATATTAATAGGGCGGAGATTTATGCAAGTGCGCTACCTGACACAGTGACTACTACTGTTGTGGTCTAAATTAACATCCCCAGGGGGCATTCTGTGTCAACCGGACACTTGAGTGGTAAAGAAACGAGGAACAAGGAGAAGAGAGCGCTCGAGATAGCCCTGAAGTGTCTCGTAATACTCTATAGCCCCTAAATAGTATATGGAAACTACCGAGGGTGAAAATCTAAAGACTTCAAAACAGCTTCTGAAACCGAGGGTGCAAATTCATGCTCACACAGCGACTCGCATGAGCTGTGTCTTCGATTAATTTTGGCATTTTTATTATTTGTTATTTATTTTTATTCTTGATCTTTTACTCTTCCCCATAACAACAGTCGAACTTGACCAAGCATAATCTGCAAATCTATGTTCGTCGTGGATGGTGACAGGCGCTTCCCCTGGATAGTCAGGGACTTGGGATGACGATGAAGCCCCCGGGCCTACTCGATATCATTTTTTTTTACTTCTCCCCCCTGTCTCATGGTGCTGAGGTGCTTCTGCGCGAAATATTACAAATGCATACTATTTCATATGCAATTTTCTCAAAAAACTATGTGATCTAGTGTATCCTACTCTCAAAACTCTTACGAAGAAGCCTTTATCGATTCTTTTGGATATTTTATTGGGTTTTGCGGTATGCGAAAGCTATTGTGTTCATCCAGTGAAAGCCCTGCAGACATAGTCCGATCTTTATTATAGCTCCAGGCTTTAAGAAAACAAAATCCCTCAAATATTAAAACTCCAAACACCAGCCTGACCTGCAGTATATGTTCGGCAGAATGCAACAGAGAGTCTTGCTCATAATGGTCTCATGCATCAACATCACATTGCTAAATGGGGTATCTTTTACCGTCAAGGTAATAAAAATCCAGCACGAGGAGAGCCCCGTGAAGAAGAAAATATGCAGAGTGATTGAAAAATCAGATAAGAAGGTAGTTCCAGTTGTTGCGGCGCATAATATCCCGCCACTGGACTTGTCGTCGCTTGATCTCCCTTCCGCCCAAGGTAGCACCAGTACCCGTGGGGGACTCAGTTCGGTCGAGCTTGGAGATCGGGCTGGTGAGAGATGAGTTGTAGCTGTCATCCAAAAGACCTTGAGTGTTAAGAGGGTCGTCGGTAAGTCGCCACACTTCGTGAAGAAGGAGGTACATTCGTCCGAAACTTCCGAGGTCACCATGGTCTCCAAGGGCAGCAGCTCGATCATTAAGAACTGCCCGAAATTCACTTGATGGGGTGGAATAGACACCGGCCATCAAAATTGGCCAGACAAGAGAACGGTCGAAGCCATATGGTCCTGGAGGAATAAACTGCAGGGCATCTGTGATGGCTTGGACCAAGTCCAGGGTGCTTTGCTGGTTGCGGTCAAATCCAGGCACGAGGCTGCAGAGATAGATCCGAGCGGCTTTGCGGAAAATGTGAGACATGGTCTTTGTGAGAGCCTCGGGTCGGAACGATTGAGTTGCCGCAGACCAGGGGCTCTCGAGAGTTGGATCAGCGGGCTCAGTGTGTTCTAGTTGGTTGCCAAGCGCCTGGACATGAGAGCAGACAGCAAAGTCATCAAGCCGGCCTTCGCTCTTAAGCGAATCCAGACAGGAAATTTCCGAAATGAGATACATGACTCGATCGTCGCATCCCATCAACTCGCGCAGGCCAGATGGAATTCCAGTTTGATGCTTTTCTCGGTAGGCGTGTGCAAAGCGAGGGATTTTGCCCGTCATCGTTGACCCCAGGATGTCAATCCAAGAGGTTAGACTCATGCTGAACGATGGCACCATATACCCGTTGCTGGATTCCATTGGCTTGAGAGGGAGCTGGAGCCGTTCGACCATATCTGCTGCAGCACCGAAATGATCGAACCATGGAATGTCGGGGAGTTTGTCATCCACAGGACCAACAGAGCAGTGGAAGAAGATCATTGCCAAGGTAGCGTCCAGGATTTCCTCGAGGTTGGTATCTTTTTGATTCAGAGCCTGGCACAACTGGGAGATGGCTTCATATCGATGGCGCATAATATCTTGGTCAGCCTCTTCCCCCACAAAGCCTCCAATTGTCTTGAGGTGGACAGCTGCAATACTCAAACAGCAGTGGAGGTAACACTTGTTAGTCTCCAAGGCACGAAGAATGGTTTGGGCGCGGATGTGACCCCGTTGATGAGCCTCGACCACAGGGAAAATTTGGCGAAGTACATGGTAAATGAAATGGTCGAGGAGATGGCGGTCGGCATCGCTAACAGGAATATTACTCTGGAGCGACGTGGATGACTGGTCGACATTGGGGTCTATCGTCTCTGGAGTGGGGTCCTGGTAACTGGGATGGTAGCCGGGGGCTTGCAGGAAATAATCCTGTTCGAACCATTCATTGCCAGTAAAGCTTGGCATCGGGTTGCTGAGTTGCGGCGGACCGAAGGCGCTGAATGTTGATGTCGAGCAGTCATGGCGCATTGGGATATCGTTAATGAAAGTCTGTCGCTCGGTTGTAATGTCGATCTCATAGGGATGGTGGGGTCCGAAAGAAACGGTTCCGAGGCTCGGTGTTGCAATGTGAGATGAGTGAGCTTCGTAGCATTGAGGCAGGGAGTATATCGGTCGACTAGGATCCCAATCGGGCGATGATGGCGAGACGGCCTGGTATTTCTCGTGAAAGGACTCGGGGTTCAAATCTTTTTAGGCGGTGATTAGTAGGAATGCTAATCGTGATTATCTCTATCAATGCCCACCTTTGTTGGCTTTCTCGTTGCTCTTGATCTTCTTCTTTAAGCGTGCCTTGTGCGCACCCTTTTGCATTTCACTGCCCCACCACTCTGGGCGATCCCATGTACATTTCAAGTTGAGGCGAACGCAGACACTGCATGCAGGGTGCTGCTCATTGCACTTCTTTCGGCGCAAGCGGCATGTATAACAGCCTGGTTATCTGTTAGCAATCGGCATTGTGATTGCGCAAAACTTGCGCCCATGTTCTATGATGGTTTTCATCATACCATTTCGAGATCGAGTGTGCTGTTGTTTTTTTCCATGTCTTCTCCGTTTGAGGGCTTGCGTCTAGCGGCATGGGCTGGCTGATGAGAAGACGCCTTTCGATTGGGTGTCTTGGTGACTTTCTTGGCGCAAGGCATTTTGGCAATATGAGGAACTCGAGGCGATCGCAGATGCAAGTCGGGGTGATCAAATGACAGGAGCCAATCGTAGTTGAATAGGCAGTATTATGGCAAGTCTGAACCAGCAGGCTTTACCTTCTAGAAAAGAGAGCGCGAAAGAGAAAGGATTGTTGGCCGTGCAACTAAGTATGGATGAAACTCAAGCTTAGCAATGGAGGAATTACAGAAGCTTTAAAACTCGCGATAGCTTTGTGGAGGCCGACCCGGCTGTTTCTATTTTGGAACCCACCTGCTCATCCGTTCCCTAGCAGACCAGCTGCAGGATCGGGATAATTGGGGGACTGTTAGGACAGTGGGGTTGGATCACCGCTGAATATTCCCTGGCTTGAATTCTCACAGAAGCGAGGGACGAATCACATCCTAGAGAACGTCAGTTAATGTTGCAAGGAGTCGACCGCAAACTAATTTTGGGACAATTAACCAGCTTTTTTTAGTGCTATGGGGTCGCATGGCGACATTAGTGCCATGCACATCGATCTCATGCTCCTCGAGCGACTGGATGGAGATACGCTAGTCGGGGCTGGCATTTGTGCTTGTGGACAGGGATTGCTGCAGATGACCTCTGCTTGCAGGATCTCTCATTGGACCTGGCTTAGTTCTGAGGTCCATCCCAGCCACGCACCTGTTTGCCCGTCACTATCACGGTCTCTGGATTCCAACCAACATCGGCTCGGGATGTTGGTATTTCTCCCGCGAGGGCATTCTGTGACCGGCTATGAAGGCATTCTGAATAGTCTCTAGCGCTGGAACGGGTTGTGCATAGTTGGCCTCTCTCTCCGAATGTTGGTGAATTGCCCAGATGAGCGGGGATGTGACCAGCACACAATTCGGCCGGCATTGGCCTCGCATTTTCCCTAAGGTGCTAAATTGAGAAAAATGCCGCAAATTTGATGACGGCACCGGTCGCAGTCCGATCGCTAGGCTCGTATGAAACGTCGAATGGCCCTCTCCCGGCACGAACAGTCACCTCTAAAACGGTGGGGGAAGTTGATCACTGCACAGTGACTGGTCGAGGGACTATGCATCGTGGTGTGATATGTCGAGGGGTGGAGACAGCCAAGCTTCAGCTGTAGCCGTGGTGATTGGCCGTGTCATCGGAGGCAATTTCCTGCCCACGACAGACGAGGAGCCGCGGCGGCGCTGACTGGGTGCGTGACAGAGCTCCGACCCACCGGGCTGCCCCGTGCACGAGTCTGTGATGTGATAAGATAGCCTTCGTGCAGTTCCCCAAGTTTTAGCTTTGCATTCTGCCTTAATTAGCAACACTTAACCGCCAGCATGTGCGAAATGTCCCCTAATTTCCTTTCATTGCCAATCCTGTCGGGTAGGGAGGGTTCTGCCTGTGGTACCTCTCACCACGCAAACCAGGATCTATTGAGTCTTGACGATCCCTCGATGCCTCTGCACCTGATTCTTGCTTCTGGGTAAATTTACTAAGAATAACATCTCGCAGAGCTCCTAAAATAGCACTAATTAAGTCAAGTTGGCACGGGAGGTTCCGTACTTTCTGCGCTCCTTACTAGAATGCCCCGCAGCCAACACGGCATCTCGGAGAAGACTGGCTTAGCGTCTCGTTCCCTTGCCTCTCGCTCAAGTCGGTAGATTCCAAATGCATGGATCATCCAAGACTGTTGTGATACCAATTGAATGTTGTTCTGGGTAAGCTGAAGGAGTCATGATTTTCTATTCGAAATGCGAGGGCTGGATATCAAAATATTCAGTGGCTGGTAATCTGAGGCGTTAGTGTTCTTGCAATGCGTCACGAGATCGTTGCTGCATCCTGTAGTCCAAGAACCTTAGTACATAATAGATATGTATATCCAGCCATCTTATTCAGGTCCTTGATAAAATCTAAAATCCTAAGATACACTTGGATGTTGTTGGACCCACCTGAGCAGGGCCTCCGAATTTCATTTGGGAAGTGAATTGGCTTAACGCATTGAGATTCCTTGATGCGATTTTCAGCTCGATCCTTCGTGCTGTCTCTTTGTGTCTCGGCTCAGAATATGCTTGTGTATAGAGGGGCGTACGGGCTCCGGACTGAACTGACGAGATTCAGAGACGGAACCTGTTCCTGGTCTGACTAGCGCATAGCCCACCAGAACCAATGCACATGCACACTCCGTGTTACTTGGATACTTTGACTGTTTTTCTTCAGGCTACACGGGGGACCTGCACTCTCCCATCCGGGCAGCAAATAGATAGACTAGATACATACATAATCAGAGTCAGAAGGCGTACACTTATCCTCATGACCAAGTAAACCATTCAAGTGAATGGGGAGGTATGTTTGCTGTTTGGCAAAGATCTGACTTAAGCGAGCTAGAGACAGCTAGCTGCTCAAGATTGAAATGCGAAATTTCAACCTGATCCAATGGCTCCATGGTGGAAGAATCATCGAAGTACACAAGTTTGCATACCGATGTTATCATATCACGTTACCGAATTTTTTGCCTCGCATAACCGATTAATTCGAGGTGTTGGCTTGGATGAATGCGTTGGCTCGAAGAAACATACTTTCACTGGTATTGGGATCCATGCAGCAGCACAATGGAACAATCAGTCACCTTGTTTGACTTGATCTACGTTGTCGTCAAGGCAAACAGATCAATAGGGACTCGCATACCGCTTGCACTCTTCCACTTGCCTGGTCTCGAAGGGTGCTTCGGAATTGCCATCACCAGAGCATGGGGTCAGATCCCCTCTTGTCTAGCAGCGGTGAGAAAATCTTAGACGGTGGTAGCAAATTTCGCTGGGGGTTTCCTAGGTTACACCGGCTTGGGCTTCCTACAACTCCACATTTGCATTATTATTCCGCTGGCTACGGAGTGCCGCCATCAGATCTATGTACCTCAGCGTTGGTAGGATTCCCGCCTGCTTTTGAGTACGGTCCGGTCTCCGGGGCAGCCAACGAACTGTCAGTTGACGGTCTAGCCCGTGCCATTCCCGTGCGTGGTGGCTGTATGCCTCTTCACATCACATCACTTCCAGCATCACATCACCTTTCCATAGCCGACGAGCTAAGGGAAGCGTACACCCAGTACATCGGCATAGGGTAGGAGTATGCACGCAGGTGCCCGGCCCAGCCTCGTAATGACCGGAGCCAACCAGCCAGGCTCTGAAGGCTGGGCGAGGGCCATCCGATCGCGAGCCACCGTGCTGTCGACCCCACAACGTGGAGAGAACAACGAGGGACATGACTCGAGGACGACGGGTTGAGCGATCCCTAAATAGCCCAGTCAGGAATGCTGGCGCCCGTTTGCGGGAGGATTGCTGGGGCGCTAATTAACGGCCGATGTGTGGTCGTCACATTCCTTCAGACTCTCAGTGGGGTATGGCCCGATCAACGCCGCTGCACGCTGGGCGCCAACTGCACGCCAGTCACATCGCCGGCTGCCGGTCGGACAGACGTTGCCAGATGCGCGGATGAACGCTAGCAGTCTGGCCCCGAGCCTATGAGGGCTGGCAGCTACTGGTTGCTGGACTGGGAGTGGGCGTGACGGACGTGCGATTGGAGAAAGCGAGTAGCGCTACTGCAGGCGGGTCACTCGTCATCACATCACCGCCCAATTCCGTCGCGATCTGCCATTATTTTTGGTCGCTACCGCTGTGTTTCACTACTCTGCATGCAACGGGCTTTGGTGCCCGCCAAATCGTTCGGGTTGGCTCGAACCCTGGGTTCGCTTGCCGCTCAACACATCGTGTTTCAACTACGCGCCCCGCTGAGACCGGTGGGGATTCCATACATATACCTCAACGCCCCGTGATGACCGGCGAACTCCCGCTTAGCTTCTCATACTATTCTCTCTCTTCGTCATCGTGGATACCCCGAGGGTGTTCATGTCTTTCGATTGTTATTGTTGTTCCTAAGCATCTGGATGGTTCACTGTTGACGGGAACCATCTCACGCCTTTCCTATCTGTCTCGCATATACCGGCTTGTGCGGTCTCCTGAAACCCAGCGGACTCGGCCCCATATAATCACATCGCAATGGTAAGCAGACGCAGAGAGACACGAACACTGCCGCCGCATGCTAAGATACCCAGGATTCTTCTCTCCGCGTTCGACGGAAGGCTGCGCCTACGTCGCTGAGTGTTGAGAACCATGAGCGATTTTACCCCGACAAGACATTCATTCAACGACGGTTCTCCAACTCGACCGATTTTGATGACACTGATATTGAAACAAGCGACTCGGACGAAGAGTCCCTTCGGCAAAGCCTCCAGTCGGTAAGACACATCCCCAACAACTTCAACCAAATGGTATGGCCAGATCTAAGCTTTATTCCGGGAGTAGTTCGCCTATGATAGCAATACCTCGATCTCCACACCAGATCTCCCCAATCCGGAACATGTTTCCAAAAACCGCGTCCACACCCATCTGGACAAGTCCATGGTGCGAGGCCCTGAGGGCCCTCACCTCTTCCGGGACTCTCTTGGCTCATCCATCTACGAGCCATCTACCGCCGAGATAGACCTCTACTTCGAACGATCTCCCTTGCAGTCGGAATTCTCTCGCTCGATCGATACGCCACGACGCTTCCCTTTCTCGCCCAAGACCCCCAAGGCTTTGACAACGGTACATCCCGATGTGTCACACGTGAGCGAGGAGGAGATCAGAGCCTGGAAGCCGAATCAGGTGGCGCACTGGCTCCACATTGCTGGATACAATGATGCAGTCATTGAGAAGTTTCTGATTAATGATATCACTGGCACTGTCCTGCTTAGCATTCAGTCCGATGACCTGAAAGAGTTGAGCATCCACTCCTTTGGCATGCGCCACCAAATCATGGCGTCGATCGATCACTTGAAAAACACCATGGCAACGGTACCCCCAGTGCCCCCAACACCCGAGTCTTTCATGACACAATCGATCCAGCAGAAATCTTCCATCGGTCGTTCATCGCCCGAACACTCTTTCCCGAAGGAACATTCCTTGCCGGAGGAACGGCATACGCCTCGACGGCACTCGTATGCCATGTCGGTTTCTCCAAACGGCGAGATCCTTTCCAACCATGTCTTCGGGAACCAAATCACCCCGGGGGAGTCCGTCTCAATTGTTGGCATTGAACAGCGCCTGCCTAAGCCTCACAATTGTTCTCGGGGTGAAAAATGCTCCAAATTCAGAAAATACCAGCGCCATTTGGAGCAGATATTTGCTGAACACCCAAACGCGGTCCTTCATGATGGTATGATCATAATCGGCAGCCCAGGTAACCCTGAGACTGCACGAGATCTGCTGCGCCCCAAATCCAACAGCGAACCCTCAGTCGTGGCCTCCTCGGACATTTTCGGCCCAGCCCCCGGGCCTATGCTCTCTGAGAAAGCTCTCAATGGAGTGGAGAAGCTTGATCCTCAAGAAACCATACGAAACTTCCTGAACTATCAACATGTTGATGCTCAGCCCATGGCTCCTCCCTTGTTAGATACGTCGAATCTGCCTCCCCCCGAGGAGCCCTTCGCTGGTCTGACTCCTCCCAACGCGCAGCCTAGTGGCATGGCTACAAATCTGCGCAATCTTCCCAAGTTGACCATCCCAGTCAGCCCCAACACGGAGGAGATGACAACTGCTGTGACATCCAACCGGTCGATGACACCTACTCACGTCTCGCAGGCATATGGGTCCCCGACGGCAGTGCAGCAATATGGTCCCTTCACTCAAGCTCGAAACATCGATGTCTACCGTCAGGGTACACCCTTCACGGAGGTCGATGTTCCAGTCACTGCCATTCCCAATGGGCCAATCGCACGCGATGCATCTCAGTCTGTCCCTCCGGACATGCAGTATGGTACTCTGTTCCCACCATACCGGGACCCCCTTATGCGCAGTGCCTCCACTCGTCCGCAGCAGAACAGCCAGCCTCTTCGTCGCGTTCGTGAAGACAAGCCTCTCACGCCGATTGAGACTCCTGAGGACCTTATTCGGAGCCCTCGTCAGCGTCCCCATGGACACAGCTCCTCCCAATCCTCGCTCTCATCTGACCCAAATGTCACCCACAGTGGCTATCTGAAGCACAAGAAGAACCGTCTGTTCCGCCATGAGTGGAAGGACGCTCATGTTACCTTGCGCGACACAAAGGTTACTTTGCACGAGAGTGAGCAGGATGCCCACCGCATCTCGCGTGCGCTTGATGTTATCGATGTGGATGATTACGCCGTCGCATGCTCGTCGCTGGCAACCAGCTCCAAGGTCACTGCTGCAATCAAACGCAACATCCTGCGCAAGCAAAACCGGATGCCCAATGGGTCTGAGGGCGCTGCTTTCCAGTTCTCCTTTATCCCTGCCCACAAAGAGGGAGACAGAAAGGCTCTGTTTGGCAAGAACGCTCTTCCAAGACACGATTTTGTCGATGACACTGCCGAGGGCCGCGGCGAGTGGGTGAGAAAGCTTTTGCTAGCCAAGGCTGAAAAAAGAGCCCGCGACAATGGCGAGCAGATGCTAATTAACGGATACAACGTTATCTAAGCCTATTCATGACAGTGTGCCTCTTGGTTGTGCCGTCCTTCCCCTTTTGTTTTTCTCTTATTATCTTTTTTTTCCTTGCATGTATGCGTACGTCATTCGTCTTGTGCTATCTTGCGTTCGATTCACTAGCTTGATTTTCCTTTCTCAGCTCATCCCTCTTGTTTGCCTTTCATTTACCTGGCGCAGTTTTGGGGGGTATACATTTCTTTTGTTACTCACCGGATGAACAAGATGCATCGCCGCTGGCCGGCAACACCCCTGATACCCAATTTGCTTCAAGTTAATTAGCATTATAGGCTTGAGGCAACTCAACAATGGACTTAATGCACATTATCGGATATTGAAATTGAAAATAATCCTGACAATGAAAATTGGGCATCATAATCTGCTATTGACTTTGGAATTCGTAGAAGATAAATTGTAGTACCCTTTTAGACTAGTTGAACGGCCCCATAATTCATTTCAAAGACAGCGGTCAAAAAGTCGGAGTAACGTGCCATCCCATTAACCCATCATTCTAACAACCACATAAACCCACCCATCACCGTAAGCAGAGCTTCGCACCACCTCTTCGATGGGCGCAGACATGGGCAGAACCGCCCCGTGAAGAACAGGTTTAGCAAGAAGTGGCGTTCGTCGACTTGGGAATAGGTTGGGCAGCAGGGTGTTTAAGACACTGCCGATGGTCTGGACCTGCGTGCTTGGGCTCGAGCGCGCACCAATAATCTGACTGGACTGCATACTGACTACCTGTACGGATGGAGGGAACGGTGACTGAACCACTTTAAGTGAAGGCGACTCTTCGTCAGGGGGGAGTGGTAGAAATATGCGGATTGGGACATTGCGAAACGGCTGTGATGGTGGCGGGAGAAACCTGTTCGAGATGCGCTGGAATGAAGGAAGGTCCACTGAAAGGTATATAATTAGGCCTTTATTCAATATTTGCTGGGAGGATGTCAGCAGGGATATGACCGCGTACCATTTTCCACTGCCCTCCAGAGGCCGGCAGAGTCTTCCTTAGAGAGACTCATTATGGCCTTCGCTGTACCATTGCGGAGGAAATCAGCTTCTTTGACGCTGTTTATGAATGCGTCATTGAGCACTATCCCGTCGGGGTCGAGGCGAACAAGGTCTTCGGCAGGCCAGTCGTTGAAATGAACCGTCAGGCGCCAAGGAAGTGAAGATTCGCTCTCTGGCAAGTCTGTCCCTCCCGTAGCAAGCTTTGACGCTGCCACTGCTCCTGCGTAAAGATCAAACAGCAAGCCGGCTGGATAGTGCCATTTAAGAGGGACGCCTTCAAAGGCGAACCAGCCCTGATGCTGTTCGGCATTTGGATCAATCAACGAGGACGCGAAGAACGCTCGAATTTTTGGCAGCAATGAAGGAAGATATGCAACTCGGGAAAATGAAACCTTCAGATTGTTAAGAGCAAGCCCGAGAATAAAAGGAAGGGTCCATACCAGATATGGGTCAGTCTTGTCATAAAAGCGGCTTTCTGCTGGTGCCAAAATAATCTCTAAGGGTATTTGTCCAGCCCAGACACTGCGCTGAATGGCAGGAAGAGATGTCTGATTCTCCATGTTGATCGATCGTTTGGATCCACTGTTGGTCAAAATATGGAGCAGGTGAAACGGGTCTCGTAATTCTGGCCTTAGATCAAGCAGGAGCTGATCTAGTGAACTGCGAATCGACAATGCATGTCATCGACGGATCAAAGATGGGATCCTGAGCACCCCGTTCAACCCTATTTCATGATCTGATATGTCTGAAATATCATGCAAGCTCTGAAGAGAAACTCCACCGCGACTCGTCGAGCGGGAGGATGTTGGTTGTTGACGGCGGGCCGCCCGCGGACGACACGCCGCCTTGTCACGTGATCGCTTGTACCACTTGAGGCATCTACTGGCGTTAAGGTAAACCAGCGCATCGCGCAGCTCGATCCTGGACAGTCAATATTATTTGTTTTATTCTCGGTAGAAGCTACTAACTGATTATAGACAAAATTCATTCGATTGGATTCGCTGTCCTCCCCGCAAGGAGTTCCTCCAGGTCAGAAATGTCATGAACGCTCTTCAGATTGAGACCCATTCTCTCAATATCGTCTCTCCTCCCGCCGTCAATAATTCCCGTGGTGAATTTCTGAAACTTCGCCAATCTCATCATTCGCCAATCCTGGTGTAACATCATGGGGGGGGGCTGCCAGTGTTTTTGAGATCTCGCATCCATCCGCCATCGTAATGGTGACCCGTTGCTCGTACTTCTCCCCAGTTCGGGCTCGTGGAAACACGCTGTTTTGTCTATCAAGGTCCAGATAACATCTCGGCCAAGGAGATCATGGCGAAACTCTTGAGGCAGAGCCTGGCTGTCGACAAGCTGGACAGCAGCCACATAGGCACACCGCATTTGTGCCCCCAAGCAAATAGCGGTCGCTGCGCCTTCCACCCTCCATGCTTGATGGCAGCCTCGGACATTTCGTTTTGATGCTGATAAGGTTTTTCAAGTCTGTCAGTTTGTGTGGGTGCTCCTTTTGCAAGGATGCCACCGTGTTAATTGCGTAGTGCGTCCCTGCCATCGATGCATGTGATTTGACCCGAATGTTGTCCGACTGCCATAGCTGACCGAGTCCTTTGGTCAGTTCCTCAGTCAAATACGGCGGTTCCTTACCATAATTCTGTCCAATGGTTGAAAAGAAGCCCCCATATGGCTCTTCAAAGACATTCTTGATCCCGACGTATCCGCCCTCAGGCCATTATAGCAGCGAACAGTCCGTTGCGCGCTGCGAAGCCATGCCTCATCCGTTTGACATCGCTTCCAATCTGAGCTGACATCAATCCGCATGCTTGAGTGCACGCCATACCCAGCGCATCCTCAGTCACATCTTCCGACAGGCCAAGCAATTTGCTGACCGTTGCGGCGGCTGCATGTCCGAAGTAGTGACAACGTGCCAGCGTCTCGTGAGCATGTGCCCTCCGTAAAGGCACAACCAGACACGAGACCTACCTCATACCCGACGATTGTTGACAATGATAGCGAAGTGCCATCGAATGTCGCGAGGCCTTCCGTCTTCTTCTGGCCAGTAGCGGCGAGGAGTGCAGGCAAGACAATGGAGTTAGAGTGCACGGGTGCCAACATATGCCAATCATCGATCTCGAACGACTGAATCTCAGTATAGAGCAGCAGAAAGGGCGCCAAGTTTCTTGACAATCAGTCAGACACCCCGAATCGCCTTGTGGTTGACGGTTATATTTTTACCTTGTCATACCCCCATACAACACGTTGTCCTTCCGGCTCAATTGCAAAAACGCCTTTTGCAGTTTTCAACCCATGGAAGATAATCCCCGAAATTGCGCAGCATAGACCATCCAATATCAAGTATTTTACTCGAGTTCTGACGTTTTCCGGGACATTGCTGAGCGACAAGCCGTGAATCCAAGAACACAATTCTTTTGTCACTCCCGAGCGGTCGCTGAAATGGTGTGCCATGATGGACAAAACTGATTCGGTGTTTATTTTCGAGACTGTTTCTCTTTCCAAAACACTCGCGTCAAAATTCCGCGTGGATGTGTCGTGTTTACACCGCTCATATATCTCCCATCTCCGGCCCGAGTCCGCATGGCAATGCCGAAAGCGGCCCGAACATAAACTTAGTTCCTTCCAAGCCGGACGTGGCGGTCGGGACTATCGGCGCCGCCAGGTTCCAGGTTCCAGATTTACGTTGACCGCCTGTAGCAAATCTGAATGCTCACATGAGCTTAAATATGAGTTTCTTCACCGGTGACAATATAAGACTGACTCGGCACCCGCTTCTCCACTTGGTGTCAGCCGAAGCGGTCTCGTCCATAAGCTGGACACAATCAAAAATGCCGAGATACTTATTGGCAAGCAAAAAGCTAAGGTGGCTAAGAGGAGAGTCGTCCGGATATTCGAATTCCACTGTGATGTTGCTTGGCCTCTGCTTGGCTACATCTTGCCTTCTGCAGAACGCTCTGCCTTTCTCCTGTCGCTTCCGACGCGGCTCTGTACTGGTCGACCGCTGATCAGAACGGATATGACGACAGGTTGAAGCCGAGTCACGGCCGGAGACGACCATGCGTTCAATATGTCAACTCGTTAATCTCGGGAGGTCCATTTAAGCAGACTTTCGGCCCAAATAAACTCCTTCTCCATGATTCTAGCCCAATGATGAACCCCAGGACCTTCAAACACGTAGGCTGGCTCGTTTGCGATACACGTGACGCTGCAAGGCCGGTTGACCTGCCTTTTTGGAGCTCGGCAACCTTCCGACTCCACCAATGGTTAAGGGTTCTCCCCGTGGGCGGCAAGGGATAACCATGCACGCGCAGACCACGAGAGCACAGTTCTACCAATCGAGTACGGGGTATTCTATTGACAAGCGGTACTATGCTGTGCCCTCCCTGCCCCCCACACTCGCAATTCCGCTCGATCCGGGGACAAAGGTTGTGCCCAATGATTTATGACGCAGGATGTGGCGAACCAAATTGTTCACCGGAAAAGGCTCCTTCAGGCGACCACGACGGGTAAACGCAGACCTCACATAAGGATTTGATGTCTTTTGGTGGCCACAGTACCATTACATGGCCGTGAGGACACGAGAAGGTCCCTGGTGCGGCTGGCTAAACCGTCCAGGGCCAACATTCCTCGTTCGAGGAATTCCCAACCAAGAAAGTAGGATCCCGTGTTTGATATATACTGGCGGCCATTCGCTCTCCCCGGCTGAACGTTTCCACCGGGGAAAACGCTACCCCGGCCCAATGTTTCCACCCCGTGGGATCAGAATTTCTCCAAACCTCCGTAGCCTCACTTTGCAAACCCCATACTGCCCCAGAGGATGGGATTTTACGCGACGTAAGTTGTTGGGGGGCCGCTCGTTGAGAGGATTTCCACACGCCCACATTCACCAGAGTGGAAGCGATTACTACTTAGGGGCCCTTTCCCGTCTCTCACCTCTTTTTCCATCTATATCCTCGAAAACTTTTCCTTCGACCTTTCCCACCCTCCATTCTTCCCCTTCTAAGTGTCTCACTTAGCAGTCATGGGTGGCATCCTTCACCTGGTCGAGGACCGGCCAACTCCTCCTTCAGTCTACAACTGGCGTGTCTACGTGCTTGCCCTTGTGGCATCATGCGGTTCCAATATGATCGGTTATACCAGTGCCTTCATCGGTACAACAGTGACACTCACCTCCTTCCGAAAAGAATTCGGTCTTGACCAGATGTCGACGGCTGCAAGCGACTTGATAAGCGAAAATATCGTGTCTCTGTTCATTGCCGGCGCCTTCTTCGGCGCCCTTTTCACATACGGCCTCAGCCACTGGATCGGTCGCAAGCATTGCTTGATGATAGCTTCTGCTACATTTGCTCTGGGATCCGGTCTGCAGTGTGGTGCCAACCACAATCGCGGACTGGGCATTCTCTACGCTGGTCGTGTCTTGACTGGTCTGGGTACAGGTGTTGCCTCCAACATTGTCCCAATCTACCTCTCCGAGCTGGCTCCTCCCGCTATTCGTGGACGACTTGTCGGTCTCTACGAGCTTGGGTGGCAAATTGGTGGTATGCTTGGTTTCTGGATTAACGTGAGTCAACGATGATCGACATTACCGTTTTCACAAAAGATGGGCCTGAAACTGACCGAGCATGTCTTTCCAGTATGGCGTGGAACAACACATCGAGCCTAGCAAAGAGCAATGGATTATTCCCTTTGCCATTCAATTGATCCCGTCTGGTCTTCTGTTCCTCGGATCTCTCTGGATCCGGGAGTCGCCTCGTTGGCTTTTCCTCCATGATCGTCGGGCTCAGGCCATGAAGAACCTCTGCTGGATTCGTCAACTGGATGCCACCGACATTTACGTTACCGAGGAGGTCGCTGCTATCGACCAAGCCTATGAGAACCAGCGCGCCACCGTCGGCTTCGGCTTCTGGAAGCCGTTTAAGGCTCTCGGAGATCGCCCCAACCTGATTTGGCGATTGTTCCTGGGCTGTATGCTCTTCTTCTGGCAGAATGGCTCCGGTATCAATGCCATTAACTACTATTCCCCCACTATCTTCTCTGTGAGTTAATTATTATATTCTGATATAAAAAAGCGATATCTACTAATCGCATATGCAGAGCATTGGTGTCCAAGATAACACTGTAAACCTCCTGACCGGTGTCTTCGGTGTGGTTAAGGCCGTGATGACGTTCATCTGGCTGCTCTTCCTTGTCGATCAGTTCGGTCGGCGGAACCTTCTTCTGGTCGGTGGTATCACCGGCTCCGTCTGCATGTGGGCCATTGGAGCTTATATCTATGTGGTTGAGCCGCAAGAGCACCCCACAGACCACCTTAATGGTGGCGGTATCGCTGCCATCTTCTTCTTCTATCTGTGGACCGCTGTCTACACTCCCACCTGGAACGGTACCCCTTGGGTCATCAACTCTGTAAGTCCTCGTCTCTCAATGTATCCTCGCACTACGGCTAATAGGGGTTTTCTCAGGAATTCTTCGACCCCAACTTCCGTTCCCTGGCTCAGGCTTGCACAACTGCCAGCAACTGGCTCTTCAACTTCCTCATTTCTCGTTTCACCGAGCAGATGTTTGAGGCTATGGGCTACGGCGTGTACTTCTTTTTCGCAGCTCTATCCTTCCTTGCCTTCTTCTTCGCCTTTTTCCTCATTCCCGAGACCAGCGGTATCCCCCTGGAGAAGGTCGATCGCCTGTTCGAGCAGAAGCCGGTCTGGAAGGCAAACAAGAAGCTCAAGGAAGAGCTCAAGGAGGAGGAAGAACAGTTTCGCTTCGACATCAAGGACCAGGCTGTTCACCAGGAGAACAAGGACGAAGAATCTGCATGAGCGACATGATTTTACCTCGATGCATAGACTTGTGTATACATACATATATCCGTACATAGATTGACGTTTTGATGAATCAGCGTGACTACACTATCATGCGAGATGAATTTAATTCATGTGAAATTTGCACTTTCTTTTTCTCAATTCATTTGATCATGCGGGCTCCATCCACAGCTTGCTTGCTCATGCACACGTGGTCTGGGGAGTTCTGGCCGACTATACTTGGCTGAATGCAAAATCAAAATGGTATGAGGCAAACTAGATTATTATAGTTGTAGTCAAATGCAGAAGAAAGCCCAATGAAGTGAGTTATTGTCGCAAAAAACTACTAAATACGAAATATTTGATGGGGTGACCTAACGAAGTCAAATCGTCCCGGTGCGAGAGATTCTGGTATTCGCGTCTAGGCCTGTCAGGAACTGTTCCTCGGAAAATGGTTCGAGACCGACCATGTAGAAAAAGGCACCTAGCAAAAGCAAGAGTCCCTCAAATATGTAGTAAAGCATTCCAGATTGCTTTGTCATTTGGTCAAGTCCAAAGGTTTTGATTCCATGGGCTATGGGGACAATCCCCGACAAACCGGTACCAACGAAAGTAGCAACGCGGAGGGTCCGCCACTGAGGAGCCTGGGTCTGTGGACTCAATAATACCATAACGGCAAGTAAATTGAGAGTCGGAGGACTTACCATCGTCCAATATTTATGTTTCAAAGTTGGCTCACAATAGAAGGTCATGTCTATTCCGGAGATAAAGTCACCTAGTGTCAAAACAATGATCCTAACAAAGTCAAGCTGAAGCCAAATACACGTGGAACGAATGATTTGAAAATGTATGGAGGAAAGCTGAGAATCACATACACGTGACCGCTGTCGAAAGAAAGAATGTAAAGACCAGATGGTCCTCGATAGTCGCGTCTGGATAATCTGCTTTCAGAACTTTGTACAGCAGGCTTCCAGCAATGAGGGATGATAGACTTGGTATAAGATGAGAGTAGATGTTGACTGTCTCGTTGTGTAGGTGGAGCCAGCTAGAGAAGCAGGCATGTGTCGGGTTGGTTTCCGGGCGGTAACCGCGATGAATGAACTCATTGTCTTGATACCGTGAAGGTATCTGGCCATATGGACGGAGTACTTTGGAGGACTGGCCCTCAGTTTCACACGACTTATGGCGTTCTTGTGCGACTGTGTTCTGAGTTAAAAGTTTTTTGCTGGCGAGGTAGATGCTCCATTGTGGACAAACAGGGAACGAATTTTCAAAGTGACTCGGTGCTTTTGTCTTGGTGGTACCTTGGTATCATGTTTGCTATAAAACAATAGAGAGTGACTTCCAAAGGCTGAGCTGCGTTCGTATTGAATTTGGGAGCCTCGGAAATTGGAAATCGGCTTGCCAACCCGTCGGAGTTGTAACATCACGCAATACTTGTGAACATGCGGTCAAACTTCCAAGTACGGCACGCGTTCCAACACGTCACACGTAATATGATTTGATCGGCGTGGGGACACAAAGGTCAAACAATGTGAAGCATCGAGTCCACATGTGAAGGAAAATTTTTTTTTTTTTTTTTTTTTTTTTTTGGCTAGCACAATACAATCTACCCGCTGCTATTTGCTATTTAGTCCCAGCACCGTTTTATGGGGGACTGTCCGACTAGGCCATATGAAGGAATCTTGTCTATGGGAACCCATTTCACCACAATTGCAGGTTAAAACTGTGCAGTGCTGCATCCTGCCTTCCCGTTAGTTATGAATTCTATGCATCATCCGCGGGAGGCCGAACAGTGTGCGGTACACGTGGATCCAATATTACACTCGAGGGTGCATACACAGGTTGTGAATCAATACTGTGTGTATAAGTAGCATTAGTCGTAGCACCAAGTGCTACACCTTCCAAGGTTGTTTGCCCACAGTGCCGTAGAAGCAATTGTGACTTCTAGAACAGATACCGATTCTTACCCATGTTTGGCCAAAGAGGAGCTCTATAATACATTAATTTTATTGTTGGTACTTCGTTCAACCAATCAGCTCGCGTAGCTCAGTTGGTAGAGCGCGGCACTAGTAATGCCGAGGTCTTCAGTTCAAATCTGGACGTGAGCATTTCTTTTTTGCCTGCCGTGGCGATCCCAAAAAAAAAATTCTATTGTCATGATTCAAACGTTAGCAAGAATCGAGCACCTTTTTTTTGGGAAGAAAAATGACAAAGAAATTATGAAACTTAAAAACCTTTTTTGCTCGTGAGCTTGTCTTAGGCTCATAGAGTCAAAGAATCAATTATTTCTTCACCGACCAGCTCGCGTAGCTCAGTTGGTAGAGCGCGGCACTAGTAATGCCGAGGTCTTCAGTTCAAATCTGGACGTGAGCAATTTACTTTTTGCATTTCCAACTTTTTGGAAGTGGCATTCTCCCAAGTTGCCCTCGTGTGCACTTACCATTGAGAATCGACTGCCTTGAGTTTTTACCTAGTAGCATATCATATGAAGTGGAACTGAACCTTTTGAGTACATCATGATATTCACTGCTAACGGAGAAAAAAAATTGATGAAGAAAAAGAAAACACCTTATTAGTAGTTGGTGTCAAGCGATTGAGACGATGTCGCAAAAGTTAAAAAAAAAACGAAATGCTCACGTCCAGATTCGAACTGAAGACCTCGGCATTACTAGTGCCGCGCTCTACCAACTGAGCTACGCGAGCAACCTGAACGTTCGTATCTTCCCAGATGCCTTTTTAAAACACCGTCTGCCGAATAAATGCTTACGAAGGACTGATTCTCATGTTAAATCAGTCTGGAAAGTGAATCGTTCCAATTTTGCTATCCCATGATAACCCAATGAATCTATGCATTTTTTCTTCCGTAAAGAACAGCATTCCGATACATCCCATGTATAGTGCATGCCTAACCCGGGGCATATAGCGGACGAGCTATGCCGAATGCTAAGAAAATAGGCTGGGCGGGCCCGCGGGTCCCGTGGTCTTCTGGCCGAGTGCAACGCATTCCCCGCATCCGACACAACTCCAACTCTCTTCCAACCAGCATGATGCGCTACTGTCATGGTTTCGTCTACCGCAAAGCTGAGAACTAGAACCGGCTGCCTTCAATGTGAGCCAAGGTTGAATTCATTCGAAGGAAATCCGGGAGCTAAGTCGTTGACCCTCGACATGCGTAGGCAGAAAGCGCCGGAAGAAATGCGACGAAACGCGACCGCGATGCGCTGCTTGCACCCGAAATGAGCTGATCTGCGAGTGGCCGACAGGAAACGAACCTCCCGATGGACGAAGAGGCAAAAAGTCTCTACATACCGCGCGCGACGCGTCTTCATGCCCAAAATCGGAGTTGTCAATCGTCCAACCATCAACGGCCGGAATGCCATCCCCCTTTCGCTCGGAAGAACACTGCTATCTTTTTCGCCACTTTGTCTCTACAATTCTCCCACGACTAGTTCGCCAAAGCTCAATAGACCAAACCTATATGCTATGTCTTGCTCCAGAGTACCCTCCCTTGATGGGGGCGATGATCTCCGTTGCTGGCATGCAAATAGCGCCGCGGCCTAGTTGGTCGGTTCGCCACGCCGTGCAAAGCTACCTTTACACGATCATGTCTCTACAGAAATGGCTTGTGGAGACAAGTAAGGCTGCCGATGACGATCGCATATTGGCAACCGTAATCTTGCTTTCTGTCTTCGAGGTATTGTGGGCCGGATTAGTGGTGTACAACCATAGGCTAACGACAGACAGGCTTGTCGGCTGGACATGGCACCAAATGTGGCACCTCATGCGACTGCATCGGGCTTCTTATTGGCTCAGAGACATTTGCAGTGGGGTAATCGCCCTGCGGCCGTAGCAGTGTTTGATCGCATTTGCGTCGAGTCATTTATCTACCACGCATCTTTGATGATGCTTTTTGAGCCTTCTCTTGATGTTCTTTCGACAATTCGCCAGCAGATAGACCTGCACCGTTATTTTTCTAACTCGGACAAAAGCGAGATTTGTTTCTCCGTCCAGCCGATTCTTCAAACGAACTACGAGTTCTTTCTGTTAATTGCCGATGCGACAAAACTAGCTCGTATTTCTGGAGCCCTAACTGACACGGAAAGAGTGCTTTGGTCCCAGCTTTGGCAGAAACTATCTCAGTGGGCCGAAGTTGACCACCCGGACGACCTATCTCTAAAACTGTACTTCCATGCTGTCCGGGTATTATTGCTGAAACAAAATCCCGAGTCATCCCCTCAGGAGATCATAAGTGAAATGTGTGGGTCTCTGAGACAGGGGTTACAAACCATTTTTGCCTTGGATATCCATAAATATTCACCAAGCTATCTCTTATGGCCAGTGGCAATTCTAGGAGCAATCAGTATCTTCGAAGAGGAGCAAAAGGTGATCACAACTAACATCGACTTATTAATCCGCTGGAAACGAGGAGGTCAAGCATTATGGGTTCGCAAGCGACTGAACAGGGTCTGGGATGCGACCATACATTCTGCTCCCAATACACCCCTAGATACGAGACATCAGGGCTTGCAATTGCTTCTCGACGGAAAATTGAGATGAAACAGACAGTGAACGCGCTCCTGGCCATATGCACAGTTTGAAAACAATGTTTTAAAGAGTTGAGCACCTCAATAAAACGACTTGAGTTTCAAATGTCATGTGACTCATAATTAGCTATGGATATCAAACTATTCAACTAATTTCTCCGCATCAACGCCGTTGAACTCCCTGCCCTTGAGAATGCTGACTGCCAGCGCGTATGCCTCATCTTTAGCGTCACATTGGTATGTGTCCCGAATGGCTTCTTTATCCTATCCGTGAGCGCAAGAATCCATTCTCTTGGACACCGAGAGATGACCATCAATACTATTGATCTGCTCCGCCAATTTTTCGCCCTCGATTGCGAAGGGGTCTTGGGCTGCCGTGATCATGAGAACGTTCTTCGGAAAATTTCGCGGGTCCGCAAATGCCGACGAAAGACGGGTGTCTTGGGGGTCAACTTGACCCAGGCTCAGGCATTTGTGGCATAAATGAGAGAAGCCAGGGAAGATTTTCCTCATGATCCAATTGCTTTGATCTGCCTGGAGTTTGTCGGGCGTTGGCAAGTCCATGTTTCGTTGGCAAGTCCATGTTGGTCGGGCCATAGATCGATATGACCTAGTGGAAAATGCTTTCGTTTTCTTCGCCGGCCGACAATAGGGAAGAAGACGATATCGCCAAGGCGATATTTGCGCCTGCACTAAATCCGCATAGGGAAATTGAGGTGCCATCAAACCGGTTGGGCTGCGACCATGCCCAATTCACAAATCCTCCGCGTCATAGAATGCGGCTGGGAAGGGATGCTCGGGCGCAAGTCGATACTGCGCGTCGATGACCGTATAATTCGTCTTATCCGCGACAAATTGGCAAAATTCATCATCGCTACCGAATGTTCGAAGTACGAATATACTTCCACAGAAGTTGATCAAGACCGGTGTGGGTTCTGTCGCGTGGGCAGGCTTGTAGACGTGGACTCGGATGGTCCGGTCAGGATCTCGAGCCGGGATGAAAATCGTGTCATCTGGTTTTGGGTGGAACTGGAGCCGAGGCCGGACGAGAGCGCGGAGGAAAGTAGCCAATGCCTTGTGATAGACATAGCTTACACCCATATCTAAAGAATAAGAGCCGGACGGCGAGCCGGACGGCGTGCTGAACTGCACGAATCCCAGGTTTTCTAAGGCAACAGACGCGAAATGATTCACGCGATAGGGATGTCAGCTCGCTGGGTCTCCCTGCCGCCAGAACCAAAGATCACCCCTAGCAGACTGGGGTAACGCTCACGACATCTCATAATAGCACATTCCGTCCTGTGCCATCCAGGTTCTCGATCATGACGATCATTGTTGACAGCGAAGTCATCGCCGAGAGGTAATCTGGGGACCAACGCAATTGGAAATGTCAAAATAAAGGAAAACTTTTAGCTCGACCTGGGATCAAAGGTAAGTGAGGACCTCGGGAGCTTGATTAGCCTGGATAGAACACATTGTACCAGCGTGTGCATCCTAAGCCAAGAAGGTACAAACTGTCACCAGTACATAAGTATATTGGATGTGTCCCATTTTGGAAATTCGATGTCGATGATCGACATCGTCAACAACGATTTTGATTGCCTTGGAATTGCGCTTGGTGCAAGGATGCTAACTGAAAATGGCACGCCCATACCGTCCAAAAATCGTCCCGTGCGTTCAGTGTTCAATATCAATTCAAAAATGGCTGTTAATTTGGACGGTCTCGACCCAAGCGGGGTTCTATTATTGGGGGCGGTGCGGGGTGGGGGCGATGCTTGGCTAACCTCCTCCGCTTCACTCGGGACGGGCGTGTCAACATCTCCCATCACGCGGCCATTTTGACTCCAACATCATCACCACGCCGGCCATACGATGTACAGTCCATGATGCTATGTCCTACAGAGTTTGGGCCAGACTGGCAGAGTCGCTCGCTCTACTACAGAGGCGGCGCTTTGATCACGTCCCTGCTGGCTGTCATTCTTCATATGACTTTGGCCCTTTCCTCGGGGTTATTCATCTTTCTTGTATCCATTCCCCCCGCTGTGCCAAGGTTGTACTTGAGATGTGCATAGGACAGGCACTAATTATCTCTTTTAGATGCTCCTTCCGTCAATATGGTCCCTCGCAGATGGCTTGTTACGTCTTCGCCCAGTCAAGGTTCCGTTGCTGATCAACATGATTCTTGATTTTCTTTCGACAGGCTCGATGCTTGTAAATGGCAGCCTATTCATATTTGCTTCGATGTGGGAAGGGTCAGAAGCTCTTGCAATCAGTGCGCTTTGCTGCTTCTTCGCTGTGTACAGACCCCCATTCCACATTTGCTCGTCTCAATATTCGACTAATCGGGTCTATGGCAGGTACTTTTACTTTGTTTTATTCCTTCGCTCGACCGTCCAATTTCTAGAGGAATCGCGAGATCCCAGTCGCGATGCATGGCAGAGCGTTCCAAACCCCGTCTAGACTGAAACCTTAGCCTTGCTCCAAGCGATATAGTTAGGCTAAGGAGCAATCCGATGATCAAACAAAATATATACAAATGAAATCGGATCGGAAATGTCTGCGTCTCTCTATTATTTATATGGCTCTGCGGGAAGCGAGTATCGTGAACTTGACCTTCCTGCCCAAGGAAGACACTTGAACCAACACCCATTAAAATGTCAAATGACCCATCAATTTTCTTTCGGTCATCGGCCAGCCTCCCTCAGCGACTGATGTTAGCCTCGATTGGGTTGCCTATCTGCGTGATTTCCTCGAGATGCCGATCCCCCGATTGAGGATCCCGGGAGGTCCCCGCAAAGAAGCAAATCGCCTTCCAATCTTAAAAGTGACAAAATCAAAGTTAAGCCACCGTTTCAGATTGCCAAGTAAGGCTTCAGCAGTCCCAGGGCTGCGTACTCGGGTCTGATCACTGCCACGTCGCCCCCAAACGCCGAGGCTTGGTGGATTTTTGAAAAAAAAAGCCAAGGAAAAGAAGCAAAAAGCCCCACTGAACCAGCACGTCGGAAGGGGGCCGAAGTTTTGCCATCCCAGTACTGCTTAGGCAAGATGCACCGCCTCACTCGTTAGACATCCCTTGATTCGTGGACGGTGTACCCCGTCACTGACAGCTTGCCAGCCACCGTGGCCGATTACTATGGGACGAATGAAACGCTAGCGCTAGGTGTACAGTACTACAAGGATATTGCGATCCTCGTTTTCCGTGTGCACCTAGTAGCTGGGAGTCTGCCAACTGTTCCAATCCGTGGCCGTAGCAAGGAGTTGTGGTCGTAGTGGAAAGCAAGCCAGGATCGGACGGTATACTGCCTGCGGGAGTAATCAGAGGTTGAAATTGCAGGAGTGTGGTTTCGAAGGTCCAAAAGGGGGACGGTTAGATCGCATATTTGGAGTTGCGTGGCTATCGTGGCCCATGGAATACGGAGTATGCCTCGTTAGATCAGAGAAGGAGCTGGGGACTCCGACTTGTCGCGCTCATTCTGTGGCATGAGATGCAAAGGAAATCGGTTGCACGGGCAACCTATAGTAGGATGCAGCGGCTCTTCGGCATCACAACCGGGCTTGGGGGCCGTTGTGCACAGTTTCGTGATGGCGCGTTTCAGACCGGCTAGGATGAACACCGGGGCAAACGTTGTTCTCCAAGGGATGTTCATCAGGACGATCGTTGCTGTTTTTGACCCCGCCCTGCGAACTACTGTCGATAACCCCCCTTGGCAGGGTCATTATTTGCTTCCCGGGGCACTGGTGTGATAGGTAGAAAATTCTGAACTCAGGGGTTGGCGACTAAATTTGCAAAGCCAATTTCCGGCTGCTCAAATCGGCCTCGACGTCCGAGACTGGGAAAAACGAGGAAAAAGAAAAAGAGAAAGAGAAAGGAGGCTTAGAGAATGTCGGGCGCAGGACCAGTACGACGGGTATGGAGGGAGTAGTACGAACACCTCCGCGGCCCCCCCCCCCCACACACACACACAAGGTCAGCTTGCCCCATCACCTGAATAATACTGGCTGCGATCGACCCAAGAGGCGACAAGCCTCATCATGCGAACACCAGCCCAACGCCTTCAATGATCATCACTCGCACTAAGCTGAAAGGAGATAAGGTTGTTGGGATTCCCCAGCTTGGACCAGACGTGCCTTGCATATCTGAGCGAGCAGGTGGACCAGCAACGTCGTCAAACATTGCTGACTTAGGAAGGCTGGAATGATCCCTAGGGGTCGCGCGTGGGAAAAGCAACCTGAATCTGAAACGCCGGTTCCATATGGCCTCCTGTGGCTTTGCAGGAGCTCCGCTGCATCTGGAAGTATACCATTGACCTTCCGGCACTGCATAGTTTGCATACTTCCGTAGTGCGCGCGGACCGGCCCTCTTTTCAGCGACAGAAAACGGACCGAAATCCACGTTGGAATGAAAGTAATTTCCGTGTCGTCTCGGATCAGGTCAGACCGGAATTGGTCTCGTAGCCCTGACTTCATTTCGGATATTCGCCCACCAGGCTCCCCGACAATGACGCTGCATAGCCATACGAGGCGGACCCGCACAATTTTCACCCTCGGAAATCGTTCATCTCAAGGCTGGAGCCAATCTGCAGGAGCACGGCCCAGGAGATCCAGGCACCACCTGACGACGTATTGGGCGACACGCATGTCGATGCTTTCCGGATCCGGGCTGTATTTCTGGACTCGTCATACACGTCGAGGAAAACAAGGAGGCAATCCACGTGCGCCCCTGATGCTGAGAAGACCCTTGATTTACTCTGAAACAAGGCGTTCGCGTGTTGTGAGCCTGCTTTTTCCGGTCTGAGATCGTAGCATTCCACGGGCTAGCATTAAGGCTGTGCAGATGAACATGCCTCGTAGGGCTCGCCGGAATAGACAATCGACGTGGCTGGTATGAGCTGACGCCTACCTTAATTCCCTAGCTGATTCCTGGATAATCTGGGCTGAGCAGCGTCTCGAATCGGGAGTTCGCAAGGGATTTGCACCGCCGCAGATCGAGAAGAGGAAATGTAAACATACTCTGCGCGTGGCCTCGGGAATGCTGTATCTCCCACCATTTTGCTTATTCGACCTGTATTTCCGTTTTGGACCTTAATTCCTGATTTTTCATGGCTCCTCCTGGGCCAGTGCGTGATCTCCATGTGATCGACCACGTTGGTCCCACGACGTTTCACCCCTTCGTCGCAAACCCACGCGACAGATTCCGCGCATTGCAGAGCGCAGTTGCCGCCAAGGGTGATTGGTGCTGTTCGCCCTGCTTGCGAACAGTCTAGACCGGTGCAGATGACGTTCGGCTTCCCTCAGGGCCTGCCCTTGCTCGATCTCTCACTGGCAATCCAACGTTCGTTCCGTGTAAACGCGCAACAGCAGCGCCATCCCTTGGCTCATTCCACGGCACATATACCCCATCAGGCTGATTCCGTGTTGAGACATGTGGCTCGCCATGTGCTGGGGAGTCCCTGAATGTATGCCCTTGAATTAGTGTGCACTTCGTAAGGTGCCAAGCTCGGGGATCGTGAGCCCCGGCTCCACATCTCGTCCTGCTGCATCGTGTACCTGCCTCCACGCCCCCCAGTTTCATGCACTGCCCGGGCCAATCGCATCTGCCTCGTCGCCTGTTTTGCATCAGCGGGTATGTGCTTTGCACTGAATGATCGCTCGGTTAGTGCAAGACGGAATTTTAGGCCTTCCGTCGTTCATGCGGACTACTTGGGCCGCAGGCTCCCTGACCCGGAAGAGAGAATGGTGTCACAGGCCCTTGGTGGATCCTGCTCATCGTCGTCGACGGAAAGTGAAGATCCTTCTCCTCCATTCCTTTCTTCGCTTAGCTTGTCCGTCCATGTGGGCCGCCATGCAAGCTCCTGTCGAGCTCGCGTGTGTCAAGGCATGTTATCTGCTGCAGCATAGCCTCCAAGCTCCTTTGCATATATAGGCCTTTTGGCTCCTACCTCACCGGTGCCATCACATTCCAAGAGACATCAAATTACCACCCGAGGACCCTGAACAGTGGCAATAGCTTCAACTCCCAAGACCACATTCCATTGGCATCACCTTCTCCAGTTCTCGTCCACGTTGCAGTCGACTACCCAGTTCGCAAGGCTTCTATAAAAGTTGCGTCAAACCATGTCTGTTCCGCAATCATCCCCCGCCAGGTAAGTCTGAACACATTGCTTCGCCGAGATATGGAATGAACCACGACTAACAGCTTCCTAGCAACCGCAATGGCACGACAGTCGCTGCCCTCAGCCAGAGCAACCTCAACCAAATCCCACGAGCAAGCCGCAGCACCGTTGATCGGTATACTCGAACACCAGCACCAGAGGGCCCTTACTATGCTGGTATGCGAACACAAGAACGCGCAATCCATCTCCTCAGACTATCAAATAAAGTCAATGCGGTCGATGAGATCTTGAAAAATTAAGAGCCCAGAAGGGACCGGAAAATGATCGATGATATCTCTATGTATAATATGTTCTATCAAGTGTATTAAAAAGCCAGCAAGAATTTCTAGACGCATCAAATAATGTTCAGTCGCTTTAAAACAGCTTCGAAATGTACGCTGCAACATCATCGTATTTGGTGCTGGGGAATTCGTGACCGGCCTCGTAGAACTTGAAGATAGCGTTTCCACCCAGGACCGCAGTGGCATCGGTGACGAGCTCATCTTTGATGATGATAGCATCATTGTTACCACAAAGAATGTGGATCTTATCGTTGGGTAGTCCCTTTTTATCCTCATCATTTGATGAAATGCTGTTCTGGGCACTGAGATATTCTCCTAAACGTGCCCAAGTGTTCCATTGTCGCTGCCCCAGGATGGGACCATGACGCATGCTGGACATGAAGGCGTGCACGAACCCGGTGTGGTTGTTCACTTGCCACGCAACCGCGGATGGAATATTGATATGTGGATACGCGCGGGAAAGAATCTGGACCTCTGCCGCACTTTGCGACGGGAGCTCTTCGGTGAGGGCATCGGCCGCGTTAAGCTTTTTGTTATTGGGCTTGGGGGTCACCAGAGGCCCAGCCCGTAGTCGGCGGCCCACTAGATATCCAAGTACGCTCTCCGGCATCAGACCTCGGGAATAAAGGAGGCGGCTTTGGAAGCTGATTTGTGAGTCGCGGACCAATCCGGCCGGGGCGAGAAGTACCAGCGAGGATAGCAATTGGGGAAAGTACGAGGCGAATGCCGCAGCAATGCCACCTCCAAGTGAATAGCCAGCGAGGCAGAATTTCCCAGATTCCTTGCCAGTCCAGGCGATCGGCGACGAGGAGAGAGCTAGCAAGATCTGGGAAGCAAACAGTCGGTCATCCTGCGGGAGATCTGCAGGACAATCAGAGTATCCGCGTCCGAACCTGGATCATCCAATTTCAGCATATACTACGGGATAGAAAACGAGGGAGCGCTGAAACATACAGGTCGAACAGCATCACCCGGCAGCCCCGGTCAACCAGCGCGTGGGCCACTCCGCCGAGCGCGATGCATGGCGTAGTGATACCATGAACCAGTAGCACCTTTGGTCCGTCTTCTCTTCCCCATTCATAAATTCGGATGGAGCCGTAGGGACTTGCAACATCGCGGGCGCCCGGCAGCACGTCATTTGGGAGGGGGAGGCTGCGATTCTCGGCTTCGGATAGGCCAGGCAGTAATTTTGCGCGGGGTGAGGGGAGCAGAGTCTCCCCCGACTCGCGGCCGGTGAAAAGCGACCGAAGGACAACGCCGAGCGTGAACGAGGCCCCTGTGACGGCAAGTAGAGGCAGCTGCGTCCGGTGGTTGGCCCAGGAGTTGGACAGGAAATCCACCGTTTGGTGGTAAAGGGCCATGGTCGGTCAGAGTGTCCCTGAAATGGAGGCTATGTGTGAATTTGAAAGGACTGAAGCTCAAATGAGTGTAAAAAGCGACCGCACTGCGTTGTCACGATGGCTGGTGTTAATGAAGGGAGTTGGTTAGATGGGGGAACAGGTGAAACTGGGCCGAGGCTCCAGCGATTCTCCGAGTTCCCCTGCGTGTGCTGATAAGCGATAAGGACGTCATCGGTGGATCAACTCGGAAATCTCATGAAGTTCGAACAGTACGATATTGTACCCCAAACCAGGATACGAAGGTTGCAATTACATTTTTTAGCTAAATAACGGCAAAGAGTGAAAGCATGGGAGAGCATCATGTATTTCAAGTAGCATCCTTGTCGAGTTTCCACTTGGCTACCTGCAACAGAACAAGAATGTAAGTTAGATGGAATTTTGCACAGTTAATTCGAAGTGATGTAATATATAGTTGTCGATTATGTCCAGACCAATGGTATATGTATAAGTGAAAATATGTACATTTGAATGCTCGTGAATGCAAGTTATTCCCCACAATATTATGGCTCTCTGCGTGGGAATATTGGGTTGAATGCAAGTATCTGGAAGAGCCCTTCCTCCAACAAATTGTTGCCATCGAAAGGCCAGCGAAGAAGATGACAATCATGAAAAATCTTGTCTTCTTTGCGGTGACCCGAGCCAGAACACGTAAAAGAGATGACAATGTCTGAGCTCGTGGATCGGAGATAGTGGTGTTGTGATAGAATAAAGAGAATAGGACAATGAGTTGATATAAATCATTCGTTGCCGTTGAGTGTCTTGTTGACCTCCTCAGCAGGTGCCTCATCTGATGGAACGTGCTGATAGGATCTCAGCTTGCGACGACGAACGAAATGCCAAACCCCGGCTAGGATACCACCGACACAGCAAACTGCGAGAACAAACATGACGATGTTTTCTAACAATCGAATCATGCCATACGCCTTGTAGACAGACTGAGCGACCTCTTTTGTGGCAGCATAGACGGCAGCTTTGCGACCTTCTGCAGTGGCCGAGCTTGACTTGACATCACCGTAATCACCCGATTCGACCTTTTCCTGAATAGCCTGCAGAATCTCTGGATCATCAGGAGAAGGATCAGGTAAGGATTGATCAAAGCCACTTGATTTCCAGCTCTCTGGGATATCGGTGCGGTAGAGCGTCGATGTGCTCAAGGCGTTGCCATCTTCATCGACAGCCTTAGCGGTAATCCAATCCATGAACCCCTCGGCAATGTACATTGTTTCGAAACTTGTCTTGTTCGTACTTCCGATCAATACATCCTTGCCATGATCGAAGGAGCGGGCGTAGAATTCCCAGACGGCGACATCAGTTGCACCGTTCCAGCTAACATAAATGACAGTCATCATGTCCTCTTCGCTGGTGCCATAAACAGAGGCAACCAGATCAGGCGGTGCAGAGGGTCGACCGATCCAATCAAACTTATATGACCGGTAACTTGAGAAGCGATCCGAAGAAAATCGCGCAGATAGCAGAATATCACCGTTTGGCGCATGCTCAGAGTGGTAGCCTTGCTTACTCCATCCAATGAAGGAATTTCCATTTGGAAGCTGCTGAACATTGCCGCGAAGTCGGGTAAGCTCGCCATCAGGTCGATCAATACGCCTGATAACTGTGGCAGTCATCGGGGACGCATCAGTATCGAGTTCTATAAAGAGTGCAGATGAGATATCTTCGTCATTTTCACTTTCATCGGATGCATTGTTCATGATCGAAATAACATGATGTGTGCCGTTTGACTCGACAAATTTAACATCATGTTGCTTGGAGAATGTGAAGTCCATGTCGAAGTCGCTTTTGATTCCTCCAAGACGCCACATAATCTCGCCATCCGTGCCGGAAATCATGTAGATCGTGTTGGTGAAGCGCATAGAGATAAGGTAATCCCCATTCCCATTCTTATCAACAGAATTGATATGCACGTAGTCCCATCCTGGCTCGCCACGAGTGCCATCCCACGCGTGGAAAACAACAGATTCACTGAGAGAAATTTTATCGAACGAGTCCCATTCGAAAAGGATTGCGGATGATTCAACATCCAGTTCGACAAATCCACCCGTAACGACCCAGCTTTCCTCATCAGGGCGGTCGAAGTCGTCCAGATCGGTCAGTTGCGATCTGTACGTGCATGCTAAGCCAGTCTTGCCGCCATCCAGGATATTGAATTCGTGCATATTGAACGCACTAAGGTCATTGAGAACTCCGACATGGTGTTCTATATTGTAGTCACTGCCCAGAATCATACCGCTTCCTTTGTCCGAGTCGGTATTATAATCATGTTGGAGAATGAAAGACAAATGAGGATTTTCGTCGACGTTCCAGTTGGCTTTAAAATCGAAGACGTTCCGATTATCGGTCATGGGGGAACCGGCCCAAATGAGCTCCTGCATAGAGGCGATGTTAATTTCCACAGGATCACCATTTTGTGCTGAGAATAACATACGCCTTCATTGTCATAAATATAAGGCCCGACCTGGTACTGCATGTACTTTTGGGTCGGCTCTTCGGGGTTGATCTGTCCGTAGGGGGCAATGAACCAATAACCCGGCAGCTGACGATCACGGTCGATATGAGTAACCTCAAACCTGGGAGCGCGGACTTCAGGAAGCTGAAAAGGCAGTTAGACCACTGAAAGGAAGAAACAGAATGCAAAACTTCATGCCCTAACGAGGGGACTCACAGTGACAAACGAGAATAAATCCTCATCTTGGCGCTCTGCAGCAGCGCCATGCAAGAAAAGGCATATCAAGCCACCGAGGAACAACATGACGGCGAAAGGCTCGAGAGGAGGCTAGGACAACTCTTTCATACTGCGAACATGGACTGAATGGACGTCAGATTGGGGACATCTCTCCACGACGTTCACGATTTGTGTCGCGGAGTGGCAGAGTCGCAGGTGGGCAGGAGAGGACGTGTTGGAGGGTCGTCGTATTAGAAGCCCTTTGGAGTTTAGGGGCGGCGCGGGGGCCGCCCAGAATTTATTTAGGGAGGAGATGGGTCGGGTGGGAAATTTTACCTTCGACGGATTGCCGCTCGAAAACCCTATTCCAAGGATTCCATTGAGCCATGACACCTCTCGATGGAGACAAGCATGATGCTCCTAATCTTATCCAACGCCAAAAGCCAACGCAATGGCTGAGGTGGAATTTCAGGCCCCGTTCGGACCCAGCATGGTCCAAGGAGCGGAGTTCTGGGTGAAGAAAACTCCTCGCCACGCGTCAGTGTGGGGCGCCCTCAGCGAGCAGTCAGGGGTTTGCGTCCGCACACACTCCGGTTTGTCGCGCGGCGAGCGATCGGGGACAAGCCAATAACGGATGTTTGCGATTCGCAAGATTTACAAATTGGAAATTCTAAAAAAAACCTGCTGCCCGCTGTGCATAGTGTCAGACGCTTGCTTCCATCTACGAAACGCACCAAGTCTCTAACCACAAGGCTTAGATCCTGCCAAGTCGATCTGACAGACATGGGCAAGGGTCACGCGAGCCGCTAAACGCCTGTGTAAAGACAGCAGTAACGTCACCAGCTCACTGGTCGTGCTGCTGATCCAATCGCACTGCAAGTAAGCAATACGGAACTGGGTGCCCCTGAACATTTTCCACCTGCCAAGCCAACGCGCCAAGACCAATTAGTCTAAACAAGGTTAGACTTTTCTCAATGACCTGGTTCCGCAATCTTCATTCGCGTGGTGCCCCGCCTGTACCCGCTTTGCGTAGAGAACGTCTATCGGCTTACGCGCTAAGGCCCCGACCCTAGGCCCACCCCCCGCCCCGGCCCCCTGTCTGGGGGAGAAAGAGCTGCTACTATAGGTGCTGCGAACGACAAGAGGCCACTCAGCTAAATTTGCTTCAGGGCTTGCATCTCAGTCAGGGGCAGAAGATCTCCCAGGTGAAAGCCTGAACTACTAGTAACCAAGGCCTAATTAGCGGAGAGAGGGAGAGGCTGATGTGTGGGAATAGCACCTTAGGCTTGCATCGATGTCTCAGATGAAGCGCCGTGGCTATCAGAGCGTCAGGGTTAATTGAGAATGCTCACAGGAGGCGACGAACTGGATTCCACTTCTTGCTTGAGGACGCAAGAAGGGCATAGTCAAGCGGACCACCTCACATCACAATCCACCGGGAGTCTCTTTGCAATACACCGCACCAGTTGTGTATATAGTCGCCCATTCTGAAAAATTTCGCTGCACTGCGAGTTTGAGACGGGAAATCTTTGGGAATGCTCGTCAACTCTCAGATCCTGGGTTGGTCATCGGAAGTTGATCAAGTTGTATTCTAGCGCTATCGCATAACTTTCGATCATCTAATGTTCTCCTTGTTGACATTCTTTTGAAGCTGCTGCAAGATTGAATCAACCTTTTCGTCCGCAGCATCTAAAATTTGATCCGGCGGATATTGGGGCTTCCAGCCTATCTGGTGACCATTGACCGCCGTGAAAAGATATTTGGTTTTATAATGAGCATTTATATTATCTCACTCCGCAGAAAAGAGCCATAATGGGGAAGTATAAGCCATTTTCCGACTAGGAGCACCAGGACCGCAGTCGCGATAACCCCCCAGGCCTTCAGCCATCCCGGCAGGAGCTGTGTCATCGCCCTCTGTCACAGTATCATTGTCGACGAAACGCCTCTTTGCAAGAGCCCTAGCAAAGGCGCCATACACATCATCCCAGGCAATACTTCCTGATGCAACTAAAAAGTGACCGTCCTTGCCATACCCGATATCTTCACTAAGAAGAGATTTTAGTAGGATTTCAAGGCAGAGGTACGTGGTGTCTGCGATATGACAGATAGGCCATGTCTGAAGAATCTGTTAGAGACAGTTTGACCGAAGTGTACCAGGCAATAGAAAAATCGGTTTGTCAGCACCGACATAGCATACACGGCGAAGGCTCCGCGCTGCCCGCACGATAGACACGTCCTGGATGGAACTCCGATTACCAAATCCTTCCTCCGCAGCATACACCAAGAACGGGGCAAAATTGGTAGCTCCGTACGCCATGGGTCTCGGCTGTGTATATGACGACAATGTTGGCTTTTACTGACTGCATTTCGGAGAGATTATTGTTAGCATGGAGGCGAGAAATGACATGTATCATGGAGAAAGGCTGAACCTCTGCTCTCGGATCTCATGTATGTTTGTTTAGGCGCCCGTGGCCTCAGAGAATGCGTGCGACGTGTTCTTGTAAACGCATATTCCGAGGATCACGGGTGTCAGAGTAACGAGACCGGCCAAGAAAAATATTTGGAATCACATTATGTCAGAGTATAATAACCTACCACATCGACAAAGTCGTGTGGTGCCTTGGCATTCTTTTGCAGATCATACAGCTTTGGGTCTGTGTCCAGCAAGGCATGGTCGGTCGGAATTACAGCATGGCGACTGAACTGCTTCGCACCAGTCGTGTGAAGAAAATGATCCTCACGCCCAGTATTCTTTTTGACCCTACCAAGTGTCGCAATCATTGAAGGCTGATGTTTCCGACGAGCAGAGCCAAAATCGTCATGAACAGGCATCCAAAGTGCCAGAAAAACAAGCGCCTAAAGGTTCACCGATTTATCAAGACTGGAAACTACGAAGCCTAGAAGAATCCCAACCCAGAGCCAGTCGAAGGGACATGTCACTGGGCTATTCAAAGCAATAAATTCCCGTTGGCAAGATAGTGATGGCAATGATCTTCTCTGGGTGTTAACAGATCCAGGTCGCGGAAAGTCTCTATTGGCTGGGTCGATCGTCGATCTACACCAAGCCGCTAAAGAAGAGACTGTATGTTATTTCTTCTTTAAAAGACAATGATCAACAGAGCAATCTTTTAGTGGCCCTCTGCGCAATACTCCACCAGTTATTTGGCCAGAAGCCGGACCTTTTATGCCATGCTCTGGTACCAGGCTCCAGATTAAGAAAAATACATAAATAAATAGTCTCCGAGAAGATATGGAGTTTGAAGGCGAAAGAGCTGGCTGAAACATCGCAATTGTCTCCAGAGACAGCCAAGCGGCTTGGAAAACAGCTGTGAACTGAAAACTCACGCATATCTTTGGTTATCTTTAGCTATCGATCACATCAGAATGCGTTCCAAGTATAGATTTCGACCGGACGAGCTATTGATCGATCCACCTCCATCGGTGACCGATGCATACGGAAAAACCCTAAGACGAGTGGAGGCACTGAAATTGAAAATGTTAAAAGGTTTTTGCATATAATTATCGTAGCACGACGTCCTTTGGCAATAGAAGAAATGGGTACGGCACTTGGGTTGCTACTTCTCCAAATCACCAAACTCACATTGCAGGTGTCAGTCTAAGTACAGATACTTGGGCACGAAGCTCCAATAGCTATGTGGCCTGTTTGTCTTATTTATGACTCTCGACTCTAACTCATCCATCTGGCAGCCAGAGAATTACTCATTGGAAAGGGCATAGAAAGCCAATCAGTCACTCTCTCGGGGTTTTGTTGCAATCCACTGAGTGCGGAGAGCGAAATGGCTGGAATATGCTCACGGTATCTAAATTCCGATGATTTTGAACATGTCGAGATGCAAGGCTTTTTGCCATATGCGGCAGTTCACTGGGGTGTCCACGTTCGACATCTGGAGCCGACCGGATACCGAGAAGTTTATAAGATAATACATGAACTGTACCTGAAAATTGAACCAGTGCTCCATCTGTGGCCTGTGCCGAAGGGAATGAAAAGGTTGTGCTGAATTTATGCAATGCAGGAGTTGACATCAGCTTTCCGGACTGGAGGAGTCGGAATGCGCTCTTGGAGGCTTGTCAAATTGGAAGCCTCGAAAATTTTCGCATATTCCTGAGACATCCATAGAATATTAATTTCTATACAGAAGGATATGGCAATGTTCTTCATATAGCGTCCGAGGAAGGTCACTGCGAACTCGTGCAGAAGTTACTAGATCACAGAGCTAATGTCAATTCCCGGGGTACTTCGGAAACTGGCAGCGCGCTACAAAAAAGCCTGACACAAGGGTCATGAGGAAGCTGTGAAAAAATTGCTGAAGCATAAAGCCGATGTCAATGCTCTCCATTAAGATCTTAGAACTCCGCTACAACTGGCTTGCCCAGAACAATAAAGTCGCGGAAATTCTGCTCGAAACGGTGCCAAAATAACATACAAGATGGGCTTTTTCACATTGCGCTGCAGGGATCTTTTGCTGGAGGGTATGAGAGTACTGTACGGCTGTTGCTGGAACGAGGAGCCTAGCGAGGTGTGGAGATCAACACCGCGCTGCGGGCTGCTTGTCATGAGGGCTCTGATAGGATTGTGCTACTGCTACTCTAGAAGGGAGCCAATATCAACTCCAATGATAAGAGGCGCGGAGTTGCGCTACAGTGTGCTTGTGGCAAAGGGCATTATCGGATTGCAAAGTTCCTAGTGGCGTGGGAGGCAGATGTCGATCTTCAGGCTGGCACCTTTAATACAGCGCTACAGGCCGCTTGCGCTGAAGGGCATTATACGATCGTCGAGCCGCTACTGAATGCGGGGGCTGATACTAATATTGATGGTGGAGGCTTTGACACTGCACTAGAGGCTGCTCGGCATGAAGGACATGATAGGATTGTGCTTCTTTTACTGAGAGAGGAGCCGATATCAATGTCAGCCATGAGATGTTTGGAATCGCGCTTCAGCTAGCCCGCTCTCGGGGACACGACAATATTTGAAGATATAATTCAGCAAAATCGTGCAAAACTTTAGCTGCTGCGAAGATGACAAATTCGTGAACATGCACGACAGAAGGAACTTTGTGGGTCCCTCAGAATCGCGAGGACCCTTCTAAGAGACTCAAGCGGTCGTGAGATTTTGGAATAGGGCAATTGCTTCGAGCTCCGTTCTTCTTTTGTACCTACAACTGACGTTTAATCTATTACGGCTGCCTTTCTGGGCTTCTTCTACACTAAAGTAGTATCATGAATGACATTGAGAGTAGATTCCATGTCCTGCAAAGCCAGCGAGGGGCTGATGTCAGAAGAAGATGATTAAGAGGTCGTGAATGTAGTATCGAGATAATCTTTCCGTATCGCTTTTCAAATACAACTTTCGTGTAAAAAGCCAAGCCTTTAGTCCATAATAGACACACCTGAGTAGCACTTGTCAGGTTTTACGATACAGGAAATTTTCGATGTAAAGGCGCATAAATAAGAGAAATATCGCAAACCCGTAAAACCTTTATTAGTCGTCTTGTTCGCTATGAGAAAATATCATCCTTCCCCGCGCCAAAGAGCATGGTAATCATTGGAGCATCTCGTGGTGGCATTCAGGTTTAATAAGGCTATATAGGGGACCTATCTCATCCAGCTAACTTAGACTAGCTCATGGCCGGTCACCTACTACCCTTGGGTACTTTTCTAGGGATATAAATCATTGTGGCTGTCACGCTTGGTACTCCCTCCCTAAGATCTCTTAGACGCTGAAGCTGAACTTCTGTCAACTAATGCTTTAGATTAGTTACAAATTTATCTAGCCCTAGAAGGCTGCCACATTCGCCATCGTCTTATGGTTTTAAACACTCCATTTCTACTTTTCCCGCGGTATTAGGTAGTTGCAAATCCACCTCACAGTGGGTAGCCATTCATGGATCGATTTCGATAATGTATCTGGCTATAATATACTCATTGAACTCCTATATATTATAAGCCGCCTAATAGCCTATCTGAGAAATACACCGATCCTCACAGCCCTAGAGGTGCGCCAGTGCCAGGTACCAAAATAAATATAATACATATCTTAGGGGAATGTACACTACTACCTAAATAACCTAGCGTGGACCACCTAGCACCGGAAGACTTGCCCTATTACGTGCATAGCAGACAATCCCCTTGTCCTCTTACTAGGTACACTGTGTACTACACCGCCATCCTAGATTACACTAAAATTTATCAACTTACACAGTATTCGAGTGGGCCTTGCCATTCGTCGGTCAGTCCATCTTAATATTTAGCTGGAATAGTTACTATTCTGAATAGAATGATCATATTAGTGCTTTTTGAAATATTAACGCGGAGTCGTTAACACGATCAGCCAAGCCTTCAGGGTCCTTAATCCCATCTCAATCCTTAATGCTTCAAATTGGCATTGTGGCCCAATCCGTGACAGCCATATCCACCCAAGCCACGGGATCTGGAAACTCTACAGTGGTTCACTGGCGTGTTTCACCTTGCTAAGAACTTTGGGAGTTTAATTGGCATGTCGCTTTAGGGCAGTCAGGGCAGCGGCACATGTGCCGACCCTTATTTGTGCGCAATAGAGCTTAAGCTTTTGCAATGATCAGAGTGATGAGACGAGAAGGATGCTAATGCCATTCTGCCAAAGCACATTCCCATAGACAAAATCCTCGCGAATTTTAAATCGACCCATGTCGATCTTCAGATCGCCGATAGCGACTTGAACGCACCTGTTTCGTATTTAGACAGTCGTTCGGGTCGTGCAAAAGATCATCCGGGGCGCTTGCGAGCGGCTCTCTCATTGAAGGATATTTAGCTCTTTTTGTCCGAATGCTTGGCCGAATATTACCGGGGAGGGGCATTCGTCGCTGATCTGAAACGCGTTATACCCGAAAAGTCCGGCAACTGCTTCAGAACGACTCACCAGTTTGAATCTGGGCAATCCCCGCAGTTCCATGTCTTGCCGTTCAGCCACGGAATGCCACGGGGAGGGTATGGCATCTAGTGGCTGGCTGGGCTGGTTTAGCTTCTCTATGGCGTCTCACGACCCTGTTGTGTACTCCACAAAATTCACGCACGCCCGAGCAGATCATGGAAGCGTCTGAATTTTCTAAACGTTTTTGTGCTGAGCGAAGCAAACTGCCAAAGCACTTGATTGCTGTAAGTTTCCCTCAATCTGGGGATGCTAGCCTAGTTCAGCGCGGTTCGGAGGCTGCTCCGTCGCTGAGGAAATTGAAACCACTAGACCTCCTCTAACCGCCTCAATTCTTGTGAAGTCTCCCTGCCCAGGAGACGTCCCCATTGAAGATCTTTTCCATGCTGATCATGGAGGTCGGTCCACTCCCAAATCAATGCACGACGTCGGCCGCCGCCCAATCTGGAAGTCCCCGCCATTTCGTAGATGAAGGGTCCTTTTTGCCAGTTTAGAGACGGTGTCGAGGTCCGCCATACCCGGCCATGAGGTGACGGAAGAACCCGTTTGAGCCTTGCATGACAGGACATGTGGGTGCTGATCCTGTAGAAATGGCGATATAAAGATGGCGACATGCCCCAACTCGTTCTTTTGTGTTCATCAGCTGCAGGCCAGACTACCGACTATTCCATTCTCTTTCTCTCTTTTTACCGAAGATGTATCGACGCGCACTCCTTCTTTCTGCCCTTGTGGCAGTCGCTCGTGCCCAGCAGGCTGGCACACAAAAGGAAGAAACCAAGCCCTCCTTGACGTGGCAAAAGTGCACTGCCAGTGGCTGCACAAAGCAATCTGGCTCTGTCGGCATTGATGCAAACTGGCGCTGGGTCCACTCGACCGAGGACTCGACTAATTGCTATACCGGAAATGAGGTGAGCTGGTTTCCTTTTTCTGTCGAGTAACTGGGACTGACCATGCATTCCCTTTGCAGTGGGACGCAACTCTTTGCCCTGACGACAAGACCTGTGCCACAAATTGTGCCCTGGATGGTGCAGACTACTCGGGCACGTATGGTGTGGAGGCTGACGGGGACTCTTTGTCGCTGAGCTTCGTCACCGGTTCCAACGTCGGCTCCCGTCTATTCCTGATGGAGAACGACAGCACCTACCAGATGTTCAAGCTGCTGAACCAGGAATTCACCTTCGACGTGGACGTGTCCGCGCTCCCGTGCGGCCTTAACGGTGCTTTGTACTTTGTTTCCATGGACGCCGACGGTGGTCTGTCCAAGTACGAGAACAACAAAGCCGGTGCAAAGTATGGAACTGGCTACTGTGATTCGCAGTGCCCCCGTGATCTCAAGTTCATCAACGGCCAGGTGAGTGTCGGACCTAACGATAGAAGCTAGCTTTGTTATTGACTGAACCTGGAAATATAGGGCAATGTTGACGGCTGGACGCCTTCAGAGAATGATAAGAACGCTGGTGTTGGAAACCACGGCTCGTGCTGTGCCGAGATGGACATCTGGGAGGCCAACAGCATCTCGACTGCCCTGACTCCCCACCCCTGTGACTCGGCGAGCCAAACGATGTGCGAGGGCGACAAGTGCGGTGGCACCTACTCGGACAGCCGCTACGCCGGCACTTGTGATCCCGATGGATGTGACTTTAACCCTTACCGTATGGGCAACGAGAGCTTCTTCGGTCCCGAGAAGATCGTCGACACCAACTCCAAGATGACCGTCGTCACCCAGTTCATCACCAGCGACAACACCGATTCCGGCACTCTCAAAGAGATCAAGCGTATCTATGTGCAGAACGGCAAGGTCATTGCCAACTCGGTCTCGGACGTCAGCGGCGTCTCTGGCAACTCGATCACTTCGGACTTCTGCACTGCTCAGAAGAAGGCCTTCGGCGACGACGATATCTTTGCCCAGCACGGTGGTATGTCTGGCATGAGCGAGGGCCTGGCCCAGGGCATGGTTCTCGTCATGAGTCTGTGGGATGACCACTACGCCAATATGCTCTGGCTCGACAGCAACTACCCGACCGACGCCGCTGCTTCCGACCCCGGTGTTGCTCGCGGCACCTGCGGCGCTGACTCCGGCAAGCCTGCAACCGTCGAGTCCGACTCGGCTGATGCGAAGGTTGTCTTTTCCAACATCAAGGTCGGAGCTATTGGGTCGACCTATTCCTCTTAAAAGGTGATCGAGATCGATGGTCTGTGATACAAGTGTGGACCTGGTCAGACGCGATGTGGATGTGGGTATCGAGTGCTGTTGAACATCGAATTTTTGGTGTATTTATTATTTCACTTCTTCAGAAAGAGTCATTCCTCATGAAGGCTCCCATTCATTCTTCATCTGTATTCATTGAATTTTGCGTGCGAGTTGAATCTGAACATGTCGGCGAAGTGTAATTTCTGTCCTGTGCTTTGAACCATGGGTGTTCAGAGTAGGCAAGAAGCCGGCAAATCTTGTCGCCAACTGGGTGGGTGGTTAATTAGATCATGGAAGAGGTATCAGGGCTAAGAATTGAGTATGAGGTCGAATATTGCGGGTTGCAAGGGGTGCAGCTGCAGGGGGTTCGAGAAAGCGAAGCTGCGGTTGGGTGCCTGAAACTGCAGGCGGAAGATCCCTCGGCCCGCCCGCCGAAAAAAGTGAAGCTTCGAGCTTGGCCTGGACCTCGCTACTCCCCTCCCAAAGAATCTTTTCGCAATTCGACCATGTTCGACACGGTCTGCTCGCTTCCACTGTCATCGGACCTGTTCACCCAGGCCATCCACCCCCGGGAGCCTGTGGTTTCCGTCGGCCTGGCAGCGGGCCACGTCCAAACGTTCCGCTTACCTTCGGAGGTCGACGATGACGATGGAGCGTCTTCCTCGTCCTGCAACGGAAAAGGCCACATAGACACCATGTGGAGGACAAGGCGGCATAAGGGGAGCTGCCGGTGCCTAGGATTCGGTGTCGACGGCGAAACGCTGTACTCTGCCGGTACCGACGGGCTGGTGAAAGCCGCCAATTCGGAGACCGGCAAAGTGACCAATAAAATCGCAATCCCTCTGGAGAAGAACGGGTAAGAGATATTGAGAGGTCTATTCTGCGATTAGGGGTTTCCAACTTATGTCTCTTTGTAATGCAGCTCGGTCGATGCGCCAACCATCATCCACGGGCTCTCGCCCCAGACACTTCTACTCGCCACAGATTCCAGTGCCCTCCACCTCTTCGACCTACGCACCCCCTACTCCAAGGTTTCTGCTCGACCGGAGCAGTCGCATCATCCTCACGATGACTATATTTCCTCCCTCACACCGCTTCCTGCCTCCGACACTAGTACGTCTGGTTTCAGCAAGCAATGGATCACCACTGGCGGCACTACTCTGGCCCTGACGGATCTCCGGAGGGGTGTGCTGGTGCGCAGTGAAGATCAGGAGGAAGAGCTTATTAGCTCGGCGTACATTGGTGGTCTGCCCAGCAGCGGGACCAGCCGCGGCGAGAAGGTCGTCGTGGGTGGTGCCGGTGGTGTCATGACTCTTTGGGAGAAGGGCGCCTGGGACGACCAAGACGAGCGCATCTACGTGTCGCGTGATTCGGAAGGTGGCGAGTCAATCGAGACTATGACGGTCGTGCCGGATGAGCTGGGCCACGGCAAAATGATCGCTGCTGGTCTCGGTAACGGGCTAGTGAAGTTTGTACGCATTGGCCCGAACAAGGTCGTGTCGGACGCTGTGCACGATGAGACGGAGGGCGTTGTGGGACTTGGATTCGACGTCGAAGGTCGCATGGTGTCCGGTGGAGGTCAAATCGTCAAGGTCTGGCATGAAGCTTTGGAGACGGAAGGCACCGGTGGCATGGTGGGCGGGAAACATATGCTGGGCGACAGCGATGAAAGCGATGACTCCGGTGACAGTGACCGGGAAGACCGCAATGGCCGGTCGAATGCAAATGATCGCAAGAAGCGCAAGAAGGCCAAGGGCAAGGACCGCAGCGGTGGTCAGCACGTCATGGCCTTCCACGACCTAGACTGACGAGATTATTTGATATACCCCATTTGCAACGACATTGATCCTGCGACTCAAACCCACCGGAACATCCGTGGATATAATCAAGTAACACCTTTAGGTAAACCCGTAGTGTGTAACACTGAGGAACTGAGCCAGTGACTGCATCCGAGTTGGTAGAAGTCACATCCGAGAGGAAATGTTATATCCGTTGCTGATTCATGCTGAAGTAACCGCCGGGGGGAATTCCGCCCTTTATCAACCACCGTCGCCGAGGCACAACTGCACACAGCAATGGACCACAACAGGGAATTGAGGGAGGAGAAATAAGGACGCAATGATCGCAATCAACAGCAGGCGATCTAGTCATCTCTCATATCATCACCATCGGAACCAAGCTGTGAGGAACTGCCGATGAACCCCACGGCCCCACGGCAGCGCAGGACCAGCGGATGCGGTGGGGTCTGGGGGTAGAGGCTTGACTATAAAACTAGATGGCCCGCCCTGCAAATCATTGCAAGCTGCAATTCCATTATGAACGCCTTCGAGTACAACCCTAACCCCGGCCGTGTCGTCTTCGGCAGCGGCACCCTGCAGAAACTGCCGGATGAGATTGCCCGTCTGCAGGTGAAGGCGCCACTTGTACTGTCAACGCCCCAGCAGATCAGCCAGGCCGAGAGTGTCCAGAGTGTCCTCGATGGCCAGGTCGCTGGTATCTTCAGCGAGGCGACCATGCACACCCCGACTCACATCACCGACAAGGCTCTCGAGTATGCAAAGGCCCAGGGCGCCGACTCGGTCATCTCCATTGGCGGTGGCAGCACGATTGGCCTGGGCAAGGCCATCAGTATTCGCACTGGACTGCCACATATCTGCATCCCCACGACCTATGCCGGCAGTGAGATGACGCCCATTCTAGGCGAGACAACCGACGGTCTGAAGAAGACTCGTTCCGATCCCAAGATCTTGCCGGGCACGGTCATCTACGATGTCGATTTGACCATGACCCTGCCGACGGCGATGAGTGCCACTAGCGGAGTCAATGCAATTGCTCATGCAGGTAGGTTCAGGTGATGGGAAGTTATATCAAATCCGGTGTCAGTGATTAACGTCTGTACTCTTCTAGTTGAGGCTCTATATGCTCGCAACACCAACCCCATCATCAACATGATGGCCATCGAGGGTACCCGTGCCCTTGCATCCGCCCTTCCTGAGATTGTTGAGAACCCTTCTTCGCAATCCGCCCGATCTCGGGCCTTGTACGGTGCCTGGCTCTGTGGCACCTGCCTTGGCAGCGTGGGCATGTCCATTCACCATAAGCTGTGCCACACTTTGGGTGGCAGTTTCAACCTCCCCCATGCAGAGACTCATACCGCTGTCTTGCCGCATGCCATTTCATACAATGCTCCTAACATTCCCGAGGCCATGAAGCAGCTCGCCAATGCGCTGCCGGACAGCAACGGCGATGCGACTCACGGCTTGAATGTTCTGCTGACCAAGCTCGAGGTCAAGCGTGGCCTGAAAGAATTCGGGATGAAAGAGGAAGATGTGGACAAGGCGGCCGACATTGCGGTCTCCAATCCCTACTGGAATCCCCGTCCGATCGAGCGGACTCCGATCCGTGAGCTGATCCGCCGTGTGTGGGCGGGCGAGCCGGCGCGCGACGACCTGTAGATATACTGCACTGCGCGACGAGCGACACGAAGAAATCTTTTTCAATCATGGCCCAATTACAAATGTTTCCGAGTTTTCAAGATGGATATTTCAATAAGGGCAAGACCTAAATACAGAGCCTACTGTAATACTGGAATATCTATGGGATACAATTGTTGTAGAATTGTATGGTAGTGCTCTGTCAATCGGTGGCGGCACAATTGCTTATCGGCGCGAAGTGGGGGATGCGTTTTTCCCCAAAAATTTCCCGATCATCCCACTTCGCAACGCCTGCCACCACCTCCCCCCAATCCCAATACCAAATGGGTTCCGAAATGGAGGCAGCCCCTGTGCTGTCCACTCCCGACGATCGAATCCTCGAGGAATCGACTCCGATCGCCTCCGTCGATGCCACGAAACGGCTTTCCGATGACGAACTCTCCATTACCTATGACATCGAGCGCACGCTGAAGGAGATCCGCCAGGCGCGGTACAAGCGGATTGCCCTTCAATTCCCCGATGACATGCTCCCGGACGCCCCACGGGTCTTTCAAATGCTCAGCCGTGGTCTTAACTCGGAGGAAGTCGTTCATGCAAACGGCACTCGCCCTGCTGGTTCGGCCGAACAGACAAACGTTGGTTTTGGTGCCACCGATGCGAACAGTATAACCAAGGGAGTGTCTCAAATGTCAGTGGAGAGTGAGGGTGAAAAGTGGTCCCCTCGATTGTATATCCTCGCAGACACTTCCTATGGCACATGCTGCGTGGACGAAGTGGCTGCTGAACACGTGGATGCGGACGTCGTGGTGCACTATGGAAGGTCTTGCCTATCGCCAACGGCCCGGCTGCCCGTGATTTATGTCTTCACCTGCAAGCCATTGTCCACTAACCCGGTCGTGCAAGCATTCAAAGAGATCTACCCCGACCCAACAACCAAGGTCATCCTGGCTGCTGATGTCACTTACACACACCATGTCCCTGCATTGTACGAATCCCTGGTGAAAGAAGGGTATACCAACCTGTTTGCCACGGAGGTGGTCCACGAGCCTTCGTCGGCTATTCCAAACCGTACGGTGCCTGAGTCAGTGGGCGCCGCGCCAGAGACCCTGTCAGACTGGCAACTGTTCCATGTCTCCGACCCGCCGACCGCCCTCTTGATGACGCTTGCCTCTCGAGTTGCCGGGATCCATATATATCCTACAGACACTCCGGGCAACCGAAAACCCAAGCCGTTGCCCGCGTCCACTGCGGCGGCCTTGCGACGTCGCTATGCGATTACCACCCGCCTGACCACTGTTCCGATCTGGGGAATCTTGATCAACACGCTGAGTGTGAAAAACTACCTGCATATCGTGGACCATGTGAAAGAGCAGATTGCGGCTGCCGGCAAGAAGAGCTACATGTTTGTCGTGGGCAAACTCAACGCAGCCAAGGTTGCTAACTTCAGCGAGATTGGCGGCTGGGTAGTCATTGGCTGCTGGGAGAGCTCCTTGGTGGACAGCAAGGATTTCTGGAAACCAGTCATCACGCCGTTCGAATTGGAACTGGCCTTGAAGGACGACGCCGAACGGGTGTGGACCGGCGCCTGGCAGAGTGATTTCCAAGCCATCCTCGACAAGCCACAAGAGTCGACGGAGGAGGGAGAGGAGAGCACCAATGGTGCAACCATGGACGACGATGACATGTCAGAACCCGAGAGCGCGCCGCCGGAGTTTGACCTGCGCACTGGACGATACGTCTCGCATTCCCGACCCATGCGGGAGCCCGCGTCCCGCGCGTCTGCCCAGATCGATGGATCTGGTCCCTCTGCTGCTCGCACCCTGGCCCGGCGGGCAAAGGGCGACCTTGCGATGATCGGTGGCGCCGTTTCACCAGGCGCCGAATTCTTGCGGTCGCAGCGGACGTGGAAAGGGTTAGGTAGCGACTTTGATATTCGTTACGACGAGGAGGACGACCAGGAGGATAGCACCTTGGTCAAGGAAGGGCGCAAGGGTATTGCCAGGGGGTACACCGTGGGTGAATCGAACGAGAAACATTAGGCCGCCATTTGGAGTCCATTCTGTCCACAAAGCAGCCCGCTTGGGTCCCGTCCAAAAGCCCAAAAGCATTTCGCCGGTGTATTTAGCATTATGAAACGTACTACTGTATGATGAAAAATGATAGATATGAAATACTACTAGTACTTCGAGCAAGGAACCCTAGAAATCATTGCTCTCTACTTCAAGTTACCATCCGGAGCCGTACAAAGTATACAACATCACATGACACCCACGGGTGCATCCGGCGAGCCATGACAGTCTTGCCTGCATCGCGCTTGGGTCTTCCTCTCTTCTCCTCAAGCCCAACGCCTTTCTCATCCGAATCATCCACCCCCCTTCCCACGCCATTTCTCCCGGACTCGCCCTCGCTGCCTGTCGCGGTGCTGCCCCTTGGGACCCGCCCTTGCGATCCACCGCTTATCGATTGCCCGATCTCCAGCGAGGAACGTCAACGCTGGATGAGTCCAAGTCGCCCTGGCCTTGCATGCTGTGGCTTACCTTGAGATGTGATTATCGCACCCGATCCATCCTACCATGTGCTGCGCCTACACTGGAATCGCCCGCGACCTCGCGTTCCTTTCGACTTGAGTCAGCGACTGCCGCTGAAGATGGGACTTCAGCACGACATGACGGCGGTGGATGTTGGCGCCCAGCCAGCGCCGCAAGCGCTGGCGAAAAACGCCCTGCAGGAAGCTGTGCTCCCACGCGACCGAGTGCTCTCTACGTTTGAGCGCACAATTGCCTTCAATGCCCCCGTCCTTGAATCGCTCCTCCTCCAGCTTCCGACCGACGCCATCCTCAAGCTCTACCAGACTAGCCCCTACCTCCGCACCTTTCTTCCGTCATGTCCCACCGCGTGGAAGCTACTGTCATTTCGCTTGATGTCTCCGTCCCTACCACAGGTGCCTGCCCATATCGTGCCGCCGGGCACATCGGAGCGAGAGGCGGAGAACCCGCCCCAGCGTCAGTCGCGACCCTACGCCTTGGATCAACTCCTGATGAATGTGTTGGTACCTTTCAGTGTGTGCCTGAAGAGCTTGGAGCTGGATAATACGGCTGTCTCCGGACAGATTCTCGTCTCTACTGTGTTGCATGCTCGCCGGGAGACACTAGAGCACGTGTCTGTTCGGGGATGCAAGCACGTCTCCCTCAAATATCACATAATCCCATACCTCACCATGTTTGGACTCCAATACGACGTGGACATGGAGAAAAACATCGGCTCTTCCCAGACGACGAGACGGTTGGCGCTGAAGAGTCTCTATACATACCGGTGCCGCCATCACCGCCGCCGCCCTTATCTCTCCGTGTCACTCTTCCGCAAGGACTCTGACTCCGAGCCGACACATGAGCTGGTCAATCTGTGCCATAAACTAGGTATCTGGACTGATACCGCCTGGTGTACGACGCCTGCCGGGAGGTGCTTTCGCCGGCGCGGATATGTGGCGATGCGCGTCCCACATGGTTCCCCAGAGGTATGGGTGGTCTTTGATCGTCTCTGGCGAAGCAAGAACTGGATCGGACCTGTCGATACGGAATCAAGGAAAACACATGTTCGGGATGGCAAGCTTTGGGAGACCTCTGAGACTGGATATCTCGGCGAAGCACTGGGCACTGGCGACGGGCCCGAACCTGGTGAGGGCAAGATGACGCCGGCCCATCTGCGAAATAGCCACGCGCGCTTTGTCGAAAATGTGAAGTGCGACAATTGCGCAGAGGAGATAACAGAGCGGTGCGAACAGTGTAGTATCTTGATGCACTGCGTGGGATGCCGCAAAACGCTCTGTGCCAGTTGCGCCTATGAACGGCCTTATCTCCACCGAGGTCCCTCTTCAACATCTACAGGCAATGCCAATGGAAATACACCGGAATCATTGTGGTGGGCGCCGGGGGCAATTTTCTCCCCAAGCTCAATGCAAGATCCCATTTCCAACCCCCTCGACACCGCATTGAATGGGCTCTCACACACCTCTAGCCCCGCTCTTAAATTTCACTGGTGCTGTGCAGAGCCCATTTTTTCCGGCGGCGGGGGAATCAGCATTGGTTCTGCAAATCGAGACGTAGATCATGTGCGGGCAGTGCCTTTGCCTCGAAATCAGGGCTGGGAAGACTTGGAGTACACCGTCAGCGAATGGAGCAAGACCTTTCCGAAGTACGCCTATGGCGATCCCTCAAAGCCGGACTATTCGCTTGAGACTGGTCATCTCGCCATGATGAAGTGGTTGCTGGGTCCGCCGGACCGAAAAGTATCACCTTGCCCACGTAACCTTTGCCAGGAGTGCTATGACTCGCCTCAGTGGAAGGTGCATTGCAAGAGCTGCTCCAAGCCACTCTGCATTGAACACGACCTGCGCGGACTGCGGTTGCGCATCTGTGGGTACAAAGACCTCGGCATTGAGAAAGAAAATATTCAAAAGCGATCTGCGGCCACCACCCTGGCAGCTGGTGTCTCGACAAGCCAATCCGCCGGTTTTGATCTCCCATTCCGGACGCAACGTCTCGTCGACTCAACCAACAGTAGCTTCATCAATGGCCCACAGGGCGATGCACCGAGCGATGAAACCTTCGTCAATACACCGAACGACGACATTTCGAGTCGTACCTTCTTTCCACGAAATCCCACTCGCTCCTTTTCCGCCCCACCGTCTAACCAATCTGGATCATCGTCCCCGTCGAGCGCCTTTTCTTTTGAGTCAACGTTTGAGGCACCACGTTGGCAGGGGTGTCAGTCCTTCTTCTGCCCCACAAACCGCCAACCCGGAGATCAGCGCCAGCGTTGCCCGAGCTATATCCGTGAATGCAAGAGCTGCCTGGTCTACGTATGCCAGGAATGCGTACAGGCCAACCCGCCCTGCAAGTGCTCATACTGTGAGGAGAACTATCTATGTCCCAACTGCATGCGGCAGAGCCCCTCCGATGGCCCTTGCCGCCGTCGCGAGGACGAAAAGGCACGGAAGGAGCGGAAATGGAAAAAGGATATGCAGGAGCTGGAAAGTATCCTCCAGCTCAAGCTCGCCAATGAAGTGGCAGAGTTTGTTGGACAATTCTTCGACTCGGTGGACTATGACCACAACTCCGGTCCTGCGGTCACTCTGAGCGTCCAGTCCGATCTCGGCAGGCCCGACGACATCACACCTTCCGCTTCCCACAGGCCCCCATGTGAACTGACCGACGTGACCGGGGCAATGGAGCCTGGTCTGTTCATTGATCCGGATGATCTGCCCCCAGAGGAGTAGACATCCGCTAAGGCGACTACTACCCCATCCCGCTATTCTCACACCGTTCTTTCCTCTATCTCGTGATTCCCAATATTTGCCATCTCTCGGTTTCTTTAGCGATCTTCATACCCGGCGCCAGCAGGATTCCAGTTCATTTGAGACTCATTCTTAACTTTTTTTATTGGTATTTCAACATTTCTTCCTCTTTATATTTTTCCTGACTACGGCATCATTACGAGTAGTCCATGCATCAGAGCTATATATCAAGGGGCCAAACCCTGGCGGTTTTACGAGGAGTTGAGACATAGGTGTGGCATCACAACTTTGTTCCAAGTTTTCCAACCCCTCCTTTCAATCCGGCCCAGCGCTGCAGCAGAACCGGGCACATTGCCTTCATCCTTCCTGTTGGTTCATCAGCCCCATCTCCAAGGGTGCAGGAACGCAACCCGCGAGCCAATAGACGCGGGAACTGTGCTAGGAGCGCTGACGACCTTGGCCTCTTTTCTTTCTCTTTTCCGCTCCTGTCGCCATCATCCTTGTCCTACCGTAAGGCTGGAGTTGCCGAGGCTGAGCTGATGATCCCTGGTCTGTGATGACATGGGTTTGGTGGGCTGGCATTTCCATATTGTTTCTTTGCTTTTATTTCTCATAAAGACCGGGTTAACATCCTATGTATGTCCATGTCGTATATTGGTATGTATCTATCACTAGCGAATCTACAGTTTCCTGGTCCCCTCCCCTTCCGCATCGAGTATCCCGAACAAGCCTCTTTTCCTGATCAGATCAACCCATGTATCCATGGGGCAATAGACCCGTCCAGTTCGATCCAAAATTCAGCATCGACATCTCCGACATCCCCATCGATGCTCCGTGCCCTTGACTAGTGTAGTCTAGCAGTGGAGCGCCCCAAGACAATAGTACGACGCCAGGATGTGGATCCGATTGGCTCTGTCCACCCCGCGAGATGCACCTGGGGTTATCATTTCCGTTCATCCACCGCCGTTCGCGCGATGTATCTTTTCTTCCGGAGGTTAATTCGCGCCCTAGAGGCTCTAGAAAACGACTACGCTGACGTGGGGCCCGGTCCGACAGTGCCTATATCGTACTTCTGATGACGATATTGGTCCACTGCATCGCTCCAAACAACGCCCGGTCGTACTTTCGTCATGCAAAAGTCCGGTTTTTGGCGTTGGTCTGGTGATACTCCATTCTCACAGATTCTGATCTTCGTTGCAAAGGTCCTTCTCCGTAGCTAATCGGGCAATCTTGACGTGGCGGGTTGCTCAGTTAGATCCGTCAGCTGTATCTTGTTGCCTTTTCTCAATGACAAAGTCCCGAGTTTGAGTCATGCCGCGCGCTTGGGTTTGAGTACCTGTCGACGTCATTCGGATCGGTATCCATAGCCATAGATCGTGGTACCACTCAGGCGGGAGGGTTTACGCCTCTGGAGAGCTTGTTCGATCGAGTGGGTTCGGATTGAAGACGCTCAAAGTACGTGTTCGTGCCTTGATTGCGTTGCCTTGGCTACGGCTTATCCTCGGGGATTCTACATTTGCATGAGTATTGGCGTTGCATTGTTTCGGCGGTGACATGCTGATCCAACACTGCCCTTTCTCGGGCACGGGACTGCTGCTGCCTGTGAGTTTGGCAATGAATCGGTGAGATCCAAGGTTACGCGGTCAACAGTCGTCCGCTCCCAGGGGGACGGATGAGCATGAGCCCAAGTTTCAGGTTGTAAGCCCAACTTGGTGAAGTATGACATGACCACGATCCACTCTGGTTCCCCAAGGCTTCCACGCGGGTTCCATCTAATCAGTGCCTACTGCGGCGGAAAGGACGGTTGGAACAACAGCAAGAGGCCCATGTCATCTCGCTTGCCCTAAACGAGAAGTGCCCATTTCGGTATAAAATCACCCTGGCAAACCTTAATCCCTTGTCGAGCAAGCGCACTAGCATGGCAAGGGCTTCGACATGAAGATTGACGTCTTTGCGAATGTTGTGCTGAAGCTCCGACGCACACGAGAGCCGGCGACCAGTCAGGATAGGCCACACCGACGGTCTTGCACCGCCAAAATGCCGACATCGTCACTTTCCGCTGTCAACGAAGCTAAGGCGCGGTCAGATGACGGCCAAAGTGTCGGTCGGGTACGTGTCTGCATGTAGACGGAAAGTGCTATGCACCCAAGTCGCCAAAGTACTAGCCCGAGCACAGCCAGGGTCTGGTGGTGAGAGGGTTTCTGCATTGTAAATAGTAGCAGCGGAATAAGATTGGATTGGACATGGAGGAGGCGGATGCGAGGCAATGCGGTCAATGGGACTTGAGACAAACCGTGCCACCGACCACAGAAACACGGCCGATCACTGTAGGAGGGAAGCACAGAGTCTGGCATGGTATTGTTCCACGTGGGTTTGAAAGATGCAACGTCCCGGCACCAGAATCTTGGCCATGGAAGGGGAGGGAGGGGCGCTCTCGGTAGATTTCCCGATGGAGAGCGAGTACATCTCCTATCCAGCCCATATGTGCCCATATGTGCCCATATGTACCCCCTGTACGGCCCAGTCAGGCATGGCGATGCCCAGCAGGCGCTTCGGGCCCTGGGAAGGAGTGGGCTGCTGGGCAATAATCGGTGTACCCTGAGCCCACGGCGAATCAGATTGACGCGGTTGCTGCATCCGCCTGCGCTGCGACCCTTCACATCGCAGACAAGCAGAGATCGGGCGTGGATCAGCTGTGGTAAACCTAACCCGACTCCCCGGGCCCTGCGACGCCTCGCACAGTTTCAGTGGCGTCCCCCACTTCTTCTTTTCCTTCCTTCTCGCGCGTCTACCTAATACTCAGTAAGTTGGCCATCGGCTCGGGTGGAGATGTTCCGCCCACTCCACTCTGCCTTGTCGACTGCGGCCAGATATCAGATCGGTTGGCGCGGATGCAGGACCAAACCCCCCGATTGGCGCGGGATGCGACGGTGTCGGGCGCAGGGAGAGATCCTATTAGCTGTGCGGGTGCAAAGAGGGTCTTTTGGTCGATGGGGAGTCTCGGACTGGGTCCGTCAGATCACGCACAGGCACTGACATCACCGCGCTGTGTTTGTGCCTTTCTTTTTTTTTTTTTTTTTTTTTTTGGCTTTTGGACGGTGAGTGGAGTCCTGCCATCGCCTCCACTAGTCGATCGGTCGATGTATCGCGTCGAAGGGCCAATGGGGGAGAATGGATATCGCATAGGCGGTCCGCCATGCCGTTCGAGGCGAGAAGGACGGAGGAACGAATGGGCCGCGCGAATCCAGGGGGAACGCGAAGGTCGGTGAAGGGTGTGACCCGTGACCGAGGCAAACATTGCTCTTTCCCAATTTCCCGTTTGAATTTACTTTTTCTTTTCTGTTTCTTTTTCTTTTTCTGGTTTGGGGATCAATGTGGTATTTTCATTATTATTATTAATATTACTTTTTTTTCTCTTTCTGTTCAGGATTGTCTCTATTAGGTTACCGTTTCTTCGACTGCTTCCATTCCAACCGGTATATAAAGGGGCGCCTGTCTCCGAGCCACAACGGTTGGAAGCCCAGCGATCTCGATTTTATCTTTGCCTCTGTGAATATTTACCTCTCTCGACGTCTTTGAAGACAGTGACTCCAATCCTCTCCTCACGCGACCTGGTGCTCCTTCATCCTTCACCACATACACCCCCATACATACTATAATACCTTAGGTACACTTCCACACATTGCGCCATGGATTCCATCAAGACCAAGGATGTCGCGCCGGAGAAGAAGGACAAGCAGCCACAGCTCAGCGACGTCGAGCAATATCAACGCCGATGGGAGCAGTTGATGGACGATACGGCTAAGCAGATCCAAAAGATTCGAGGTACGATCGTGACGTCTGATGCATCACATGCGGGGATCACTGACACTTTCCGGTTGAAAGACGAGGAACAAAGGAAAACCGCTCAGGGCTCGCGATAAACGCCACTCTCGAACACTCGATGGTGGCCACTGCAAAGGGACGGAGTTTGGAATCTCTTCATATTTTCTCTTGTCGATATTTTGGGTTGATCATCATTGTTGTCTCTCGTTGATCCTACTGGATTTTCTACGGAGATTAGGAATACCCATGGGAGCCGGGTACCGCATGGCATATCGGATGGACACTCGTTCTGGAGTCCGGATTTTTAGAGGAGTTTTTGCAGCAAGCTGAATCGCATTGCTGGCATTTCCGCATTCACACTGACCCTGCCCTAACCGTATTGATTATGGATCGTGGCACAGCCACCCGAGTAATTCCTTTTGATGACGAGGCTGCATTTTTCCCAAATGTTGCCGCACCCGCGCCAATGAGCGATCGCCGCGCGAGTGGGCTGGCGTGCATATCCCGCGCGCATCCCTGGGCGATCTTCGTCGACTGATCCCCTCGGCCTGTCAAAACGAACAGGTCCTCGTCTCGATGCTCCTCAACGGTATGAATGCGCCGAGTGGGACGTGAGACATTCCGAGATCCGCTGTCAAGGAGGCTCGGACTGAACCTTAGCCAGCGATAGTGCATGAATTAATGCACCGAGCCGCGCAGCGGTCGGCTCCCCTGGGTGCAGCGTGGCGCAGAAATGCCCAACTTTTCAGCTCGCCATGGACAATGGCATTCTGTCGTGTCAAGGTGCTGGGGAGCGGTGTGTCGATAACACACACCACCGTGCAGGGACGAAGGTGGTCTGGAACTGGACAGAGGACTCGACTGTATGAGTCAACCCAGTCGATGGACCGCAGTCTCGCTCTGGGTCTCCACCGAGCGATCAGGATATCCTCAGCATCGATCATAGACGGATCGTCCCCCTGCAGGCCATTTGACAGCATTCCGTACCGTTTGCCGATCGCGGGTCGGAATCCATCGGCTTTCCATTGTCCGCTTTGAGGCTGCGCGACAGATCAACCCTTTCGGCGATCTGTCAGGGATCGTCGGACGTTGACATTTCCACGCAAGGAGAAAACACGCGTATAGCGCGGCTGCCGGGAAGTCACAGCATGTTTGCTAGCGCTCCTCTCTGGAATTTATTATTTTCGACCAGTAGGCGGGTTGAGTTGTGAAGTCCTCCGTTGATTGGTCGTACACGCCATTGTGTCAAAGTTGAATTGTGAGAGGTGGTCTTAAAGGGGAGTAGTCGTCGTCGTTGGTACATAGTTGAGGGTATATCTAAGCAAGTCCGGACTAGGAGCCGTCTGGAAGGACGGTTCCACCGCCAAGCCGTCCCGCATTCTTTTCCCTCCTCAGCTTCACCGCGTCAACAGTCATCCACCATGTCTGCCGAACAGAACCCCTCGCCTGCCGAATTGGCCCAGCGTGAGCTCGAGGAGAAGGAACGCAAGGCTCGTGAGGTCGCTGAGCAGGCTCAGCTTCCTTACAAATGGACGCAGACCATCCGCGATGTGGACGTGTCCGCCCCGATCCCCGCCAACATCAAGGGTCGCGACATGGAGGTCGTCCTGACCAAGACGAAACTCAAGGTGGCCATCAAGGGCCAAGAGCCGATCATCGAGGTGTGTTTGGAAGTGACTGGCTGTAAACTCCCGGCGGAATTCCAAGACTAACTGCTCCCCGCTGTTAGGGCGACTTCCCCACCCTATCCGCGTCGACGAGTCCTCCTGGACCCTCGAGACCACGCCCACCCCGCCCGGTAAAGAGGTGAATATTCACCTGGACAAGGTCAACAAGGTCGAGTGGTGGCCGCATGTCGTGACGACCGCGCCCAAGATCGATGTCACCAAGATCCAGCCCGAGAATTCCAGCCTGAGCGACTTGGACGGCGAGACCCGCGCAATGGTTGAGAAGATGATGTATGACCAGCGACAGAAGGAGACGGGTGGCATGACGAGTGACGAGCAGCGCAAGGCGGATCTACTGAAGAAGTTCCAGGCCGATCATCCGGGTGAGTTGAGAAGTGTCCAGCCTTCCACCCAACATACTACTTTTATTTGTTCTCCATGTTTGCTCCAGATGCTAACGACCTGCAGAAATGGATTTCTCGAACGCGCAAATTGGTTAAGATGCGCGTCCCAGGTCTCCCATTACAGTGTATGAAGTATGAATAATGCATCTCAATGAACCACACTATTCTCTTTTTGTTCTTGTTCTCCGCGTCACACATATCTCATCCTCATATTTCCTATTCAATCGTATATCGAGGCACCATCATGCCTTACCTCAGCGTGCCCCGCATGATTCCTTCATGTTAGGCATCACGACCCGATTGGGATGAATACGAGGACTGCCTGTTCGGGACTAGCGTGCCCGTGATCTGCGCAGCTGCCTTCTTCTTCTTCTTGTCTTCGTCTTCGCGCTATGAATTCACCCTGTGAGATCCTTTCTTCAGCCAATGGATGCCGTTGGAATTCTCATTTCGCAACTTCCATTGATCAAATTGCGCCTCCGAATGCCCCGTGGTTGGACCCGCTCGCGTGAACGCCCTGACTCAGAGCAGGGCGCAGCTGTACGGGGCACTGCCGATTGAGAAGGCTGATATCGGCTATATTGTACATGATTCTTCATTGCGAGGCTCCAACTCAACTCAAAATACGTTCTAGCATTCACCCTATCGACCTAGATTCCCGTGGAATGTCCGTCTAGACCCGTGTGCAATGCGCCACTCGAAAGTCGACATGTCTCAACCGATGCAAGGGCACCAGAGTGTATTCCGAGTCCCGAACTACAAATCACAATCCACCGGTACGCATGGTCCGGTAGGCGACCCGACTGAACGGGTCTACCATTCCCGCCGGACGCACCGCAAGTCCCGCGGAGGCTGCGCGACCTGCAAGAGCCGACGAGTTAAGGTATACTGGCGAACTTCCCCCTTAGGTCCCGGGTAGATCTGCCGGTTGGATCGGTTGTTGATTCGTTGCTCTAGTGTGATGAGTCAAAGCCTCACTGTCTCCGCTGCCAAAAGCATGGAGTCGAGTGTAACTATACGGCTGCACCCGTTCGTACCAGGCCCACCAAACACGTCGTCCAGCGGTTTTTGGAGTCTCGGCCCGACCTACTCTCGACGGAATCGTTGGCAATCTCGATGTCCTTGTTGGTCGTGGCGGATAAGCTTAATGAATTGTTGCAGCCGGAGCCACCTTCCCCGTCATCATCCTCCTCGTCATCTTCGTCGCAGACCATATCACCTGGTCCAGATCGAGCGTTGGAGGCCTTGCATCATTTCCATCAGGCCACGTTCCATAGTGACCTTTCGAAATCTGATATAGGTGCGATGATGGGAAAAGTTACCCAACTTGCATTTGAGGTAAGATCGTGAAACTATGTTTTCGTGGCTGCAGCGACGAAAGCATACTTGGTTCGACTTGCTAATACTAAAAATTGTAAAGACGCCATTGCTCATGCACGCTATCATTGGAGTGGCTACTACACATTTATGCAGCGTGATACCCAATAACTGCTCTTATCGCGTCGCCGAATCCTACCATTGGCAACAGGCGATTCAACGTTACACCCACGAGATTTCCTCAGGCGTGACCGAGAAGAATATGGACCCACTTTACTCCGCCTGCATTCTCCTCACCATCCACAGCTTTCGATTAGGAGAGTTCAATCCGCGTGCGTCTTTTGTCTTTTCCGATAACCCGACGGATCTCAACTGGCTTCGCCTGCAAGGTGGCCTTCGCTACCTATTGGATCGTACCCAACGCTGGATGCCAGATAGTATGTGGTTCACGCTTTTTGAGCAGTCTCGTTACGACGAATTCAGCTACGATGATGATCGGCCCGGCCGGATCGATTTGGACCCAGACCTCGCAGATGTCTGTCGTATCACTGAGACTTCGACCGTAACAAATAACCCTTACCTATGGCCGCTGCGCATGCTTACAAATCTCCTTGCGCTTGGAAATACCAAAGAAAATTACCGAAACTACTACTACAACTGGATGGGTCGCCTCGAGCCAGAGTACTACGATTGTCTCCTGCGAAAAGACCCCCTGCACTGATTCTACTTGCATGGTGGCTCGCTCTCATGTGCGTGGATGAGGAGTGGTGGATCGAAACGCGGGTCCGATCGGAGTGCACTGCCATCTGTATGAAGCTGGAAGACAGTGCAGACCCAGTTGTGCTACGTCTGCTAGAATTCCCGGCGCAGTCCTGTGGCTATCTTTTGAATCACGTGCAGGAGCGAAATGCGATCCAGGCCCTCTTCGACACCAACGTGGAGTTTTGAAAGGCCCTGGAACTGAATAACTTGATAAATTACGAAACTTTCATATACCAATCCCTAAAAAAATATAATTTAAATTCAAATCAAATCCTGTAAACACGAAATCAATTTAATTATCGATGACACTAGAAGGTGTTCTGCGAGATCAGTCTATTCCAATTTGATGATTTGATCATCTATTTGAATCTGATAATCTCCAATTCGTCCTAACATGAAATAGTTAGCCATAATACACCGCACGATCTGCGATGTTGACTTCAAAATTACCCGGTACAATCAACTCCTTGACTGCCCAGCCCTCGACTTTGGGATATTCACGGAGAACTTCGCGATACCTGGGAGCTTTAGGCCGCAAAATATTGTTGCCACGACTAAAGCACCAGAAGGAAGACCGCCGAGGTCCTCGCACATCTGGAGATCCGAGAAGTAGAAGTCTTCATCGTTATCCAGGAACAAAAGGTCAACCTGAATCAATTTATCCTCGGGGGTGAAGCCTCCTCACAGAGTCAGCCGCAGATCCCACAAAGATCTTCACGACATCACCCGGTCTAGCAAGATCAGCAACGCTCATCGCAACAGCCGCAATGAGAGGGTCGAATTTTCCAAACTTGAGAGTTTTACCGCTTGCCCCGACTTGGTGGACCGACGCATGACTTCGCCAAAGCAGATTGAGGAATAACTAACGTAGCCACCGAGTTCAACCAGCACGGAAGGACTTTTTCCTGCTTGATAATATCGCAGACTTTAGCACCTTAGTCGGATCCTATATTGATGAGAAAGCCCTGTTGCGCAGCAAACCAATCCATTACGCGAAGGATGGCAGACGGCGACCCACGGAGCTGGTTGAGCGCGGTGTGTGACTGTAGACATTCTTGAGGGCGACGTCTCGTCCATAGTGAGACAGTGTGATCGTTATTGTCAAATTTGGCGAGGGGACGATATTTTGGCGACAATCTCTTGGGAGAAAGCCATTGTGTACTCGTATGCTTGGGGATAGTCAGGAGGAAGAAACGTTGCATAGTCGCGCGGCTTATATACTTGCATTTTAGGCGGGTGGGGACCAACACTTGTGAACGTGCCAACTATCAGCCTAGGGATTCATTTCATAGTGGGAGACCTGACGTTGAGGGACATGCTCGTTCGAATAGAGTCGTCGGGAATGACATGCAAGGCTGCAGTGGAGAGTGATAAGATTTGATGCAATGTGGTAGGGCATTGCTTCATGTTTTGTCGAAGTCACTACCTAATGGTCCGTTGGCTTGTGTGGACACCGGCATCTTAATTAAATGACCGGACATACATCCGAGGTCATGAAATCATGAAACCAAGAGAGGGCTCGGTGCCTTCTTTTGATACATCTCGAGTTGCAATTCCTCACTGATAGCTCCGAGTCGCTTCAACTATCAGTTTAACTCGCCAACCGCCTTTCTAGGCCCATTTTGCTGAAGTGACAGAACACGCTCGGCCGCGCCAGGTGTGCGAAACCGGGATTTCGATGCTCACAGCTCTTTCTCGAGCCTTGCAGATAGAAGGTATCAATATTCCTGTTCGTACAAAATAGGATGATTTTTGGACATTGGGAGCTCATAGACGACCCTCTTCACAGCGTTGCCGCGGAATAACTCTCATCCCTCGCTGGACCGGAAGTGACATCCCCGCAATTTCATCCGCGAGAAAAAAAGGCAGAGTGAAACCTGCACTCCCCACGACCCTCGAACTGCTCTTTATTATTATAGCTGATGTATCCCAGCATCTAAGACCGCACTCTGAGGTTCCGGTCTGTACGGGTCTCGTTCCGAAGCACCACGAACCCGCGCCTTCCGGCAATGTCCCCCCAACCCGAACGTCCCGCGACAAGGCAAAAAGCTGCACAGCCGTCGCCTGCGGCAGCATGCGAGGCATGTAGGAGATTGAAGATGCGATGTATTCGCTCGAAAGATCAACAACAGGCATGCGACCGTTGCAAACGAACGAAGCGCAGCTGCAGGATCCCTTCGCCGCGTCAATTAGGCCGTAAGCCCGGAGCGGTGGGTCGATACCAGGGACTCGAAAAGGCCTATCGAAGAATGCAGGTGGAGTTGAAGAAGGCCAAGGCGTCTCCGGGAGATAGCCATGGAATCAACGAGTTGGCATTGAGAGAAAGGGAGCTATCAGAGCTCCGATCGTCTGCGCAAACGGACGATGACTTATCTTTGGAATGGATCCAACGTACCAGCGACATACAGAGACTCGCCGGGAATACTACCACAGATATGATGAGATCATCTGCTAGGTCACCTGTCACATACAAGCTTCAGTCTATTTCGAAGGCAGCAGTACTTGATCCTCTGCATGCTGATGCCACGCGTGGTGCCCACTCGCACGCTCCTCTTGAACCTGTCAGCAACCCATTGGCTCTGATGGCTGATGCTGCAGTGGCAGCTCAAGCAATGACAACACACCCCGAACAGGCAGGTACTTCCCCGGGATCCAATGATGGGGCTCAGTATGAAGCATATGGAGTATCTGAAGGCCAAAGCTTACTCCATCGGCCTGGATATCTTTCTCTCGGTCTTCAACTAGATCGGCAAACCCTGGAAAGAGGCCTAGATGCGCTGCTCAATTCAGGAAATGAGGCAGAGCATCAACATTTGAATTACTTTCGCCCTCCTGATATGAATCTTCCTCGGGATGTTGGCCCGGACTTAGATCCCATTGATCTGGGCTTGATCACCGTCGGAGAATCATCTGCCCTGTTTGCCATGTTGGTGAAATTGAACTGGATATAATGTTTTTTCGGACCTTTCCATTGACTTTTCGCAGTTACTTTTCCCACCTTCACGTCATCAACGGAATCCTTGACCCTCTGTTGCACACCCCGGAGTTTGTCCGTTCCCGATCATCACTCCTTTTCACGTGGATCCTGGCCCTCACGGCGCAATTCAATCACCAGTCCGGACATCTTGCCACAAGACTTCGGCTACATGGTGACAAACTGTCTCGACATGTCCACACATGTGGATTTAAATCAGTGGAGATCGTCCAAGGATATTACATTTCGCTTCTCTCCGCAACCCCGGCAAAGAATTTGTCCGAGGAACGCTCCTGGCTTTACACAATGTACGCCTTTGGTGTCGCAGTCGAGCTAGGATTGGACCAGCCATCAAGATTTTGTCATTACCCAGTTTCCAAAACTTCCACTTCTACAATAAGCAGGATTGATGAACGAGAGCTACCGTTTCAGCCCCCACGAATGCCCCAAACCTCGGACCAGGAGGACTTACCCTCATGTCACAGCAGGAATGTCAGAGACGTGGGAGGCCAAGCATACATCCAAAGACTAGCGCGCAATCAAGAGCGGACCTGGTTTCGGATTTCACTTTGGGAGCGAGCAAACAGTGCCGCTTGCGGTAGGGTCAACGTCTTTCCTGATACGGAATTGATGTCCAACGTTCATAGTTGGTGGATGCATCCTCTTGCTGATTCAACCGACAAGTACACATGTGCATTTGTACTTCTTCGTCGCGACATTGCCGTTCTTCAAAACGAAACTCGGCGACAAGCAAAATTCTCACAGTCAAATCCCCATTGGGCTCGGGAGCTGATCAATGCAACTTTTGAGCCTTGGCTGCAAAGATGGTTACCCTCAAGAGCAACGCAAGAACAGCCTCAGTGCCTGCCAGACCTGTACCTGTATTATGTATACATTCATGGTCGGTTGTGGATTTTGTCAACTGCATTGAACGCTTCAATGAATATGGGTCAAAATCTGGAAGCAATTCGTGAGGATTGCTTTGAAGCTGCTATTCATTGCAGTGAAATTGCAGTCCACGACTTGCAGTCCATCGGGGAGCCAATGTATTGCATGCTGTCCCCGACATGGGCAATGATATCATATGCAGCAATTCTCGCTCTCAAAATCTTCCCTTTCCTGCATGGGTCTCGTCCGGGACAACAGGTCGAACTTCTCGCATTACTTGCACAAGTGGCTTTGCAACTCGAATGTGCCGGCTCGACTCCTTCCCATCGACTTGGAATTGCCACACTACTTGGTGAACACCTAATGATGATCCTTCGCACGAAAGTAGCTGGTTTGGGAGGCATGGCATTGACTCCCGAGGTACGATCAATGTCATCATCTTCAACTACCCAAGAAAACGGTGGCCACAGAGCAAGGCAAGCAATGCTTACAGAAAATCACACAACGGAGTTTTCAGAACGTTCCCGTTCTATGCATCCAATGGTATCGACATACGATCCTTTCCTCACAACTGCAACGCTGGGAACAGAGACAGATATTGGAGATGAAGGGTTCGAAGGACTGCTGCGAGAGATATTTGGTCCGGGATTTGGTGACGTATATTAGAATACTGGAGTCAAATAAAACAATATGGGGCCAGAGATCATTAACAGATAGATAATCTTGGACTCATGCCACCATCTGCTCTAGGAATTCAATACCACGCCGAAGATTCACATAAAACATTGGTTCATCAGACCCAACAGCGTCAAGATCAATTGGCCCTTGGACATCGAATCCGTGACCACACCCTTCGGCACGCTCCAGAATAAATTTCACTCCAACCTCCTTGAGCTTTTCTGCTGCGCTTGTGCTCTCCTCAAATTCGACCATCACATCCTGGTCACCGTGGATGAGGACAGTAGGCGGAAACTTGTCGGTCACACCGAAAGCGAGAGGGAAAAGAGCTCGGTGAGACACAGGGATTGTATCCAACCCTTGGGAAATGATCTTCAAGCCAATATCAGGAATATGAAGCAAGGCTTCCGGGAATTTTGCAGCGGCCAGGAATGGTTTGATCAATTGGATTCGCTTGTCCTGGGCAGCAGCAGCATGGTCTATCGGGATCGGATGGGAATCAACAGGGTGGCCATTGTAAATTGCTGCATTCAAGGCATCGATCGTCTCCGCAATATCTTCAGGTCGACCCTGTGGTTGGATCCATTTGGGGCGGGAGAAGTCGAACCCACCACAGACAGTAAGCAGAGATCGGATCGGTGGCGATTCCGGTAGTGCAGCAGTTGCAAACGCAAGATACCCCCCTGCACTAGACCCAGCGATGATTATGTTCGTCGTGATATTATCATAGATCCATTGGGTAACGTCACGGGAATCAGATAGCATATCTAATCCAGATGCTTCTGGTAACAGACGGTAAGAGGCAGTCGCATAAGCCCAGTTCCGATGGCGACACGCGTTGATCAACCAATATGGAGGGAAGCTTGACTTTTCGCCTATCATCTAAAGCAACAGAACAAGTCAGCAACATGATTCTGGATTTTCTCAAAAGGGTATGTGCTCATACCAGGTACCCTCCGTGGAAATGGAGGACGAGAGGGTCATCTTGGGAGAAGTTGGGCGGTTTTGTGATGTCTACGGACAGGGCCAAGTCGCCAACCACTTTGTAAGTATGAGTGGTGGACATGGTTGATGGAATGGAATCAGAAACGATTGATTCTGTCTTTCTTCGGAATTTTGGCTGTTCACAGGCCTTATTTATGCTCTTGGGCTTCGAAGGCGAGTACCCACAGGTATTTGCGGTGCGCCTTGTGCTAGCCTTCTTTGTTCCCCGATCGCAAATTCATAAATCTCCGCCGCAATCTTTTTCATGATGATCGCATTTGCTTGAGGACGCAAAATATTGCCAATTTCAGAGAACAGGGCCAAAACCAGTGGGAAATAATAAATAAATGCTTGTTGCGTATGACATGATGTCTCAGAAGGGCTGTATAGGAGGCACCGCAAGGCTCTGGAGCTGGATATAGAGCGACGCGATAAGATACTCTAACCTTCGTTGTTGGAAGATACCTTAGGGTAGTACTCCTTAGGATGACTGAGAACTCCCTGCGGATCCTCTTTGATTAATGAAGATTTCGTTACTTGTAATGATGAACACTGGTCACATGCTGGACACACTGCTAGTACTGCCAAGGTTGTCGTCGTATAGGTACATACTCGCTCTCAGACAGTAGTTACCACTATTCATGCCTGAAGAAACAGGCATCAAACCCCAGGGCCGTGCTGAGTCAACCGCCAATCAGAATCCGCGGGGAATTTGGATGCCTGCGGCTGCGGTTTCTCACCAGCTTGCAACACAGGAACTCTCTTTCCCTCCTCTTCTTCTCTGCATGTCTTTGTGACTCGAGCCTTGTCGCCGGATATTTCTATCTGGCCATTGTATTTCTTTCTCGCCACCGGAGGCTCCTTGACTTCGGAGATCTCCTCGATCTCCATTATCTTGTCTTTATCGCGGTGCGGCTCAACAATCTTGACCTTGAGAACCCTAGAGCCGTCCCCCATAGCGGCCCTGGTTGCTGGTGGACATGCAATAGCCCTGAGAATTTTCCTTCTCCTTCGTCGCACTCCCAAGGTCGCTTTGCTGTTGTAAAGAAACCAAACTCTTTGATCACTCCGTCCAACAAAGCATAGCCTACTCATTCCGCCATGTCCTTTCTGGCCAGCCTTTGCGGCTGCTTTGTCCGCGACGACGAATCCCCCGGCTCTCCGGCCCGGAGATGCAAACCCGCCACCCCCCACTCTGCCATCACAACGGAGTTCAAACTGGTGGATTCACACTGTCCGGCGAGGGCGATTTCATCCGCTCGACTGGCGCTGAGCACGGCCCCCGGCCGGCTGACACAGAAGTTGGGGGCTATGCCAGCGTGGACCCGCTTCCGCAGTACACTGCACGCCCGATGAGTGTCAACGAAAAGACCTTGGAATCACACCTCCGGGACCCATCGATATCGTCTGACTCTAATGCCTTTGATTCGGACGAAAAAGCCCGCCATGAATACCACGAAGAAGTCACATCTGATGCATCCTCAGCCTTTTCATACCCCAGTAGCTACGGCAACACCTCGACCGCAACGCGAGAAACTCCTCCGCCACCGTACTCTCCTCGCTCGTCGGCGGTGTTGACGCGGACGCGGTCCGTGTCTATCTATTCCGTCTCCTCGGCAATGGGAGTCACCATCAGCCCACCACCCATGGCTCGAGTTCATGGTGCACGTACAGGGCCATGTCCATCCGAAGCGGATGACCAGTCGATTCGTCGACATCGACGATCTTCTTGGGAGAGTCATTGATGGTCTCTCGGCCATGTGCTCTCCCTGCCGTTATACTTACTGCTGTCTTGCTGAACACTGACGGTGGCAATCTATTCATTCGCAAAGACCGAGCTGGAATCGGTCGTTGTGTCCACCTCTCCTTACCATTTTTCCTTATTTATATCTCAGCATAGATTGCTGCTACATTGCCTCGCCTGTTTCCTTTGAGAGGACTCAAGCTGCATAAGAACCCCCAACTACATACGATTGGACGATAAAGCGGTTTTGCTGGATTGTGTGACGACCTGGAACGAAAGGATATTTAAGGATACTTAATAATTGGCGCTATTCAAACTTAATTCTGTGGGAATTGGACATGCTCGTCGCTATCGCCTACCCTAGGGTAGTGTGGTACATGTGGTACATAATGACAAACATACATATTGCGCGCTCTAATGAACATCTTTTCGATTCGCATTATGATGATTTCTGTAGTGTAGCCCATGACCAGGAACAATCCAAAGCCTGAAGCATCCAATAGTATGTAGGAGAAGGAATGATTTTGCATCTGAGTACATTTCGATTGCCAGTTATTCGATCAGTTGGAAGACCACCTTGCATCTATTATACTTCGGACTAACAAACTTCCATCTGTCATCCCACCCTGGTACGCCTTGATGCCTCAGGGGAGGGGCTGATAAGGCGATAGCGCTGACATAATCAGGAACCCCGCCACGCTTTCCAAAAAAGTTAAAGTTTTTTCATTTCGATCTTGTATTGCCCGGATTTGTCCCGCATTGTTTTCGCTCGTTAGTGATTTCAATCCGCTCTCCGACACCATGGCGTCCGAACCGACCGTTGAGGAAATCACACAAAATGTGCAGCCGCCTATGGTCCCCCCTCACCGTTCCCACGACCCCTCCAACAATCTGAAGCGGACCGATCCCTTCCAATTCGGATCACGATACCTGGAACAAGGCGACGACGTCTACGAATTCAATGCTTGGGACCACGTCGAGCCGGATGACGAGTTCAAGGCCTTTGCCGAGGGCCAATACGAAAAACAACGCGCAGCACCTGTGTCAGAATTTGACCAGCGACGCTTTAATTCCGACCCGGCGAAATGGTGGAATCTCTTCTACAAGAACAATACGGATAACTTCTTCAAGGATCGGAAATGGTTGCAACAGGAGTTTCCGGTTCTCGAGCAGGTTACTCGCAAGGATGCTGGAAAGCAGGTTGTCTTGGAGGTCGGCGCGGGCGCTGGCAACACAGCCTTCCCTTTGATTCGGAATAACGAGAACGAGGAGCTGATGCTGCATGCTTGCGATTTCTCCAAGTATGCGGTCAAGGTCATGCGGGAGAGCGACCAATACAATCCAAAGTATATGGTCGCTGATGTTTGGGATGTATCTGCCGCACCGAGCGAGGAGGGCGATTCGCTACCTCCAGGGTTAACCGATGGCTCCGTCGACGTTGTGGTCCTCATTTTCATTTTCTCTGCGCTTGCGCCTGAGGAGTGGGATCGTGCTATGCGCAACATCTATCGTCTTCTAAAGCCTGGAGGCTGCGTTCTGTTCCGCGACTATGGCCGTGGTGACCTGGCCCAGGTCCGCATGAAGAAGAACCGTTACCTGCAAGAGAACTTCTACGTCCGCGGCGATGGTACCCGCGTCTACTTCTTCGACCCGGACCAGTTGGTCCAGATGTGGAGTCGATGGACACCGGAGAAGGGAATTCAAGTGGATCTGGAGAATGGCTCTGAGACCAAAGCTGATGCTGAGGCCAAGAGCACGGGCGCTTTTGAGGTTGTGCATCTCGGCGCTGATCGTCGACTCATTGTCAACCGTGCTTCCAAAGTCAAGATGTACCGCTGCTGGTTGCAAGGCAATTTCCGGAAGCTGGAATCCCCTGCTTCCACACAGACGGAGGATGACGCATAAATGATCTTTTAAGTCGGCTTGTCCATTTACCTCGACGTTAGACACGCAAGTCAAGCAACGGCACAGTAGGCAAGACAGCCTCCAGATCCGATGGCAACGCCGTCAATATTTCGCCGCTCGTCAGGGCAGAGCATTAAGCTGTCGCCAGTGTTTGCAGACAGCCAACCCTGCAGGGTCGGGTCCACATATATCTGCGGAAGACATGGCCTGACGATTTACGACCACGCGTGGCGCGCCAGCCTGAGGTCTCCTCGATGCGTCCTGGCAGCCCGGATACGAATTGTCATGAAGTTTCATGAGAATAGCGACCTAGAATTACAGTATATAGGATTTGCATCAATTAAACATACATCTAGACTTCTGATTCTTACCTAGCACCCATGAGAGGATTGTGATGTAGGCTGCACCGGGGGCGTGGTTCATGTCACAGCTGTGAGCAATCTTACCGTCTTCACATCTTACATTTGGAGATTAATTGCAAGCAGAACCGTATCTACAGCTCTCAGAACAAGTGGAATTGCCTCGCAAGGCAGAGAAAGCTGATCAGAAAGACCGAGAATAAATACGAAAGTGCACGACGACAGAAATAGGTACAAGAAGGACAAAAATGTGTGCATGACATTACTCGTCAAAGAGTCACACTGGCTCGAGTAAGTGTCAGCCATCGAAGATAGAAGACTCCGATGTTGGCTAAGCAATGGACAATGAAGAGCAAACAAAAAAAATACAAAACTCCACCCATGCAGCGAAAGACAAAAGTCCGTCGACATGTTTATGTGCAAGGTTTTCTATGAGTCGACTGGTGACCGACATAGATGGTGAACGCATTCGAGGTCTAGAGACGTATTGAAGAAATCTGGTCGTTTATCTCCATCTTCGTTTATCGTGAAACCAAAGAGAAACGCCGGAATTAAGAACGTGGTGGTGTTGTGCTCTTCACTCATGATGTCAAAGAGGGGCATTCGCCCTGGGCGCGCTGGAAAGCGCCAGCGAAAAGGTCCTGCATTGCGCAGTAGTGGAATAGAATGCCACCCAGGACAGCCACGTGCCAAATATTGTGGCTACCGCCGACATAGTCGAAGAGGCCCGGCTTCCAACGTTCGGGGACCTTGGAGGCATAGACCAGTGCGCCAACAAAGTAGACAAGCAAGCTTTTCAACACCGGGGCATAGAAATAAGCGCACCACTCGAGGCCACGGGTATATGAAAGTTGGGCGAGAGGTGTGAATCCGGTCAGCGCCAGCGTGACGTAGAAAGCCACTCGAGCCCAGGCCATGTCGTGGCGGTTGAAGGTCGGGTGCCAAGGAAGAATGATGCCACCGATTCCCATCGACATGGTGAGGAGGATATATGTCCATCGCGAGTACGGCTCGCAGTAGAAAGCAGTATACTCGGTGGTGACGATCGAGGCGGCGACCAGCAACGAGATACCCGTGTAGTCCACGCAGGCAAATCGTTCCATTAGGGACTGGGAAGCGATACTGTTCATGGTGTGCCAAACGGTGCTGCAGACCAGGCACTTGCAAGCAGCAAAAAGAAGACGGCGGCGATCATGATGTCGGCCTTGGTGCTGAGGTGGAAATTGGTGTGAAGCGGGTAGAAGTAGAAAGCGATGGCCAGGACGATGACCAGCCCGATCACATGAGACCAGATATTAAACATTTCGTTCGAGAAAGCGAAGATGGAGGAGACACATTCCACCTTGGAGGTGGTGAAGCGGTACCCTTTCAGGATGTGCGGGTTGACTCGCCAGGGGTCGGGGAGGTCGTAGTAGGTGATGAGTCGTTTCTCCTGGGCTAGGTGGATGGCTTCCTCGATGCTCTCCTTAAGAGCATGACGAGCCCGGCGTGCACGCTCCATGCCCTCGTCGACGACCTCTCGGGCATGGACGAGCTTTGAATCCATCGCCTTCCATCCGTCGTCCAGCGTCCCGTAGATGCCGCGATCCCGCACGGCGTGGGCGCGCGACTCGAGCTCGGACAGGAACGACTCCATCAGACGGACCCCGGCTTGGGCCTTCTGCTCGAGCGTCTCCTTCGTCGCCAGCGCTTCATTATATCGGCCCTCCAGCGTATCCACCAAGATCTTGGCGCGTCTCTTGCCACTGCCCATCAGCTCGCCCGATGCGACGGAGCATTGGTCTCTCACGGCCTCCAACGTCGCATAGCCGCGTCGCAAGCTCGAGTCGATTTGCACCATGTGGGACTTGCGGTATTGTTCAATCCAGTGCATGCGGCGTTCCATTTCAGCGAGAAAGAGTTCAACCTAGGATTTAAGTCAGACAAGAGACGAACGTTCCCCAATCCCGCATCAAGTCCTCAATCCGAGGAGTACTTACCCTGATGAAGACTGTGTCGGAGTCCTGATAGTCACAGGACAGCTTTCTCGGAGCATGGTAGGAGTGACGGCGTCGGCGGTCGCGAAGGAGGCCCGTCTCCTCGCCCGGGGTGGCGGCCCCGGACGAAATGGCCTCCGGATAGGATTCCACGGTCATCGAGGATGCTGAACAGGCCATCGCTGGCAACGGGGATTGGAGGCTGGTGAGGCAATGCGGGACTCGGGCAGACGTGCGGGATTTGTGTTGAGATAGGGTGGGCCCGGGGAGGACCCGGGGTTGAGTGAAATATGAGGCGAGATGGCAATGAAGGAGCGTGGGGGAGAAAGTCCAAGAAGAGAGTGAACGAAGTGATCAAGACGAGGGCGTCTGCAGCATGCCTAAAGAAGCGCCAGCGGTGCAGTGGTCTTCGGTGGCGGAGGTTGCAGAGACGAAGAAGTGTAGGGCGGCAGAACTCTTAGTAGCGCCCCAGCGGAAGCGCCCCAACGCCGACTGCCTTCACACATGCGGCCAGCGGCCCGCCTGATTTGCCGCTTCTCCACCTTCTCCATTTTCTGCGCGAACCCCAATTCTTCGGCTCTCTTCCCACCGAGTCACCATGTCCGAGTCGTCCGAGTCGATCGCCGACATCATCACGGACGAGTCGTTGCAGAAAGTGCTCGCCACGAGCACCGCAACGCTCGCCCAGTGCATGGAACTGCTCGCCCTGCTCAACCCTGAGAACGCGCCCGAGATCCCCGAGGAATTGCACAAACTGGAGCTGGCCGTGTCGCGAGAGCGGAAGCGCCTGTTTACCCAGCTCGCCCTGCTCCGCGGCCAGAATCGGAATGCCATCCTGAGTGTCCGGGAGAGCAAGCAGGCCACCGCGGAGGCACGCCAGGAGATCGACCGTCTGCATCTCGAGCTACAGAATCTTTACTATGAGCAGGAACATCTGAAGAGCGAGATCGCTGCCTGTGAGAACTACGAGTATGTGAATGAGCCACCGTGTATGGCATTTCGTGGCACCTTCAATGTGCCGGATGGGGCAACAGTATGCTAATCTCGCTGCTTCTGCCACAGTCACCCATACCGAAAGCTGCCCCTCATTCCTGTCGAGGAGTTTCTGGAGCTTTTCCCCGAGCACCGCGATTCCGATGAACATGAGTTGACGATCGCCCGCATCAACCATGAACACGCCGAACGAGAGAAACTCGAGCAGCAACGCCAGGAATTGCTCAAGCGCAAGCAAGCTCTGATTGCGGAGAACAAGAAACGCAAGCAGGATCTTGCTAGTCTTGACAACAAGCTGGAAGCTTTCCTCGATGTAAGTCAGCGTTTCCACATGAGCCAGTACAAAAAGCTGTTCGGTACTAATCCAATGCCCACCTCGCAACAGGCGGCCAAGCCCATCGAGAAGATCTTCGAGAAGGAGGGCCACTAACTTCAGATCATGACAAAACAAATCGGTCAGACCGTTTGTTGACCGCTACACGAGACAGGCGTTATTGGTTAAGATACCCGGAATCATTCATCAGGAACCTTCAATGTGCTGGCGTTATTTCTTCGCTTCCAAACTGGAAGAATTGCTCCAAGTCGGGAGCCCAACACAAAAAACAGAACAAACCGCCCCAAAAAAATCTATTTAGCTTTTTTAGTGCTCAATATCACCCAGCTGGTTCCGTTTATTTACTCCGCCGACTCTAGCAGTATTTTCTAAGTGATCTTAGAAGTAGTCGAGTGTTTGGATGTAGGGTATGGATGTACTAGCACGTAGCAGTAGTTGCACTCTCGGATGTCCTGCGGTGCCACACTTCCTCCCTTGTACTCCGCCTCCCGCCAGCAACAACAACTACTACCACCTGCTTTCTCCTGGTGGTCGACTAAGCAAAGCATGCCCCAATCATGACCGTCAAACCTGGAGACCCTGTGTCTCCTCTGACTCCGGCCTCTGATGCCTCCAAGTCCCACACCACGCGCACCCGCGTCCCACCCCCCGAAACCCCCGAGGCCGTCCAAACGCGATTCCGAGTCATTGCGGCATTCTGGGCCGTGATTATCTTCTTGGGGTTCCCCATATGGTGGCAGACTACGTCCATCTACCGGGCACATCTGCCTATCCAGGAGATGGTGGACTGGGCCGATGGCAAGGTATGGCGACGAAAGACGGGGATTCGACAGCACCGAGGCGCTTATGCTAATTGCTCCAGACGTGTCGCCCAGTTTATCCCCTCGAGATTCATGTTGCAGCACCCTTATTGCAGTCGCCTGAGTCTCAGCACCTGCTTCGAACTACTCAGCACACCCTCGACGATCTCAACGAATTCGCCGCCCATCATCTCCGGCTCAAACTGACAAACGATACCAGCGATTCAGCAGCACGCGTCGTCGAAGATAGCACAAGCACCCTTAGAAACACCGCAGGCGAGACGCCCGATGTTGTGCTGACAGTGCGAGTGCTTCCAGAAGAAGGCTTAGCCACCCCCCGATCAGAGCTACTTGCACACACGACACAGCTTGATGTGTTCTACCCCCCGAGCCAAATCCCGAGTCCCTCCACCTCGAACCCTCCCCTCTCGGTCTTCATTGCGCAGGAGCTACAACGACTATATGGCGAGGAAAAGGCAACAATTGCACACATTTTGTCTGGAGAAAGTGCTGGTCTGGATTCCACTTCCCCGCAACTCACGGAGAGCATCAGCAGACGCCTACGGCGGTCGATGAAGTACGCGGAAACATACCACTTGTCATTCTCGCTCTTCACGCCGGGCTCCGTACCTTCCTCGTGGGATATCGAGGCGGCAGTCCAGGAATACCTGTCGCCCCTTCTTGACGCATTTGAGCCCATCAGCAACTTCACGATCGATACCCAGGTCCAGCTTTATGCGACATTTTCTCCTATGACTCCAGCCCCAATTTATGATGAGACTGAGGCAGCCTGGACATTGAAGAAAGAAGACCTGAGTGCATTCATCAACGCCGCCGAGTGGCCGCTCAACCCCAGCATTGGCAACGGTCCTACCCTCAACTTCATCCTCTACGTTCCAGACCCCTCCCAGTCTCCGATGGTGGTCAAAGAAAATCGTGCCTCCAGCTGGATCGTCCCGCAATGGGGCGGCGTTTTCCTGCTCAACCCACCACTCGAAAAAGATCAGTCCAACCCGGCCCATCTCTCTCAAGACTCGCTGCAGTCAGCCTTTATGACCTTCTCTCATCAGCTCTTGACCCTCCTTGGCACCCCCAGCACGCCTGCTTCCCTTCCTCTCCGTCTGCAGACACTCATCCGCGTTCGTGCTGCGACTCTACTCCTTTCTGCCTCGTCTACCATGGGCTCCCTTGCGCGCCTCACGGAATCTCTCCCCTCCATCCCTATCCCTGCGAATGTCGCATCATCAGTCTCGACGACTCTCTCCCATCTCTCTGCCACTTGCTCTCACCTTCGCGACGGCCGCTTTAATGCTGCTCTTGCTAGTGCGCGAGTTGCGGAGAACGAGGCGGAACGCAGTTTCTTCGAAAAGACCATGGTAGGTCAGGTGTATTTCCCTGATGAGCACAAGGTCGCAGTATACCTGCCTCTTCTGGGACCTATTGGTGTTCCGTTAATAGTTGGGTTGATGAAAGAGGTGAAGCGACTTCTTGCTGAATGGAAAGCGAAACGCGCGGCCGCATAGTGCATCTCCTTTTGTATTCTAGATTCATAATGCATATTCCATCTACATTTGATGGCCGTCTCTATGTATTCAGTACAGTGCATTGTCGAGGCCCTGGTTCAATCAGTGCAGGTGGTCCACGGTGCTACCGCACTTAGAATGTGATCTCGCATCATAATATATCACAGACGGACACTACGGTCTCCAGGTACATTTGCAATGTAGTGTTTTGTGTCATCGCTCACGCCACAGGTGCTGCAGTACATATCTTCAATTCACATCGCATTTAGTGTATTGCTTAACTCACAATTTATATGCGAGTTGTGGTACATTAGGATTTCAAATGTGTTTGATTGTTTCACAAAAATATTTCGAATTTAAAACTGAATGTGATTTCTAAGGAATCGTGGGTCATCGTACACCGTATTAATGTTGGCCAGCTCGTGCTGAATCTATTTTTCATCCACCGTCACCTTGTATGTCGGATTTCCCTTTGTATCATTAAACCCTACCACTTGCATCAAATCCGTAAAAGTGGTGTCCGGCCGCGCGATCGTACTAGGATATGGCTCAGGGCCTAGAAATTTTCTCGACTGGGAGAATGCCCCAGGCGGCGAATACACCTTGATGCTCTCAGTGCTAGGTTGGCGCTGACGCGGAGGAGTGACGGGATTGGGCACTTTGGGAACTGGAGGCACCACCATGTCTAGCTTGGGTCCAGCATTGAAGAGGCTCCTGACTCTGCTACCGGTCCTGCTCACCCTGGAACGAGCCGACCGAGCACCGACCGAGGAGCGATTGGCAGATGATGGCCGCAGGAGGAAATCTGTACGATAGGACGCGTCCTCCGAGGCCATGGGGCTCGATATACCCATGACGGCACCCGTAGAGGTACGATGAGACCAGTGTGGGACAAACTTGGGGTCTTCCTTTTGCATCTTCTTATGTGTGCGTCGACGGATACATGTGCCGATGAGGAGAGCGAGGACGGCGCCAAAGATGGCACCTGGGAAGAAGCCAGCAACCACGGCTTTGCTGGGGAAGGAAGGACAGGCGGAAGTGTTTCCGGGGTCGGCGGTAGACGACGAGAATGGCGTGAAGGTCGCACCGATGGTACCGGTTCCTGTTGATGTAGATGCTGACGTCGTATTTGTGGAATGTTTGTCCATGATGCACATGCGGTCCCCCCCGCAGGAATAGCCAAATGGGCAGCAGGAATCACCACAGCTTGAGAGCTTACCATCAAGCCGAGTCGTCTTAACGGTACTCTTTGGGTGGGCAGTAGCATTTTGCTGTTGGATATCGCAATCGATGGGTGAAATGTAGTCGCAGGTGGAGCCCGACGGGCAGCAGATGGCCGTTGTAGAATTGGCTATCACACAAGTCGATGAGGACGGGCAGCAAAAATTACTCGGGAGATCACCACCGCATTGATCGTAGGATTGAGGACAGGAGTCCGAGCTTCGATCGAAGAGATCAAGGGCATCCAGTGCATGGCTCGTTCGCAAAACGGTCATGAACATGGTGAGTAGCAAAAATGGCCGCCTTGGGACGATGCCCATAATCGACCCCGCCATTGTTGACCGTCAATGCTTGCGAGCGCGTTTTGGAAGCCTGAAGAAAGTCCCCGGGGCGTTGTTTGGATATGAGATATCGGAAGACACAGCACCAGGCCGGTTCCTTCGAAAGGGTCACCGAGTAAAGGTCGCTAATAACAGAGAAGAAGATGGTTGACGAAGGAGAAACACGGAGTTCAGACAAGGACGTTGACATCGGTATGAAACATGAGCTAAATTGGGTACCCGGAATAAAGAGTGAATGGGTCTCTTTCATTCATTCACGGGGCATACAAAGCGATCTATTCTGGGCACGCGCCCGGGCCCGGGCCGGGGACCACCTCGAGTTTCAGGGTAGTCGGAATGGAGTGAATGCAGCATTACGGGCGCTAAATCACGATGGATGTTGCAGAAATCCAGGATCGGGCGACGTGACAGGCCAGGAAGAGTGGAGGAGGAGACTGGGCGCTTAGCTGCAAGTGAAGAGACGATATACTTCTCCAGGGAAGAGTGGACCCAGGCTGCTGAGTCAGCGCATCGCGCCCAGCAAATTTCGTGGTTCCGCGCCGTGCAAGTCACTCTGTCCGTGTACTCCCAGCGCCAGTGTGATCATGTTTAGTCGACTCGTCCGGCCGAGCGCCCTGCGCGCGGCTGCTTTCCAGGTGAGTGACATCCGAAGCGGATTTCGACGTACCGGGCCCAATGCTGATGGTGTAGACACCCACCTCCGCCCTCCGATCCCAGGCCCGTGGCCTTCATCGCATCCCCCAATTGCAGCACGACAACTTTTACAAGCAGAATGGTGTGCCTGAATTCATGTCACCCGAGGCATTCGACTTCGCCTGGACCCAATACCAGACCCTCCTCGTGGACAAGCTCAACCTGTTGACACAAGGTGAGTCCCGACTCGCGATGCGGATCAGCTCAGGCCAGCTTAAGGAACGCTGCCTGTCTGAAAAGAAACCCAGGACAGAATTGAATGGAAATTGACTCTCTCGTATAGACACCGTCGATGCGGACGCGAAGCCCGGAGAATTGCTGGTCAAGTACTCCAAGCGCCCGGAGATGGCCTCGGTCTTCAACTATGCCTCGATGGCCCACAACAACCACTTCTTCTTCAACTGTCTGGTGAGTATTTCGTTCCTCGATCCTAATGGATCTAAGTCAGCTCTAACACGACGTTTGTTTCTCTCTCTCTAGTCCCCCAACTCCACCCAGATCCCCGAGAAGTTCGCCAAGGACATCGTGGACACCTGCTCTTCCGTCGAGTCCCTAAAGCTGGACTTCCTCGCGACCGCTAGCTCCATGTTCGGCCCTGGCTTCGTCTGGCTCGCCAAGAACCTGGAGCGCGAGGGCCTGATGCAGATCTTCTGTACTTACAACGCCGGCTCTCCTTACCCGGCCGCTTACTCCCGCCGCCAGCCCGTCGACATGGCCACCCACTCCCCCGACGCCCCCCTGGGCAACCAGTTCGCTGGATCGATGGGCGCCCACGCCCAGAACCAAAAGAACCTGGCCCCCGGTGCCATTGATGTGCAGCCTATTCTCTGTGTCAACACCTGGGAGCACGCCTGGATGATGGACTATGGTATCGCGGGCAAGGACGAATACCTGGAGCGCTGGTGGGATCGGATTAACTGGGACATTGTGTTCGACAACTATAATGCGGTCTCCTCGGTGAAGGGGGCCAAGAGCTCAGTGGCCCGCAGCCGGGGACTGAGTGGCCCTTGAGCGCCCAAAAGCCCTTTTTGAGTTTGGATAATCTGTACTATATACATCATTTTTCTTTTCTGTCTTCATTGAACTCTTCATCACCAGGAAACTGTACAGCGACATTTATCCGATAGAATTGAACTTGGCAATGCTCCACGAACATTGTAGATGAAGATAGTATGTAGTTTACACATGAACTTTATTCCCAAACAGCACCGACTCTAATATACAAAGCTCCTTCCATGCAGATATATCTACTCTATTGGTTCTTGTCATGCATCTCGTGAATGCGCTTCTCAAACGCCTCAATCATGACGCCAGCCATCTGTCCCTCGACAGCACCCATAACCGTTGCATGTAGCTGGCTGCGGAACTCGAAGCGCACCTCTAGGTTGACCTTGGTCTGCGGCCCACCCTTTGCGTCCGCCGGCGCCAATGGCACCAATTCCCAGCGCGTGGAGAGGTACTCGAAAATGCCTTCATTGACACCGGGGAAGAACCCGCTCGATCCACTGCTCTGGCTGCTCTGGCCGTCTGGCTTGCCGTATTTCGCTCCACTCCGCGCCTCAACGGTCAACTTGACCGGGTCGCAGTCCACGCGCGATGTGAATGTCTCACTAAGTGGACCATATCCGACGGTCAAGAAGGCTTGCGTAGGGTGTCCACTTTGAGTATCGCGGGCCGTGACGGTCGAGGCTGTGAGGAAGGGGAGGAATTGCGAGTAGGATTCGACCGAGGAGATCACTTTGAATAGCAGAGGTGGGGAGTAAGGCAGCATGCGCGTGGCTGTGAGAACACGCTTGGGTGAACTACCATTATCGTTGCCGTTCGGTGTTGAAGGGAGGAAGGAGGAGAGCGAGGGGAGGCCAAAAGAGCGTCGTGTCGTGTTCGTCAAGCATGGTCGTGACGGTGGTGATGGGCGAATGCGTGTGGTGTTGTATGCCCGTGATAGTCGGTACTGGTGCGATAGCCCAGAGACCCGAGGCCGGGCAAGGGAGGTCGTACGACCCAGGCTATGGGCTGGTCGCATTGGAGAAGTAGGAGGGCCGAGGTTGGGATGAGGCAAAAGACGTGGAGGGAAAAGTTGCGGTGCCGCGATCCCGGCCGGCGATGATCGGCGGCCGGGGCCCGGCTTGCCTTCAATCTACAACCGGATCTATCTGCAACACTACGAGTATTTTGAAGGATCGAAGGCAATTGCAATACCCAGACTTATAGACTTATAAAATGGCGGAGAAAAGAAAAGACTTTGGGTCGAAGTCTCAACAGCCATTGAGATTTTGGACTGGTCTATATAGCTTTGCCTTGTGGCTCTCCAAACAAATTCTATACCCCAGATGGGAACGAAACAAAATCATCCATACCTGGAGGCACAGCATCCACATCTGGAAGCCAGACGCCATCCTGGTCTGGCCCGCCAAATCCGGAGATCCGACTGTCATAAAGGCGCTGAAATCCAAAGGTCAACTTGGTTGGAAAATTGTTTTTTTTGGGAAGTTGTTCGATACGTACCCAGTCCATCTGAGCAGGCGTGTTAAGCATGTCCTCAATCAAGCCAAGGGATGATAACAATGGCGCGTCGCTGGAGCTGTTAACGGCATCCTGCAGGTTCCCGCCGACCGAGGGATACATCTGGTATTGTTGCTGGTCAATTGAAGCAGGGACTGGCTGGAACGCCAATTTGTCTACCCGGCGAGTCAGTTTGCATGAATTATCTATGACTGGAAGAGTAGCTCACCATCAATTTGCTTATTTTGTTCGTCGGAGCTGGCAGGGCTGCCTTTGACCCGCCCAAGCATGATTTTCAGGGCGGCATACCCTCGCTGCGTATCGACCGATCGGTGCCGTGTCTCCTTAAAAATACGATATGTGGTCTCCAGCAGACACAAAAGATCGCCTCGTTCCTGCGGTCCCATAAGAGCGTTTTCACGCTCATTCTCCTGGGAGATTTCCAAACATAGAATCATGGCAGAGAGCATGAAGTCAGTATTCTGAAGGGAGCTCATAAAGAATCGTTCCGCGTAGAGCTGGCCTCCTGGTAATGACTCATTGTAGACATCTGAATGGTGTCGCAGCGTCTCCCGAGCAGCGATCAAACAGACCGATCGCGAGTATGAATACTTGCTGTGGGGTTCTGCCATATACCGGCGATGTAACACCACCCGAGACTTTTGATAGAGCAACTCTAGGGTATATCTTCTCATGATAAGCTCTGTCGGATCGGCAATACACTGGCCGATTGGTTGATACTGAAGGAAATGCGGTAGTTGGTCATGCGCCTCCTGCAACCGGCGATCAATGGACAAGATCTCGTCATAGGATGCTTGCTCCCGTGAAAATGCCAGGTCGACTATTTGCCCGAAGACCTTCATGATACGAGACTTGGATCTTGTATATGCACAAGCTGTTCGCTCGCTGTCTGGCCGAGAAGGTGGGAGTTCCATAGTAGCTTCATCGAAATCTGTATCATGGAGGTTGGATGGTTGCTCCGTGTCATACTGCCAGGGCTGAATGGTCCGTGGCAGCCCAACTTGGAAAGAAATCAAAATGTCGAGCTGGCAGACCAGAGCCCATAGGCGTCGTCGCATCTCACCTTCCCACGGAGAGAGGCTAGGATAGTGATTAGGGTCACGGTGGTAGCCCATGCGCATAGTCAGTCGAATCAAGATACCAAAGAGGTACGACACCCCGGCTTGCGCATCTTGACTTCGATAGAATTCTGTGAGGCTGTAGAGAAAAAGAGCTTCCGGCTTATAGCGGCCTGGGGTGAGGTAGTTTGACTGCATCAAGCCCTGAGCCGATCTCTTTCGAAAGGTCTTCCATATGCTGATTGGATCCACCATATTCAACGGGAGCGGCTCTTCGCTGCGGTGGTAATGAGATACCGACAGCGCGAAGATGGCATATAGGTATGCGATCCACGTGAAAGACATGTCCTGGGGGTTTTTCCAGAACTGTTCGTATTCCCTCTGAAAGGTTGGCCCATGCACAGCGACTGTTACAATTAGGATATGAACAGAAACTTGGAGAGGAAGATACCTACTCAATGATGGCTCTGTGGTCTTGAAGAAACGAGCGACCAGTCGATCCGCTATCGAGCGCGGAGGTATATCGACGAGGAGCTCATCTTTAGAGATTGGCCTGCTCATCCCTAGGAGAAGCGCTGGAGAGGTGTCGCCGTCAACATCCTCCTCTGCCCCTTCATGATCGGAATCGTCGTCATAAACCCCGATATAGTCCTTGACGCCATTGATCTTTGCTGCCGTGTTAGTTTTTCATTCGCTGAGAATCGTACAATAAAAAAGAATGGGAACTTGTACAGACCTCTTCCAGGATGGCGCGCCAATTTGCGCTGTCGAAGTAGCTGGTACCTTCGTCCTTCACAACCAGCGTGCCAGTATCCTGAGGCGATCGGCCATGGACGTCACGGCCATTGGTTGAGGGCGGGGTATCATAGCTGCCAGTGGCCGCATTTGCGTCCGGCCCAGCATTGAAATCGACAAACTGATCTGGCTTTTGCTTCTGCGCCAGAGACATGACCAAATTCTCAAGATGCTGGAGCCGATCCTGCACCAAGGTCGGACTGGACCGGCCATGCTGGGCTTTGCCCCGCGGACCGCGACCGACGAACGTGCAGGAAGCAGCCCCGTCGCGCTTCTTACAGTTGGTGCAGGGGTAAATGCGATCACATTTGAGCCTGTGCGAATTAGTCTTGGCGCGAAGAACTCCCACTGCTTCGGGGAACAAGCTTACTTGCGATATCTGCAAGCCGTGCACGAGAACTGGACCCGCGTTCTCTTCTTCGGCGCTGGACCGGCCTCCCCACCCAGCGGGTCGTGATTGTTGATCGCGTCGGCCATGAACGCGGGGTTAATGATAGCAGGCCAGGTACGCAGGATTGAAGAAGGGCGCAAAAATGATCAGCGTCCGGACTACCTTGGGAAAGTGCAGGAAGAGGAAAGGCGAGGAGGACGAGACGGACCGGGCTCCGCTTTGTTAACTCCGGCGAGGCTGGTTTCTGCGGCGGTGGGAGTAGTTTTCTGTGCGAGTGCAATGCGTCACCAAACATGCAGGGATTGAAATAGACGCCTGTTGCGTGCCAAAAAGAGATTTCACATCTGAAATGAGCCCAGTTCCACCAATTCCACCAGGTACATTCATGGACTTTTCAACCGGGCAGATGTCGTGGAACCCGCTCGGTGGAATGATTCCAGGACGGTTGATAAGACTGCGATCTATATACCTAGCTAAGTAGCCCATACCTAAGCCTCCAGGAAGTTTCGGTTATATTTCTCGCGAAAGCAACACCAGAGGACTGGCTTTCATATATTTCTTGTGGGTTCTTACAATGCGCTTAACAATCATCGCCATTCTTGCGCTGGCTAGCATGGTCCTGTCAATTCCCGCTTACAGGGACGACAAGAAGCCCTCGGTATATCACAAACCTAGGCTGAGTTGGCATTGTGAAGGATGGAGTTGACAAGCGATAGATTGCCACCGGGGGCGCATGCATGCCCGATGGAAGTATGGGGATCTGTCACAGCAAATTCTGCCTGGTAAGCCGTGAACTTCAAAATGTCTTTGACGATAAAGCTGACTCAAAATTCCACAAGAAAACTCCACAGCAGTCGACTGGAAGGTGCGAGTGAGCAATACCTACATCCCCGGCGATCCGGAACGCGAAATCGTTAGGGCTTCAGGAGAGCCTGCATCTAGACTTGGCCCGCTATACTTTAATGTAACATCGGACACATGGTGAACGCCAAAGCCCAAGCCTTGATTGTGTTATACCATATAGTGACTTGCATATAACAAAATTTGAGCATGAGGACCGAGCCAGTACTCTACACACTGGTGCATAGGTAGCTGATGATCTTCTGTACGGACTACCGTCGGCTCCCGGAATGCGGAGGTAAAGGCCAGGACGGCCACATCGTCGCTCACAATTGCGCGTGCAACCATTTAATTAACCTACCCATACTAGTCCAGGTCGTAGGATCTCCTTTGGGATTGGGGATCTCGAGCAAATCTAGAAAGCCACGCCGCTAAATATCGTCCCACGCATATCTGAAACCTGACCAATGATATGGCAGCCTATTCCCGCGGCGAATCGAGCGTGAAGACCAATGGTCTAGATTACGTTAGCGTAGAAGACAAGTGCAGCGTGGGATTTCGCAGACATCTCTGGGGTTGATGGCAGTATCAGACATGGCTGGTGAAGGGTATATTACATCTCGTGCAGCAGGCACAAGCACAAAGTAAACAGTTCCGATGTAGTTAAATAACATTGAATAAACTCCAAGCTTTATTTAGTCAGACCTAGAGAGAGCACAGCTCTGCCATATCCAAATGTCATGACTTTGAGTGAATGGACATGGTGCTGGAAGAATCTATAAACTTGGGCCATGTATTGGTGAACACCAAATGTTTGACAGACCTCTCGGCCTGGTCAAAAGCATGAACCGTGAAGCTCAAAGGAACCATGACAGAATCAGAAAGTCGTGGCTCGATATGCATAATGCTCTTGGTTTCGTGAGGATACGCATTGAGGCAGAGAGCATAAGTATCTTCTTCGACGGTTATGATAGAGGAGAGCTTTTTCCTGTGCGATGGCACCAGAGAGTCTGGAAGATTTCTGTAGGTTCGTATGTTGGACTCTCGCTGTGAAGAATGGTCGAGGGCCAGAGCGGCCTCGCTAAACATATCCATGAGATCAGAGTAAGTTCGTGATTCAATGTTGATGGGGAACTCGGCTGTATTGAGATCGACGCACGCCGCGTGAATCTCGACGGCAATCTTGAAGAAGAACAGGCGATGATATTGAGGATCACGCTTCCAATCATACTCTGGGTCCAGCTCAGTGACCTTTGCCCAGGCAGCCTTCCAGTCACGCACGTAATTCAGGAAAATGATGTTTTCGCCACTGAACTCTTTGGCAGCTGCAAATCGGAGAAGCGCACTCGAGTCTTCTGCCAAACACCTTTCTAGTGCATTTCGGGAATATATTTCAGGCATGCGGCTGGTTTCACTCTGGCTTCGTGATGTTCTCGATTCCAATTCGTCGGTAGCGGTGGCCTTTCTCTCGTCCCATGCTTGAAGTTCACCGAGGATACGATTTCTCTGCTTCCTGGAGGTAAACACCTCGTAGCATGGAAAGAAAATGGTAACAGCCTCCATTGCCATGATCCCGGGAGCGAACCTGTGATTGTTTCAATTAGCTATGTTTGCGGTGGATGATAGGGAATGAATTACCAAAGAGCAGGGACCCAGTATCTGTTTATAACTTCCCAGGTCTTGGTCGACGAATAAAGTGCAGCAAACCACATAGGTGAGCCAGGTAAACTGCGAATTAATTAGCAACGTGCTTTTTGACGGCATCATGTGTCTATGTACTTACGCAGCGATAAGACAGCAAGTAATCTGACGCCGCCAGTGGTGGATATCATGAATGTTGCGTATCCTCCACAAGACATATGGGGCAAATATCCAGGACCAGACCAGCTGCCAGAGTATTGAGGGAATCCTTCAAGCCTTGGGATCAGCTCAACTCGACAACCGTATCAGACATTACCCAAGCGGAATTCATACCATTCAGGGCCTCGCCGGCATTCTTCGGCGCTCACATGCTCCGAGAACGTGCCGAAGGATTGAAATTTGCGGGAACTAAGGAATATTGAAAGCGACAAGAAGACCTATAGAGAAGTAGAGAAAAATTAGAAGCTGGGCAGTAAGCGGGAGCAGACAATGTCTATCATTAGGCGCTCACCTGAACGATCATTCCAACTACAATGCCAAATTCTGTGCGCTGGACGAGATTCCACCGTCTCCATCGATCGAGATATCGGTTCGAAGACTTTGGGCGATCGACGAGGCTAGACCTGTGCGGATGATTCGCGGCCAGAAGTAACTTCTCCTGGATGCCAAAAACGCTCAAAAGCTGCATGCTGTTTGCTTGAAAGAGAGCGATTCCGAGAGGCAGGTAGATGCTCATGACCCAGTATTCTGCGACGCATGGATACTTCCCTCCCATTGAATAGGCGACCATGCACAGAATCCAGTAAACGTGAAGGCATGCTACCGTGCTTAGCATGAGTCGTAGGTTGCGGATGCGAATACATTGCTCATGGCGATTGGCAAAGAGAAAGACGGAGCCAGCGAGGAGGGCGGAGGTCCAAATGATGGCCACAGAGACGTAGAATTTGGCTAAGGAGTCGAAGATAGGCGCGCCGCCGTCGTTGCCTTCGGGGCGGGTAGAAGCCATTCTCGAGCGATTCGTGGCTCACTAGCAGGCATGCAGATAGATGGAGCCGACCGCTTTTCGCCCCCTTGGTCTGAAGAATGGGTCTGGTGAGAGAAAGTGTGAAAGCTCACGCCGAATTGCTGGCGGGGATGCCCTTAGGGGGTGCTGGGGATCGGCTCTTCCTCGTCAAGAGTCTATCCCTCAGCGGCCCGTCCAGAATGGCCACTAAACTTTGAATGACGGGATGACAGAAACGACAGCAGCCAAACAATACTTTGTTCAGGCCCCGTGCGCCTCCAAAGTTTCAAAGGATTCGCCCGGTGGGAACTTTTTGGCCTCGCCAAGCGGGGCAGGAACACCTAGTGCTCAATCGAGCAGCGTGGCCCCCAAAAGAGTGGAAATTGGACTCGGCTTAGCTGCAGAAACCGGGCAAACCCCGGAATCGAGGGTCCGCCACGCATTGCCGTCATAACAGTCACCTACATGTGTATGGCCCATACTGTCAGTGGGACTGTTGTCTTAATCCTGGTCTGATGTGTGGATGCAACCTGAGGTACATGATCGCATCGCCAGGGGACGCCTGGTCTGGGATTCCAATTGGGCCCACGCGATCGCCTGGTTTGGCAGCGGATCCGCGCGGGCCGCCAACCTTCCACTTAAAGAAACGTGGACAGACGCGCTAAGCACCTTCGGGATGGTGCGACACGGGCCGACTCCTCCTCGTTGGCCTGTTCATTCTAGCGACGCTCCTAATCTCACTGGACGTATCGTCTATTACGCTTTCCAATGAGAGGCAGAGGCTTACTCCAACTACACCCTGGGTGGTACTGCGAGTTTATCACTACTCGACAATCCTCGGCATTACAGTTCAGTCTGGAAGCAGCTACCTTGATAGATGTCGTGCTGCCCACGGCATGTTCTGGAGGCCCACTGCGCATCGTACCTCTGGCACCGCAGTGTCCTGCTACGGCCTAAACATGTAGAAGATGCATTAGGTGACCCACAACAGTCCGCCTTGCCCACAGGGTATAACATGGTTATCTTACCATATTGAACGGGAGACCGGAGAGCCGCTTGGAAGGCTGGGGTGTCAATCATGCCGGCCGTCCCCGGCGAACCCCCCGCAATAGACATGGTCAAGATCATTGTTATTTTGGCTTTTCTGTTCGTGGGCTCCGACACATCACCTTTCTATCCTACGCCACCCTGGCCCTCAATTGTGTCGACTACGACGCGGCTTACAGGATGGCAGCTTCTCCCCAAATGCCACGTCCCACACATTCAAGCAAACCAAGTTTTGCACTATCCATCGATACGTTCCTAAGCACGGATAGCACGTGGGATTGGAAGAGGTTCTCAGCCAAGTGGGATGTCGAAGCTCAGCGGGCTACACGACCACGATTGAGTGTTGCCTCATTACGCTTCCTCATTTTTACAATCTATCGTCGGTTATTTACGCTGGCTTACTGTGCCAATGCGTTCGCATTCATCATTGTAATGGTGGGCAGCCGAGAGAAATTGCTCACTTTTGTCAACGCAGCAGGTATCAATCTGCTGGTATGTGGCCTTGCACGACACCCACAGGTCGTGAATGGCATATTCTTGACAATTTGTCGTATCTCTCAGTCGGCCCCTTACTTTCTGAGGAAGAAAGCCGCGGAAGCCTATCACTATGGAGGAGTTCACAGCGGATGTGGCGTCGCTGCTTTCCTCTGGTATACAGGTCTCGTCGGTCTGCTATCACAAGACTATTGGATGAATGCAGATTCGACGATTATCACCATTCCCGTGATTGTACTTGCCTACGTCCTTCTCGTCGTCCTCATTGCCATCATTGTGGTTGCACATCCGACACTCAGGGCAAAGAAACACAACCAATTTGAATTTATCCACCGCTTTTCTGCCTGGTTGGCAGTGGCTCTTTTCTTGACCCTCCTCCTAGTTTTCTCCGATCAAGCTCGGAAACCAGAAGGCCTCTCACTCGGGCGGTATCTGGTCAAGCTTCCAGCGTTTTGGGTTGTTCTCGCCATCGTTGTAACCATCATCCATCCCTGGACACTCCTTCGCCGGGTCCAAGTTCAGCCAGAGCATCTCTCATCGCATGCCGCCCGACTCCATTTTGATCACGCATCTACCGACTTCGGAAAGGTTATTGGGCTATCCAAGCATCCGCTAAAAGACTGGCACAGTTTTGCAACTTTCCCTGATCCAGATGGGAAAAGCTTTTCGGTCATAGTCTCCAAAGCCGGGGACTGGACAACCAGGTGCATTGAGGAACAACCTACCCAGCTTTGGAAGCGTGGAGTACTCATGTATGGATTTATCCATGTAATGAGAGTGTTCCGTCGGGTGGTAGTAGTTGCCACGGGCTCTGGTATCGGGCCGTGTCTCTCGTTTTTGAGTGAAAAGAATTGCCCCCAGCTGCGACTCATTTGGCAAACGCGGAATCCAAATAAGACATATGGTCCAGACGTGCTTGGACTAGTCCATCAGCTAGATCCCAATCCACTTCTCATTGATACAGGCAGCAGTGGCCGAGTGAACATGGTACCAATTATCCAAGAACTCGCTCGAGATTTTGATGCGGAGGCTGTGTGCGTTATTAGCAACCCATATCTTACGAAAAAGATCGTCTTCGAGCTTAAAGAAAGCGGAGTGCCTGCATTCGGACCGATCTTCGACTCTTGAAAGCTCAAGTTGGGAATGAGAGCAAATAACGTTTTTGGGGACAACCTGCAAACGCCACTAGTGTGTCACATCCATGCGATACCTGGTCCAGAGCGTGATGACCGGCGTATATCGAAATATACTATGTGCATACGGCTGGATGGACCCATTGCCTCCATTTTCACCCTTGCTTCACGAAGTGTGCACTGCAATGGTTTTCACATGGTGAATGAGATTCATCCCTCGACGCCGTGCAGCCATGTTGGATATCCTAAATTGGCAGCACCGTGAGCGTGAGCGTGAGCAAGAGAACCCACGCTACTGGCGAAACCTTCAACTCTCTTGGGGTGTATTACGAAATCTTTATCGAGATTAAACTTAAGATGGATGATTGTGGATGGTTCCACCCGGACAAGCGATGAAAATTTGTCATGATGTATACTGTGATTGATGTGATTGACTTAGCGACGATACGTATCTATGTCCATTAATGAAAGACGTTGACAAATCTCCTTCCCAAAAATCCAACAATCCTATTGTTGACGACTAAATGTCGCGTCAAAAGTGATGCGAATTTAATTAACGCTACCACGCTCCTCTGTTTTGAATATCCTTTATCTTACCTCATACCCTGATTCCTACCTGGTACCGCCAGGTGCAGAATGTCAGGGTCGTCTATCTGGTCACATACTCAGTGGCTACATAATCGACCGTCTGGTCAACTTCTCTGTACACTAATGCCTCATGTTCCAGGGCTGAAAAAGCATTATTGCTTGACAAGCAAAATCCAGGAAAGCAGCAGATAGAACACGGCAGTTCATCCCTGTGAGCTGGATTCTATTAGTCTGTTTCCGTCCATCTTAAGAGTACTTCCGTTCGACTTGGTCCCGTGCGGCTCAGGACAGGAGACCCGTAAGATCTGCTGGCCGCATCGTGCGTCCGCCTCGGGCATTCGATTCCTTTGGAATACGCCAAAACTCAACAGACGTGCCGTTGTCTTGGAAATGTTCCACCTCTCCGAGAAGACAGCGCCAAAGATATTGATTCTTGACTGCTGCCCTCGAGCTCGTCTTCCAGCCCGTCTGCAGCCATCTGCGCACCCCGCACCGTCAAGACCCACAGGAGCACGCACCACCCCTCGTTGCTCTTAGGAATCGATTACAACAAAAATCAATCAAACAATTCCGATTTCAATCCCGACTATCCACGAAGAACGTCATTTGTCTGAGCACAAGCTTGGATATCTCGGCTGACGTATCCACTGTGTAGCTGCATGGTGACGGTGCTTCATGAACCAGCGTGGCTGGCTGAGCTCCATGGCGTCTGATATTCAGGTCGCCATGATAATTGCGGACTCCAAGCACAAAGCTACCTGTTCACCGCCAGTTGGGCATCAAAATACATGCTACCTCCTTTGAGTTGTGCCACGAATGACTCTCGCAGAACGGAATGGGAGATCTGCGCTCCGCACCTGCCGTAGAAGGCAATGAGCTAGAGGGGTTTGCAGGAAGATCAGTATGATTTCGCTGCGTCGATCGGGTTCCTGTGGGAAACGCACGGATCAATTCGCGTAAAACAACACCAACAGCCAATAGATCATATGCACATCGAAGATCCCACGATCAGCCGTACCCACTGACTATTGCTGTTACTACAAGATCGTCATGCCAGAGCCTCCATCATTTGCCAACCCTCTCTCTTGTACCATTTCGACTGCATGCATATTTAATCCCGAAATTTTATTGATGCAGATGGGTCATCGTACGTGTGACTTTCATCCCAAGCCACGGATACGGACGCGATGAAATGAGTGATATTAGAACCGGAAAAGGTATATAGGGCCAGTTTAACCCCCAGCTCCAGCACCAGCACAAAAGATTTCAAAGCCTGCAAATAGTCCGATCAATTATGGGATTATACGAGATTGAACGGACTCCTTTGCGAGTTGTGGATTCGATCGCAGCCAGTGACCCGGATGCTCTCTATTGCATTCACCCAGTCTCTTCCAATGTCTCTGATGGCTGGGTCAAGATAAATTTTGCCACCCTGTTGGGCGCGATCAATCGTACGGCGCTCTGGATCCAGGAAAATGTCGCCCCATCCAACGAGCCAGAGACTATCGCCTATGTTGGTGCCAACGACATCCGCTATGTCGCTTTTATTTTTGCCTGTATGAGGCTGAGACATACAGTAAGAATATTGGACAGCTTTTAAATTCCCACACTCGACATGCTAAATGATGTACAGTCTCTCCTTCTCTCGACCAGAAACTCGGAACAGGCATCCCGCCATGTCCTGAGTGCAACAAAAGCTACCAAGATTGTTTACACTTCTGAGCGAGATCGGCAGATCGGCGAGCTCAAAGCAGTTGACTCCTCGCTCAGTACCTCCCAGATTCCGGACCTGTGGACGCTATTTGAGACGGGCAGTTCTTGCCCCGAGGTGCGAGAGCCCGTCGACGATGCGGAAGACCGCGTGGCAGTGTACATTCACAGTTCAGGAACCACAGGTATGCGGTGCATCCATGGAAGGCGTCCCCAGTCTCCTCCAAATCCTCGAAACTGACTTTTTTTTTTTGTTCTATCTAGGAATGCCAAAGCCGGTAGCAATGACAAATGGATACTTTCAGGCTCTCGAACAATCTGCCATGTTGCCACTGCCAGAAGGTAGAAAGTCCAGCCTGGTCGCCATCGAACATGGGGGAGACCTGTGCTTCGTGATGAGCCCTTTCTTCCATTTGATGGGCATTGTCAACATGATGCTTCCAATCCTGTTCCGAACACCTTTCTCCTTGTGTCCAGAAAGACCCCTGACGGATGAATTGCTCGCTCAAATCGTGGTAGAATTACAACCGAAGACGTCGATTATTGGATCGTCTATATTGGAGGACCTAAGCAAATCGGAGCTAGGAATGGAGTCCCTCGCAAAGTTTGACTATATTGCTTATGGTGGTTCGCCTCTTGCGTTCGAAGTCGGCAATCGCATTGCGGAAATCTCCCACCTGCAATCGGTTCTTGGTACCAGTGAATGCTCAATATTTCCAGGTCTGCGGTGTGAAGACAAGGCAGACTGGCCATACCTTGAATTCAACCCCAATGCAGGCCTGGATATGCGTGAAGCGGGTGATGGTCTTTTTGAGCTCATTGTGCACCGAAGAGATGATCGCAAGGACAAAGCTGTGTTCCATACTTATCCCGACAAGACCGAGTATCGCACAGGCGATCTATTCTCCGCTCATCCCACCAAAAAGGGCTTGTGGCTCTATGCTGGTCGTCAAGACGATTTGATCGTTCTGAGCAATGGTGAAAAATTCAATCCTACTGCGATGGAGGACATCATTGCAAGCCACCCTCTAGTAAGCCATGCTGTTGTGGTCGGGCAGGGCCGCTTCCAGTCCGCAGCTATTTTGGAGCCTAATTGGTCTTCATGGAATGGTGATCCCAGCTCGCTAATTGATGACGTCTGGCTCCTGGTAAAAGAGGCCAACGAAGCGGCCCCTGGCTATGCTCAACTTATGAAAGAGCGCCTTGCCGTGTCTTCTCAATCGAAACCATTCCAGCTTACTCCAAAAGGAACCATCAAGCGACGTGCCGTTGTGAATGATTATTCTTCAGAGATTGACGCTCTTTATGAGGCTGGCGATCAAATCAATGTAGACCAACTTCAGAAAGATGCGTCGAACTCAGATATCGCGGCATTTATTACCCAGATCCTGTCGGATATCCTGGGCGTGCCGACCGTTGATCAGGATGCTGACATCTTTGCTCTGGGAGTCGATTCTCTTCAAACTCTTCGTCTGGGCCAGATGCTTCAGGCGTCGCTGCAAACCGCACGACCTGACCTGGGCGCAGCGTTTGGCAATTCACAATTGTACTCGCGTCCTACTATTGCCCAACTCACAAGATATGTCTATGATCTGCTCCAGGGCAAAGAATCAGGTTCTGTTGAGGAGATCATTGAAAGTGAAGAGGACCGAGAAGCCAGAATCGCTGCCCTTGTTGGGAAATACTCTGATGATGTTGGCGAGAGCCACGCCGTCATTCTCACTGGATCCACGGGATCTCTGGGAGCGTATCTCTTGCACGAGCTTCTCCGGGATCTCAGTGTTTCCAAAATCTACTGTTTGAATCGATCCGATGATGCTGCACCGAGGCAGCTCCAGAGTCTACGCGAAAAAGGTCTGGCGACTTTCAATAAGTTTCCACGCCGTGTGGAATTTCTGCAAGCAAGATTCGGTGACGAGCGGCTTGGCCTTGATGAAGCTAAGTACGAAGAGCTTCTTGAAAACGTTGACACTATCATCCACAATGCGTGGAAGGTCAACTTCAATCACCAGGTTGAAGCTTTCGAGCAGCCTCACATCCAGGGCGTGCGTCGCCTAGTCGACTTCAGCATTTCCAGCGAGAAGAGAGCCCACATTCACTTCATTTCATCTATCTCGACCATTGAGGGCTATAGCCATGGTCCTTCCATTCCTGAAATTATCTTCAATGACCCCAGCTCAGCTCTTCGTCAGGGTTACGGCGAATCAAAACACGTTTCCGAGAGAATTTGTGCTGCCGCTTCGGCCAAATGTGGAATTCCGACCAGTATTCATCGTGTTGGTCAAATTGGAGGTCCGACAACCGAGCAGGGAATGTGGAACAAGCAAGAATGGGTACCGTCCTTGGTGGCAACTTCGAAGACGATCAAGCAGATTCCGGACTCTCTCGGATCCGTCTCTGTGCAATGGGTGCCAGTCGTAAGTCTCTCTGCTTGAATTGTTCCACTGCGCGCTACTGACGACTGCTTCGTATAGGATATTACCGCAAAGGTCATCACTGATATTGTCCGTACTCGACGTACGACTCAAGAGGATGAGGCGTCTGCTGCCTTCCATATCGTCAATCCCAGAACAGCGGATTGGAAGTCTCTTATCCCAGCCGTAACAAAATACTGCGAAGATGTTGAACCAGTCGATGTTCACACATGGATCAAGACACTGGAAAGTTTCACGAATCCCACGGAAAGTGATCTCAAAGATAAACCGGCCCTCAAGATCCTTGACTTCTTCAAGGCTATCACATTCAGTGATCAGGCCGGTCCATCTACAGAGACAACCAAGACTCAGGCTGCGAGCAAGACATTGAGAGATCTGAAGGAAATCGATGCGTCTCTGTTTGAGAACTGGATGAGGCAATGGAATTTCTGAAGGCCTCTGAGAACATAGGTGACTGGGTACTACGTGAGTGCAATATGAGCAGAAAAATTAGATAGCACAAGTCGAACAGGGGCATTCAATGTGCCCGTTTACTATGATTAACAGATATAAATGAACAAATGCCGAGTACCAACTCTATTCTGCTATCTCTTCTCGGTTTCCTTCCTTCACATGGGTGCCCGACTTGATATTCCAGTTCTTCATTGAAAAGGTAAGCTATCGTTTCTACTATAACTGGAGGTAATTTCGATCGGCTTCAATAAGTATAGCAGACTTCATGTTATCATTTCAAAATTCGATTTCTCAAGGACAGTGGAGGGTATCTATATGGCAAAACGGTACAAGCTAAATGAGAGTCATGGTGCCAACGACATCGTAGCAAATAACAAATAAAATCAACGGGATCAATTACAGACGAATCTGGCCCCCGTGCAGTCGGTCCCAGTCTTTCCTTTCAAATGGGGTATATGTACTGCCCTGCAACCAGTAGAGCCGATCCTTCTTTGAGACCAGCGTGGGGTCGACGCCCTCAGTACGCAGCACATGCTTCTGTTGCTTGTTGTTACCAGTGGACTGCATTACAGGCATCACCCGGATGAACAGCGGCGCAGCAAAGCGCGGCAAGTTTTGGAGGACATGTGCCGCCAGACTGTCCAGTGTGGCGCGAGATGGCTCCAAGGTGATGCTAGTGCTGCCATGGGCAATTTGCTCGTTGAGGACAATGGCAGAACATCCAGCCCGGCCGTCGTGGTTAGGCAGAGCCACGCCATACACGTTGGCTTCGTGGATCTCTGGATGCGAGCCCAGAACCTCGGCAACCTCGTTCGTCGAGACATTCTCGCTCTTCCAGCGGAATGTGTCACCCAAGCGGTCGGAGAAGAACCAACGACCGTCCTTGTCCCAGCGGACCATGTCGCCCGTACGGAAATACGCGTCGCCCTTCTTCAGCACGTCACGAATAATCTTCCCTTCCGTCGCCTTGTTGTTCTGGAAGTACCCCTGGAAGTTGGCTTTCGGGTCGGCGGCATCGATAACGAAGAGCAGCTCGCCCGGATCACCACGAGGCATTCTTTTACACAGGCCCGTCTTTGGATCACGCCACGGCTCCTGGGTCTCATGGTCGACATCGACGATCGCCGTTCCTCGGCCAAGGATGATATTTCCTAGTGCACCATTTCGACCGATGGCTCCTGCCGAGAAATCATTCGACGATCGGTTCCAAGAGCCAGATGTGCCCTCCGTGGCAGCGTAGAACTCGGCGATTGTGGGGATATTGAAGCGCTCCTTGAAGCGGTTCCAGATGTCGGGGCGAAGACCGTTGCCGAATGCAAGGCGGATATTGTGTTTCTTGTCGAGATCATCTCCAGTGGCCGCATCGATCTCGGGTGGTACACCCAGGATGTAGCGGAGCGTCTCCCCCACGTATTGGATGATGGTCGCGTTGTTCTCCCGGGCTTCCTTCATGAAATTTCGCGCAGAGAACTTGCGGCCAATGATGATGGTCGACCGCTGGACGAGACAGGTCATAAATCCTAGCACACAAGCCGAGGAGTGGTACAGAGGCATGCACTATGAAGAGATATTAGCAATTGTCCTTTGAAGATTAGCGCATTCAATGGTTCAAATCTTACAGTGAAGAAACGATCCGATGGGCCAATTTTCAACCAATCTCCCACAAAGAAACTGCCGGACCAGCACTTTTTCCAGCTGACAATGGCTGGTTTGGGGAGACCCGTGGTGCCACTGGTATAGATCAACATGGCCATATCGCGCGGGAGAACGTCGCCACGGACCTTGTCGTCCTCACGTGTGGGCTCCATCCCTAGAATCTGCGATTCCACCTCAGATGTGTGGAAAACTAAATGGACGGGGCCCTTCCCATCGCGGAAGCTATCCGACGAGAAAGTCTTCAGCTGCTCTGGTGGGAAGCAATTGCGGACCTCTTCGTCCACAATCAGCAGCTTGGCAGTCGAGCTCCGCACCGAGTGGGTCAATGGCTTCCCAGACAAGTTGTAGTTGATCAAGGCAGGAACCGCACCGATGCTCCATAGACCCAAAACCATGAAGAGGAAGGTGGAGGAGTTCATGAAGTCGATTGCGACGATTTCCTTGCGACGAACGCCATGTACCCTCTTGAACCAGGTTCCGTAGCGAAGAGCCATCAGATAGGTCTCCCGAAACGACCAGGTTCGTCCATTGTATACAATGAATTCGTGGTCGGCCGTAGCAGGAGCGAGGGCATGGGCTTCAAGGGTGTAGAAGAGATTCATTCGGTCGCCGCGCTCGGCGACACGCGCCCTCACGGCCATTTTGAGCCCCGCGTAGATCATACCAAGATCGTAGGAAAGGGACCATCGCGCATTGAGGTATGCCGCCGCGGCCGCCGCGGCAGGCAGAGCGACCTTTAAAGGAAGATCTAGTTTGCAGAAGCAGCTGTTAGCGGGCGATCTGGCCGATGGCCACTAGGGACGCCACTCACCTGGGATGAAAGGCGCCATTGTGATGGCGAGTCTGGAGGTTGAGGATGGGTGGGTTGGATTGGCAGGGGAGCCTTGGACCGGACAGGATCCGGAGAATATTTGAACAAGTATAAGGATAAGCAACGAGGCCAGAAGAAGGGGGGGTCCCCGGCGCAGCAGGTGAAATGCAAAGATGCCTCGGCTCGGCCGCGCAGGGAACGGTGGAGCCGTGCGTCATCTTGGATACACATGCCGGCCCTACAATGTTCGAGTGCATTATATAGTATGAATTAAATATTTCTCGTACGATGAAAACTGATAGAGTCGACACTCAACGCGTAAAAACAATCAGGACTAGCTCCGAGGCAGACACATGACAGAGCATGGATATGGATATGCAGCAGTTGATGGTGTTGGTGTTATCTGCTCAACCCTCCGTGCCGATCTTTCCGAAATCGACCTTCACCGAGGGCGCTTGGGATCTGCCTCTACCCCAGACGATGTTGCGCATTAGCTGGAATTGTGGGTTTGGTCTACATAAGTTATACCAGGCTAAGAAAAGAAATGTTAAACTGTCATGGTGGCTGTTAGAATACATTTTTCAGACACCTAGAGATATACTAGCTATTAGTGTTGGGTGACTAACGCCCATCAACTGAGAATATATATCATAATGTTTTGGTTTGGGGTATTGGTTCCTAGTGTTGCCCAGGTGGGTTCTGCTGTACAACAAGGCGGACGCGACCCGGGTGCATTCGCGAAAATAGGCACAGCATCGGGTTTGCGGGAGTTTGGTGCAACCACCAGGTGGATCAGCGGGTGATTGGTTCTCCAATTCCAAGGCTGACGACCGATATGGCTATTGCGGTGTCTTGGTTTTCTTCAGCGATGGTACACCCTCATACTCATCCTCCATGAATTGACCAAGAGCCTCCAGGCCTTTCTCTAGCACCTCGGTCTCACAGACATATCCAATACGGACATAGCCGTGGAAGTCCTCTCCTCCCCCAAAGCAGAGACTACCTGGCACAAGCATCACGCCACTCTTCTCCTGGAGCATTTCGCAAAAGACCACATCGTTCACCGGCTTCCCCATCTTTGTAAATCGAACAAAAGCGGTCGTCCCGGCCTTGGGTTTAATCCACTCGCACCCCCATCGGTGGGAATCGACGAACTTCTCCAAGATGGCCAGATTGGTCCGTGCAAGCTCCAGGTTGCGCTTGAGGAGGTTATGAATACATTCCGGTGCTAGCGCATAGCTGGCCACGGCATCGTCGATCTGTCCAACCGAGATTGTGGTATAGTCACGGGCACTGGCACACGCCTCCACCAAGGATCGATTTCGGGATGCAATCCACCCCACTCGGATGCCTGCGAGACTGTATGCCTTGGAAAGTGATCCGGTGGCAATGGTATGCTCATAGCCAAATGAGAGGAGGGAGGGAGGGAACTGCGGGTCCATGGGACTGATATTGTGGAAGAGCGGGCGGTACACCTCATCGGAAAAGAGGGTGATGGAAGACTCGCGGGCGATTTCGATCAAGTTTTCAAGAGTCTCGCGGGGAACAATGGCACCGGTAGGATTTTGAGGGTTGCTATGATGGTGTTGAGTTAGCTAAGGTCTATGCATATGCGACGATCACTTGGAAAGATTTGTCACTGACTTGATGATGATCAACTTGGTGTTGGGCCGGATCAGTCCCTTAAGCTCTTCAATGTCGAGCTGCCACCCATCGCTCTCCTTAGATTTCCATAAGCTGATCTCTGCGCCTAGAGATGCAGGTACCGAGTAGAGCTGTTGGTACGTCGGATAATGGCAGATGACATGGTCTCCTGGCCCCACCAGGCTGTACAGCACCAGGAAGTTGGCCTGGATTGCGCCCGCCGTGATCAAGATGTTGTCCCTCGGTAAGGGAGTTGGCGTCTTGACGGAATAGAGGTTGGCCAAAGTCCCTCGTAATTGGTCTGAGCCTCGGATGGCGCCGTAAGTGAGCTTTGTGGACTGGAGCTTGGCCAGCGGTTCGGTCTCTTTGTCTTCGGATAGAGCCCGGAGGTCGTCGACGGAGATTGAGGCGCAGCAGGTCTCGGCAGTATTGTACTTGGCCGTGAGCTCATACTTGTCCATCCACTGCGGAGATCCGGTCAGCCAACTCCTGAAAAACATTGGGGACAGAAATGCGGGGAGATACCTGCTCCACGGCAAAAGCTTCGATCTTCACCATGGCAGGCCAGCGGTGACAATGGTGAGCCCGTTCCACTTGTCGAAAATTGCGCAAGTCTGCCGTGTTAGTTGCCCGCACTCGAGCCTTGGAGTATAGAAATAAACAAGCAGAAAGCCGAAGAGACGAAAAGGCCCTCGGGGCGGACACCGATCCACGTGACCGCCCCCGCATTTAGCCTAGTCGCGGCATTAACTAGAGTATTTAGTAGTATAGTTCAACATATTGTGAGTAGGTCTGCGTAGGAAGTCATTTTCTAAGGATATAGTACAGAGAATGACATTGAGTAGGAGAAACAGGGGACTTCGGCTCAAGGGCCGAAATTATAGCCCTCATATTGAAGGTAGCTACAGTTGTACGTTGTCACAGTGTAAAGGCAACCCCCCGCTAGCAGCTGCCAGGAACCCGCACCGCCCCCGACCGCGTCATCGGGGCCAACGCCTCCAACCTGACCAACCTCACCTCGCCAACCTCCCTCGCGTCCACGACACCCACGACCCCTGGACATCGGCGAATGCTTATCGACGTTTTATAACCGCCTCGGCGACCCGACTCCGTGCTCTTTCTTCGGTCGCCGCTGCGGTCATAGGGTGCCAGCCACCTGTACGCAATATGCGGTCGACTTCCGCATCCTTCCTCTCGTTGATCGCTCTGGTCGCCCTACCGGCTGTAGCTTCGAGCAATTACTCCGATACCACCCTCGTCTCTCAGTCTTTTTCCCTCCTCGATGACCGACCGCCGAACTGCCCTCCGTGTTTCAACTGCCAGCTCGACAAGTACGACTGCTCGCACTTCGCACCTTGCAACAACTTCAGCGGTAAATGCTCCTGTCCACCCGGATTTGGGGGAGATGATTGCTCTATCCCGGAGTGCGGCTCGCTATCCGACGGTGCGAACCGGCCTGTCCGCGATGGGGATACATGCAAGTGCAAGGATGGCTGGGGAGGCATCAACTGCAACGTGTGCCAAACGGATGATGCCTGCAATGCGATGATGCCGGAAGGCAAGGATGGAGTTTGCTATAAACAAGGAGTCACCTCGAAGGAGAATTTCCAGATGTGCGATGTTACCAACCGGAAGATTCTGGACCAGTTGGATGGCCGCAAGCCGCAAGTAACCTTCTCGTGCAAGGAAGAGGATCATACATGCAACTTCCAATTCTGGGTGAAACAAGTCGAGTCATTCTACTGTGGACTGGACACATGCAGCTGGAAGATGGAGAGCCAGGTCGATACCAACACGACCAAGTACAGCTGTGAAAATATGCAGTGCAAGTGTGTTCCAGGGCGGTTCCTGTGCGGCGAGAACGGCTCTATCGATCTCACGGATTTCCTGGCCCAGATGATCAAGGGACCAGCCAGCTTCCTCACAACATCCACTCTAGAGGGCAGCAAAAGTGTCTTCTCGGAGCCTCAGATGAACACCTTGATTAGTCAAGTTTTTGGAGACCCAAGCATCTTCTTGTCCTGTGATTCGGGAGAATGTCTTTATAAGACCAATATTCCAGGTTATGAGCGGCCCGTCAAGACGATCAACACTCCGCTCATCGCGGGCGTGATTGCAGGCTGCGCGCTCTTCGTCGTGGCAGTGATCTTGGTTGTCTGGTATCTCTCTCGCCGTGCTGCCCGCCGAAGCTACCTACGCCTCTCCCTGTCTGATGATTCAGACGATGAGGCTGCGAAACTCTTGGCAGAGCACCGACCCGCAGCTTTGTATTGGAACAACGTATCCTACCATTTGAACGGCAAGGAAATCCTTTCTGGTATTCAGGGCGCCTGCCTTCCTGGACAAATTACCGCAATCATGGGAGCTTCGGGAGCTGGCAAGACTACTTTCCTGGATATTCTGGCCCGAAAGAACAAACGGGGAGCCGTTCAAGGTGACTTCTACGTAAATGGCGAGAAGATCGATGATCACGAATTCAAGAGTATGACTGGATTTGTTGACCAAGAAGACACCATGCTTCCTACGTTGACTGTCCACGAAACCATCCTGACTAGTGCCTTGCTACGTTTGCCACGGGATATGAGCCAAGCGGCAAAGGAGCAGAAGGTCTTGGAAACCGAGAAACAGCTTGGTATCTACCACATCAAGGACCAGTTGATCGGCTCAGAAGAGGGCAAGGGTCGTGGTATTTCCGGTGGTGAAAAGCGTCGTGTTGGTATTGCCTGCGAGCTGGTCACTAGCCCTAGCATACTTTTCTTGGATGAGCCCACTAGCGGACTGGTAAGATGACATGCCTCTTTTCCGTCCTTGACTATTCCAAGCTAACGCGATATTTCGCCTCACAGGATGCCTTCAATGCTTTCAACGTGGTAGAATGCTTGGTAACCCTGGCCAAAACGTACAATCGTACCGTCATATTTACCATTCATCAACCACGCTCAAACATTGTTGCTCTTTTCGACAGGCTCATCCTTCTTGCCGAGGGCCGTACTGTTTACTCGGGCCCTTTCTCGTCATGCCAACAATACTTCGACGAGGTGGGCTACTCCTGCCCGCCGGGCTTCAATATCGCGGATTATCTCGTCGATCTTACGATGCATGCGAGTGGGGCGCACTCCTACGAAGGATATACAGACGGAAGGGAAATCGACGGACAAACTGCACCCCCTAAGACTGCCTCTAGCAGCCTCAGAGCCGTCAAGTCTGTCGCTAGCGCATCTAATGTTAGCTTTGAGGACAACTCTAGTAGCGCCGCTGAGCACACGCGTCGGCCAAAAAACAAGCGAAGGGTGTCTGTGAAGCAGCAGCAAGAACGTCAGCTCTACTCGAGACGTAAAGAGGACCGGCCCACAACGCCGAAGACCGACGAAGAAGATGCAACCCTGGAGACGTCCGAGTCTCACCAACAGTGGCTACGACTTTCGCGTCAGAACCACGGCCAGGTGCCTCCGCAGATTCTGGATGATCCGGATCAGCTCCCGCCTCCGGCACCTGGCATGTCGGACCTTGATGTCCTCGTTGCCAGCTACGCGAACTCCGATGTTTGCCAATCTGTCCATGATGAGATTATTTGGGCTGTTCAGAACGCGCACGCTGCAAACGGATCAGCCAACTCCCACCTCGCCGGCGAGGCAGGATCACAGTCGAAAAGCTATGCTCGCGTCAGCCTGGCCCGGCAATTCATCATCTTGTCTCAGCGTACATGGCGCAATCTGTACCGCAACCCCATGCTCATGCTCACCCACTACGCAATCGCTATTCTTCTGGCGGTATTGTCGGGATACCTCTTCTACGGTCTGACTGATGACATCAAGGGCTTCCAGAACCGTCTTGGTCTGTTCTTCTTCATTCTTGCATTGTTCGGATTCAGTACCCTGACAAGCCTTACGGTCTTCTCCTCCGAGCGGCTCTTGTTCGTTCGGGAGCGGGCCAATGGCTACTACCACCCTGTGACCTACTTCACCGCCAAGGTTGTCTTTGACATTGTTCCTTTGCGGCTCATCCCACCCATCATAATGGGAATCATCGTTTACCCGATGACCGGATTGATCCCGGCCTGGCCCGAATTCCTACGGTTCATGCTGGTGTTGGTACTTTTCAATCTCGCGGCTGCCAACATCTGCTTGTTCATTGGTATTATCTTCCGTGACGGCGGCGTGGCCAACCTGATCGGCAGCCTGGTGATGCTCTTCAGCTTGCTTTTTGCGGGTCTATTGCTCAATCACGACGCTATCCCCAAATCTGCCTTGTGGCTCCAAAGTGTAAGTGCCACCCTCAAATCCCTAATTCTGGCTAGGCCGTACTGACCGGATCATAGTTATCGATCTTCCATTACGGGTTTGAAGCTTTAATTGTCAACGAAGTCACCTTCCTCACTCTGATCGATCACAAGTATGGCCTAGATATCGAAGTCCCTGGCGCTTCTATCCTGAGCGCATTCGGATTTGATACTCTGGCCTATTGGTATGATGTGGCCGGTCTTGCCGTCATCTCGGGGGCCTTCATTATCATTGCATATGCAGCGATGCATTTCCTGCTTGTGGAGAAGCGTTAGGCTCTTTTGGTGTGGCGTTTCCATACGCGATACAACAGCCTTTGATGACATGCATTTTCGTTTTGGTTTGTAATCTGTGTCGTTCGTTTTGTGACTGGCGCCATATTTCGTTATCTATGCCCCGGGCATGTTGCCCTCGAGCATGTGCAGTTCAACATAGACGTGTATGCAAGAGGCGACCTACTGGGTTGCTGTATATACTAGACCATGCTCCGTGGTCTACTCGATGTGATCTATGCATTAGTAGCTATACTGAATAAGCCTGATTCTCCGAGTTTTCATTACTTTACATTACTTTACACTCAGTAAGTAACCCATGCGATGGAAATATTATAGTGCGTGCTGATTCTGCCGCACTCTTTGTGGCGGTGGCCGTCCCTAGCTTTCGACCATGTAGTAGTCAAGGGTCGTTGAGGGGAAGGCACAACAGTCCCAATCGAGCTATACTCGGCACGTGTTCAACGTCATCCTTCGCGACTCGCCCAACGCTTCCTCCTCTCCGTTCACCTCGCAACTCGTGTACACAACCCCTCAGCCGAGCCAGTTCTCGTTCCTCTACCTACCAGGTATTAGCCAGTTCGCATCCCCGACCTGCCGGTGTCCAACTGCATCGCTCGGCCCCAGCCCCTCCATTTCGACCGACGCTAACGCCCACCGCCCGGCTGCCAGGCTTTCGCTAACACCTCGCAAGCTCGATCCGCTGCTGTTATTGCCTCTCGTCGTTGCTCTTGTCCCCACAAGCTCGAACTATTATTCTACATTACGCAGCTTCTGATTTGTGAGTCGAGCCCCTTCCCGGTGTGCGAGTCTCTGCGATTCCCCCGTCTTCCCTACGCTAGTAGGCCCTGGGCCGCGGACCCCACAAAACCATCTCCAATTCCGGTCTCTGCGGTCCGCACTTCGGACCTCCCGTCATCCATCTCCCCTGCCATCGAGACCTCTGCTCACCTGCCAAATAGCCATTGGAGTACTCTGCCCATCATGTCCGGCGAAGCGTGGCTCTACCTGTTGTCGGTGTTGATCAACGCCGTCAACCTCTTCCTGCAAGTCTTCTTCACCATCATGTACAGCGATCTGGAGTGGTGAGTACCTTCCTGAACGAGCCCAACCTTCCCACGAGACCATTGGGACAAGACGCGGTGCCCTTGGACGCAGCTCACCCGTGCCTTTCCTATCTCTGCAGCGACTACATCAACCCCATCGACCTGTGCAACCGCCTCAACGCCTACATCATCCCCGAAGCCGCCGTCCACGCCTTCCTGACCTTCCTATTCGTCATCAACGGATACTGGCTCGCAATTTTCCTGAACCTGCCGCTTCTCGCCTTCAATGCGAAGAAGTAAGTTTCCTTCAGTGCTCCACGAGCTCCAATGCCATTTGCGCCGCTCCAGACTAATTCGGGGTTTCTCCGCGCCTAAAGGATCTACGACAACCAGCACCTGCTGGACGCGACCGAGATCTTCCGCAAGCTGAATGTGCACAAGAAGGTAAGCTGCCACGTCATTTGGTCGATTGGGCGCACACCGGCCCCGCGAAATTCCAGCTAACTCTTGCGTGTGTGATTTTAGGAGTCGTTCATCAAGCTGGGTTTCCACCTTCTCATGTTCTTCTTCTATCTGTACAGCATGATCGTTGCCCTCATCCGTGATGAGGGCAACTGAATACGCGACAAAGCCCAATACGCGATACGCCATGGCCGTCCAACTAGCTCGAGGAGTGTGGAGTTTTCGTTTTCTCAACAGGGCGTATTCTTTGATGCACGTGACAGAGTCGTCGAAGAAGCTGGTTCGAAAGCGTCGTCCCACGCCTCTGGTTTATACGTGCCCTATACCTCTCCGTGTCCAAGGCTGCTGCCGTGAGGGGGAATGCGATCAAGCCGATTCTACCGTGGCTTTTTTGAGTGGAGGCGAACCCATGCGAGATTGAGAGAAACCGTCAGCTCTTGAGCTCAGCTGGTTGAGCATGCGCCGTGACGAGTAATTGAGGGGGTGTTTTTAGATGTGGATGGTGTGGTGGTGAGGGAACTGCCTGGCTGGAAGAGGTTTATGTCTGCTCTCCAGCCCTGGCCGTTTTGCTATCCTGCGATTTCATTACGTCTTTCTATGTTAATCTTGTCCTGTCTTTCAGCCTGTGAGTTGTATATACCTCCCAAGCAGTTTGGCAATGAAGAGCGTACGATACCCAAATGACCTAGCTCGACCGTATGATTATATGATTGGGGCAATTGCCACAAATCCCTGTAGTCAAAAAATACATCTACCATTGCAAATATGTTCCGCATGAATTCCTCCGAGTATAGCGCCTTAGGGCAGTAGCTAGCACTTGGTCTCGTCATCAGTGGAGCGGAGCTGAGCTGAGCTGTCGCGGTCTCCGCTTCGTCTTGCGGGCCTGCCGACACCCGTAAAATTCCACCCGCAACCTTCTCCTACCGCAACCCTTCGCGCCGGAACTCGAAGGCTCTGCTTTTCACACATTCATTATGTCGGGCTTGCTAGGCGCTGCCTACGATTCCAGCGACGATGAACCTGGCGTGCCGAAGACTGCGACACCCGCCACCACGGTCGTGGCTGCGCCGGAAGTGAACACAGAGGTTTGGTCCCCCGACATACCCTATGCCCCAATTCCATTTGCACAGAGCTGTGTATAATGCCCTTCGATGATGATCAGATAAGACTAACGACCCGACAGGATCACGCCCACATGCAGATGACCCTGGCAAACACCTCGTCGCAAGCTCTCACCTACAATGCCACCTACGATGACATGATGCGGCCGGCGCAGGGCCCGGCCAACCCTTTCAAGCCAGTTGGACCCGGTAATGGCATCAAGCGGAAGAACGTCCCCACTGGATTCGCGGAGGAGGCCGCAATCAGCGAGTCGACTTTCGCGGCGCAACATCGCACATTTCAAAGCCTCGGCTACACACGCAACCCGACCCTGCCGGATCAGTTCGTTGGGAATATGGACAATGTGGCCCAGTACGGAGGCAAGGATGTTGTTCAAATGAAGCCCACCAAGGAGGCATCGGCCGCATTGCGGGCAAAGCGTCAAAAGAAGGGCGACTCCAGCATTGTCGAAGGCGAGGGCGCATACGTGGGGCCGTGGGCGAAATACAACAATGAGCAACGATTTGACGAATATGAGGTCGGCGAGGATGACGAATACGAGCTGGCTAGTGATGAAGAGCTTGTGGAAGAGGATGAGACCTTGGCTACCTCGGCGCCCATGCCGGCCATGAGTAAAGAAGCCACCGACTACCAGGGCGACACATCCAAGGTGGAAACGACCGAATTCCACGGCTCTGAGCAGTTCGATTACCAGGGCCGCACCTATATGCATGTTCCTCAGGATCTGGACATCGACCTGCGCAAAGAGGTGGGCAGTATCAAAAACTACGTGCCCAAGAAGCTGGTGCACACCTGGAAGTCGCACACCAAGCCCATCACCTCTCTGCGCTTCTTCCCGAGATCAGGTCACTTGCTGCTCTCTTCGGCCGCAGATGGCAAGGCCAAGATCTGGGATGTTTACCACTCGCGAGAGCTTCTCCGCACTTTCTCCGGTCACAACAAGGCCATTACCGACACCGATTTCGACCCCTCAGGCAAGACCTTCCTTACAGGTTCATTCGACCGGAATATCAAACTCTGGGACACCGAGTATGGTAAGTGTATTGGCCGGTTCTCGACTGGAAAGACGCCGCACGTTGTACGCTTCAACCCAGGCGCTGAGCACCGCCATGAGTTTTTGGCTGGTATGTCCGACAAGAAGATCGTGCAGTTCGACACTCGCTCCGGCGAATTGGTCCAGGAGTACGATCACCATCTGGCAGCCGTCAACACCATCACATTCGTTGATGATAATCGTCGCTTCATTACAACCTCCGATGACAAGTCTTTGCGCGCTTGGGAGTACGGTATCCCCGTCCCCATCAAGTTCATCGCCGAGCCATACATGTTCGCACTCACTCGCGCTGCCCCCCACCCTAATGGAAAATACGTTGCCTTCCAGTCTGGAGACAACCAGATTGTTGTCTACGGCGCCACCGACAAGTTCCGTCAAAACCGCAAGAAGAGTTTCCGGGGTCATAACACATCCGGTTACGGTGTTGATCTCAAGGTGTCGCCGGATGGTCAGTTCATTGCTTCGGGTGACAGTGGTGGCTTTGTTTGCTTCTGGGATTGGAAGACGGGCAAGATGTATCACAAGATCCAGGCGGGTGGGAAAGAAGGTGGTGCTGTCACTTGCTTGGACTGGCATCCCCAAGAAACGAGCAAGGTGGTTACTGGTGGACTTGAAGGGGTCATCAAATACTGGGATTAAAAGTGGTGGACTCGGAATAGCACTGTTTGTATACCCGCCTCATTTTCAGGCGTCAAAAATAATCATTTGGAAATTGTCTTACACTGGAATTGTAACACTTGGCTGTGGCTTAGGACGAGGTAAGCAGGCTACTACAATACATTATAGCAGTGTTTTTCTTTGTTAAGGCAAATAATTTCCTGTGGTAAAGCTCTGAGTCCTTTTGACAAAAGACGGAACTGAAGGTAATCTGAGCGGAATTGATGATGATATTTACACATTCATAGCCTGACGAGTCTATTGAAATGTACAAACGCAGCGCTATATTCAAAGACAAGATAATTTGCACTCCACACGGTCACTTGTTGTCAGAATCTTCGGAGGATTGTTCATCACCGGAACAGTCGCGGGCAAATCGACGCCAGTCCATGCAGCGAAGTGTGCCAAATCCACACCGGTGAAAGGCCACGTGGATGTTTCCATGCCAGCATCGCCAGTGCGCCGACACCAGTGATAATCGCGGAGGTGAGACCAAGGCCAAGCATCTGGCTCTGTTGTTGCACAGCGGCAATGACCTCGGAGTACCGCTGGTTACTAAAACTGACACGGGCGTACTGTGTCTTCCAGCCAAGGAATGGCAGGCGACGGTCAATTGTCTCCTCGATTGACTTGCGCAGCTTGTACAGAGGAGACTTGACGCCCCAGCGCATCTCGAGATAGTTCTGCTTGGAAAGGTCGTTGATGGCATAAGTGTCATCGCATCGCTGGGTGGTGTATGCTTGGAAAGCTGCCTGGCGGCGAACACTGCGGGTATAGACGCTAAGATCGACATCGTACACGCCATGCTGGTCAAGTTGCTCGAACAGAACGCGAACGTCTTCCAGACCAGCGTTGAGACCCTGTCCATAGAATGGAAGCACTGCATGCGCTGCGTCGCCGATGATTGCCACGCTTGCACTAAAGTGATGGGGCTTGCACTTGATGCTGATCAAGGGGAGATGCGGGTTGATGGCGAACTGCTCGCTCAGCGCTTCAGGTTCAATGAGTTCGGGGCACACTCCCGGAAAGTGCAAATCAAAAAAGGCATGTAGCTGCTCAGGTGAATTTTCCAAGGTTGTGTAGTGGGACGAGGGAGCGAATAAGGTACAGGTAAACGACTTGTCCGCGGATGGGAGGGCGATGAACATGAATTCCTGCCCGGGCCAGATGTGTAGGTGATTTGGAGAAATGCGGAAGTTCCCATCGTCAGACGGGGGGATGCGGAACTCGCACCACAGAGTGTCGATATACTCCTGCTGGTAATCAACGCGGGCAAATTTCATCATGTGGAATCGCGAGGCTGAATGGGCGCCGTCCGCACCAAGGAGATAGTCGAACGAGACCTCGATTTCGGGCACACGGCCGGCCACGCCCAGATTGTCAGGCTGGGGGTATCACCGGGTATGCGACGCTCGAACCATGCCTTGTTGGTACGAAAGTCCGCGCCGGTTAGCTTGTGATTGAAGAACAGCTTGACATTGGGAGTGCGTTCCAGCTCGTCGAGCAGCGCATTGTTGAGCGCACTCCGATCGAGAGCATTGATAGCCTGGGATCAGATTAGCGGCTGCAGAGACATGCAGCGTGCAGCGGCCATGCAGGAACATACCCGGCCGTGGACATCATAGGCCTGAGCAGCCTCCCACAGGGAGCCGCGGTCTCGGCCGTGGATCATCCGCCCGTACATGGGGATCGTCTCGCGGAGCACATCGTCGATCAGGCTCGGGCGATCAGAGCCCTGCAGAGCGGTGATGCCGCGCTCGGAGATGGCCAGATTGATCGACTTGGTGAAGTTCAGCGGAACCGTCGTGGGATCGCGGAGATCTACGGAGGCGCGGACATTATTATTGGCTTTTCGGGGAATTTCGTAAGTCGCGAGGGACAAGCCTTCCGGTCATGGCCAAGCATCCATCACCGTCATCTGGGACTGCACACCCGCAGAGATGCGATGCACACGACAACCTGGGACTGCGGGTGGGAAGGGAAGAGGCGCAACGGCCCAAAGGACCCTGCGGGGACCGCGATATAAAATTTGCCCGGACCCGGAGAAGTTCCAATCCATGCCAGAGTCCAGCTTGTCGCACAGGGTTCAATCCGATCCGGGCCATGGGGCATTGGAAATTGGGCATAAGAGGAGGGATTTGAGTCACACAGGATAGAACATACCACCGCGGAGTTCATATACTTCGACCTCGTCACCGCGCGATGCTGCGTACAGCGCCGCCAGGGAACCGACGGGGCCCGCACCCACCACCACCACTTTCTGACGGGGAGAGGAGGTCAGTGTCATGACGGAGAAATAGAGTCACGACGCAACCCGGAGGAGAGACACTCGAAGTCAAAGGTGAAGTCGCTCTCCGCATCCACGAAAGATGGGCTCTGGATCACGTGCTGCGACATCGGCCCTTGCCTAAACGGGAACCCGTCCCAAACGGGCGAATGTGAGTAATCCCCTGCTTTGTCAGCAGGTTGACGTGATTGTTTCGATTGTACCCTAAGCATATGACCTGAAGGTATAATGCTGGATTCATCGGAGTGTACGCAGGCGTAAGACGCACCCGATTTCCAAGCAATTTAGGCAATTTATGGAGTGTATCAGGAATACAAAATTACCAAAGATACATCCCAGAACTTATAGCAGATAATTTACACCATGTAATGTACAGTAAGATGGACTAATCAATACCAGTGCACAGCATGCCGATGGTACTAGAATAGGAATACCTTTTTTTTCCCGTTTACTGGGGTACGCATGATGGTCTTCATCTGGCAGATAGTTAAGCATCGTTGCATTCTCAACACAAATTTCTGAAAGAGAGCCTACTTATTGGAAAAGTGAATGCTTGTTTTTGTCTTGACATCTCCGTCGCAAGTTCAAGAAATCTCAGCTCGTATCGCTGATCTTCTTGGTCTTGAGTTTCGGACAATTGATAGCTGCAATTCTCAGATAAGCTAAGCAGCTCATTCCAAGGCACCTTTGGTTTACAATCGATCCTGCTCTATCTTCTTTCCCGAGGCCTGCGTGTGGAAGAGAATGACATCCGTGTGCATGTGGTTCTGTAAGCCACGGAACTTCGACTGGCCACACGCCTGTACTATGCAGAGATATCATGCAGCGTGGGAAGCGAAAAAAAGCAACGGAGTCCTGCAGTTCCTACAATCACATCAGAACAGATATGGTAAAAGTAAGATCTCTCCCCCGCTCGTTCATTGCCAAGTTATCCAAGGTCGACGCGCTTAGCTTCAAATCCTGGCGGACGATTATACCCGAGAAATGCCCTGGACAGTACCGGTTCTAGTTGTCGTTGGAAGCGGAGGTATGGCCTGGCAATCGCCCGTCGCATGGACAGCCGATACCACATCATTCTGGTCGACTTCTCTGCCGAGAAACTGGAATTGCCACCCAGTTACTTTGAGAGAAGGGACAGACCGTGGAAAGCGTTCTCACAGATATTTCGAACCGGGAATCGGCCCAGAAACTCGCACAGTAAGCCTCGAAAATTGGTTTTATTCGTACCATTGCTCTCACTGCCGGCTTATCACCGGTCCAAGCCCCCATGGACCGAATCAACCAGGTCGATTTGCTCGGAACGGCGCAGGTGATCGAAGCCTTCTACCCCGTGGTGACTAGAGGCACAACGATGGTAGTTGTCGCAAGTGTATATGGGCATGGACGACAAGGCGATCTAACATCGGAATTTGAGGAACACCTAGCTACTGCACCAATGGATCAACTGTTGCAGCGCCCCGAACTGAACTCAAGCACATACGGCCCTGACGGGGCACACAAGGCATGCAAATATCGACATCGAGAGTATGCAATTTGGAAAGGGGAAATATTATTCGTGTTCAGGCAGCGGCAAAGGCATGGGCCGACAAAGGGGCACGCATCAATTCGGCAAGCCCGTACCGCGATGAGTCGGCAGGAACTGGAGGGACTCGGAGAAGCCTATTTACAAGGCTTCATCGAGGCGTCCCTGGCGAAACGAGCCGGAGGTCCCTTTGACGTGGCCAATGCGGTGGCTTTCCTGTCATCGCCTGAAGCGGATTTTATAATCGGCAGTGATATTCGAGTCGATGGTGGGTGGATCGTCCACGAAAATGGACGGACGATCCTCTTTTCCCAAAGTGATATCATTAGTCTGTTCAGTTCGGGTCAAAACGATCGATGTGTCGGTGATAGCTGTCAACAATTGTCTGCAAACTAACAGGTAGATTTTAGTGAGTGGCATTAGGCCGCTGAAAGGATTTTCAGGATTGATACAGGCATGCCCTTTCCCTGGCTTGTACCTGAAATTTTCCATTTGGTGCGTAGGTAGTAGAAGTTCTGGCCCATGCAATGTCTTCTTGTCCTACGACTCAATGCTCTCGGGTCTGAACCCGGAGATATCAGTGTATGGAGAAAGTGACCAGGTGTCTTATCACGTAGGTGACTTGGTTAGACGACCAGATAGATGGCCATATATGGGTACTTCAGGCATTTCGTGCAGAGCTTCACCAGGCCATATTTCCACCAAAGGTCCAGTCCATTGTGTTAAGAGGAAGTTGGCTGGGGTTTTGGTAAGCTCTGAAGTACTGATGCATGCCGAAGCCAGTGGCTGACTCGGGATACTGGCCCCCAAGGCCATTAAACATGCCATAGTTGCCAAATCCCATCGGGGTCGGCATCGTTAGCCCGTCGAGATTCATGTCCAGATTATCACTTGACTGGTATGTTTCCCTGCTAGCGGTATCCCCGGCCTTTTGCATCACTCGTTCTTTGATGATCGTGACAATAGTTGGTACTGCCAAGTCTGTTTCTCTGCACCCGAGCTTTTTCTCACGGGCTTCCCATGCGGAGAGGACGATCTTCGTAAAAATATCGAAGAAGGGACTGTCTCGTCCTTCGGGAACGTTGACACGCACTTCAAAGTGGTGACTAAGAACCTGCCATGCCTTCTCCGCCAGATTGCAGGTCGGACGTCTGTGCAGCTCCTGAACAATGTGGACGTAGGCTGGAAACGGAAAGTAAAAGCCAAGTAACCAGCGATACCCCTTCGTGATGGGTGAGGACATGACCTGAGCATCACATTCTAACATAGTGAATGCGTGTCGCATGTTGATATCACGCTGAGCACCTGTCGGATCCTCTGGTGATTCAGACAGTCTCCAATAATGCTCCAAGAGATGGGTTTTCGCTAATTGGGAGCGGGCCACGCATACTGTCATCAAGTGGAGAGGGTTATCTGCACTACACGCCTTGAGATATCGGTCTTCAAGATTTTTTTCAAAAGCGATCAGATTGACATGCTCAGGCGCATTGCCCTGCTTGATTTCTTGAACCACGGACTTTAAAACCGGGTTTGTGAAGTCAAGATGGAATTTGGCGTGGCGAATAAAATCCCCTATCGCACTTCGGACCACAATAAACAGAGCATCACTCGACGGCCCCTGAGCTGAAGGTAGCTCTTTCATATCTGGACGCAGTTCGGTGTCATTCACGTTTAGCGGAAGGTGACAGTCCCAGATTGGATCCAGCGCGATTGTTTTAGAGTCGGCCAACTCGCCAATGCGGCTATCAAGGAGCTTGAAAGCCCACCAGAGCCGCCGTCGCATTTCCATTTCGAAAGGCTCGAGATTAGCTGCAGAGCTCTCGCTGTGAATACCCATGCGGTACGCAATGCGCAACGCAACACCAAACATAGAAGACAGAGATCGGGGATCTGTACCCCGACCAATGGAAACCTTTGCCCTATCAGCCGGTCGGGACTGATATATTCTGTTGGAGATACACAACTTACAAGAAAGAGAAAAAAGGCGGTTAGACACTCACGGTCACCAGAGCGTAGATATTCACAGTTGAGCAGCGCTTGCTGGCAGGCACATTGATATTTGGTCAACAGATTTTCTCTGGGTGAGTTGAAAGTGGCCTGACATTCGCCTGGCGAAAGGCTCATGATGGACATGGCATATATACTGAACATTAGCGCCTCAAGTGTCGAGCTGATATCTTGAAGATTGCTAACTGCCTCAATGATGCGCATCTGTAAAGTGGGGGTGTGCGTGACCTTGAGCAACGGGTCTATGTTATTGAGGTAGATCTGCCACAGGCGGAAGATCTGAACAGGGTCGGGATGGAGGCTCGAAAGCACGATAGGAGTGTGACGTAGGCCAAAGAGAATGTTGTCATTCGTGGTATAGAGCTGGTCCATTGCTCGTTTGATTCCCGCCTCGCTCACCCCATCGGTGATGGCTTCGCCTTCCTGAGTTGATTGCATAGTCAGCATACTTTGCGGCGAGTGGATCGGTCGATGGGCGTTTATTCTACCCATACCCATTGCTGTCGGAGAACACTCCATAGGTCCCTGAGACGGTCAGAGCTGCTTGGATATTTGTGTCACAGGAAAGCACCCCCCTACATACTTGGCCTCGCGCGATTGTTTGTGGGTGGCAGGGATTGCGCTGCGACGTTCGCCCTCTGAATCTTCTTCGCCATCAGTCGAGGGAGTGTTTGCTCCCACCCCAGAGTCATTTGGAAGTGCGTCGAATGAAACATTATTTTGACGCAGTAGATCCTCATACTTGCGGATCCGGTCCAGTAGGTCGCGTTCCGGGAATCGGCGCCTCCGTCGTCGTGGAGTAAGAGTTGCCGGGACACATTCCGTTTGAAACCGTACACAGTTCGCACACGGGAATTTGCGATCACACTTGACTTTGCGTTGTTGACAGAGCACACAGGCGAGTATACGCTGGGACCGAGAGGATCGGGTAGCCGAGGCCGAAGTGCCCGATTGCGACATGAGTGCGGGCGAGGCCACTGCAGTGTGCTCAGGCTGTATACGCTAGCAAGATGTCCGTTCGTGCCGAAGCAGTCTTGCCGGTGGATATGACAATCCAGATTGCCACAGTCCACCCGTAATTCTTCCTGGAAGGAGAGAAGTCCAAGTGTGACTCGTAAGACAGAGGGACGTCGTCGGGTTCTTGCAAACCCCGAGAGAGGCTGTCAGGTGACTTCGGGACCGACAGACAACCCGAGCTCGCGTCGTCGGTCTATATGCCTGCCAGTTGGGGCAAGGCCGCCGCAAATGTAAATCCTTAAAGAGCAGGCAGCATGGCCACTCGGGAATATCATTGCAATCGACGCAACTGCATTCTGTCTGCCTGGTCATGTCTATGTTCCCCCGAATCGCCATCGTCGGCGGTGGCCCTGCAGGACTAACTCTAGCCCTCTTGCTCCACAAACGAGGTATCTCATTCACAATATTCGAGCTGCGCAAACAGCTCACGCTCGATGAGCTTGCCAGGCCTTCTGGATCACTCGATCTTCATGAGGAATCTGGCCTCGCAGCCATCCGTGAGTGCGGCTTGTGGGACCAATTTCTCCGTCTCACGGGCGAATGCAGTGAAGCCCAGAAAGTGTCAGACAGATATGGAAACATCCTACATGAAGACGCAGGAGAGTTGAGTGTCCGTCCGGAAATATCACGCCATGCCTTGATTCAACTCCTCATCAAGCATTTACCCCGCGAAGCTATCAGATGGGACCACAAGCTATTGTCAGCCACAACGATCACCACAAACTCTGACAATGCAGTCCAACTCGACTTTGGAAGTCATGGGAGGCACGCTTTTGACTTGGTGATTGGTGCCGATGGGGCTTGGTCGCAAGTGCGCAACCTCCTGACCCCGGTGAAACCATACTATGCGGGAATACAAAATATCACCTTAACGATTCGAGAGTTGACTGCCAAATATCCACAATTGGCTGCCTTGGTTGGCCGTGGCAGCTTTTCGGCCCTGGGTCTGCGGCATGGAGTCATGTCACAACGTGGAAATCAGGACTCTGCCCGTATCTACATTTTCTTGACGACGCCGGATGTACAAGCTGCTGCCTCATTAGGGCTCAAGGGGCAGTCGGCATCAGCATCCAAGAAAACGCTACTAACGGACCCTTCGCTGCTTGGACGCTGGGGATCCGCCATCAAAGAGTTGGTAGCTGTGGCCTGTGACGAGGAGACAGCAGACAACCCAGGTTCGTCCATAGATATCCGTGCCCTCTATACACTCCCTCGGAGGTCGTCCTGGAAACATAATCCGCATGTGACCCTGATTGGCGATGCTGCACATCTGATGTGCCCATGGGCCGGTGAAGGTGTTAATCTAGCAATGTGGGATTCATTTTCGCTGTCCCATGCCATCGCCGAGGCCAGCATGGCGGCAAATACCAATGGCGATTCATTTGTTACTCATTTGAGCCCATTGATGCAAAGGTTCGAGGAGGATCAGGCAACACGCGCGGAGGAGAAGGCGAATGAAACACATCGAAATGGAGAGATGTTATTTGCAGAGAATGGAGCCGAGGCATTTACCCAGTTTTTCCAGTCTGCCTACGGTGGTGGAACAATTTAGGATAGTATAATATAGTTCAAAACATAGAATTTATCTACTAGAAATCGCCTCCTATCCTATAAAAGCCATATAATCACTTTACCCGATGACTCGAGTTCAACGACCTCACACATTCTTTCCGGTCAATATTGAGGCCAGCCGGAAGGCCAGCTCAGAGCTGTGCCAGAGGAACCCCATTCACACTTTACAGCAGGGCGAGCGGTATTCCCACATTCTTCAGCCTGGCCGTCAAATTTCGTGGTGCAGAAGACTTTTCTGGTCCAGTGAGGGCACATAAAAGTTCCCGGGTAAGGTGAGTTGTCGCCGGCCGCTGTGTATTTGCAACTCGCCATCACATTCTGGATGGGATTGTTCATTGACCATGTTCCATCATCCATGTTCAAGGTCGGAGGAAGCGGAACAACATCGCTGTCTTTGGTCTCGTCCACGGATGGCCCCCACCACATCGCAGGATCGTTGCAGATTTGATTCAAGTTGTTGCTGTCATCAGGGTCATCAGGGGGGGTCAGCCACAGCCACCACTTGCTATCGCCGCGATCCCCAGACGCGCCGATATAAACTCGGTTTGTCGGACTTGCCGCAGTACCTGACGAGGTTGATGGAGAAGTATTTCGCGAGTTTGTCGCGGTCGGAGGAGTATACGCCGGTGAGGTGGGAGAGGGCGGATCACTTTCTGCTGGGACAGGGGTGCTCGTGGGTGACTCGCTCGGTTGGTTCGATAGAGACACGCTTGGAGTGGCTTCCAGTGATGAGATAGGAACGAAATAGACACTAGCGGCTACCGAAGAGCCCGCCGGTACGTCTATGACCGTTGTGAGCGTCGTCACGGAGCCAGCAGCATCCTGGGCAGAAATTGCGCGCAGGAGAGAAAACAACACCAGAAGGGGCCCTTTGGAGGATATCATAGTGAACAACAAAGGATGACCGTTCGACAAAATTCAAGATATCGTGGGAGGAAGCCGGACCAACAAGCTAAATACAGCCTTGAGGTGCGAGTAGAACGCGTCCGTCAAGTTATTGGACCCCATGGGGCCAGTCACTGTCACGCCCACAACCTCTTTGCAATTGGTTTTGCAATTGGTAGATCTGATCCAGCAGGATTTCGCCGAGACCAGCATTCCCGGACATGACTCTTCGCCCCTGGGGCCAAGCTCTCAGGAAATTGTACGCGGGCATAGCAAACATGAATAGCACTGAATGGCACTAAGATACATGCAAAATGCTCTCAAGACTCACGAAACGATACTTCCATCAGCGACAACGAATGATAGAAATTACTACAGAATCAAATATTCGCCATGATTACGAGATGAGATGAGATGAGATGAGAGATGATAAATATGATCGGAGGAGGAGAGATCTACAGCCTGGCCCCTTCAAGGTCGCAACGAGTCGAATGCCAAGTGTTGCCATTGAATGGGGGCCATAATTGGGGGCCAGGGGTGAATGAATTCATATAGATGAGCAGCCCGAACAACGAATCGAAACTTCAAGTTAGCCTCTGGGGACTAGTATGATTACTTCACAATCCAAACAGCGATGATATATAATGTCTCTATAGTTGATTTTGCTGCCCCTGTACCTCTTCCACCTCTACCACTTCTCCGTGCGTACCTCCTGCAGAAACTGGAATCTCTTTAGAGAGGCCGTACCTCAGTGATAAACTGAGCATGGAGTTGATGGCCGGATCCTCTGCGAGAAACCAAGTTCTCCGCCATGCCTCTTTGACGTATGTTGCCATTTCAATTCCGAAGCTCGACAGGAAAGAACAGAACTCCAGGCACCAGGAGAACTTCTCGCGGTTTCGTAGATGGATGTAGACTTTCAACGTATGGGGCATAGATACCAACACTGCGACCATGCCCCAGAGCTCCACGTGGCCCTGAAGAAAATATGGTATGGATCGACAGAACTGGTCGGCATAAAAGCCAGCTAGAAGGTACTCTTGATGGGTGGTGGGATCAGTCGTGAATTCGTGGGTGTGAGCGAGATCGAGTACTTCGGCTTGATAAATCACCGAATGCGTGATGATCAGTGCCTTCCAGAAAAACATATGCAGTCGCGCGTTATCAAGCGAGGTAAAGGAGTAGGCATCGCCAAATAGGTGAGCGGCAAGCGGCAGTGCTTGCTGGTTGAATTCATCTCGTATGAGAGGGGGACCTCCTATCAGCTCAAGATTGTTAGAATACCACGACAGTATTCTTTTCTTCAACGCCCGGCAATTCTGCAGGAGTTCCTGACATCGAGCTCGGTCGGAGTGGTCAGTTCGTTCTACGGCCGTGACGAGGGATCCAAGATCGACAAAGATTTCGAATAAGCCATCGACGGGGTGACCAGTTCCAGACTCGATCAGATATTCGAATTCATCCCTGGAGAAGTTCACTGCGGTAATGGCGTAGATCTTGATAATGGTCCATGTTAGTGAAAGTGGAGATAACCTTGCGCCTTGTGAGGACGGGAGGGAGGAGGACGTGCAATTGCCTGTTTTTGCTGATGATAGATTGCACGCATTAAAGAAGAGGCCGGGGGCCCCTGGTGAGCTCGACGCAGGAGTATGTTGTTTTGTTTCATATCCGGTGCCCAATTGTCACATCCATGCGGGTAGTGGTGTCCCTAAGAAACGTTGGGCGTTAAGCACAATTCAGGCCAGCGACCAGACATGAATGGCAGAGTGGACAGGTACCTCGAGGATCTTCAAAATGACCATTGCCCGAATATAATCTTCGTTATAGGGATCTTGGATCATTAGCTTTGAGATGAGATGCATCGTGGCGCTGTGGAGCTGGACGCCATAACGGGCCATGCGGTAATCGCGGTTCATTCGACCAAGGGATATGCATGACATGGCCGAGAGAGCCTTTTCTGAAATCATAAATTTGTCTTTTTTGCCACCGGGGCGCTCTAGCATGTTTGAAGAGTTCAAGAAGAAATACTGAACACGCTCAATGTCTGTTGTGCCTCGGATGTTGGTTGGGAAATACGCGCCCAGGAGGAATGAGTAGAGCTGGGTACGCATCACTGGACCGGTCTGCACCACGGGGGTCAATTGAGAAGGTTTTGCATGGCGGATAGACTGCGGATGCACGATTTCGCGCGTCGGTCGCTTGGAGATATCACTTTGGTGGATGAAGATGCGGGTTTTCTCGTACCCAGGACACGGAATACCTCTCTTTTGGCAGCGCACGCATTCCGGCTTCGTTGCATCACACTAAGGACTTATTAGTCTGATTGCACTGAGTAGCTGGAGACCACCAGTCAACCGACTCGAATTTTGCGTTTTTTGCAGTTTTGGCAGGCCGTTGACTTCCACGGAATCCCGCCCATTTCGCCGTGGTTTGATGCCCGATCCAAACGCGAGTCAACAAACGCCAGTAGAACGGTTTGGCGAGTTTTCAGAGAAGCGGGGCCAGACCAATCCGATCGAGCGAATTAAAGGATTTGGCGTAAGCAGTAGCGGTCTCGGGGTTTGGGCTGCTTACTACAGACCACAATGACGGCTCAGCTTGGGTCAGGAAGGAGAGCCCCCGTCGCCCCGCGTGGGCGATCCCCCATCCGCGCTGACTCATCGGCGATCGACACGAGAAAGGCGGTTTTGGGGCAGTGCAATCTCATTGCATTCTCATTGCATCGCACTGCTCTTCCTGTCTCTACCTTACCCTAGGGAAGGTTAAGGTACTACAGGGTCAGGTACGAGTGCGGTCATTTCCCCGCGTAGGTGGGATCCAGGGTCCGACCAAGTCAAGGCTGCAGATTGGCAAGGCTGTGCTTGCGGCAGATCTTCCCCTTCAACCACGCCAGTCCCGCCGACGAATGTGACGCCTCGGCATGCTCAGGACTGATAAATATGGCGAGTTGGAGGGCTGTCTGATACTCGAACGGTTTCGATGCCAGATTCCATGACGAAGCGCTTTTACAGGCACTAGCCAATCCTTACTTGAAACATGATCGGCTTGCCCTTTTTTTGGATCTGCTCCTGCTGCGCTTCGCATATCAAGCGCTCACGAGCTCGAAATCACCCTCACCCGCAAGGTGTTTGAATGGGTTCAACAGGTCGCATACGGAGAATTCGATTCTGAAATGACCTGCGGTCGTCCTTCCGTCCCGATAGGCCTTGACAATCAACCACGGAGACCGATTCAAGCGTTGCAGATCAGTTCGCCAAATTTTTTAGATCTTTAGACTACGCGCTAGAACGTGGGGCGCCGTCACAGAATCGCTGTTCTCTCTCACACAAGCAATGTCAACCAATGACACTCTCCGCTCGACTTCAGGGTCGACACAGTGGGTCTTGAAATTACAAGCTATACTGCGGCTCATTGGACCACTCCGCTATCCACAATAAGGTTAACCCCTGTAGGTTCCTTCTCAGACGAGCCACCCCGGACCCCGATGTAGAACACGCGTTGGGCTTAGATTATTGCGTGACTTTCATGCCCTTATAAGTCAACTGTGGAATCCGTATGACTGACCACCGGCCTGAATCAATTCTGCAAGACGCATCGTCTGCCCTCACACTCGGTCGGTCGATACCATGTCTCCTACGAAGAACACAAGCCAGGCATTTGTGACAGCCTCGGCTTCATCGACTGCAACCTGTCTTCCTATTGACCCGGGCAAAAACGGCCACTTGCCACCCGAGGCGTGCGGTGTAATTCTTCTCTACAAACCGTCGCTGGCAGCCGCTGTCGTGTTCTTTGTCCTCTTTGCCCTGACGACATTAATCCACTTTGTTCAAGTCTGCATCCATAGGAAGGTTAGACCAAGCCCATTGCCTCATCGGGAAAAAGAGAAAAAAAAAGTAGAAAGAAAGAAATACTAATACTTGGTCAGCTATACGCTTTAGTGATTGTCATGGGCTCGGGCTGGGAATTCATAGCCATGGCATGCCGAGCAATGGAAACTCGTCACCAAGACAGTTCCAAGTTGTACATGTATTTCACGGTATTCTTTCTGGTAGCACCAATATGTGAGCATGCCCTTTCTTTTCCCTCGGATTGATGATGCCATGGAAATTTCGGATCCCTAATATTCTCGCTAGGGATCAACGCCTTTCTCTACATGACCTTAGGCCGTATGGTCCAATTCTTCGTACCTGAACAGAGACTGGTTCGAATTTCCGCACGACGCTTCGGGCTGATCTTTGTGTGTTTGGATATTTTCGCCTTCATCATCCAACTGATCGGGGTCGGTATTCTTGTCCAGACAGACGCCAAGATGGATACCGTCATGCTGGGGGTTCACATTTACATGGCAGGCATTGGAATACAGGAGAGCTTCATCGTGTGCTTCCTCGCCCTGACTATTCACCTTCACCGCAAACTGCTACACATGGAGAATACTGGACTGCAGCCGATGGACAAGCTGGCCCGAGGCCCCTTTAATTGGCGGTTCCTCTTTTACACTTTGTACTTTTCGCTCACCATGATCACGGTATGTATTTAAAGCTGCCCAAATCCCCCTTTTTTTGGCTTGACGATTCATCTTCTCGTGGTGCGTGGTCCCATGCTGATCTATGTCATTTTCTTCCAACAGATCCGGATTGCCTTTCGCCTGGCCGAGTACTCCAAGGGCGTCGGGGCTGACGAGCCCACCAACACCCACGAATGGTACCAATATGTTTTCGATGCTCTTCCCATGTTTCTGGCGGTTCTTATCCTCAACGTCCTCCACCCTGGTCGTATCCTTCAGGGACCAGACTCTGGGTTTCGGCACGCAAAGAAGATGGCCAAGATGGAGAAGAAAGAGCGAAGATTCCGGCAGCAGAACCCGACCTTTGGAAACTATGGAGTGTCTGATAGCATCCCGCTGGCACCGAGGCCTACAGCACAAGCAGCCGTCCATCATGAGCCCCCTCAGCCCGCTTATTATCAACCGCCTCGGTCCTATTTCTTGTAATAATGTGCTTTTGTCTTCTCGGCGATTATGAAAAGTCCCTAGCTTTGTCCATTTTTCTTTAATGGCGGCTTGATATTTAGCCCTTGAGGTTCTGTTTCTCCACGAGGCTGGCTGGTCCGGGCACCATTAGATATAACATCACAATTGATACCGACATAGACATGGGCATTCCCAAATATTCCATTGGAGGACACGCTCGTGCTCTAATGCGAGTGACTATATTTGAATAACATTATACACTACACTGCGAGCTCATAAAAATTGGCTTCAGCCACGCTTCACAAGTGTTGTGAAGAGAGTTTACACTCACGTTGTTCACATCCGACTCAGCCATCTCATCTTAACAAACTAATATCTGAGATAGGACCTATGATATCAAATAAATTAAGCCTATGTTTTTTTGTGCGTTGATTTGACGGCATATCCATATCATGGTTGCACTTAGACGATTCGAATGCCGGGCTGGCGCTTCCACTTACCGCATTTGTTAGTGGGTCATCCCCGCCAATCCAACACTTGTGAACTTGAAGATTGTCAATACCCCGAAATTGCAATCAAGCATTGATCAGCCATTCTCCTTCACAGTTTGAGTATCCTGTATCTCTTCTTACTCGTGGTTTTTTGAACTGCGAGGCGAATACTTTCACTTCAATTAGTGCAATGTCGAGGTTGGAGGACGTTAACGTTCACAGTGCTGAAGTCTTGCGCTGCGGATATACATTGTATGTTTCAAACACTCTTCATCCACTGCGCGATGATGCCCTTGATTCACCAGAAAAATTTAAGCACTGTGAAGCGACGGTGGCCGAAGACGAAGACAAAGAATCCAAGCCTGTGTGTATGCGCGGTGGCACGGGCCGGTTTATATGCCAACATCCCCGGCATCCACATCGACGAAAAGAGTAGTTGGAACCACTGCCCCACGTCCCAGTGGATGGCCCCATCGAGACCCTTCCTGGTCACAGCTGATGTACGACCACGCGACGCTGACCATGACCGATCAGCCGGGGATGAATGAGGCAGGTTGAACCCTCAGTCAAAGCGTGATGCAGGAAGAACCTTTGCCGATGAGTTACTTAACAGCAATGGTGCCCGCCATTGCGCCTTCTACTCTCATTCCAACATATCCAAGGCACGTTCGGACAGCATGGTCCCGTCAGTTCTTGCCGACCAGCACATTCAGGCGCCCGTCGTCGCGCCCAAGGCGCTGGACCGCTCAGTGCTGAAGGCCTCACATCCCAACCCGTCGCTCCAAGTGACGGCCGACCACAATCTCAAGTCTGTCGATGCACCTGTCTACGCGCCCGGCCATGGCGAGGTGCTGCTACACGTTAAGGCGACTGGCATATGCGGCTCCGACATTCATTTCTGGAAGACTGGTCGCATCGGATCGCTGGTATTTGAGGGAGATTGTATCATCGGCCACGAGGCATCCGGTGTTGTCCTGCAGTGTGGAGAGGGTGTTGGCAATCTGAGGCCTGGTATGTTCATGGCCACTCCAAACAAAAGAAGGGAACCATTGTGCAGAAGACTAATGCGTGCGAGCCAGGCGACCGAGTCGCCGTGGAGCCCGGTGTTCCCTGCGAGCACTGCTTCCTGTGCGACGAGGGTCGTTACAATCTATGCGAGGATGTCCAGTTCGCGGGCGTCTATCCTTATCACGGCACCGTCCAGCGGTACAAGGTGCACCCGGCCAAGTGGCTGCACAAGATCCCCGATAATGTGAGCTTTGCCGAGGGTGCCCTGCTTGAGCCTCTCTCCGTGGTGATGCACGGTATCAAGACGGCTGGGCTCAGCCTGGGTCGTGGCGTGGTGGTCTGCGGTGCTGGTCCCATCGGTTTGATCGCGCTGGCCGCGGCTCGAGCCTCGGGTGCCCATCCCATCGTCGTCACTGATCTCGAGCCTGCCCGTCTGGCCTTTGCGAAGGAGTTTGTGCCGTCGTGCATCACGTACCAGGTGGACAGGAACAAGGATGCGCAGGGCAATGCCCAAGCCATCCGGGCATTGTTCGGAGACAGCGAATATGTCGCACCGGAGACGATCCTGGAGTGCACCGGGGTCGAGAGCAGCGTATGCACCGCTGCGTACACTGCCCGCCGGGGCGGTACTGTGATGGTGATCGGTGTGGGCAAGGCCATCATGAACAATCTGCCCTTTATGCACATCTCTTTGGCAGAGGTAGGTCCATCCCCTTGTTTCCATTGTACGACACGGGTTCTCACTTGTACTTCCTCTCTTTAGATTGACTTGCGTTTCATCAACCGGTACCGCGACACCTGGCCACCGGCGATCCAGTGCTTGAGTGGCGGAATCCTGGACTTGAAGAAGTTGGTCTCACACGTCTTTCCCTTGGAGCGGGCACAGGACGCGCTGCATCTCTGCGCCGATACACGCAATGGGAGCATCAAGGTTCTGGTTGTGGACGAGCAGGAGGCCTCATTATAGACTAGCACAAACATCGTTATGAGGGGAGTTTTGATTAGAAATAGTAGACACGAAACATTTATGATTACATTTGACTGATCTTGTCCATTATTCTTCGGGGCTGTTCAGTAGGGTCGAGTCGAGTGGCAGTAGATGGCGCCGACGGGGACGGGGTCTTTACTCGAGTGGTCGCCAGGGCCCAATAGAGTGTTGCGGCCGGTGCAGCCAATGCCTCTAACAACCAGTGTGAGGAAATTGACGAAGACGTTCGGAAGAATCTCAACTTACGTGAAAACATGGCAGTGTTTGCGGATGGACACAGTGAATACCTCCCTGGGACTAATTAGCTCGCTGAAACAGCCGAGTCTAATCTACTAGTAGATAGTAGTACTCACTCCTCATCAATGTCTTCGTAGCAGTCGTCCAGAGGTGCTTGAATTCCCCGGCTGCCTCCTTCAGTCTCGATGCCGACCTAGTAATCGTGTCAGTCAAAGAAAGAGGTCACTTGGAGCGGATTCAAAACGAACCGTGGTGTGTTTGATCTCCTTGGTCGCGTAGGCCGAGACCAGCAGGAAGCTCAACAGAGAGAGTTGCTTGAGACCGTACATGATACTGATGTGTATGCTCGTGTGCGCGAAGTCAACAAAGGCGAGGACGACAAGTTGCGCGAATGAAGTACTCGTGCCTTTTGGCCTGTCCAGCAGGGCGTCCCTGCGACATCCCTTGCTAGGCGGTATTTGCTAGGTGGCCCTTCCACGCCCTACCAAGGGGGTCGGCATGTGCATAGTGTCAATACCCTGCTAGCACGATCTGCGTCGTGTTTCCGGGATGTGCATCTCGATTTGCAAGGGGCCAGATTAAAGATGGAACGTTGAGAGTGCACAGTATGTAAGTAGTAGTCGAGGGCCGCCTTCCCCGGTCTCCGCCTTCCCCACAACTTGATCTTCACCCGCCGCAAGGCCGCAATGCTTCGCGACGACCCCGACGCCCGCGTTTCCCAGGAGGCTCTCCCTGCACGCCCATGAATCCCGAATGGCCCTCCCAGCGGCATGCGCCCACCTATCCCCCCTCCGATTCCACGATTAACGAGCACCACTTTCATTCGCCACTGGGCGCCGCCAGCTGGTCCGACGGCTTCTCTCATGATCCAGGGTTTCTTGCCTCCCAGGAAGAGCTGCGATGCATGCTCTTTACGGTCGCCCAGTCTGCTGTGCCTACGAGAGCCCCAAGTCCGGTTGAACATGGCCAGGATGCGGATGAGTCGGGGCCCCAGAGAGAGCGCACGGTGATGCGACCGACTCTGTCGAATGGACGTCGGGTGGAATATCTGAAGAATTACGTCGGACAGGTTGCTCCATGGGTGAGTTCGAGACAGTGACATTGCTTACGGTATCGACCGACAATGACACACAAGACCCGCGGCTAATAGTTTGACTGTCTCCAGCTTGACATGTTTGATTCGCAGTGTACTTTTCGTGTCCAGATCCCGGCCCTCGCGCGTACCTTTCCGGCTCTGCTCAATGCAATTCTCGCCATTTCGGCCCGACAGATGGAAAGAAAAAAGGGAATTCAGGATTCGTTCGACAGCATCGAGTTATACCAAGAGGCAATTCGTTTGCTCAGCCCGCTATTGCAGAACCCCGACCCGAAGGTGGTTGCAGCTTGCGTTCTACTCTGTTGCTTGGAGATGATGTCGGCGCGTGCTCAGGACTGGCGCCGCCATCTGGAGGGATGTACAGCCTTATTCGATGCCTTTGGAATTAACGGCTTCAGTAGTGGGCTGCTACGGGCCATTTTTTGGTGCTACGTCCGAATGGGTACGGTTGGATCAGAGAGCCCCGCAAAGTAAGCTTGAAATATTGACGCTGACTATAATATAGATTTATGTGGTGCACTGATTTCCGATGGCACTCAAAGTACGCTTTTGCGACCCAGTAAGTGGCTGGCACCGGATTGTCATGAAGACGATGCGACCCAGCTCTTCCAGGCCGCGGAGTCGCCAGATATGCACGCAAATTATGCGGTTTACCTTTGTGCAAAGACATGCGAGCTTGTTTCTGATCGCACCCAATTCGTCGAACTGGGTGTCCAGAATGACTGCGCAGGCGAGGTCTTCAACCGGCGCTGGCTCCGACTATGGGAGGAACTGCAGCAATGGGTTCAAAATCGTCCTCCAGAGCTGCTGCCAGTCCAGATGACACAGACCAAACCATTTCCTCATATTCTCTTTTTGCACTGGGCGGCCATCTCCTCGAATCAGCTTTATCACACGGCCTGCATTCTGCTCTTGAACTGTATGCCCAAGGCCATCAAATTGCGCCCTGGGCCAACCGTTTCCCCTCTGTGGCATGCTCGCCGGATTTGCGGGATATCGCTTGCAAATCCCCACCAGGGATGTTTGAACAACGCTATCCAGCCCCTTTGGATCGCAGGCCGTTTATTCAGCCACGTCTCCGAACATGCTATTATTATCGATATCATCCGGAAAATAGAGGCCGAAACTGGATGGGGTGCCTGCTGGCGGATTCGCGATCTGGAGCTGGCGTGGGGATACCAAGTCTCACGGCGTGAGCGAATGATGGGACAGCATCAGTCTCCCACATCGGCCGCGGGGTGACCAAAGTTTTTGATTAGATCCTGTCTTGTTTGAAACTTTTCAACAACTAGGTTTCTATAAACCCCCATTCCTGCTGGAGATCATGTAGGAAATCTGTGGCATCCCATCCCGTGACTCCATGAATGCGCTCAAAGCCAAGCAGAATCTCCTGCTGCTGAGACTCGTGGGTCATGCGGCGGGCAGCTACCAAAAACGAAGCCAAGAGAACCGGGTCCCAGCACTCTCGTCGCTCGTTGTTAAGGGCAATGCTGCAGATTCGCTGCGAATGCCAAAGAGGCGACATGGTCGTCGAATGGAAGTCTGTGAGGCGTGCCGTACGTGGTCGGATATGCAATAAAACCAGCATGGCAGTATGATATAGCTGATTGCTGAATACCCCAGCTCCATTCGCGAAAAGAACGATCGGGAATCCCTGTCCCATCCCGGATGGGTGGTCCTCCATGTCAATTTCCATCATGGGCTGGAATCCCTGGGGTCGTTCTTGATACCATTGTTCTAGCTGCTCCACAAGTTCTAGCCAGGCATGGAGTGGAGGATGATGCGGGGATGGATCATCATTATGCATGAACTGCACGGCTCTTGCACAAAGCCACAGTGGACGATGTGCAAAGCAGAACACTTCTTCAAACGGATCAGTCCCCAGGTGTTCGTTAACCCCGTGAGGAAATGACCGTGGCAGGAGAACTTGGATATCGGTGTCAGTGGCCAAAGCAGCCGCTAGATCTGGAGCGAATATCCTGTCAATAACATCTTCCATGAATCTATTCTCTGATGGAACGTACCTAGTCGCACAAACAACCAGTAGATGGCCGAGCTGAGGTTTCGGCCGGTAATACTGTGCGGGTTCAATGCCTCCAATAACTCCTGATCACACATTCTTTGGGGTGACCAAGCTGCTCGAATACTTCTAATACAATTCTTAGAATCGTCTATAGCACGAATAAAAGCCAGTTTCGTAATGTCAAGTTGTGCTTCGGGGCTTGCAGGGGCTCCCGGGGTTTGATCTGTGATCATAATAGGTGCAAAAGGCCGGAGCAAATTCATGGATGTCTCTGAGAGAGCCAAGACCGAAAACCAGACCGGCTGGGACACCATAGCTAACTGCAGGCCTTGAATCCCAAAGAGCTGCCCGAGATCGCATATATCCAACTAGAAGCGTTCATTAGATTCGCACTTATATCAAGCGGTTGTGGATTCGGTGTCGTCGAAGGCTTACCCATGGCGCGACCTCGTAACGATAGTGGCGAAGAAGTTCCAAAGTTTGAGTTGGGGTAATTGCAAGAGTTGAGGGCGTTGTATCAGCTAGTTGACTGGGTAAAAACGTCGGGGTGAAGCCTATATATTTCGACGGCGTCATCTCCTGGCTCATAGTTACCAGTGGCCCTTTCGGCGGCGAGACTGCAGAGACCGGCAGGCTCAAGTTTGGAGCCATTATCTCATTTGTAGTGGTTCCTAAGGCCAACAAGCCAGCAACCGCGGACTCATCATTATCGCTGAACATTGTCGACGGGACTTGCGACTGCGATTGCGACCGCGATTGCGGGACAGCATTAGGTGGAGCCTTATTCTCCCCACCCAGCTCGTGATGTGATTGTTGAAGCTCTTCAATCTCCACCGGTGACAATGGTCTTTCTTTGGTCCGCTCCAGATCTTCACTGTCATCTTTCTGGGGCTCTTCTTTGACGAACTATCTTGTTGTCAGCTCCGGTCGAAGACCCCATTCCGTTTGGCAAATCTTACACGGATGGTTTCGTACACCGCAGACACACCACCAACTTCTGGCGCCTGCACTGTGTGTGCGTTCTTGGTCAGAAATGTCAGCTGCGGGCCGTACTGACACTGGAAATTCCGGTCAGTACAGTTCCGGCATCGCGGTTTGCCTTCATCGCCTGTCACGGGAGTTAGCTCCGTTGTCCCTCGCGGCCCTGTCTACACTCACACTTGCGGCGACGAATTCGACAGCGTATGCAACCCGTGCGACATCGCGTCAGCCGCCGGGTCGGTTTGGAAGCCTCGGCCATCACGGCGACTCGAGATGCGGAGAGATTCAAGTCGAACGAAACAGGAAAGTCTACGCACCTGCACGTGACGGTGCCAGGCGACAAGGCAGAAAGTGGAATCCAACCGCTTTGGGCGACCTAGCCGGACAGCTGATCACGTGTATGAGTGCCTCCAAGCGGTAGGTGGCCAGGTAAATGACCAGATAGGTGCCTAAACAAGGAAGCTGGCAGTAGTGTATCGATCCAGCTTTCCGATGAACAGTACCGTGGCATGTGATATTTCCTGTCGAAACTGACACCATACATTAGTGTGATTTATTAAGGTTCTAGTCCTATATTTCAGCGAGTCAAGGTGGGAGTGTAGTTGTAGAAGTCCCCCATGCCTATGCTAAACCTCACTAAAGCTCAAGATTTAAATTCATAATGATGAAATTGAGTCTTGCTAGCTCTGCATTGGGTAAACTGTCGTAGAGTGAGGTCGTGGATTTCAATAGTACAATATTTCCTAGTTTTTCTGCTGAACTTTTCTCCATTCCTCCACAATCCCTGCATAGGCTGATGGCTCATACACTCCCGTCAGCTCCCTCCAGAAACCACCACCCAGTCGATGCGGATTCAGCCCCAAATCACGCATTAATATATCGTTATACTGAATGGCATCTACTTGCATCTCACTTCCCGTGACCCTCCCGAGCACGACATCCTCGGAGATAGATTGGTCCATGGCTTCCCGAGAAACAGAACAAGACAAAGAGAATTAAATGAATGAGAAGCAGGACTCTCCAGTTTCTCGGTCAGGAAAGCAGCAATCCACAGGGCTTGAATTTCGGCGACAATTGCAATTGTTGACGTGAGGACCACGCCGAGAACAGCAAATGATCGATCACCCTCTGCCACCAGCTCGGGTGCCACCATTCGACGGAAAAGACGATATGGCAGTACTTCTGTCTTCGAGGTCGAAGATTGATCGTGACACCTACCAGGGACGCAGCCGGTGGCTTTCAGAATTTTTTGGATCTTTTTTTCTGATCTCAGATCCATCGCTTTCCAGTGTTGAATTCGTCGTTCAGGTTCCAAGTGATTCGGCGTGATCATTGTGCGCGGCTGGTCCTCTTTGCCATGCCCTGGATCTAGCAGATCTGGGAACCCAAGACGCATGCGCAGGTTTTCTGGTTCAAAATCGATAGGAACGACAGGTTTGTACCCTGTTGCATGTACAACAAGATCGATGTCTTCAAGACAGGTACCGTTCTCTAATGAGGCTGTCACCCTATCAACGAGGCTACTATCACCCGCAACATTTGCGTGTGAAATGCTATCAATTGTCGAACGATGTATGCTCACATGGGGAGATCGGATCGTTTCCCATAAATCAGCTTGGTTAGCAATTCCGATTGTGGAGTTGCATGAGATGATACTGCAAGTTTCCAGTCATTAGCCGTTGACTCTGAAACCGGGAGGTGAAGGCGAATATACCTGTGATCTGGCCGCAGTAACCGCATCTTTGGGTTGGCATCATACTGCGCAATTCCTTCCAAATTCTGATCGAGCGACTGCCAAAACTGTTGTAAAAACCGGCGACCAAGTGGATTCCCATGAAAAAATCTTGCCCTCCAAGAGCCTTCGAGGTGAAAGTCCCAGAACCATCTTCCCGTTGATTTTCGCAGAACAGCACGCTTAGGCATCTCATATGAACATGGGTCCAGATAGTGTATGAACCGAGTGCTGGCGGCTTTGTCACTGGCGACTATCTCCCCATTCGGCAAAGTTGAAGTTGGCGGCGCCATCCATGATGGGCCCGCACCTCTGTTGCGAATGATCCAGTGGACATTGATGGGATCCTTGGCTGAAACTTTTAGGTGCAACTTCCGATCTTGTTGATGTAACTTGGCGAAGAAATGCACCAAATCGAATGAGGACTTTGCCCCACCATATATAACGACGGAGCGCAGGCGAGGGTTTTTCAATTTGGGGTTCGCTGTTTCTCGTTCCAGTATCTCGACGTCCGGCAGGGACTGATATCCTAGATTGTCGTGTGCCCAGTCTCCAATGTGTTTTGCATGGATCACTGGGCCTGACTTTCCAACCTCGGGGGAAACTGCCAGCTGTGGAAGATTCGGAACCGAAGTTAGCCCGGTGGCTAGTATTAGTTTGTCGCAAAATATAGTGATATCCCGATGGGCACCGGACATGATACGAATGTTGAGTTGCCATATCTTGTTGTCCAGGCGCCTGATAGTGTCGACCTGAATGCGGGTTAGCAAGAAATTGATGCCTGGTTGACATTTGCACTTACTTGCCATCCTAGACGGATGTGCTTTTTCAGATCCCATTTGTCGGCCCAGACGTGAAGGTACCGGTTAATCTTCCATCCTGCAATAAAATGCGCCCCCATGTGATCCTGCTCCGGGGGAACTACCTCGGCGAGTGGAAGATCACTGTACTCATAAAGCCCGTAGGTGTTCTGGCTCACAAGATTTGGGTATAGTCGCTCCTCCCCCCAGGTGCCCCCGATATCCGATGCAGAGTCCACCACCAGTAAAGAACACGAAGGATCGGGATTCGTCTGTTGTGCTGGATTGGAAATCAAAAAACCAGTTGGGATTTCGCTCATGATTTCGGCATCGTCGTCCGGTATTCTACTTTGGTCGTACACACCTCTCACCTGCAAATATGTTTTCGCGGCAACGAGGCCGTACAGCCCGGGGACTATAGTTAGTGGTGAACCATTCAATTTGCCTCAACATTGAGCACTTGCCTGCACCCACAATTAACACCCGCTCCATAATTTTGACGAGCTCCTCAAAATGCAGGGACGTATTCGGAGGAAACAAAAGATTCCGGTATATTTACGTTGATTCGATTTGCGTTGCGAGTGAATTGTTGACAGGGGCGAACAACAATGCCTGCGGCTTGATATTGTTCTGGTGGGGCCGCCGCAGCATCAACCAATGGGATCTTCCACATCTTTCCTTTCATAATTGCGTGCTCTTACTCGTTGGCGCGGGACCGTTTTATTTGATTTAATTTGATTTTGTCGAGTTTAGGGAAAGAAAAAAAGAGAGAAGACGGGCCTAAACATATCGCCAGGATGCGTGCAGCTTGCCCGCAACTTGCGACTTGCAATCTCGATGCCGGTTGCATCGCTGAAGTATATCCCGCGTGACTACTTGCGCCCTTTCAATGATATCCATCTCCTTTGCCACCCCTCCCACGAGCCTTCCTCCCTCCACCAAGATTCTTCCGTCCACCATGGTCATCTCAACATCACGACCGGTACATCCATGAACAATCGTGGTGACGGGACTCACTCCACTTCCGATAATGCTGCTGCTCCACGGTGCAGCTCCCAGACCACCTCGCCCATAAGGATCGATAAGCACTAGGTCGGCTTTCTTTCCAATCTCGAGACTGCCGATCTCGTCTCCCATTCCCAGGGCACGTGCTCCATTGATCGTGGCCATTTCGAGAGCGACTTCAGCGGGAATGAGGCTCGCATCGTGGTTGACTCCTTTATGTAAGATCCCAGCCAGATGCATTTCTTGGATCATGTCATAGTGATTGCAGCATGGCCCGCCGTCTGTTCCGAGGGCGACATTGACAGGAGACGAGTGAGAGAGCATGGCTGGGACCGGAGCTACGCCGGATGCCAGCTTGAGATTCGATGTTGGGTTGTGGGCCACCGACGTCTGCGTACTTGCGAGTAATGGAATGTCAATCTCGTTGTCTAGGTTGACCATATGTGCCAGGACCAGACGATGAGACTTGGCACTGTTCTCATTCGGCGTCCCTATGGGCTGTGGGCAGAAGTTGGCATCACGCACAAACTCCATTGCACTACAGCCGTACGCTTCTCGGTAGATGGTCCGATCTCTTGGAGCCTCGGCACAGTGCATCGTCATTGAGATACCCTTGGCCGAGCAGGTTGTGCCTAGCTCTTGGTAGTGGGATATTGAGGCCCCTCGAGGTGTACCGGCCGCAGCCCACACATGGACTCTGCCGTCGTGGCTCTCGTGGTGCTTCTTATGAGAATTTAGGAGCTCTGGTATGGACATTGCGAGCAGATCTTGATCTCGGGGGTCTGATATCGATAGCTGGCGATTTGTTTCTGTAAACTTGACCAGTTTCCCCTAGTTCGGGTCGCGGAATATTAGCAGCTGTTAATCAGAAAACATGGAGGCTTGAAACAACTGACCAGACAGCCTCGGATACCCATTTCTCCCACCGCGGCACATACACGATCAAATCCAGCACGATACGTCAGCATTGGGTCGAGGAAGCATGTCGTGCCCGTCTTGAGCATCTCCGCTGTAGTCAATCGCGCCGCGTGGTAGCCATCGTCCTCTGCAAAGACAGCCTCCAACGGCCAAATCGCATCACATAGCCAGTTATGCAATGGTAGATCCTCCGCCAGTCCGCGTAGGAGCGACTGGACTAGATGAGCATGGGTGTTGATCAGTCCGGGGATGATGATCTTGCCTCGGCAGTCAATCTGGCGAGCCCCGACTGCAAGATCCCCCTTATATGGACCGCTTCCAATGTCTGTGACTCTGTCCCCGTCGACGCGAATGTATCCATCTCGCAGGATCTCGTTATGTTTGTTGACGGTGATAATTGTGGCGCAGTGGAGGAGCGTGCACCTCGAGGGGACCGCTTCTGTGGCTGTCATGTTAAGAATACAAATCTATCTGGACGGAGTATCTGGCAGGTGTGTAGTGGACGCGGAATGTCCAGCAAGTGGAGTGAATTTGTATCTCGGATGCAATTGACGACCCGCGCCCGCCTTTCGATGCTCGGCCGAGCACTTCGCCTCTTATCAACCCAGCAGATCGCCGGAGATCCGCGTTGATCACAATCCGACCTGCGCGATATGATGCAAGAGTTAGCGTTATCAGTGCGATACAGTCTGGGGAGTCAGTGACGAGATGGTATATAAAGGCCGGTATCGACGGTTACCTCGCAGGCCGTTTGGCTTGCGATGCCAGCGAGTGACCATACGCCATTGCCCGGTTTCTGCTAATCTTCCCTGAGGAACATGGATGCAAGCCGGAGATCCCCGGAAAAGAACGATACGAGAATGCCAATCTCGACATTTTCGGATTGGAGTGAGAGAAGATCCCAGGTGTTCGAAGTTGCGCCAGTCGCCGAAACCCGATGGAAATACCTTAGTCGATACTTCACCACCTCGGAGGGATGGGTCGGCGACTATGTATGAAGATCACCGACAGTGGCGGCGAAAAATAGAAACTGACAGCGAGGTCTGCAGGATTATGTCTATCTCATCACGCCGAACATCTGGCCGCTCAACAAGCGGTACAAGAATTTCGAGGCACCCTTCTATGGACTGAATGATGAAGTGCCCATCCTTCTCACAATAATTCTTGGGCTCCAACATGCCTTAACCATGATCGGCTCTGTGGTATCTCCTCCATTGGCAATCGCCAGCGGGGCATTGTACCTTGGAGCCGAGCAAAGTCAATACCTGGTTTCTGCAGCCTTCATCACGACAGGAATAGCGACGGCCATGCAGGTGACGCGCGTGCATTTGTTTAACACCCCATTCTATATCGGCACTGGACTGTTGTCCGTGGTGGGTCCAACCTTTGACATCCTCGCCATTGCATTTAGTTACACGGACATGCGCTATGCAAATGGCACTTGTCCTACGTCACCGGATGGTTCCAAACTGCCATGCCCGGACGCATGGGGTGCAATGCTGGGAACCATGCTCTGCACTGTATGGATTCAGATTGCGATGGCATTTGTGCCGCCCAAGGTGCTGAATCGGATTTTCCCCAAGGTTGTCACAGGTACATTGCTGTTGCTTATTGGTGTGTATTTGATCTCGAGTGGGATGGAGAACTGGGGCGGCAGTTCTAACGGTGATGGGGGGTCCGGGTACTATGCATTGTGTCCCAATTCTGGCGCTCCCAAGCCACTTCCTTGGTATGACCAATTCGCTTAGTTTCAGGTGATGATTGCTCTGTATTTTGGGCGCTTTTGCTAATTCCTCTCGCAGGGGTGACCCAAAGCTTATCGGGCTTGGATTCAGCGTTTTCTTCACAATCATCGTCGTAGAGCTCTTTGGATCACCATTAATGCGTTCCGCATCTGTTGTATGCGGGCTAGCAGTGGGATGTGCGATCTCGGGAGGGACAGGATACTGGTCGCGAGAGAATATCGATGCCGCACCGGTTGTCACATTCCTGTGGGCAGAGACCTTTACGCTCTCGGTCGATGGGGCGTTGGCACTCCCGTTCTTAACCATGTTCATATGTGAAGCTGTGAGCTGCATGCCGGATATTCTGGCAACAGCTGAGATATCCGGGCTGGAGATTGATGGTGTTGAGTTCAACAGTCGCATCCAGGGTGGTATCCTCTGTGATGGCATCGGCAGTCTCATCAGTGCCCTCGGTACTGGCTTGCCAATGGTCAGTCAAGCTGGAAATAACGGGGTCATATCTTTGACCGGATGTGCGGTATGTCATTTCCTATCCCTCGCAGTTTTCATTTGCACTAATCTAGATGCACCGTGATAGAGTCGAAGAGCCGGATGGTGTGCTGCCGCCTTTTTGATTCTGATGGGCATATTTGGTAAATTCGGTGCTGTATTTGGATCCATGCCACCGTCAGTACTGGGAGGAATGCAAGTGTTTCTGTACAGCACAATTGTCGTCGCTGGTATCAAGGTGCTTAGTTTGGTCGATTTTACCCGACGCAACAGGTTTATCCTCACCACAGCGCTGGGAATCGGCTTTATCGACATCGTATCTCCCAACTGGTTCAGTCAGATTCTGGCCTACGATGGCCCGAACATACGACTTCAGGGCTTTGAGCAGGGTATCAACTTGGTGGTGGAAACCCCGTTCATCATTGCGGCCGTCGTTGGCGTCGTAATGAATCTAGTTCTGCCCTATGATCGGAAGCAGTTGGCCGTGGTAGAAGGGCACGAGAGGCAATTGCCCCTTCCTACTTGATTCGCATAAACTCGGATATTTCTCTCGATATTGATTTATTAATTTATCTCTATAATCTCCCTTGTAGAAGGTGCACGATCAATCCCCCAAGGACGGGCCGTGAGACGGACCGGGTGTGGCCCAGAGCCGGCCGGCCCAGCACGGTCCGCCTCTTGTCTGCTCCATGCGTACTTCGGACGGGCCGTCCTCCGCCTCGCGTGGGTACATGCTTGTATGGTTATATAACTGGGATTTCGTCTTTTTTTTGGAATAAATATTCAGATTCCATCTCAGCGTACGTTCGCAATGGACAAGTCACAGCGCATTGTTATCGTCGGGGCCGGGGCCTTTGGCCTGGGCACAGCCTTGCGAATGAAGGAAGAGGGCTACACCTCGGTAACCATCCTCGATCGATCTATGCCACCCGTCCCGGACGGATCGAGCAACGACATCTCGCGAATTATCCGCTTCGATTACGGAGATGCGATCTATGCTCGCATTGCAAAGGAGGCATTCGACCTGTGGAAGACCCCCGAGTACTCGGATGCATTTTACCAGACGCCGTGTCTTTGGGTTTGCCAAGAGGGTACCCCCGAACAGCCTGTTCAGCCTCGGGCACAGGAATATAGCGCAAAGACCAAGCGTGTCTTGACGGAGATGGGCCAGAAATGGCACGCTGTCGATTCAGTCGAGGCAGCCAAGAAAGCATTCCCGAAACTCAGTGGTCGCCTCGCCACGGCTGGCTTTGAAGGATTCTATAATAACGACGCTGGATGGGCCGACGCTGGGAAAGCTATCAGTCGTCTCGCATCTCGATGTATCTCCGCAGGTGTCTCCTTCATCACTGGGCCTAATGGTCAGGTAATCGACTTTGAAAAGAATCAAAATGGCGACATCACCTCTGCGCTGACCGCGGGCGGCAACAAAATTGTTGGAGATCAGTTCATCGTGGCTACCGGAGCCTGGACAGCCAGCGTAGTCCCAGCCTGGAATTCGATGCTGGCTGCTGGACAACTGGTAGGCTACCTGCGTCTCACCCCAGAAGAGGTCATCCAGCTCAAGGATCTCCCCATTTACTTTAACTTCTCGACCGGATTCTTCTGCTTTCCCCCCACGAGGGCACAAACTATCTGAAGGTGGCCATTCATGGATTCGGCTATACTCGTAATAACGAGTCGGCCGATGTCTCATCTCCGCCCACTCAGGCTGTTGCGTCTCGAGCCAATTATGTCCCCGCCGACGGGCTGAAAAGGATGGAAGCTGGTCTACGAGATATATTCCCTCAGCTTGCTTCACGAGGCTTCGAGCGAACGGGTATATGCTGGTATAACGACACACCGACCGGCGACTTCATCTTCGATTTCCACCCCAAACACAATAACCTTTTCATTGCTACCGGTGGCAGTGGGCAGTAAGTCGAGATTTGCGTTTATAGTTCCTGCGTACAGGCTAACTGATCACCTCATTCATTAGCGCGTTCAAGTTCTTGCCCGTCATTGGCAAGTATATTGTTGGGAGCTTCCAGCGCAACCTGCCGAAGGAGCTGCTCACAAAGTGGAAGTTCCCCACGCAATTCCGGGAGCGCTTCCAGGGCGATGCTTTTGGAGGAGACGGTAGCCGCGGTGGGCCTGAGAGGAGAGAGTTGACTCCCAGTGAGCGGGGGACTTTTGAATCTGCATTGAAGCTCTCTGTCCGGCAGAGCAAGATCTGATCACAACTTTCTTATTTTTTCTTTCTGGTCTTTCGTTTTATCGAAGCAAAACGATACCGCGAACTTGATACCATGACACTCTGCATTCCTTAACGATTGCATGAATAAAGACGTGATAGAATACAGAAATGCGCTTTTCGTTTGGCAATGAAGCATGGGGGGTATTGTAGTATCGAATAGTCGATCTCGCTGAGTATAAAATCAAAGATGTTCTGTCATCAAATCCCCGAAGATCATCCAGTCGGGAATATCAGGGACGCCAGATCCAAATGTATTGCCTCCGGTTCGGCTATTAAATGGCCAGGCTGAGCCCGGAGTCTCACCTCCAAGATGGGATACACCGTCGCCAAGAGTAGACCCTCTTTGAGAAGTCATGCCAATGCCAGAGCTTTCGTCGTCAACATCTTCATCAAGCTCCTCGTCGGATGTAGACGACATTTCGTTTGTATTCGCGGCAGTCTCTTTTTCGGAGAAGGGTGCCATCTGAGTAATGTCTGCCGGTTGACTGGAGCGAAAAGATGTGAAATCGAGAATATCCCACATCAATTCTTCGTCTTCACTCGACATTCGTGGTATATTAGATGGAGTCGCCATGCTCGACAGCGCTCCTGAGAATCCATCTTGGTTGTAGAACAGCGACCCATAATTTTGGTGGCGAGAAGCAAGTTCATTGATTCGACTGACCAGTATCCTCATGCTGTCCCATTCGGCAGATAACTCGGTCATGAACCGAACGAGATCTCGATATTCATTATTCAAAAGTAGCGCGATCTTCGGGTTTTTGTTTCCAGTATGCTCCAGTTGGATGGTCGCTGCTATCGCAGCTAGATACCCAAAGAATGGGTCACATAACTGGAGATCGGCGTCTGCCATTTCCTTTACAAAGCGCGCAATCCACCGCGAATGGATCAGCGAGGTTTCGAATGACTTTTGCAGGAAAGTTGCGGACAGGTTTCCGCGCATGTGGCGCAGCTTGATCATGGTCACGAATGGGTGATGTAGCAAGCATTGGATGGAGTGGAAAAGGAACTGCACGCACAGCCACGTCGCTAGGTATGGGCGGGACTGCGGCTCGTCGCGAGCGCGTCGAGTGAAATCAACATTCATGTATCGATGAGCGTCTGCAAACTGGGTTTCAAATTGCATCCATTCCGATTCTAACATCGCCAACGCCGATCCACTCTGCCAGGGTGGGAGAGAACTTGTGGGGAGTGGTTCGAATACCCATTCCGCAGCTTTCCCCCATAGCGAATACAGACGGAGGAGACAGGCCATGATCCCCTGGTCAACACGGTGTCCTTGCCTCGTGATTTTCCCGTGTAGAGACCCAGAAGAAACTGCATTTCCAGTCTCGGAAGATGGGAATTGGAGGGTAAAGCGACTGTCCGAGAGGCATAATGAGTAGCTGCGAGAGGCGTTGTAAGTGCGATCAAGCATGAAAAATGCCCACGTAATTCTCTTCCGTGCCTCCGTCTCCAATTGGTTCAGCGATGACAGATTCCGGCCCTGGTTGAAGCCGTGCGATTGGATGACGCGAAGGCCGAGTGCAACTGATGCACACCCTCTGTGGGAGTTGCCATCCGCAAAGCACAGATGAGCAGTCAGAAACGTTCCTTGGAGAAACGAGAGCCCGGTTTGGCCATTTTGGTATTGCGACGATAGGATCTGCCAGGCTCGCTCGGCACAATATTTGCCTGTCGACGTGCCGTTCCCCAGCGACCCGGGGAGGTCACTGAAAGGCGAAGGGTGAGCGCCACGATCGAAAGCGCCACCTCTGGCGGAAGTGATGCTGCGTTTTGCAGAAGCCAGTCCTTTGCGAATACACAGTAAGGCTGGTCGTGGAAATGGGTCAGGTAGACCTGCACTTCTGACTCAACTAACCCGGAAGGTAGCGGATCACTAATTGTATGGGATGTTAGCTGGGACCGTCAATAGGCATTCGGAAGGAGCTAACCTGGATAAAGCATGACCCTCATCGACCGAATTGTCAATTGGGTCGGTGATACAGGTGCTGTCATGTTGTGCCTGCTGGTTATCTGTCGCTAAGAGATCTGATAGTGCTTGTGTCGGGGCAATTCCTTGTGGCAGGCGATCTCTGAATCGCAATGACCGCGGTTAATACATCAAATTCCTGGACACTGCGGGGATCTGCAAAGTCTCACTGAAGCATCGAAGTGATCTCCTCCAGCCTTTGTTCGATCTGCTGAAGGCGACGCGCGCTCGGGGCGTCAGACCCTTGATCCTGAAGAATGGATTGTGGTGAGCCATTGCATGCTTTCCGAGATAGCTGCAGAGAATCATAGAGCCTACCTCCCGAGCGCCCTCCTGGTCATTGTCCTGTCCACTGGTGGACTCTCGTTGGCCTCGCGCACGGTTGGGGATCGCTTGGGCCCCGTAGGTGCAGCGCTGTCCCAGACGCTGACAGAGCGAACACACCGGCTTCTCGCCGGGACATCGCGCCTTCTTCCGCCTGGCGGTTTGGAGGCTGGGGTCAGTGCCCGAACCCAGCAGTGCGAATTGGAGATACAACGTACCTACAGGGTCCACATGCTTGCCGCGTGCGCTTCAAGGAAACCTTGTGGATAGTGTAGTTGTCATTCGAGGTGCTCATTCTCTGCGACCGCGCCCGGGGATTGAGCGGTGAAAATTCGATCCAGGGGGACCCGACTCCCGCCAACCGAGCAGCAGGACAGATTTGGCACGGAGGCCGTGGGCGAGGACGCACGAAGCGCAGCTAGGGCTCGGGGATCGCAGGGCCGCCGCGTTGCTGGCTTCGCGATGCATGAGGTCAGCCGACAGAGGCCCGTTGGAGATGCGCGGCCCCACCGATGCAATTGTGGGCGTGCGGGGGCACCGGAGTTCGGCCGAGTTGGAGATGCGCAGATACCGCGTCACGACGAAGGCGGAGAGCGAGATAGGACGGCGTCGGGAGGATACCTGTAGTTTGGGTTGATAAAACAAACAATCATATCCCCTGTGTCGCCGCACGCAGGCGAAATGACCGCAGTCGTTCGGCGATAAGCAGGGGAAGATGGTGGCCGCCAGATGGACAGCGATGCCCGATCCGGACATGCTTCCCCAGCTGCCAGCCCGCTCTTACATAGTCGCCCTGGGGTCCCAAGGCCCAGCAGTTCGTTATCAACCCGTCGGCAGCCACTGGCCGCCACCGCCGGCGATCGGGTGATCCTCCGAGCAGATTCGAGAAGCTCTCTGCTGGAGAAACTCCAGTAGCCGGATTGCCAAGCCATCTTTGTCTGTCACTGGCAGGTCATGTGCTCCTTACCTGTGGGCACATCGTAAACCGCAGCCACGTGAGCTACCCTTGCTGTTTCATGCCGCTCCTTCTATTCAGTTTGGTGGATCGGATCGATATTAATATCGTCGCCGCAGGTCATTGATCGTTGAGCATTGTTGCATACACTACCAAGGTTTATTTCCAAGGAGAAGGACACCCTCGGCATGATGGATATCCGCCTGGGCATCCCAGTGCTGCGTAGTCCATGCAGGGGTTCTAGCTTAAGGTCGGCATTGTGTCATCGGGTCTTTGATTAACTCGGGGAGTCAGGAAGGAACATAAATGTAGACAACATATTGAAGCAAAAAGGACGGACCGTGTTTGGTAGGATAATTAGTAGGATACGAGCAGCTATTTGAGCAATCATTGCGCCTGTGCGAGCTTGGTGTCGTCGACTTAAGAACCGGATCTAGCTCCGTATACTCCTAGTACCGTACCCTAGGGTAAGGTAGTACCATCTCGATCCAGCGGTAAGCGCGTGACACGCAAGAACCCATGAATCGAAAACTCCCCGACGTCGAGGACTCCTAATACATTACATTGTGCATTCGATCTATCCGTAACTATTCGAAGTACTGTTGACTTCTCTCTAGTCGGCTCGAAGAACCACTGGCAGATACCATCAATCCCAGGCGATAATACTGCAATGTACTGCAAGTAGATTCGAATTGCACATCCTGATTCAACAGGATCGGGATGTTTTCATCGGCGACCGGCCTGCGATCGACCAGAACGGCCTCCCAGCCGAGCAGCCCCGGAGTGGCGTTGACGACAGCCGGTGGGCGAGACCCGTCCACCGGGCCTCGTCCAGTGCGCGCTGTTGCTGCCGCCCCACCACGTCCTCCCGCCAGTCCCTGGGCAACTGATAACACAGTCTCCATCAAAGCCGTCCCGGTCCTGTGATCGGCACCGAGCAGTCAACCCCGGATTCCACCTTCGAATCGCCCATGACGCCCAGGAGGGAGTGTTGGACCATCGCGAGGGTGACACTGGACAGAGGGAGGGGCACCAAGTATATATGACGCCCGGTGGCCCTCCCACTCCATGGTCATCCTAAGAAAGCAACACCAAACCACCTCCACTCTTCACGCCCCTAGATTAACATCACATCACATCTCACAATGTCGACGTGGAAAAGCTACCTCGGCCTCAATGAAGACGCCGGCAACGATGCCCCGCTGACGGCGCTCCCTTCCTCCTGGTATACCTCCCCCGACATGTTTGAATTGGAGCGGCGGGCCATCTTCTCGCGCAAGTGGCTGTTGACCACGCACAAGCTGCGTCTGCAAAACACCGGGGATTGGCTCCGGTACGACGTGGCGGGCTTTGGTTTCATTCTGGTGCGCGACCGCGACGGCAACATCAACGCCTTCCACAATGTCTGCCGCCACCGCGCCTTCCCCGTCGTGACCGAAGGCGAAGGCACCTCGCGCATCTTCTCCTGCAAGTATCACGGCTGGTCGTACGGATTGAACGGGAAGCTCGCCAAGGCGCCGGGGTATCAGGACCTTGAAGGGTTTGACAAGGCCAAGAACAGCCTCCTGCCCATCCACGTCCACATCGATGCTAGCGGTTTCATCTGGGTCAACCTCGACAGCAAGGAGACGCCCGAGCTGGCCTGGGCGGACGAGTTCCGAGGGGTCGACCTGCAGGCGCAGTTCCAGAATGTCAACATCGACGACTACCAGTTTGATCACGCGTGGGAGCGCGAAGAGGAATTCAACTGGAAAACCCTGTCCAACAACTACAACGAGGGCCACGACAGCCGCGCAGCCCGCCCAACCATTCCATCGCTGTCGGTGCTCAGCAGCTACACCGTCGACGGCACGGATGGCAGCATCCAGCCGGCCACCGAGAGCCCCAACCTGACCAGCAACTTCTACTTCCCCAACACCAGCATGGTCGTCTCCCCGCACTTCTTCTTCCTGCGCCGGTTTGTCCCCACCTCCGCCACTAAGAGTGTGGAGCGCTACGAAGTTTACCGGAACAAGTCGGCCAGCGACGAGGAGTTTAATGTGGTCAACCAGATGTACAAGAATCTCAAGGGCGAACTGCACCCGGCGACCGAACCCGGCCCACTGTACTTCCAGAGCGTCGTGCGGGACACGGTGATGCAATTCCACCAGCGCGAGGAGGAGGCGGGTCAGGCGATCTGGCCGTCTCGGCAGGTGTTGCCAGCTACGGCGACAACCAGCCAGGAAGATATCGACTTTTGCACCAAACTGTCGACGCAAACTCCCGCCAACGCGGACTGCGGGGCATCCGGGGGCTGCTGCGGCGGGATGGCCTGCGAGAGTGGCAACGAGGCGCTGGCCTACTAGCTTCTAGTTGATAATGTTTGTGACTGCGGCGTTTGAGCGTGTCCCGATGGTTCTGCATCCTGCATTGATACGACTGATGATACATGCTTGCAATTTTCAGTTTCTATGTTCCTATGTTTAGTATAGAGAAGCGCCTTGAGGTGCTGCCTCTACCTACTAGTAGTAGATACTAGTAGTATAGCAGGATTGGATAATCTGATGTACTCTTCACAAGTATTATTTCCCCTGCAGCAAATCCGCGGAGAAAGTTGATCCCAATTCCGATGTTCTTAAGAGGTGGACTCCCACTTTCCTGCGTTGCAATGGAGATGCGGCGACCCCAAAAATGTACCCGGACGCTCCCACTGCGGAGGGGCTCCAGTTGGGCTCTCCGCGCCTTCTCAGAGGGCCTCGTTGCTTATCATCGCGGTCCCTGGCAGAGCTCTCTTCTTTTTTAGCCTTTCTTAGGGTCCGTTAGGCTGCCCTAGGGAGGATGCCCCACCACAAGATGGCCCCGATCATCCGCAGTTATCTCCCTCCGGCAGCGAGGAACCACTGCGTATCAGCGTGACCTCGCGACAGCTGCCCTCGCACCCTTCTGATTCGAGGACGCTTATTCTTATCGGCATTAACCTTCTCGCAGGCACACACGCGACACGTCTGGAGAGAAACCCATTGGATCCGGCGCCGCCAGCTTGTGATCAGCGCCCGGGATGCGCTGGTTGGGGGATCGTATTTCCTGTTTGGTCTCCTAGCGCAACCGTGGCCAACCCACGGACCGTCTGGGCAGGGCGAACCTTGGCTGGGCCTCCTGCGTGGGCGAAAGAACTAGAACTGCTAGTCTGGCGCAGTGCTGGTCAAAGCAGTTGCAGAGGTGGGCGGTTTGCTCTCGCCGGCGCTTCCCCGCTCTTATCATCTGTCATCCGTCATCCGTCATCCTTCCCCTCCATCCTGTTTTTTTGTTCTTCATCGGCTTTGTTGCGCCCGATGGCTGCACCGCTCCTTCCCTAGTCATTGTGACCATTATCTCGGTTTTTCTCTTTTATCTCCTGGGACTTCCCCCCGCGTACTCGATAGAGACGACCTGGTCGTGATCTGGCCTTCGCTCAAGAACGCTTCCCCACCCCCCCCAACCGCGCATATATAATGCCACGGGAAACCAACCGCGGACGACTGCGATCGCACGAGGCTTGTCTTAATTGCCGGTGCAGTGTCACTCTGTCGCCTGTGTGCCCTTCATCGTACTTATCTTATCTCGAATAGACGGAAGAAGACGCGATGTCCGGCCGAGAAACCGTCCTGCTCCAGCTGTGTCCGCCTAAACCAGACATGTCTATACACCACCGTGCCGCGAGGCTCACGCAGCGGTCCCTCGGTAAGTCGCAGCGCATATCTTTCTGGAAGATTCTCAGTGTTAATATCGGAAAAGGCCGACCGATTGGCCTACTTGGAGGAAAAGGTCAATCTCATCTTGAATGGCAGCAGGTGAGAAACGGCCCGCCACGGTCCGCCATCAGCTTCGCTCCGTCAGTTAACCTCGTGTCTTCTTTTCTCCTTAGACCAGCCCAGGACCATCCCACAAACGGCGGCGCCAATGACGTACCAGACACTGCGTATTCCGCTGCCTCGTGCCCTTCGTCCGAGCCGAATAATTTCAATGACCCATTTCTCTTAGGTTTTGGGTTAGATGACTCTAGGTTGCACTCGTCCTCGCGACTAGCCCAGGCCATCGATCTCTATTTCCAATATTGCCACCGACAACCAATCTGGTGCTTCGACCGCGAAGAGGTCAAGGATCCCAGCTATGTCTCAGAAGAGCTCGCATGTAGTATTATCACCTTAACTTCCCGCTTTTCACAAGATCGGGAAGAAATGCTCCATTATGGTGACAGCGCCCGGACCTTGGTCATGCTGCGCATCGCCAATGGTACCGTCGAGCTTGAAACTATTGAGAGCTTGTGTTTGCTCTCCTACTCGTCCTTCCTCGGTGAGCATCACATTCGATCATCGGTCCCGATCAAACACAAGTGCTAACCAGAAACAAGATGGAAATATACAGTTGGGACGATTTCACCTGGGTCTCGCGCTTCAATTATGCCGATCATCGATGCTGGACCTCGATGCAACATACGGGATCGATTGCCCCGCGGCCGAGCGCAAGAAGAGGCTCTTCTGGAGTCTGCAATCACTCGAGCAATCATACGGCCAAATAAACGGGATTTTGAGCGTGCCATCCGAAGTCTTGCGCTCGTTCTACGTGTCCACGGGTGATGACCCTCAGGCGCAAAGAAAGCTCGACCCCAAGCCACCCCCACTGCCGCATGACGAAATTGGGTGCACCGGGCCTGAAGATACCGGCATTTGGAGTCTCGCTTTGCATTTCGGATGGGTATGGAGCAGGGTCCGGACGTATCTATATGACTGCGCCCAGAGCAAGTTGCGAGAGCCCTGGCGGCACGACTCGATGTACGCGATGGTGCTCTCGGACCTAACCGAGCTGGAGAACAAGCTCTCCCTGTGCCATCGATACGACTCCGTCAAATTCTACGAGCGCCGATCGGACGAACTCCGGCATAATCGCGAATACTGGGCACCGTGGCTCAAGCTGCAATTCACCTATCATTCGATCTTGACCGTACTGAATCATCCATTCCTCTACATTGTGGCATCGCAGTATAATCACAACCTCACCATCCCTAATACCTTTTGGCGTCGATCGTCGGAAGTGGTCCTTCTACATGCCACCTGGATTGTGCGCATGATCGACATGGTGTCGGAAAAGAAGATGCGACTGATCGACCCGTTCTTTGGACATGCCGCTGCGATCGCCGCCACCGTGCATCTGTATTATTGCTGCGCTGCTGACCCTCGGCTAAAATACAAATCCAAGACCGACTTTGCTAAATGCAGGCGATTTTTGAAAAGCTTTGTCTCTTTCTCTCCTTCTTGTGAATCTCTCGTGTGTTTTTCTGACCCCCCCCAAATCAATTCTTCAGATCCATGCTGACCCTTTTCTTCAGGATCGAACGCTCGACAAGATGACACACATCGCATCGGGCTCCGAAAAGGTGGACTTCGATTGGGAACCTTCAAAGATCCATCTCAGCATCCCGCTGATGTGGGAGTTGCTCCAGGTCAACTTGACACCCAGTTCGCTTGACATGTCCACCGCCGGCTTACTGCATCCGTCACTCACGCCTGCAGTGTTCCCCGAGGAGATGGAGGCTCCCGCCTCCACCCTCGAAATCATCGTGGCCATGTCGCCCAACATTACCGTCAACACGGCCGATGGAGGCTCAGCGGCCCATATGCCGCCGAATATGCCGCACCTGGCATCCGCGCCGGCCTCCCCCACCAGCTCGGCCATGGGAGATAAGCTGGTGGCACCCGCAGACAGTCTCATGGCGAATACTCCGTGGCTCTGGGCGGACCCGTCACAATTTGTCGATATGGAGAATCTCGGATATCCCGAGTCGGAATCTACCCTGGGCAATGTTGAAGGCTTTTCCACTTGGTGGGACTTTGGCAACTTATAAGAGTATTATATTCATTCATCTTTCTTCTCCCATTTAATGAGGATTCAGGTGTCCCAAGACAAGTCCTTCAAAAATTTGCGACTTCCGGGGGCTGCATGCCCCTGGCTAGCGCTGGCTGCTCCTTCGATAGACGCCTCCAGTCCTTTATATTCAATCTTCCCTGCCTAACAACTAGTGCTTCCCCTCGGTGACCCTTATGCGATACAGCCCTATGCCTGCGTCTGCGCCTGCGACTGCAACGACGAATGCGACTGCCTGCGACTGCACCCTGTCCCTATGCCGCTGCGAGCATTTTCAGTTTTTCCTGCAATGCGGCAAAGTTTCTCTTCATCGCACTGTCGGTAAACTGCGCCCCGGTGACCATTGGGTACTTCTTCTGCGGGCCCTGGATCAAGGCATCTTTGCAGGGCTGGTTGAAGTATGCAATGCTGTACCGATCCCCAAAATAATCCCCGGGCTCGCACGGCGCCTTGACGCGGTGAAACGTCGACTTGAACCGATCGTCCGACCACGACATGAGTAAGTCTCCAATGTTGCACACGATCTCCCCCGTCTTCGCCTCGACCTTGGTCCACTCGTCCCCGATCCCGAACTCGGTCACCACCTCGCGCCCCGGGCAGATCTCCAGCCCGCTCTGTCCCTCTTTCTGGAAGAGTAGCGTCAGAAAATCCCAATCCGCATGTGCCCCCGCGCGATGATACACCTTCCCATCGGATTCCTCCGGCAGCGCGAAGTAATGAAGTAGCCGCATGGTGGTTTGCGAGTCCGGCCGTGCCACATCATGGCAGTCGATGAAGAAGGTCTCGGGGAAGCCCAACCCACGCGCAAAACATCGCATTAGATTCTCTGAGATGCGCTGCACCCGGTACATGAAGTCCAGGGCGGTCGTGCGAAAACCCGCCAGGTGTTCGTCGGTTACCCAGAGCCCGTTCATGTTGTCGCCAAACTGCAGCTGGTACGACTCTTTGCTGTCCGGCTTTCCGGTTGAGGGGCGAATCTGTGAGTTCTTTTCCCAGCCGACATTGTTGGCGTTCCAGGGGACGGTCGCTTTGGTGGCATCGGGTAGGTCGAAGAAACTCTTGGAGGTCGCGAAGATGGCGTCGACATCTTTTTTGGAGATGCCGTGGTCGATGAGGGTGAAGAATCCGACATTCTCTGCTGCAGACACTAACTCCGTCGTAATCTGGTCAATCCGGGCGTCAAAGTCCGCCAGGGAAATCTGCGGAATCGGTCGATCGACGTATCGCGTCTGGGCCATTTTGTGTGTATTAACTTTTATGCAGGCTGTGACTAATAAATGTGTTGTGGTGAATCAAGAGTAGAGCAGAGTAGAAATAGCCCGTACGGAATATATAGACAATATCAGATGTTTGTATGACGTCGAATGTGAGACTTATCGCAGGCTCGGCCGAGGCGTCGGCCGAGGTTGCGCTTCAGCAATTGAGGCTGTCGGGGATCACCGGCGGGTGACAAGGACACTGTTTGATTGCAATGACTGCGAGGAAGTCATCCTGCTGATGATTACATGAAATTGTGTCAAGGTAGGTTTCCCTTTCCAATATGAACGGTGACGCTATTGTAAATTCGATGACCATCAGGTACCTGCCTTCCATAGGTGGTATACTCCTAGGTAAAAATAGGGCTGGGCTTCTCCGCAGATAAGAAACGTCCGCCGTCTGTTCCATGGTAGACGCTCCCCTCCTCTCCTCTACACCACCTTCTTCCGACATAATGAGTGCCGGAATTCACCGAAAGCGACTGGCATGTGTCGAATGCACTCGCCGAAAGGTCAAGTGCGACAAAATCTTGCCGTGTCGCAACTGTACGAGGAAAGGCACCGAGTGTACTCGGCCGCGAGAGCAAGACTCCCAGAGCCCCAGCATACCACGATCCGACGAGTCAACGGAGCAAGCTATACGGGCCCGGCCGAGCACAGATGCCTCGCTTATCATTGAGAGGCTTCAATCGAGGGTCGATCACCTGGAGGCGGCCCTGCGAGAAGCCAGCGAGTTCCGTCGTCGGAAAGTTCCACGACTTCAGGGACCGCTCAACGGCACATCTTTCTCGCCTGCAAGATCAATAGTCGGCCAGCCATCGCCATTCTTCATACCGGACTCGGCAATTGCAGAGCCTAGGTCGACGCCAAAGGAGGTGGAAGATGCCGCGACAATTCTTGAATTTCTCGCATGGGGCCGCCGCAAAGATCCCTCCTACCAGGATGAAATTGTGAAAAGAAGCCATCTAGCCCACTCTCCGGGCGATCTACCTGGCGAAGCTGACTGGGAGAACTCCCTTAGTTCAGGACCATCTGCAATCACTCTTTGCCAGCTATTGCTACCAACGAAGGCGAAAGTATACCAGCTGGTCCGCTATCATTGCGAGTGTCTACTGTGGTACCACGGGGCATTCCACGCAACTATGTTCCTTGAACAACTGGATGCGTTCTACAGTCAAGGCGGCGGACTCGTCGATGGGCCAGGCGTTGATCTACAATGGATATCCCTTCTATTCGCGATACTCACTGCGTCACTTGCGAGTGCACCTGCCTCGATCACTCTTTCATGGGGATTTCGCGGCCAAGAAAGAGAGACCCTGTCTCATCGCTGGCTTCAAGCCTGCATCGCCTGTCTCCACCAAGCAGATTATATGGCCTGCCATTCAATTTATTCAGTCCAGTCTATTGCGACACTGACGATTTCTGCTCACATGCTAGGTCATTCCAACGGTTTCTCGGTACTTCTCGCCTCCGCAGTTCGGATTGCCCAGGGTCTCGGATTGCATCAGCTGGATGGAGATCATGATGATCGGGCCAGCAGTTCGCTTGGCCGAGAGATCGGCCGTCGCGTTTGGTGCCAGCTTTGCATTCAAGATTGGTTTTCCATCCCCTTCACCGAAAGTTACTTGATTCATCGGCTCTGCTTCAATACCGAGAAGCCGCGAAACTGCGACGATGACCTGGTGACTCTTCCCGATGATCATCCAACGGTCACCGGTTACTCGCGTCTATTTTATGATATTGCAGCCCTGATGCCGACCCTGCAGGATGATTTCAACTCTTCGAATACCCTTTATACCCGGTATGAAGAGGTGCTCAAGTATGACCGACAGTTACGCACGCTGGCTACCCAGCGGCTTCCGCGTTATTTGCAAAATGTTTCCACCGACCCCTCGTGGCCCCGCTATGTTCCATGGGCAAGGCGTAGCCTAGCCATCAGTTCTGCTCACAAGGTAATCATGATCCACCGAAAGTTCTTGAGCCTGAGCTTCGTGAATCCAATGTTTGAATTTACTCGAAAAACATGTGTTGCGGCTTCGCGTACCATTATCAAAGAGCAAAAGGAGGCAACCGATGAGAACGGGCCCCTTCTGTGGATACACCAGGCGTTCAGCGTCACGGCGAGTGTAGGTATTGAATCCAAAGACCCGTGAGAATAAATACTGACATTGGTGCAGATTATTCTGTGTCTGGATATGTTTCATCATCCTGCGATAGATACCCAAGCTTCGGAACATCGGCAGCTCGTTGAAGATGGCATTGCAATACTTTCCCGATGCGAGTCGGATATGATTGCCCGTCGCGGCGTCTCGCTGCTCAAGGCTATGCTGGGTGCGGAGCAGCAAGGCTCCTGGCGAAAACACCCTGCGACCGAGTCATGCGAAGCACAAGTACGTCTTAATGGCGGTGGCTTGGATATTGCAACCATCATTCAGACATTCTACCGGCAAGACCAGGAGAGCTACTCCAATCAGTCGCCATCGCGGCTTGACCGTTCCTCTACGACAAAGCCTTCAAATCACGAACATTGGCCGAGTGTGATGCATCAGGGGCCTATTTCCATTCCGACTGACGAGCTCCTCGTTCCGTTCGGTGTAGAATATGCAGAAGGACTAGACGACATTCTCAGTCTCGCGACAAACTATCTGAATTGAGTTGTTCGGTGCTCATGCTCCATTAAGAACTTCCAAGGCCACACACGGCCAGATGTATATATCGATGAATGCTAATTAATGATCATATGTACGTGGGCCTGCCCATAGCCAAATCGGTATCCACATTTAAATCGAATCCCCAATCCGCAGACTTGATTATAACAAAAAGGAGAGATGAACAATATGAATTTCACGTGGTAAGAGGCAGTAAATGCCATCCAGCATGCGCTTAGTCGGTCTTGCGGACCTGAGTGACGGGGGCTTGGTAGATCCGACGTCCATGAACAAAGTACTGCACGCAGGCGAAAATCACAACAACACCAAAAACCAAGATGGACCAGTTCATGTCAACGAGAGTTGGGTAGTTGGCGGTGGGGAAGAAGGTAAAGATGATGGCGAAGCACAGGTAGGCAACCGAGAATACGTTCAAGGGCAACCCGAGCTTGCCTAGCGAGAAGCGGGTGGGCGGGAGACCGCCGGGCAACATGCGCGCGCGAATGAAGGCCCCGATCGACAAAATGTAGGTGCTGAACAGAGCCGCAATCATGACTGAGGCAATGGCGTTGAAGGCAGCGGTCGAACCGATGTTGATCAGACACAGCAACACGGTGATCATGGTCGAGACGATGACGGAGGTGACGGGAATCCGAAGGCTCTTGTTGACGTGAGCGAGGGCGCCGGAGAAGGGAAGAGCGTTGTCACGAGCAAACGCAAAGGTCTGACGCGAGGCGGTCGCGAGAATACTGATCGCACTGCAGACCTCCATGATGAGGATGATGGCAGCGACACCATTGGTAGCGGCCTTGGAACCTGTCGCATGTTCGACGGCGGGGAGAAAAGAGAAGCCGCTCGCTGGGGACAGGACACTCTGCATATCACCCATGTTATAGAGAAGAGTGATCAGCATGATGAAGCCGAGACCACCGTTGATCAGGGCGGTCGAGACCATGCACCAGGGCACGACAAAGGCGGCGTTTTGCACCTCCTCGGCCATGTGCGTCGCGGCATCAGGACCGGTCCAGGAGAAAATGGGGGTCAGCTGGCCGACGAGACAGGCGAGTCCCATGCTGGACCATTGACCGGAGTTAGTGAATTCGTTCCACACGGAATAGTCGGAGGCCTTGGCCGGGCCCATCGCCCACATAGGGACGAGGACAGCCAGGAATCCACCCAGGTGTAGGAACAGAATGACGCCCTCCAGCGGCGGGAGCAGGCGCGCGCCGTATGTGTTGACCAGAGTGCCGACGGTGGCAATCGCAATGGTGAGGAGGGTTCCGTGCCAGCGTTCGTCGACGTAGACATAGCCGGTGGGGCCGGAGTAGTTGAAAACGAGCAAGCCCTGGATCAGCGTACCACAGAGGAAGCAAATACTAGCGAAGGCTGCCTGCCATCCCAGCACCGACAACCAGCCTGAATTTGGTTAGTATCTTATCCCAGTCGGACTCATCCCCCTATCACGGAAATAAATGGCGGGATGCCACGTACCAGTGATGTAGCTCAGAAAACGCTGAAATCGCGGAGTCGCAAATTCACTGACCCAATGATATTGTCCACCAGAAGTCGGCGCACTAGTAGAAATATGATGGTTAGATGGTTCGTCCTGGCGCATCGCGTGTTGAGACCCAGTCTCATCGCTCGGAAAGAGCACCCACATAGAAGCAATCTCGGCCATGGAAATGACGGAGGAGAAGAACCCGACAAAGGAGCCAATATAGACATAAACCATGCCGGCGCGGCCTCCATCAATCAGGCCATAAGTACTCGTGCTAGGCGGGGGATGGTCAGTGGGCCGGTCAGGGGGTGGTGTTCGGCGGGCGCATTGCGGGGAGCTCACAGCAGAATAGACTCCCAGCTGGCCATGAGAGTGGTGGTGAAACCGAGGATGGAATAGAAGCGGAAGTTACGCTGTCGCCGGTCAGTTCACGTTCGCAGGATCGCGGTCGGCCCCCGCATGGGCGTTGATGCTGGACCGACCTTGAATTGCTGGGCTTTTCCCAGACGCTCCATGTCGCGGTCATCCTGGAGGCTCGAGTCGAGGCCGACCTCGTGGCTGACGATCTCCTTTTCGCCGGGCATGACTGCTCGAGAGTGTGAAGAGGCAGGATCCGAGTCCCGATGGCAACAGAGAAGAACCAGGAAAAATGGAGATGCGTGGGGGACGAGAATCAGGAGTCCTGATTCAGGCCAATCAACACCCGCAACGCACCGGGCGAGTGGAGCTCAAAGCCTATCTGGTCCAGCCGAACTTACTACTTGCGACTCCTAACTAGTAGTAACTAGGGTAGGTAACAGTAAATTAGCTTAGGGTATCTGAGGATAGTAGTAGTCGTACTACAGAGCTGGTGAGCCTATGCGATGCGTTCAAGCCTGCAATCCAGCCGGCTAGTGCGCGCCATGACGCAGCGATGCAGGGAAGGCGCCTGCGGACCTTCCACTTGCAGTTTGGCGGCGGAGAGCTTTTCCTGCAGATGCCAATGCACCGTGGGTTCTGTGCGCATTCTACGAAGTGCATCCTACTACAAAGGTCACGGTAGTAGGGAATATTGTCAACCTGACAATCCGATCGTAAACAGCTGAGCAATGCGATCGGCCCGAAACTGCCAAACCTCCGGGGGGAGCACGGCCGCGGGCCCGGCGAACGACTAAACTCACTAACTGATGCGGTACAGGTATGAAACACCCCTGGAGCAGCGACGGGCCCTCTGCCAAATCAGAGGAATAAGCGCACCTGATCCGACTCCACGCTGTAACCCACTCGAAACCCGTGCACATACATCTAAACCATACCTACCCTAAGGTACAAGTAAGTACCGTCGGGTTTGATTCAACAGTATCGCCTGCGTGGGTCGAGACATCTCCACCGATCGCGGCGCCAACGTTCCGGATGGTCGCAAAATTGAGTCTCGACAACAATCTACCAACTGTAGGTACTACCGCCTACTAGTAGGTAGCAATGGCTTGGAGCGTCGCATCGTCTCGGTGGTTCGGGAGACGCCCCCTAGCCGCGACATGTATCTTCATCGGCGCTACCGGCGCGTCAGTCGGATAATTGTCGATAGAATCAAGTCAACTGAGCATTGCTTTAAGTGTTAGAAATTTCAGGACAGTTCATCCGTACAGTGTGCTCTATGAGGTACAGTTGACAACCTTCCAAGGTTGGAATTAGTGTACATCCAAGATTATTACATTGCCAACTGGTCCAAGCGGGCCGCTCAACCCAGAGTCTACCCACACCTCATTGGACTCGCATCTACGGCAATATTTGAGGGTTAGAGAATCAACTGATTTGATTTAAATTTTTCGACTTCGGCCCAATCGGAATCGCTCAGCCCTGGAGGATATTCACACATGCGGAGTTGAGTCGTTTGTCCTCGTCCAAATTTGGAGTGCTGCGTTTGCCCAGAATGTTACACTAGCGTTGCTTTTGCATTGATAACAAGGCAAATATATCGGTGTCTTGGCTGTGGCCGATTCAACCACGTCAACACACAAAAAATTATAAATTGATGCAAAGAGAATTTTCTGATAACCGGGCAGCTATATAGCACTAATAGGCTCAACATTGAAGTGCACTGGTAATATCACACTCTCGCTATTGGATTCCTCTTTTATAGAATATATGAGACTTAAAGCCTATGCCACCGCGTGACTAAGTCGCATTGGATGCTGTTCTACGCTGTTTTGGAGACAAGATTACAATAACCTTTGGAACCGCATCTCCAGATGCATTCTATCCTTCGCAATGCGATCATTTATGGATCTACCTCCTGGTCACCTACTCGGTACTTAATCAAATGCCTCATGCCACAAGGTAAATAAATAGGCCTGCGCCACAACATTGCATTTGTGATGTAGTATAGTGCTTGTGCTTGTTCACAAAGCAGAGAGAGCTTTTTCTTTTGGACCCAACTATGCGAAAAAAAAAAAAAAAAAAAAAAAAAAAACTAGGAGACTCAGTTCGAAGTACTACTAGATACTAGATGCTTAAAAAGTCATGGCTCTTGATCTCTTCTTTGCCCCTCGGCGGCAGCGACCACAGTAAATCGAGCGCTGGGCCGACCGGTCGGAGCGGAGTTATGGAATGCCGTGGCCAACGTACTACAATGCAGTGTCTCCTAATGTAGTAGCAAGCCCCGGGGACTCTCAAATTCGGAAATAACTTGGAATAATGTACATAAGAGACTGCAATATTTGATTTCGCTCCAGCCACTCTCCGATGAAGGCGATGATAAGATTTGTGCAGCCGATGAGCAAACGCCACCGTCCCACCCGCCCCTAAAGAGGCAGTCGATTCGGCTCTCGTACCGCTCGTACCGACCTCCACTTTGGGCACCGGGGCAATTCTCAGGGCCCTTAACGGTGCTTAACCCGGGGGATGGATATCACGCAGCAGAGGATGCGGAGTATATATCAGTTTGGATCAGAACTGCCAGCAGGTCGCAGGAACGGCGGATCTGATCATTGCACTCGATCCGTTTGGGGGTTGAAATTGCGAATGGCCAGTCTGCGGCCGTAAACTGGGTCGCCGAGCCCACGTCGGCCGCTGATTGGACCTGGAAAAATGTTTCACGCCCACGGATATCGGCAGTGGCTGCAGCGCCTGTCTGATTGGACTGGATCTGATAGTCGACTGCTTATCCGGTGGGAAGACGCCACACACTGCCCGCTGCGCCCAGGGACGCGTGGGTTATCTCTGGCGGGAAAGAGTGCGAGAGCGAGACCTGTGCGGCCACGGCCACCGCGAACCCACAATTCTGGCAGCGATCAACTCTCCTGACTGGCCTGTCGCCATGTGGCAGTTCGCACGGCCAAGAAATCGCCGCGCAGATGCTCCGGGTCGACCATCGAATGGGCATCAACACGCAATCTGACAGGGGAGTCTGATCCACCACGGGCTTGGCATTTAGGGCATTTGGCGATGCGATGCCGAATCATCACGCGTGGCTTGCTCGGTCTGTCCACGTTGTGGAGGAGGGCCAAGATAATCTTGCGGGGAGCGGCAAGGAGGTTCGGGGCTCGATGACATCGCCCTTGGGTCTGGGTAAGGGACGCGCCACCCCTTGGCCGCGCCATATATACAGCCATGGCAAGGACCGGATGCAGGGCCCGCTCCGCTCCTCCCTCAACCGCTGTCTTGACTTTCTCCTTCTTTCCCTGCCCTCAATCGTCCATCGCCCTACCTTCGCACCCCTGAACCCCTCCCGCTGCCGGACCGCAATGCGCCAATGTATCTGCGGGCTTCTTCCGCCGTTGCGCGCTTGAGCTCTTGGCTGAGCCGCGGCGATCGCCCGCGCAAGCCCGCCTGGCGCCGTTGGATTCCGGCTGTGGCGGCCGTCACAGCGGCCACAGTCTTCTTTTGGATCTATGCCGTGCCCCAGCTCCTGCGGTTTCGATTCCGCACGGGAATGAGCTGGTATGATATGGGCTGGTATGGATTTGGTCCCTCGCGCACCTATGTCTCGTTCCACGAACAGTCGCCCGTAATCGAGATCTCGCCGGCCGGGGCGCAATGCGATCAGCGATACACGTTCCTGGCGCCGCGCGGTGATTCGGTCGTTCATCCGGGGCCCATGATTCTGGATGCCCAGGGCGAGCTGGTCTGGATGAAGGACAACTGGGGCACCACACAGGATTTCCATGTCCAGCGCTATAAGGGCCAGGACTATGTCACGTATTGGCAAGGAGATGAGGAAGACGGATATGGGCATGGATCGTGGTACATGGTATGCATTCAAGAATCCCGTGACCTCACGTGGCCGGTCGTTGCTTGCCGCTTCGTATTTCTTTTTCGTACAGCACACTGACATCTTCCCTTGCGGCGTTCGGTAGCTGGATTCAACGTATACCGTCCAATATGTTGTATCGCCTGCCGGTGATCTGGACGGCGACTTGCACGAGTTTCACATCACGCCCAACGACACGGCCCTCATTACGATCTACGACCCGATCCCATATGACCTGACCTCGGTCGGCGGACCGGAGCTCGGATGGCTCTACGATGGCGTTTTCCAGGAGATTGACCTTGCTACCGGAGAGCTCCTTTTTGAATGGCGCTCGTCCAGTTTCTACACCCCGGAAAGCAGCTACGAACCCTTGAGAGACAGGGGCCACGAGCGAACCTTTGGATACGATTACTTCCATATCAATAGCGTCGACAAGAACGACCAAGGTCATTATCTGATTTCTGCTCGGCATACCCACACCATTACCTGCATTGATGGAGCCACAGGAGAGGTCCTCTGGTCCTTAGGTGGAAAAGACAATGAATTCACCGACGAGTCGAATGGGGTCGCGACTCAGTTCGCCTGGCAACACGATGCGCGCTGGCAAAGTCCTAATACCCTGACACTGTTCAACAACGCCGCGAATGGGGGACATGATCTATCCGCTGTCAGCCAGGGCCTCTTGCTGGAACTCGATATTCCAGCCCGAAAGGCGAAGGTTTTGACGAGCTACGACCACCCACAAGATTTAATGGTCGTTTCGCAGGGAAACCTCCAGGTGCTGGAGAACGGCAACGTTCTCGTTGGATGGGGCCACAGCGCTGCCTTCACGGAATTCTCGCCGGACGGGGAATTGCTTTGCAATGTTCATTTCGGTGCCTCCGCATACTTCACTTTCGGCCGCATCGTCTCCTACCGTGTTTTCAAAGGCGACTGGGTCGGCCGACCTGATACCCTTCCAGACGCTGCCATCGCGGAGGACAGTGTTTTCGTGAGTTGGAATGGAGCCACCGAGGTCGCAGCATGGCGGCTCGAAGCGTGGGATGGCATTGATATCGATAACATGAGTTTCGTCATGATCAAGGACGTCGATCGCACTGGATTTGAAACCGAGGTTTCTTTTACCGCCAATGTTACTTCTTTCTTCCAAGTTGCTGCTCTTGACGATGATGGTGAAGTGCTTGGCAAGACCGCCATCCTGCAACGTGGCAGCGAATCTCCTGCGCGAAGCTCGATTCTGGGTCACTCCTGGGGAGTAACGATTATCATGCTCTTTGCGATCGGATGCCTCTTTCTTGGTCTGTACTACGCCATCTCCAGAGTTTTGCGCCGCCAAAGGTCCCGTGGAGATCCATCATACCGCCTGGTGGCGCACAAAGAGGAAGATGATGGCCATGGACCAGAGAACGATCATCTGCCGATTTAGCGTGGACGCCGGCGTCCTTGATACCCTTGTTCAATTAGAATTGCACAGTAGCAAACCAAACCTCTCAGTCTATATGGGCATCACTTGTACATACATAATTTTTCATTGATGCTGATTCAACATTTTAAGCATTTATCTCAATTGGGTAGATTCTTTTTTACACGGAAGGAATTGACAACTTAGGGGTCTGCGTTATCTAGGATATCCTCATACACGCGTTCCTAGACGACGCCTTCAACAGCAAACATATCTAGAGTCCGCGCGATATCTAGTACCTTACTCGAGTGCTGGACCACGGCCTCAGCACCCCGACAGATTTTAAAGACAGTGTCAAAGAACTTCCGATCCTGCGGAGTGCCTACTAGAACCAGGCAGGCCTCCTCGTGACCGAACCCCTAGCGCGCCTTACAATATAACTAAGTACGCAAGTGGGAAGCCACGGCTAGTGAAATGGCCGGCTTTAAGGACAAAGACAAACTCTACAAGTACTGTAAAGGCGCAGCGGCGAATATCCGTACGTCCCCTAAAGACGCCGCCCAGGTGATAAGTGACTAATATGACCGGGTATGGCGTCTGGACGAGCATTCGCGGAATCGCATCATAGGACACGTGCAGGGAAGAACGTTCGCCAACTACATATGCAATCGGAGAGGATTGAGCTAGCCTGGAGTTTCAAAACAAAAACGCGGACACGATCGGCGAGTCCCAGTTGATTGAAGACCGAATTCGCTCATTGGAGCTGTGGCTATAACTGTTGTGATATGTCGTATCGTACCGGAATCAATTCCTAACCTCATAAAATTGCCAGCTTTGATTGGAAATCAATCTGGAGGTTGCATGTGTATATAAACCCTCAAGTTTTCTGTCCAGAAGAAATAAGCAATATTCCTCTGAATTACAACATGAACTACACAAGCTCCATGTGCCCCGTAGTCTGAAGGCCCACGTCCGGTTCAACGAAAGTACCGCAAAGATTGCCTCGGGCAATGAATCAGAAAAATTGGAAACCAGCAAGCCGAAGACGAAGTCAAAGCCGAAGCAGAAACCGAAGCCAATCCTTAAGTGCCCGGTGTGCTTGACGAACACGAAAGAGTTTCTCCCCGCAGCAATGGATTACCAGTAGTAATTGTGTTGAGTCAGCACAAAAATGGTCTCTGGAGTAAAGCCGGTGGTGCCCCTATCAGGACCCGGGATAACCTCATGATTGATTAGTTCGCAGAGGGCCCACTGGTAAATGCGCATCATCTACTCGAACGGATTCTCCGAAGACGAACGCCGCCAGAAACGTGCAACCATATATTCCAACCTGGTGATGCTTTCAAAACGCTACTGAGTATCATGAGTAGAAAGGATATTGAATTCGGTACTGAGAATGCCAATATAGCTCTATATTAGCTCTATCTTCATCTACCACATCCTACGCCGTGATCTTTGACCCGTGAAACATGCTAGTCATCCGCAAATCTGATCGCCAATGCGGAGCCCGATAGTCTCGTTAATAGAGATTCATTCGATAAGACTATTTGCGGCGCCATGAAGTGTATGTGGAACGATCCTGGGGTGCAGATAGCTGTGTCATGGAGCCACAATCTTCCTTCCACGACAATATGCTTTAGTAGGTAGCTTGTTTGCCCTGTTCCATGTGGATGCTAAATCTTCGATCAGCTTTTGCAGCTCTATTTACCGCATTTCTGATCCCGGATGGCTTCCTGATGATCAGGAAATCCTCCAAGCACGACTCAGATCAACTGGGATCTCCGAGGCGGCTTTTTCAAAATGGGCGAGATGACTTGGAATATGGTGGATGTGGGTGGCCCACGATCCGAGCGAAGAAAGTGGATACACTGTTTCGAAGACGTTGGCTGTCTCATATTTATCGCCGCGCCTTCGGGATACGATCAATGCCTAGCTGACGATCACAGTACCGTACGTCTAAATTTGTCTCCTGACCTTGAGGGTGGTAGTCTCACATTTGCCTCAGAACCAAATGTACGAAGCTTTGAGGCTCTTCAATCCGTTGATCAACGGTGATTGGTTTCAGCCCAGCCAGTCATTCTCTTTCTGAATGAGATTGATATTTACAACAGGAAAGATTGCTGTTTCACCAATCTCTTAGCTCTTAGCACTTCCAGGATTTTGATGGTCTGAACGCAAACTTGTGGGCGGCTACAGGCTATTTCGAAAGCCGTTTCCAAAATATCAACGACCTCGGGGTCGTCAAATGTATACACATTACACTAATGCTACTGATACGACTTTGTTCGAGATGATGAAAGATATATATGTTATACTACTTCAGCAAAACCTTAGTTCCCTAAGTCTAACAGGAACTTTGAGGAATTGCCACCATCTCAATTTCATCTATCTCATTCGGAATGTGCGAGCAACACGAAACAAAGTACGAGAATGTAGGACCTGCATTCGTGCGGGACCAAAAAATAAAGATGACCAGACCCGGGCTCGATCCGAGGACCTTGTCGGTGTTAACGACACGTGATAACCAACTACACCATCCGGCCAATCTGTACTTTTGTGGCCAAAAGCATCGTTCAAGAGATTGCCGATACATATTTCATGCTTCCATTTACGGTATACTTGGACAATCGAAATACAATAGCTATTTAGCAAATTCCTGATTTTTCTGTTTTCTAACTAAGGGATTGCGGCTATTAGTAATCCATCTGTCTTCTCATTGGTCAACGCTCATTTGCGTTATGAGTGAAGCAAAACGACGTCTCTTTCCCTGACTTTCTCGTCCCTACCCTTCGTTTAACATCGTTTCAGCACCACAACATGCGCAGCGCGCGTCACCAGTACCCTCACACCTTGCAATATGAACGTTGGATCCTAGTTCACGTGATGTATATAGCCTGTAGAGGTGGCTGCACTCCACTAGGTAGTGGTTTGGTGAGTTACTGCTGGTACAAAAATAGCTGGTTCCTCCATAGCTTCAATCATCATCACACTTGCCTAATCTCTGCTATGCAATTGGCACCCAAGAGCGGCCAAGAGCGGCCAAGAGCGGCCAAGAGCGGCTAAGAGCTTAGCATCTACAATGCCTCGAGCCCCTCCTATGTACGAACTTGATTGTTGGTTAAATGAGTGAGCTAGCCAGTGAACAGTGAAGGAGTCCATTCAAACTATCTGGGCTAGCTAGAGAGAAGGAAGGAAGAGAAGAAGGCCGAGTGGGTGGAGAAGTGAGTGGAGTGGGCGGTGGTGGGACCCACGCCCTGGACACACCACTGCCTACCATTTTCTCAAGCAATCTCAAATCTAATTCATCAAAATGTCACAGAGCTAGGCCTTTCAGCCCTCCGATCACTATCCCTCGTCAGTTTTTGAGGATAATCCGATGGATACCCTCTCTTTCCTTACATCTGATGGCTATTTAGCCTCGACGGGCGAGAAACGATTCATTCTACCCCTGACGTGACCTTTGCCCGACCGGTAGTTCATACGATCCCCGAAACATTCGAACGCGTTAGCCCTCAAAAAAAGAACTTCTATATTCTTTGGACGGAAATGGTGAATAAGGATTTCGTCGCACGGTGGCTGAAATCAGAATATGGAAGTAGAACGAAACGGAATCTCTTTGAGGGTAAACGAAATGCGGAGTGTTGAGACTAGACCTGGGCACAACCCATGGGCCGGCCCATTCGGCCCATTCGACCAATTTTAGGGCGAAAACTAGTGTACATGTGACATTCATGATTTATATACTTTACGCGTGCTCTTGGCTGTAATGCCTTGGTAACAAGAATGATTGATTTCTCTTAGATATATACGATATTCTGTTGAAAGAGGGCATTTTGATATTACTGTAGAAATCAACTATATCTCATAGCCAACTAATAACCGTGAACGCTTTTGAACTCTTCCTGAAACACGCTGTGTGTTTTGCTCAGGGATATCAGGCTCCTCAGGCTTAGGCTCCCCCTCAGGCTCTTCGGCAGACTCATTAACACTCCTTCGCCTCTTCGAATCATATTGCGCAGGGCCTTCCTCATTATCACTAATCTCCAGAATATACTCCTCCGTACGCTCATCCATCTCTTCTTGTTGGAGTTCTATCTCAGTCTCAGTGGCGTACTCCTGAACGAAAGCAAGCTGCTCTTCTAGATCAACAAACCGAATCCCACACATAAAAAGCATTAGATCCTGAATAGTACTCGATTGTAGTGAGCCACGGCGATAGTGGCAGATATCACGCGCGGAGTTAAAGAGACGCTCTACGCCTGCGCCTGTGGCTGGGACGGAAAGGAAATCTCGAGCGAGAGCTGCGAGTACTGGAAATCTGTGTTCATGATCTCCAGAATTTGCGCGGAGGCATTAATACTGTGCCTGTTTAAGGTATTAAAATTAGAAAGAGTGTTTAGTTCAAGAATAGATATTAAAAAAAAAAAAACTTACTACTCTTGAGATACTGAGTGAGCTCGGGGACTGGTGCAGTAGGCCGACTACCATAAGCGAGTAGTAGGTCAATCTCACTCGTAGGCTTCACAGTCTGTAAATCTCCAGTCTGTGAGAGAGAGCTATATACACTATCCTCGTAGTGCTTAACTAGGGCTTCGAGAGCTTGTCTATATTGGGCAGCAAAGTCTTTCTCGTCATCCTGCCAATCTGAGGTCTGGAAGAATTCAAACTTATACTGCGCGCCAAAATAGTCCCAGTTGAGTATATATTCAGGAAAATGGTGATCGGCACTGTATTGACTTTAACGGTACCTCTTGAGTTTTCCGAAGATATGGTATTCGGTATTGGGATTACGCGTACTTTTCGCCACCTTTCGCAACCTCGGATATGTAACCACCGAGTCACAGGTATTCTCGAGGGTATTTTAACCCCCCTCAACCCCCAGCAGTTTCAGGGAACAAGAATAAACACTCTTTTACATCTTTTGGTATTTTACCCTTTTGATTCCGTTGCCTTTCGCTGACCAGTAAATCCAGTGTATTTCCATAGCTATACAGGGCATTCCTTAATATATCACTAAGACCTTCAAGGTCCAGTCATCATATAATAGTCCCCGAGCTTACTTTCGGCTGCTATTACAGCGTCAAGCATTTGTCGATTCCATCCGATCTTCTTCCGTTGTAGCTGGCGAATCCGGCTCTCAAGATGATTAAAGAGACGATTGTAAATACTGAAAACAGTATGAATCGTTGTCTTTCGTTTTCGAGAGAGCAGTGGTGAATCTGTAGAAAGGCTGGGTGATACAGATCAGGTAATCAACCTGCCGCCACTCATCTGACGTGACCTGAAGATAAGAATAATGAAATTCGGAGCAGAACGTATCAAACACTGGTTGTAGCTTCTTAGCCCGGCGGAACATTAAGAATGTCGAATTCCAGTGCGTCCTGACATCCTGAATTGGGAATAATCGAGGTGTATTAGACTGGAGGTTTTGGAAGGATTCACGGCGCTGAGGGCTTGCATTGATGAAGATCGCGAGGTTTCGGATCTAAGCGATTGTATAATTAGTATATGTTTGATAGGTAGAAAGAATAGTTTAAGATCAAACCTTCTTAAGTGTATTCGCCATACTATACACTCTTGCTGTTTGGCGAGCTATTTTCGTATGCTCTTCAGACTACACTGTATCGACATTATCATTCACTGGGTCGGCTTTCATTTGACCAAGGAGCTGCTTTAGGCTCAACTGAATCACATGGGCGAGGCATGGCACTCGAATAATAAGAGTATCAGAACGAAGGCCCTGAGACTGAAGAGAGTCTTGCAGAGATGAGATAAGAGTCGAATTGTTAGACGCGTTATCAGTTGTGACAGCTAACACTCGCTCTTTGATCCTATGCTTTCCAAGAAGGTCTAGAACTACTGTGCTTAGATAGGCCCCAGTATGAACACCAGACAGAGGCTCAAATCCTAGTAAAACCCCCCGATATTCCCAATCAGCGTCACTAAAGTAACCAGACACTGCCATAAAGCTTGTTGGAAAGGGGAAGTCCAACTGTTGGTATCACCAGCTAGGTACTGTGTACACAGTTAAGTGGACAGTGTGTATGCTCCAAAGCAAAAGTCAATTGTGTTGATAGATGTAGATGTTCAGTCTAGTTGGAAAAACACCCCTAGATCCCACACGCCGGCCTTCGGCGGTCACAACACAGAGGCCACAGCCCAGCGCAAGAATGCGTACACCAAGCAAGGGATGTTATCCATCGGTCGCTAGCAGTGGGTCACAGCCAGTTTGTTCTGACAGGAGAATATATCCCGACACCAACAATCTAGGCTTATTGAAAGCTTTGCCTTTAGTGGAAGCTTCTGAAGTCTTTCTTTCTGCTGATCTTGTGCTTTTGTTTGAATTCGACACTGTAAGGTTCTTCAAGAGGGAAAGCTTATAGCTGTTGGCGATTCCTGAGCTAGTTGTAGAAGCTTAAGGAACTGGGGATGTTCAACAGTCGTAAAGGGAAGCCGTAGGGTAGTAATTGTAGAGACTAATTGGTGTTTCCAACGGGACTCGCTGAACGGCTCTGGTGCCATTTTTGCTTATTAAGTAGCAAAATTAGCTTTGATCTAGGAATAAATAAATGAGAGACTTGCCTGCTTCTGTAGTAGTCGCCAGATGCTTGATTGGCCCTTTGTTTTACATATTGCCCGTTCTAGGTGTCTTCGTAGCGCAGTTGTTCCTTGCTTCTCTGCCGTCCCTGCTTTGGCTTTGGTATGAACTAGAGAGTTCGGATGGTTCAAAATTGCTCCGCAGTTCTTGCACATCACCTTAGTTTGTCCAGTAATAAAATGGGCAACCTGTTCGAAGTCGGCCCATATATCTGCTCGCTGGCCCTTTCGATCTGATTGGTGCTCAGAGTGCCCACTCTGGGTCTGGATCCACCAATCCACGAAATCCTCTTTATTCATATCTTCGCATAGAAAGTAGGTTTGTGCTGGATCTGTAGAGCGTCTGAGAGAGGTGGGAACAGAGAGAGGGGGAGGAAGCTACGTTGTTTGGCTTGCGAAGTGCTCGGGCGCGACGCTATCCGTTAAAACATAGGATGAATCATCAAATTCCCCACTCTCTGAAAAGAGTACTGAGTAGATATCCGATAGTTGAGACATGATAGTCTGGTAAGAAAGCTCAATAATCCCAACGTTAGAGAGAAATCATCGTTGACTATAAAGAGGAGATAGGTTGGCCTATATTTCAGCTAGAATACAGAGTCTGTAGATAGCCTGGGCTATCATTCCAGACACAGAGAGCCCTGGATAACGCGTCTACTATGTCGCGATAATTGGCTATTTAGTCACCAAGTCCCACATCTGAATAACTTTTATTAGTTAGGCCCATGGGCCGGCCCATTTGCCTTGGAAATTCGTGCTACGGCATCCCCCGCAGTTTTTATCTCATCGACAACTTTTTTTTTCACCCTTCCACGTCCACCATATAAAAGATTTAATCCACTCCTACATCTAATTCGTAAATAAGAAAGCTTTTAAACATAGACAAAGTTATCTTTTATTATACGATACTTAAAAAAAATCAAGAAAAAATGACCTGCGTCGAGATTTCAGAAAAGTATCATCAAGAGCAGAAGGACAACTTGAATTAATTGATCGTGAACACTTAGATATTGAAGAGGGGAACGCTCGATGGCAGCACGCGCTGAGACGTGCGGGTCGATTCAGCAGAAAAACCACCTCAAAATACACGCGTAGCAATCAGGAAATAGCGAGGACCCCAAATGTAGGGGTCAGGTCGGGGAGGTGTAAGAAGGTGTATTTTAGACTAGCTATCCGGCCACCGTATACTGCCGGCTATGTCACATAACATGGATGGCACCCATGTAGTAGGGGGGTCTCCCCACTACAATATATATTTTCAAGTTAGAAGAGATTAAGGTGTGCGTAATCTATTCTATCATTTGTTATAAGATTTAAGACAGGTATAAATTACGCTAGTAATTCTAAATATCTTGTATATTTATTATGCAGATTTGGGGGCCAAATCGTGGGCCAGCCCAAATGGGCCGGCCCATGCCCAGGTCTAGCCAAGATCACTGGGCGGCCAGATCAAAACGCTAACATATTCGAACTCGTGGGGAATTCGCTACAAGATGGGAAGATCTGAAAATGGGTTCTTATTCTGGACAATATTGATGATGACGAGCTCTGGTGACTGATACTAGGACCCACGCAAACACCCAGTACCATGCCTCCACTCAGCCACCGCTGAGATACGTCCTCGAAAACAAATGGATATGTGATTCTAACAAGTCGAAACAAAGCAGTCGCGTTAGGCATCGCGGGTCGTAAAAACCTTATTCACGTGCAATCGATGGAGAATAGCCGAAGCGCTAAGTTAGATCTGCTACTGAAAGAGTTAGAAATACCGGCGGAGAGCGAGGACATGGTTTCGCTAGATGAGGCACTGGAATTCATGCCTCTCGCAATTGTACAGGCTGCCGGTTTCATCAACATCGTTCACCCCGCTGCTCAGTATCGCACTATCTTGAAAATTTCGAGGAAAATGATCGCGAAGCGATCAGGCTTTTTAACCACGAGGCAAGTTGTCTTTGTCGGGACAGGGAGGCAAAATACTCTCATCCTTGTTACATAGCAGCTATCTTGCGATCATATCCGACGAAACAATCCGGTGGGATTGCTTTCTCGTGATTTTTTTTTTTCGATTGTCAAGGGATTCCAGAGAACCTTCTATGAGCTCAGCAATGCGAGACAAGAATTGATAATTTGGGTTCTTTGAAGGAAGGTCACGGAAAGCGCTAGCGAAGGTTGATATCGATACTATATCCGTATCTGTTTCAAATCAAGAGTTTGATGATGACATAACAATTCTCAAAATGCGTACGGTTGTCCACTGAATCCTAGCCCGTTCATATAGCTAGAGCCTTGACAGTGGGTCTTACATTAATGGAGAGTGTGCGACAGTGAAGCTGGATATGCACTTGGCTGTACCGGGTCGAAGAAATCTGTAGAAAAGACGTCGACTACATTGCCTTCCCGCTTGCACTTTGAATTGGTGGGATCCTATCATCCTAGAAACCAAAATTATTGTTTGGGCAGCCGATTATTGCTATGCGAAGACCTGTAATAAGTATAAAGGAGCTGGTTACTACTAATTGTCCGGCTTGTCGCTTCAGTATGGCTCAGCGGAGGGAAGCCCTGTTGTCCACGCCCGGGCTGTGGCTGTTTGTCAATCAAGGAATCAATTCGAAACGCAAAACAAAGCCGCTGTCTAACGAATGACATATTGTTGATTTACAGAGAAGTCATCTCACCCTGCCTATCCGCCCAGCTTTTGATCAACCCTTCCTTGGTCAGTGGATACTCTACCAAAACAACCTCTCCAGTTTCATCGAAGGTTGTATTCGCATGAATGAATCGCGCTCTCGGCTTTTCATTAGCCAAGATTATGTCCCGCCATTCAAGAGCCCTGTCTTCCACCCTTGTCAAATTGGTCAGAAGTGTTGTCCCACGATCCACCGCTTTGATGCACCTGAATACATGCAATTGGTGAATGAGGCTTCCAAGCGCTGGGCGGCCAACAGTCGCAATCTTTGCCCTGTCCAGTTGGATTGTGAGGGACCGCTTTGAATCTGATTGTGAGTTGGAGATAGTAAGGAAGCCGTCCCCTGCCTCGATAAAGCAGCGGAGTAGCCCGAAGCGAGCCTGGTCGTGGACCTGTCCCCATTTCTGTGGGAAGAAAATGTCAAGTCAGTCTCAAGGAAGAAAAGAGATGAGAATATTAATTTGCAACTGTCTCAAGGAGATGAGCCATCTTTACCTTATTTTCGGGGTCATACGACAGAAGACTTCGCAGACCCATGCGGGCAATGGAGAGATAGGCGTTGAAAATCACTGGAGTAGCAGCTGTTAGTGAAGTGTATTCCGAACAGAATGAATCTCTAGATTTACCTTCCTCGGGGTCCAGGGTTTGACCAGGGACCAAAATTTCCAACACACTGGGAACAGACATGAGATATAGGCCAATTCCTTCGGCCAAACACTCGGTGTAAGCAGTTGCTACACCACCAAAGGCCGACTCAGGAGACTCGTTCTCTCCATACCAAGTCTGTATTGGCTTCCCATCGCCGAAAGGATCAATGGGCATGCTATCACGGTCAAAGTTGAAAATACCTGGAGAGGTCTCCTGCAAAAGCTTGCCACATCCATGACCAATTAGCTCGTGAAGAACCAGTTGAAGGAAAAAGCAGGTGGATGCGTGAGCTCGGTAAGAATACGCTTGGGATTCGGGAATCCATTCGATCTTCTCATCGGGTGCGGTCGCTGCTGTGGTTGCCTCAACACGGTTGCTGAAAGTGAGATTCTTCCGCCCGTGAGTGGTCTTGATGTCGGGGTACTAATTTCCTCATAGTTAGCTGGATTCCAATCAGAAGGATGAAAGGATGTGGAACTTACACCTGGTGCTGTCAGGCCTATCCACACATTGCTGGCACAATAGCAGAGTACTATGTTTTGGCGTCAGGTCTGCATTTCTCAGGGAAAAGATTCACAGTGGAAGGCAAAACCCACAGTTGAGAGCGATGAAATTTGGAGACATAAAAATCTCGTTTTCGAAAGGGCCCATCTCATTTCCTGTTTCCCCAAGTCCGCTCCAGGGGAGCTGAAGAATAAACCGACTAGCCTGCTTAACCAGATTCGAGCAAACTGCAGTCATCTCTTTGTCCTTCATAGCAACAAGCGCCTCAAACTCGCAGCGGATGCCGCTTGGATCCCTCCCGGGCTCGAGAAAGCCGGACCATGTCTCTACGAGCGGGTTTCCGTCGGCGAGCCAGCTGATAGAAGCCTGGCGATGTAGCTCAATATCGCCGGTCTGATAGAAGGCAATTAATTCACTCAGATAATTGCGCTGCTCGTCAGAGGTGGCATATTCACGGGCCTTGCCCAAGCTGGCGCACATGCGTCGCAGGCAGTCCGCATGGTCGCCATACACAACTCGCACGGTTCCCCCGGATTCGAGGGTCCACTCGTCTGTCACCGCATTGCTCGGGTGTTCCTCGATGGAGGCCACAAGCAGCTCATATACCGGCTCCCCAGTGTCTGGGTGACTCGATTTCCTCAGGCGGGTGTTTCGAAGAGAAATCTTGAGTCCCACTGCATCTTGAACAGCGCGAATTTGGTCTTTTGTCAGATCCACAGCCTCGGGATAATAATTGCTCATGTTTCCTGCGTCAGGATACCCCAAAAGCCGGGGAGCTGCCGAGTAGATTGCTTTTTTGGCTGCGTTAAACAAGTTGCGGGGTCGATCTGCGATGGCGCAAAGCTGCTCGAGCATTGTCAAGTTGATTCGAGGAATAAATTTGCAATCTCCATACCCCTACAAATAAATTCCATGAGCTTCAAAGCACAGATCACTCAAAACGTCGAATACCGCTAGGTCTCTCGAACCTTGTAGTTGCCCAGACTGTCCAGAAAGGTAGCTGCGTATTCTAGAAACAATGCAATGGATTGCTCTTCAACCCCGCTGCGATTTGCTAAGGCAGTCCAATTACCATCACAAGCCTGGTAGAGGGCGAGAATGAGGTCAAATATGGTTTCGGACTCTGGTGACACTTGACGAAGAATGATGCGTGAACCATGGAAGGCAGCCCTGCGAGAAGTCTTTCGTAAGCGATTCAAGAATTGCAATAGTGCAAATGAATGAATGGTAGGACCCGTCCATGAAGATCAAAGTGCAGCCGACCTACTCTCGCATAAAGTGGGCATATTTTTTTTCTGTCAGGGAAAGCTGCTCGAAGGCATTTTTTATCACCAGCGGACGGACTGGAAATCCACTTTCACATTCAATACTCAGTTCTGACATCATTGAAGGCGGCTGAAGTGATTTGAAGCTTGTGTTGAGAAGGCAATGACAACGTTATTGAAAGGTGAACCTGTCAACCCAAAACGTGAGCTAGCAATAGGCCGGCTAGAATTTGAAAGGAGTTGGGGTTGGGGTAGAGCTAGCTGATCATTATACTATGGTCGACCGTCTGGACATTGGACAGAGCCTGTTGTTCTCTTACGCCAGTGGGAGGACAGAAACAAACTCACCCACCAAAGATGCACCCGCCGTGCGGCTGACATCTCGGGGTGATTTTATTACAAATTCAATGAAGTACCCCTTGTCACATAAAACCAGACGGTCATTTACGAATATGCAGTCTTCTCAGTTAGGAAGTATGCGGCCATTTCATAAATTACCATCTATTACAGACTCAAAGAGCCGGTTAGCCGGGTTCGGTGGTTACTAAACGGAGTACGGAGTACATAACTGTCTGAGCAAGCTGCGACAGGATGGCTAGTAATTTAGATAAGCGAATGGTATCGAGGATGAGGTCAAGCGGAACCAATCTTAGATCAAGAATTGATTGATTGAAGAGAAAGAACGAATGTACAAGCGCAGGCTGAATACCCTGTAGATGACTCAGGTACAAGGTGTTACGACAACCGTAATGCCAAGGATACCAAATTACTATACAAAACACAAAGGAAAGTGGGTCACTCAGTACAACCCCTGTCTTAGCAGTAATTTACCGCTTCATATCTCGACAATAACTTCCACAGTATGCACGGGGCCTGGGAGGAGCGGCCCGTCGGTGCGTTTGATGCGAAAGTGGTCACGGTAGTCATCGTAAAGGTCCATCGTCTATTCCTTGCGACATCTGCAACAGGCCGTTTTTAGCTGAGGTGGGGACCGGCAGATAGATTAGTCGGGTTCTCAAAAATGGGATGCGCCACAATGTGATTCGACCTGTGGAGTACATTAACTTGATTTGACGTGGCCCACAGAGAATCTAGAGTTTAGATAGCAAATGCCGTCCGCTGCGGCTGACAGGACCACATGACAGCATCCACATCGTTGGTTCAATGAGCCGTGCTCCCTCTTCTGTTTAGTTACTTGATCAATGAAAAGATGCATATATTTGGCCAGCGCAAGTCCGTAAAACTTGGACTGCTCTACAAACACACACCTTAGGATTGCCGAGAAAGCAGATATACGTGCCATAGACAAGCAGCTGTGAGTATGACTTCAGTCTAGGAACAACCTTATCTCAGCCCTGACATTCTTTTTCCAGTAGCAGAATGGACTACACAAACAATGCAACCAACAAGGTCGACAAAACCGACACCACTCTGGACGAGGATTTTGGAGACCACAGTGTCTCCCAAATCATCGGCAGTCGAGCCACCCATAAGAAGACCAGGGTCCAACCCTGGAAGGATTACTACTCGGTTGATCCGGTAGATAGCCCAGCTTCTGGCTCGCTGCATGACAAGCCGTGGTTCCGCGTTGAGGACCTTTACGAGGACTACCGTGACCACTCTGGATCCTAAGCGCCTTGACGGTTGAGTTCGCAACGAACACGACACAACAAATCATCACCGCTGCTGGTCAGGGACTTGGGTTGTGCTATTATATATCGTGAAATTTCCCCCTTTTCAACTGTGCCCAGAGGACGAATTTGTGCTCATGGACCCGATGACACTGTCTTCGACGCTTGATAATTATGTCACTCTTGATTTAAGTTTGATGGTGAGATGTGACCAGCAGATCGAGGCCCAATACTATCAACTTAACTTTCTATGAACCTATGCTCTATCTTTTAAGTGGAATTTGCTTGTCAAATACGATTCAATATCATAGTAGCATTTCTCTAGCGGGAATCCTTGACATACGTTCTCCGGCTGAAGGTTGCCGAATGACTTCTATATTCAACTAGCCTAGATCTTATTCCAGACAACAACTTTGATCTCAATACTCTCTCTGGGGCGAACCTTCTCAGACAGGTACGGAAGCTCAAATCCAGAATGGGGAACACCTGTACCGGGTCACATCAGCTGTTCCCTGGACACAGAAAACGAATGACGATAGTGTGACTTACATCTGCCCGACTTAGAGTCAAAGTTCGTGATAATAAGCAGCTCATCCTCTCCTTGATCGGACAAGTAATGCCATCGATGACAGGGTGAATATTTCACCAGAAGCGATTCGCTCACAAAGTTTGGATAGATGTAGTCGCTCTCGACAAGGTCTGATTGATCAATCGAGGTAGCATCACAGACTGCAAGTGGGTAATCCCGCAGCGGGGAAAATAGGGGACGCCAGAGACTGTATTTGCATGGTCAGGGTCAGGAAGTTGGGCCAATCCTATCCAGCAGCCAATAAAAACAGTCGTGTGCATAGTGACGAATGCAAGAGTGATCACATGAAAGCATTCAGCTGAATAATGCGTGCTCCTTGCAATGGTTGAATGGGGTAGATACCTGAGAAGACGATATTGACCTGCTAGTATTTGATCTGCAAGATGTGGAAAGCTGAATTTAACCCGGGCTTCTGCCCCGGCTGGAGAGACGTCTGCATCGTATCAGCCCACGTCAGCTATGCAGGAGGCGGTCGAGCTTGGTTCCTCGCACGGCCCTGTGCGGTGTGCGTCATTCTGTCATTTGGAGAGAAAGGATTTTATTTCGTGGCAAACTCACCTACATGTACGAAATTGCTCGGAGGACGCACCCGAGGATCGACGGAATCGGGCGTTCTTTTTCGTATCTATCAACTCATTCAGATAAATAGCTCATAGGTATGACATTTGTACTGGTAAAGTAAATAAATCAACATGTTTGGTCAATTTTCTCACCTGGTATTGGAAGGCTTTAACAAATTCTGCTTCAAGGTGTTCCCGAATGAACTCTTCCACTTCTAGAATATGCCTCGTGACGCTTTCATCGGTTTTGAGATCTTCTACAGTAGAATGATGCGTCCACTCGAAGCCTGTAGTGTCCAAGGTAAAAGCGCCAACGTTCGAGCGGACATTCCTGACGTTAGCGGTATGTGAGGTAAAGTCGAAATTGTTTCGGCGCCGGTCCGGAGCCACACGACCAGTAAGCTCATATGGCTTGACCTCGTCCCATTGCTGAAGCGGAGTGAGATAATTCAGAGTTGTTTGAATTGACATGGTGCTTAAGATAAAAAGCAAATTTTGCGGAAAGGCGTTGTCTGCTAGCTGTATGACGGAGGTCAGAAGTGAGATGTACTAATATTCAAGACTGAAGTAGTCAATAAGAAAAGCTACGGTGGCAGAAACATGGGAATATATAGAGAGTGGGGTCATTTATATCATACTTTGGGCCCTTAAGAAGATGGTGCTTTGTTGATATCCTTGTCAGCCCATCTTCCACACGACCCGCACTGTCCGACAGGTACCTATACCTAGTGGTTGCCTTTAATTGAGTAATCCTTTTTATTTTAAAAGCTCGGACCGCAATCTACAGCTTTCCACTCCCCGGTCCGGAAGTTGAATATCCGAGTGGATCACAGGCCTTATCTTTTGCCGAATGTGGGAAGCCTGCTCATAAGCAAAAGCAGCTGAAATCAAGGTGTAGTCGTCCCACCGCCGGCCAACAAACAGAGCCCCAAAACTATGCAGACACGACGTGTTAGCATCGAATGTTTCAACACTTATTCGATGGTAAACTTACGGCACGTTAGGACCAACTGTAACCAAACCGCTGGACTTGCGTCGGCTCACAGGTGTATCAGCTGGGTAAAACCCCAGCGGAACACCTACAGTAGGGCATCCGCCAACATTCGCGCTTGTATCGACAGTAGACGGTACAAAAATCAGATCGGACTGAGTGCGCTCGAGGAGCTCGTGGATTTGCTGCCCTATGTGCTGTCGCCAAGCAAGTGACCTCTTGAACTGCTCGGATTGGGGCCCATATTGCTGACCCAGCTCCTCGCATTTCAGCCATTCGTCAACGCCCCACTTCTCGCATTCTTCTTCTGGGGTTTGTTCAGTATATCTTATGACATCCTCTAGCGTATGAAGGTTGTTTGGGTTCGCTTCATAGGCTGCTAGGGACTTCTTCATGTCTGCGGCTCTCTATCAGAGGAATGGTTGACGGAGTAATTGGCTTTTCAAAACTTACTTTCGCGAATGGCAACACGAATACCAAGGGTCCAGCCCAATTCATCAGAGTAAGTAAAGTTCTTATCAAACTCCGAAAAGTGCACATCATCGATTATTGTCGCACCCAGTGATCTTAATATCTCAAGTGCTTTATCAAAGGCGGCGTTTACCACTTTGTCGGGTGGGAAGAGGTGACGAGGAATCTATGGAAATCAGACGGAGGCCCTTTGAAAGTATTCCCATTACTCACTGCAATACGCCTTCCTTCAAGTCCATCAGGCACACAGGCTTCAGTGTAGTCGGTATTGGGGGGTGGTTTTTGAAAGTCAGTTGGATCTCGAGGATCAGAAATGGTGAAAGCATCTTGGGGATCCGACCCTGCATGGTCATAAGTATTTTCTTGCTGATATGGGAAACAGCTGGAAGCATCCCGTACACATACCCGCAATAACGCTCAGAAGCTGAGCTCCATCACGTACATTTTGAGAGAGAACACCGACTGTGTCCTGCCATTCGCTAACCGAGTACACACCGTACCTGGAGGTCAACCCTACAGTCGGCTTGATGCTGATCACGGCGGATCTTTGAGCAGGGGAGCTCAGACTTCCAGATGTCTGATTAATTGCTTAGCACGTTGTCCGATGGAGGTTTCTAAGCTTTGTAGACTTACCTCCGTTCCTAGAGCCGCTGTTGCAAGACCAAGAGAGACAGCGACAGCACTCCCTGAGGATGAGCCAGACGGGTCTTGATCTTCATGATAGGCAGCCAAGCACTGCCCACCAACCGCAGACCAGCCTCCGGAAGCTTTTCCAGGATTTCGATAGTTCGCCCATTGAGTCGGCACCGTTTTCCCTAGCAGAACGGCCCCTTCGTCCCGAAGGCGTCGAATGACAGTTGCTTCATATTTAGGAATTGCCGAAGTCAGGCCAGAACAGCCATCTGCGAATATTCTCTTCAGCGATTGAAGCTCGTCAATCCTATGTCATTTCTCAAAAGGATCTTACTGGTAGACATCAGACGGTCGGTCGTCAAAAAGAGGTCTTTGACCAGGATAGGAATCCCATGAAGTTTTCCCGATGGCTTTCCCTTCTCTCTTTCTGCATCTTTTCCGCGAGCGATTGAGAGAGCGTCTGGATTAATCTGAGTTACAGCCCTGACTTTGGGGTTCAGGTGCTCAATGCGATTGATGTAGGCCTAAGGCAGAACAGGACGGATCAGTGATCTGAGAGGAATCAACTGGGTCACATAATGGCAGCAACTGAGTACCTCAACCAGATCCACGACAGAAAAGCGATTATGGTCAAGCCCGCGTAGAAGCTCGATGATAGATGTATTCTCTAGCTTGATCGTCATGATGGGATGAAATGAAGAGTCTCGTAGAAGAGGTGCAGAGCCGTTATTATGTCTCAAGGAAAGCAACAATACCACGGCAGCAGCAAAGGTGGCAGTAGTACAAACTGCCCAGGATGACGGCATGAAGGATGAAAACAGAGCACCAGGATAAAAATGGTTCTCGGTTTTGTTCGAGGTGCGATTGCCGAGAGTTAAGAATGCTTGAGCAGGACGGGATGGTATTTTGCGCTTGCTGGAGGTGCAGCGCACTGTAAGATATTAGTTCTCGAGCCGGGTCCAATATAAGGTGATTCAACACTTGGGGTTGACTACCGGTGAAGTAAAACAGAATGAGTATCTCTTCTGCTTCTTGACAATGACGGGAGGGTAGTGGCCCGCCAAGTGTTTCGTGGACAACAGCGTCAGGGAGGAAGCGAGGGGGAACCGAAAGCCTGAAAGCGGGGCTGAAACCGTGGTAAAGTTATGGTACCTGAGTATATGTATTTGTACTGTGTTGAAAAGCAGTCTTACCGATACCGAGGTAGGTATTCGGCCGGTCAGAGATTCCCTGTCGTTTTGTACGTTCAGCGTTACGTACAACAAGCCCCTTCTTCTGCAAGCGCAGCCCTATACAGACGGCCATTGGCTGGCTGCCACTACCATTACGAGGTATCCAGGCAGATTTCGAATCATTTCGGTTTTTCTGCCAACGCTAACGCTCCCTGCACGAGGGTGAGGCGAGGCTACAGATCCTTCAAATTTGTTTTTTTGGGCACCAACCTTCGGCTGACGCGCCCAGCTGTCGGTGGAAGCATCCATGGTCCTTTTTTGGTGTGAGCACCCATGCTGATATTAGTCTACGTGTTGAGTCTTGCAGTTTTTGACCCGGGTGGAACTTGAATAAGGGGATTGTGGATGATGCCATGGTTCAATTGTATCCCAAGGGTCTGCAGTTTACGGTTTGCTACGAGGGTCAGGGCCGTGAGAGTGCGTTCCGCACCCTTTAGTACATAGGAACCCCCCTAGTTCACCCAGTCTGGCCCGCATATCTTCCTACTCCGCCTGTACAGTCAATCTATATAGTCATATATTCTTCCTTTTTGATCATACCAGGGCAGAATCAGCACAGTTTGAGTGAACTTGATCTAGTGCTTGAAGTGATACGACCCATGTTTATCCTGTCAGGCGTTCAAAGCACCACAAAATGTCACCGATCAGTAAACTGTTTGCCCCGCGCAGGAAACCTGCAACAAAGGCCTCAATTCAGACCGCAGCAACTGCACAGCCTTCGCAAAGCTCGATACAAGCAGTTCTATCGCCCGACGACCCAATGGGGCTTACAGTTGTCTGGCCGCCTGAGTACAAGCAAGACGATCCGGTTATCACGATCGAGTAGGTACCAGAACTACATTTCCAGCACAAAAGCAGAAATAAGGTGCTGACATTAGGACATTGTGGTTTTCGTTCATGGGTTAAACGGCGGTTCATATCGTACATGGACCGATGGCAGCACGTTCTGGCCCAAGGACCTCCTTCCAACGATCTTGCCCACTGCCCGTGTCCTGACCTTCGGATACAACGCCAACATCTACCGTGACTGTGCTAAGGGCCGTATTGAAGAATTCAGTCAAACTCTTTACAGTGATGTCGAAATCAATCGAACATCGGTACAAGTGCGTTGCTTCGGCGTGATTTTGCGATTTTGGCAGCTAACATCGACCCTTGAGTAATACGTAGGAGAAAAGAAGACCAATCATATTTATATGTCACAGCATGGGTGGCTTGGTATTTAAGCGAGTGAGTTATTGCTCTCTGTTGTTCAGATCAGCATGAACTAATCCTGAGCAGAGTGTTGCCATCGCCCAGAACAAGAACCCCGGTGCCTCGATCTTCCAAGTCGCTGCCGGGGTGGTCTTTCTAGCAACACCCCATCGAGGTTCAAAGAATGCCCGCTGGGGAGATATAGGGGCTCGCCTATGCCAGGCAACCAAGTTAGGGGCTCCTAGGACCTCCAGTGCACAAGAGCTCCGTCTATTTTCCAACACGGTGGTCGACATCAACGCCGGCTTTGTACACTTGTCCAATCGCTTTTCTATCATCAGCTTCCACGAGCAGCAGGGATATCCTGTTCTTGGTCTGGTTTGTGTTGCACCACTTCCACTTCTAAACCTAATGGACTGCCGCATGCATTAACCAGCGCTTTGATGTAGATTGTTGAAGCCTACTCGGCTATTATGGACGTGCCGAATGAGATCCACACAGTCGCCCTCAACGCCAATCACGTTGATGTCTGCCGGTTTGAGAATTCAGTCGATCCCAACTTCCAAATCCTGAGCAGATATATCCGGAGCCTAGTAGTAGATAATCTAAAGGTTTCATGTAAGGCGCACCTCACGTCATGTACGTTCGACCTATCATATGCTAAAAACTAGAATCAGTGGAGCGACATGTTGCATCTCCGGGGGCACTTTCAATGACGCGCTCGGGGGGAGAGTCTACATCCAAGAGATCGGTAGAAGCGAGTCGTAATGATGCAGAAATCACCAATGACTTACCCTTTTTCATGCCCGAAAACTTTGTTCGAAGGAGTGAGAAGACCGTTCCCCGCTCTCGTCTTCCCAGCATTATTCGACTCAGACTGACGCGGGAATTCGACAGATGATATCCTCGCTCAGATGATCCGCCACATTGATGATAGGAGCATATCTCATCATCGATTCGGGCTGTATGGCCAAATCGGGGTGGGGAAGACGCAGATCGCTTTACGATTTTTAGATCAATACGCACATCGGTTTCCTGTTAGGCTCTGGGTCTATGCGGATACCGATCACAAAATTCGAATGTCATTTGATTCAATAGCACGCAAGCTTGGGTTCGAATCCGCAGGCACAAATCCAGAACAGATTATTGAGTTTGTGAAGGATTGGCTTGCACACCATGCTGGATGGGTTGTGGTCTTTGACAATGTCGAGGACCTACGACTTGTGGCTTCTTATTGGCCCCGGCAATTTCCACAGGATAGCTTCATCATTATCACATCACGCGTTTCCGGTATTTCTCTGCGGAGTGGACCTCTGACTGATTCAGTCAAGGTTGAATGTTTCTCGGAAGAAGACGCAACGGAGTGGTTCTGGTCGCAGATTGACACACACGATCGAGACCCTGCCGAAAAGGCACTGGCCACTGAGATCGTCAAGAAAGTCGGATGCCTGCCTTTGGCAGTCAATCACATGGCGGCTTATATTGAGGGTCGCAGCCACAGTCTGAGCGAGTTCCTCTACGAGTTCCAGCGCGATGACAGTATCGCAATTGGCCAGTACGTGGCAGGAGCAAACATCTCCTACGAAGAACAAAACCTGGCCAAAGCCTGGGAGCTGTCCCTTTCCGGTCTCGATGATAAGGCAGCCGAGCTTCTAGACTTGCTCTCCTTGCTAGATCCGGATCGAATTCCTTTGGGACTCCTAGACCATTTCGATGCTGCTGCGCAGACTAGCGTCTCGGACATCTTGTGGAACTACAGATCGCAGCAATTGGCAATCAGCACCTTGGAATACAAGTCGCTCCTCGAAAAGCGAAAGCGACAGCCAACCCTTCGCATCCACCGCATGACGCAGTCTGCAAATAGGAATCAATGGGCAAACGAGCCGACGCGTCAGGCGAGAGCATTTATGAATGCCCTCTTCTGCATCTGCCGTGTCTACCCTCGGCAGGAAAAGGGAGGTTCTATGGTCGAGTTCTTTCCCAGCTGCGCTCAATTCACAGAACATCTATTGAGTATTCTGGACTTCTACCAGCGCCACGCGCGTGAACTAAATCCCACCGAAGAGTTTGCCGAAATTCTCGCTCACTGCGGATGGTATTTTTTCGAGCGGGGAGAGACGAAGTCGGCTCGAGACGTTCTTTTGGAAGCCGAGGCAATTTGTTTACAGTTGGGAAGCGGGCACAGCCAAACTCTAGGGTTGATCTACAACAACCTTGGCGCCGTCTGCATGCTGCGGCGTGAGGAACACAAGGGTCTCAAATACACGATCAAGGCGATCGAACACCGCGAACACACCATTCCGAAAGATAGCCCTGAGATCCAACAGCTAGGTATCTCTTACATGAACTATGCAAATGATATGCAGTTGGTGCAGCCATTCGACAAGAACATCGCCGCCGACTTCTTTAACCGAGCCCTCGATATTGCCCAGCACTCACCAGGTGGTACAGTCAAATCACAGGAGCTAGTATTGTCTAATATGAGCTGCGCGTATTATCGCTGGAACATGCTAGACAAGGCATTACATTATGTCAAACAGGCAGTCGCACTCCACCAGGAATGTGGAGCAGACACTACATACATGCTGTACACTTTGTACTACTACGGCAACATTCAATGGAAGCTCGGCGCCCGACGTGATAGCTACGCAATCCATCATGACTGTCTCCGAAGGCGCCAGATCCTGCAGGGCGATGAGCACTACACCACCGGAGTCTCGCTTTACAAGACGGGAAAACTGGCCTATGAGCTGGGATACCAGGCCGATGCCCTCGAGTACCTCGAGAAAGCAGAGAAGACTTTCCGTGCCTACCACGATGATCCCGGGCTATGGCCACGTGGTTGTTTGATGCTCGGGAAGGTCATGTTGGCGATTGGAGGTTCCAAGCCTGACGGCGACCTTCGTCGTCAAGGGCAAGAGTTTTGGGATAAAGGCATGAAGGCAGCAAGAGACCTTAAAGGGACGTCTTTCCAGGGAAGAGACGACGATGAGTTGGACTCCCTTGTGAGAGAGGTTTACCGTTAGAAAAGCCAAACCCTCTCTGATTAGCATCCAGTAGTCCAAAGGGGGGTTTTGTAAAGTTACAATCTACCGTTCGCTTTATGCTTGGTCGTTAGGCTCTTTAATCCTTCTTTTTCAGATGTGTCATTTTCCCATCTTTTAATAGAAGCGGGTACTTCCATGTTCAAATGTGAGAAAATCTACTTGCTGATAATAGGCACGATAGATTTGAAGTTCAATATAAATGTGTGTTGGGGAAGATATCTAGATCAGAATGAGACAATCTACAATCAGACGCCCTGCTGATGTCATTATATTGGAGATTTCTTGCACATCAAGGTAGTCGTATACTGCCCCGAAGTTCCATCAAGGGCGTCTCCTCCCAGGGTTGTCAAGTCAACGGAGAAGGAGTCAATTGCGGTAAATCCGAGTCGTTGATACCAAGCCAGCGCTCCAGGGTTTGATGCCAAATAGCAGTCCAGGTTCAGCTGGGATGCAACATCCAAGCCCCACTGAACCAACATCCGACCACATCCGAGGCCCTGGTAGTCAGGATGAGTTGCCAGTAGTGAAAGATCTTTTTCAAGCAATCAACATGTCCTTCGAAGTCAGCCCCAATTCGACGAATCAGATTGTCGAGGGCCAGCGAACGGGACCGAGAAAGACCAAACTCACAAACACATTTCTGATTCCCAATATTTCTCTCCTTCAGCCCATGGATCCCTCCATAGAATGAAGTCGCCGCACCGTAATTCAAGTCACCCTCCGCGATGGAAGGATCGGGTTGGAAGCTGAATGGCGCTTGCGACGGTCGGTCTTCGGTCCAGACATACCATCGCGCGAAGGCCAGGATATTCCTCTCATTAATCGCATCCACTATCTTGAGGTATTTTACATGTGCTTTAGGAAAACTAGATTGCTTTGCCGCACATGCAGAGGATAGAAGGGAATCTGTAAGGCCGTGTGGGTGAAGGAGTCTTTCAACGGGAATGGACGGAAGAAATGACGCAAATTGGAGGCGAGTAATTTGATCCAAGTCTTCGAAACGTGCGGAGAGGAGCGATAAGGGCATACCGATAGAGCTCAGATCGGAGGGTGGATTATATCCAGTGGAGAAAATGGCCACAAGGTCTCCGTGGTGCGAGGTGAGAAGACTAGGATATTGTGGTCAGCGGATGTCAATGTTCGCTGGTGATTCGAGTGCTAAAAGTAGCCCCAAGCTGCGGGGTTGCCTCAACAACATCAAATATGGCTATTTCTCCTAGGTTAGCCCTGAAGGCCTTTCTAATCATGAAAAGAGAGCTGATTGAAGAGTAAACCACAATGGGCTTACCGGGCGTGCACTGATTTGAAGAAAGTCAGTATATTTCAGCTTCATTTCACCTTGTTCTAGTTCGATTTCCTTTTTCGTATAAGTCGTTAATTGGGCGACAGAATAGTAACGTGTTCTTTAGTATTTTCTTGGTACAAATTCATCTGATGGCGGGACCGGGGGGCTATGTAAGACCTGTTCTCATCCCAGAATACCCTTCTTCTGGAGGAACTTATCCTTGGAAGCTACATCATGATAGATCTTGTGGTGGCTGGCAAAGTGTTCAGGGTCACATTACGGCTATCAATCACACCATCAGTCGAGGATTCTTTGTCAACATCAAAAGTGGTGGTTTTACCACGTGTGACTGTAATTCCTAAGCGAGCGACAAAGTCCCTAGGTAACGCTATACGAGATAGATTCGATTTTTCAAAAGTCGGTTAAGTATGCTACAGCATATCCGCAAGCTTCCGCGGATGTCGTGTTGGCATCCGCAACAAACATAACTCTCGCTAGTTAGCCCCATTTTAGTCTATTGGGTGATTTCGTTTTGCGCCGACGTTACGAGAAGGTGGCGGATCTTGGACATCTGGATCAATGGCAAAAACGCCTCACTGACAGGGCGCATGGGAAACGGCGGGAAAGAAATACCAGGAGAGAGTAAGAACTGCGAAAGTCTGGAGCGGCGATGGAGGGGACTTTATAGAACCACGCACGGGGCTGCATATAGGCACCCACTGGGAGGCTACACCGTATGAGGTACGGTTTCTTGGCAATTCAAATACTTATATGATGATTGTTCGAATAAGACCCAAGACCGGAATATCTTTCGCTCTACGTTATTTTGTTCTTTGGTCATTGGAAGAATAACTTGTACACTGTGCAAAGCGATGGACAGCCCTCTAACTGAGGTCATCTGGCCGGCCTACTACCACTAATGGTCCGAGTGATAAGATATAATTTGACTCACAATTGGAATCGACGGGCAACACTAGGTAGTCAGATACAATTCACGACGGATAGGAACCAGCAGATTTGAGCAAGGTTACCAGGCCGAAGTAATTTGTAGATGCCGACCACAATTACTCTCACTTGCTTTTCAAATGGAATCATGTCCACTCAACTGACTGGAGTGACAAAAAGATACCCAGAGTGGAGTTTTCGAAGGCAAAAATATATGACCAGACTGGGGCTCAATCCCAGGACCTTATCGGTGCTAACGATACGTGTTAACCAACTACACCATCCGGCTAATTGATGACTGTTGGATCCACTATTGGTGGTATATCCCAATTCGTCCAGAACACATTAACCAATTTGGATTATCGTCAATGAAGTCCAGTTCTGGGCATTGACTCTGGAAACTAGCCCGGTGAAACAGGCTTTATGGAAGCAGGGCCATCAGGTATTATGTGGTGCTTAAGTGCCATGAGGTTTTCAAAATACATGAAATGTCGGACATCTGTGGAACAGTGGTGAGAAGGCGTTGTCGGTACCGTTCCCGAAAATCGGGAAGTTTTCTTGCAGGTGAGCATTTACCTTGCACTCCTGTGCGTGGCCCTTTTGAATACACTACAGTTTCTCACACTGCCCGAGCATTTTTTTGCTTTTTCGATGAGCATTGATTCGGGCATCCATCCGGAAGCTGTTGGTATTTCATAAGAGATCCCGAGAAATGCTATCTGGAATATGGAATGGAGCACGACTTCATCGCTGCTAGACCGCGGACTCAGAATGTTTGTGATCGTCAGCACAGACTGAACAGGGTCGGAACCATGACACCGGTCTTTTTAGATTCAGATCTTCGTGATGTATATTATATAATGTACAAGGGCTGTGTTGGTGTCAACCAACGATGGCCACCTAAAAGCTGGCCATCTCAATCCAGCTCGCAACAAAGGCCAAGCGGCGACCCTTGTCGGCAGACATCCGGCGCTGAAACTCTTCAAAGTTGAGTCTCGCTCCATTTCCACCTCGTTCCTTGGCCTCGCGCTCCACTTGGTTCAAATAGGCCCAGCGGGCAAGAGTACGCTGGGATGGCCGGCACGTGGCGGTGGAAGGTTGAGCCGGGCTGACGGGCTTGGAGGGCGGCGGCAATGGTTGCATGGGAGAAGGAGGCAATTTCGGCGCCGTGGCTTCTGCTTCAGGCGAGGAGTTGTGAGGGGAGGGCGGCGCAGGAAGCGAGGGGGTACCGTTTGGCTGGAGGCGCAACCGATCAGGGAGGTTGGCAGTGGCCGTGGCGTGCGCCGACGTTTGGGATTGGGTTTCGGTCGACTCTTCTTGCACAGACAGACGAGGACGCTCTGCGTCCGCATCGGGCCGGAATTGTGGAAGGGTAGGGTCATAGTTGATGGAGAAGTCCTCGACGCTCGACTCTGATTCTTCGTCCGAGGATTCCTCTTTGAAAGAGTCGCCTTCCGTGTTCGGCATCCGCTCGTTGACTTCATAGGAACCAAGTGAAGCGGTGTTCGTCTCATCCGTATTGTCTTCATCGTGCTCAGAAGAGTGGTCCTGGCCGAGGAAATCTTCTCGGTCGGGATTGAAAAAATGCACAGGTGGGACATCATCATCCGCGGACAGAGAATCGGGCAAGGGAGGAACTAGTACTGGGTTGGCCGACTCGAGGACGGGGCTCTGGACAGCATACCCCGCACGTTGCAGGAGATCATCGAGCGACCTATCGCTGGTCACCTCCTGCATTTCCTCTTCATTCTGAGGCGCTTTTCCATCATCCTTTGTGTCCTCCTGAGGCCCAATATGTTGCACAAGATCGATTTCATGAGCCCAGAGTTTACGGTCTGTCCGCGTGCGTCGAACCTCCATGAGGAGATCCTCCTTCGGCTTGAAGAGAATATCGAGCAGTTCATTGAAGCCCTGCTGAGTCACTTGATACAGAATCTCTTTGCCGACATCCCGTTCAACCTCGGGGATTTCGAAACCACCCCATCGTTCACCGACAGGAATACTTCGTGAGGAAGTGGACGGATTCGAGCGGACGTCACATTCATCGAGATCGTCCTGGAACCGGACCTTGGAAGAGGATCGCGACCGAGGGGACGGAGGGTGGGAGTCATTTGGTAAACTGTCGGTAGATTCGTCTTCATCGACGGAAAGGTCATCAAATTCCGGGTCTCGTCGGTAGCCAGAGGGGACAGTGGCGCCGTCTTCTTCATCGGTGTAGAAAACACGACGTCTCCAACGCTCGTCAATTCCATCCCGGCGGGTTTCGTTGAGACGTCTTTGATCATCGTCGCGGAGTCTGTCGAACAACGCCATTAGCGACTGAGCCCTCTCGTCGAAAAGGACACAAAATTCAGGGGGAGGAGATACGTACGTTCCAAGGGCCTCAATGATGTCTTCCTCCCGTTCTGCCCGCGGCCAAACACCGCTTGCCACCGAAGAGCTGGATCCGTCAGGTTCACTGCCATCCTCATCCTCCTCCTCCTCGTCGTCTTCAGCCTCGTTGCCGTCCTCATCCTCCTCATCCTCAGGACGCCTGGGATCGAACGGGCGACCCCCCGACGGGGTTGACGCGAGGCGTAATGTAGACGGGAACATTGGCCGCGTGCGACCATACTGTTCCCTCACTGCCGCATCACCGACGACCAGATGGCGGTCACCAATATCGGTTCCATCCCGCCGTAAGATACCTTCATTGTCGATAATCTCCATATCGCCCTCTGCGTTGCGTCGCTTACCTTCGCCGATGCGCGACGCCTCGCCGGATGGGATGCTGCCTGGAAACGCCGAGCTGATGGGCTGACTGCCGAGGACGACATCGCGAGCTCCTCCTTCCAGAAAGTCGTCTTCCATGCCAGCAACCATATCTCGAGTTAGTTCGCGACTCAGCGCATAGTAAGCCCGGAAAACCCGCAGGAAGTCTCGGCGCTCGATATAGCCGTCGCCGTCAATGTCATACCCACGGAACACACGACGGAGCCTTTCATCATTGCTCTTATTGTTTAGGCTAGCCAGGCCCTTGAGGAACTCTTCGAATCCGATGAGGTTATCGCCATTGGTGTCGTAGAATGCAAACATGCGGTCGTAAATGAGACTCGGGGGAGGGGGTCGAAGAGAGGTGTTGGGGACAAAACATCGGTCAAAGGTTTTGCGATCGATGGCCATGTACAGTTTGTTGGGATCATCGGCCCATTCGTAATTCGCAAGACAGCGGAATTGATCCCACAGCGCATCGAGTTCGGTGTTTTCGAAGCCAGTTTCTCTCATCAGGCGCTTAGCCAGTGGTCGCGGAAGACTCCGTGGCAGCATCGCTGGTTTGCCAGGATACCACACCGGTTGAGACTGGCGGGGGTTTCCCAGGAAAGGAGCCGGGATGCGGACCTTGTAGAACAGATGGGTTTTGATATGAACCTGCATTGCCTCGCAAGTCTCACACAAATCATAGTCAATACAGTTGGCGCATCGATACCGGATGCCCTGGATGGGCATGGCACCACAGCTGTTGCAAGTCACACCTCGATGGATATAACCATCTCGCCGGGCTTGGTCTTCAGCAATGTGGTACAGCAAGTTGAGTAAGTTCTGGCCCTCGCGTGTTGGGGAAGCGTCATTGTTTCCATCGCGCCAGGAGAAAACGCTCTGGTCATCACCTTGAGCCTCCGCACCATCCGGGTTCTGGGATGGAGCGGGGACGTCAGGGAATGTGGATGTCGAGAGAGTGACACGTTCGCCATTCTGCCGCCGACGGCGCAGTTCGTCTCCATAGTTTTCGTCTTCGTTGAATCGGATCAGAGCTCTTTCGATACCGGCTCGTGAGATTCCCCGTCGCTGCAATTGCTCGGTCAAATAATTTCGCTCCGAGCTATTTTCGGCCAGGGTGTGAGAAGCAGGAAAGTCCAGCGCCAGAAAGGATTCGAGAAAAGTGTCCTCCATCATTTCCCGCATGCGCTCCGCATGGGCAGGAGGCACACCGACTTCGTCCATCAGCTGGTCGCGCGTTGCAAGCAGCGACGGCAGCAGCCCACTTTCCACCCGCCGTCCATCTTCTGTCTCGATTCGGAATGTTCCATACACGCCGTTCTGACGTTCCAGCTGTTCCAGATGAGTTATTGCGCGATACGACGGGCTATCCACGAGACCGAGCTCTTCGACTTCGGTGCGCCGGGTGCGACGGAGGGCATTTCGGCGACGGAGAGGGGTTTGGGATGACTGCGGTGAAACGACGTTGTTGTGAATGTACAGGAGAGCATAGGCTGCCGCTACGCCCGTGAAAAGGTAGAGGATAGGTCGGTATCGCGTCAGCGACACCGGCCCGGAGTTCGATGCGGACATAGCGGAAGTCCAGTTGGCGAAGGCTGCAGGGGTGCGGTCACGGGGATTGAACGGGACGCATCATCGAAGGAAGCTCAGAATGATGGGGAGTGAATCGATTGGCAAGCTAATTTCGATGGCGGCGTTGGAGGCAGAGAAGGTGGCAGAAGGAGAAAGATGACGGGGTATCGCGGCGATTCATCCACACGGCAGCCTGGAAAGTGAGGTGTCCACACTGGACGCCAGCAACCCCCGGACCTGTTCACCATGACTATTACACTAAGTAAGTAACGACCAGTGAAATCCTAGTAATATGATGATGTGGCCTATGGCACACGAAAAGTCCAATAGGAATTGTCGTGATAACTTTTACATTTCTATCATTTCAATCTTGGTCGTAACCAAGCTCTTGCATAGTACGAACTTGGCCCATATTTACAATCACATTTCGCTTCCCACGCCTTTCCAGCTCTTTGGATCGCGAGTTTATATGTAGGTTGCCTTTCGAGATGTCCAGTCATAGCTTCCTGAACCTAATTAAAACCCCTGGAGCCCCCCAAGACATGCAAATCCCTGCTTTATGAAAATGGTTATCCGACTGACGATCAGCGGTTGAGCTTCGCTTCCCGCATAAAACAAGCGCTGAATAGCGCGAAGAACACAACGGCAGTCATGAAGGCGAAGCCCTTGTTGGTGGACCAGCCATAGCAGCCTCGCACGATCTCAGCGACATCTGGACTCAATATCTTAATGAAATCGAGGCTTTCCCTCACTCCATTGACAATATAGTCGATGTCCTTGCTCTCCCTGAGACTCGTCCGCAGGCGTTCGCGAAGCAATTGTTGGACCACTGTCGAGGATAGAGACAGTCCAATCACAGACCCTAAAGATCGGAAAAGATACGAGCACGCAGTGACCACAGCTTGGTCTTCGTAGGTCGCGTTGGAAACTTCAATTTGGTCAGTAATGGAGATCGCATAACCGAAGAAACAATGACAACTCACTCAGTCCGATTAAAGTTGTCGTGACGCCGATTCCATTTCCAAACGCCGCCATCACCATACCGAGGATCATTGGAATTGTGCTCGTCGTGGTTCCGCCCGAGAAGAGGAAAATGGTGAAACAACCGAGCGTCAAGAATGAATATGCCACGACGGTCAGCCAGAAGTACCTTCCAGTACGCTTCATAATGATTCCCGAAAAGAGAGAGCCAGTCACGCCGGAGAAAATACTGGGCAGGAGTCGAATCCCGGCGACGGTAGCAGAGACGCCATCGACGGCTTGGAAGTAGAGTGGAATGTAAAATAGCGCAGCAAGCCAGCCACCGAAACTGAAGAAATTGCAGCAATAAAGCGCAAAAAAGGTTCGATTAAAGATGATATGGCCCGGTGCGAAGGGCTCCGCGGCCAGGTAGATCTCGACCAAAATGAAAAGCCCGAAGAGAACCACCGACACACCTAGCGATACAAGCGTCAGGGGCATACTCCACGACACATTGCTGCCGCGGTCAAGTCCCAGGAGGAATCCCAGAACGGCCCCGACGAGGACTAGCGCGCCGAGAAAGTCAATTCGGCGGAGTTTCGCCTTCCAATGCACGTTCTCACGAGCGGGGAGCTTCAGCATGAAGGACACCGCAATAAAGGCTAGAATGCACATAGGGAATTGTGCCAAGAAAGCCCTAAGACGTGTGTTAGTTCAATTTCCTCTTCCGGACAGAATAAAGCGCGACACTGCATACCAGCGCCAGCCAATATAGTCGGCCAGAATGCCACCTAAAGGCGCACCGGTACCTGACCCGGTGGCATAAATAATATTGATGATGCCTTGCCACAGGCCTCGATCCCGCAACGGAACAATATCACTCATCAGTATACTGACAACAGTTGTCATACCACCCCCTCCAATGCCCTGAAAGACCTAGTGAAGCCAGCATCAGCGTTGTTGTCAATGCATCAATCCTGAGGCGACTTACTCGAGCGGCAATGAGCTCGTTGATATTTCGTGCAAGTCCACAGAAAAGACATCCCGTTCCGAAAATGGCATAGGCAAAAAGCAGACAAGCCTTCCGGCCAAATATATCACTCAATTTTCCGTAGAGGGGCTGGAACGATGTCAAGGTCAGGAAGTATGAAGTGGCGATCCAACTGGTCAGATTGAGCGCCTTTAAATCGCTTCCAATTTGACCATAGCTGGCCATAATGATGGTCTGGTCCGCAGCCGAGAGAAAGATCTAAAGGAGCATATTAGCCGAGAAGTTACATCAACCTGCCGTTTGCCATGCGAGCAGAAATGCATACTCCAATTGAAATGGCCGGGACGATATACTTGAGCTGCTTTTGAGCATCGGGAAATGGCTCCTTAGTCTGCTCATCCTGGTTGTTTGAAAGATCCCCCGACTCCGCATCGCGGGTAGGAATGGTTCCGGTGGACGCAGTGCCATTCCGTTCTCCAAGCAACGGGGAGGTCTCGCTGGTCGGTTGGAGCGCCATTGCGAGTTAGGCCACTTTCGCCAGGACAGCCCGCGGCGATGCTCTTGGAATATCTCCCAATTCCTGTCTGCCTTGAGAGAGACTGGGAAACGTCGGGGAAGGAAGAAAAGGGACACCACACTCCGCCGACTAGAGGCCGGGCCTTCCCTATTCGGAGCCTTACACTCACGTGCTGATAAGCGTGCACTTCCCCTCACTGAGTAATCGCACTGGGCCAATCACGGCAGTCGGTTTGTTGCAGCTCGTTCCGTTCCCCGCCGCTATCAGACCGCTCGTCGGCAAAGCAATGCAGAGCCGAGGGAAAACATGGTGCAGTACAATAGTACTAGACTATGCAGGCATATAAAAATCAAAATAGTACGGATCTTGAAGCTCGGAGTAGTCAAACTCCGCTAGGTTTGGAAATGCGTGTGTTATCGTTTAACAAAGGCACATTGTGGGTCAAATTGCGTGACCTGGAGCAGTAATGAACTAACGTACGTCGCAAAGCCAGGCCCACAATATCGGATTCCGGAAGTCGGCACAGCAATACAAATATCTGCCTTAGTTATATACACACCGCAGCGCGAATATGACGATCATATCAATTGTGAAATCAAAAGATGTGAGATTGTATTATGTGCCGTGTATAACTACTCTCAACAATGTCTGTTCAATCACCACATCACACCGTGCCCACTATTTGACACAACATTCACACGTCGTGCTTGGATGTCCTTACATCACAAGCGTGATTGGAGCCACGAGTTTGGGACCTGCAACTTCAAATGCACGAACTTTGAAACGTACCCAAACGCGGTGCGAATGAAAATCACCCGTGGGGCTAGTGGAACACAACAACCTTTACGGAGTTAGAGAGCCTTTAAGCTATAGTTAATCTCGTACTACATACAGTACAATAGCGTCAGAGGCTTGTAGGACCCTGTGGGTGTAAGGTACCTTGGTGGAAAACGCCTACTACAAATATTTTGCTACGGTTGCCCGCAAACCCAGGACAAATGTCATGTCAAAACTCATCATCTGTTTCAACTCATCTCATGCAAGGAATTATCCAATTATTCATTCAAGCGCCTGCCAATAGATCCGCCGCATATTCGATCCTCGTTTAATACAGTGGTACGATTGTTGAATGCATATCTCGTGTCACATCAAGTTTCCTGTCGCTGTTGAAAAATTCAAGAAAACGTCGCAAGCCGCCACGTGCATCATCACTCATTCAAAGGGACCCATTTAAGGCTCTCCCCAGATCTCGTCGGCGATTTGTCGCACCAGACCCAGCTTCTTCTTCTCGTCGTCCAGGCTGAGTGGGTACCCGCTCTCGTGGGTGCTGAAGCCGCATTGGGGGCTGACGCAAACGCGCTTTAGTGCCTCCTCGCGTGCTTCGCCACTACCAGAGGCCACAAAGTCAGCAGCCTTGTAGATGCGCTCCTTCATGGCCTCCTTGTCTTCCAGCTCACGAAGCTTGGTACTGATGACGCCAACAACGACATTCTTGTTCTTGGGCAGGAACTTGAGAGGCTCAAATCCACCAGCCCGCTCGGTGTCGTATTCAAGGTAGAAGGTGTTGACGTTGAGGTTCTCAAACAACTTCTTGGCGATGATATCGTACGAGCCCTCGGAGAAGTGGCGACCGCCAATAAAGTTACCGCGACACAAGTGGATGCCCGTGTGCATGTCGGCAGGAATCTTGGCGAGACAGTCGTTATACAGCTGGATATAGGCGTCGAATAGGTCATCCACTGTGCCAGTGTTGTCTTTGTCCTCTTCCCAGCCCTGGCGGAAAGCCTTCGAGCAGAAGTAGGCCATTCCAGGGTCGTCGAATTGGACATTCCGCAGGCCGGCCTTGTACAGCGCGTCCAGTTCAGCCTGGTATACAGTGGCCACGCCCTGGAAATACTCGGCATCGTTCGCGTAGGCCTCGGGAGAGTATGCCTTGCCTTCCTTGTATCGCATGTGGAACCAGGCCGGGGTGATCATGGTCAGCTTGATGTTGCCCCACTCACTCTCGGGCAGAGTCTGCTGGACAAGCTTTAGCTCGTGGAGATTGGAGAGCGACTTCTCGGGGTTCCAGGTGAGCTTTGACCCGGCAATAACCGAGTCACCAGGCATGACCTTGCGGTCCTTCTCGATGAGACTGACGACATCGGGGTGGTATAATCTAAACATGGAAGCGTCCGCATCTTGCAGGCGGATGGTTCCTGGATGCCATTAGCCTTCTTTCCCTATCTGAGTACATGCACAAACGCCAGAAGGTCAAGACCTCCATTGATTCCATACCTTCAAACTCATCCCACATCAGACCCCAGAAGCGTGTACGGTTGAACTCGCCTGAGGACACAGCCTTCAGACCAAGCTCTCTCTGCATTTGAACAACTTCCTTCACGGCTTCCTTCTCGACGACGGGCAGGCCGGCTTCTTCCTCAGAGATACCGGTATCACGGATCTTTGCCCTAGCCTCCAGGAGTCCATCAGGACGCAGCAGCGAGCCCATATGCTCAGCCCGGAAGGGCGGTGCGCTGTAGAGCTGATTGGCCATTGTGCATCAGGTGGAGAATGGGAGCTAAAGATCAATCTGATAAAAGGATTTTTCGTCCCACAGGAAGTCGTACAGTTCCACTGCCACCAAAATCGACAATCAGAAGCAGATATATGATTCAACACAAGGAGAGAGCAGAAATATGGATGACGAGGCAAAAAGTGGTGCCCATGTGGAGAGGCTCATTGGATGTGGGGCTGGAAGCAGCAGCTGGCGTGTGGGGTCGAATGGAAGATGAAACCATTCTCGAGGGCCCGAGGACGAAATAGCCCGTGCTGATCTCTGGGCTTGGAAGCCCAATTGACATTCCGTTTAAGAGTGGGGGAAATAGGAGGGCACAATTTTGTACGACAGGGGAAGTTGTTCTGCACCAGAACAAGCAGCTCATCGCTTTGTGATTCCGGCCCCACATGCGGGGCTATAGTTCAAGATATCGAGCAGCCATCGCAGCCATTTCAAAACGAATGGGGATCGGAGGTAGGTCTGCATCAGGTGCGCCAAATGTCTTTGCGAAATATATCGCCCCAACGATAGAGAAACACAAGAGCCCACTCATTGAGATCAACCAACCCATACGCATCGCAGGATTAGCGCGAATCATCATAGTGGCTCTCTTCATGCAAGGCCTTCCATATATATCTCCAGTTAATTGAATCATCGCAGGGACCCAAGGCGGTACTATGGCGCGCGCTGTCAATACTACTGGCTCTTCATGGATATCTGGCGTAATATGCTAGCGCTTGCCTTGCTGGTTCTCATCTCTCACATTGGACGGCATCTTCTAAACCACCGATCTGGGCCACCTGTCTACCAGGCTGTATAGGCCGCCGAGTTACTTGCGAGTGAGCTTTGATGAATAGGCAGTTGCCACAGTCACATGCCACTCGGTTTGCAATCGTGATGAGGCATATTTTAATTACTGCTCGGCATACGCACGATCGTGAGAGAGTTTGCTGATCAGACAGGTCTCGCGAAATCGAATTTCAGGCATTGAAATGTCGTAAATTGCTCCAAAGGTAGGTATTAATATCCCAGATGCAATGTAACCTAACGATATCTCCAAATTTTTCAATTTCCGTTCTCTTTCTGCTCAGCTCCGGGGATCGGGACCGGGCCGCCTGGCGAGTCTGGCAGACGGGCCGTCAGAACCTCGACACCATCTTCAGTCACGAGCATGGTGTGCTCGAATTGGGCTGACAAAGATCCATCCTGGGTGGTACTTGTCCAGTCATCGGGCCATGTGCGGTCACGATGGGTGCCGATATTGATCATGGGCTCAATAGTGAAGCACATGCCGGGCTTTGCGGTGCCGACGGCCTTGTTCTTGCCATAGTGAGGGACGTTAGGGGCGCAGTGGAAGAGTTGATTAATGCCGTGACCACAGTACGTTTTGACGACGCTGCAGTTGCGGGACTTGGCGTGCTTCTCGATCACATTTCCAGGATCACGGAATAGCATGCCAGGCTTCACTAGCTCGATCGACTTATCCAGACACTCTCGCGCGGTTTCCACCACCCGCACGGCGTCGGGGTTGGCGAGCGCCTTGTCGCCAACGTAATATGTCTCGTTGATATCGCCATGGAAGCCCTTGTGATACAGAGTGACATCGATGTTGATGATGTCACCGTCCTCTAGCGGCCGTTGATCGGGAATACCGTGACAGATAGATTCGTTGATGGAGGTGCAGACGGACTTTGGGAAGTGCATGTAGTTAAGGGGAGAAGGGTACGACTGCAGGGATGATCGCGAGTCAGCACACAATCTTCAATGGCTTGTCTGTGGTCGGGCTGGTTTTCACCTCGCGTTCGATACACGCCTTGTGGACGATCTCATCAATTTGATCAGTGGTCACGCCGGGCTTCAGTGCACGAGCAGCAATGTCCAGGACCTCACGGGCAAGGCGGCACACTTTGCGCATGCCCTCCTGCTCCTCCTTGTTCAGAAGTTTAATGTTGTGGCGGCCGATGAGCTTCTGCTCGGAGCGGGGAATGCCGTCGCGGGCGTAGTCCGGATGGGGGATCGTCTTGGGGATCGTTCGCATGGGTGAGAGCGGATAGAGGGGTCGCAGAGAGCCGGTGAAGGGATAGGCCGGAAAAGGGTTGAAGGTACCCGTTGCTGGATCAGGTTCAGAAACTACTTTCGGAGGGAAGAGGTTGGTGAGGAGATTACTCTTCTTGTGGATGGTCTTGTGCTCGCCCTGGCATGGAATGTTAGTCATTGTGTGGGCATGCAGAGGCGCCAGACGTGCCCCGACTATCCAAGAGCGCCTACCCAGCTCCGCTTGAAACAGTCCTGCGAGCAAAAGAAACTGTCGATGCCCATTTTCAGACAGGTGGGACATTGCAAAGAGCCCGCGTCGTTGGGGCACTCCACGCCAGTACATTTGCGGGGAGCAGCCATAGTGCGTGGTGGTCGGTCGATAGAAGTAGAGTCGGCGGAATCCAGAGCGCCACTAGTCCAGGCCGATCAGAGGATCAAAAGAATATAGGAGCACAAGAAGATCACGAGATCTGATCGGAGATTCAAAATGTCGCGGCAAGAAATTCGGCCCGCGGCCTTCACGCTAGGTCTAAAATGGGATAGCGTGCGCCACATCATCAAGTCTTCATGCCTGACATCTCAGGCTACAAGGCTACTAACTACATGGGACTCAAAACTTCCACGACAGTACTTGTAGTGATTTCCCTGGATAACATTACTCTGTATCGAAGCATTCAGAGAATTCTGAAAGCTGTATCATCGCTTATTAAAGCCATGGACATACCTCATGTCGTACACTGCTGTGATTCTACTTTCACTGCATTTCGATAACCCTTCGAATGTGACCCTTTACGTTGCTGTATTTCTCGGATCAGCACTATACAATCTTGGGGATACTAATATTTCTGTCAACGAAAAAAGGGATATCAACTATGTTGAGGAAATGGAAAGACAGGTAGCCAAGGTTCCGCCTGACCGACAGGGTACCCTCCCGCCCATGGGAGCAACCCGGCCCCTTCGATGCCAGAACCAACGGCCGTGTCTGCAGGCTGCCACGCCCATCCCAAATCCGACATGAACAGCGATTGCAGCTCCTCGAGGTTTTCATGGCTGACCTCGGGGTATGTAGGGCCACAGTTCTGTGACTCACGAGCTAGATCATCACTGAGCTGCCGATCCATATCAGTCACCGAGTCAGGTTTCGTGCTATTTGGGGCGGAAGAAGTTGCGGCTTTCTCTGGTGCATGCCTTTCAGGAATTGACTTGCGCGCCATTCGGAAAATAGAAAGTGGATTGAGAACGTAATCAGGGGCACTTTGAACTGGCGTGCCAGGCAGGCTTTCACTGCAAAAAGCATGAGTATAATCTTTGTTTTTGAAGAAAGTAATGCTACTGACTTTGCTTCTTCTTCCCCTCCCATGGATTGATATGGATCATCGGGAACGATGTTTTGTGCTATGACTTCAGAACCAATTCCGGATCTTTCAAGCATTGTCTCTGCGGCAGAACACTGGGTTGAGTTTAACATTAGCTTCAAATCCTTTCGTGCCGAGGATGTTATGGAATTCACACAAATGTGAACAGAGAACCTACAAGGGAAGTTGCTATTGCGTTAAGCGACCCCATTTCTCGGAGACACTTGATATTGCTGCGAAGAAGAGGCAGCGTTTCCGTCATGACAATTCTGGTGTCTTCATGACGTGGATCCAGAATTTGGGTCATATGATAGACCATGATCCGGCAGCTATCGTACGTGATTGTCGGGAGCCATGAATCAGCGAGCATCCGACTTCCGTGGCGTCCAGTCTCTCCAATTATCGTCGCCAATGATCTAGCTGCATCAAATAAAACTCGTTGCAGGCTCTCTAGAAATCCTTGCTGTTCAGGGGGAAGTCAAAAGCGGCCCTGAGCTTGTAAAGCGCTGGAGCTCCAAGTCGATATAAATCACAGATAGTTTGATAGTGTGCACAGTGCAATACACACAGTGCACCGAGTTGGGAAGAGTCCTTGCGAATGTATATTGCACTTGGGGTAAATTGCAGGCTTGGGGGCAAAGACTCATACCATGTACGGCAATCCGCATCCAACGATGCAAACTCGGACTTTGGATCCCAAGGTACAATCGCCTCCCCAAGATGCTTTATGTACCTATTCCCACCATGGTGAGTAAAAAGGCCTTGTTCGTAGGAGAGAAGAGAGCTCATGATTTTAAGTTACCTTAGAACCCTTTTGCGAATGGATATATGGCGCACAAAATATGCCATAATCCCCATGTTGGGCAGTAATGTACTAACGTCCACATCACCGGGGATGAACTTTAGCCAATTTCCTGCTTCGAGAGTCTCTGTCAAAGACGGAATCTGCTGGGTGAAGTTGCGTTCATTGCAAGGTAATTGGATCTTCATATCCTTCTCTCCAACCAGCGTTAATTGATCGACTCCACTCCCAACAAGAGCATCCATCACATAGCAACTCCACATTAGTCGCCTGCGTGATTCCTTTTCCGTGATGGACAAGCCAGACTCATGATTCCGGCAGAAGAGATCTGTGTTGTACTCCAGATTGATCTGTAATGCTTGAGTCATGCGAGTTATAAGTCCACTCAGCATGAAAGCATTTGAAAACTTCCCCATTCGTATTTCGTAGTCATGTAGTAGGACTGCAGCCTGAACGATACTCAGAAGTGTTCAGGTGTAACCTCCGTTGATCGTGAGAACACGTACCATTACGTTGTCGATGGTGACAACATCGAGGGTTTCAAGAATAAGTCGCTGGGACCTCTTTGCCCATTGATTTCCTGCTCGCAGCACAAACTTGGGCGAAAGTGACGTGACTGTTTCACTGTACGCCAATGCGTGATACCTGCCGATTCCAATCAGCATTGTCACTTCTCGCGATTGAGGGAGACAAATTCGCGTACTGTGCACCCAGAGCACATATGATATGAAGTAATGCACAGCTCTCACGTTTCCTCGAAACGTCCCTGTCTAGCCTCTGCAGGAAGGATGGCCTGTGTATGAAAGCAAAGCAGCGCAAAGGATGAATATTGTTAAAATATTCCTCCACTAAGAGCCCAATCTCCCAGGGGCTCGGTAGATGGTGCGAGGTGAGCCTGAACCTGTCAGTGAGTGTTCGAGAAGCTCGAATCTATGAAAGCCTCACCATTGTAGAGATGTTGTAGGGAGTTCATAATCCAAGTATGGAGATTTGGAGGTGCTAGGTGATTCGTGTGTCCGGCTTGAAACAGAGCCAACATCGTGAGCCGGGGATCCATTGGAGCCAAAATGAGAGTCTGGCACATTCTTCTGAACGTCATTCATGGCATTTGCAACTCGCCGAATCCAGTTGGGCTGGGAAGATTCTGAAAATATACAGGTAAGACCTTTGCCTTGACACCTTTGGCAGGCAGGTCGCTCGCCCGAGCATTTGGTTTTCGAGGCACGGCATGCTGTACACGAGCGATACGTCCGTTTCCTCTTTGAACTTTCGGCTCTTTCTATCAGGGGTTCTTGGGCATGCGATGCGTGTGGGGTTGTTGAGTAGCCAGAACACACCAGGCGCAGTCGTGCGCAGTTTCCACACTCCCCGGGCCGCTCATCGCATTTGACCTAAATATTCCAAATGAGATGAGGATAACGAATCCAGTGAGAACAACAGGTGAGATCTCACCTTGCGGGCCCGACATGTGCGACAACCTATGCATTTGTTAGTTCTCTATATCTCTTATTTTTTTTGGGCGCAGGGCTTGCGCTTACCAAACCGCGACCGTGATGCTTTTCGGGTATTCTGGCTCATATTGCTGACCACGTCGGATATTCGCTTCGCTGCTCTCGCAAACGCAAGACATGGAGGGGTGCCTCGTGGCAGGACGACGGATGGTGGCCGGGCTGTCGGCAAAGAACCGACGGGCCGTCGCTTGGCGATTTACCATCAGCGCGTGCGATGACGAGATCGCCCGAGCGGATAGTTAAGGCGGGGCGTGCTTACCCTAACTACTCGTAACCTTGGAAGTACCAGCACCAACTACTGAAAGCGAACTGGGATCTACTCACATACGGCAGGAGGTTTATTTGCCATGGAACTACTTCCACCGCCAAAATTGTGCCAGCACTTGAATCCTGCAAGTACCAAGCTTCGGTATATCCAGTTGCACCCCTGAAGCACTTTCTCAACAATGCACAAACAGGCATTCTATAGATCGGCCCAGGTATCATGCAATAGTCATACCAAATAGCCTAACTTCAAAATTTCAATATTCGGGGACACACAACTCTACAGCGCAGTACCTAGGCAACGGGAACGTCGCCAATAAAGAAAAGCCCTAGAACGAAATCTCCGGTAAGAAATTGCATAAGATTTTCCATGTGTATAAAGTCCAGTATCGTGACCGGCAATCAAGATCAAGTCACAGCAAAGTCTTTCACGGTCTGTTCTAAGCAATACATGGTTTTTTCCAGACGGGATCGAGCTAGGATACACTCGGTTTCTAAAGCATTCACGTTGCGGCAGTGTCCCAACCGACTGCTTTCCAGAAAAGTGGCAGGTGGAATCGGTCCTCCCTTTACGCATTGGCGCACATCATTAGAGAAGCCGAGTGCATGGTCGGATTTTCTCAACATACTAAAGCTGAGCTCAATCAATATTTGCACCCTGCCAGTTGAGTTCCGATCCAGGAAAGGCGGTTCCAAGCCTAAGCTCGGAAACAATAAAATGCTCGCAACATCCACGGGAGGTAGAGTCAGAAAAAGTCGATATAGCTGCGTGAACACGACATTGTATAGCTGAACAAGGTGACAATACGTGGCTAAGATGCTCAGGGATGTTGAGAAATTATGCCCTATTAATTCCCCGTCTCCAATCATGGTACCTGGTAATTCTGGTCCCGACGTCACGTTCCCCGGATCTAGCGATGGTATTGCGGACGATAGATTCGGAGATTGATCCTCTGGTGGTGAGCAGACGCCCCCGAAATGCGTAGGTTCATTCGGAGAAAATGACGAAGACAGGGCAGTATGATTTTTCAAGCGCATTTGTTCTGATCGAAGAATGCTCAACAGCTGTGCCGTATGATCAAGCATGCGGAAAATGGGAAGATCTAACTTCGCAAATGATGAGACTATCCCTTCTCCTGAAACGGAAGAGTCGCAGGCCCAAGTGACAAGATTTTCAAGTTCCGTGACGAGATCAAGGTCGAGCTTGAGGATGTTTTTGAGTACGACGTACGGCCTTCGCGAGTCGCCGTCGCTGTTCGGTGCATACAGCAGATGATTATCTCGCACCGATGTGGCCACGTTACTCCATGAACTGTAGTGGCAATTTTCTTTCATCTCATTCGAATTCCGATTACATGAGGCCATTGTATCGGAGTAAAAAGTCTGCGCTAATCCAATATCAGATTCTCCCAGAATTTCATGCGTTGTATCTTGTAAAGGCACACCGGTATATCCTATGTGATGTTCCATGTGATCAAGCCGAGGGAAATCTGGAATTACTGGAGGCTATCGTAGAAATTTTGATCAGTTCGGCCCATAGTAAAAGTTGGTCTTAAGTACAAGAACTTACCAAAAAGAAAGAATTGTCGGTCCAAGGTATCTCGGCCCGGATCCAGGGCTCAAGGGAATGAGTAGAGATGGGCCCTGGCTGTTCCTGAAGCCCGATCACTCCTGAGGTGACAAGAAGTCTTTCATTGTAAGGAATAGGAAAGATATCAGGATCCTCCCATGGGACAAACTTCGTGTAGTCTATGCTTTTGGACATGTCGGTCAAGGAGGTCTGCTTTTTAATTTTCATGGCCGATGATCGATGCAAAAGGGCCATTGGCACTCGCTCGCTTTCGACCCTTTCATTAGACTTTCTGGGAAATGTGTATTCTCTTTTATCGGACGCAAGAAAAGCAGAGGCCGGGTGGCCGACGCTTATAGTGCATGTCACCTGGGCCTTGAGACACCTCTCACAGGATCGGCCATTCACCTGATCACGCTCACATCGTAGCTTGAATCCACGACACCTGTCGCAGGCCGATCTGCGGGACTGCCTGTAGCTAACAGTAGATTGCATTATGTGGTAAAATAAATCATGTATCTGCCCGTCGATATGCTGTCGCCGGTGGGGAATTCAACAGGATAAAATAGATGATTATACCTTGCCGTAATGTTTAGGGACACATTGTTAGTTGACGGCCTTGCCAGAATGTGGTGACTAATTCAAATACTAGCTATCCGTAGACTGGACCAAATATTGTCGTACAAACCTATGGGTATCTTTCAAATGCAACAAATTATCAGCGACTGAAAACCAAATCAGAAATTCAAGGTCGAGGAGTCCAGGGATCAGATCTCTACCCATTCCTCATTCACCACTTCAGCCGTTCTCTCGACCAAGCGAACCCTAGTTCCAGCACCGGCCCAGTAGGCCATTGTTCAAACATGTGATATAACATGGCCGGTGCTGTCTCCATAGCAACTTGGAACTGATGGAGCAAAATATCTTAGAGCTTCTCATCAGCACAGATTCGACTTCTGTCAAGCTTAGATCCACGAAAACTCGATTTTTTTAATGCTTTCATGCCATACTAGTAGCAGAGACTCAGACAGAAATATCCTGCTTTATGAGGCGGACTCGAATCATGCGTCGGTTTTGAGAGTCCATCTTTAAAAGAAATTAAAAAGTATTCTATCCATTAGGCTACATCTACCGTTGCACTTTCGCACGCCATCTTTGAGATATCAAATTCGAGTCGGGATTTTGCCCCCATGCAGCTTCTCCGATCCTAGTCATACTGTATTTTCTCAATAAGATTATAAATCAATTGGAGGCGTGGCACATTGTTCAAGCTGCACAATGTGCTTCAACGAAGCCAATATAGTAGTTACATAACTAGCCACTGAAAGTCTCGTGGTAGTCCGGCGTTTTGATTCAGATGCGCATGGTTTAGGTCTGACAACAATCGTGGAGTGCCCGGGATTTTGGTTTGGCCATGGATCAGATAGGGTGACCCAATAGTTCGGCTTATATGACGGCTCCAGATTTACTAGGCCGTAACCCCTACCTGCTAACTCTGATCGAATTTCCCATCTCGAGCAATCGTCTTCACCGACTCTTTCGTGCTCGACCGTCAACCATGCTCGATTTCTATGCCAACGACGTGCCCAGATGGAAATTAAATGCACATACAAACATGCCAAACAAAACCAAAGTACCGAAGGGCCCAAGCAACACACGCAGTAGACAGCAGGGATTGAGGGGGCGCGATTTCCTTTCCAAAATTGCGCCAGATGAGAAGCGAAGTGTTGCACAACGAGGTCTGAAACGTGAACCAAGTCCAACCACCTTGATGAAGTGTCGTGTATCCTTCCCCTGTTTAGATTTTTTCGAGTGTTGCCTGTTAGACCTGGCTCGTATTGAGATTTGCTGATTTTATTCTTGACCAAACAAGCACCAAAATGCTCTCGTGAGGTGGCAACATTCGAAGCCTAGCAGGCTCAAATTCCGAATAGCATGAGATCAGGTAGCTGAAGGAGACAGTATAAATTTACTTTTGATTTGCATGGTATCTTCGCTGTAACTCGCTAAAAATCCATATTTCAACGGATATAAAGAATGCGTCTGGCTCGTGCCGTGATACGACTCAGTATCGTTCAACACTACAGTATAGGTGGTGCGACAAAAGAGTCCGGGATACCCTCAAACACCCAATTGAGACTATCAAAGACCTCAGAAAATCCAGCTTCGCTAAAGAATGCACCGCTCTCATCGAACTGAGTTGGAAGCATCAGAGATGGATCCTCGAGGGCCTGATCTTGCTGTCGTGTCAAGGGGCCCGCCGCAGAGGTTATATCCTGATTGGCGAATGCAGCCGCCGCTGAAGCAGGAGGGTCAGTAAATGTATAACAGATTGGCGGATGTGTAGACTAACCTTGCATTTCTTCGAAACTTTTCATGGGGCGGAACCGCTGGCGCCAGCGCCACACGGTATCGTAGACATGGCTCATGCTCATTCGGCAACGAACCTTAAGCTGAAGTCCATTTTCGTCTGCGGATTCCGGTCCAGTTGCATTCCACATCTGAGCCAGGATATCCGCAAGGCGAATAGGACGGTCGTGATCCATGACACTGATCCTGCGGATTGCAGAAATTGCTCCATTGAACAAAAGCTTACCATGGTTGAAATCAATGTGCCGACTGAAGCTGCTTTTGAGAAGCTTCATGAGTGCAAATGCGGCTGACACAATCATTTGCAAAATATAATTGGTAGAATGACCGATCAACTCGCCCGGTGAAGTTTCTAAATCCAGCACTCTGCCGAGAAATGAAGTCGTTGCAATAAAGAGTTTGGTTAGATCGTCACTGCGAGGACTAGAGCCTAGAAACACAAAGTATCGGAAATGGAGCTCCGCGGCGCGCAGATGAATCATGTTTATGGCTAAGGCAAACATTTAGTCACGATCGGCAAGATGGAGCAGCAAAAGGGAATTACCAGATATGTCGCGGCCAAAATCAACTTCCATCTCTCTTAGTTCGCTCTCGAGGATCTGCACAATGACAAGCTTCTCCGCGCTCATGAATTCCCCCGGCTCAGGCTTGCTGCTATAAAGAGCTTTAGTGACCCGATCACAGTACTTCTCGATGCGAAGTCGAATAGTAAGATCATCGGGTAGACGATAATCGGCATCCTTGAGAGATGCGGGCTCGAGAGCCCAATCATAAATTGTGCAAGGGGGCTGGCCATAACCAGTGGCAACACTTTGGCCGAACATTAGCTTCTTTTCGACATGCGGGGATGAAAAATGATCGGAACGAACTTTTGGGCAACGATGTTGCAAATCACCCATGTATGGAGCCGGTCCTTTAGAGCTTCGCCCTGTACTTCCATTCTGAATGTCGTGAACTCCTCAGCTTGTACTGGGCGATGCAAGCCTAGCTGCATGGCAATCTGCATCATGAGTCCACTGAGCATAAATGTCGCATCGGTCCGTTGACTCGTGGTCGGAAGGGGCCACGTGCAGAGGACGCATAGTGCCTTGACCACACGGTAATCTTGCGGTACGCTGGTGATGGTCGACCAGAGGAGTCGACTAAAAGGACCTGATAACGCACTCAAGAGACCTGGTTCGGTTGGGGATCTTCGGCTAGCCACGCAAAGAATAGTCCATGCCAACAGAGGGCAACGATTGAGATATACCTCGGGTGGCTTTGGAGGGTTCAGAAGTGGCAAAAATGGGTGGTAATAATTAAAGTATCTGAGAGTTCGGCATGTCAGTGTTGATAGTTGGGCGAATGGGTAGAGTTCACCCAGCCATACTGTTCATAGAGTCGGGCAACCCGCGCACGGGAGAGAGCGATATCTTCCAGTCGCCACGGAGTATTTTCATCCTGCGATAGGATGGACCCGTCTCTCTTCATCGTCAACGGGGTTGCAATCGACGTGTGTGGGTCCGCGGGCACGGAGACAGGCCTAGTTTGTTCGACCGATGCAGACTCACGGCGGCCAAAGGCCTCCTCTGAGCACTGGGAGACGTCATCACCAGCATGGGGATCTACAGGTACTTCGTGATCTGGATTGGTCGCCAAACGGCGTCGGAGATCAGCGATCTCCTTTTCCATCTCCGCGTTGCGGCTGTGGTCCAGTTAGCAAGAGAGGGGTCCCATGTCTGCGGGGAGCAGAATGAATACTCCATACCGTCGTTTAGAGATGCGCTTAAATGACTGCTCGACTTTACAGTCGATACCCAGCCGCTGGCATCGCGAGCAAGCCGCGGCTGGGGTCTGCACGATATCACAGCGCAGCTATTCGATGGGCGTTAGCGGGTCTGCAACATCCCGAGGAACGGGGGCTGCATGGCGAGAGGGAGGCTGCATGTGTCTGGCTCACCTTCTGCTGCTTGCATTCATTGCAGGCCTTCCGGCTGCCACCTCGGCGCTTGCCCGTGACCGGCGGGGTCTTCTCCATCTCGCCTGAGTCTGGACTGCGCAGAAGCTCGCCCGGGGTTGGCCGCGGCATTGGAGGGGACCGAAAGTCGCTGGGAAACAGAGGTGGCCCATTCGGTGCCAGCAAGTTCCGATACCCTAGGTCCATCAGGATCGTCTCCCGATATAAAAACCCCAATCTGCGTAGAGGTGCTTTGCGAAGGTCCCTCTGCCGGAAATCGGCGAATTCGCTCCGGGGACAATCGTGGACTGATTCGCACCGGTGGAGACGAGACGAGGTGATGCCGCCGTCGATTGGGTCTTGCCCGTGCCGCCAGCCCGCGGCAGGCGGTCGTGCGCGGCAGATCAAAAGACGAACTTCGGCGGTTGCTCAGTCATCATTGACGCCCAGTGAATTAGGCCACAAGGCAGCAATGGGTACACGTGCGCTTCTGCCTTGGTGCCTTGATGCCTTGGTGTTCTGCTGCAGGCTCCATCGAAACCCTCCAAGCTCCTGCGGGTCATATCATACCTGACAAAGATGTGTACAACATTTGAAACAAACCACTCCGCCAAGGTCACCCACTCATACACCCTTGATTTTCCCCTGTATTGGTCTCTGTGAGTGGACTTTTTTGTGTGCCAGAGGACAGCATCCGATTTGGAAGGATTCAAGACCCGGCGACTTGTTGTTTTGCTGGCCATTATCTGTCATCTATCATTTGCTCGGCCTTGAGACTCTTCCAGTGGACTCATACCTCATTGAGTCTAACCCCCACAAGTATCACTGGCTCCCTGCACCTTCCTTCGCTCTCGAATCAGACCCTGTCGTCTTTCCACGCCCAAGGCAATGCCGAATCGCGGCATCACAGTCATCTCCGGAGGTAGCGCCGCGAACAATCTGGTTGATGTATTCGATGCTCTTCGAGAAAGCAAAGAGTGCCCACTGAGCTACATCATCCCGATCAGTGACAATGGCGGGTCATCATCGGAGCTGATCCGGATCTTCGGGGGTCCTGGGATCGGTGATGTGCGCAGTAAGTTCCCATAGTTGATCACACAAATCTCCCCATCATCTCAAGGTGGTCCATTTGCGCTGACCGTTCACCACAGGTCGCCTGGTACGTTTGATTCCGAACATCCCCGCCAATCCAGAACGTACCGCCGTCAAAACCCTCTTCAACCATCGTCTCCCCGCGGAGGCGGCGGCGGCGTCGGGTGAATGGTTATCCATCGTGGACGGAACGTCAACCCTATGGCATTCTATCACTCCTGCCAAAAAGGAGCTAATTCGCTCATTCTTTAACATGTTGAATCTGGAGATCCTGAAACGGGCTCGGCCACCATCGTCTACCTTCGATTTTACGTCCGCGAGTGTGGGGAACTTGTTCTTGACGGGTGCCCGGCTTTTCAGCGGGAGCTTTGAGAGCGCCATCTACCTCTTGGGCAGTATCTGCGGCGTCCAGTCTGACCTTATACGCGTGATTCCTGCCATTAATTCCAACTTTTCCCATCACATCTCGGCGACGTTGGCCAACGGTACCATCATTGTTGGCCAGAATAGTATCTCACATCCGAGCGAGGAAACCGCTCTTCAACCGAATTCTGGCACCAGACGCCCCAGTCTGCTGCTTGCGGATGGGGATGACCTTGAAGATACCGATGTGTCGGATATGGCCGATGGGGTCTCCTACGAGGAAGATCATCTGCCCGGCTCACTCGCGTCGCTTCGCAATAAGAATATTTCCTTCAGCAAGGCGAAAAATGAGGATCTGCCTTGCCGGATCGATCGCATCTGGTACATCAATCCGTATGGTCAGGAGATCCGACCGGCGGCCAATCCGAGGGTCCTGGAGGCTCTGAACGATTCACAGGCCATTATATATAGCATTGGCTCTCTCTATACGTCTATCATACCCGCCGTCATTCTACGTGGTGTCGGCAAGAGTATTGTGACGAGTCCCGCTCGCCATAAGATCCTGATCCTAAATGGATCATTAGACCGTGAGACCGGTCCCCCGACGCAACCATTCACGGCATCTGATTTCGTCGAAGCAATCACCCGTGCGGGAGAGGAGAGTCGTGGCCGGCACCTCCGTCACAGGCACTCGTCTCATCAATCGTCCGGTCTGCCCGCCCCGACAGCCTCCATGCAATCAACGCAAACTCTCCCGTATACTTCCTACGTAACTCACATCCTGCATCTGGACGGTCCAGGAACGCCTCATGTCGATCGAGAACGACTGGCGCAGATGGGCATCGAGGCACTTCGTTTGTACGGACGGAAGATCACTGTGATGCAAGACGACACGGAGGTAATCGTCGGTATGCGGTACGATTCCAATGCTTTGCTTCAAGCTCTCGAGGTGGTTCTTGGGAAGAAAGGTGACGCGATGATACGTGGGGGCATTGGCAGTGGCTTGGGACGTCGGAATACGCTAGAGCCCACGCGGCGAGAGAAATAAATGATTGCTAAAAACGATTCCAATATTTGCACTTGCAGTGAACATTTAGTGGACAGCCATGGCAACGGCCAAGCTTCTTTGAGGCATTGCATGCTGGACTACGAGCGTGATTAGAAACTCCGAGGCTATATGACAGCACATACATCGACGCAACAAACCAGCTCTAGTCCTCCCTTGCTGAGCCAGAGTGATTATCGGCAACATTCTAAATTGGTTTGTATTATAGTATATAGTCTTGTCCCAGGATCTTGTACTCCTAGTATGTGCATTGTCTCGAGTTCCACCGCTGCCGAGGTCCGAATGCGGGGAAGCTCCCGGTCCTCTATATATTGCAAGGATGAGAGTACAGCATCATCCGTGGCGCTCATTACAGTGTACAGCCCTGCACCAGTGAGTTAGTAGTTTATTATTAATTTCAGTCCGGGTGCAGTTGCCGTCATGAATTTCGAGCTGCCGGATGCGCTGAAGAGCCATCTCGGCTCGATCGACGCCTTCATCGCTGCCACGATTCTGCCGCTGCAACACTCGCACGACAACAATCGTTTCTTTGACCACCGTCGCGAGCACGCCCGCACCGACTGGGAGAAGGATGGCAATCCGCGGCCTGAATGGGAGCAATTGCTGAGTAGAATGCCCTCCAGATTGTGGACCGTGTGTTTTACTGGTTGACACCCCCCAAGGAAAGGCCCGCGAGTTGGCTGACGAGGCTGGCTTCTATCGCTTTGCACTCCCCCAGGAGTACGGCGGCCAGGGACATGCTGATACCAACCTGTGGATGTCGGCCATCCGCTTTCACCTGGCTTCACATCCGGTCTATGGAGGCGGACTCGGTCTGGCCAATGACCTCCAAAACGAACACAGCATCGTAGGCAACTTCCCCGACGTTTTGATGCTTCACCATTTTGGCAGCGACGAGCAGCGGCGAACCTTCATTCCCGCTCGTCTGCGCGGAGAATTTCGAATGACCTTTGGCCTGACGGAGCCAGATCATGGCAGCGACGCGACCTTCATGTCAACCTCCGCGCGCAAGGTGCGCGATGGCTTCGAGATCACCGGCACTAAGAAATGGCAGACGGGGGCGCACCACTGCACGCACTTTCTGATCTTCGCGCGGACGGCGCATGTCGACGGATCAGCCAAGGGTATCACGGCCTTCCTCGTGCCACGCGAGACCCCGGGGGTGCGCATCGCCAGCTACGAATGGACACTGAACATGCCGACCGACCATGCGACGGTCGCGCTCGACCGCGCCTGGGTGCCCAATTCGGCGATCCTGGGCTCCGTAGACCAAGGGCTCGCCATTGCGCAAACCTTTGTCCATGAGAACCGCATCCGCCAGGCGGCCAGCTCGTGCGGCGCGGCGCGGTACTGTCTGGATCGAAGCATCGAGCGCGCTCGGTCGCGCAAGATATGGGGCGACGACAAGCGGCTGGCGGATAATCAGGCTATTCAGTTCCCGGTGGTCGAGCTGATGACCCAAATGGAAATGCTGCACTTGCTCATCCTTAAGACCAGCTGCGACATGGACCGCGTCGTGGCCGAGTGTCGATCGACGGGGCACCGGCCGTGGGTGGAAATCGAGCGCCGGCTGAGTGATCGCGTGGCGATGTGCAACTTTTGGGCGAATCGACTGTGCTGCCAGGCGGCGGATCGTGCCATCCAGGTGTGTTTCACTCTTGCTGTTTTCAATTTTGCGACGTCTGTTTGCTAAAGGTGCCCCTGACTGACATTCCAGATCCACGGGGGCGATGGCTATTCGCGCCACTACCCCTTCGAGCACATCTATCGCCATTTCCGCCGATACCGCATCACCGAGGGCGCGGAGGAGATTCAGATGCGCAAGATCGCTGCGTACATCTTCGGATTTGTGGGTCCACACAAGCAGGCGAGGATTTAAAGATGTCGGCCATGTCCAACGGTTCTCCCGGGCGCCTCCAGCCCGATTGGATTATCAGCACTATATACCACTTTCTACCACTATCTGCCCTTCGGGACCCTCACATTATTGCCTTCTCCCATTGCCCGTACGTCGTAGCGCGCCGGCCTCTCAGCTGTCCAGTCCAGCCTTGACCCGGTTTGGCCTTCCCTTTCAGTTGATTTTACCTAACAAATTTGGCTCCGCGTGGCGCCGGTGGGCCTCGCCTTGTCGGAACCCCACCGAGCCAACGGAAACGGAAGTCTGCACCCTCGTAAAAAAAAAAAAAAAGAGAGAGAGAGAGACAAAGAAACCTCCAAGTTGCTCTCTGCCTGTTGTTCCAGCTATCGTCCTCCTGGTGAGGGTGCCCGTCAATATGGCATCTGAACATGTCGCCTCTGAGGGTGTGACCGAGAAGATGCCCGAAGCCTCGACCGACTACAAGCAGGCTGCGCAGGACATCAAGCCTTCCGATGCAGAGGACCACAACGCACAGTCGCCGCCCGGCGAGCTGAAGCGCAAGCTGAAGAGCCGGCACCTTCAAATGATCGCCATCGGTTCGTCTTTTACCCTTTGCTGGAGCTCAATGCTGCATACTAGACAAGATATACTAACGAGACGACCGCAGGCGGCACGATTGGAACCGGTGAGCTGCAAAGTCAGCTACCAGATATGAACGTCTTGCATACTAATCCAGATTAATCCAGGACTCTTCATTTCCAGTGGAACCGCTATCGCGTACTCGGGTCCCGCGGGGGCTCTGATTGCCTACATCTTCGTTGGCACCATCGTTTTCTCCGTCATGACTTCGCTCGGCGAGGTGGCTACCTATATCCCCATTCCCGGCGCCTTCACCTCCTATGCGGCTCGTCTGATCGACCCGAGTCTCGGATTTTCTATGGGATGGATCTACTGGTTTAACTGGGCATCGACATTCGCAGTCGAGCTTACCGCGACAGGCACCATCATTCAATACTGGGACCCGAGCCTGAATATCGCTATCTTTATCGGGGTTTTCTGGGTCCTCATCACCGCCGTTAATTTTCTACCGGTGAACTTCTACGGCGAGCTGGAATTCTGGTTTTCGACAATCAAGGTCGCCACCGTTATTGGCTTCATGATTTTCGCCATTTGCATTGACGTCGGGGTAGGTAAACAGGGATACTTGGGCTTCCGCACCTGGGAGGATCCGGGAGCTTTTGCTACACATCTGATCGACACCCCGAAGTCGGTCGGCAGGTTCGTGGGCTTCTGGGCCGTCCTGATTCAAGCCGGCTTCTCCTACCAGGGCACGGAGTTGGTCGGTGTGGCTGCGGGTGAAACAGAGAATCCACAGAAGACGGTCCCCTCGGCCATTCGCAAAACCTTTGTCCGAATCCTGCTGTTCTTCGTGTTGACCATCTTCTTTATTGGTCTTCTGGTCCCTTACACTAACTCGCGACTCTCCACCACAAACAACAACGCGTCGTCGAGTCCGATGGTGATCGCGGCAGACCTGGCCGGAGTGAAAGTCCTCCCAAGTCTGATCAACGCAGTGCTCCTGACGGTGGTTCTCTCCGCCGCCAACTCCAACGTTTACAGTGGTAGCCGTGTCTTGATGGGTCTCTCATTGGAAGGCTTTGCTCCGAAAATCTTCAGCCGGGTCACCTCGCACGGTGTGCCCTACGCCAGTGTGGCCCTAACCGCGGCATTCGGACTCCTAGGCTTCATGAACGTATCAGAGAATGCGGGACAAGTCTTCAACTGGCTGGTTAATCTCTCCAGCGTGGCAGGCTTTGTCACCTGGTCTTCCATCAACGCCTGCCATATCGCATTCATGCGGGCTCTGGCAACACGTGGTATCTCCCGTGATACACTCCCCTACAAGGCCATGCTCCAACCGTACTTGGCCTGGTATGGGCTTTTCTTCAATATTCTCATTGCGTTGACGCAGGGATTCACCTCGTTCATCCCCACGTTCAACGTGTCTGACTTCTTCGTTGCATACATTTGCCCGATTGTCTTCGCCGTCCTCTACATTGCTCATAAGGCTATCACCCGATCACCCTTCGTACGCGCATCGGAGGCTGATCTCGACACTGGTAGACTTGACTTCCAAAAGGAAGTCGGCCCGCCTAAGCCATGGTATTGGCGAGTCTGGGGCTGGGTGACAAAGTAGCGGTCGGTGTAATAGGGCCTAGGCCTTCTTGATTTCCTTTATTAATGATTGCATTGCTGAGCCTTGCTTTAAGACTTGAATATATATCAAATTTTGCATATAAATCTCGGAAATTCTTTTTTTAATCACATGCGACATCGCAGCAAATGTTGGCTTTGGTGCCTACTGACCCACGTCCAACGGATCCCGCTTGGCCAGCGCATCCATCGAGTAAATATGGATCCGGTGCTACACTATCCTCATATACCGCGCTACCACGGAAATACCACCCACTGCTGCTGTTATACCCGTCCATATTACAATCGAACCATACCCCCTCCCATATCCACCCCACATTGTGATGTTTTCTCGACCACCGCCGGTCTTCAACAGTGCTTCACTCAGGGGGCCACTTGCGACATTTCCGATGCCTCGACCTGTTTCCATAAAAGGAAATATCACACTGACATCTGCCGCGGGGTTTGCTTGTTGGATTTCATGTGCGATGCTTGACCATGTGGATGAGTAGCCACCTGCGAGGAGCCCGTACCCAATGCAAAAGACATACAAGGACGGTATATTTTGAGCAAACCCCCAAATGAAAAACACAGCAATCGTAGTTCCGACAGTGCATAAAAGGATGCATCGGGTGACATGATACCGATCAGATAGGAAGCCGATCATGACAGAACCAAACACTGATGAGATGTTGAAGAGTGTCACCGTCAGTGAAGACAAAACCTCACTGGCCCCCATGCCGTGTGCATAGGTTGGTAGATAAATCGTGGGTAGGAAAAATCCTAGCGCTTGCATGGTGTTGCCAATCTGATAGACCAGATATACTCTGCTGTATAAAAAGTTGAAGTTGAGCCGATGCTGTCGAACGTAATAAGATGCTGGAAGGCGTGGTCGGTGGAAGTATAGAAATGGCAGAGAAAGAACAAATAATGCGATGGCCGAGATTCTTAGAGTCGCCTGCACGCCATACTGGTCAAGCAACCACTGGATGATAAGGGGAAAGATGATTCCAGAGAGCCCTGAACCGGCCTAATTGTACACTGGTTAGTGAATACAGACACTGGATCGTTGGTGACAGCCAGCGGGTCACTTACCCATACCACACCAAACGCAAGACCCTTCCGCTTCACGAACCAGTCCGACATGAACAAGATTGAAGGTGTGTACGCCAAGGAGCCACCCACGCCAAATCCAATACCTTGGGAGAGAATGAGATGGGTAACGCTCGAGGAAAATGAGCTCAGTGCCAACGATAAACACATGATCAAAACGCCAACTGTGGATACCCAACGAGCAATCTGTGGCATCAAGATCATACCTATAATAGGCAAAGGTGCTATCAGATATGCAAGTCCCTAGAGATCACAATCAGTCAGGACCCGATGTTGGCAAGGAAAGTGAAAATGGGTCGATACCATTGCGCATGTACCAATCACAGCAATGTTACTTGACCCTTTAAATGGCTCATGTGCACTGTAATATCTTTGGAAAATTCCAAAAGAAAAAGCAAAACCTGCTCTTTAGTCAATAATTTGGCTGAGAGCTATTTGGTTTTGATCTCAACTCACCCCAAACGAGTGCCTCGAGAACTGCGCTTGCTAATAGAAAAAGCCAGGCGTGTCTGCCCCCATCGATGGAAGGGAAAACACTCTCCGAAGTCACGTTATGGGCCTCATTGTCACAAGCAATGCAGCTTGGGGACTCTCGAGCATCTGACGAAGGCTTTGACTTTGCGTCACTGATTTCACTGCTTCCTTTAGGCGTCATTTGGGCGGTGAAATCGACGCAAGACTGATAAGTTTCATAAAATCATGAAGGCAGCGACCGTGAACCCGCAGAACAAAGTGGGAATGTGACCGAAGGGATAACAGGCTGGCCGATGAAATCTTCCCGGTGATAAGATGTTTCATAACGCCATAGCTTTTCTTCAGGCTCTGCATACATCATGCAGTAATCTCCCCAAACGAAGATCTTTGTCGCACCAGTGAACCCGGTTAGCCCAATTTCCCCGCAGACCCGATACCCTGCTATATCAGTCAGACAACGCAACTGCCCAACCTTCCGTTCAACTCTCCTTCAAAAGGAAGGGGGGTCTATTCATTCCATCTCATTTAATTCGCCTGGTGGGAATGTTTCTGTATGTGGAATGCCGAAAGGCCATCGGAATGTAGCACCCTGTTCTGAAAAATCTCCTGTGATATTTGTCTGTATCCCTACTAAGCCACACAAGTTCAGATAACTTTGAATGACATTCAATAGTCCTCCGGCTTAAACTGGAACGCATAGTCTGTGAAACCCTCGGCCGATTCTCTGTCTTGAAATCTGAAGCACCAGGGAAGTGGATCTAGCTTACTGAATATGTAGAAGGCAGTTGATTCACAACCCTTCGCGTATATGACGAGGTAAATCAAGGGATAGGTGACCGGGCACGGAATCAGGCATAAGCACGATAGAGATAGAGTACGCAAGCTAGTAGCAAGAATGAAACGGAAGTGACAATCAATGTCGACACTGGCACCATTTTTAACATGGTTTCAAAGTGAGAATCTAAATTATGCTGGGAAGGTTCTACTGATGTGGTAGCAGGTAGGTAGAAGACAAGGTTTTATGACTATAGGAGACTTTTTGATCAATGGTAAAGCGAACTAACCCCATGGAGATGTCCAATAAGTGACTTTGACCACCTCGCTACGAGAAATTATCCTGCCTACATCGTATCTCATGGCATCTAGTGGCATCTAACAATTGGCTTTATAGATGACTTGGTTTCCGCAAGCAGTCAACCTACGTGGTAGACAGTCTGTTGTTCCAGAAAAACATCATGTAGGAGAGGCGCTGAGCTAGGCTTTTATTTTAATTAAGCTCGTTACTAATAGTGAATATTTCAGAAATCTGCAGCATCCGGCAATTTCTCCGGTGTATCTTCGCGAAATTGGGTCCGAATCAGGTTCCGAAATGACGGTGACCAGTCGACCCGCGGGGTGAGGGTGTCAAGCTCCCATAGTTCAGAGAGAAATTTGAGGATGGAAGTATGGGTAAACTCCGCCTCTTCATCTGAAGGCTGGCTTTGAACCAGACCCTTGTCAACCCAAGGCGAAATCAGCATCGTAGGTACGCGAACCCCCAGACGGTTGAAGTGAAATGTGTATGGACGTCCGTCGCGTGCCACCTCGGTATATGTCAAACTATCCCCCGGCGGCACATTCGCCGGGGGAGAGACGTGGTCGGCAAAACCTCCATGCTCATCGAATGTCAAGATGAACAGTGTTTCATTCCATTGTGGAGAATTTCGGATGGCCTCGTAAATGCTCTTCACAAAGGTCTCTCCCATATTGATGGGAGACGGCGGATGCATCGACATGTAGTTGCAACACTCCGGGTTGATCCAGGAGAACTGTGGCAAGTTCCCATTCTGTGCATCTGTGTAGAAGCGTTCGATGGGTCGAATTCTGGACCTGCCATTGTCAGACTTGGCTGTCCACTTGTAAAACAAGGCATCCGGTAGGAATGCGGGGTCTGATCTGGTCGAGTTTTCATAGTTGATCCAGGTAACTCCCTTCTCCGACAGTTGTTCAAATATGGATTTCTGCGGGAGACCCGATTGATTGAATGCGTCATCGTTCATCCCGTGGCCGTAGGAGGTGCCGGAGGTCAAGTATGCGCGGTTGGGATTTGTAGGCCCCGGGACAGCAGCGAACCAGCGGTCGAACAGCACGAAGTTCTCGGCAATCGCGTTGAACACGGGGATATGGTCGGGGGTAAAGTAGTTGATGACCTCTGCTGCGCGGGTCGCATTGTCCTGTTCATAGGAGGCTCGCTGTTCGGTGATGAATCCCTCCATCGCAGGTTTGGCGCCCACGAGGGGGTGGTAGGTCCCAAAAATCTGCATGTTTCCTCCGGCGATACTGTGGTTGGGGTCTTCGGAGGCAATGTTTTGCGCTGTGCTATCGGCGCATACTTTGGGGGACTCAGTCAGCGAGATATTGACCGGGTTGCAGAAGGGACGGTTCACGACTCCGTTAATCTTGCGATCGTATGTGAGTCCGCCGAAGAAATGGTCGAATGACAGGTTCTCTTGCACCAGCACCACCACGTGCTTGATGTTGTCCAAGCCCGAGGCGGCATGCGATCGGGCGACCGCGAGCACCAGTACCAAGAGCACCAGTACCAGAGACATCGTTGATGTGAGACGATTGCAAGAGGTGAAGCTGGACTCAGAACGATCGAACGAGGCTGGCCAACTCAAGGAGCTCGGCCCCCTCCGCATTTCCCCACCGGGGCCGTTTCACCTGCTATTACTTAGTAATAATGCGTAGTCCCAGGGGAAAGACAACGAGATGGGTGAACGGCAGCAACAAAATGAGCTCATCGGTATCATTGTTTCTTGAAGTTGGGAGAGAAGTGCGGTTTGCGAGAAAAACGCGGAGCGGGAGGTTCATTGCGCATCCGCGAAGTAAACACCAACTTGACGGAGCTAACGCTAAACCCCGAACGGCACTGACTCCATCCTCACACATCTACTAGAATTCATAGTATTACTCATTACTCACCAGGTAGCAATCGTCGTGGCGGTGTAAATGGAACATAGAATGCGTGGTTTGGAGGGACTGCGGATGGATCCAGCTTCTAGGGTTTTGAAACTAATATGACAGGTTGATGGATACTCCCTAGACCCTCCGGGCTGCCGCACCTTGCACAAAACTCACAGTTTAGAGCTGAGACCTGCGGAATTTTGCCAGTTTCCGCATACCGACTCGTGCAACGCCGATCGTCTCCACGGTGCACCCCGATGCAAGCTGCGCAAATGCCGGGTAGCTCTCTTCGAAGGAAATAATCACATTTATCCCGAACAGGCCGGTGACAAAGGTGGAGACAGCAAATCCGAGCATCCAAGTCTTCAGTTGAGCTCTTTTCAAGGTCATGATTTCATTGTTCCGGATATCGAAAACGGATTGAATGGTATCCACCATGTGGTTGTCCTCCCCAAGCAGGGAGCTTGCCCACTCGGCGATGACATCGGCATTTCTGTAATATACCTCGAGTGAGTATTCAACCTCCTGGTTATTTTCGGTGAGTGTGCCTTGCCGGCTTGCCGGTCCGTCAGGTACATCATCGCCATATCCTCATCATTGATAAGCACCTCTTGCAGTGACGAGCGTACTTGACGTGCCTGCTGTTCCGTGCCGACGAATCGTTTCCCATAGTCCTGAAGTCTTCGAAGGGCGGAATGGACCGAGTCCTCCTTTTTCGAATCAGACAAGCTCTGCTCGACCTCACGTCGAGTCAGAATAATATAACTACAAAAACACGCATCGTCACTCAAAGTATTACTAAGACAACGCTCAAGAAGCCCTCCAACACTATCTAAGATCACTAAGATCACCATATATCAGGTAACCAAGTGTAGCTATCTATGAATACATACTGCTGTATTACTAGCACAGAAATATGCTGATCCACGGGCTACGAATAGGAACTAACGGCAAAAATGAGCACTAACGAATCGCCTAGTTCGATATGAACAGGATGTCACGGTTAGAGAGAGCCTACCACTACCAGCACAGCCAGTGCAGCTAGTTCAACGTGTTGAACAGCCTCCGCCCGCACTAGTTGAACAGCCTATTTTGCAACCCCCATCAGCCAAGCGCGCACCACCAACCTGTAGCAATTGTCGGGAGATTGGCCATATAATGACCTATTGCCCTAATAGATAGTTTTATGGATTTACTGGTGTTTTGGTAGTTTAATCTTATTCTGAACCTTTAGCAGTGGGCGGGCTGCGCGCCTAACCTTATGCGCAGGCTGACCGTTAATTACGTTAAATAACTACTCCAATACTATGTAACACCAGAGCAACTGAGCGACGTGGGGTGGACCATCAGACCGACCTGGCAAGAAATGTAAATATGCTACTCCAGAACATATACCGCGGATATTAAATTTTGAGTGATGTGTTGACACTTTTCTCACATTATCCAGAACACCTGATCATGAACATGAGTTTGAAATTACCCCACGGGGGGATATATACATCCATCAGGGCAGTGTCCATGACGGTGCACGCATTTTGATTCGCACCCTGATGTGCGTTAATTAGAAATAGTGTATTCACAGCTGCCAATTCTCTGTGCAACCCATCATTCCAACGCCAGCGATACAGTACGTCGCAATCTCCAATGTGTGAAGGGTCCTCTGCACTGCACCAGGCAGTCTTGTCGGCCCGTGATTTGATCCACCCGGCTGCCGCTTACGATCTCCGCGCCGCCGATAGCCGAGGTCCCCCAGTTCTAATCGTCCCCAGCTCGTTCCTTGTGATTTATCACTCCAGAGTGATTCCTTTTTTCCTCTCCCACCACTGCAGTGTGTGCGGTATTGTTTCTCCCTTCGCTCTCGCCATGGCCTCCCTCGTTCGCGCCTTGCGCCCCCTGTCGCGCACCGTCCCCTCCGCCCGCTTGGCTTCCAGGCGTTTCCCTGGCCGCACCGTGCCGAGGTATGGATGCTTCCCAATCCCACTGTCAAGGTGCTCTGCACGACACTGCGTAGACACCACTGTCGCTGGAGATCGCACCCTTCCCGTGTACAACATTGTGCTGACCGAGCTTGTCTCGACATCTTAGTGCATATGCATTTTCCACCACTCCCCGCCGGCGGGAGGCCGACCTCTCTGATCTCACCCCGACACCGATCAGCCTTTTGTCCGAGACCGAATCGATGATGGCCGATACGGTCCAGAAGTTTGCCCAGGAGCAGATTGGACCGAAGGTCCGGGACATGGACGAAGCTGAAACCATGGATCCGGCGGTGGTGGAGCAGCTCTTTGAGCAGGGCCTGATGGGCGTTGAGATTCCCGAGGAGTACGGCGGAGCGGGCATGAACTTCACGGCGGCCATCGTGGCCATCGAGGAGCTCGCTCGCATTGACCCCAGTGTCAGCGTCATGGTGGATGTCCACAACACCCTGGTCAACACCGCCATCATGCGCTACGGCGACGCCCAGGCCCACCGCACCTGGTTACCCAAGCTTAGCACGGGCACTGTCGGCTCGTTCTGTCTTTCCGAGCCCGCATCGGGCTCGGATGCATTCGCTCTGCAGACCAAGGCTGAGAAGACCGCTGACGGATACAAGCTCAACGGATCTAAGATGTGGATCACCAATGCCATGGAGTCCGGGATCTTCATTGTCTTCGCCAACCTGAACCCCAGTGCCGGATACAAGGGCATCACCGCGTTCATCGTCGAGAAGGACACTCCGGGCTTCTCCATCGCCAAGAAGGAGAAGAAGCTTGGCATCCGGGCCAGCAGTACTTGCGTGCTCAACTTCGACGACGTGGTCATTCCCAAGAGCAATCTGCTTGGTGAGGAGGGCCAGGGCTACAAGTATGCCATTAACATCCTGAATGAGGGTCGCATTGGTATTGCCGCCCAGATGACCGGTCTGGCCCTCGGTGCATGGGAAAACGCTGCCCGGTACGTGCTTTGAATGCTCCCTATGCTGATGAGCCCATGCTAACTTTTCTTCTTCTAGATATGTATGGAACGACCGCAAGCAGTTTGGCCAACTGATCGGAGAGTTCCAGGGCATGCAGCACCAGATTGCTCAGGCCTACACCGAGATCGCGGCCGCCCGCGCACTGGTCTACAACGCTGCCCGTAAGAAGGAGGCTGGACAAGACTTTGTGCAGGATGCCGCGATGGCCAAGCTGTACGCCTCGCAGGTTGCCGGACGCGTCTCCGGCTCTGCTGTCGAGTGGATGGGTGGCATGGGCTTCGTCCGCGAGGGCACGGCCGAGAAGATGTTCCGCGACAGCAAAATCGGAGCCATCTACGAGGGTACCAGCAACATCCAGCTGCAGACCATCGCTAAGCTGTTGCAGAAGCAGTACACTAATTAGACCGACTCCAGTGGATCCTCTCGCCTTGACTACTAGACACAATCCGACCCGCCCATTGGTCGTCGGGCAAGGATGATTCGTTTTTCTTGTTTTCCCTCACGCTTAGTGTACAATTTGGCAGGCCAGGAGTACCGGACATCAATGATTGAACTCGTCCCATGTGCATGACCACTATTTGTGTTTCCTACATTAGTGTAGAGACCGCGTGCCCCCTAGGCTCGTTTGTAGTCGCGAGAGTCGCGAGAATTGTCAAGTGGTGGAGACGTCGTGGTGATTGCCCTAAGCGGAATAGCCGCCGATCCCCGCGTGGAACTATGTATCTCTTTTTTCTTCCTCACCTTTCTTTTTCCTCTCCCTTCCTCGCCGTTCGTGATGCAAGCCACCTCCAGACCGCGGTACGCAGCAGCAGCCCACTCCCCGTGCGACTGGATGCTGAGCACGCCCAGATGTCGCTGCTCGACCTGCCCCCAGAGCTCCTCGGCATGGTTGCATGCCACCTCCACAGCCTGGCCACCATTTCCGCCTTGATGAAGACCAGCCGATGGCTTCACCAATTCCTGCAGCAAGGCGGATTTCTCTACGACCGAGTCCCTGCCAATCGACGCGATACGGTGTTAAGGATAGCATGCGCGGAAGGAACAAAGAAGCTGGCGCATGCCATGCTGTCGCGAGGGGCGAACCCGACGGCAGAAGCTCGTCACGGCCAGAACCCCGAGGAGCCGCGTAGTTCGATCGAGTATGCGGCAGACAGGGGCCATGCAGACATCATTGAGATGATACTTGATCACGACACTCAGATCTTTCTCGCCGATGCACCCTCTTATACCTTGAAACGTGCATTCGACCGGGCCATTGTCAAGGGACAAGCACAAGTGGTTAGGGTTATTCTAGACCAGTCCAAAAAGGCCACCTCAGAGACTGCCCGGGGACAGAAGTCGGCGCAATTCACCTCCCAATTGTTGGACCACGGCCTCAATTTCGCTTTCCGAGATGCGCAGGAAGAGGTCGTCGAGGCACTCTTGGCCGATGATCGCGTTCGTTTGATCGAGTGGAATTTACCCGCAGCGGCCACAGGTGGAAATGAAAGGCTCGTGCGACGATGCCTGGCGGGACTGCCTCACAATATGGCCAATTATGCGGCCAGCATGGAAAAGGCCGCGAGTTGTGGAAATGCTGGGGCGCTCAAGGCGATTTTGGAGGTGGAGGGGGTCGATCCAAACACCACCGTTGGATACTCCCAACCCCCCTTACTGGTTGCTGTGAAGAATGGCCATGAGAATATTGTACAGACCCTACTGGAAAGATCGGACGTGCAGCCCGAACTAAAAGATTCGCTTGGCTGGACGCCGTTTGCCATCGCCGCCCGGAAGGGGTACCGGGGTATCATGGAAATACTATGGAAATCAGGCCGAGTGGACATCGGCTGGACCTCCATCATTGGCCAAACCCCTCTGTCCCTGGCAGCAGAGGCCGGTCATGGAGACGTCGTCGATTTCCTCCTGTCACTCAAGGGTGTCGATGTGGACTCCCCCAACCCACAGGGACGGACGCCGTTGTCGCTGGCGGCCGGGGCTGGCGCGGCGCGTGTGGTGAAGACGCTCTTGGAAACTGGCCGAGTGGACCCTAATTCTCGAGATTGTGATGGACAGACGCCATTGGCATGGGCGGTCATGCAGGGATTTCCCATGAGGACATCCGGTCATGGCCAACGAAACGCGCAACTTGCACGAGAGGAGAAGCAAATCCTCGCCCTTTTGAAAGACCCGAGCGGCGCAGAACTCGAGCCTCCCACCAATAGCCATTCCAAAGACCCGGATAATCGGCGGAGGGAGGAAGCCACTGAGCGAGGCATGGCTGTATTGAACCACCTTCTGGCACGGGAGGAGGTTTTTCCAGATTCGCGAGATAACCAGGGCCACACCCCCCTGTCTTACGCTGTAAGATATCGACATGTCGAAGCTGCACGTCTGCTCCTGGCGACGGGGAAAGTAAACTTGCACAACAAAGATAGCAGCGGTCGAACACCGTCCGACTGGATTACCAAGCGCTGAGCCTGCGGCATGAGGTCGAGGGAAATACATAGTGCAAAACTCAATGCGAACCATAACACAAACCAAGGAATAGGTTGATTTCCTCACTGTGAAAGAAGGTGGCAAAAAAATAGAATACAGAGTATATACTCGAGGTAGTAGTCGCTTGGCAATACATGTAAAAGAGAAGCTTCAAAGAATATTTCTGCAAAAGAACACTGTGAACACAGCACCGCGTTGGCCTTGTCCGTAGAGCCCCAAAGAGGTTCAAGTTCGGACCGTTGAGCTCGATGTGACTCAGTTTTGTATTGGTCTGTTCGACATTGGGCTTGATAGTCTTCATCAATAGTATACGTTGGACGCAGTCTGTGCTCGATCAGGGAACCCCCGGGTGGGTTTGGTGCGGCTGGAGCCGCATCTTCGTCGCTATCATCATGATCGCTTCCAAATTGCCAGTCTTGGTTTTCGTCTGGCGGAGCCCTCATATGCAAAAGCTGGTCCGAGTCTAGTAATGGGGGCTTGTACGGTGCAGGTGGAGAGTGGATGTCACGGCCCGATGGCAAGTTGGCCAGTAGCGGAGCCGATGCTGGGATTAATTGAGTATTGATCTGCCACGAATACGGTCAATTTCTGATATAACAAGATATATAGGGCACAAGAGAAGAAACTTACGGTATCGTTCATCTTCACCCATTTGGTTTCGAGCATATCAATCACATTGCCTTCTTCACCACGACCCGCATCGTCACCAGGATCCAGAGAGCCCTTCTTGTTGCGACTACCTCCTGCATCTTTCTCAATCTTTCGTTCCTCCCGGCGCTCGGTCCATTCCCGCTTAAGTCGAGAAAATCCTCCTTTGGAGGTCGTGGCACCAGTCTCGTCCCCAGCTGCAAGCGAGGACACCCCAACATTCCGCCGCCCAAGAGGCGTGTTCGCCGCTCTCAGCCACGCGATGCCTTCGCCGACCTTGCCCGCAAGCTCAGCATCTATGCCGAAAAACCGGCAAGCACGCGCGCGAGCTACACGGCCTAACGCTCCGGCATATCGAGTGATTTCTTCATCGAGGCGACCTGCTGTGCCGGCTCCTGTCCCGGCGGCGCTGAGGCCGGCAGCGGCCTGTTCAGCATACTCCGCCGCACGCACGCATAACCGGGCAAACAACAAGGCGCGAACTTTGGGAATCTCCGGCGCACGAACCATCCACTCCCGATCATTCGGGTTGCGGGCTTGGATACAAGCTGTGATGTATGCATCGTCCTTTAGAACAGCGAGCAAAGTGGCCTCAGCCAGTGCGAGAGAAGCGAGTGCCGACTGGGTGGAAGCGTTGATATCGGGAACTGTCGACGAGGTGGCTGCTGTCAAAGCCGGAGAGGACGCAAGTAGACCATGCACGGAGCTCGCTTGGAGGAGATTCTTTGTCGCGGTCTGTATGGCCACCGCTCGCTGCTCAGAAGTCGGCGTGGTGGCAGCATACAAGGACTCGACCACGCAAACCCGTGCTAGCCGGCTTAGAACATAGCCCAATGTCGTGAGCGTAAATGCGACTTCGAAGTCAATACCGCGACCTGACAGTCGACCACCCCGGGCACGACCAGGGCCAGTGGAGTGTGTTGCGACCGGCTTGATGCTGATTCCACTACTCGTAGACAGTGTGGGTTTCCACGCCGACTCGATCTCGGCGCGTAATACGATCTCAATCTCATCCCCAGATTGAGGAACCTCCGCTGCTCCGCTCGTATTCAGGACCCCCGACGCCGATCGGCCATGTAGGCCCCGTACGATTGCGAAAAGGAAAGGAATGTATTCGGTGAGTGCTGACAGGACGGTAGGCAGGTGAGCGTCCTGTCGCGAACCTGGGGGAAGTCGTTTATGTGCCTTCAGGGCCAGCCTGAGGGCATGGCGAGCGGTGGAAGCGGCTTGGGGGAGGGAGGGATGCGTGGGAGATGCGATAAAGGATTGGAAGGCGAGAGGCGAGGTGGTCGGCAGGGTAAACGCGTAGACCATGGCGATGGTGGATGGGTTTGGGGGGAGTTATAGACGCGAAGCGGAGCTGCGGGGGCGAATTTGTGGCGGCGGGGTCACTTTCTAAAGGTAGGCTTGGCGGGATGTGATGCACTGCACAAGTGTATCACTCCAGCAGCAATATCATTTTAGTGTTAGTGTATACTGTGTCTAGCCTAGGAAGTCCAAAACAAGAATGAAGCGATCGGAGAACGACATTAGATACATACTGGCATTACAGTTACCAATATCAAACTTAGATGACACCCAGTTATATTTTAGATACTTATTCCAGTGAAAGCGGAGATAAAAGCACGATGCACTATACTTTAGTTTTTCATAGTATGCCTGGGGTAATTTATCTTGAATATGTGTACTACCTCGGTACACTCAATAGTTAAGTCTGTCTTAGTTGTCTGGATCAAGCAGATGTGAAACAATGGTTCTCCCAGCAACTCAATATTGACAGTCCCGAATCCATTCCCAGGCAACAAGGCGGGGATAATCCGACCGTTTTCCTACATGCGAGGAATCTCTGCGACCAGTGGGCTGGTCCACTCAAGAGGTCGACAGCGCGCAGTCGGTCCGGACGCGTGGAGGCGGCCAACTGGAGGTTTTGCGCGGTGGTCAGCGCGCAGCCCCAGGTGTCGTCGACATTGACCATCATGCCAAGACACACGGCGGCATCGTGAAGAATGCGGACCTTGGTGAGACCACTAATGCGCGAAAGCTTGATATTGACCCCTGTAATTTCGGTTCCGTGGGCGGCTACGAGATCGGCCATGGTGAAGACACACTCTTTGAAGATTACCGGCAAGCCAGTACGATGACCCACTTCTGCACAGTCAGAAGGCTACCGGCATGGCAGTTCCAGCGGAAGCGTGATATCCTGCCCTAAAGCTCGGGCAAAGACTAGGGCCTGGTCGAGGTTCCAACTCGCGTAGGCATCAGCCCAAACCCTCGCAGATAGCTCTGACCTTCCAGGCATGCATCGAGCGGACCATCTCCGACCTTGAGTTACAAGGCCATCACTCCCTTATGTCAGTTTAGCCTTTGCCTTCTGAATGGTGGTCGGTGATTCAGTATTAGTCCTGGATTAGCATGTTGATAGCCCGAAAAGAAAAGGGGAACGTGAGTCAACAGAACCTGCTGCCCTATTTGCATCTCGATTATACCACATCAAAAGCAATGGCATTCAATGCCTGGTTGTTGGACAGGCGACCTGTAGAAATGACTATATGCGAGAAGCGAAACGCTGGTGCCTTGGATATGTAGATTGATTTTATATACGTGAGTCGATCGATTAAGCAACCTAGGAAACTTCGAATGGATCCAAGCGGGGCTGCAGCCGTAGCGAACGGTGGAAATGGCGACCAGGTCCAGGTCCAGTGATTTCTTTATCGTAGCCCCTAGATTACCAGATACCAAGACCGATGTTGATATAGAAATATTACGAAGGCTCGTTTCCCTGTTTGTCTACCCAAAAGTGCTCCGGGTGGAACGAGCTTTCATCCATATAGTCCATCAAAGGCTCACGACAAGGACTGAGCACTTCGTCCAAGAAGCGACAGCCCTCAAGGTCCATGACATCAAGCTGGCCGCAGTAGAACAGCTGCGCGCTCGGGGTATTATGTGCATAGTCTATCTGCGCCGGCAATCGCAGAATGAAATCAGAGAGCCACTTGGCAAATCGGCCATTGATATCGGAGTACTTGGGCGGATTTTGCTCCCCAAGTTGCATGTTTTCTACGCACCACTGCGTGATCTCAGGAGAATGGGCTGGGATCGATTCTGCACTGGCGCGGATAAGAGCCTCGAAGAACGCCTGATTCAGATGTGGATTGTCGCGACCCGAACGGGTCACCGTCAGAAAATGATCGGAAGGAATTGTATAGTAGGTGGCGCGGCCGTCATTATGGCTCCCGAAGCGATAGGTAAACTCGTCTATTTTAAGAAGCGAGGTCATCGCGTTTAAGTTAGAAGTGCGGATCGCATTCGTCACTCCCTGGTGCAGTGCGGTGCGGTCGACGAGGGTCTGGGAGTCTGGACGAAGCTGACTGGAGCGCGTCCAAAAGTTGTTGGAACACAGGCGCAACATTTCAAGGAAAGTGACATCGTCGGCCGTGAAGCCGCCGCTGCGCCCCCGAAGAAGACGTGGCGGGAAGGCATGGAGCTGAATGGCCGGCCACACAATACTCGTTTTCCAGGTCAGCGAGCGTAGTTCAACCAGAACATTGGGTTTGATATGGAGCTCGTAGTCGTGCGGGCCGGGGAGTTGGGCCATTCGGGCGATTTGCGGAGATTGCTGGCTGAGAAGTTCCGCAAATCGATGAAGCGGCTTCCCTTTGCCTTCGAGAACGAGCGACTTGTTGCCCTCTTGCCGCGTCATGAACCGATCCAGTGTAGCCTGCTGGTCGGGTTTCATCACCATCCCCGCGTTAATCCAATGGCGGTGGAGAGTGAGAATCATCATCTTCGGGATTTGCTCCCGGACACGCTGCATGGTGCACCATCGGCAACGGAAGACCGCTTCCTGGAGGCGAGAGCGCTCGTCGAGTGTGAGAGGCACATAGTCCAACGGCGCGAGGATCGCGGCCATGGCCTTGCTGAAAGGGTTGTCGGTCGGCGGGTCATCCCAACAGGCAAGAATGATGAGGAGGCCATAGATGTGTTCTCGGGAAATCGCTGCAGCAAGCACCGGCGACGCGCGAGGAAGGTTGAGGTTCAGCGAGTAAAGGAAGATCAGCTCGATAACCTCGACGGGCAGTACTTCCAGCATACAGAGGGCGCGCCGACGTACTGGAGGAGCCACGCTGGGCGATGCGGATGAACCTGTAAGGGGGGACCGAGATTGCGAAGGAGTATCGCGAGAGTGTTTCAATCGACGACCCGGACGGCGTTTGCTGGCTGCCGATTGTGCAGATTTTGAGATTGCATTTGGGCGGAGTGGTTGGAGACTCCGCGACTCTGTCCGGCGTGAGGAATCCTCACCTTTCCGAGGTGCCATCAGATCGCAATGAACGGCGTCTAATCAAGGCCTCACCCATTGCTCCGCGTCGGAGATCCCTGAGGCGTGGTGAAGCCGGCGTTGGGAAGCCGTTGGAGCAAGTTGTTGACGGCCAGCATCGCAAGGCCGCAAGGCCGAAAAACCGTGTTGGAGGGGGTGGATGCAAACCAAGCAAACCGAGCAAAGCCAGCAGACGCGGTACTCTCCGCTAAAGTACGGGCACCTCGGCCCAACCCTACCGCTGAAGTAGACAGTCATTAATTGAACGACGAAAAATATTATCCACTGGGGGACACGACAATCACTATTGCTTTTGCGGGAGCTGCTACTCTAGAATTGTTTGCAGTCTACTACGTAGTCTACTAGGAGTTGTGACGATTCGTACATGCATCATACAGATCTTTTCTCAGTCGGTCTTGGTACCCTCAAACTCCTTTTCATCCTATGAGGGTGTGCGTGATTTGATTCCTTTGGTCTCAAGAATCTCGAATACCTTTTAAATGACATACTGTTGATGCGTTAGTGGAAGAGACTTTTGAAACGCGAGGATGATGAAGCCAATCGCAGCTTACCGGGATGAAAAGGTATGGGACTTGTCTCTCATATTCCCTCCACGCTTCTCCATACTTATGCCGGCACTTGTTAATATCGCGCATAGCACGATGGGTGATCATAATACTGAAGAAAGCCGGATAGAACCACGGGAATGGGCTGTTGAAACCAGTGATCAAGCCCCAGGAAAGGGAGAAAAACATATCGCAGCTGTAGTGAACCTTGCGTGCCAGGCCGTACCACCCATCTGCTAGGATGGTATCGCCATTCTCGGCCACAATGGTCTTAGGACTGTGGATCTCCTGCCAGGGAAGCTGTGGGAAAGTATGACGCTTGACCCAGGTTCCACGCTCCATCATGCGGAAAACATTCTTTTGGCTGTTGGCAGTATCCCAGACCCAATAGACAAATAAGTAAGAGATAAAAAATGCGCCTAGGGCGTATTTGTTCCATGCATAAGTAGATGGTTCGTGGTTGGCGAGATAGAGGGTGCAGTGACAGTATGACATAGGAACACCCGCCATGTTCCAAAACGTCAACAAGAAGCCTAATTTCTCCTGATACATATCCCAGGTTGTGGTAATAAGATGCTCAGCTTTAGAGCAGGCATTGGCGTAGGTGTAGTGCGCCATCACGAGAAACAACACTTCTCCAGAGACGTATCCATATCGCTCGTACTGACGGGCAGCAGCAGCACAGCTCAGTCCGAAAAGAATGAACCACGGAATCCGTACTTCGTAGAACATTTTAAAGTCCAGAATGCCGAAAAGACGCGGGTTCAATTCAGCACCCATGAAAAAGTCATAAATTGGGTACCCGGTGATCCGGTGCTGCGCTCCACGGGCAAATGCAGAGACATAATTGACGATGCTCACGAGGAAGCCCGAAATGATAGAAACAGACAGCAACGGACCAAATTCGTCGAGGAATGTATAGATGGGGAACAGCCCTGTGCCATGTAAGGTAGCCATGACCATAATTGTCAAGTAGAAACTCGTATAGGCGGAACAGTAGTACTTCAACTGCTTGCCACCAAGATGTTGGAGAGGCTTGCCGTAGCAGGTGAAGCCAGGCATGAACAGATAGCATGCAGCTTCGAAGATATAGTAGAGCCAATAGATGCGCCATGCTCGAAGATGTGGAAATGCGCCCGTGTAGACCAGAGTGCCTAAGTGACGGGCAAACTGCGACCAGGACTCGTCCTTGCCGGGGAGCGGTAGCTTGCCATCATAGTACGTAGCGCCAATCCACATGTAATACATCAAGAGCGGGAAACCCGTCATCAGGGCAAGACATCCTAAAGATCCGCCGAATTCGAAATGCCCGGAGTAGTCGACTTTGGGGTCCATTCCGGGGCGCCAACCGCCAGTGATGTGCTCCTTGGCAAAGTCATTGGGCTGTCCATTGGCCTTGTCCTGAGTGTTACTCGTGTCATTAGATGTCTGACCATTCGTGCTTCCCCCATCTGTCTTTTGGGTTCGAGACCGCGCGGTAAGTTTCATGCTAGATGGCAAGTACCGCAATCCAATGGGGTGGTTTCAGAAACCAGGTATTGACTTGAATGGGCCGATGGCAAGGGAGGTCTGGGTGAGGGAGACTGAGAATAGAAAGACAAGAGAAGAGTGTGAAAGAAATCCGTCGGGTTTTCAATAAATGACCGGTCGCGCGCACAGGAGTTAACGAAGGTCAATTGGGGGCCAAGCCACAGCCCCCTGAACTTGGCGAGTGCTACACTGAGCGATTGAAGTGAGGTCGATCTGAACTCCGAGGCACCATGTTCCTTAATTTAAATTGTTTTTCTATTGACGCTGCTTGCTGATTCGTGAGAAAAGTAGGAAATCCAACTGGCAGAGGTTAGTATGTATGCAGTAATTCGGAGTCAATCGATTGACGGGTGTCGATCCGCCGATCTGACGGCTGTCAGGCACCAAGGCATCCAGGCACCGATCGCTGCCTCGTCGGCGCAACTTCTTCGTCCTCCGCGGGGCTCGCGTTTGCCTCCATGCAATGCAGCGCGCTGGAAGTCGCCTCAAACACCTTGGCTTACTCCCCTGTATTCGCGCTGTCTCAATGTCGACCACAACCAAGCCGGCCAGCAAGGCGATGCCTTCGGCATTGACCTTGCACCGCCACGCGAAATGTTCAGTACGCGATATGCAATGAATTTCCCTGTAGCCCGATCAATAGCTGACCCAGGCCGGTTCGGTTTTCCTTCTAAACAGACTACCAAAGCCCGTGCAAGCACCCTTGACCTGCCTCATGGCTCCGTTCCCCTCCCGGTCTTCATGCCTGTCGCGACGCAAGCGTCCCTCAAGGGCTTGAGCTATGATCAGCTTCGCGATACCGGCTGTATGCTCTGCTTGAACAATACATACCACCTTGGCCTAAAGCCCGGGCAGGAGGTGCTAGACGCTGTCGGTGGAGCACATAAGTTGCAAGGATGGGACCGGAATTTGTTGACAGATAGCGGAGGGTGAGAGGTAACGCAAACCCCACAATTAGGATCAGCGGGCTGACCAGGGTCGTGATGGCGATGCAGTTTTCAGATGGTATCTCTCTTGAAATTGGCCACCGTTACCGAAGAAGGTGTGCGGTTTCTCAGCCCGCATGACGGCTCACCCATGTACCATCATCCCCAGTTTCCCTGGGGCGCTTTGCACCGGATTTTGCGCTACGAGAGAAACTATTGACTGACGAAATGCCAGGCTCCTCACCCCCGAGCATTCGATCTCCCTCCAAAATTCCATCGGCTCCGATATCATTATGCAATTGGACGATGTGATTGCGACAACATCACCGGATCACGCGCGCATCAAAGAAGCCATGGATCGTTCTGTACGGTGGCTAGATCGATGCATTGATGCACACAAGCATCCCGAAAGTCAAAATCTCTTCTGCATTATCCAAGGTGGACTGGATTTGGAGCTTCGAAGGCAATGCTGCGCGGAAATGGTGGCTCGAGACACCCCCGGTATCGCTATTGGAGGGCTGTCAGGGGGCGAGGCCAAAGAAGAGTTCTGCAAAGTGTACGCTGCATCTTATATTCTTGTCCTCATCGAAAATCTGAGCTGATTGTACGACAGGGTTGATACTTGCACTGGACTTCTTCCTGAACATAAGCCTAGATATGTGATGGGCGTGGTACGCTTTTCCTTTGGAAACAGCTTTCCTTGCTTCAATATACTGACTCTTCTGTACAGGGATACCCCGAGGATATTATCGTAGCGGTGGCTCTTGGTGCCGACATGTTTGACTGTGTCTGGCCAACCCGTACAGCGGTGAGTTTCCAAGATTCACCAATCTGGACCACAAACACTACTCTAACAGTATCACTTCCTAGCGGTTTGGTAATGCTATTGTGTCTACGGGCACGCTGAATTTGCGTAATAGCATATATGCGAATGACCACACTCCCATCGAGGAGGGCTGCACATGTGCCTGTTGCCGTCCCGCTGATCAAGGCGGCCTTGGCGTTACCAAATCTTATATGCACCACGTTACGGCAAAGGAAACCGTCGGCGCTCACCTGTAAGATGGCCTTCCCATCTCTCTCTCCATGAGTAGCCGTTTTCCATTTGTCTATTTCCCCGCTAACACGTTTGGCAGCCTCACAGTTCACAATGTTCACTATATGCTGAACTTGATGGGGGCGGCCCGGCAAGCCATCATTGAAGATCAATACCCCGCTTTCATTCGCAAATTCTTCTCAGATATTTATCAAGGGGATAAGTCCCAATATCCCGAATGGGCCGTCGGGGCTTTGCGGGGTGTCGGGATGGACTTGCTCGAAGATTAGCAGTCTCTGCGCACCCAAAACTGGAACTACAACCCATCATATGCCGAACGAGGATGTGCTTTGATACCCCTGTTTCCAAGAGCTACCTAGGTAGTAGCAATGCTAGATTAAAAAGAGAGTGAAAAATAACAACGCAAGAAAAAAGGAAAACATAAAACGAATACGACTGGTTACACCTGATAGCTTCCAATGTTGGAGTGGTCATACCATGGGTGATGCAACAGATGCCCCAGCAGACATACCATCAGCACTCAATGGTCTTATATTCGATATTGGTGTGCTAATTCACTAGGTAGCTTGCATAGTGACCACTCATCTGATCATCTTCCTGGTTATCCACCCACTCACCCACGTGATCAGCGGGGTCACCTATTCTGTGCACTGCAGTGTGATAGCTCACAGCCCAGGGCATATAAATGGGCTCGGCACAGGAGTATTTATTCAGAAAGCAGAAGGTCTAAACATCTACTCATACTGCCAGGACATTCAGATTCAAGCGTTAATAGATACCTGAATGGCCAGGAAGGGGGCTTGGGGTAGGAGACAAAACAGGGGTGGTTGTAGCGATCCCCCAACATGAGAGATCTACATTTGAGATATTTTCTGGCACATAACTTCACCAGCCATTCAAGAGATCATAGCTTGGTCATTTGTTTTCCGGACAAATCAAGCCATGACTGAATTGATTGTATCAGGCCATCAATCTCCTGCTCTGTGTTTCCGGCATGCAGGCAAACCCGAACCCGTTCCTTTCCTTCGGGGATTGTGGGTGGCATAATCGCGCGGACAATATACCCGTCTTGCTGGCATGCGCTTGCCAGCTGGCGTGGTTGCGATGTTCGTAGTGAGAAGATGGGAGATGTGGGGAAATGGTCCACCTCGAACAGAACTGACGGACTTGTCCGCAGAGTGGCAAGACGGCCGTGCAGATGCCGAATCAATCGCTGGAGCTGGCCTTGTAACTGTTCAATAGGCGTAAGTAAATGATCATGCATCAACCAATTCTTCAGGGCCAGGTCAATTTACAGGTTGTGTTTCGCCGGCTGACAAAAGCTCGTAGGCTGTTCGAATCGAGGCCAGGAACGGAAAGCCAAGAGCGGTGGTGTAGATCAAGCTCCGGGCGTAGTTGATCAGGTAGTCTCTCGTTTCCGGTCCGCAAAGGACCATTGCTGGACGAAGATGTTAGTTGTTGAACACTCTTCCGCTGTCTATCCTGGGCAACGCAACATACCCCCATGGCTGGCCAGGGCCTTGCCAAATGTATGCACCCGAATAAATATGCGATCTTGGACCCCGAGTTCTTGCACGACGCCAGCTCCACGGGGTCCAAACACGCCCGTCGCGTGTGCCTCATCGACAATAAAGTATCCGTTTTGTTGGGGCAGCAGCTCGTCCACCACTTCAATGAATTCCTTGATTGGCGCCACATCGCCATCCATGCTGTAGATGGACTCTATGACCACGAAGACATTCTTGGCCCCCTGGTGCACCTTGGGGTCCTCCTTGATCTGCGCCTCCAATGCGCCCCGCAGGCCTTGCGGGGAGCTGTGTGCAAACATCACCCGCTTTCCTGCTCGCGACAACCGCATCCCCTCGTGGACACTGGCGTGAATGAGTTCATCGTAGAGAAGAAGATCCCCCGGTTGGGGGATACTCGACAACACTCCGACGTTTGCATCAAACCCCGAGTTAAACAACAGCGCTGTGGGCGCGCGGTGAAAGTCGGCCACGAAGCGTTCTAGATCTTCGGCGTAGGCAGAGTTCCCATCCAATAGTCGTGACCCGCCACTGGCAAATGGAAACCCTTCTGGGACGCTGTTGAGATGACCCAAGAAGCGAGTCCGATAGGCCGGAGACGTGGCCAGCGAGAGAAAATCATTGGACGAGAAATCCACCGTCTCTTGGGGGAGGATGGTCAACCGGCGGCGCGCAGATCTGGTTTCCCGGCGCGACAGGGCCTCCGATAACGCATCAATGAGTCTTCCGGGGGCCGCGGGCGCTGTGCCCCGGGTCTCCTTGTCTGATGCACTCATCCTCTCGAACGCGCGGTGATGTTCTCGACAGAGTTCCGTGGACGAAGTTGAATTTGACGCTGCTGGCGCTGTCGGCTACTCACGGGATGGCCCCGTGTTGGGCCTAATTCTGCTTCTGGGTGCCTGTTCCTGGCGACGCGGGCACGGCCGTCACTGATCCGCACTTTTAAATCTCTAGTTCGCGGACGAATCCGGGGCTGCAGAAGTGCCGCGGAGAATGGCAGGTCTGGGGTGCCGACGCCGTCTCAGGCCGCAGGAATAGATGGGCAAGGGGCAACTTTGGTGCCGGGGGGCTCAACCTGTTGAAGACTCCATAACACTCAGCTTGCACCCCAATGGCGGCTGGTCGTTGGGAAGTTCAACGGGAAAATCCAGCTGGACCTCGGTGAAGACGAAAGGGCGCGGTGGAGCCGCGTGGGGCAGGTGATTCGTGGGTTGACGTCGTTCCCGGAAAGCTCAAGTTGGGAAGCTGCGGACGCGAGTAGATCCTCCTTCCCTCCTTCCCTTTCTGCCTCCTCTTCCTCGGAGTTCCCTTCCTACCCGCGGGTACAATTGTACTACTACTACTACTACTATTACTACTACTACGTACTCAATTGTGGTAGTGCACGAGACACCCTGTCCTCATGTCTCCTGTAGGTGCAGGACTGTGGCGCTCGCTGCCCGCCCATCAAGTCTACGGCGCCAACACCAACGTCGGCAAGACCATCGTTTCCACGGTGCTGTGCAATGCTATTCAACGACAGAACAAACGAGCGGCATTTTTGAAGCCCGTGTCGGCCGGCGCACTGGATGATGCGGATGACCGGTATGCCATGCCACCGCGCTCTCAGACGAAAGAGAGGCAATGGCCGAGCAATTGCAATTACTAACCCGTCGCAGGCATCTGGCACGCTATGGGGCGGGAACGCTGACCAAATGCCTGCACCAATTCGATGAGCCAGTCAGCCCGCATCTGGCGGCCAAGCAAAAGACTGTAAGTAGGCCAGCACAGCGTGGAGAGCGCGAAGTGCTTGGGGTCTCAGGGCTAACACAGAGCAATAGGCTCCGCGGGATGACGATTTGCTCGCGGCCATCCACAATACGCTGTCTGACTGGGCGCGGTCGAACATCGACCTCGCCCTCGTCGAGACGGCTGGGGGCGTGCACTCGCCCGGGCCCAATGGCAACTCCCAAGCGGACCTCTATCGCCCACTCCGGCTGCCCATCGTTCTCGTGGCGGACTCACGCCTGGGAGGCATCTCGGCCTCCATCTCGGCGTATGAGTCACTGCTGCTCCGGGGATACGACGTGAATTCCGTGCTCTTGTTTCGCGATGACTACTACCAGAACCACGAATATCTGGCCAATTTCTTCCGCCAGAAAAGCATTCCGCTGGTGTCTCTGACCGCGCCACCCCCAAAGCCCCCGCAGGAAGATGTGGCCTCGCACGCCAGGGATGAAGAAGCCATGTCTACCTATTACCGGCAGGTCTCCGCGGAGTCAGAGATTCTACGCCTCCTCGAAGACATGAACACGAAGAATCAGGCCCGTCTCACCCGACTGGAGGAGATGGCCGACCGGGCCCAGGATTTGATTTGGTATCCATTCACGCAGCACCAGGGCATGAAACCCAAGGATATCACGGTCATTGACTCGGCGCACGATGATTATTTCCAAACATTTGACGCCGGGCAGACAGAACAACAAGGTGGCGCACTTCGGCCAACATTCGACGGCTCGGCATCGTGGTGGACCCAGGGGCTGGGCCATGGAAACCCGGAGCTTGCCCTCTCTGCGGCATACGCCGCCGGTCGCTATGGCCATGTCATGTTCGCTGGCGCGGTTCACGAGCCGGCCCTCTCGCTGGCCGATAGCTTGCTCAAGACAATTGGGAACCCTCGATTCACCAAAGTGTTTTACACCGACAACGGCAGCACAGGAATGGAGGTCGCAGTCAAGATGGGTCTCCGCGCAGCGTGTGACCGATATGGGTGGGATGCCAGCCAGGAGCAGATCAGCATCCTGGGGCTCAAGGGCAGCTATCATGGGGATACCATTGGCGTGATGGACTGCTCAGAGCCTTCGACCTTCAACAAAAAGGTGGAATGGTATCGGGGTCGAGGCCATTGGTTCGACTTCCCCTTGGTCAAGATGGTCGACGGATCGTGGGTGATCGAGATCCCCGGGGAGCTTCAGGCGGATTTGGGCACAGAGAAGGCCACTTTCGAGTCTTTGGGCTCCGTTTTCGATCTTGATGCCCGACTGGCAACCGAGACGAGCCAAAAGTATAAGAACTACATTCACCGCACCATCCAGGATCTGGTGGATCGCCATGACATGAAATTTGGTGCGTTGATTTTGGAGCCGGTCATTCTCGGCGCAGGTGGAATGTTGTTCTGGTATGTTTTCCCGCATCGTTTTGAACCGGTGCCACCTCTGATACTAAAACGATCGACCCAGCGACCCCCTCTTCCAGCGTTGCTTGACCGATGTCGTCCGCGAGCACCCAGAACTGTTCTCTCCCAATGCGTCCGCGCCGAAATCAGCTCCATCCTGGTCGGGCTTGCCGGTCATTTTCGACGAGGTTTTCACTGGTTTGTACCGCCTGGGCCGTCCATCGTCCGCTTCTTTTCTCGATGTACACCCTGATATCGCCGTGAACGCGAAGCTCTTGACTGGTGGTCTGATTCCGCTCTGCACGACCGTGGCAAGTCAAGAAATCTTTGAAACATTTTCGAGCCCGGAGAAGAGTGACGCTCTTCTTCACGGACACAGCTACACCGCCCATGCGGTGGGATGCACGGTGGCCGTGGACTCCCTGCGGGCGATGTCCGACATGGATGCGAATGGATCATGGGACGGATTCAAGGCCGATTGGCGATCTCACTCAGTCAAGGCCGCGAAGCCAGCCTCGCCCGAGGTCTGGAGTGTCTGGTCGCAGGATCTCCTCCGAGACCTTTCTTGTGCAGAGACTGTGGAGAGTGTCTTTGGAATTGGCACTGTGCTCAGCATTTCGCTGCGTGATGCCGAAGGTGGAGGTAGGTTTGCCCACATCAAGTTTCTAGCTGCTTTTCTAGATCCTCGCACTAACTCGATCGCAGGCTATACATCAACGGCTGCTAAGGGATTACAACAAAAACTGGCTGCTGGCGGTGACCAGTTCAATGTGCATTCGCGAGTCCTGGGCAATGTGCTGTACCTGATGTCCAGTGTCACATCAAAGCCCGAGTCTCTGCAAGAAATGGAGAGACTTCTCCGGTCTTCACTGGTTTAATGATCTACTGCGATGCGACCATGTCAATGCCTTGTTTATAAATGCACATACATCCGTCAACCCACTTGGACCGTGTGGAATTACATTTAGTGTAGTACACGGAAATGACTATAAAGATACGAGCAGCAAGTCTCTAACCACTTCAATATCGAGATTCAATGCCTCGTACTATGTATTTTGTTCACGCAGCATATGGCTACTCCGATTCCTGGCGATAGAATCCTGCGACCAGGAATGCGAGCTCCAGAGCCTGTTTCTCATTAAGTCGAGGATCACAGAACGTGGTGTAGCGTTCTCCCAGCCCATCTTCCGTCAATCCGGCTGCACCGCCTACACACTCTGTCACGGCCTCGCCGGTCAATTCGAGATGCATGCCGCCGAGGAAGGACCCCGCGGCCTGGTGAATTTCCAGTGCCTGTCGAAGCTCCTCAAGGATATCGGTGAAATGGCGCGTCTTGACTCCTGAGGGCGTAGCTTGTGTGTTTCCATGCATCGGATCGCACTGCCAGACCGGAACATGGCCTGATGCCTGTACGGCGGCAATATGGCCTGGGAGATAATTGGCAATCTTCTTGGCGCCGTAGCGGGAGATCAGGGTCACCTTGCCAATTTCTTTGGAGGGGTTCACGACGTTTAGCAATCGGACCAATTCGTCAGCCTGCATGCTAGGGCCGATTTTGATGCCAATGGGGTTGGCAATTCCCCGGAAGAACTCGACATGCGCACCATCCAATTGGCGTGTCCGGTCACCAATCCAGATGAAGTGGCCGGAGGTCGCATAGAATCCACTTGCCGAGGCCGCCGATGTCTCGGAGCTGGTCTGGGTGGGATGTCGCAGGAGTCGAGTGAGACTCTGCTCGTATTCTAATGACAGCCCCTCGTGGCTCGTGTAAATGTCGGCAGTCTCCACGCCACGGTCTTTGTCGATGCCGACGGTTTTCATGAATCTCAAGGCATCTTTCACGGCTTTCACAATCTTCGAGTACTGTTCCTTGATTGAGGGGGTAATGACATGGCCCAGACCCCAGTCGAGTGGGGAGTGAAGGTCTGCCAGACCTGAGGAAAGAGATGCACGCAGGTAATTGAGAGTTGCCGCGGAGTGAAAGTAGGCTGACACCAGGCGCGACGGGTCAGGGCGTCTAGACTCCGCATCAGCCGCGAAGCCATTGATGTTGTCACCACGGAACGAAGGCATCTCGACCCCGTTGATCACTTCAGTGGGGCTGGATCGGGGTCTGTGTGGGGTTAACAGGTGATCATGGAAGAGGCTACAAGATCAGCTGGGGGCATACTTGGCAAATTGGCCTGCGATGCGGGCAATTCGAATCACCGGCTTGTTGGCGCCTGCAGCGTACCAAGGTCAGCAGAACGACTTGATGGTCGGAAGGCATGGTGTTCGTACCCCAGATCAGGACCAAACTCATTTGAAGCAGAAGCTTGGCCTTGGCCTCGATCATATCTTGGTTACAGTAATCGAATAGTTCTGCGCAGTCACCTGTTCCCGCCACAGATTAGAATGGCTCTCCAGCTTGATCGTGGTGGGGCGAACACACCTCCCTGGAGAACGAAGGCCCTGCCGAGAGCCACCTCTCGCAGGCTGTTTTTGAGGTTGGTTATCTGGGTTTTTATTAGTCAATCGATCCTGGAAAAGGACGATCGAGGGGTAATATACTTCTTTAGTCGTGACCAGCGGTGGAAGCTTCTCCAGTTTTTCCAATGCATCTTTCAAACCTTGCGCATCTTCATACACCACATCCTGCTTGATGGGTTTTGTAGCCCACGCTAGAGAGCGCGCAAGAATCGGTCAGAGGTTAGACAAACTCATTGGATCAGTTTGTTCATCAACGTCGAAAGGGCGCCGGAGAGAACACGTACAGTTCGGGCTCCAATCCGCCATTGTGTGGGGCCAGAAACGATGATCAAACAATGAGTAGCTCTGGTAGAGTGGGGAGAGAAAGCCTGGTCTTGTCAGGATCGATTGAGTAAATACAGAGGAGAACCACCAGCAAGGAAAAGAGTCCAGCTTGTTTTTGAATCGCACTAGGAACAAAGCGATGCTCGAAACTTTCAGCACAAAAAAAGCGCGCTTATTCACGGGACCCTGGGTGAGTCATGTTGACACCTGAGGCTGCATACTGACATTCAGGCATTCAGGCAGCAACGAACTGTCGATAATCTTGAATGGACATCGTGGATTCGAGGAGAACGTCAGGTACGACAAGCTGCCGTTGGTGGAGGAAATATTTACATGATCGGTATGAAATCAGTTGCACGTATGTAGGAATTTTGTAGCTGCCAGAGCCAGATCAAGGGTTACTGGAACTGACATCCAGGTCCAGCACAGTATATTTTCCTTTGGAGTTCATTCCACGCTGAATTTTGACTATGGCGGCGTCAAATCGCAGGCCATGAAGATGGTATCGTGCAGCGGTGTCTCATAGTACGGCTCTGTTTCGATGAAACCGTATTTGCGATAGAGTCGCTGTGCAGCCAGCATCTCGGGCAGAGTATCCAAGCGCATGCCGCGATACCCCAGAGATTTAGCTTGTGCCACGATCGCCTCGACGAGCCGGTCCCCGAGATTGAGACCGCGTGCTTCCGGCACGACGTACAGACGCTTTATTTCACACCAATGATCAGAACTGCGGCGGAGTGCGACGCAACCAATTGCGGAAGATGGAGGAAGCCACACAGAGCCTTGCGCATCGCTCCTCCGGGGCTCGGTCGTTCTCGCGATAAGCAAGGCGCCTCCCTGCGCCTCAGCATATTTTCCGGGGATTGATTCGAGCTCGTCTTGGAACGATTGAAAGGTCAAGTCGATTCCGAGGGACGCAGCGTAGCCTGAAAACAACGAATGGATTGTCCCGGTATCCTCAGGGAAGGACGCTGGTTCAATCGAGACACCCATCGGCGCGGGGCGCAAGACAAATGAAAGATTCTAGGTGCTATCAGAATGATAACAAGAGACCGTTGGGGTCGAACCGCCCTGTAGGCAGGTGGGACGTTCTCGTCGGCGTGGCTGCCGGCAGCCGACGCCGAGGTGGAGCTCCCGGCGCTGGTCCATTTGACCTACTACATGGTCCTATACTTGAGGGTATAGTACAGATATCCAGGCGGACGACACAAATGACCAGTCAAATGTATTTATCGACATCTCACAGCAACTGAATCCCCTCAATATCTACATCCCCTCCAGTCCATGGCGTTGGGCCCAATCTTCTGCCGTTTCGGCGGGCATCCCACACTGCCTATTCCACGTCCTGGGCAAATCCCATGCCACGCCGCGTCCCTGACCGAAGACGGCTTGATATTTCAGCAGACTGTTGTGCGGGTCTTGTGCCAGCGCGGCCTGCATCGCTTTCGCGGTCAGGACATTCCGAGCGATCGGCCTTCCGATCAGACGTTCAACCAACTGTGCCAATCCTTCGTAGCTGATGGTATCGCCACCAACAAAGATGGGACGGTTTTGGAACAGATCCTCCTTTCCTAGCACGATCTCCGCGGTGAACTTCCCGATATCCTCGGGGGTCGTGACTGTGACACGGTTCGCCAGGCTTCCGAGCGCATTTACCCGCTGGTTCTTCAAGTCGACGACTCCAAACGAAGGTTCGAAGAGGAAGCTCGTGAACATGCCCGTCGACACGATGGCCCATTTAGTGTGGCTTTGTGATCGAAGAAGATCACGCACATCAAGCTGCTCGTCGAAGATATCTTGGGGAGAACCTCGCCCGATCGCGTCGTAATCCACACCGAATTGCCACGGAATGAATCGAGATACCTGTGCCAAAAGAGCAGCCCGGGCAATTTTTGCTTGTACTCCAGTGCCTGACACAAAACCAGTGCATCCGATCACTGTGTCATAGCCGGCAAAGATTGCGGACAGCTTTTGCTCGGAGTCTTCGACAATATCGCCCTGGACAAAGTGGACTCCGATTTCCTGCAAAATGGCATTTTGTTGTTGCTTCGACGGGTTAAGGTGATCGATCCGACCAGGGCGCAGCAGCACTCCGACAGATGCAGGCTGGTGAGGATGCGAGACCAGGGCGTGCAGCACTTGGAAGCCCAGTTCCCCCGCGCCAATCACGAGAATCTTCGAAGACGCCATATTGCTGGCCGCAACATTATCGTTCGGCAACACACATTCTTATCTTTCCATTGCGCACGATTCAGATAGTTCTCCTAACTCCGTGCTTTGTAATGCATCCCGCCGTGGAGGCCGGTCCGTCCTCGTTGTCGCCCCTTAACTCCGTTCTTGGCAGTGCCCTAGGTACATGCAGAAATGAAACTAAGTCAGGAGTCCAGCCACAGTCGGGAATATCTTCTCAGTACAATCCGACTTTACTATGTTGTTCGGATGGGGGCGAACGAGGATGTATATTTTTGAGGTGCGGAGTGCACCAGTGTGATCTATACCAACGGGGATGGTGACAGCACCGGCGTGCGGGGGGAGATGAAGGTGGACGCTTCCCTTCAGGCGCCCATTTAAAAAATCATCGCCTCATCTGCCCGAATCTCACACTACAGAGCTACGCACGATGCCCTCAGGGGAGACGGGCAGAAATGCTCACTCGGGCGAGTCTTTCGACAAGTCAACAAAGCAGAGACCTTAGTACTTACTCATCGAGAACATCGGCAAACAGAATACAGCGTCTGCTCATCATGGTGACCAGAGTACGGCATCGAGACAGACCGGGTCTCAATCTTCGGTGCAGAGCCTCTCGGGTCCAATCCAACCGAAGAACAACTGCAAGGAGTTCTCGCAGAGCTCGGAAGCTTGACGGCCGAGATGATCTTCGTGTTTGTCTGCTCGGCCAGTCTATTGCTCTTCTCTTTTCTGCCGTGAGATATCACGGTCAACCAGGAAGAGTTCAAGCGAGTCCTGGGGATACAGAACAGTGAGCTTCCTTGGCTGCTCGGTGCGTATACCACTCCACTAATCTTATCTGTGGTAATCTCTGGCTCGCTGAGTGACTTGGATGCCACCCGAGGATGTTAATGGTCGGGGCATTTGCCTGGCTGACCATCTGGAGTGTCGTGGGCGTTTTCGCTATCCATCCGGGAAGAATTATTTTGTTCTACATCGTGCGTTCGATACAAGGGCTGGCGATTGGGCTGTTGGTCTCTGGGTCGTGTCTATAAGCCTGGGCTCCGGAAAAACAAAGTCTTCTCCGTTATGGCTACGACGGCACCCTTTGGCTTCTGGCTCGGCGCGATCCAGGGTGGTGCCCTGAAGAGCCACCTCTCCTGAATATTCGGCTCTAATACATTGCTTTCTGGTCTATGTCTCGGAGTAGGCTATCTCGCCGTCCCTCGAATACAGCCCGTAGCCGATATCGCCGGTGGTACAGCACCCTCCATCCGAGATTTTGACTTCCCTGGAGCCGGGTGCACGATGCCTGGTTCTGTCTGCGTGCGTTTTGGTCCGACTCAAGGATCAGTAGAGACATGGCGTCCATATACCTATACACCAGTAGTGCTAGGAGTCATCTTCCTGATTGTGTTCTTTCTTGTTGAGCGCCAAGTTCAGCGGGCGTTGATCCCAAGTATTTTATGGAAGACCCGGGGCTTTAAACCCATTATGGTGGCTCATTCCTTGAGCTTCGGTGCCTTCGTTGGAGCCTGGCAATTCTATGCCGTGCAATTCTGGCTTCGAATTCAACAGAAAGCCCCGATCACGATAGAAATAGACCTCTTACAAATTGCCATACTCGGGATACTTGCAACATGGGTTGTAAGCAAGACATTTCATGTGGTCCCGGGGAATTTCCTCTACCTCGCCGCCATGTTTGCTTTTGCCATGGGGCCTGCCTTTTTCCTGCCACAGACCGTCGATAGCCTGTATTGGGCTCTCTCATTACCCGGGGTGGCTTTAGGGACGTTTGGCTCCGATCTGTCGTTCGCCGCTGTATCCATCTATATCACGAGCAGCGTGCCCCGATCTTATCAGGGCAGTGCGGGCAGTCTCCTGGTCCCTGTGCAGAATCTCAGTTCCGCGGTGATGACCTCTGTCGCGGACACGATCGGAACCAAGGTGGACCAGGGGCCGTCGAGAGATATTGGGCTGACGGGGCTGCGGGCCATTGGGTGGCTTTGGTCTCGCGGCGGAGATGGTTGCGGGGCTCGTCACCGTCATCTGGATGCGGATCCCAAAGAGGAGGAAAAGGAACAAGTCACGTGGTATGTACATGTACTATCTGTGCTGTACTTAGTTGGGTAGTGGGACAAAAACAGGGCATGCCTGCACCTGCCTGTGGGTGAGCTGATTCATGGTCTTGGATAATTGTATCACAATTGCATCAGTTGTTTTGTGGTTCTGTTTGTTGTGTTTGCTACGTTTGTTGTGTTTGCCGGGTATCAACTGTCCCTTTCTGCCGGGCGGTAGTCCTGATAGAGCTTCTGCCTCAGGCCACCAGGCCAACCAGTCGGCAGCGCCATCGGCAGAATGGGCCAATTCCTCTCCGACGACGCCAAATTTCTCGCAGGATGCCGACACCATCAATTGCGGGCAACTGACAGCCGGAGCACGCTGCAGAGATTTCACGCATTCCCCGCAGGCAGGTTCGGTGTTGACCTGCCTGTGACTAACCTGTTCTCGGACAACGGGGGAGGCGAGATCTGACGCAAGCAGGGAAAGCCAGGCCCGAGCAGCAATGAGCGGCCAGACCAGGACAAGCTCGGGCCCCAATTGCCCCCGAATTTCGCCCCCGATGTTCCAGAAGAGCGCAAGTGTCCCACCTGCCCCCAGGGCGAGAAGTGCCCCGGCTCCACACGCCGCCGGATTGGCGCCCACCGCGTGATGTAATGCAGCCTCCAGCATTTTCCGGCGATCTTCAAAACTGGCGGTGACCCTGTCGGCTTCGGACAGTTTTCTTTTCTCCTCTCCTCCTGATCCTTTCTTCTCTCACGTCCTGGTCATCCATACAATTGATCATGGCACCTCTCAAGCTCAGCAACCACAACCTCGCACAGATTGCGACTGCGGGCGCGTCTCAGGTCAAGGTTCCGAACTACGCGCGCGGTGGCGCTGTGAAGGAGGGAATCGTTCACATCGGTGTCGGTGGCTTCCACCGTGCCCATTTGGCGGTCTATGTCGACCAGTTGATGCAAAACCATGGGGTAACCGACTACGCCATCTGCGGCGTGGGTCTGCAGCCCTTCGACGTCGCAATGCGGGATGCTCTCGACTCGCAGGATGGGCTCTACACCGTCATCGAGCGCTCGGCCAAGGGAAGCTTTGCCAACGTCATCGGCAGCATCAATTCCTATCTTTTCGCCCCGGATGACCGCGAGGCCGTCATTGCCAAGATGGCGCACCCGGACACCCATATTGTGTCTCTCACCATCACTGAGAGCGGCTACTTCTACAACGAGAATACCCACGAGCTTCAGAGCGAGCACCCCGATATTCAACACGACCTCGACCCGGCCAACGAGAACAACCCCCACACCACCTTCGGATTTCTCTATGCTGCCCTCGCCCGCCGTAAGCAGCAAGGTCTCAAAGCCTTCACCGTGATGTCGTGCGATAATATGCAGAAGAACGGCGCCATCACTCGCCACATGTTGCAGTCATTTGCCCGGCTGCGCGACCCTGAGTTCGCGGACTGGATTGCAAAGGAAGCCCACTTCCCGAACGCTATGGTTGATCGTATCACTCCGCAGACCGCACCGAATGATAAGGTCACCCTTGCACAGGACTTCGGTATTGAGGACTCATGGCCGGTGGTCACCGAGCCTTTCATGCAGTGGGTCATCGAGGATCACTTCTCAGATGGTCGCCCTCCATTTGAAAAGGTCGGTGTCCAGGTGGTGACCAATGTCCACGACGTCGAGCAATTCGAAAAGCATAAACTCCGCTTGCTCAACGGAAGTCACTCCGCGATCGGCTACCCAGGCCAGCTGGCAGGCTTTAAATACGTCCATGAGGTGATGGAGCACCCAGTCTTCAGCAAGTTTGTCTGGCAGATGATGCAAGAAGAGGCTAAGCCCAACTTGCCTGAAATTCCCGGCGTCAACATTGATGAGTACTGTAAAACTCTCGTCGAGCGCTTTGCCAACCCCACAATAATGGACCAGCTGCCACGTGTCTGTCTGAATGCCTCAGGAAAGGTCCCGCAATTTATTATGCCCTCGATCGCCGAGGCGATCTGGGTCACGGGCCCCTTCCGCCGCCTGTGCTTCGTTGCCGCTGCTTGGTTCCATTATATCAAGGGTGTCGACGACAACGGAAATACCTTCCATGTCGAGGACCCAATGGTTGATGAGCTCAAGGCCAAGGCACATGCCGGAGGTACCAACCCAGCTGAGCTCCTCAGCATTAAGAACTTGTTCGGTGACGATTTGCGCGGCGATAAGCGTTTCATCCAGGAGATGACCATTGCGATGGAGGATATCGCCCGGGACGGCATTTTGAAGACTCTACCCAAGTACGTGGATTAATCATTTCGCTCTAGGGCGATGAACATGATTCAAAAAGTACCATGCGTTTGCGAGCGATCTTGACGTCTTTTTCCTGTTTGTTTCTGATGTGTGTTACGAGGTTGTGATGTCACGAAGGAATCATGGCATATGTATAGATGATGATAGACGAAATCCCCTAATTCTCACTTCGTCAGCTTCCCCCATCATTCCAACTCTTTAGTGTAATCATATCAAACTGGGTGTATGCCTGCGGAGGGTGCTACACTATAACTACCGATTACCGACTGGTATTGTAGTTAAGAGATCAACATTGTTGAATCTAAATATCCCGAATAGAAAATTGACTTACGTGCAAGTTGGCAATACTTGCTTCAGATCCGTCATTCAATTGGATGAACATGGGGGTGTCACAAGATCGGACCCATCACGACACTTTATGTGGTCCATTGCAACGAATGGGACTTGTTCTTAAGGAGAGAAGCATGTTTCTCTTGCCTACTGAGGACCAGGTCATTGTGAACTAAGCATCAAACCTCTGCCAGTAACAACAACAACAACCAGGCACTGAAAGATCCATGGGCCTCTCGGCTACGCGGTTGCACCCGCCAAATACAACGATAGGACATTATAGAACAATCCAGCATCATTCCCACAAGCTGGCTGGGCAGCTTATCCATGGCTGCCATCATAGGAGAATCCGGATTAACTTTTACTTTCTGGGTGCATCACATCCACTGGGGTTGACTTCGACAAAGGGTGGACTCGGAGAGCGGAACCATCACATGATAAAACTGTCCGCTGAACCGCAATGAAGTCATTTGCTAAGTAAACCAAGATTCTCGAAAAAGCGCATCTTAGCCTTCCAAAATGGTAACCAATGTCTTGCTCATATTTTCCAGGACAAATGATTCGACAGGGACATGTATAGGCTGAACACCTGATCAATTGTAAAAAGTTTCCAAAGTGTATAATCTGGTATTCAAATCATACTAGCTCTGTAAATCCCGTGCTTCCTTTCCAGCCAAACCTCAGAGAAGCATTTAATTATTTACACTTGCCAGTTGGCTGGTTGGGTTGTTGCTAATGGCAAACTGTTAGCTGCTGTTTTTGAAAAATTAGGAGAAACCCTAGGAGAAAGCATACCTCGCAAATGCCAGATTTGCAGTTACCCATGCTACCGTCCTTCTTGCAGGGCTGTCCGGGAGCGATCTGTGTATTTGTTAATACATAAGTATGAAACATAGGAGCATGGGTCTTCACGCACCGGGCCACCTGCCATGCTCAGGCCAGCCAGGGCAAGGACAGTGAAGAGGATGAAACGCATGATGGAGACGGTCTAGGAATGAAAGGTTTTGAAGACAATGAAGAGAAACGAATGAACGAAGCGAGAGAACTTATATGCTTCCATACCTCGGTTCGATATGATCTTCAGGGGTGCTTGCGTGTAGTTCACAAAACGTCACTTGATCGATCGACTTGCCCCCTGCCTTATTGAGTAAAGTGCTGCTATGATCCGCCCATCCGAGGAAAACTAGTACATGAACCAGGCAGACACAATATTACTGTCATCATGGTGGGAACCTGGATAATAGAAATCATCTGCTCTGCCCCTTACGAGAGGACTAAATAGTGCACTCGTGCAGTGCAGTTGTGCCGCTGTTGGGAAGGTTGCGCCGAAGCGCATCAACCAAGGAATCAAAATTTGATATGTGGGAGTCATTGCTGTAGGTCTCATTCTTGGGTTATCTAAAGGCCAAGCCAAAAACGCGTCTTGCAAACGTTGAATTCCCCCCGAAGCTGCTCTGGACCCGTACCAGTCACCATGACCTCGTAACGGCCCTTTTCTGAAATCCACTGCCCCCGCTGCTCATCCCACCAGCTGGTGGCGATCTTCTTCTCGACCGAAAGTTCTACCGATTTCGTCTCCCCTGGCTGCAAGAAGACCTTCTGGAACGCCTTTAGTTCACGGACAGGACGGTTGACATCTGTCGACGGGGGAACAACCCAGAGCTGAATGATCTCCGCGCCGGCGCTGGAACCGGTATTGGTGACCGCGACTGTCGCGGTAATCGGCTCGCCCGATTCCGTATATTGAGGCTGCTCAGGCGCCGTGCTGATCCGCAGATCCGATCGTGAGAAGCTGGTGTATGACAGGCCATAGCCGAACGGAAAGGCGGGAGCCACCGCACTCTTCTCAAAATACCGGTAACCCACATAGATGTCCTCGCCGTATAGAACACGGCCGCGTTCTGAGCGGAAGTTGATGTAGGAAGGGTTGTCTTGCAAGCGACGAGGGAATGTGACTGGTAGCTTGGCGGATGGATTGACATCGCCGTAGAGGATGTCTGCGATGCCGTTGCCGCACTCATTTCCACCGAACCAGGCCTGCACGAGAGCGCGTGCCTCCTTGACCCACGGCATCGTTACTGGTGTGCCAGACTGGATGACGACCACCGCATTGGGATTGGCCGCCAGGACGCGACTGATCATCTCATCACTGCCTGGTGGTAAATCCATGTGGTCACGGTCGTACCCCTCGGTCTCCCATTCGCTGGTGAGACCAGCGAAAATGACCACCTGCTCGGCCTTTGCGGCCTGCTCGACAGCGGTGGAGATGAGCTCTTCCTCGCTGACACGGCGACTGGCGCCAAAACGGAACCCACCGGGTCCAAAGGCGACAATTCCTCGCGTGTCGAGGTCGGAGGTGGGCGCAGTGCCGAACTCGAAGACAATCTTATAGGTTTGACCGGCCTTGAGCTCCTTCACACCGCGTTCTTCGATGGTACCCGTGCCAAAGAAGGCCGAGCCCTGCTTCTGGTTCTTGGTGTTGTCCACCACCACCTCGCCGTCTAAATACAGTCGTCCCGTGCCGACCACGGTGACGCCAAAGTCGTAGAGCCCGTCATCCTCGGGAGTGAAGAAGCCTTCCATATCGACGTAATAGGTCATGGACTTGATCTTGGGATTGACATAATCCATGAGGAACCCGCTGGAGGCAATAAGGTGGAGCTCGTCAACGACCGTCCGCTCGTTGCCTGCACTTTGGGGCTCGTTGTATACCTTAAATGTGAAGCCGGTCTTGCCGTCGGCCGTCTTGAGGAGTGGGCCCAGCAAAGGCAGTTCCTTATGGGAGTAGATACCTTGAGCGAATTTAACTTCCTTGGAGCTCTTTGCTGCTACTCCCTCAAAAGGAGTCACTGTATAATACGGAGCCAACGAAGCCGAACCCCCACCGCAGTACGAGGCAATCCGGGCGTTGGGGCCAATGACGAGCACCGATCTGTCCTTCTTCAACGGAAGGACATCTCCTTCGTTTTTCAAAAGGACGACCGACTCCGCCGCTGCACGGCGCAGCAAAGCCTGGTCTTCGGGCCGGTTAAGAGCCTTCTCGGGGGCCCCCTCTGGGATTCCAAGCGGCTCGACCCAGTTCACCAGGTTCAGGATATTCCGCACTCGCTCGTCCAGTTTGAATTGGGCGACCTTGTTGGAGGAGACGGCATGCGCGAGGGCCTCCCCTCTCCAGCGCGTTTTTCCCGGCATCTCAATATCGAGGCCTGCATTGATGGCGTCGGATGTACTGTATGTACCAAACCTAGAGTAGTGTTAGAGCCAGTGTCTATCGACACGCGCGGGGGTCACCTACCAATCGCTCATGACCATGCCATCCCATCCCCACTCTTTCCGGAGGATATCTTCGAGAATGGCCTTATTCTCGCTCACATGAGTCCCATTCACCTTGTTGTAGGCGGTCATGATACATGCCGAGCGGCAAATGCGCATGGCGACTTGGAAGGGCAGCAGATAGATCTCGCGCAGAGCTCGCTCCGTCACGATGCTGCTCACGGCCATTCGCTCATGCTCTTGGTCATTGCAGACAAAGTGCTTTAATGTCGCGGCGACGCCTTGGTCCTGCATCCCTTTGCAGAAATGACCCGCCAGAGTGCCGGAGAGCACCCCGTCCTCGGAGAAAGACTCGAAGCCACGTCCACCCAGCGGGGACCGCTGGATATTGATCGTGGGCCCGAGGACGATGTGGGTGCCCTTGGCGATGGCCTCTTCACCCATCAATTTGCCGACCTGCGACAGTAGCTCTGCATCCCAGGTTGCACCCAGCGCCGTGGCACATGGAAAGCAAGCGGCGGGGATGCCATTGAAGAAGCGAGTGCCGCGGACGCCGTTTGGGCCATCCGACATGCGCAGCGCAGGGATTCCCAAGCGCGGAATGGGCACGGTGTGCCAAAAATCACGGCCTGGCGCAGACGGTCAGCGTCGATCTGCACAGGGTTGGAGGTAGTCATTGGGACGGCCGAGCATACCGCCGATGGAGATGGACCGGACGGAGCGCAGGGAGAAATCAGGGACATGGGTAGTACCTACCTGCAGTAAGGGCGACCTTTTCCCCGAGGGTCAGCTCCTCGATGGCCTGGCCTATATCGATTCGGCCCATGGTGGATGAGAGTTGGTGGTGTTGGGAGGGAAGTCGGAGTCGGTCGCTGTTTGCTGCACCGATGCGGTGGAGCTAGGAAGCACGATCGTCTGGACGTGGCGCCAATCTTGCTATCATGGGCCACTTATCCTTTCTTGAGACAGCCCAGCGACTCGCGAGTCGCGTGTGAAGAGTAATCAAAGATAATAAAGACGTGAGGATTATTCCAATGCGACGGGCAATGCGCTCGTTACTCTCGTGTGCGCTGCTGCTGGGCTACCGGAGATATTTAATTGTTTCCCGCCGGGGCGCGTGCAACTCCCCGCTTGGATGCTGCACGGCGTGGCATCTCGCGCCGCGATCAGTCGAGGCGAGATCCGGCCGTCGCTGCGGGGATGGCACGTCGTCGTCTCTCGATGAGGCACGGAGAAGCGCCCGAGGTTTAGCCGGCGGTGCCGCCACGGCAGTTCGGACCGCTCGTCCGCCTGCGACCAACTGTGGGCTATGAGAGGGCGTAAGACGAAGGTACGAGTGCTGGACCGGTTGCCAACGGGCCAGGTGGTCCACTGACAGGAGACCAATGCAAGAGGCGGTACACGCTGACTACAAATGGGGAAGTGTACATGGTACCCTATCCTCAGATGGATTTCTCAAGGCCTTCCAAGGTTGGTGTCACGTGGCAGGAAATAGCTACAAGATCGCACTGTCTAGTACACTAGTTAGAGAATAGCCCGAGGCTGAATCTCAATATATTTTATGATGCCATTAACCGCACAATCAATACATAATCGTGGGAAGAGAGTAGTCTAGTGTTGGATCACAGATCTACCGAAGTTAGCCCGGGATGGCCGGGCACACTAAGTGTTGCTCCTTCCGCGGCACCGACGATCGATCTACGACCGCACGACGTGGGTACCTACAGCTGTATGGTATTTGATCCTGGATGGATTACACTTCTAATGAATTTCTCAACTCACCAAGCTTTTTGAGCTGCTTCTGCCCGGGCCCATCCCTAATGCAAATGCATGAAGATCACTGTGGATGGTTTTGATTTTAGATATACTGTATATTTTGTTGAGATTGGATACGATGAAGCACTGAATATTGAATAAGGGCCTGCTAGACAAATCGACCTTGATGGATTAGAACTTGACTGTATCATGTTAAACTGTCTACATACATTCTGGGAGTATTTATCCCTGAACGGGCGGCAAGCCCCTGACAGTAGTAAACCCCTATTATCGGTCTCAATCGGAATTCTTCCATGAAGATCCCCTGAATTTAGAATATAATGTCGCACAAGAGCGTTTGAAGCGCATATCAAGCTCAGTCCCCGGGTTTCCCTGAACAGGCATGCCGACAGAGGTTGGGAATGAGGCATCAATTCGGTGCCTTATCCTGGAACCTCAACATTTTGTCATTGGAAGATTTAATTCGCAACCTATTCTTTGTGGAGTATAGTGGAACAGCTGACCAGAAATAATCATAAAAACACGTGGCAGTTGGCTATGGGCAAAATATATATCCATTCATATGTTATTACGTATCAAGACATGAGATGTGAACAGCTTCCAAGATACATCAGGGAGCTGGTTATTAATGTAATCGCACCATGCGACCTGGCAAAGACCCTACTCCGCATCAAGCGGGCAGATGGGTGGCTGGTCATTCACCTGAATCCCTCCGCGCTTCTTTTCCAAGCTGTCGTGGTAGGGAAGGCGCCATCCGCCCTCCGACTCGGGGGCGGAGAGCCAGAGTCGCATCAGGTGTCGGCGCCGGGCAGGTTGTCCATCCTCATCCACCGCACCCGGTGGGTGGTCGGTGTAGGCCGTGCGGGCGTGGAACACATGCGAGTTGCTCACGAACTGGATGTCGCCGGGGGCCAGAATCATGTGCAGCGACAGTTCCGCACAGGTCTTCTCGAAGATTTCCATGGCGTATTTCTGTTTGTCGGAGAGAGGCGGAATCACGGCATTCGGGCCCGAGTTGAATCGCGACAACGAAGTCACATTCATGGGGTCAAACCGGGCATAGACCCGGGGGTTGTCGCCAGCGCGGTCATTCTCGAGATAGAAAATGCTGCCTCGGATCCATTGCTCCTCGCCTTCGGACAGCTCGCCCTTGCGGTCAAAGTACCACGTCGGCTCACAGAGGGTTTGGACCACATCGGGGTGTCTCTCCTGGAGAACATTGAATACATGGTGGGTGGAGGAAATGTCCGACTCGCCACCCGAGAGGGATTTGGCAATGCAGAGAAGGCCGACAATATCTGAGCCATCCGTGTGGAAGTATTGACTACAGACGGAGTCAGCATGGAAAGTAGAGGAACACAGGGAACAGTCGGGGATTTACCGAGCATTGGTGCGGTAGATTCGAACTCGGTCTGTCTTGGTCGGGTCTTCGCCCAGATCCTTGACGTGACCGAGAACATGGCCACGACCATTTTGGCTCACAAAGTAACCCAGGTAAGTGCCGAGGCCCATATATGCCGTGGCACATTTTCGCAGATCCCACTGTCGCACCGGAATTCCTTTGAAAAGATAAAAGCCCTTGCCATCAATCAGGTCCCTTCGAAGAGCCTCCAGGCGCTTGGAGAGGTTGGGAAGAACGAAGTTGGACTACGAGGAAGTCAGTCGGTGACGTTGAGGGTTGGTAAGCGGCCTCTCTCACCTTGGAGATGCCCGTCAACGGCAAATCTTGCGCAATGAAGTTGTCCGCCGCGGTGCTAATTTCTCGAATTTCATCGGCATCGAATTGGTGTGTCCAAAGCTCCGGGTGATCTCGGTAGTCGTCCGCTTTCCAGACCGTGGGTCCTGTGTGCACTTTAGGGAAGTCGGCATACGGGCGAACTTGGGAATACACGGGTGGGTGTTGTCCCGAGGTCTTGAATCCATCGGGGAATTTGGTCAGGTCAATTGGTTTCGTCGGCGGGACCGACGAGGTCACTGTTTCTAGAACCGTGGACGACATAATGGGTGCTCCCGACTTTGCTCATCGAGAACTATGCAAGACTCGGCACGAACAATGCGTGGGAACAAGGTCAACCAGGTGCCCTGCTTGTCCAGAGGGAGATATTTACGATCATGACCTCCACCCGATTATATATACTCCATCCCGGCTGAATGACACCCTCTACTGGTGGGACCCCGCATCGGGCTGTCGTCTCGATCGGCCATGAGCTGGTGTGCAGTCGGCGGGTGGTGCTCACGTGCCTGGTCGGCACGTCGGCAGCGCTTGGGCGATCCGGCGATAATTCCGATTTTGTCAGAATCACGCAAGATGAGGTGCTTCTCCTGGCGCGAGAAACGCGCAGAATTCTCCGTGCATTGACGCGCGCTCTACCAGAAATATCCTATCGAGCATCTTTCGATCGTTGGAGGACCGGTACGCGGGCCAGGAGGCTGCGTCCTTGGTGCGCGTAGTTTCACTAGATCCATGGTAAGTTAATCCGCGTTCGGCCAAACGACCAACGGCCGACTCCGCACAGAGTCGAAATTCCGGGGTAATGCAGGGCGCAGTCCAATCGGTGACGGGCCTTGGGTACCCACGGTTGCCCCCTCCGCAGGTGGCTGAAATGCTAAAATGCTGGGCTCCTTTCACAGGGCACGCGACTTGGCCGCAAGACTGATGCCCATCTTCCCGAGGCATCAATAATGTTTGCCTGATCAAACTGGCATCAACAAAAACTTGCTGCCTGAGGCATGATATGCTGCAACACCGCAGGAGTACTGGAGTAACTACGTACCTCTCTCGGATCCAGACGAAGCCATTGGAGCCTCATGGCTCTGCTATTGCGATTCAATTCCATTCCTTGAGATACAGCTAGATCGGCCCGTCTCCAGCCAGCTTCTCATCCCTCCAATGTCATGATGGACAGAGGATTCTGCGAAGGTTACCGAAATGGACTACCACGCTACTGCTCACCACGTTCGTTGCTCAGGAAGACAGCAAAACCCATGACGTTAACTCACAGTATTCCAATCTGTCGTTTCATTTCCTCCTTTGTGCTGGCTGTTGCTATTGATCTAGCTCCGCGGACATCGAAGGACACAATGGCTATGAATCAAAAAACCGTCATCAGGTATGTCGGCGAATCTTCTCCGGGACTATCTACAAGAGATCGCGTGGGAACAAGGCTCATCTCCTCATGAGAGCGACAAGGAGTTCCAGGAACTGGTCAATATGAACTCCGATGAACTCCGTGGCTGGTTAGAAGAAGGAGAATCGGCAGACGTCCAGGTGGGCGAGTGAGACCATCGGTCATGAAAAGGTGATTCCCTCTCTCAGGCCGGTGTCGCGATGATCGCGACGTGACGGGTCTGATGGCAACTGACACCTGCTCAAAGGCCGCAAACTTGTGGAGGTCCTCGAACACCATCCTGAGGGGCAGTCGTCCCACTACACCGACGCCGAAATCCCCCACGTGCGTCGTGTGATCTCGTATTGCAAGCGTCATCTGGCGCAGGAGGAATCGGCCAAGCGGAACCCTCACAGCCGCAGCTATCGGTCTTTGAAGAACTGGGGCCATTATGCGCTCAAGGAGTTTCCTTAATGCCGGGAATGCTGGGCAGGTTGAGACTTTCCCAGAGGCAGTCTCGTGCAGTCTCTGGGGGCTAGCAAGACACATAACACCGGATTTTGTCTGTTTTCCACTTTCTGCTTGCTCTGTACATACCCGAGTAGGCACTACTCGTAAGGAAGGTAGATTGGACCATCGGCATCCCCGTCTATCTTCGTCTCAGGGACTGGGCCTGGGAGGCGGGTTGGGAGTGGTTGCGATCACAAATCGGTGCCGTAATTCGGGTCCCCGCCGAAACTGAGCCGGCTCCATTCGCCTTATCTTTCGGGACGTCAGCCAGGCCCGTTCCCTCGTCAACTCCCCCCACGACGCCGCGCGTGCTGGCGACCAGCAGGGCAGAGGGCCACGATTGGCGGGGACTACTATCTCCAGAACCCCCACCCGGACAACCTCGGGGTCTCCGGCTTTTTTACATTTGCCGATCGGACGGAGGCGTGGGGGAAATGCGGGGAAAGCTGCTGGCCGGCCGTGGGGAGACCCTTTTCTGCTGCGTTGGCGTTGGCCTAACCCAACGTGTTGACTGGCGAAGGCGCCCGCGGGACGTGGGGGTAGCATGCCGCCGGGAGGGCTTAAATCCTGTTCCTCCCCGCATTTTGGCTCCCCAGACACAGCATCGACGATCGCCCTTCCTCAGTATGGCGAAACCACAGACGGTCCACGAGGAGGACATTCCCCACAAACTAGCCGACGAGGCGGTCGTCCGAGTCCCATTGACGGCCGAGGACAGCAAGCGCATCTGCCGAAAAACTGACAAAACCATCCTCCTGGTGCTAGTCTGGGTCTATTTCCTACAGATTCTGGACAAGACCGTGCTGGGCTATGGCGCGACGTTCGGGCTCCAGTCGGATACCGGGCTGACCGGGAACGAGTACTCGTTGATCGGCTCCATTGGCCCTATCGCCCAGCTGGCCTGGCAGCCCTTCTCCTCCTTTCTCATCGTCAAGGTGCCGCACAAGATTCTCATGCCCGTCATGTGTTTGGGATGGGGCATTGCCCAGGCGTGCATGGCCGCCAGTTACAACTTCCAGACCCTGATGGCCGCCCGCTTCTTCCTGGGCCTGTTCGAAGCCGGATGCCTGCCATTGTTTAGTGTTATTACAAGTCAGTGGTATCTGCGTGCCGAGCAACCCTTACGCATTGCCGCCTGGTACAGCACCAATGGAATGGCAACGATCATCGCCGCCGCCTTGTCGTACGGTTTGGCCCACATCAAATCCGATATCCTTCTCCCGTGGCAGATGTGAGTGTTGGAAATCCCTCGTCTCGGCAGGGCAATCGTGATTCTAACCGAAATCATGCAGCATCTTTCTCTTCGTGGGACTGTTGACGGTCGTCTCGGCCCCGGTGGTCTATTGGCGACTCGACAATGATGTCTCCACTGCACGCTTTCTCACCCAGATGGAACGATTCCAGGGGATGGAGCGGCTGCGGGCAAACCAAACGGGAACGGGCAGTACCGAGTTCAAGCTCAGTCACGTCTGGGAGACCTTCCTCGAGCCCAAGACCTATTTGTGGGTGGGCATGGCCATGCTGCTCAACATTGGCGCCAGCGTGACCAATATATTCGGCCCCTTGATTCTGGGTGGGCTCGGATACGATGACTATACAACCACGCTCTTGACGATGCCATTTGGCGCGCTGCAAGTGATCGTCATTCTACTGGCCAGTTATCTCGCCCAGACGGCGCGGGTGAAAGGTGCCGTCTTGGCGAGTTTCATGCTGCCCGTCGTGGTGGGCCTCGCTATCCTCTACGCCGTGGCCCGCACCAAATCGGAGCAAAGCGCGCTGCTGGCAGGTTACTATCTTCTCGCGTTTCTCTTTGGCGGCAATCCCCTGGTCGTGACCTGGATCATTGGCAACACAGCGGGGACCACCAAGAAGTCCATTTGCATGAGTTTGTACAACGCCGCCTCTTCCGCCGGCAATATCGTAGGCCCTCTACTCTTCAGCGCCAAGGACGCCCCAACGTACCATCCCGGCCTGCGGGCCTGTCTGGGGATCTTCAGTGCCATGGTGGCCGTAGTGCTGATCCAATGGGTGAATCTCTGTTTCCTCAATCAAATGCAGGCGCGCCGCCGCGTGGCCAATGGGAAGAGTGCCGAAATCATCGATCATTCCATGCAGAGCAACTTTCACGGTCTGGCCGACGAGAACATGGACCGCGAAACGGGCCCGGGAGTGGCGCATGCCGGATCAAATGTCGTCGCGGAGGATCTGACGGATCGAGAGAATGATGAATTTGTATATATCTATTGAATATCACACTTACGACCATCGGGTGTTTGCTTGAAGTAGCCGTCCTATCGCTCAATTTGTTACACCGAATCTCAAACAGGCTGACTGTATTTTGGGTAGAAATGAATGCCAAAGGCCTCCATCAGAGTTCGGTAACCTCCCTAATTATGGACTCTCCCCGAGCACCGATCCATTCTTATAATAGGCATCAACCCTTGGCATGAGGATCTAAATGCAACCACAGTCACCCGCCTCGATTTCTCGATCCACTCGTTTAAGATTCATTGCTCGGATGATGGGCTACCTCTCTTTCGATACGTGGCCTGAGTTCGCAGTGCCACGGCGCATTATGGCTGGAAAGCGATAAGAATCGCGTCCTGACAGCGATCTGAGTCCGCACATAGGAACATGGAAGGCGTAGAAGAAGAGACGAGAGGGTCGCCCAATTCCCATAGTTGGTATTTGGGTAGGTATTTGACGGTCGCACAGGTCCTCAACCCTTCAAATTCCTTCGCTTAATGCTTAACATCCATCACAAGGGGAATGAAGTGAAACCAATGTGCTCTCGTGCTGAGAAACTGCTATGATGCATCTCTGTCATTGTACATGAGGACGGCTAGTCATTTTTCCAACATAACAGAAACAATGCTTGAGCCACATGGCTTTGATGAGAATAGAACACGCAATTAAAGCGCCACGGGAATATTTTGGATTTGACATCCACGGTCCTGTATTTTCTAGACACCACGTCCCATTTGTCGATAATGGCAAAAGGCTTGAGATTGGTCTCGACAAATATTTCTAAACCAGACGTCGCGCGTTACTCCAAAACCTTGCCGATACTCGTCACATTTTTTCACGTCGCACCGGAGCTAATGATGGTGACTGTTGGAAGGAGTCCCCTTTCTGCACACATGGATGGCTGATGGTGACGGGACACCCGAGATGGGACTTTTTTATTCAAATGTAATTTGGCCCTCTTTTTTCCCCCTCACCCCTGCTCCGGCGAGGAATTCCAGGTGGCCAAGATACAGGTGTTCAGCTCGCGGAGCATGATGTGACATCTAAATGACCGCCCTGGCAGACTGGGGGTCAGTGGGAGCGGTGTCAGTCACACAAGGCTGACTGAGCAATCTCAGTCACTAAGACCTACCTGATGCTACCGATAGGTGGTACATAAGACAAGGCCTCATGAGCTGCAAACAAACAGAACCCGTGGGTATTCGAGCAGATACCGGGAAACCCGTCCTTCTGTGTCACTAAACTAAGGTGGAATTTTCGAGATCAGCAAATTATAAATACGACTCTCTACTCTGCGAACATCCACAAAGAACCGATCATATATTTGCAGAATGAGTCGAGGCCTTCTATTTGCTTGGCTGTGTTGGTCGCTTTGGACAGACCGGGCAGCCGCTCAATTCCAAAGCATCACGCCAGCGGAGCATAGGGAGATTACATTCACCATTCATGTTTCCGACGATGCGGCAAAGTCAAAATCGGGGTCAATTTACTTTCAGATGAACTCCACCCGCCCTATTCAATGGTTCTCGCTGGCACAGGGAATCCATATGCGAGACTCTAATATGTTCATTGTTTATACCTCGAGCAGACATGACAATATCACAGTTTCCCCGCGCCTTGGAAAAGGCCATTTTCTACCACTTTATAATCCACACGCCGACGTCTCAATATTGGATGGAAGTGGAGTCCACAACGGATCTATCACTGCGAACATCCGCTGCGACAGCTGCATCACCTGGGAAGGGGGCCGTGAAGACCTCGAAAGCCCCGCCAGCCCTTGGATATGGGCTATCAAGTATGGGAAACCGTTGAATTCCGATAGCGTTACAGCGCATCTACTTGAACACGATGATGATGGTGTTGCTTTTGTAAATATGAAGAAGGCCACGGGTTCACTCGCCATTGATGCCACTGCAAATCCTTTCAGCGACCTGGCTAATGCCAACATTACCCCAGCATGGAACAGACCACCATTTGACTCGGTGGGGCTCAACAAAAAGAAAATTGCACACGCAGTATTGATGACGGTGGTGTTTACGGCACTTTTTCCATTTTCGGCCATCATCTTATATTTATTCCCTTCGTCAGGGATTGTTACTATCCATGCAACATTGCAACTATTTAACCTGATTATTGCCATTGCTGGATTTGCTGTGGGTATCTCAATGTCTCAGCAAATTCATCTCATGCGTCACCATCATCCCATCATTGGAATCATTGTGGTCGCAGGCTTGACTATTTTCCAGCCCGCAATGGGACTGATTCAGCATCGACACTACCACAAAACAGGAGGCAAAGGGGCTTTCGCCTATCTCCATCGCTGGTTTGGGCGGGCGATGATGATTCTAGGTGTTATCAACGTTGGATTGGGATTCCAACTGACCGGGTGGCGGGATCCCTTTGCCCCCCGAGGAGCAGTTATAACTTGCAGCATTATGGCCGGAATGGTCGCTGCAGTATATATCTTGATCATAGGGCTCACAAGTGCAAGGAATAGGCGGGCTGCTTCAGGCTGATGGTTCAGTTTGTTGTGAATTCAGATGACAAAAATAAATTGTGGAAAGAGAACATAACTGTTTTAACATTATAAGCCATCTGGGACAGCCACTCACAGGCCCTGAACCATAGGACACTTGACAGCCAGATACAATATTGTTTAATGTAATGAGCATTTGCAGGCATGCATGGGCTTAAATGAACGTATTCCACAGAAAAGAACTTGGCCTTGACCTGCTGCTTGTTCCCCTCTGAAATCATCTTAGATGCAGCCCAAGGGCAGTAGTAGATGTAAGAACTACACACTTCATTCGGCACCCGTCTTTTACCCCCGCGCAAATGGGAGGCCACCAAGCCCCGGAAGCACAGGCATTTGAAGAAAATCACATACCGTAGTTTTCGAAATCAGTTATACCGCTATACTTTCTGACTACTTACCCGGAGGTGTTGGATCCCTTGTACTGATGGTATTGTCCTGTCACCCTGATACCAATTACTCATGCATTAGGGTTAGACCTGTATCTATTGTGGTGGGGAGACCCCCCTCCCCCCTACTACATCGTTGCCATCCAGACTATGTGACATAGCCGGCAGTATACGATGGCCGGATAGCTAGTTCTAGAATAAACCTTCTTACACCTCCCCGACCTGACCCCTACATTTGGGATTCTTGCTATTTCCTGACAGCTGCGCGTGTGTTTTGTCGTGGTTTTCTGCTGTATCGACCCGCACGTCTCAGCACGTGCTGCCATCGAGCGTTCCCCTTTTCAATAGGTAAATATTAGTATTTAACAAGTACACACAAACTAGGACCTTGCCAACATCGCACGACCTATACCCGACAGTGCTATTAAAAGAAAAGACGAGAGGACTGGGGTTATTAAGAACATACCAGTTGGAAAGTCCAAATTTGCAGCTAGTGCCGTTGCACAGCTTATATGATCTTTAGTATTAGGGCAACAATGCAGCAGGAGAGACAAAGCTTACTCCATATCTGTACCCGCAAGCAGCATGCTTGCTCTCTGTCTCTGCGGCTAGCGAGGCAATGACCAGCGCAGTGCTAGCCAGGAAGGCACTAACAGTGCTGAACTCCATGGTTTGACCAGTCCAAGGACCCGAGTGGCCAGTTCTCCGATCAAACGACCAGAATTCTAAAGGATGCTAAGATCCACACCGAGATCCAGCTGATCACCTACTGCGAAATTCAGGCGGTTCCGCTGTTCCCGAGGGTTATCGGTTCCAGTAAGGATGCTTGTTTTCTATGCCATGCATTCATCCATAGTCATGGCGAGATGCACACATCACGCACGTATGGGAGATTGTACCCCAGTTGGCAGCTGCCAATGCTTTTGTCGTTTAAGATGCTGGGGCACCGATTCAATGAAGTCCTTCTGAACCATGCTCGATATACGTATATTTGCTGCCGCTCAGTTGCTTTTCTTATCAATTTCAGTGCTCACTGTCTCGTTCTTTGGTTGCCCAGTCAAAAACTATTCAGTTTCTCACTTCGACTCCCCTCTTGAAACCTTGGGCCCCCAACTCCATCCTTGAACTCCCCACCAAATCCAATTCCATGAATCTCTCTTCCTCCATAAAACCTCCCTCTGCTCGGTTCACACAATGCCGTTCCGTACTGCTCCAATAACTCCTCATCCACAGTCCCCACAGCCATCTCGATCTCATCCCCGTCCTCCTCTGGACATCGCCAATACATTGTAGACCCACATACCCCACAGAACCCACGGTATCGACCTTGTGTATGTGAATATTCCGTTATGGGCAAATTCCCGGGCTTCCAAGAGGGTATGTCGGGCGCGTCATAAGCTGTCTCTCCAGGTGGCAATACTGGGGTTTGCGGCTCCTTGGCGGACGCTTTAGAGTGCCTGGTCACACCTATTTCGAGACTTGGCCAGCCGAGTTGTGGACATGTGAAGGTCAGGAAGAGTGCGAAAGGCGCCCCGGTGTGTTTACGGCAGTGAGTACAGGAGCAGGTATGCGGCTGCTATTTTGTCAGACAAAGCACTAAGAAAGAAGGTAGCGCTCAGATAGCACCACCAAAGGAGTACAGGAAATATACCCCTGGTGGCCAGGCATAGTCCTTTCCTATCTCAGCCCTGTACCTCACCGCACCACACAGACAACCGCCGGTTATATAAGAGGGTGGCGTTGGACTCATATCCACGGCTCTGCTAAATTTTTCGTCTGCGGGATTAAGAGTTGGTGTGGAGTCGGTCATCTTCACGGAACATTCACTCCAAGTCAGAAGAGAGGTAATAGAACTCAGGGATGTTTCCAACGGATAGAGATTTATTTTGGAAGTTAACACGGTTCAACACCTAACTTATAAGGCTGTGATCAGATTCACCTGATCAATTGGCTAGGACTCGAGATTCATAAAAGGGTCGGCCCCCGGGATGAGAGGAAAGGCGAACTTCTCCATTCTTATCTGTGATCTGTCATATCTACCCCGCTTTACCCCGCTTTCTTCTTCACCGTGTTTATCCTGTTTGTTTCCATCTCGGTCTATTTATACGAGAATTGTCAGGAAAATGGTGATCGGCACTGTATTGACTTGAACGGTACTGACGAACAGAGAGAGGGGTCAAATACCACTAGGACACTTCGGGAAAGGTTTATTCATCGTTCACGCAATTTCCTCCTAGGGACCCCTGAGATCGCTCAACCGATCTTAACAACCACCTTCAATCTAGCATCTTATTCTATGGGATATCTTCAGTACTAGCCAGTACATCAATTCCTCATCCTGACATTTTATCCTAGGACGTTTTCTCCTTAGCCCTGAGCTTCGGGGTCTATGCAAGCGATACAATAATAGCGAGTCGCTACTCAATGTCCATGAAAGTTTTGCTAATTTAGACCGGATTAGCACACTTATTCGAAAGGAGAGACTCCTACAATTTCCTCATGGACAGGATATCAATGCTTGTACTTTGAGATGGAAAAGGATCCTCCTTTAAAGGTATGAAAAGGTCGCGATATAATGAGAATCGATTATAAATAACCTCTTCCTTATGACTACGTTCAGCATATCTATCAAGGCCCTGACCTTATGGTTATTTGCTTCACATCTGAGAAGGCTGATCTTTTCATCCAATCCGACTCGGTAGAGATTGACATGTCTTTTAAACGATTCAAAGAAAGGACAATGCGAGAGGTTACATTTTCAAGATATATACCTGAGCAAGACCCCCGTAATTATCACCCGAATATATTAATAATTCTTTATTAATATTGTCGGGATATATCCTCCTGTCAGAACAAACTAGCGGTGACCCACTGCTAGCGCCTGATGGATAACATCCCTTGCTTGGTGTACGCATTCTTGCGCTGGGCTGCGGCCCCGGTGTTGTGACCGCCGAAGGCCGGTGTGTGGGATCTAGGGGTGTTTTCCAACTAGACTGAGGAGGAACATCTATTTACATGAATCAATTGACTTTTGCTTTGGAAGCATACACGCTGTCCACTTAACTGTGTACACAGTACCTAGCTGGTGATACCAACAATTAATATATACAGAGCTCAAAGCCTACACCGGATTGCCTCTGACAATTTACGACAAGAGTATGATAGTCTTGCTATCCAAATGCTTGGACATCAGCTCCGAGAGGAGGACTTAAAGGCACAATTACTCGAAAAGCAGCTTGCTAATCGTAAACGGCAGCAAGAATTAGATGAGATAGATAGACAGGTAAGCGTAGGTAGGTTAAAATATGCCCACTTGTATTAACTCTTACAGTTTTGGTCAAGGAATTAAGAATAATTGTAAATTTATGCTTCCTCCTCGAGACGATCAAAGTCTGCTTCCACATCCCAAAAGCGAGAAAGATACTCGCAGGTGAATGGGGCAGTACCGCATTCTATTATGTTATATTAGCAATGCATTAAGGATGGCAGGGCGGGCCTTGATGTAGCCAAGAGGCTCGGTGGTTTTCTTCATGGCGCTGACCATGGGGGAGGACCGCGAGGACCGTGGAGAAGTAACTTGACGTCAGAGGCGGGTGCGGGAAGGCGCTCCTATATTCTAATGTTAGACATCATGGTCACCTCGGTAGGAGCCAATCACATGTGTGGGAAGTTAACTTGATCATGTCGGGGGTGACGAAGCTGACATTACCAGTTCAGACCTCGGGCGGGCTGTCAGGACATAGTAGACGTTAAAGCCCTCATCCTCTTTGGTGAGCTTATCTAGCTTTTCCTGGAGCAGGATGTCCTCCGGGTTGACGTTAGCGAAGATCAGGTCGAACTTGGTGGTGTCGTTGCCGCCGTTGCAGGGGCGGTTGCGGATGATGGCCTCGATGATCTAGAGCATAGAAGTAATACCAGCACCGCCGCGATCATACCGATGTGGCGGCATATGTTGGGGGTATAGACCATGGCGCCCCTAGTTAGGCCCACGGACCTTCATAGTCTGGCCGACCTTCAGGGTGGTGATGTACTTGGAAATGTTACCCTGCGGGTAAGCCTCGACCAGCAGATCGAAGTAGTTGGCTTCATTATTAGACGAGATGGGGGTGTAGGAGCGGATAACCTCCTTAAGCTGGCCGTCAATGGTGGCCGTAAGCGAGATGTGCTGGCCGATGGGCAGACCAAGGATGTCGGTAGGACGGTTCAGGAAAAACCGGTAGATGGCGATATTGTGGGAGATGCTGTTGATCTCCTTCAGCTCGAAGTCCTGGAACTCAGTGGGTTCAGGACCTTGCGAGGCTCTGCGACATAAAGTTAGTGCCTAGAGTTACAGTAATACTCGCTGGCCAGAGAAATGAAGACGAAAAACGAGCTCAAGTTTCTATTAATCACCGCCAGCGGCCCCTTCCTGACTCCTCGCCCGGCGCCTCTCTTTCTCTAAAAGTCCCAAACCGGTAATAAACACCATAGTATCAAAAACAACCCCATAATCCACATTAATCTGGAACTTGCCAGACTTCTTCCAGCTTTTCGTCCCATTATTCAAGTAAACAGCGACGAGCTCTTCAGTCTGGTCATCCTGTAGCTTAAAATTCCTTGAGCTGATTTTCGATGGCTTCTCCTCTCCAATCCCGACACTATTGGTCCGCTTCCAAATAAAAGCCCTCCGTTCACCAGAATCCAGTGTGATCTCGAACCGATAATGCGTTGTGAGTTTATGGCGCGTTAGATCCTCCCAGGCGACATTGGGATCATCCGGATTACCGAGTCCCACTTTGCAGTGTCGAGAGAAATTGATGAATTTGCAGACGGCTGTAATCGGGGCATCCTCGGTTTCGCCGGCATGGTATGTTAGGTCTGGTTTGCCGATCGTAAAGGTTGAACACCGCACATAGGCGAGGGGGCTTTTTCGGTAGTGCAGATGAAAAAATCGAGCTTTCGTCGCCGATGATAGACGTGGAAAAGGCGTGAGGATGAAGTTGTGGGTGGTGTGTCGCTGTAAATTGAGATCTCGGTGGAGCTTTGGCTGTCCGGGCGAGCAGTGTTTGCAACATCCAAGTAAGGTTGGGAGGACATTTTGATATGGTGGGGGGGGGGGAAATTCGGTGGAATGGTGTCTCCCTCTCATATAGAAGTATCACATCAAGAGTTATATGAATATAAAATATTTCAAGTTAACCAGCAAAGTGAGGCTGGGTTCTCAACCTCGTGTTGGGCGGAGGCTGATCGCCAGTGGAGACATGTGCACCTCCAATCAACTTTCTGCGGATACGGTTGCACCGCCTCATAAGAGCCGATGTGACTTAACATCTAATTTAGTTGGTTGTGGTCTCCGAATAGCCCCGAAAGTTTATTCCTGAGAACCAAGACGAATCGAAGATTCCTGCATCGGTGCGTACAGGAAGCGTAAGCCAGCGTTCCAAATCGAAATCGGCCGCCATGCCGAGTACAAACGGATAACTCATTCATATTGAGAGCTAGGTCCGTACCAAAAAAGGCCTGATCGCTAATCAACCATGCAACAAAAATGAAACACTATAGAAAAGATAACCTATGCTCCCGCCACCGTTCCAAAATCGCCAAGGCTCACTCCCAAGCTTATTTAAGGCTTAGGCGCATACAAAGCCAAGATGTGAGCAGACACAGCGGACTCCTCTTCACGACGAGAAGCCTTGCAGTACCCCAGATACCCCAGACATGCAAGAACATTCCAATCCCCAAACACACAATGAGGACAAACTCATCCAGGGCAGATTAGCTACATAGCAACATTTCCATTGATTTAACAATGTATCAGATAAATTTTGGGCACCATATGGAGGATATCTCCTACGAGCTTCTATAATGCTAATTGTTTTCCAATCTGAGTAACTACCGTTTCCTGGTTTTCATCCATGCAAACAAAGTTCCATTTCTTGAATGCGCTGCTGCTAGACCAAGTCAGGATAACAGGGGAGCTATTGTCAGAGAATGCACGCGAGTGAGAGGTGTATACGGTCTGCCGGCGCTTTTGCGCTACTAGTGTGTCTTTCAGGCCATGGAGTTTGTACTCAGCATTGATCTAGAATGTGCGTAGCGTTCCGGTGCCGATAGTCCCATATTCAGGCGCCGATTGAAAACGAAATGAGGTGATTAGTTTGACTTTTGAAATTGACGGTATAAATAGGGCTGAAATCGCGACTGCAGCCATTGGTGATCACAGTATTCCATTTCTTCCATGAGGATTCGACATTTAGTCTGCGGATGTTGCGGTCTTGGAGAGGTTGAGAAGTCTAATGAAACCATGTTGGGTGACTTTCACTTGAGATCGTAGATATGAAGATGGGAGATGGTGCCTCCTTGGGACTTTCGAACTGAGGTGTATCTATAAGTGCCAAAGATCTTGAGTTTGCTACGACACTACTCGAATGTGCGCAATCAGTGTGGCTTGGCATTCTGAGTCACATCTCGTCGATCAACAAGCCGTAGGCGCGAAGGGACTCCGCCGACGGAAGGAAAAAGTCAAAGTTATACAGGTAACTGCTACGGTGGGAACAAAATAGGAAGCGAGAATCTGCAATAATGGTATTCTATGAAGGGGCGGTTATCCATTATTCCGTGTTCCGATTGCCTTCCAAATTTGGAACGATCTATCCAAATAGAACAAGCAAAGTGGAAGTTCTGGGGTCTCGCAAGATCGCCCACCATTCCATCAACCCCACTGTACGCCTTTAATGTGCGCATTATTTGCTCAAGTGTCGCTCCTGTGAAGTTCGGCAAATTCGCTAGCGGGAAAAGCAACTGATCGATGCCATCGACATCCAAATGCATCATACTGGCATCGACCCTACTCTCGAGATACTTTAGCACTTCCTCCGCACGCTGCTCAGGCCCCCGTGCCATGAAATTCGAGCTGACTACCTTGCAGTTGTTGTCGAAGAGGTATGTGAAGTAATCGGTGCTTGTTTCCGGGCAGTTCGGTGCCTGATTACTAGGGTTTCATCTGTCTCTATTCTTCATGCAACTCCTGTATATAGCGTCTCCATACACGAAGACGAGGTATCGAACGCACACCGAACAACCGTCTCTGTCCTTTTCTGAAATAGTATTGTCGTTCCCTCTAACCTCTGCAGAGTCCTGGAAATCGCGGCGGGGGTTGATTTCTTTCTGTTTCGACCTGTCTTCTTTGTCAGACTGCCACCGAAATTTCACCTCTTCAGATATATCTTCCTTCAGGCTTTTCACCACCTTGGGCCATTTGTAGTCCGCTAGCTGAATCAGCCTACGCTTAGCGGTAAATGTCAGCTAGTTATCAAGGCGTATCGGCGAGTATTCGAGAAGTCCAATTGAATAGTGTGTTGGCTGAATGAGAGTCATGTGTGAGATGGTTGAAACACTATAACTTTCTAGCGGCATGTTATAACACCATATGTCCGCGTTCATCCGATTTACCTTGCAAAACATATGCAGGAAAGGAGAATGCTGAATATGGTGTTTTGTTGGATCCACATTGGCATCGGATTGGATTACAATGGGCATTCCATGTTCCTCGTCTAGTCGGTATTTAATATGCTCGAAAGTTGCTGGTATACGACTGGTTGAGCAGAACGTAAGGGGTGAAACTGTCGATAAATCGAACCGAGTAGTCAGATTGTCGACAGATAGGGGCGTAGTGGGTAGAGTGAAGAAGGGAGTCATCTAGGCAAACGGAGCACGTAGTGATTTTGCCGTGGAAACAAGTAAAGAGCTTGTATTGATGAAAAGCGTGAAAGATTTTATTTTGGTCATCGGATACTACGCTTTATATCAATACGTATAATCAAGTGTTCAAAATGAAAACTCTTCAGGCCATCAGGCCATAAAACTACGATCTACGGCAATCCAGCAAACACGAGAGCTAAAATTAAAACTGAAATATTGAAACACGAGGGTTGTGCGACGATCGACCGTGTCAATTGGAAACTCGAATTTTTTTAAGCCTGACTGGAGACATTGGACCTGCTGCCTGTTAGGAACCATACGTCTAAAGGATGAAGCAAGGATAGGGTTATAGCAGTGGTTTGAGGCCTGCGAAGCCGCCAGGGTTCAAAAAAAAGTCGAATTTATCGAAGATCGCGCGGAAATATGGCGTTTCCTATACCGTGCTGCGCCGATGGTTCATCAGGAAGAACGGGCTCGCACTGCCAGAAAAGCTGAATATTAAGGCTCTCAACAAATACCAGGAGGAAGCTTTTAGGTGGTGATGAAGGAATTGAATGATTATTATAATCCAGTCACCCCTGCATAACTAGAGGATATGGCGAATCTCTCGCTCGAGCGCGCTGCTGTTGATCGCGTTGTTAGCAAAACGTGGGTGTATCGCTTCATCCAACGACTCCATAGGGGCATGCAGTTAGCACCAGTGAAGCAGAAAACAAAGGAAATTTAGTCTACTGAGGTAGAAGATGCGTGGAAGCTCGCGTTCTGGTATGAGAAGCTAAAGAAGGTGATCAAGAAGGATACACTACCACGTTTGATCTTTAACTTTGATGAAGCGGTTTTGAACCCGGAAAGGCAAGAACGGAAGGGTATAGGAGTGATAATCCTCCTGATCCCCCATAGTTTGAACTCAGAGACTATTATTGCGCTTGAGTGTATTGCTGCAGATCGTTGGCAATGGATCCTATGTTCATATTCAAAAGCATCACCTAGCAAGAAAGCTGGTTTCATGGCAGTGAGGCTCTACCACCAAAAACACTAGTCGGTGTATCCCCAAATGGCTGGATATTACATTTATTAATCCTTCATTGGATTGATCGTTTCTATAAGGCTACAAAAGGACGCGACAGCACAAAAAAGGAGAAAAAATATCTGTTAGACTGGGAGAGCATTTGCAGATTTTGCACGTCGATTTTCTAACGTTGTGGCATTGCATCCACTACAGCAACGCAATATATATAGAATTGATAAACCTCTTGGTAAGAGACTGGTTGAGGTATGTGATTTGCTGGATCAATAATATGCTACATAACCACTTGGTCTTTGTCACATAAAAGTCACTGCTTATAGAACCAGTCATTGTAGTTGTCCAAGAACGACTCATCCTTGATCTTCTCCCACACCTTTTCAATCATCATCACAATATCTTCACTTAACGGCCCACGACGAAGTCCCTGCATGGTCTGTCTCAGCTGATCAATATTGCTAGCCCCAATGACCATCGCATCCCCAAGATCACTACTCAGATTGGAGTGATATCGCATCCACCGATATGCTAGCTCTGCAGTCGGGATTCTAGCCGCAGTCGCAACCCGTGCCCAATCATCCAGCACATCCAGAAAGGCGTTCTTATTATATAGACCATGGTACACCATCCCGAACGGGGTCTTGGGGTCCCATCTGCCTTTGAGGTTACCTTTCCGCAGCTCCTCCTTCGACTTGGCCAAGAATCCGCCAGCCAGGGGGCTATAGGCATAAAATGCCAAATTATACTTGCGCAAGATGGGGAACAACTCGGTCTCCTGTTTGCGGCAGAGGGGATTGTAATTTCCCTGGTAGACGGTTGGTAAGACAAATTGCTTTTGCTTTGCAAGCTGAATGACAGACTCCACTTCGTCTGCGCGAAAGTTGGAGAGGCCAAAATACTTGAATTTTCCAGCCTTGTATAGATCATCGATTCCTTCAAGTGTTTCTTCCAGGGGGGCTTGACGGTCCGGGGCGTGGAGATAAAAGATGTTCACCTATAATATAATTTTCACATATCAGAAAAGTTTGTACTGCTTGTCAATTTACCCTAGTCAACATGTCTATCTTACCTTGGCTGTCTGCAATTTCTTCAGACTTTTCTCCGCCCCCGCAATCACTTTCTCCTTCGTGGAGTTGCCTGGAGCGAACCCACCACAATGCTTCGTATCAATGACAAAGCAAGCAGCAGCATTGGTCTGGCCTAGGAGCTCCTCGCTCGAACCGTAGATTTGAGCCGTATCAATAGTGGTGATACACTCTTGCTTCAGCGCCTGTAACACCTCTTCGACTTCAATTGCAGTACGCTGGCCACCTTCCTCATTGAACCCGGCTGCGCCGAAAATGACGGTGAGGCTGGGGGTTGCGTTGGCCATAGTTAACTTGACAGTGATGGACAAAGGATGTGGAAACTGATATGAAGTTGGGCCTGGTTGGTTTGGAAAGTTCCATGGGGGTTATGAGCAGCAGCTATTTATACATATCACTCCTACTTGGGATCATCACGCTAAGATGAAAATGAGGCATAGGAATTGCAAACACAATGAGACCTTGATTCTACCATCCCCACAGATGGTACATCGTTGGTTGGTCACATCCAGAGCAGTGATAAAAGCGTACGACATAAGTTACCTTGGGTTAGGGTATGAGTCACGGATCGTGTATGTCAAATTGGTGATTGGCCAGTTTGGGAGCAGTCTTTCTTGTTGTGATACGAGGCGGTTGCAAGTGAGAAATAAACGGTTAAACTTGGAACACGGGAAATAATTCCTGCGCTGTTCATGCTACAGTCAACTCTCGTTTATGGCACGCCCAGAAATAACACACATCGGATTATAGCGCCGAATTTTCGTGGACGGACCCACTTTTCCCCTTTTACCATATAACCACTTATGGCACATCTCAGTTGTAGCCCACATTTTTCCCTCTATTTTTGCTTAGTCATAATAAGTCGACCAATAACAATGCAGAATTCATCGCACTTTCGGCCGAGATGCCAACCACAAGGCGAGCCAGAAGGGCATATCTGACGCTCAGAAGTAGGCTCTACGCATCTATGCATCCGAAACACAACCTACGCCTTCTTACCGAGCCTGCGTTGAGTGGTTTCGGCCCAATTTGGTCAACTTATTGATCGGGCCACTGTCTCAAAGATCCTTTCATCCAAATACCAGCATCTTGATACTGGTCCAGTAAGTCTAAAAATGCGCTCATCGACATCACATTGGCCTATATTAGACCAAGCTCTCTTTGAATGACAGCAACGACATCAGGATGCCGGCTTTCCTATAACAGGCCCACTACTTCGGCTTAAAGCTATTGAGTATTGGAGGAAATTCCTGAATATGCTGAACGTCCAGTGCCCCTTTTCTCTGATGGGTGGCTTACTCGGTTTAAACAACGTCATTCCCTCCGCTATCATACCTTCCACGGTGAATCCGCTCGCTCTCCATCCTCTTTTCTAACCGCTCTTGCTGCTCCTGGGACCTCCTTAAGAAATTAAGGAAGACCTCTAGTTCTTCTGGCCTAGAGGGACTGGATGCCTTGACAGATTCCCTGTCCTTGAAGAAGGTAGCCGCAGCGCTGTAGAATCGACCTGTGTCTGAACATCAACCCTGAGTGTAGATGTAGTGTCTGACTCTCGCTCCTCTCCTGTTGTTTATTCGTCCTGGCTCTATTCTAGTGGGGCTGTTTCTAACGAGATTTGGGCGGATTCACTCATACCATCGCCAATTTCTGGAGCAGCTCCGGGTGAGTGGCGAGAGGGTGCCTTTCCCAACTGCGATTCGCTTTGCGACTCTCTGGGAGTAGGGTGAGCTATATCCAAAGGATTCTGATCTAAAAAATCCTGATGCGCGTCAGTCTCCAGGTCCAGATCCAAACTCAGAAGATTTAATTCCATAGACTCGGGTGCATTCTCTGAATCGTTCGTCCTGCGTGAAATAAATTGGCGCGTGGGTGAATTGCACCTTCTTCCGAGGGGAGATGAGCTGCTTGGTGTATCAGTATGTCGTGCGGACCCATGGAAGCCAGATGGCCCGTCCTTTTCGACAAACAACGGCGATTGCGACATCTCTTGAGCCCTTTGTTCTGCATGCACATCCTCATTCTCCCGGGGGTTGGTGGGTTCAACCCCTTGTGTCGGTCTTAAAACACATGCTGATTTAACTACTTTGTAATTTCGGCATATTCGAGAGAGTCTATAATAAATTGACGCTTGTGCATGTGGCAACAGATGCATGCTATGGGTATGCATTTGCTTTGGTTCGCAGTACTTCGAAGCGATTGCGTTTGGATAAATTTTCCGATTCAAGAAGCATGATCCCTGAATAAAAGGTTACCACAGAACTATCCACCTACCGTACCAGCCCATGCAGCTGTACGATTTACTGTTGGGACTTGATATCTTATGGTTGTCCATCCTTGGAAGCACGAGAAAGACGCGCGTTGAAGCGGAGTAAGTATCGTGATGTGGAGATATTTTGCGGGGAACCTTGTATGGTTCTCAAACGTACCTGAGTGACTGGCCCCATTGGAGGTGCTCGCTTCAAATTCTGTACAACACTCTAGAAGGGGTGAATGCAACGGAATTCGTGACTCGAGCCCCAGGTGATGGGAAGAAAGTTTACGTCTAGACCTCAACGCCCCAACTATCTTCAAATCTAGGCAGAATCACCAAGTATCTTATCATTCAAAATGCCCGAACAAACCCTCACCGGCAAGGTAGTCATCATCAGTGGCTCGTATTCCGGGAAAGGTGAGGCTATCGTATGGGAGCATCACGCAGTGCCAACATGGTGGTGAACTACCCTTTCCCCGATCTACAGGCCGAGGCCGAGGCAGCGATTTCATCACTACAATCTCCAACATCTGCAATCGCTGTAGAAACAGACATGTCCAAAGTCTAATCTGCGCAAAAATTGGTCAATTCCGCGGTTGCTAAATGGGGTCGTCTTGATATCATCATCAACTCCGTTGCAGTGGCAGTCAACAAGCCTATCGAAGAACAGACATTGGACGACTGGGATCTTCTTGTTAGCATAAACGGCCGTGGAACATTCCTCTTAACTAAAGCTGCACTTCCCCATCTCATGAAAGGAGGTGGGCGGATCGTAAACATCGCTAGTATCTCTGCTCGGGGGCCACCGCCGAACCAGACGATATACGCCGGGGCCAAGGGGATAATTAACTCGTTCACAAAGTGCTGGTAAGCAAAGATATGGTTCTTTATCTAGTTTATCAAAAACATGTCGCTTATCGGATTATGAAGGGCGAAGTAATTGCCTCCGAAATACGGATGTACCGCAAATGCAGTATGCCCGGGTCCGACGTGGACGGAGGGATTCGCCTGCCGCAGCAGAGGAGCAAATGAAGATTCTCCAGCCGATCATCGATCAAACTCCTGCTGGGCCCCGTCTAGGACATGAGCACAGAGGTAGCCATGGTCTAGTCAAGGTCCAGCCACTCTAACGGTGGCCTTTTAGGCGGGTTTCAAGGTGGGCAGGTTGGAGAGCATACCCGCAGGGGATGCACACTAGCACCTGGTATTCTGGGAGATAGCGAAAATGCTCTCTCGCGGCCTCGGTTGTGGTGGTCACGCGAAGCGAGCGAGGCGGGTTTTTGTAGACTTTTTGGAATACCACACTGTAGAAACAATGGCAGAACAGTGCTGTGTTGCCAATCAATTAAACCGGTTGTTCATTATAGTCCCTTTCACTACACAAGCCGCCATTGTTTCACCATGTTATTGTATTGTTGACATTTCAACACTATACATCTGGTTCTTTATCCGTTATTGCTCCGTCCCCTCATTTACGATCCTACCTGACCACTATGGTCCGTTGTCACTGTCCATTCTCATAGCGTCAGATCAGCCGCAGACTCAATGGGCCTTATTTTCGGGCCTGACAGAGCCCTTGTACTCTTCACCTTTTCTGGTATCTGGTAGTAATAATCCCTTCTTAGATGGAACATTTGCTGGACATATACTGGAACCAGGAAGCTAGAGGTAAACCACATACAAATCAAAAATCCAACCTCTCGACAGTAGATACTCAGAGAAAGCCTCCTCTCATTGTAACAAAAAAAAAAAAAAAAACAAAAACAAAAACAAAAACAGTCCTCCCGTCCCTACAAACAAACCAGAAGCATGCACAAAAATCCCATTCACGATGAATTAGATCCACCTCCACCCCCCCGGCAAACCCCACCATACTACCACATCCACATCTACATCTACTGTACACCTACATCCCACCCCTCAGCACAGCAACCGCAAAAGCCGTCGCAACCCCGCGATTCCCAATCTCCTTCCCCGCCGACGGGAAAAGATACATGCACGACGCCTCCCACCCGCCATCCTCGCACTGCATCTCAGCCAGGCGTTCCCTATCCTGGAAATTCTCTATCTCCAGAAAATTGCACGTCAGGAGCCGGAGTCCAAGGCAAAACGAGTCGCCGTTTACTCCAATCCGCTCGGTAACACGGGTCCGCAAAAGGGGCTCTAGTCTCTCGTTTAAGAGTGGATCGTTGGACCTGGCAAGGAGGCGACTGAGGTAGTACAGGAACCACTCGGCGGTCGGGTAGTAGCGCGTTCCGTCGATGTACGCGCGGTGCGTGAGGATACTGTACATCCAGTCGAGGGTTTGCGGGAGCTCGTAGCCGCGGCCATAGATCTGGAATGCGACGATGACATTTAGGGCTATCACTGCGTCGACGCGGGGGCGGGATCTGTCGGTGTAGGCCTGGTTTTTGCGTGAGTTGGTTGTATCTCCTTTCTTTGGATCTAGATTCAGAGGAAGCCTATACCTGCACGAAACCATCCTCATCCACGTAGTCGAGCATCTCGTCGAGGATTGAGTGCGCGAGATCTGGGTCGTAGTTTAGTGTGCTCAGTGCAAGCGAGGTCGTGTCTAGGTCGTCGGGATACACCTTCGTGGTATATTTGGGCGTCTCTGAGAAGAAATTCCACAGACGCGGCGGGGATTTCAGATTAACCAGGCTCCTAGGCGAAGTTAGCGTGGAGCCTTTTAATGTAAACAGACGAATAATGCGTTACTTACCGGTCTTTTAACACCTCCAGAATCAGGAGCGGCGCGTAATTCTCCTCAATCACAACTCCCTCCTGCGTAACGGAAGGGAACTCCCCCGCTTGCCGTCGCAAAAACGTCATCCCCCGCTCAACCGGGTCGCCGACGAGATTAGTGAGTCTACGTGGTAGACCAACGAGGTCAGCTGTCCCGCGCATGCCAATTGATCGAGCCGAGAGGACGTTCTCCTGTCGATCATCAATGAGAAACGTACTCTGCGGCGCGGCGCGGAGAGCTCGCAGGACATGGCGGTAGAAGCGGGGACTGGGTTTGCGGACGCCCAGCATCGACGAGGTGAAGATGTGATCGAATGTAGACCAGAATTCATCGTCAAAAATCTTGCGTAGGGCCTGGTAGTCCTTCGCTGAGATGTTGGATACAAGGACGATCTCTACCCCGGGTGTTTGTTTTAGGGTTCTGAATGTGAAGAGGATCTCCTTGTCGTAGGTGGTTGTTTCGCGGAGGTTGTGGATTATGGCTGTGAGGTCACTTTCTTTGAAGCCGAACTGCTCAGCGAGCTTGTTGAAGCATTGCTTATCGTCGAGTTTGCCGACCTCGTAGTTCATCCAGGTTGAGGTTGACATGATCCTACCTAATGTGACAGACGAGCCGGCCGTGGCTAGTGTGCGGTGCACTGGGGGGTGAAAGAGGACGCCCCCGAGGTCCACAAGAATCGTGGTTCTAGGTGGTTTGTGGTCATTGGTGATGGCCATATTGTCGAGTGAGAAGTAGACCAGCCTGAGGGGCAATGGCAGAAGGCGGCGGGTTGAGATACAGACGATCGCGCAAAAGCAGGGAAAGAAACAAACAGGACCACCTAATCCTCCTGCCAGTGCAAATCATATAAATCAAATGTCATAACACAAAGAGGTCATCGTTATTCGGAGTTCCGGATATCAAGGCGCATCCTTGCTGGATAGAACAAGGCCCACCTAATTTTCACTTTATTGACGACGATCGGCGATCCTCGGAGTTGTTCACGACGATCAGATGGCTGACATAGATCCTAGAAGCCAACTACTATTGGCGGATATGCAGCCAAAGGCTGAAAAATGGAGCATGTCAAGATCTGCAAGGGGGTCAGGAAAAACAGCACTGAGCGCGTCTCATTCTTTATCCTATACGCAATCCACTCTGTAGATCGCGTCTGAAAAACTTGCCAGCTGCAGCGCGAAGGATAAGGAGGGGCTCCATGCATACATGGGTCACTTGCTGCTTGGGCCTGGCCTGACTTCCTTCCGAGGCATGCTTGTTGGGTGATCTCATCCTTCTTGGAAACAGTTGGTTTCGTACCGACGAGTTGATCTCAACGAGACACTCAAAACGAACTGCCGGACAACACGATGTCTCCAGCAGTATTCATCGGACATGCTGCGCAAATATCCCTCCTGGCCGTATGTTCTCCAGTCTACTATATCGCCCTGATAATTAACATGCCCGCCCGAAAAGATCCTCTTCTACGCGGGGTGGACAATAACATGCAACCGCTACCTCCACCCACTGAGCAGCTACCCAGGCCCCCTCCTCTCAACCATCTCTCGAATCCCATACATAATAGCCTACACGCAGGGCCGCCTCCATCTCTACGTGCGCACCCTCCACGACCTATACGGCGACGTCGTCCGCATCGCCCCTGACGAGCTGAGCTATCGCGATGAGCAAGCCTGGAAGGACATCTACGGCCGCTCGAGCAATTTCGCCAAGGACATGCGCTTCTACCAGTTGTCGAAGAAAGCGGCGAGCGTTGCTGTCGCGCCTAAGGTAATCCATCGGCGGCAGAAGAAGGCTATTCTGCGTGCGTTCTCGGACTCGGCGTTGAGAGATCATGAACGGGTTCTCCAGCCTTATGTCGATGCGCTGATTGAGAAGTTGGGCCAGCGGTGCGCGGGGAAGGGGAAGGGGATGGGTATGTGGATCTGACGAAGTGGTTCAACTATGTTATCTTTGATTTCATGGCACACGAGCTGTTCGGGAAGCCACTTGGGTGTCTTGAGGAAGCGAGCTATCATCCATGGGTGGAAGTGCTCTTTGGGACGGTCAAGGCTTGGGCGTTTCTTGCCATCCCGAAATTCTTTCCGTCTGCTGCGATGCTGCTCAAGCCTCTCGTGCTCTTCCTATGTCGGGACTCGTTGGGACATCGCGATACGAAGTATCGTGCTCTCTCCGTGCACATACCTGAGGGGAACGAGCAGAAAGAACCGGTCTTTATGGCTCATGTTCAGAACAGCAGTCGTAATGACCCTGAATCAGTCTTACTGCCGGACGAAATGTTACCAAACTACAGTTTTCTGATGATGGCCGGGAGCGAAACGACCGCTACTCTGTTGTCCGGATGCACATTCTACCTACTAAAGCACCCACATTCCTACCAACGGCTTACCGCTGAAGTGCGACAACGCTTTTCAGCGCCCACTGAGATAATCCTTTCATCGCTAGCAGCGCTTCCATATCTTCACAGCGTCATTACAGAGACATTGCGGCTGTATCCGCCAGTGCCACTGGGCATGCCACGTACAGTCCCGGCGGGTGGCGCGATGATATCCGGGCGATATGTTCCGGAGAAGGTTCTACATATCGCGCCTGTGCCTTTCATAGGGTATAAGCTAACATATTCGCAGACAACCGTCGCCGTCCCGTCATGGGCTAGCTCCCGATCCCCATCAAACTTCTCCAGCCCAGACCAATTCATTCCAGAGCGATGGCTGAACGATCCGCCATGTATGAACAACGATAAAAAGGCCGCTATGCAGCCTTTCTCTCTAGGCCTAAGAGGCTGTCCTGGCAAAAGGTTGTGTTCCGTTTATATAATCTCTACATCCACATCGAAACGAATGACTTGACGAAACTGACGTGGTCATAGCATGGCGTACATGGAAGCCGGGCTCATCCTTGCGCGGATCCTGTGGAGCTTTGATCTGCAGGTTGCGCCAGGGTTTCATGGGTGGGATAATCAGCGAGCATTTCTGATTTGGGAGAAGGGGCCTCTTCTTGTGAGATTGACCCCGAGGGACTGATACATGAGTTTCCTCGCGGGGGAGGTATCAGGAAAGAAAGAAAGTGATTCGTGGTACTGTACTTCGTGTGCGTGAGACGTGACAAACCATCTTCAGAAACAGAAAGCCCTCGGCGAAGTCACGTACTGCGGTGACGGACATGCACCTACAGGCAGTAGATCCAGCAACTGGGCAGAAGGTACTCTACATTTTGACCAGCCACTGACTTCATGTTAGAAATGGTGAGCCAATAGAATCAGTGTGACCATGCAAGGGACCGGTGATCCTAGCCCGATAAAGCGGGCGGTGTCACACAACTATTTGTCGATTTGACCCGTTATGTAAATCTCAGATCGGCACTTAGTTATGCCTGAGATACACACTTTGCGATACACACTATTAGCGAGAGTTTCGAGGGTCAAGTATTTCCCATTGTGGGAGAAGATGTCAGGTTGTGTCGTTGATTCGCCAAACAGATCTATCATAGTTCACCCTAGACAAAAGCACAACCGCATCTCTAATCAACTTTTTTCCGAGTCCTTCCACTTCCCCCGCATGTACAACCGTCCAGCATTGAATCACACGGTTTACCCTCCAATCAAAGTCCAACCAGTCCACCCCACAGAAACAACTCCCGCTATTACACGCCACCCCACCTCCTCTACAAACCTAACCGGCATAACCTCGTCCGTCTCAACGGGCAATCTCAACGCAGTATACGCAAATAACGGCACAGACACATAGGTCCACGCAAGCAGACTCAAGAAACCCAGAAAACGCGTCCACGCTGTGTCGGAGTCCCTGTCTGCTCGAGGTCGAGTCCTGACGAGGTCCTCGGCGACGATTGCAGCGGCATTGCCCACGAAGAAGAGCATTATGGCACCGATGTTGTCGGGCACTCCGGCGTATATTGCGCTTAGCATGTGCAGGATTCCGGAGATGGAGAATATGAGGAAAAGCTGGATTATTTGCTGGGGTTTGCCTGAGGCGGGGATGAGGCGGTGTTGTACGGCGCCGCTTATTGTTACGAGGGGCCAGCGAAGGAGGCTGTGCCAGTATATGCTGCGAATATGCAATGAATCAGTATCTAGTTGTCAAGTACAAAAGATATCAATGAAAAAGAGAAGAATTACGCCCAACAATCCCTAACCCTAAAGTGCCTGAGATCCTTCATCCTCCCAAAGAGTGGCGGCCCGTATTCCGGAGATCCCCAGAAAAGCGCAATAGACAATAGTGCAATAACCGTGCAGATCATCGAAAACAGCAAGCGCAGATTGACCAGTAGCAGGCACGAGAGCGGAAGACGCGTAATTAGCTGCCCCTTACTCGAGGCAGGCCCGAAAAGCTCCGCACCTGCGGCCAAGGCGCCGGGCCATTCTCGCTGGAAGTAGAGGACTGTGCCGAAGTTTAGAAGGTCAAGGGCTGTGTATTGCCAGATGAGGGTAAGTAGGGTCCTGGTAATGTACGCCCATTTTGTTTTGGGGGGTTGGTTTGGAGGTGAGGCATGGTCACGGTATGTCCAGGTCTTCACCTCCCAGGGTGTTCCGATGCCGCGAGTACTTGTGACGCAGTTCAAGGCGGCCAGAAAACGGGCAGATGGCTTGCGAGTTTGTGGAAGTAGTTGGCTGATTTCCACGTGGAGGATGAGGAAGAGGCTGACGAAATGGAGCGTCTTGATGAAACAGGAGAATGCGAAGACTCCTCGCAGCAGCTCAGGACCCGACATTTAAGACAGGAACATCGTCTCGAGGACTGCTAGAGCAAGGAGGGAGAGTAAGCACAGTTTTCGTACGCTTGACTCTTTCGCGGTGACGGCGAGAGTGACCGACGCGATCAAGTACTCTGCCGCCATGGTGGCCGCCAATTTCGGGAGACACGACATTGTGGCATGAGATGCCGTGAAGACCAATCTGGTAACGACTTTAAAGTACTTCAGATAGAGCGCGGTATCGCTATAAGAGCTTCATTGCTGCTCGATCGGCGCCCGTTTTGCTTTTTTCCTCGCCACGGGCAGTGGAGTTTCTCTCAACCCGCATCAAGGAATGTGACTCCTGCAAGGTGAACGCCACTCGTTACCCAGCCCCCGTTCGCTGCATAAGATGATTATACAAACACGCACGCGCAGTTTGGAGACGGTGAGGACCAAGAATATCGTCATGGCGGACGCGTCGAACAACACTTGTCTCTCGGGCGGAGAGGCAGTACCGCTGGCTTCTGGGTTTTCGTGTCCGGAGGGTTTTACTGTATGGCTGTGCTCTTCATCAGTCCTCATTTTTGAATCTGCATAATAACAGGTTTTTAGGCCCTTAGAACAATGAACACCGGCCAGTCTTCCCCCCCCCACACCCACCCCCATCGCCCGACTGTCTTCTAAGACGATTCCAAAGCAGTGCAAATATATGCCTTGCATCTCAGGGCAATTTCGAGCCGGTAATCTGTCAACCAGGGTATTACTGTCCACCTCCTGGTACACAGCAGCTCGAGTGCTCAAGAGGATACTTCTGCCCCCTGGGAACGGTGACGCCATTCAAATGCACCGCCTTGTCAATTTGCAGGGAGGGCAGCTCCTATCAGACTCCGTTACTTGCGTTGGTGCTGGGTGTGCTACTTGACATTCTGGTCTGTGGAATATGCATTCTTTTCCGATCTTCGTCGCCTTCGCGAAAGCTGTCGCGATATTCTTGCTTCAACCAGCCCCCGCCGCGTCTACCGGTCGATGAGGGTGAACGCAGCAACGATGCGATCTGCCTGCGGCGACTTGATGGCTTGTTTCCAGATAATGCCAATGGAATCTCCCTAGAGCTCACCTTCACCGGGATCAATCTGCGTCTGGGACGCCCACCGCGCGATATCCTGTCTGATGTGCACGGAACGATCCAGTCAGGTTCGGTTTTCGGTATTATAGGAGCGTCTGGGTCTGGAAAATGTGAAGATCTCTCATCTTTCTCCTTAGAACAGTACTAATCTCTCCTGTGCCACAGCAAGTCTCGTCAACATACTTTCCGGGAGATCACGGCCAACACAGGGAGACATTGCGATCAATGGCCGCCCAATTCAACCAGACGAGTAAGTTACCCATCAGTACCACACGCAGGAGACGAAATAGTAGAGCGTATCTTTAACTTTTATAGTCTACGGAGCATGATCGGCTTCATCCCCCAGCACGATATTGTCCCTACCGACCTCACGGTCCGCGAGAACATCCTCTACCCCGGCCACTTGCTCCTCGGCGGCCGGATGCCCGCCCACGAGATCGAAGGGTACGTCGATTCTCTAATCTCCTCACTGGGCCTGCAGCATATCCGCCATCAGCAAGCCGGTGCTCTCGTAAAGCAAGGCAGCCGCGGTATATCCGGGGGCGAGTACAAGCGCGTGAGTATTGCCCTCGCTCTAGCTGGGGCTCCTGCAGCGTTGGTTCTTGATGAGCCGACCTCTAATCTTGATGCGACAGCTGCGCATTCGTTGGTGAAGCTGCTGCATACTATTTCGCGGAGGGGGATTATAGTCATTTGTGTGATCCATCAGCCGCGCGTAGAAACCTTTGATCTTCTGGGTGGACTTCTTGTTCTGAATGCCGGGAAGCAGATGTATTTGGGGAAGGTAGCTGAGGCGCAATCAGTTTTCGAGAAGTTGGGACACAAGTTTCCTCTGGGCTCGAATCCGGCGGATGTCATTCTTGACATATTTATCAATAATCCCCCGATCGGAGGCGGAGGTCCGAAGGGCACTCTAGAAGTTACTCAGTCTCCTGATGTTGCCGTTGCAGAGGAAAGCGTAATTAAGATCCTGCAGACTCTCAAGGAACGCAAAATATCCTGGTTGCGCCAACTCTGGCTCGCTTTTCAGCGAAGCATCATCCAGCAGAGTCGACAGACCGCAGGCCTCGTGTTAGAGATAGGATCGAGTTCCATCGTCGGTCTCATGGTTGGGTTGTCGGCATTCGAGCCCAGAGGACACCTCTTCCAGGGTTTGTATCACGATCCATTTGACCTGCTTTCGAGTGCGGTTGACTACCGGACTGTGGTTGAGCAAGCTCTCTTGTGTTTCATTGCAATTTGTAAGTCTCATTTTGTCCCTTTTATCAACGACAATCTAAGCTTACTCCATATAGCCTGTGCAGCCGGCCCAGCCGGGGGTCAAAGTCTTCGGCGAAGAGAAGGCAACCTTTCATCGGGAATCCCAATCCGGTCACTCGCGCCGCGCCTACTTCCTATGAAATAACCTCGCAGTATGCTTCCGGATCCTCCTATCTTCCCTGCACTTCACCGCATTCTACCTCCTCCTCGCTGCCCCTATGATCTCACTCCGCCTCCAGCTCGCCCTTGTCTTTCTACACTACTATTGTAAGTAGACATAGTTCCCGTCGTAGTCTCCGTTCATATTCTATCCTGCATCGCTCGCCGTTTCTAACCTTTCCTTCCTGCAGGTATATACGGCCTAGGCTTCATCGTGTCAGCCCTCGTCCGCCGCGAAGACGGGGGCCCTCCTCTGTATGCTCCTAAGCCTCATCACCTCAGCTCTGAGCGGGAGTGCGCCGCGGCTATCGACCGTGCGCGATTGGCATCTGGTGTGGTCCTGGTATGCATGGCCAGCGGTAAGTTTCTCTTCTGCTTACTGTTTTCATGCACAGGGTATAAGCCCGAGCATGAGGTCTAATTACGAACTAATTTCTCGGCCTGCGCCGTATAGACGTGGTTCTCGGAAGCTTTTCTGCAGGGGAATATAGATCCCCTGGCCTATCTCTACGATGTTGGGGATGCGTTTGCGTTTACCGGGTATAGAGCGGGAAGGACGGTGATGGATATTGGGTATGTATCTGCCCTTTCAACTCTCTTTCTAGGATCTGATTTGAGACGTGGAACTGACATCCATCCAGGTTCCTCATCCTGATCGGAACCACATACCGACTGCTATCCTATACCCTCTTTGTCCTCTGGGGCTGGAAGTCCCAGCACTAAAATTCAATCTCTCTAGCGTATTCTCATGTAAACCCAACCTCGCTCCCACATCCCATCCACGCAAAATAAGCCGAAAAACGACACCCGAGCCTCAATCGCCCTTCGTAGCATCGAAAACTTCCAAGGGCGCCAGGTTCAGGTCGAAAATGGCAGGACCCAGATATTCCCGATACCTCGCCTCAGGGTAGTGTACTGCGTCAATACGGAAAATCGTTTCGAGAAGTCGTCCGCGATATCTTCGATTGCAATGGCGAGCGGTTGCACAAGGAAGACCTGTAACGCCAAGAGGACAAACGGTCCAGTAGCGTTTGAACAGCCAAGCGATTGACGTAAACATTTGCTTATTTTCAGAATTTGCAGGAGTAATACTTAACTACCGCGCGCAAATGTTATCCGACAGCAGTAAGCATATTGTGACCGTCGTATCGTGTTGCATCAGGAGCCTATTTATTCCAAGAAGCTTCTGTTTCGAGCTAATGCGATTATAAGGGAGTGTGCACTCAGTGCTTTTAGAGACGTTGACTGGTCACCTGAATCATTCAATTGCCTTCAGATTCCATCAGATACCTAGACAATGCTCTTGTCGCTGGCGAAAACGCGTCTAGGTCTTATACCAACAGTACCTTTTGACAACGTGATCGATGGCAAAGGCCAAGGGTTCAACGTGCTGCTAAAGTATGTCGGCAAACTGCAGAAGGCCTGCAAAATCTTCAACTGACTTGTGTTAGTGGCCTGCCGGGCGTCGGGAAGACTTTTACTGTCGAGGCGACGTTGGAGTGTTGTGACACCAGGCACTTGCTGCGCAGGAATAAAGCCGCAACATCGGAAATAATTCCTGCTCTATGTATGAGGAGAGCCAAGTTGATTGAAAATCAACTTGAACTAAGCTTCCTTCGCATTACAACAGGTTATGAGCCGGGTGCAATCACTCGGGTGCCGTCTCTACTCACACCGAGACACATTTAACTCTTTTGATTCGTTATTATATATTGTAGTGGGGAGAGCCCCTCCCCCTACTACATGGGTGCCATCCAGGCTATGTGACATAGCCGGCAGTATACAGTGGCCGGATAGCTAGATCTAGAATACACCTTCTTACACCTCCCCGACCTGACCCCTACATTTGGGATTCTCGCTATTTCCTGATTGCTACGCGTGTGTTTGTGGTGGTTTTTCTGCTGAATCGACCCGCACGTCTCAGCGCGTGCTGCCATCGAGCGTTCCCCTCTTCAATATATATTACCCCGCTTCTTCAGCATCATGTCGGCTCTCGTCCAGGACTCCCCCGACCGAGCCGTCACAGCCATCGAGCCTCTGACAGGAAGCGATAACTACGCTACCTGGAAGCGTCTCATGACTTCCTACTTGAAAGCCAGGCAGGTCTGGGACGTGGTGTCGGGCGACCTCCAGCGTCCAGATTGCCAGTTCAAATATGCCAAGCCAATCACGGCGGATATCACTCCGCTTGTGGAGCCCCACCTTAATGGGGCGGTGCGGCAGAGAGCCATCGAGGCCCGCCTCGAAGTGGAGGTCCAAGCTTTCGAGCGTCATAAGGAATGGTCGAGGCGCGAAGCCGAGGCCTACCATATCATTTTCCGGTATCTATCTCCCAATATCAGTGTGCACGTCGCGGGACTGGAGACATCTCGCGAGCTCTGGAATGAACTGGAAGAACGATATCGGCGTATGGAGCTGGCCACGTTTTGCGAGCTGTTCGCCCAGCTTCGCGAAACCACGGCCGCCCGATGCGCCAGCACACGGGAATTTGTCGACCGTGTGCGGTTGCTGGTGCACCGGCTGAATGCCATTGCTCCGGGCTCCATCGGCGACCGAGCACACATCGCGATCCTGCTGACACAGGTCGGACCGGAATACGTCCTCGTCGTGGATGCCATCCAGAACGACAAGGACCCGGTCAATCCGACGACGATTGGAAACCGCCTCGCCAATGCCGAGCAGACGGTACAGCGAAAGGACGCTGCTACGCTCCCGCACGGAGCACCAGGGTCATCAAACAACACGTCTATCAATACGGTGCAGAAGGCCGCAAAGAAATGCAGCTACTGCAAGAAGCGAGGCCATGTGGTCGCGCAGTGCTGGAAGAAACAGCGAGAACAGCAAGAACAGCAAGAGCCCAGGGACCATGCCCTGAAGGCTGAACGGAGTGTTTCCGGCTCACCAAGAAACAATTTGCAAACTATACCATTAAACCAGGTGGAAGAACGGCAGGGCCCGCCGACTTCCAAGAGACCAAGGATCAATATCGTGAGGCCGAGGGTGATGACCCTTTATACCCACGCACCGTCCCCACGGTGGATCTTGGACTCGGCCGCCACTAGCCACATCTGTTGGGACCGGAGCTGTTTTGTTAACCTGTGGTCCCACCGCGAGATGCTGGACACGGCGGGCGATCCAGTGGAAGCCGAAGGGATTGGCACGGTGAAGCTCACACTCCGGGGGAAGTTCAACCACCCCCTGGTGTTGAAGAATGTGTATTTCGCGCCGCGTATCGGGATGAACCTGATCAGCGTGCCGAAATTACTACGAGACCGCTATTCGGTGTTGGCACACCCGCAGAACGTCTTTGTGCAACGCCGAGGACGAACAGTGGGGACCGCCTACCATACGGAGGAGGATCTGTTGATCCTGCGGTGCTATGTGAGCCAAAGATCCCGAGAACGAGTCCAACTGGCGAGGGCGCCGACGGACTGTGTCCATGCAGATTCCCTGGAACCGCAGGCGGTGGACATGGACGTCGACGACCCTCTAGAGTGAAGTGGTGCGCAAGGCGCGGCGACCACCTCTGAACTCAGTGGTGAAGCTGTGATACTCGAAGAAGATGCGTACACAGGAGTGAACCAGGCCTCCGAAGCGCTGTGGCACGCTCGGATGGGACATCTGAACCGGGGAGACTTGAGGGTGGTCCTCCGGCAGACCGGCACTCCGTACCGACCGCTGACCAGACCAGAGCTGCTGGCAACGCCACAGTGTCCGGCGTGTATGTCGGGCAAGCAGGCAGCATCAGAAGAGGAACTCCCATGCAAGACGGCCACGTCTGCACTCGACGAGAGTATTTGAAATGATCCATTCGGACATCATGGAAATGCCGATTGGTAAAGAAGGCTCCAGGCACGTCATCACCTTTACTGACGATTTTTCTCGTGGCTCGTGGGCCTACGTCATGAGATGGAAACATGAAGCGCTGCAGATGTTCCGACAATTTGAGGCCTGGGTGCACCGACAGTTCGGCGCCCGGATCAGAAAATTCCTCACCGACAATGGGAGAGAATATTTGCCGATCGGAACGCATCTGGAGTCTCAAGGAGTTGAGTTTGACACCTCGCCGCCATATTGCAAAGGGCAGAATGGCCTGGCCGAACGCACTAACCGCACTATCCGGGAGCGAATTAACACGCTCCTGTACGATGCGAAACTTCCTCCTTCCTGGTGGACCGACCTCTTGGAAACGGTAGTCTATCTGAAGCTGCGCGCGCCAGCATCTATCTTACAGAAAAAGACACCGTACGAAGTCATCTACGGAAAGCCGCCCAAGCTGTTGCATCTGCGACTGATCGGCTCCCGTGCATGGGTATTGATCTCCAAAGAGCATCGGGGGAAACTCGGACCACTATCGTCTGAATGCCGACTGCTCGGTTACCGCGAACCCAATCAGTACAAACTTTACGAAGTACACTCTGGAAGGACAGTAATTTCCCGTGATGTCGAGTTCGATGAAAGGACCCCTGTGGCGCCCTCATCGAGGGGGAAACAGGCAACGACCTCCCGGACAATACTCCATCACCTGTCTTTCCTGAACCAACGCTGCCTCTATCTGGCGCGCCACTTACGCCGCCTCCGTCTCCTGACAAACTAGAGAACGCTCCTTGTGAGCCAGTTGATAACGTGCCTTCTGATTCTGAACCGGTTGATATTCCCTCGCCAGTCAATCCAATCCCTCATGAAACACAATCCACACACGACCTAGGCTACTCCTTGTATGGCCGAAGACGAAGACCTTCCAGGCGTCTCTTGGAGTCTCTAGGCAAAGTGTATGCGACAGGGACATTAAATGCAACTGTCACAAAAGACGCGGATCCCCTGACCTTCCACGAAGCCGTGTCCGGACCTAATCAGCTGGAGTAGTGGGCCGCGATCCAAAAGGAATACGCTTCGCTTCTTGAGCATGGCACATGGGAGAAGGTTCCACGGAATGAAGTGCCCCCCATGGATCGGATCATTGGCTGCTAGTGGGTATTCAAGACGAAGAGTAACGGAATCCGGAAAGCGCGATTGGTGATCAAAGGCTACCGACAGAAACATGGCATCGACTATCACGAAACCTTCGCGGCTGTATCCCGAATGGATTCGGTCCGCAGCATCGTTGCGAGTGCGGTGCTGCGTGGGTGGAAACTCCACCAATTCGATGCTGTCATTGCGTTCCTCCACGGGGATATCGATTCGTCTATCTACATGGAGTTTCCAGAGGGCTTTGAGGAAGACGGATACGTTTGCCGTCTTCGACGCTCCTTGTACGGACTGAAGCAGGCACCCCGGATTTGGTACCAGTGCGTGCACCGTATCCTGGTGGCTCACGGCTTTACCATGGCCCAGTCCGACAATTGTGTCTTCTTTAAGCCTAAATGTGTCGTCTGCGTCTATGTCGATGACTTTCTGGTCGCAGCAGCGGATGACGCCGAGATCCAGCAACTCCGAATGGCCCTGGAATCAGATTTCAAGCTGAATGATCTGGGAACCCCGCGTTCATTCCTAGGAATCCAATTCGACTTCCATGCGGATGGATCTATTTCGATTCACCAACATCGATACATCCAGAAGGTGCTTTCCGACTTCTGCATGGAGACTTGTCAACCGAAATCCACGCCGATAGCTCCAAAAGCTCTCCTGAATTACCTTCCCGAAGAGAACGACCTGGATGAAGATGCGAAGGCTCGGTTTGGGACTGCAATTGGGTCACTGATGTATCTTATGGTCGGTACGCGTCCTGACATCGCGTTTGCGCTCGGGGCGTTGAGTCGCTTCACATCCCGACCGCAGTCACATCATCAGGCTGCACTGCAGAGACTGCTACGCTATGTCAGGGCCACAAAATTCTATCGCATCACGTACCGCAACGGGCAGTTGATCGGGTACACAGACGCCGACTTTGGTGGCTCTGTCGTCATTGACGGTGCATACTCCACGTCCGGCTATGTGTTCGAACTTGCGGGAGCACCAGTTTCCTGGTCGTCCAAAAGACAGGGGAAATCGCGACGTCCACAACTCACGCCGAGTACATTGGCCAATATAATGCCATCCTTCATCTAGAATGGCTCCGCACGTTTCTGGCGGAAACCCACCTGTTTCGATCGCCGGCGACCAACGTCATGGCTGACAATCAATCTGCCATCGCCCTCTCCCGCAATCCTGAGTTTCACAAACGGACGAAGCATTTCAACGTGAAATTCCATTATCAGCGAGCTGTTTTGAATAAAGGAGAGATCTGTCTTGAATACATCCCCACCGAGGAACAGGCAGCTGATGGACTCACTAAGCCTCTGGGACCCTCTACATTCACCAAGTTTTGCAACCTCTTAGGTATTGACACGGAAGGACTCATGAAGGTGGATGTGTAGCCGCGATGGCGCTCTTTCCTTTTTCTCCTCTTCGAGGTTTTGAGTGGTTTTACCGAGGCCTGACCGGTGCCCATGTATTCAGTATCGCCTTGCCAACAAGGCGATCCTGAGGGGGAATGTTGTGACACCAGGCACTTGCTGCGCAGGAATAAAGCCGCAACGTCGGAAATAATTCCTGCTCTATGTATGAGGAGAACCAAGTTGATTTTCAATCAACTTGAACTTCACGTTGTATATTGTAGTGGGGAGACCTCCCCCTACTACATGGGTGCCATCCATGCTATGTGACATAGCCGGCAGTATACAGTTGCCGGATAGCTAGTTCTAGAATACACCTTCTTACACCTCCCCGACCTGACCCCTACATACGCGTGTGTTTTGTGGTGGTTTTTCTGCTGAATCGACCCGCACGTCTCAGCGCGTGCTGCCATCGAGCGTTCCCCTCATCAATATATACCCCCATGTATTCCCTCAAGAAGATTAATCAAGCTTCCTTCGCATTACAACAAATAATAATAATAATGGGAAACCCATGGGATGGGATGGGAAATACCAAGATTTCCCATGGGATCTCTGGGATGGGAAATGGACAGGACCTCCTTGCCATGGGTCCACGCTTTATACACTCTATGTTGTGGCGCTGGTGTTTTGTGTCTCGAAATTCCCACCACGTGACCTTCGTCCGGGTTTTTCGTTCGAGTTTCTATTAGCTGAGAGTATTTCACATTTCCTGCCGCCAATTTTCAATAATATGTAAAAATAAAAATGAATTTGGAACCTGGCGGATGCGAGCTTTCTATTAATACTAAAATTCTTCCTATCTGGGCATTGTGGTGTTGTGGTCACCTGCCACAATTTGCCTGTTGGATACAATTTCTTGTTGTGCATGCGCTATGTTATCAGAATGCGATCGCAAACTAGTGAATCCAGCATACTGGTCGGCCATCGATACAGTACCTGATTCGTGGCACACCTCTGAGCTGTCCTGAGTGGCGAGGTGTGACTGAGGTTACAGGAATGGGGGCATACTAAATATCTGAGGTCATTCTGTTCTAATAGGATCTCTGGCCCAAGCCAAGGCAGAGCTATTTGGATCTCGAGAAATTGGTTCTTTTATGCCTTGATATGTAACTACAATGTCCCGGGAATTGTCACGATACCTCTGCCGTGATGTTATTCCTGTCTCAGCCTTGAGGCTAATGGCCTAGTCGGATTCTGCCAAGATAGTGGCCTTTCGGCGATGAGCCGCAACCCCGCCTGGTGACGCAACTGGATGGGAACGCTGAACGCCTTTCACGTCACACAAGATCGAACTTCAGCCGAGTTGGCTTGTACATACTATCATGTACCCTGTCCGCCGGGTAGGAAGCCATCAAGGAGAGTGTATATTAAATAGCTCGAGACACAGTCTCAGACATAGACTCGGCGTTATTCTTCTACCTGATTGACAGGCCCTCTACCTGCAAGGTCAGCCAGCCATTAATGCTAAAAAGCAAAAGTGGGATGATCGGCTATGTGCTAACTAAAAAGGCAAACTTTGTTCTTAGGGGGCAGCGGTAACGTAATTAATTCACCATGCCATGCATATCTAGGTGTGTTTATTACTTTCCTCGTCGCACAGCACGAGTTCAATGCAGATCTCAGTTGTGCCTAGTAACTTACGTACACCGCTCCTTGCAATGCTTGCGTTAACTAGCACTAAGCGGTCGCATGTGTGTTGGCGCTCCATTACCCGATAATTCGGTCATTCACCCAGTTAAAGTCAATAGTGCATAAAACTGCAGGAAACAAAGCCTAATCACACTCACCTTAGCCAACTGAGAATTGTTCCTCCTCGGGAGCGTCCTTAAGTTCCTTCGCAAACTCTACTGCACGGTCCTCCGATATCAATTGTATGAAGTGGTATAGGTCTAACACAGACATCCTCCAATTCACCAGAGCTCTTGGTGTCTTTCAGGGGTCTAGCTGTGTCAAGGTGATAGGCAAGGCTCAACAGTAAGGTTTCCTTCGAATCTCCACTATTGCTTAAAATCATGCTGCAGTTTCGGATCTTATTCGATACCACAGATTGCTGGCTAACGTCTTGAAGTTCTTCTCCACTAGACGTACGAATAGAAAACTATCTCTGCGGTTCAAGGCGGCTTACACACCGCCACTGATCGGCAGAAAAACATCAACCTCTGGCAAATCATGGTAACTATTGAAGAGGGGAACGCTCGATGGCAGCACGCGCTGAGACGTGCGGGTCGATTCAGCAGAAAAACCACCACAAAACACACGCGTAGCAATCAGGAAACAGCGAGAAGCCCAAATGTAGGGGTCAGGTCGGGGAGGTGTAAGAAGGTGTATTCTAGAACTAGCTATCCGGCCACTGTATACTGCCGGCTATGTCACATAGTCTGGATGGCACCCATGTAGTAGGGGAGGGGGTCTCCCCACTACACTAGTTATACGAATATATTCGTACGAAGATGAGTCCTGCGAATACTGTTGTGATATATCATATTGTACCGGAATCAATTTCCGACCTCACGCAATTACCAGCTATGATTGGAAATCAATCTGGGGGCTGCATGTTGTATATAAGTCGTGAAATTTCCGGTCTCAAGAGTAACGAGCAACCTTCCTCTGAGTTACAGCAAATACGAATATTTGTAGAGATTTGCAAATTACGTGTTGAGATATGTGATTGTCTGATTGAATCTTATTGATTGACTTAAGGAGTGATCTATTACAGGGGCCAGATGCCTCTTATATATCCGTTCCCAATCCCTGCAATAAGGTTCAGCCACCGTGATACTCAACAGCGAATGTCTCAAAATTCTACGGATTTGTATTCGTGCCGACCCCTACGCTGAAGGGAGTTGCCATTCGATCCTGAAGTTGCAGTGCCCTAGCGGTGTCGTTTTTTGTCATCCGAGTGTAAGGAGAGAGGCGGTAAGTAACGAAAAATTGATTTAAACGCAGATGCCAAGTGAATAAAGGTCAATGAAATAAATATTGTTGAGGGGTAGAGGTGTGATACAAGGGTTGTAAACATGTAGTGGCGTGACGAATAACCGCGCAGATCTTTGCTGTGCTGTATAAGCATGTAGACCCTTGCTAAGCGGTTGAACCTTGGGCTGGCAGTTAACACGTAAAGAGTGTACTTGCATAACAGATTTTTGTTTATGCAACTGAAGATCATTACCGGTGAGCGACGGGTTTAGAGTTAACTTTATGTCCCACATGTGATATCACTCCAGCTAAGCACCCAGTGTTCGTCAATAGGCCGCTCTCCTTTGCCTTTTTCGTAGCATATCACCCTGTATCGAGAAAGCTATCTTAGCTGAATCCCTCTCTTTGTATACCCGCCATATACTGAAAAAGACCATCTATCGCCTTATTCCAGATACCACCATGGAAGACTGTAAAACGGCTGTCTACGTCCTCTGCTTTTGCACGTCGTTCTATATCACTGCCGTAATATTCTACCGGTTGGTGCTAAGTCCCTTGGCGAAATTCCCAGGCCCTCGCCTAGCAGCTGCCACAAGGCTCTACGAAATCTACTACCAGATGATTAAAGGGGGCACATTCACTTGGCACATCAGCGACCTTCACGATAAATATGGCCCTGTGGTCCGAATAACCCCGTGGGAGATACACATCAAGGACCCCAACTACTATAACACCGTCTACCTTGATATGGGAAAACTCCGCAACAAAGAATCTTTACTCAGCTGTATCGGATATCCCAATCCAATTTTTCCACTCGTCTCTCACGAGCCACATCAGCCTTGGAGAAACATTCTTGCTAGGTTCCTGAAGAAGAGCGCTATCCTTGAATTTGAACCGGTGATAAAGGCAAATATACAATCACTTTGCAAACACTTCTCGACCGCTGCCAACAGCCACGAGCCTTTGGAGCTGTATAGCGCTTTCCACTGTTATTCCAGTGATACCCTCTCCCAACATGCGTTTGGTCACGACCTCGGCTTTCATTACTTGGATGAAATGAAATACTCGGAGAAATGCAAGACTTGGGTGAATTCAAAGTTTACATTATGTCGGTTGATCCGGCATTTAAGCTTTGTGGGTGACATAGCACACAAGATTCCACGTCCGGCTTCATTTGCGGTTGAGCAATATGCGCATGCCTATTCTATGGAAAAGGTATGCCAGGGAGTTTTTAATTTGGATTTTATGAGAGAAAGAGAAGTAAATATAACGAGTTGCATAGGATGTGAAGATTCGGATTCAACGGCTGGTAGATCAATATGACCAATGGGAGGTTGAGATGCAGTCAACTGGTCACTCGACAAAAAATGGATTTTCCTTGGAAGCCCGAAAAGCCATCTATCCTGCAATATTGGCCGACCAGGAAGTGCCTTTGCTTGAAAAGAGCCAATCTCAGTTAGAGGATAGTGCTTTATTCCTCATGCTGGCGGGTACAAATGTCCCTTCACAAACTATTGCTATCACTATGTTCCACATACTCAACAACCCCGCAATATATCAGAGGCTCAAGGAGGAACTCTTTATAGTTCTTCCAGATGTGACAACCATTCCAAGTATTGAAAGATTGGAGCAGATCCCTTATTTGGTAGGTTGCGTTGTGATTCCTCTTTCAAACCATGTTGGACTAAAATCATTACCGACCGCAACAATTAGAGAGGGCCTTCGCCTCGAGTCTATTGTTACAACTCGACTTCTTCTCTCCGCACCGAATGATGTTTTGCGATACCAACAGTGGGATATCCCAGCCGGAGTATGTAACTGGTAGCGCACTTCAATGCACAGAATACACTAATTTTTACAGACATTCGTCTCGATGTCTACATATTTCATTTTGAGGGACCCATATATCTTCCCTGAGCCTGACAGATTCAAACCGGAGCGGTGGCTTATCGAACCAGAGTCGCTACGGAAACTTGAGAGATATTTGGTTCCGGCATCAGAAGGAACGCTGGGCTGCCTAGGACAAAAGTGAGATCCCGCAAAGCTTTGAAACCCATTCTTCAACTAACAAGATGAAGTATGAATTGGTCATGGATGCATCATCTTATTAGCGCTCTTGTGCGTCGATTTGATCTGGCTTTGCATGAGACAATGGAGAGAAATGTGAGCATGGTCCGAAATAATTGTATCGGACAACCTGAACCAGGCATAAACGAAGTCAAAGTGAATGTTTTGGGGAAACATTCGCATTAAGCGTGGTGCAGAGCCAGTGCAAACTTTTGTGCCTCATTAACTACCCTTCTCACACTTTCGAAGTTTCCTTGAGCAAAATGATAGGGCCCAAAAAGGCATATCATCGATTGAGAAAAAGAAAAAATTCCTATTATCAAATAAGCAGTACGCTGATTTCATATGCCTTTGCCCTCTTTTCTTCTGCGCCCTTAGGTGGTTAGGGTTTGTTTGACACCTCTTCTGTCACCCTCTCGACTACTGTCTGAGCTACTGAGGAAGGTGCTATGTTTAGCCGATATACGGAAATACCTACCTATGATCCTTTCGAACGCTGATCCATTTCTTGCTTAGAAATTTCTGGCACCAGGGCCTTCGCCGGCCGAATACGGCCGTGAGCACATATATCACCGACGATATCTTGGGTTCGCGGCGTCATTCCCTGCTGAGACGATACTTACACTTCTTCCTTGTGTTCCTTATCTCGGGTCTCCAACACCTCCTTGGGTCGATCTTCATGAATGTTCCGCACACTATGCGTGGGATTCTCGGATTTTACTGCTCCTTCCCCTTGGGGATCATGATCGAGGACAGTGTGCAATGGATGTATCGGTATATCACACGGCAAGACGACACACCGTCCTCGGGACATAGGCATATGCAGTGGGTGGGATATGGGTGGGTGACGATATGGTTTTCGCTCACCGCACCGGCGTATCTATACCCTGTGTTGCGTTTGGAAAGTGACGAGCTCACTTTGTTTTCTGCGGACCTTACCTTTGGTTTAGGCTTGTACCCACTCGTTTTCTTAGTTTGTCTAAGTGGTATCAGCCTGATAGTCTTTGCCGGAGCTAAGCTTTAAGTTGACGCGGTTGGTGACGAACGATGAGTTAATCCTATGTGAGGCCCGAATGGTAAGAAATGTGCTGTTCATGTTGCTACCAATTGACAAAGTAACTTGAACACGAAGAAGCCTATTGCCAATCAAAAAAGCGGCATTACAATCCAGTGTCGAACGTATGACGAGATTAAAACTTTATACGGTAGGAAATTTAAGTTTCAATTGTTGTTTTTGTAGTACATATTCTAATAGGAGGGTATAACAGAACTACAGTACGAACGTCGGTCAACTGATGTACGCAGGGCTAATATGGATCACATATATACAGTAGGTGGCCTGCACATTATTGAAAATAGCGCGCCCTATTTTTTTCCCCTCTGCTAGGGGGGCGGAAATAAACTTGTGAACTGGCAGTGTATTTTGATCCTTATCGTAAGGTATCCATTTTTTAATATTACCAACTATTGTATCGTTCAGGGATATCTCGATATGCAGGCCAACTAGCTGCTGTTGTGGGGAATCCGCCCATCCCCTTGCTTCCCATCCTCACTTGCCGGCAGGGTACGTCTGTATTGCAAGGTGGGGGGATGGATACCTGGCAACCTCTAATCTCAAAACAGACATCAACATGCCGCTCATAGGTCACTGAAATAGGTGAGTTAGATACAAATATAGCACGCGCGATCCAAGGAAGCAATCCGATACTGAATTATTTCGAGAGGCCATAACGGACCTTCCAGCAGCGTCTTCCGACTACCCTAATAATGAAATCTCACCGCCTCCGGTCACTCTGCTGCTGGGCGATCGATCTCATCGATATCCGGCCTGTCGTGTCTGACCAGACGATGCCAATTCACCCAAAAAAGGACAAAGTGGCCTTTATTCCTCAGTGGAAACTGCACCGCTGGCTGCTCTTCTACGGCTGCATGGTCTTTACCATTCACCACCTATATGTATGGTGGGCTGGTCAAAACCTGAGTGCAATGTCGGCGTTTGCTTTCTATAGCATATCACACGGTCTGATCAGCCTACATGGTCTCCGAATATTATGCCGTCTAGGGGATTATCTGGGATACCTTGAGGAATGGAAGCGTCCACGCGATACAGTTCCCGAAAAAAGAGTCCAGAAGGTTCTGGGTGGCCTGTTATTCATGTATTTTCTGCGTCCCATTCTCCCGTTTACACTCAGTTATCGTGCGGATAAACTCCCTCTTTCCATCAACTGGTGGTGCCTGCCACTGGTGATCAGCATCTATAGCATCGTGCTAGACTTTTGGTTCTACTGGTACCACCGTCTCATGCACGAGGTGAGCTTTCTGAGACGATATCATCGCGCTCATCACGACTCCAAAAGCCCGACCTCCTTACTTCTCGTGTATTTCGATGCCGAGGAAGGCTTCCTAAATAGTGTTGTCATCCCACTCCTTGCCTGGCAGACTCTCCGAACCATAGGCCTGCCCATGGACTTTTACGAGTGGTGGGTGTGCAATGGATATGTGGCATTTGCAGAGTTTGCCGGACACGGCGGCGTCCGGTTTTATGCGCCCGCGCCCTTGCCCTGCACCGCCGTCTTGAAGTACTGGAATGCCGAAATCATCCCAGAGGATCACGACATCCACCATCGCCTTGGTGAGCGGGAGAACTTCAACTATGGGAAGCAGACACGTCTGTGGGACCGGATCTTTGGTACATGTCACGATCGCATTGAGTGTATCGATGGAAACATTGATTATGAGAATCCGGTTACTTTGCCACTCTTTTGAGAGCACGTCAGTCACCTTTGAGGCGTGTAAGCTACCCTTTTGAGATAACTGACACCGATTAGCCAAAACCTGAACATGTAAACCCAGAACAAAAACGCCAAAATGGCAAGATCGGGAAAAGAAATCAAAGGGAGTGACTGCAGAACAGTGGGAATTGTATTAACCAACAAAACATCTCGCTGGAAAAAACAGCGGTCTGCATCGCTTCTTCGCAGCCAAGAGGCCAATATGCACGCGCCATATCACATACATGTATCTTTTCCCAAATATCTTGAGCGCTTCTGCGGAACGTTCTCGCTAGTGACGTAGACGTAGGCGTTAAACCTTTTCATAACCTGCGCGTACATATGACCGTCCAACCATTATTACAGTGCCACGTCCATCGACAAACGATCAATACTACTTCGCTCTTTGTGCCACATACTAGTATCCCATGTCCTCTCCCATCGAGCATCTCCATTGCCTTCATATCTTCATTTGGAAGTTATATGTCTCGCCGGACAGTCAGCTAAATATCTGACGATACCTCTGATATTCCACGAGCTGTGTATGGTATTGCCTTTATCTGAACGGAGCTTGAGCACAACAATGGAACAAGCCGCAATGGACAAGCCCCGTCCAGGTGAAGGGCAAAAGACGCATATCACACACTTGCCCATTACGTTGACAAACTGGTACAAGCATTTGAATTGGCCGGGGATCGGCCTGACGATTCTGGTCCCCTTGCACGGCTTCTTGCTGGCACCTCATACGCCGCTGCAATGGAGAACCGCTATCTGGTCCGTGATGTATTACTTTTGGACGGGCTTTGGGATTACAGCTGGTAAGTTACAGACAGACAGAAGGTATCTTGTCATCTGAAACCGATAGATATTTACACTCACACACTCGCAATCGATGAAGGTTATCATCGCCTGTGGTCACATTCCTCCTACCGCGCGACCAAGCTATTGAAGGTATTATTAGCCCTGATTGGGGGCGGTGCGGGCGAGGGATCAATCCTGTGGTGGGCTCGAGACCACCGCGCCCATCACCGGTTCACAGATACCACGGGCGATCCGTATTCGGTGCACAAGGGCCTCCTGTATGCGCACATGGGATGGTTAATCATGAAGCAGGACCCCAAGCGTATCGGGCGGACCGACATCAGCGATCTGAAGGCCGACGCGGTGGTGATGTGGCAACATCGGAATTACGTCGCGATCGTGGTGACGATGGCATTCCTATTTCCTACGCTGGTCAGCGGCGTGGGTTGGGGGGACTGGAAAGGGGGATTCGTGTACGCGGGGATCCTACGCATGCTGTTCGTGCACCAGGCAACTTTCTGCGTCAATTCGCTAGCTCACTGGCTGGGAGAGCAGCCATTCGACGACCGTCGCTCACCGCGAGATCATTTTCTCACGGCGCTGCTCGCCCTCGGAGAGGGATACCATAATTTCCACCATGGGTTCCCGTCGGACTATCGGAACGCTACGGAATGGTGGCAGTATGACCCCACGAAGTGGGTTATCTGGGCATGGGCTCGGCTGGGTCTTGCCTACGACCTGAAAAGGTTCCCAGCGAAAGAGGTCCAGAAATGTCGTCTACAGCAGCGGAAGGTCCGTCTGGATAAACAAATGGCGGACTTCAACTGGGGGCCACCGCTGGAAGACCTGCCCGTTATCGGGTGGAAGCAATTTTTCGAGCAGGCTTCCACGATGGGACGGTCTTGGACTGTTGTATCTGGTATCGTACATGATGTCTCTGGCTTTATCGATGAACATCCTGGGGGTCGAGCCATGATCAAAGGCGGAATAGGCAAGGATGCCAGTGCCATGTTTCAGGGCGGAGTCTACCTGCACTCTAGGTACGCTCACCAGAAGTTGGCTCAGATGCGTGTGGCGGTGATACATGACCCAAGCGCTTCAGAACTGGCAGAGAGTCAGGATTAAGGATCAGGCGAATGGGGTATGCTGCTCGTATGGACACGGGTATTCTCAGATGCGGCGGACCGGCTCTAGAGGAACCAAAGGAATCTTAGTGATATACCGATTTATCCCCACAGGAACTCGTCCTCCATGTAACCATCAATTCTTCATATTATCTATTCCTGTCTTCTCTTGAAATTGTCATTTTCAGCATTTTCCAGCACACTGCAAGTCGTACATGGGATACCGCTCCGTATGCTTCATTTCCGCCTGCCTCATTTCCGCCTGCCCAAAACCTTGATTTGAATACGGTCGTATCCAGGCTTGGTCTGCGCGTTGAAGCAGTCCCTCATCGTCTTCACATTCTCCTCACTCGTTTCGAAGAGTATCATGTCATAACGACGAAACATCGTCGCAAGCGCTAGATAGCACCAGCAATAGGTCATACTGCGGGTGTGTTAAGAAGCTATAACCTCAGCAGGGAAGGAGAAATGCCATACCTCGGTCCCAGGCACGCCTGGCTGCCTTTAGAGAACGGCATCGGGCCGTTGTAAAGACAGGCGCCGTTGCTGTCTGGCATCCATCTCTCGGGTTGGAATTTGGAGGGTTCGGGAAAGATAACAGGGTCATTATGGATTAGGTAGGTCGACATGCTGACAGGTATCTGGAATGTTGTGAGAAAATTGGGTTGATTCGTTTAGGAAGAAGCATCGCTTAGCCTAGCATACACCTGGCGGGATGGACCACCCTTCATACGTCAGGACCTCTGTCGGTGCGATCCGAGGGAGTCGCGATGTGACAACTGAAGAAATTCGGAGACCTTCTCTGATGATTGCCGACTAGGTTTGCTTCCGGTCAGTCAGTGTTACTCGCATACAACCACGTAATTTGAACACGACATACCAGAAAGGGAAGCGCCTCGAGCATCTTAAGTGGTGGATTGTAATAGGGATTGGGCAAGGCATCGTCCAGCTCTTTCTGCAATTTATGGCAGCAGGAATCGTTGCGTAAGATGTGAAAGACGGTGATAGCGAGGACTTGTGAGGGAGCATCGGTGCCGGCTATCATGAGAAACTTGACATCATCAAGGGCTCTCAGACGGCGTTGTCGTTCTGGGATACCTGCACTATTCTCTAACAGGTCCCGTAGAATACCGGTATTGCTCGGCCGATCATTGACCTCACTCTCGCAGTCGTGGAAAAACCGAGTGAATCTCTTTTCAATCTCCTATCAAGATATGAGCACTGGCGTTGGGGCTTCAAGATAGACATCTAGATTCAATGGACCGCTCACATTCTCGATAAATGCGCCATCTTTGCACACGGGATCAACCAGGCCGGACAACCATAACGGAGAGAAACGGTAGAGAGTCATCGCGAACGGGAAATGTCTCGTTAGCAAAAATCGCGCAAAGGGGCCTTTGATTCCTGCTTTCCACCTAGAGTCCAGTGATTGTGATTTGAGAAGGTCGAAACACATGAAACTGCCAAACACGATGTGCGACACCACATCTACCGCAAAAGACAGAAAACACATATGGAGCTCAACCACTGCATCGGAGCATATTGCTTGATCCAAATGCCTACAGAGATAACTCAACTTCTCCTGGATGACAGGCTCATAGCCTCGGACGGCCTGCTTCGTCAAAAGGGGGGCTAACGCCGCTCTCCGTGTTCGGTGTCCATGGTACTCAGCAGTGGAAAAGGTGGAGTGCGGCACGCCCACGGAGAGGAACCACGGGTATTTACTGCGTTTCTTGGTTGGCCCCGCATAGATGGTCGTGTAGTATTTCACGTCGTGAATATGGATCTCGTGAGGATTGATTCGGACAACGGGTCCATATTCCTGGTGCATGCGCTCGATTTCCCAGAGGAAACGACCGTTGAGAAAGACATCATAAAACGTTTCGTACCAGGTCGTGGCCGCCGCCAACTTTGGTCCAGGAAAATTGGCCAGAGGAGATAACACCAGGCGATAGATAACCAGGGATATGGTGTAGGCAGCGCAGAAAGTGAGGATTATCGAAGCGAGGCTGAGGTAATTCATATCCACGATCCCCATCACGACATGTAATAAGAACGGTGCACCAGGACGCTCTTGCTTCTTGTGTGAGACCTAGACTTGATCGCTCTCTGATTTTAAACTTTCCAGCTGTTCTGCAGCTCCAACTTCTCCAGGTACCCTCTGTGTCATACGTCACCTTTCGCTCTCAACTCCCGTAGGGGACAAAGCGCCTTGTAAGCAGGAACAGCGGTGAGCACAGGTGAGCTGTACGTATAGGATCGTAGACTGGCATTTAGAAAGTGGGTCTTACCAGGGAGCAACACGCACACTACATTGATTCATCATATCCATTCTCTGGTCAAGACTTTTGAGCGTGCAGTGACAGAATATAATGTCCATACAGTAAGTAACACGTAAGCCAACTGTCGCGTATTCACGTTTCATGACTACCCGCGCAAGGGTCAATGAGGCCTAGCGTCTACAATGCGCATGTGATACGCTACGATGGTTTGTATTACGCAACCAGCAGAGTGCATCAGGACCAATTCACAAACTCGTATTACAGGAGAAAGAAGATTGCTGCAGCTCATTGCATCTAAGAATACAGAAATACCACTAAACAGTGGCTATAGGGACGACCAGACTGCGAGCAAAATGACTAGAACTCCTAACATGCTAACATGAGAAACGGTATTGTCTGGATATCCAAGGGTGGCAAAAGAGAGCAGAACCTAGTGCAACATCGTAAATGGACAAAGGACAACCAGCCATCACCGGACACTGCAATGCCATCGACGACAGACAGTTATGCCATTCTAATCATGTACGCGGCGCAGAGCATCCACGTTGGGCCTGTGCATCCTTGAGATCTTTTGATGTTTAGACATGATCTTGGAATTTCCGGAATGATGGGGAATAACATACCTTCATGCCTGTCGCCGGCTGGAAATCACAGTCCTTCATGGCACACAGCTCTGTACTTCTCTATATGTTTCGGAAAGTGCTCCTTCGACAGTACCGGACTGGCAAAGTACACACTGGCCTTTTTGCATTTCTCCTCGGAAATAATCGGCCACAGGGGCGCAAATGATCGTGCGGCAGAATACAGGGAATGCTGGTTGACGCAATCCATGAACGGCTTCAGTTTCTCGGACTTGTCACACAAATGTAAGTCACCAAAGTGGGATTTACATCTGGCAGACACATCCTTGAACATCCGATCGAAGAAATCCGTCAAGGGTGACTTGGTCTCGGAAGTACCGCAGTAATTGGTCTCGTCCTCCACGATCCCGCCCATCACCTCGGCTCGGCCTTGTTTATCCCATAGATCAAGTCGTGGTTGGCAGCCACTCGAGCAGGTATGCTGTCGTGTGTTCTCAATAAACGTGCTTGGGAGGTTTCGAACGCCTGAAATGCGCTTAGGCACGATGTGCCCAGTATGGCGACTGTCACGGGAACGAAGCCCAGACATGCAAGGTTGATCATCGTCCATATTCGAAGAGGCCTCATATTGATTTCGAAGCCCTTGGACGTAAAAAAAGATGAATAGTGAAGTTAGATAAGGAAAGAAAGATACCATATGATCACCAAACCCAGTTGTTATGAAGGTGGAACAGCTAAAATATAAATGACACTGGTCTCACATGAATAGTTACTATCTGGGAGAAATTGGGTGGACGATGAATACGCCTATCCCGCAGGCCCTAGTGGTATTTGCCCACTCCTTCAGTTCGTCATTATGTAAAAATTATGAAAACCTTAATATACATGGCGGCTACTTCGTGACATGTACCAATGTAGTTGATCAGTCCAAGGAGCAGGCTCGTCTCACCGCCATTTGCCATCTCGAAGTGAGGCATACCACACCGAGCATTTCGCAGACCCTTATAACCCACTGATATCCTGTGATCAGTTCTCCTTCAAGGCACAAAACTCACAGATACACTTCTACACCTCCCAAGTGTTATGGCGCAAAAATCCTCATTCACCCTCAGTATTCCACCATCCACTCTTTTTGAAGTCCCCATTGTCGTGGAACGACCTTCGATACCGTTTCCCGCATCATGGCTTCGGTTCGGGTCATTCTGGATCCCTACCTCATGGCATACATATAGCATGGACATTCGATTCCCCACGACGTCAATAACACTGTATCTCTGGATGGTCATGCTGCTGAACCGGCAGAACAACCGGCGAAAAGGTCGGCCGTGGGCCATCGCTCAGACAAGAATATTCAAGTGGCTGATTATAGCCCACAATTTTTTCCTGGTGCTCTATTCCGCATGGGCCTTTTACGCATCATATATCTTACTCCAAACGACTTGGCCGGAGAAACAAGATCCACTCTATATGAGCCGTGTGGCAGACCTTCTGTGTCTGGGCGACAATTTTTCATCGATTACCGACTTACCGGGTCAATCCGCACATCATTTTTACAGGCCCCGGATTCTGTTCATCAGCTGGACATTCTATTTATCAAAGTTCTATGAGCTGATCGACTCGGCTATCAGCCTTGCCAAAGGACGCCGGGTGACTACGCTTCATGCCTACCACCACGCGGGCGTCATTGCGTGTGGATGGGCAGCTGTTTACTTTGCCTGCCAGCCCGCAGTCGTAGCTCTGTTCTTCAACTCGTTCATTCATGTGATCATGGTCAGTTGAAGTGTACTATTCTTCCTAATCAACGTGGTGGTTTACCTACTTGCATATAAGGGAAGCTAACCTTCTATGGTCCAGTACACATACTACACCCTAACCGCGCTCTATGTGCCGGTACCCCTTTTCTGCAAGGCATTTTTGACAATGCTGCAGATGGCACAATTCCTCTTTGGAGTTGCCATTGCCACATTGTTTGTCTTTCTTGAATACGAGGTTCCAGGTCTTCCACTACGCCCAAATAGGGAAGACACCACGGTATCTTCCTGGCCTAGGTGGAGAGGACACCAACACCAAAGCCCCGGAGAAACAGTCCGTGTACGATGCATACACAACAGCAGCCAGGCGTATGTTCTCTGGGTTGGCTCTGGGTTCGTTGCTCTTCTACTATGTCTGTTCATGCGGTTCTTCTACCAAACATACCTGAGTCCGAAACTCTACAGGGGCAAGAAGTTCCTTTAACTGCTTGTTCGGAATTACTTCGAACAACAGCACTCATCCTAAGCTGCCCCTGTGCTCTTTTACTTCGTTCCTTGTTTGTTCCGTTTAACCTTTTTGCTGAAGATGGTGGCAAATACGGGCTGGAGTTGCCAATTGCGTCGAATACGTGTACCCAACCCCAATCACAATAGTGAGCATCTTCTTTCATGATCCCCCGGCACTCCAGTTTTGTAGATTCATTGCCTAATCCATAATGCCATAAAAAAGACAGGGCTCTCTTGATTTTCCGCGCTCCCATTGGTCCAGAGTGCGTGCCCGGAAGACCCACACCCCATCAAATTCGCGAAATCCGCAACCGCCGACCGCAGCGACCCTGCCAGGCACAGTCATAGACTATTCACGATTCATTCGATGCAAGAACATGAATGGGTAGAAATCCCCCCAAAACTATACTGGGAAAGGTAGGAACTCGCGGTATTTTGGTTGGATTCTGCTGACTCGCAACTTTGATTAGGTCTGGGTTTGGATTGCATAGCACAACGACAATTTGTCTCAGCAAAATTCCTACTGGAATTATTGCCTGCAACACTCCATAGCAATGTACTCATGATACGCTCATCAATAAGACGGGGAGGGTAAAATTGCTCTTCATGTTCTTCAGTGGTAACCATGAAATCAAGCGTCCATACAAAGTTCAACTTGATAGTCGTGCCCCGGTTCCCCGTATGGATGTTATCATAGTGTTCTCAGGACCAGCCCGTTCGCAGCTTACAGGGGAATGGAAAATGGCGCGGTTCAATTGTCTATCTTTTCCGAACTAATGATACGTCTTTCCACTTTACGCACCGTTTGCACCGATTGCATATTGGGACGAGCTAGCCTAAAGTGGTCGGTATCTCAGGCTTCTTTTCATTACAATGGCGACAACTACTCAGTCTCTTACGGCAGGAAGATCCTCCGTTAATGCAGATTTCCAGCCATTCAAAATGTCCCATATTCCGAGGTTGCATCTCAAATGGTCAATTGATACTCTACGAGGGCTCCGGAATAGGCCAGTGAAGGGTTCAAGGACAGATTGGAGCAAAATAAGCGGCTCAAGTTGAAAAGGTTTGGAGAGGAAGTCAACCCCTCGCTAATATTTCGTGTCTCGTTGTTAACATTAGGAGCTCAGAATACAGCTGTCCAGAGTCTCGCTTCCTCCCAATCAGTACGACTTTGTCAATGCGCTGGCTAACATATGACGCATGCTTTCCCATGCCGACACCGTCGTCTTCAGGCAACCCTATTGCGTAAATGTCGTTGCCAGTTGCTGTCTCTTCGTTGACAAGACGAGTAATTTCCGGGGCCTGAACAATGGGAAAGCTTCCCCCTCCAAGATAGATAAACTCTTCCATTCGTGTAACCAGTCCTCGATCCATCGCCCAAAATCTTGGTTGTGATATCGAAGAAGACAAGTAACAAGAAAACTCGAAACTCCGATCGAGTGTTAAACATTTCCTATTACATAAGTTCGCTGGTCGAGGCCCGCCGCGATGCGAAGCAAGATGGTCATCCAGTGGGCACCTTCTTCTTCACTGGCCTTTCTTTCGATCGCCTCACTAAATAGACCATGAGAACTCAGCATACTGTAGAAGAAGGTCCTGCATTGCGCGATTCGGGAAGAGACATAATATGCGTAGTTCATTGCGAGGCCGTGAGACTGGAAAAGACGTGCGCGGGTAGTACCCTGTTCCGGGGTCTCAAAACTGAGGTAGGATTCACAGGAAGCTCAGACTGTGGAAGAGAAGAGTGCCACTCCTCAAGTTTGCATGATTTGATGTTCAGGGATGTAATGCGCTCGTCAATGATGAATTCTGGCCGTCGTTTCCCACACGGCCCTAGCTGCAATACAGCAATGGTGTTGATCCGGCATGACTCGCACAGTATGAACATCACAATCGCGCGCCGTGCATCGATCGAGTAAAAGATGTCGGATAAGTCCCTAGACAGACAAACCGACCGTTGCATGAGTTGAAATGCGAACGAACTGAAGTGCATTCTGAGCCACCAATTTCGGCCAGGACCCAAGCCGCAGTTAATCTACGACCTAATGGATCTGACGATATTACTGTGAAATTTGTTGTAATGAACGTGTTGATACCTTGAGCATGGCAACAAAAGCCCGCAAAGCTGCCCATTGCGGACTCCAAATAACAAAACAAAACGAGCACCGCTAAGGTATAGGATGGTGAGCACGAAGTATTACTGTCAATGCTCCTTGCAATTTATTTGATTGAAGAGCCATAGTAATGATGACTTGATAGAAGGTATTCCCATCTAGGTCGGTATGTGACTTGTAATGAGGACGGCCCGGGTCGCTTTTGGGAGAGGATCGGCTCAAATTGCAGGCCGAAAGAGCTAAAAGAGCTTGTATCAAAGAGGTATGGTCATTCAGCGACCCTTGCAATTCGCCTCATATGGCGCGTAGGGAGCATGAGTAGACTTCTACGGATGCCGCTCACAATCGTACTCGATCTATACCTAATACCTAATGTAATGCCAACTATTGGGCCCTCGAGAGAAACAACGGATCGGTCACGTCACTACCTCTTGCCCTTACCCACACGTCGACAATTTTCGCCGCGTCTGCATCTAAGTCGGAGTCCACCACAAAGTAGAAGTTGTAGAAGGAAGCTGCGACACAGGCGTGATTTGGGTAGAGTTTCACCACCTGACCAACAGAAAGGGGAACGCTTGGTGAATTCGCCTCTTTGTCTTCCCAAGCAACGATGGAATGTTCCTGGCTGATACGTTCCACAATCAAGGATGACTGCGAGTTGGAAGGTGATTGTCGCCAAGAAGACAATTTGGCCCAGCCAGGATAGCTAGGACATGGCTCTCTTCCCAGTGCCAATGTTCCGGCGGCAACGAGAGCCTCAGGTTGAGACCTTTCGCCATCGTTGTAAACACTGCAGACTTCCGCAAGCACAGAGACTGCAATCTCCTCTTTGGGGCTCTTCAGTTGCATGCTCGCTTTGGTTGACAATTGTTGCATGTCAAGAAGCGGGTACACTCCAGCGTGCAGTTCCACCTTGACATCTGCATCTAGGTCACTTGCAAAAGGAGCACGCAGTAAATCTCTAAGAGTTCTTGATTCGGGTCCCATTTCGTCCTTTCGCAGAAGATTCTGCGACGACAGTGCCTGTGGAGTTGCTCCCACGCTGATGACAAGCTGCTTTTGGGGGAAAAACTTTGAATGGAGTTGGACTGCTTCTTTGCAAGAGTCAATCTCATTAATCAAATGCTTCATTGCTTCCTGAGGGGTTGTTCCTGCATAGCTGAGACTACTATGCGAGTAGACACCCAGGAACTTAACATATCCTTGTTTTTCAGAATTTGCCAGCTTCTCGAGAAGGCCTTGCTTGTTCAAGGCGACGGGCGGTAGTCCGGCTCTATGATAGCCTGAGTCGACCTTGACAAAAGCTGACACCGCAAATTTAGTAATTGCCGAAAATTGCGGGAGGTAGTCAACCTGATCCGAGTGGTCGATCATTACGGAAATGCTTTCGTGTCCAATTTCTAAGGCGATCTTCGCCAATCGAGCCACTTGCGAAGGCACCAGTGGTATGCCATAGAGCACGTTGACGCGACGTCCCTCAGACTGCAATTCCTTGAGAAGAGGGATCAAACTTTCGATTTCAAGGATAGTCGATGCAATGAAACTTCCGTCGAGGGTCTTGTCGCCAACTTGCATTTCGGCAATTTCGGTGGTCTTAATTGGTTAGAGACTTGTAAAGCGAGGTATAAATCAAAGGACTTACTTTGTGAGACTTGACATGAGCCCGAAATCCAACATCCAGCTCTCTCACAGTTCTAATCATTGTTTCGCAATGTCTTCTGATGATCGCTGCATCGAGAACGAGAGCTGGTTTCGGCACGCCACTCACATCTTGGCCGACATAGAAGTCTTTCAGTTCCTGCTTGGATGCCATGATGGGATCTTTGCGTGTTGGAGATGTTCGTACCATTCAGCAGAGTCACCTATTATATATTGCGTTTGAATAACGTTACTGTACCTTGAACCCATTCCTCCAATATGATTAGCTGGTGAGACGAGGGAAAAAAATCCACGGAACGAAAGAACAGCAGACATCTCGCTCCCGGGCACCCGATTCGGATGGCTAGTGGGGCGGAAGCCGAGAGGGCGATACACTTTCATTTCCTTTGCCTCGCAAAGAAAATAACTCATTTGATGCTTCGAGCTTGGATGAAATTGGAGAAAGTAGCTGGAAAATTTTCAGTGAAAAGCCATCACTTTCTACCCGCTGGAGATGTGTGGGGCTTGATTTCGACCCATTACTCGCTCCAAGATACTGAGACGAGTCCACGAGAACGAGCATATCGCAAGCGATGGTTTAGAATCGCTATACGTCTTTGATCATTGATTGTTCTATCGAAAGGTGGAAACCGTTCATGTCCCACACAGTATAAGACTCCATGTACCGGCTCTATGTTGATTTTGTAGACCCATATCAAATACATATTTTTCATATTGCGCAAAAATGTCTGGCAAAAAGGTCCCTGTTTTGACGCAGGATGCTCCTGTCCCAATGCCAATTCTCTCCCAGGGAATTGTCTACAAAGGGGTAGTCTATGTCTCCGGAAGCTTGGGCATCATTCCCTCAACAGGAAAATTCGTAGATGGCACTGTAGCCGATCGCACGGTGAGAAATGCACCCTGTCCCCTTTCATCATCCAATAGCTCTCGCGCTGATGATTTTCGACAAGGACCAAATCTTCCGCAGTATATCCGCTATTCTCAAAACTGCGGGAAGCAGCTTAAACAGTCTGGTGAGTCACTTTTCGCTTAAAATAATGGCATTCTCAACAGACTCACAATCCTCCAGATCAAAGTCAACATTTTTCTCACCAACATGTCCGAATTCAGCACTATGAATGAGGCATATGCCAAAAACATGCCATCTGGAGTCATGCCTGTAGGCCTTGTTTTCTCAACCAATTTTGGCCCTAAATTGACCCAGTCTAGGTTCGCACATGCGTTGCTGTAAAGGGATTGCCTTTTGGTTCGGACGTTGAAATTGAATGCATGGCGGCTTTAGAATAGAAAATTCGTGAAGAAATGCTCCAGAAACAGAATCAAAAGAAGTGCAGACTCTCAAGTAACGTGACGACTGTTGCTTGCTCCCACGTGGTGGCCAACGGGTTTTAGAAATATTTTGAGACTACCATTCATCTCTGACTGGTTATTTGAGGTTCTATAGCAGAACTCAGGTTATTCTGGCAAAGAACTCGTGACAATATTTATATAGATTCAAATTCCAAGTGAAACGCCCTACTTCTCCCCATAAAGACGACAGATTGCTTCTACCGTAGTATTACCTCCTGACAGAACCACACCAACATCCCATCCCTTCTCTCCGCCTTCTTTTTCTGCAATTTGCCGAAACTCCTCATTAAACAGGATGACTGCAAGAGGCACCGCAGCACTTGGCTCGATGAAGACCTTTAGCCTTTCCAGGATTAGCGTCATTGCCTCTTTGATCTGTTCTTCGGTTACAGAGAAAATCCCCCTAACTTTCTTCTGATCAGAGATAACGGCCCAGTTGACCTCTCCAACGGGTGTTCGAAGACCATCCGCGATCGTCAGGGTACTGACTGTAGAAATCCGAGATCCACAAGCGAGACCCCGTCGACCATCATCGCCGCCCTCAAATGACGGCTCGGCTCCGAAAACGTAAGTGGAAGGAGTGTTCGAGAAATAAGTGGCGGTTCCTGCAAGCAAACCTCCTCCACCCAGAGGTGTGATAACAGCATTCAGCGGCGCATCACCTTTGGAATAGGTTTCATTACCGAAATCTTTCAGTAAATCTTCCACTTGCTTTTCAAGCTCGAGCCCCACCGTACCTTGTCCCAGAATGATATCAGGGTGGTCGTAAGGATGAACGAGAATAGCACCCGTCTCCTTGATGACTCTTTCAACCATAGCCACGCGTTCTGGCTCAGTTGATCCGCTGAAAAGAACACGAGCGTTGTAAACACGAGTTCCCGCTATTTTGGATTTGGTGGAGATCGACGGCATCACGATATGGGCAGGAATTTTCAAGGTGAATGCCGCAAGCGCAAGAGCCTGAGCATGATTGCCTTCTTATTGTCAGAATTGTTCCCGTCTCAATAAAGTTCGAGGAATGCTCTCTTTACCAGAACTATGAGTTGTCACGCCGCGCTTGCGTACCTCATCAATCCCCAATTCAGAGCAGAGTCTCAACAGGGCATGAAATGCGCCCCTCGCTTTGAAAGCTCCGATTTTCTGGAAGTTTTCACATTTGAAATAAAGTCGGAAAAGCGGCGTCGCAGGCTTCTGACCTTCAAAAGCAATGCCCTTGAGTGCAGATTCCTCCTGGGCTGTAGAGGCGATGCGATCGAGGGTTTTTGATCTCAATACCGGAGTTTTGTGGATGTATGGGCTGATCAAAGGATATGCAGCCTTGATTGAATCCGAAGTGAGCGGAGGGTAGGTCATCAAGTCCGCCATGGTGTTTTCTTGGGCGGCGGTACACAATGAAGGGGGACAGCGCTAATATTGTCTGGATTCGCTGTGGGGTTGCGTATGGATGCAGTGTCGAGTCGTAGAAGATATACCACTTGAAGCATTGATGGTGGAGCATGCAGCCTGATTTATATCCTGGGAGCAAGGTGTGGGAGTAACCGATTAGCTGTTCAAAATACTCGTTCCCGCGCACCGCATTGGGAAAGTGGAAATTTTCGCGGAGATATCGTTCTACGGACTCGGATTGGACTAAGCTGGGTCCAAAAGAGCTGCGATGATTGGCGACCTCGTGATTACATAATTGTAAAAACAGACCTCGAGTGTACTCCAAAAATTGGAGTCATATCCAGACACAATGTCTCCTCCACTTGTCGTTGGGGAATTACTCCATACAACTTGCCCCAACGAAGAAAAGCACTGGGCGTGAGGATAAATTCGGAAGAAATACTTCAACTTTAGAGAGCACCTAAAGTTCTTGGTTTAAATGACCGACATACACTCGGAACGTCAAAATGCCACTTCTTGGTGACGAAATCCTCCAAAGGCCACTCAAAGTAGCCTGTATCCAAATAGCAAGTGGTGAGAGCAACTACTTCGTACGATTGCTGTTGACTTAAAACTAAACTACTGATCCAGGTCCCAACAAAGCTGTTAATATTGCTCGGGCGAGAGAGAAAGTCTTGCAGGCGGCAGCCGGAGGCGTCTCTCTTGTTGTTCTTCCGGAATGTTTCAACTCGCCATATTCCACGGCAAGGTTTCGTGAGTATGCTGAGCCCTTGTCATCGTGCCCCGACCTCACAGAGGCACCTACATTTGCCGCATTGGCACAGGTGGCCCAGGATGCTGGGGTTTTTCTCATAGGAGGAAGTATTCCAGAGTGTGATCAGGCCGGCAAAATCTATAATACCTGCGCGGTATACTCCCCTCAAGGAAAATTACTTGCATCTCATCGCAAGATGCATCTATTTGACATCAACATTCCCGGTGGCATGTCATTTCGTGAATCAGATACCTTATCCTCAGGGAACGAAATTACCATTGTGGATTTGGAAGGATATGGCAAAATCGGCATCGGAATATGCTATGACATGCGATTCGCAGAATTAAGTACGATTGCAGCTCGAAAGGGCGCTTTCGCACTAGTTTTCCCCTCGGCATTCAACACAACCACAGGACCACTTCATTGGGAACTTCTTGGTCGGTCCCGGGCAGTCGATAATCAGGTCTACAGTATTCTGTGTTCACAATCGAGGGCAACACCCCCTTCATACCCTGCTTGGGGGTATAGCATGGTTAGCGATCCGATGGGTCGAATTGTTGCCGGGGCTAAGGAGAGCGAAGACATTATATATGCGACATTGGAGCCAGGTGTTATTAGGGAGTCTCGCCAGGCGATTCCAATTAGCTACCAGAAGAGATATGATGTGTATCCAGATATCGGGAAGCTCGTTTGAACTGCATGTAAATCAGAATCGAGCTTGAATTGATCTAATCATTTGTTTACCCTGTGTCATCAGAAATTAGAGCAAGTAAATTGGCTTCAAGGAGTAGAGGAAGGATACCAGGATTCGGAGGCTAAAGTTGGGGTAAGAAGCCTGGGCGGGGTCAGGTGGCAAAACTTTGGAAGACCCCCCGAAGCCAATTGCGACAGTGTTGACTCTCGTAAAAGTCGCATCATCCGCAGAGAGACCCCGAGTTCCCCGGACTTATCACCCTTGCATGCCCCTCCATGCATTTGTCTCAGGAACACTATGTACAAGCCTGCTCCGCGACGCCCCAAGAAGACGAGCATCATTCGGTCCCGGTCTGGCTGCAAAGCGTGCCGACAACGCCGAGTGAAGGTACGTTTTGCCTGGCTGATTATATGCAAGAGCCCAGGGGCTAATAGCCCGCAGTGCGATGAGAAGCAGCCGTCATGCAGCGCATGTGTGCGCCGCGGAAATAAGTGTGAAGCGATCACTCCCAAATTCGACTTCCGCGATGGCGTTGTGCTTGGTGCCAAACCACGAGGCATTCGCCGCATCAAACAAAAAACGACACAAAGTAAAGAGCTACCTACCCAAGGCATAACCGAGCATGATAAATTGTGTCAATCTGGGTCTGATGATTTCTTAATTCAACCCAACCACCCAGACAATGCTCCCACGCCTGCGCCTCACCCAATCGACGACGGATGGCTTTCATGCAGTCCGCTGACACCCCAATCTCTGACCACAACATTTCTGTCACCATTGCCAAGCCAAACTATAGGAAGGTCTCTCGTTCGATCAGAAAATGAGCAATTTTATCTCGCGCACTGGGAGAAGTCTTGTGCGCAATCACTCCCGTTATTCCAGGCACAAATCACTGCCATGGCCGAGGAACATGCACCATTAATGCAAGCTCTCTTGGCTCTCTCGGCTTCCAATATGAGTCGATCGTTGCCAGAAGGAACGAAAGGAGGGACTGAAACATCACCTTCAAAAATCATATATCGTCCTAGGCGCGAGTATCTTTTATCAAGCCAACACTACTACGGTTCCGCAATCAAACAAATCGCAAGAACCATCGAAAAAGGCACATCCAGCAGTATATCACACATTTTGGCTGCGATGATTCTATTCTGTTACTTTGAGTCCGCGATGGGAAATTTTGCGGGTTTTGCTTGCCACGCCCAAGGCGTCGACACATTCATACATGCGCATCTCATAACAATATCATCAGACCCAATAGGTCGTGAACTAAATGCGGCATGGGTTCTAACAAAGTACCACACTTGGTGGCTCAGAATGAATTTCAGCTCATTCTCGTTTCAACTTAGTCAAGGCTCGCTTTGTCTATCTCCGGATATTTCGAACATGCTTCGCTCAATCAATGCAGGGCGAGTGATAGTCACGTCGATCTTGTGCGAATCATATCGTCTCAATAACATCGCTCTTCTACAGCTGGGACCTTGTGGAACGAAGACCTCAGGTGTTTCCGTTGAAGAGTGTATTGCATCTTTACAAATCGAATCAAGGAGGCTCGATGAATGGCATGCTGAACTTCCGCAGTCAGAGCTCCCAATCGAATCATTTTCCGGCTTTGTGGATAAGGATGAAGTAGGGATCCGCCCGCTTATGTTCAAGTCACATTATTTCGCGATGAACTACGCCTACTATGTTTGTTCCCGAATCATGCAATGCACTGCGCTGCTTCACGAATTAAGGTGTACGCATGCTCAATCAAATGACCCAGAAAAGAAGGAAATCAACCAGTGGATGACTTTATTGGTTCGCATTGTGTCTGGTCTCAACAAAAAGGATTGCTTCAGAGGCAATGTCTACTCAATCGGAGTTTCCAGTCTCCTTGCTGCTGGTCTTCTCCGGTGTCAGAATATGACAATCGGGAGATGGATCGAGAAATGGTTGCATGAATGGAGCATATCATGCATTTTGGAGGAAGGAAGTTTCCCCATCCTTCAGGCCCTGGAGGCTATTCGGCAGATCAATGAGGAGAAGGCAGCCGGTAATGACATTTATGCGATAGCGTTGCCCGAAGATGATGGCGGTGGTACCGGAAAGTATATGTCGTATAATAGCCAGAATTTCGACAAGATCGTAACGATAGGGAGAAGAGGGACCTCGGGACGGTTATATTGCGAATTGGTCCCTAGATCATCGTTTTGCGGGCGATTTTCGCGCGAAAGTTGGCAAACATAACCGTGCCAACTCCAGCTAAGGAAGGCTCCCTATGACTTTAAAAGTAGAATCAAATTTCTATGTGCAAATTCCTTAACAACCCTTTTGCTCGCAATCATGGCAAGAACACGGATCCGTGATATAAGATAGACCTGTAGATCCGAGTCGAACCCGATATGGAATCTCCATCGAGGGAGGATTATGAACTGAACGCTTAAAAACCAAGCGAAATATTAGATGGACCAGGGAGACAGGAAACAATGCAAAATTCAAACGATTGTCAATCCAGTAACTTGGAAACACTCCTCATACCTATCTGAGCTTTTGAGTATCTCCAGCCTCCACCAATCTGTAGAGAAAAAGAAAGCGTAACATGTGCAGTTTGGGGCCACATGCAAGATCTCGACAGCCACCATCGCCGCAACCATTGTCTCGGCCGGAGCTGGACCGCCTATCAATACGACCTTTGCCGGGGGGCTCCAGGAGTCTCGGAGCACTAGGTCCGCAGCGGCCAGGAGCCTCGCCCTTGGAACGAATGCTCTCGCCAACAGCAGCATCATCATCCTCGTCCAGGTCAATTTTATCACTACCACACTCCTTGACCTGGCTCATCTTGACCTTGTCCTTATAGCCATGACGGACAGCATCAGAGACGCTGACAACAGCCATGTGGGCGTTGATGCCGCTAGCTTCCTCACCAGCCCCGCCCAAGACGTTCTCTGCTCCATCAAGTGCTGAATTTCTCGAGCAGCCTGATAAGCGCGACGTTTGCTATCCTGCTCTGCAACCGCCTCAGCCGTAAGAACCTAACGCTTGTTGTAATATGCATGAATTTTCCACGAGACCATTGTGAAGTGTATTTTCCTACGTTGTCTTCTTTTTTGTCTGGTATCTGAGTCCAGCCGGGCGTTTTCAACCTCGTGGCTTGTATCCTCTTCGTGACTTACAATGTAGCTTATGACTGTGGCAAGAATATTGATTGAGTGGAGGAATAGGCCTAGGAAGTAGCGGTAGAATATTGCTGTCGCCAGTGTCTGGTACTAGTACTGTGGGCGGTGTGATTGGATGCCGTTGCTGGTCGATTGAGGGATGTCTTTTCGAGGAGGAAGTCCTTGTTACAACTATTTATACCTGTTCCTAGCCTTTTTACAACGTGGGAGCAGATACTACGGTAAGTTTTCGTCCGGAACTGACATTCTTACATCCTTGTGACTTTACTTATTTAAATCTCTGTCAAGTGTCGTTCGTTAGTGCACCACTTGAACTGTCTTTCAAGGCATGAAGAAAGACCTCGAGGCACAACCATGTAGCACCTTGAAATAGTCTGTGATCAACAACACCATTCCGAGTATACTAGAAACAGAAAACGGTTGTCTAATTGTATAATGTAGGGAAGGTATGGCTTTATCATGACCAGACTGGAAGCAGTCTTCTCAATTATTGGCATCGAGAGAACAGCAGCTATCAATATCGTGGGAATACTTCACAGTAAAATTTCATTCAGGATCACATTAAAACAAGAGACTTGATCATATGACCACTCTCCCAATGAGAAAATCAAAGTTTGATACGAACCGCATGGTCAACTTATGGTTGCACAAGAAACACGTGGATCTAGCCCAAGATTCGCAATATTGAAACCTGTAGAAGTTTACCAGTAGGAAGAAACTATTCTAGACAATACATCCCATTCCTGTACATAATATCTTCAAATCACAGGAGCGCGACGCACTTCATCTCAACGTCGGTATATTCCGGGATCGACTTAACGGCGACGCAACTATTCCATAATTCGCATATTATTTCAGCTTCTGTCATGTGCCAGGGAAGTTGATGTTTACTTACGTTCGAACGGGCTTGATCTCGCCAAACCACTGCATATAGGTCTCATTCATCTTCTCGAAATCTTCCATATCGGCCAGGAAAACATTAACTTCGACCATTTTCTCAAGGCTGGATCCGGCTGATTCCAGTACTGCTTTCAAATTTTTGATGCATTGGTTCTAAGGCAGAGTCAGCTGAAGACTTTCTCAATGAATACAAATGAGTCTCCAGATTCGATTTTCGATTACATACCGCACGGTCCTGCACGGTCCCTGAGACAATCCTGCCGGTGGCGTCCTTCGGAAGCTGACCAGAGCAAAAGACAAAGCCATTTGCAACAACTGCTTGGTTGTAGAATGGCCGAGGAGGAGGTGCCTTCTGTGTATTGACTGCTTTGCAGCTAGACATACTGGCTATGTTCACTGAGATGATGAGAGTCAATTTACTCTTAAGCCTTTTGCCCCTTGTCCCCTCTTAAGTTCTCACCGAACCCGCATCTTTGGAGTAACCCCAAGCTGACATATGCCATGATCCATAGCTGCATAAACTCAATGAATCGGACCGCGGAGTGGATTTTCTGGAAATTCAAGTTTGTCTTTCCGTATCCGAATCCACAGCAGCACCTTTAAGCTATAATAATTGCTTTGTGCAGAATTTGGGGTCTAGTGTTATTCGGTTCCGGCTCTCTCGCGCTCTCTCTTTGTTGGAGTATAGTTTATGCGTTCTGTTTCGCTCTCGCGCACCCGATATGGCATGTGGGGCGCTAAGTTTGGGTCTCGCCAATCCTCGTGTGTTGTTGGCAAGACTCCCTTTCTATCCGCCGACTCGACCTTTATTTTGCCAGATAGCATACCTGTGAACGCAAATCCAGATCATCATCCGCTAGATCCCTCACTGACTAGCGAATCATCGCCCGCGGCACTGATCAGCGAGGATAACGAAGAATCTCCGATCCGATCCCCTAACCAGTCCGGCTGTGATCATACACGTATTCTGAGCGACACTACTGACTTGTGGCCTGATGTGGACGTGCCAGATCCTGACATCATCGTCGATTCGTATACCGAGCTAGAGAGTCAAACTCCAGACCAAGAAACGAAAAGTACCGGAGCGCTACTCGCAGAACAGCTCCTCCGGTCTCCCAAGTGCTGCATTGATTGCCATACGCGATATAAGCACGAGCGGAACCCAATCGGATTACCGAGCCACGGTCTGAACGAGGTCTTCAGCTGGCCCTGTCCCGACGTGCTCAGCACGACCAGACTGGCCAGGTCTGGTGACCAATTGATCGAGAACTGGCCACCAGAACAGCGTGAAAAAGTCTTCTGCGGAACCGATGCGGGACAACCCAGCAGCGTGCCTGCTATCTGCTTGGCCCGGGGGGAACAGAAGTTAGGTCCAGCAGCCGTCCACTTCGATATTGACAGTGTCTTAGCTCATATAACCAGTCCAGCTGTCTGTTCCCAAGGCCTCTACTGGTATCCTGTTCAGCGGCCGGTCTCGGACCTCCAGTCGGATCTTCACTTAGATCCACTCCCGGTTCAGTTCACAGATGGCCACGGTCACCTACATTGCGTCTCAGTACCGCTACATCGCGTTAAGCACTACACGTTTGCCCGGGTGTCGGGATTCGAGGATGCATCGATCTACGCCCTGTTCCCTAGACTCCATCAGCCCCAGCAGAAGTCTAGCCAACTGCCAGATGATCAGTTTCGGGTCTGGATAGACGATATCCTCCTCCCAGCGGTCCATCAATACTACTCCGATGCCCGGCTACAGCATTTCCCTTCCAGTTTCAGTCATAGCAACTCAAACTCATGGGCGGCGTGGGCGGAGGGCCGATCGATCCAGACACAGTCCCGTCAACAGCTACTCAGCTACTTTCTGCCACCCGAGCACCTAGATCATATCTGGCAGGCTGTTCATCAAATTATTCGAGTAAAGGGGCTAGACGAATTCCAGGGGGTTCGTCTTTTCCTGAGTGCTAAGAACCTGAAGCTCCGTACACAGTCCGCGACCTGGTCAGGTATGCAACATCGGTTTCAACAGTTATGGAGCAGCACTGCCAACCAGAGTTATATTCACGAGGTCTTCTTTGATATTGGGAAGGAAACATGTCCTATTGCCCCCGATTCTGGCCAGCCCATTAGGGGGCAAACTCTGCTCTGGAAACAATGCTGTCCAGACAAGCTTCTCCGCTCCCCGCTAGTCCAGAACCCGGGGAAGACAATATTTTATCTTTTCTCGTTTCTCCGAGATACAGGGTCCTTGACGATCCAAACCCGGACTAGATCTCACCTCCGTAAGACCGGGCTCCTTTACAGCCAGTTCTACAACTCGGTCAAAGAGATCTTTGCGGCTGGAAATCAGTACCCCTTCAGTAATCCACTGTTAGAGGCTCTAGCCCTGGACCACGTGTCATATCAAACTTGGCAGCATATCGGGAAAGGTTTTCATGACCGAAACACCCTCCATCGCGCGTACATCCACAGCAAGTCCCGGTGTGCAACTGCAATCGATGCATCTATTGGAAAATCTTTTGGGACCCGGGAAGAGCATCGGGTGCGCGAAGACCTCCTGATCCAGATTAATCAGGAATTTCAGCGACGCCGCGCGACTCAACGGGAGATATCGCAGCGGTGGTCCCAGCGGTTAGCCGCGCAGGGAGTTCGGAACGTGGAGCAGGACGACGGGGTGGTGTTTCAAAATCCATCAAGTCAACCATTCTATATCCATTCCACTGCGACTATCCTTAAATGGGTACGGTGGAACATAAATCGGCTATGTGCGGGATTAGAGTTAACAAATAGTCTGCAGCGCCATTCTATGGTGTCCTGGGATCGCACCCAGGTAATGATCCTGTTCCTCCGCTGTCTCCGATGGGCATTTGGCGGAGGCGGGAACCGGTTAGAGCAAAGCCGGGCGTCTTGGCAAGACGTGAAAGAAGTTCCGGAGTCCAATGGCCAGATTCAGTATCGGGAGGGCATTGGACTGGGAACCACTATTCAACGCCACGGCTATGGCTGGTTCCTTAACAAGATCCACTGGGATACTATGGGTTTCCGCCCAGCCCATCGTCTCCACATGGACCTCCACACACCAGCGGGCATGGCCCAGTTTCGAGTCAATTACGAGCGTGTCCGCAAGTACCAGAATGATTTTCTTCTACTCGAGGATTATTTTCTGTATATAATTCAGTATCAGCGAGACCATACTGCGTCTACTGCGCTGCTCTCCCTCCTAATTGACTTCTGTCTGCGCGCCTTTCGGAAAGAGATTCTGACTGTCTTGCAGGCGGGCATACGCCCTGAATTTCAGAGCATTGCAGAGACTGGGCAGGTAGCGCTCAGCAAGCCCTCCCTACAACGGGTATTAAAAGATACCCACTGGCCTTCTGCCATCCTGACTGGCAATCGTTGTGGCATTAGGCGTGTTGATCATTTATTTGCTTGGCTATGGGGGCTGCATCCTGACGAGTATAGCCGCCTGCACTGGGCTCATAAACCATATCGTACACCGTACCGCCGCTGTGTGGTCAAGATCCAAGAAATTTATGGTGAGGAAATAGCCACTTCCTGGCAAGCATGCCTGAAACATCGCTTTCTCAGCACGCATTGGATGCTGCCATACCCAGACCAACAGTCCTTGTTCAGCCGGGACAAGCACCAACGGTATCGCTGGTGGTCGAGCTGGAATGAAGAACTGATACGGAACTCGCTCCCGGCATGCGTATCTGGGTGCCCAATCATTCCCACTACGCAATATGGACATTTACCTCAACATGGCTGGATATCATTCGCCCAGGCAATGCCCTTGGATATCGAACTGCCGCCCATCCCAGGCAATATGGAAGCATTCCTCAAGATGGTTCCCTCCAAACCAGTAGATCTCGGGGCGATTCTCCCCGCCGTTGTCACTATGACCATGGGGCCTCAATCTGGCCACGACTATCGGTTGCGTCCAAGCTCCCTCCGGAACCCTATCACAAGCTCGTCTGGGAAGATGGAGGCCAATGGACCTTCTACTGTCCCCTGCCGGTGGGCTGATTTCCTTGGCCAACTTTATAGTAAACAGTCAGGACCTTGTCTGCCCCAACCTGAACCCCACGCAGATGTCAATTCTCCCAACAAACAACCGCACAACGGTGTTTCGAAGAATAACGACTGCACGTTAATTTCCTCTTTTTGGCCGCATTTTGATGGATCCAGTGTTTGTGACCACTGGCCAACGATTCCCCAATCTTGGTCTGTCCGACCGGCCGACCGAGCAAACTTCGAAATACGGGCATCCACCTTCAGTAATCGGAATTGGGGGCTACTGAAGGGACCGGTAGAGTATACCGTAATCAGTGGATCTATGAGCATTTATCCCAAAGGCATTACGAATCTGTGGCTCCCACTCTGAGGCCAAAGCCGGGGCAGCCAGGGTATCGGAATTTACAGAGCAATCATCAAGGAAAGAGAGGGCGGCCACGTATCTATTCTAGTGACGAGACCAGGCGCATGGAAAAGATAAGGAAAAATCGAATCAGAAGGCAGGCAGTTGCTGCCGCTGCCCGGGAGGCCTATTTCCATTCAGTATATAACTAAAAGCTAGTGAATACATATTGTCGTTACATCACAGATTTACTCTTCCAGGTCGCTTTTAGTAGTAACCAGATACATGACACTCTTGCTTGAACCTATACATCTTCCGATACAATCCTTAATCCATAATGCCTTAAAGGACCCAGGGCAGGGTCCGACTTCTCTATGCGCTCATTGGTCCTAGATGAACATGGGCCCCACTTCCCTGCCGCTTGGACGGAACCATGACGCGACTGCGACGCGTTTGTTGTTTGTTCTTGATCATTTTGGAAATGCACGAAATGGACTTGAAATAATCAAAATCGCATTGATGTCTTTCGAATTCGATGACTTGTATTACGAAACATTGCATAAATCAGGCCGGTGGAAATATAACGACCTACACTTTCTTCCCTCTCATCCTTCCCGACAGTGGGAAGACATTGTGACCAATTTTACCAAAGGGACCATAGTCTAGCCTAGCTTTACTTCTGTTCTTCTCTCAAAAAGCGAAACCCAACGTAGCTGAACCCCTCAGACGCCGAGGAACTTGGATGACACGGGGTTCCCGTTCAACGGTCTGCAGCCAAGGCCAGTCTGGTTTCCGTATTGGAAGAAAGTGTCGACGTACTCATAACCTGGGCATTCGGGTTGGTCATAGGTGACAAGCACCCCACCCTTCTCCAAAGCCAAGAGTTGAATTCCCGAACCGCTATTGCCCAATCAGTTTTTGCAATCTCCAGAATCACCAGAGTAAGCGATAGGCTCTCTAGTACACCTGGCGTTTTAGTAGACTACAATGTGGTACTTACTTTCGGATCGAGAGTTCCCGATACCGGCGATAGTAGCTCCATGCACCATAGCGACAATATGTAGGAGAAAGGCAAGTGCGACAATTGTACTTGAGAATTTAGAGCACATCTTGGCTCAGCAGGGCCAATCAGCGGAGAACCTTTCTTCTCCAAATATGGGCGGTGAAATATCTAAGCGGAATTAATGGATATTGGTGCTCCGGTGTGCCACAAAGTAGACGACCCGGAGGTTTTGCGTCCTTGTGGGCACGCAGGCAGTATCTTAGAAGATGCGTAATTGTGCAGACCGTAGAATTTGGCAATCGGAATATCGAGGGTTCGCAAAAGCTGTTGAGATGAGGGATAGGATCTAGGAGGAGCGATGTGTGAAAGCCAGCAATGGAGTGATATTAAGGATTGAAGATTGGAGATGTCTAAAGTAACCCCTGAATGGAAGCGTGCTTTACATTGTTGGAGCACCTGAATAGTCCTGCACCTCATACCTCTGTTTGACCGTGTCCACGACACGGGGCGCCCCCTTTTTGTTCAACATACATGCTTCCCAATTGTCCGCTTTACCATATAAGGTTTAGCGCGTCTCAGGGGGGAAGGCAAGATAGCCATCGGAGCCTCAGCGGCATTGAAGACTGCTGAAACTCAACAAAAGCTTCAGAAGCAACAGAGCAGCGGCATTGCCGGGGAATGGGCAGCAAGCCCAAATATATATGCATCAGTCAACCGTGCATAGCAGGAACGCTCATTGCTCATGCCTCTCTAGGGTCAACCACTGCCTACATAATAAATCAACGTTTATTAACCTCTGCAGCACGTTCAACCTAGGCCGATAAACCATCTTAACTCAACAAAAGTATAGCACTAGCGGCGTTCGAACGGGTCATGACCTTTGATGCCATCGGTGGCATCGACTGCACTCAGTTTTGGTCAACTTTATTGCTCCCCAACGGTTTAAGAAGTTCTCTCGTTTATTTATTTAATCATTTCATCTCCCTGCAGAAAAGAAACGTCAAGTTGGTGGGATAATCCCTCGAAGCAGAAAACAAGCTTCCTCACCATCCGTTGGAACTTGTGGTGGTGGATACACATAGGATTATATAAAGTAAACTAGCAATGTTGTATGTCTCAGATTCTAATATTCCTGAATAAATACAGCACTTCAACTCTCTACTCTTACGAGAGGTTAACTGGAAAGCATCTTAGCATATGCCACCAAAACTCACTGTTACAGTATGTTCCGTGCCAGAACAATGAAATCAATGACGTTGGACTCGCGCGCTACTCCCCATGTATATATCATTCACCCCTCTTCTTAGAGATGATATCTCCCGATTCTCAGAGTGTCGAGAATCCCCTAGTCCAAACGAAGAAATCATGACACAAACAAAACTAAACTATTTCGGGTGTACTTTTACTACCCCACTTTGCTCGACATAGGGGGTTCGACCAAATCATAGTTGTTTCTCGGGAGCTCTAGCTAGGCCAGGGTTTTGCAGAGTTTTGTTGTTGCGTCCAGCACCTTGCCTACCTTGCCTGTAAGTTGCCCGTTAGTTAACGGATCTTGTCTTAGTTGTTAGGTTATGAAACGAACCCGTATCGGGCCCACAGGCGCCGAGAACACAGCCGGTGGCGTCGTTTCGTATCTTATCGAAATTTAAAGGTGCGCAAACGCAGCGTAAATCTGTTTTCGAGCACGGCGTAGTCTTTTTAATGGAACCTTTTAAACATGGGACCGCGCAGGGTGGGATGTCATTTAAGGACTGGGCCTGCACCGCGGCAACAATAGCGAGAATGAGGACCAAGTTCTTCATTTTGAGGGGATTTGTTCGGTGCAGTGTGAAAGAGTTTCGAGCGAGTTCGAAAAATTGACGGACACCAAGATATATATATCGCCTTCTGCATCTAGAGATCGCTGCCTTCGTCCCGCATATCGCGCTTAAATGTTCAATAGCGCAAGTGGTTCTACAAGTGATATCACACCACTTCCCGATAGGCCCAAGGGCATAGATGCATGTCATCGAACAGTGATCAACAGCGGATTATGCGATGTTGATGAATTCGGGTCTGATATAATTGCTTGATATATTATACTAAGTCTTTTGCTGCATGGTGTTAAGCTTCCTAGCTAATCATGGATCAACTTGTGCGATTCAAAGTATCGAAAATGAAGAGAAGAGAAAGGAGGAAAATAAATATCTAATAGGCGATATTGACATGTCCCAGGCCTCGTGCAATAACGATGAAATAACTGCGGAGAGCCTGATAGTTAACGGGTGAGGGTAGCTCGTCTTCCGGGTAGAAAGTGGGTCACACGTGAAGCAACATAGTCTGATCTACATTCTGCCTTACTAAACGAGACTACGTCAAGTGAGGTCACAGCGTTGATCGCCATCTCCTAAATGAAATATCGATTCTTAGGTGGGTAATATTTGAGCTCTTAAAGAAGCCCTCAGTAGTGTGACTAGTGTCAGTGAAGATATCACGTGAGGCAACACTAAAAAATACTCCCCTAACATTCGAAAGGTTGAATTCCATCGTGTATCCATTCGTACTCAATGGAATTATCTGTGAAGTTCATGCGCTTACAATTGTTATTCCATACTTGTGTGCGTTGCGGACTTCAGTGAATGCAGAGAGCTAGGATCCGAAGCTTTCCATGTGGTTCAACGGCCTAAAAAGACTGGCGTGCTCCATTAAGGTTCTCCTAGATAGAGAAAGCCTCGTTTGTATTACCAGATTTCAGATCAAGCAGAATGTCCCTCACAATGAGGTTGATAATATGGGCTAACCCCGTATATACCCTCCTAACCCATAGAATAAGGGATTAGAGTTCTTACAGACTGTGGACGTATTGTATTCAAATGTTGTATTCCTTGAGGCGAGTTGTAATCATAAATGTGGAGCGGGTTAACCCGCTTCCGAATCTATTGCCGGGCCCACCAGAATATTGAAACCTACCAGTAGCAATCACTAGCATCATGCAGGGAAACACTGAACAGCGAATAGTATGTATAGCAGTGTAGATCATTCTCATTCTATATAACAATGATTGTAGGGATGTTTTTTCTTTCTTTCTTTCTTTTTTTTTCAGCTCACCCTCCACTCTGCAAACCACCGCTTTGATATCAGGTCAGATGGTCAGATAGTTATCAATAGTGCTGTAGATCATATTCCAGACCACTGGATTATGTATTCACTTAGGCATCGAGTCACTAGGAGGAAGAACTCTTGTCAAGCCCATAAATAATCGCCTCTTACCCGATATCCGACTCGGAATGCCCGCAGATTACAACAATTGATACCTTCTATACCCAACCCATCAATATTCATTTCATCGCCATATCTCAATCACGTTTCCTAGCTCCTTGAAGTCACAATGAAGCTTTCAGCGCTGCTCGCAGTTTCCGCGTTTCTTGCAGAGGGAATCCTTGCACTCAATTGCAAGGATGGATTGAATTACTGTGGCAGGTCGATCATGCTCAAGAACCCCGATAGTAAGGAAGCACAACAACTATTGAGTACATGCCCATCAAGGACTGTTAGATGTGCTAAATTTGAATCTCAGATGACGAAGAATATTCTGACAATGATCTTGTTCATTGCGTGAATGGAAACGGACCCAACTACCTCTATCGTGAGGAGGTATGCTATGGGGGATGCATCGAGGCCCCCGACGGCAAGAGTGACTACTGTACGCGTACGTCCTAAAGTTCCCCCCCCCTCCTTCTCTCTTTTCCTCTCATGTTTCTTTGATTGAATCCCTTTGTTGGACATTTACCTTATCCATCTACCTAGGCTAAAAGCTAATTTAACCACAGCATTTGCCGGATTCATCGTGACCACTGCTACAGAAAACTGCATCAAATTAGCGGATGCCTCTCATCGCTCCTCGGTCGAAACAGCCGAGAAAAAACCAAAATCTGTAGCTAAGATCTTGCTTCTGGAAGCTGATATCAGGTATTTCCATACAATGGCTGTCTGCACGCTTCTTTCAGGGGGCGCAAACAAAGGCAAAAGCGGCGAGGCGCTCTGGAAGCAGACGGTGGATTTCTATGCGAAGACGACAGATAGGCTCCAAAATGATTTGAATGAGCTGAAGAAGGAACAAAAGAACTAGCATAGGGCTGTCGCACTAGCAAAATTAGACTCAGAGAGCAGAGAGAGCTTGGTGTTGGCCGAATGAAAGTCGTTAAATCCAAGTTTAAAATCAACAGGAAGCGGACATAGAACTAACTCCGTCGACAGCAAAGCTTTCAAGCCAGGTAGTCACGTGCGTTGTTGGGTCGTAAGGCCCCGCGCCGCGCCCATAGCCTAAGCAACGTAGATGTCCTTGAGGTAGCCACGGTCCTAGTCATGTAAAACTTGTTTCTGTCTTTCCTGAAGCTGGTCACATTTTACGAGGAACTTTTTTATTTGGCTGGTGAGTTTGTCGACGTCGGCGATGGAATTCAACTGTGGGACGGCGGCGAAGTGGAGGGCATAGCCTCGGGTTGGGATGGTGAGAAGAACGACAACCTTGGGCGGAGAGAAACAAGGTTGGCGGATGGACGGGCGGGTGGACGGGATGGGCCGGAGCAATAAAATTGCGTAGCAGGAATTGAAGCTCTTCAGAGAAAGCCAAGTCCGACCGTGAGGAGGCAGTGCGAATAATGGCGATGGTGTGTTGGAGAGAGCATCACAGAGAATAATGAGATCGTCTCAATGACCCGACGGTCAGCTTGATATGTCAAACGGTGGAGCCGGCATCACGTCTCCGGCGTCGTGGCTGGCAGCGATGAGATGATAGTCGCCACTAGCGAACCTTTGGCCCCATCCACTGTCACATCTGGATATGACCGAAGACACAAGCAGCAACGATGTTCATCCATGCGGGGTCTTCAGCTGGCCTGATGAATTTGGCTGCAGATTGACTCGCAATATGGACGCGATTCGCGTTGGCATTGGCTGATTCTTCGATTGCTGTCCACTTGCAGGTGGAGCTGAGCTGAAAGACACTTTTCAGCTCGTTACGAGAGGGACGTGGGTATATTAAGAAGCTCCCACTCTTTTGCGTCTTGATTTCTCACAAATAGCACATTGTGTCTCTAGACCGGAAATTATTTCATCCTCCGAAGAAAAATCCATCAACAGTCTGATATTCTCTTTCAATATGTCGGAAACCAATGTAGACATCCCAACGGCCACAGGGGATAATCCAGTTGCAGAACCAACAGCCGAAAACGGTGACAATAGAGAAACGGCGCCAGAAAAGAAAGATGTGATCAAAAACGATGGCAAGCTTCTACTCACTGTCATCAAGTACAACAAGATAGAAGGAAAAGCAATGTCCGGGGGTAAACTGGCACCGTCACCATCGCAGCTGGCGACATCTGCCCTGGCCATCGTCAGAATTTATCTACTGAACGAGGGACATCTCTCAAAGGACGAGTAGGTCTTTGTTAATTATGGGGTTATGCTCAGTCTAACAATGTGTGTGTAGTGGGAACAAACCTTTCTGCACCAAGGATGGTATTGAAGTGACCGATGAGATTACTTTCGACAATTACATGGAGGAAAGCCCCAATGCATCGACGAGCACTTCTGAACAATCTGGAAATGCCGCCGAAGCCGAAGAGTCTCACGACAAAACCGCCAATAAAAATGCGAAACCCGTAAGGCATTTCTGTCTTCTTCCAACGCAACTATGGGACTAAACAAATAATAACAGGTGAAACACAATATCTACATCCTGACCAAGAAAAGGAGCAGAGAGTTGGACTCGATCGCAGACGCATTCATCAAAAAGGGCGTTGACCTTACCAACGTGAGAAATCCATACTCTCCTCCCTGATCGGATGCCACTGACACTTCGCAGACAGGGACAGTCGACTTTTTAGAGGCCCCGACTGGAAAGCCTCTGACTTCCAGTTTTGAGAGCAGCAGCTGGGCAGCTGAAGAAAGTAGGACTATTGTGTCAGTATTCTCTTTCATTTCTCCCTTTCGCTCGATTGTGGATGAAGTAATGCTCATAATCTCTATAGTCAGCCTGTCAATATGACCGAAAAGGAATGGGGAATTGTCATGCGTACCAATAACCTCCTGTGCGGTCAGTACTTGCGAACTGGCCCCATTGACAAAGTCATCAAAGTCCAAGGCCAACCGGATATCAAACGACCAAGCACGGGGATTGTTGATGTAAAAAGATCGTATTATTCAGGTAGGTTGTCATTGCAATAGTCTGCCTTCTGCCTATCGCTAACTCGGCCAAAGTATTTGCCGTGAAACCGAGAATGCTGCCGGAATACGACATCACATTCAAACTCACCGAAAAGGCATCCAAGGAGATGCATAAACTCGGCATTCCACATCCAGGGGTATGTCTATTCTCTCCCTTTATGCCAGGCTGGATGTTAATCGCGACTATAGCACTCTTTCCGCATCCCCCGATTCCAGATAAAGGACGCGTCTCAGGTCCGCGTGTTCGAGACCAAGGGCTCTCTGGAAACAACAATGGCTGAAAGTAGCTTTTCATCAAAGTCGGTCGATGCTGCTGTGTGAGTAACCCTTCAGACCAGGATTCTGAAGGATATGCTGATCTTTTCCACAAGTGGCGGATCGGGTTTTGGTTTCAGCGCTGCTGTAAAGGGAGGTGCGAGCTGGGGTACTGACGACAAGAGTGCGAGTTCCAAGTTCAATGACTCGAGTTATATGCACGTTGTCTACGAGGTAATGAAGCTCCCCCAGAGACATGGGAGGTTCAGGTACTAACCTGGTCAATCAGTTTCCACGCGTGGAGCTAATTCTGAACGAAGAAAATCTGGAATTAAGTGACGAGTGCAAAAAGGATGTTGAAAACTTGCGAAACAGACGTACCTTGAAGGAGTTGACTCATTTTGAAGAGAGATACGGTATGATCGCCACATTTACTCACTATACCTAGACTAACGGATGGGACAGGCAACTTCTTCGCCCGCAGTATTCACCTGGGAGGCAAGTTGATTTCCATCGAGGAATCCGACTCTGTTGCGGGCTCTTCTGTGGAGGAGAAAAAGAAGATGCTCAAGGCAGCAGCCAGTGCTTCGGTATCTGGCTATGGCTTCCAGGCCGAAGTCAACTATAGCCAGACAGAGAACTCTGGGACTAAGAAAACGTCCACGGAGAAGAAAATGACTCACTCCATGTCTTGGTCGGCGAATGGAGGAGATACAACTCTCTGCAACAAGTACGTTTATCAACAAACGAGTGGAGAAAGAATACTGACAGCGTTATCTCAGTCCACCAAAATGGTGTTCCACGGTGTCCGACTTCTATAACTGGAGAGTCATGAAGGTACGGTACATCCTGGCCTAGAAACAGCAGTGTCTAACCATCATTACAGCAAGATGATGTCGTCAATCTCTACGAGTTAATGGGAAAACTACCTGGTTACGAGGACATTCCGAAGCTGATTTATAACATCATTCATCTGAACCCGGAGCTTACAAGTCTGGTCCAGTTTTCGCTTCATCTGGAGGCTGGGAGCCACAACGGTCCTAGGGTTGTTACCTTTGGAGAGGACACTGGTAAGTTTTGCTCTGGAACTCTCATCAATGCGCTATTAACAAGAGGGAACAGAACGAGAGATAGCGCCTCTGGACATGGATCCTCTGAACCACGATCAGAACCAGAATGCCCAGGTAAAAGTTACACGGGACAACAAGGGTCCGAAAGGGGATATTCAGGACAACGTGCATTCCCTACGGCAGCATCGGAAAGAGCTCATCTCGGAGATTAAGTTTTCAAAAGCAAAAGCCGGCGAGTATTCCACCGTTTTTGGTATTCCTATCAGCAATGACCAATCCAACGTTTCCATCGAGGGAAAGGATAGCGCTGGGGTTTCGCATCCTCGGGTAAGGCACCACAGTACACTCTTGCATAGCAATCAGGATTAACCTCAGAACAGTTCAAATACGGCGTCAAATACCCCATCCACTACTTGGTTAATGCAACAAACGGAGAAGAAGAAGAAGTTCTGCTGCACAGTCTTCAGATCGGCGGTGACGGGTCGTCCAAACCCTTCCTCTATGGCAAACACGATACAGCCTCGAACATCATGGTTGAATTCGAACCAATCTACGAGACAACAAAGAAGAAGACGACACCGATTGCCCAGAATGACAAGGTCCGGCTGAGATTTTCCTATCTACCGACAGATGCTGCTGTCCACCGCGTTTCAAATTTCCGGATGAAAGACGTCGATGATATGATGATGCCTAAAAGTCAGGACCTCAAAACACTGGCTGCTCAGCTGCCTGGAATACCTGAGCCTCGGCCCCCCATACCACACCTCCCGTTTCAATATTATTTGAAACCCCTTGAAAAAAAACGGAAGTGGGTCGCCGACTCGATGAGGGCTTACGGATATAGTCCGAGTTATCAAGCAACGTTGGATAAACTTGATCGAGAAATCTCTAATTATAAAGGATCGGACGCATATAAAAAGGCCCAAGCGGAGTACGATGTTAAGCTGGAGCATTACAACCGCGCCAAACTGATATATGATCAAAGGATGAAAGAATATGACCAGAGTCTGGAAGAGAAACTGAAGAAGGCCAGACAGGAGACACGGAGTCTCAAGGAAGAATGGGAACAGCATCAGAGAGACAAGAACAAACTCGTGGTTTTTGATGAATTCACCTTCCAGGTGGAGTATTGTGATGCTAAAAACGGAAAGAACCTCGGAAAGGCGATCGAAGCGGCTGAGAAGGCATTGGCGGCTGAGAAGGCAGCGAAAGCCGCAGAAGCAGCTGAACAGGCCGCTGAACAGGCTGGACAGGCTGCCGAGGAGGCAAAACAGAAGGCCAAGGCAGCAGCAGAAAAGGCCCATGATGAAGAGGTTGAGAAACGGAAGAAATTGCTTTTCCCTGGTTTCTACTTTCTTCAGGGCTATGAGCAATGGCTGGCACAGAAGAAGAAGCTCGAACGGACGGCATGCCTATTGGACGATGGGAAGGCAGCCACACTGCGTGAGGATATAAAGACCAAAGACAAGAACATGACGATGTGTGCAGAGTGGGACTTGGACGAAGATATACTGACAGCCATGTCTAAGATCGGGGACAATCCTTTCTGGGTCCCAGCAATGGCTGTAGTCAAGGTACCCGGTAGTAAATAGATGGCTGTCATAGGGAGATACGTCAGGTTATGTCATGGATGCAATGGATGCAATGGGATTTCCATTTAATAAGTGATTCCAACAGGCAAATTGTGGCAGGTGACCACAACACCACAACGCCCGGATGGAGATTATTTTAGTATGATTAGAAGGCCCGCATCCGCCAGACTCTAAAACCATTTCTCTTTTTACATATTATTGAAAATTGGTGGCAGGAAAGATGAAATACTCTCAGCCAATAGAAACTCGGACGAAAACCCAGACTGGTCACGTGCCATTCCCTCTACTGACCGGGGTTCTGTAACTTCTGTCTGTTGTGCTAGGCGTAAACCAAGGGCCTAGCGCAGCAGATTCTGCATTACCTTGAACCGGTCCTACGAGCGAACACCGAGCTTCGGGTTGCAAACGCCGAACTTGGGGAGGAATGCAAACGCATGTCAGAAGCATACAAGAACGTGGAGGCCATCGCGGCCGAAGCAGCGTTATATCGCAAGGAACTGGATGAATCGCGGAAAGAGGTCCATGAGCTCCACAAGGAGGTCGCCAACCTGAAAGAACTAATCCAGTCGGTGTCAGTGGGGCCACCCACCACGTCGCCTAGTACTCAGGTCAGCAGCCCAGGAAGAAGCTGGGCATCCATCGTTTCGCAATCGTCGTTAGCATCGTCTAACACCCGGGCGGCGCACACTGGACTGGGCCTCCCTGCGGTGGTACTGGATCTACGCTCTGCTAGAGAGGATACCCAGACTCTAGTGGACGACCTCGCGCAGACACGGAAGAGGATCTGTACCGCACTTCAGGATGATACTACAACTGCGGACGTCGACATTGTGGGGGTAAAACCTACTTCGCGGTCTACGGTGAAGATCTTTGTCGACTCGGAGGAAAGCGTCGCGAATCTTCGCCAGGCAACGCACTGGTTAGACTCCCTACCACGTGCTAAGCTGCAGGGCGAACAATGGTTCCCCATCAAATTGAACGATGTCAAGAAGGAAAGTGTCTTTGAAGCGTCTGGGGCGCAACGGGAAGATTTCGCAAGAAGCTTCCAAGACGAGAACGATGTCTGAGAGGTTAAAAAGATCATTTGGCTAAGCGGAAAGAAACGATACGGATCTATGGCTATATATCTGTGCCGACAAGCAGATGCAGATGCATTGCTTAGCCGTCGTATCGCCCATGTGCGTGGGGAAGCAGCGTTCTCTGATAGATTATATGAGCGACAGCGACCCCTGCGCTGCCGCAAGTGTCAACAGTATAATCATAAGGAAGACCGGTGCCCAAACCCTGAAGCCTGCGGCAAATGTGCGGGCCACCACCGCATCCAGCAATGCACATCTGATATCACTAAATGTGCCGCCTGCCAGGGCAACCACGCCGTCAGCGACCGCAACTGCCCGAAATGGGATGAAGCGTGGAAAGTGATCCGTCGACGAGAGCAGGAGATGATAGCCAGACGAGCAGACTCTCGACACAATGGTAGCCAGTAGAGATTTGCGTGTGCTACAGGCCAATCTGAGGAAGGGCCCCGAGACCCAACTGAGCCTCCTGAACGACCGGTCGCTGCAATCCTGTGACTTGCTGATGATCTCGGAACCATATGTTTTCCTGATGAACGATACTGTATGCTCCCATACACATGCTAATTGGACACCGCTTTGGCCCTCACAGCGGCATTCGCTAGTCGGAGGGTTGAGGCCGCACCGGAGCATGATCTGGGCGAACAAAAAGACATTCCCGCACAGACAGATCGACGTTGCGTCAGCCGACATTGTCGCCATACTGCTATTTACGCCCTCGCCAACTCTAACAGTATCAGTATATATTCCGCCAGGAAAAGGGAGCGTAGGAACTAGGACACTAACTCAAGGGCTGGATGCAATCCGGGAAGCCTATCATCGAGTCCAGAGCGAGTACGGGGACAACATTGACATTCTCATTGTGGGAGACTTTAACCGCCACGACCAGCTCTGGGGAGGAAACCAAGTGGCCACGCGGAACCGTCAGGGTGAAGCGGAACCAATTGTGCTCCTCATGGCGGACTGGGGCTTAACAAGCTTACTGCCCCGAGGGATCTTTACCCGGGAGGAAGGCCCATATCGGTCGACCATCGATCTTTTCCTTGCGTCAACGGACCTGAGCAGGCGGGTCACGCGGTGTCGCATCCACCCTGTTGAACATGGGTCAGACCACCGTGCAATTGAAACAACCTTCCAGAGCGAAGCACGACCAACGCCTCCCCCGACAATCCGCTTCTCATTCCGTGAAGCTCCATGGGCCGACATCAACAGGGAGTTAAGAGACCTAGAGATGGATATCACAGATATCACCGACCGCTCCGAACTAGACGCGACTGCAGGGCACTTGACTCGCAGGGTAAGCGCAGCAATTCGCCAGTTAGTCCCGGTTGTGCGGCCATCCCCATACGGCAAGCGATGGTGGACATCGGAGTTAACGGCATTGCGAAACACGTACATATGGGCCCGAAATCGATGCACGCAAGCTCGGCGGTATGGAGTCGACCTTACGGCGCTGGAAGACACGGCATTGTATCTACGGAGACAGTACCACCGAGCAATCCGTGACACCAAACGACGGCATTGGAGAGAGTTCCTTGACAATACCGACAACATCTGGAAAGCGGCACGATACCTCCAGTCAGGTGACCAATCCATAGGGATAGTCCCTACACTGCGCTCGGGGACCAGACGATCAATGATGATCAGGGAAAGGCCCATACGCTTCTTAGGACCTTCTTTCCGCCGCCGCCCAATATCCAGGATGAGCCGCCAAGAGACAAATCGCTGCCGGACGCCCTTCCGATGGAAATGATCACGGAACACGAGATCGAAGTGGCTCTAAAGAGGATGGCATCATGGAAAGCCCCCGGACCAAACGCGCTGCCGGTGGTGGTATGGCAACAAATATGGCCTACTGTGAAACAATGGGTCGTCGAAATCTTCCAAGCGTCACTCCGACTCAGCTACTTCCCCAGCGATTGGAAGGTAGCTAAGATCGTGGTGATACCCAAGAGTGGACGTGACCCATCGTTGCCAAAATCATACCGCCCTATCTCGCTGTTGGCGACTCTCGGAAAGGTACTAGAAGCAGTCGTCGCCAACAGAATCTCAGCCCTAGTCGAAAAGCACCAGTTACTGCCCCCAAATCATTTTGGCGCTCGCCAGAGGCGGTCATGCGAGCAAGCGCTTAACATCCTAATGGAAAAGATACACGATGCGTGGCGTGAGGGCAAAGTCCTCAGTCTGGTGAGCTTCGATGTTAAGGGTGCATATAACGGAGTGGACCGGGGTGTCCTGTTGCAGAGACTGCGAGAACGAAGAATCCCGGAGGTCCTAATCCGATGGGTTGACAGTTTCTGCTCCTCGCGACGGGCGTCGATCATCGTAAATATGTACCAATCCGAGGAAATGGCTATCGAGCATGCGGGCCTACCGCAAGTCTCGCCGCTCTCTCCTATTCTCTTCCTATTCCTGAATGCAAATCTGGTGGATGTCTCTATCACCAGAAGAAAGGGAGCACTCGCCTTTGTTGACGATTGTACACGTTGGACGGTAGGCTCGTCTGCTGAGGCGAATACAACCATACTCCAGCAGAAGGTCATCCCACGAGCGTTAGAATGGGCGGCGCAATCTGGCGCAACCTTCGAGGCGGAGAAGACATCGTTCATCTACTTCACAAGGAACCAGCGGCTGCGCCAACTGCCTGCGGTCCCGTTACACATAAACGGAGCGAGTGTTGCCCCAGCGCCTGAAGTTAAGATTCTTGGTGTGATACTCGACCAGGGTCTACGGTTCAAATCACATATCGGGAAGACTGTGAATAAAGGAATGAAAGCTGTCCTTGCACTAAGACAACTACGCGGGTTACCTCCTTCGGTAGCTCGCCAGCTCTTTACCTCCACAGTCACATCAAAGATTGACTATGCAGCATCGGTGTGGTGCCCCTATACGACAGGATTCTATTGCTGCGGCGGGAACCGGACGGCCGTTCGAAGCCATCCAGCGAGTCGCGTCTCAGGCGATCGTGGGCGTCTTCCGGAACACAGCGCTCGCCATCGCCGAGGCAGAGGCAGGGATTGAACCGACTGTCGTACGCCTTCGAGCACGCATCATGAAGCATTGGATCATCTGCCACACCTTACCAAGGGATCACCCTTTCTGGTCCTGTCGAGCGGCGGCCGCAATGCAGAATGGGAGGTATCTGTCACCGTTCAAAATACTAGCGAAGTACGGACCACAATGCTTGTCTGACATGGAGGTCATTCGACCCTTCCCTCTAGATCCATGGCAACGGTCTCTCAGGGAGTTGATCATCACTGTTGGATCTGATATGAACGAGCTGCATGAGGCTGGCCATGCCCGTCTCTGGTTGTTCACCAGTGTCAGCGTCCGCAATGGTTTGGTCGGAGTGGGGCTGATCGTTCGTGTTAACCAAGTCGATATCGCCTCGTCACACCGGACGGTCGGAAACGATGACTCGCTCAACGCTCATTACGCACAGCTGGGGATGGTGCTGGAGGCTGTCTCATATGTCATGACAATGCTCCCTCGTATCCAGATGTCACCGTACAAAATCCAGGTTGTGATCGTCGTGAGCAACCCTGCTGTCCTGCTTTCGCTTGCGAAGCCGCACCTTCAAGGCGGACAGGCTCTTATCACGAGGATCACCAACACAATCGACCAGCTGCTGGAGATGGGGACTAAGGTTAGCCTGCAGCCACCAACTGATGAAGACCGCGAGAATACTACGCGAACACATACCCTCGCACGCGAAGCAACAGAAGAGAACTGCGAAGTTAGCCCCCTCCCTGGGCGCAAGTCCAGCTCCGGGCGTCGGCATTGCGATGGGTGTGGGCGAATACTAAACAACATCGGAAGAACCACTTCCAACTGTGGACCACTGGCCAGTTTACTCGCCAGCTGGATTCGGCACTCCCAGGACCCCACACGAAGATGCTCTATGACAGCCTGGATCGGGAGAAAGCAGCAATACTAGCTCAACTCCGTACGGGACATGCCAGACTGAATGGATATCTTCATCGAATCGGCAAGGCCGATTCGATTTGTGCGAATGTGGCATTGAGCGAGAAACAGTCCCTCATTTCTTGCTTCGATGTACACGGTGGAATGAGCAGCGTCGCGCGCTGATTGAGGCCACAGGGCCGAGCTTCGGTAATCTGTCACAGATGCTAGGAGGTAAACCTGAGATTGGAGGAGATTCGTGTGTAGCGAATGGAAGAGCTTGGAAACCTGATATTAAGATTGTCAGAGCCGCCATCGCGTTTGCAGTGGAGACAAAACGGTTGGCTCCTGAAGGGTGAAGAAAAAGAAGATCTGAATCGGACATCTCGCATGTGGTAACGCTATCAAATGTATATATCCTATGGAGCAGTGCACACAAGCTAGGGGGCTACATACGACCTAAGGTCGTGAAAAGCCTGAGGAATGAATAATAATAATAATAATTGACGCACTTGTGATGCCGCTTCCTAGCTCTTTGGGTGTTTTTATCGCGCTCTCTGCGTAGTCCAGTAATTTCTATGTTAAGTAGGCTGGAATTGGCACTGGATGGCCATCTGAGGAAAAATATTATTGTAATCAACATTCGGCACTGACCCAGAATGAGCACGTCGATGATATATCTCACTCATTTTTGGTTCACAGGGCAACTTACCACCTCGACAGCGACCCTGCCAGCACGCGGGGCCGTCGATAACGTCTAGTAATCCCCTGAGATCTGTGTCCCAACTCCCCACAATATAATCCTCACAAGTCATTTCAAAAGCACCAGAAGGACGCAATTCCGAACACAAGTCCACGTCGCAGCGCGAGCGATCAAGCCGAGCTATGACCTCCACCGCCATACACCGCCACATATCAGCCACAACGATGTGTTCGCGTCGGAAAGTTCAGCTCCAGAACGCGACGCCGAGTCCCAGCAGACGCGTTGATATCGATAACTATACGCGCGCTTCCCTCCTATGACCGATCGGAGAATGACTCGACCATATAATATACAGTCTTGTTTGCAACGCTCGCGAGCAGTTTTTATTCCCCTCCGTGCCGAGATTGTTGAGGGAAATCTTCTGTGCGAGTGCGGAAAGAAGGAAGCGACGTTGGGACGGGCGCGATGTATTCAATGTGCCCGTTGATACTAGCGAACAAAACAATGCTGTTGATTCCATCCACCCGCAGCATATGGATCACAATACAGAGTCCCCCGCGCAGCATGACGGGCGTAGTGGCGATGAAGCCCCGCGGGCAGAACCTATGCCCCAGAGAAGCGGTACCCAGTACATACAGTAATAGTCATGATGAGAATGCGTGTAGTAGTACACGGGCAGATTCGCCTGCAGAGGCGATACTTCAGGGCCAGGCTGGATGCGAACAGGGTGACCGGTCTCCGCGTCCAAATGTGATGCCACTAGAACGCAGAGCCGAGGTACACCACTCGGCTGGATGGGAGTAGAATTGCAGATTCAGAGACAACCAGCGCCAACCTCGAAATGCAGACGGATCGCGGCCATGATCATCTGGGGGAGGCATCTCTGGTCGACAAAAGCAGAGATTGCCAGCAAGCGACGTCCCAGAGTGGAGATCACAAAGAATGTGTCTCCCAATACAGGGAGCACTGGCCAACGACCTGCACAAGACAGAGATCAAGAAATTGCGACTGTCGAGTGTACGCCACAGAATACAGAAAGTGTTCCTGCCGCGGACGACGACGCATAAGTATTCGAGACAGCAGAGTGTGGGGACCAGCATCACACCACAACTGGACTCGGCAACGAAGCGGGGTGGTAGCCAAGAGCTGCTGGCTGAGGGCCGGCATGACTACGGAAACATATCTTAGGGTCGACATGAGCAACTACAAGGCTGAGGATGATCCTATGCCACAGAAGAATAAAAATATATCTCGATATGCACATGAGAACTATGAGGTTTGAGAGACTGGCCCCAATGTCCGAGGACAATGACAGCCACTCTCCGGCAGAAAGTGATACCTTGGAACAGTCGCAAGAAAAGGACGATGGGAATTTTCAAGATTATAGAATCACGAGGCATGACCGTCGAACGCACACGGGCAGTCAAAAAATCCAACATGGACTTTGTGATCGCCCGCTTCGTGGAACAGACTGCAGATGGCCAGATATTTACTGAGGGCCTACGCCTCATCTACTGCAGTCGAACTCTCCTCCCAACTGGCATCTCCAAAGATGCATTGGGTCCCAAGAGCCGACTAGTATTCCAGCACAAGATGTGACAGCCTTTTCTTATACAGAACTCGTCTTATTTGAAAGTCCCTATTCACGAGCTTGACCTTTGAATAAATATTTTCGTCAAAAGTTCACTGGAAGATGTTGGTAATGTGTACCCCATGACAACTGCTTCACGCCGTCGCCGCATAAACTCAAGATAATTCAAAAGACACAGCGAAAGATCGAACCAGACGGCATCTAATAACTGTAGAAAATTCGTAATAATGTTAGTTGGATCTGCATTACACATAACATTCACTTCAATCAAAATTACTCTCAGTTATGTTTAGATATGGCGACCCTATGCTTTTTGTAACGTAATTCACTACCGAGTGACGCACCCAACCCACTACTGAACATTCAGATGTACATAGATAAAACCACAGAACACTATTAATTCGAAAAAAGCTATAGATTAGGGCACCGGGTAATTGAATGGCCAATGTCATTGCAGCCGCTACATCTCCCGGGTGCGCGTTTGGCTGGTGGGGGTGGCAAAATAGGCGATTCAACTGGCGCGGGCGGAGTGTTCAACAGGTTCAACTGGCTGCACTGGCTGCACTGGTAACAGTAGGCCCTCTCCAACTGTAACACCCTGTTCGCATAGGACTAGGCGATTCGATCGTGCTCGTTTTTGCCGTTTCTTCTCATGTGCGGCCCGCAGATAAGCACATTCCTGCGCTAATAGCGCAGTATCATACATTAAGACAGTGTAGCCCTTGATAATCCCTAAGACTACAGTGAAAGTCGAAAACAGTTTCCCCTCGACGACACACATGCGTTGTTTCTCGGCTCGCTCCCAATACTACGCTAGTCTGCATTGGGCTTTCTACATAACAACCCCTGTTTGCGGTATCATGTTTTAATCGTATTGAATTTCAGCGTCATATGAGTCATTGTATAATACCGTAAGCATCAAGAGAACGTTCTCCGAGGGAGGGGGAGACTTGGCGGTGTGTCCTAATCCACCCCACCCCCTCCCGTTCTTCCTTTCCACCATTGTTCTTATCTCCATACCTCTTCCCGTGACCAAGTTGTCCCATAAATCCCACAATCCCAACTTGTGCCGCTCCTTTAACACAAGCAAATCTTGATTATGGATTCCACAATATCTTTTGGTGAATTAAACTCTGGGTCGCAAATAGGGATCAACTACGGTTTGATCACGAACGAGTTCTGCCCTCCTTTTAGTAAGCTATGAGCCATCTTGTCCAGAGCGAAAAAACAAACTGATTATGACATGGATCTCTACGAGAAATTACCCATAGTGTATGAGGCTGCGTTCGACTCGTATAGTGATCAGCATGAAGACAAATGTCTTCCGGGTACGCGAACCGAAATCCTCCGTCAAATTACAGAGTGGGGTTACTCTCCACACGGGAGATGTATCTTTTGGTTAAACGGTATGGCTGGAACAGGTAAATCGACCATTTCTCGGACAGTGGCAGAATCCTTCAGTCAAGCCAAATCATTAGGGGCAAGTTTCTTTTTTAAGAGAGGCGGAGCTGATCGGGGGAATGCCACGAAGCTTTTTCCGACAATCGCAGGGCAGCTAGCAAATAGCCTTCCGCAACTGGCACCGCATATCCGGAAGGCTGTTCAGGATAACCCTGGTATTTCTATGAAAGGAATTAGGGAGCAGTTTGAGATACTGTTGTTTCAGCCATTTGAATGCTTAAAGCGATTCGATCATCCAACCCAGACGGTGATGATAGTGATTGACGCATTAGATGAATGTCGAGAGGAACAGGATACACGACTCGTCCTCCAACTTCTGCCACAGCTACAGAAGCTAACTGCTGTGCACTTCCGAGTTTTCATGACCAGCAGGCCTGAGCTACCAATCCGCCTTGGATTCAAAAAGCTTGCAGACCACGACCACAAGGACTTGTTTCTGCATGAAATCCCTCAAGAAGTAATTGAGCATGATATATCATTATTCTTGAATCATCGCCTTTCAGAAATCAGAGAAGAACGAGAACCTCCCTTGCCGGTAAGCTGGCCTGGGCTGACAAATATCAAAACCCTTGTGGCATTGTCCGTTCCGTTGTTTATTTTTGCCGCTACGGTATGCCGAATCTTTGAGGACCCCTATCTGGAACCGGCGGATAGCCTCACCGAAATTCTCGCAAACCAAAATGATGAGTCAAAATTGGCTGGATTGTATCTCCCTTTGCTTGATATGCTTCTCGATAGACAACGCGAAAAGCATAAAGAACAAGTGGTTCAAGATTTTCAGCAAGTGGTCGGCACGCTCTTAATATTAGAGAGCCCACTCTCTGTCGTCTCCCTTTCAAGTCTTCTCGGTCTCTCTGAAAGGTCCATTCATCTCAGGCTAAGCCCGTTGAGATCAGTTCTAAACATCCCAGATGATGAGAATTTGCCAGTACGCCTTTTCCACCAGTCATTTCGGGATTTCCTTCTTGATCCAGAAACTCGAGACAAAACCCCTTTCTGGATAAACGAGACACAATTGCATCATAGTATGACCACAAAATGCCTTTTTTTATGCCAAAATCTGCGAAAAAATATCTGTGGACTACCAGGTGATGGAACACGCCGCGTACAGATTGATCGCAAAACAATCGACCATTGCATACCTCCAGAACTGCAATACGCTTGCCGGTATTGGGTACATCACCTTGTGCAATGCAAAGAGCCAGAAAGTGTCATGGATGCTGCTTTCATGTTCCTCCAAAAGCACTTTCTACATTGGGCCGAAGCAATGTGCCTTCTAGGTTCTATATCAGAGATCCTTGAAATAATCAACATTCTCCAGAAAGTCTTACGAGTAAGTTCCTGAATATTTCTTTATGAATTTGGCTGATAAATCAAGACTTGTTACCTTTCCGAAATGTCGGCATTCCTGGAAGATGCTAAGCGCTTTAT